GACAGATACGCGCGCATGGACTTTTTTGTAGATCTTATTGAGATACATGTGTGTGTCAATTTTTGTGTCATTTTGCCAAAGCGTACAGGCGTGACACTCAACAATGTGTATTTTCACCTTAGGGGACAAGAAAAAATGGACTTTTTTCTCCTGCCATGGGGGGGCGCTCTTTTGGCGAGTAAAAATTCCTTCACAGATGTGTTGATGGCTGGACATTGCATCATCCTAGAAAACTTGGAGGCCAGTGAGGACAAAAATAAAAAGTTATAAGACTTTTAAATATGTGGATTTTAGTGTTATCTTTGGCGCCCCCTAGAACCTAAACCTTGGGGTGCAGCGTCATGATTTTGATAACTTCTAATGGCCATGGGGTGTAGATTGGCCTGAGCAAATGTGGTGCCGGTGGAACGAAAGCCTTAGGAGGAGTTAGCCACATTCCAATGTGTGCGGATCGGCAAAAAATGCGGAATAACCCTTTAACCGTACATTTGACAGATACGCGCGCATTGACTTTTTCGTAGATCTTATTGAGTTACATGTGTGTGTCAATTTTTGTGTCATTTTGACAAAGCGTATAGGCGTGACACTCAACAATGTGTATTTTCACCTTAGGGGACAAGAAAAAATTGACTTTTTTCTCTTGCCATGGGGGGGCGCTCTTTTGGGGAGTAAAAATTCCTTCACAAATGTGTTGATGGCTGGACATTGCATCATCCTAGAAAACTTGGAGGCCAGTGAGGACAAAAATAAAAAGTTATAAGACTTTTAAATATGTGGATTTTAGTGTTATCTTTGGCGCCCCCTAGAACCTAAACCTTGTGGTGCAGCGTCATGATTTTGATAACTTTTAATGGCCACGGGGTGTAGATTGGCCTGAGCAAATGTGGTGCCGGTGGAACGAAAGCCTTCGGAGAAGTTAGCGAAATTCCAATGTGTGCGGATCGGCAAAAAATGCGAAATAACCCTTTAACCGTAATTTTGACAGATACGGCCGCACTGACTTTTTTGTAGATCTTATTGAGATACATATGTGTGTCAATTTTTGTGTCAATATGACAAAGCGTACAGGCGTGACAGTCAATAGTGTGAATTTCCACCTTAGGGGGCGCTATGGAGCCATTTTGCATTTTATTGTTTGGGCGACTTCAGAATATCGAATGTTTCACCAGGCCCGGTCGTCCTGCCAAATTTCATGAGTTTTCGCCAGTGGGAAGTGGGCCATTTTCCAGTTCAAAGGGGAGGAAAAAGAAGAAAGAAAGAAAGAAACAAAGAAAAACCACTTGGGGAATAATAGGGCTCTCGCAGCTGCTTAGCAGCTACGCTCGGGCCCTAACTAGGGCCCCGTTGGGGCACTGGCGGGCCCGAGCCGTGTCGCGCTGCCCCCCCCAACGCGCTGCCTCCCCGTCCCATTCGCGTCCTCTGGCCATCGCCCTCTCTGGTAACGCCCATCACTGCAAAGACCCTTTCCTTCATCGGCGTTTGCTGTTCTTCCTGCCAGTGCGTGTTGCTTTCACTTACACTTGCCACAGCCAGCCTCGTGAGTGCCTAGCCTATTGGATATCACTGTCATCTACACAGGACAGTCATAACCTTTCTATTAATACCTGTTTTTTAATTTCACATTAATTTCAATATTGTATAAACTTGAGCCCCTGCCCCTGTATAATCATGTGCACGTCCCTGTTCTAGCTCCAAGGTGAATCTTCACTGCTCATGTTCTCCTCAGAAGTAGTCACCTCACTTTCCTCAGGTGACTGTACACATGCACCAACTGCCTGCTTCAGGTTTGGATGGAGCTTCATGGTTGTCTTTTGGAGAAATGAGCAGTCAAGTTGTGTTTGAAATTTGATTTTTTTCAGGGGCAAAAAGGAGCCTCTGCATTCTAGTCAAATATGTAAATAGCATGTTTTTGCAGGTGCTAAAAAAAGACTCTGAGTGTGTGTGTGTGTGTATCCTGCAGTACTCTGAGAAGAATAATAAGCATATTTCTGAGGTGAATTTTGAAGATTCATCTGAGAGTTAGGAGGGCTGATCATTCCCTTACCCTTTAGATGTCTATCTATGTCTGTTTTTGTGTGATAATGAAAGAATCCCAACTCAAAAAGGCTCTGTTGATGTTTTTTTTTTGTTGTTGTTCATTCATATTCAAACCACTATTTTATATCACTGCTAATACGCCAAGACCATTTTATGGAATTTAGCTTTATTATTTCTATACATTTTGCAAGGAAAGAAACCAAGGCCTTCACTAAAATTTCCATAAACTTTAGGAAAGGACCTCTGGTTGTTTAACGGGGTCATTACTGCAAAAACATATTCTTCCTAAATTTTGAAGGTCAAACCTTAGATCCATTAGGTTTAAATAGAAAAAGCATTAAAATATGTTAGGATTATAGCATATGACAAATATGTGCCTTTCAGTGGCCACAACTACTTTATCTGCTGGCTCTGCAGTCGATTGACGCTCCCCAGCATTCAAGTCACATTACATATTTAACCGGATGTAGCAGCAAGACGGAGCCTCGTTGACTCTCCGTTTCAACTTATCTCAAAAGTGAGGACCTCAAACTATACACCAGTTTTCAAATTGTGTTGATAGGCCAAATAAAACCAGAGTTATGATAAATTATGTCCGCGATACTTTTTTTCTGCTTATTTTGATCACGTTCGGCGCTCGATCGCGCTGTATGAGACAGGAAAACATAGCATGCAGACATTAGCGACAGGTCTTACAGGCGGAAAAGGCTTGCCAAAAGAAAAAAAAAACACACCACAACATCTCTCCTATTGGTGGAAAACTTCACCACAACAACCAATCCAAAATTATATGGTGACTGATTGACAAGGGGCGGGCGCTTACGTTCTTCCTGCAACATGAGAAGGGAGGGAGGGACTCTCAGCAGGGATGCAGTCTGGGACACGTAGTTGCAAACCTAGCGACTTTGTTGTTATATTCAATGACTTTTCAGACCCCCTAACGACTTTTTTTTAGAAAGAAAGGGACTTTTATCGACTTCTTCTGGAGTTTAGAGACTCTGACATGAAGCAGGCTTTCCTTACTGAGGAGTTAGCAACGCTGCTAAGGGTGCAGAGCCACACATGCGCTCAGAGCTCTGCATGGGAGACTGAAGCTGACAGAGCTGCAGCAGTTAGCAGGTTTCACCCTCAGAGACCACCAGGGGTTCATGTTGAGGCATTTTAATTTTTTTTTTTTTTGTGCCATAGACACTGTCAGCACAATCTGCAGTTACACTAACAAAAATGCTGCAAAAAACAAAGAATTATGGAAAAATTACACATGGACTGACATAGAGGAGGATCTACACAAGTTTTTTACATCATGTTTTACATCATGCATCATTTACATCATGTTTTTTTGTAGTGGCATAAATAAAAAGTGACATTTGTGAGACTATACAGTGTTTTGTAAATAATTTTACAAAGAACGCCTGGGCCATTGCCTGCATTTTGATGTAAATAGAGGTAAATCACTATGTTCTTTGTTAAAAATTTGCATATGTTTTGAAGTTTACAATTTTTATTTGAAGTTTAAGTTTTAAAAACAGTTCATCACACATATTTGTGGTTTTCACAGTAAAAATGTTACTTTTTTCCACTCGGATTTTATGTTTTGTGTGTGAATTTGGGTCCATTGTGTAAATTCAGTATGTCAACATGATAAAATAACTGTAAATTCGCGCAGGTGAGGTTGTGCTGAAAAAAATGATACCAGGCAAGGCACGTGATTGTCAAATTTTGTGTCAATATGACAAAGCGTATAGGCGTGAATCTCAACAATATGTATTTTCACCTTAGGGGACAAGAAAAAATGGACTTTTTTCTCCTGCCATGGGGGGCGCTCTTTTGGGGAGTAAAAATTCCTTCACAAATGTGTTGATGGCTGGACATTGCATCATCCTAGAAAACTTGGAGGCCAGTGAGGACAAAAATAAAAAGTTATAAGACTTTTAAATATGTGGATTTTAGGGTTATCTTTGGCGCCCCCTAGAACCTAAACCGTGGGGTGCAGCGTCATGATTTTGATAACTTTTAATGGCCATGGGGTGTAGATTGGCCTGGGCAAATGTGGTGCCGGTGGAATGAAAGCCTTAGGAGGAGTTAGCCACATTCCAATGTGTGCGGATCGGCAAAAAATGCGGAATAACCCTTTAACCGTACATTTGACAGATACGCGCGCATTGACTTTTTCGTAGATCTTATTGAGTTACATGTGTGTGTCAATTTTTGTGTCATTTTGACAAAGCGTATAGGCGTGACACTCAACAATGTGTATTTTCACCTTAGGGGACAAGAAAAAATTGACTTTTTTCTCCTGCCATGGGGGGGCGCTCTTTTGGGGAGTAAAAATTCCTTCACAAATGTGTTGATGGCTGGACATTGCATCATCCTAGAAAACTTGGAGGCCAGTGAGGACAAAAATAAAAAGTTATAAGACTTTTAAATATGTGGATTTTAGTGTTATCTTTGGCGCCCCCTAGAACCTAAACCTTGGGGTGCAGCGTCATGATTTTGATAACTTTTAATGGCCACGGGGTGTAGATTGGCCTGAGCAAATGTGGTGCCGGTGGAACGAAAGCCTTCGGAGGAGTTAGCGAAATTCCAATGTGTGCGGATCAGCAAAAAATGCGAAATAACCCTTTAACCGTAATTTTGACAGATACGGCCGCATTGACTTTTTTGTAGATCTTATTGAGATACATATGTGTGTCGATTTTTGTGTCAATATGACAAAGCGTACAGGCGTGACAGTCAATAGTGTGAATTTCCACCTTAGGGGGCGCTATGGAGCCATTTTGCATTTTATTGTTTGGGCGACTTCAGAATATCGAATTTTTCACCAGGCCCGGTCGTCCTGCCAAATTTCATGAGTTTTCGCCAGTGGGAAGTGGGCCATTTTCCAGTTCAAAGGGGAGGAAAAAGAAGAACTAGGGCCCCGGTGGGGCACTGTCGGGCCCGAGCCGCGTTGCGCCGCCCCCAGCGCGACCGCCTCCCCCTCCCGATCGCGTCACACTCAAGGTCCAAAGATGGTGTGCGCACTTGTCTGTGGTCATTTCCCATTATAATGAATGGGAGGCGCAGTTTCTACCAAAACACTCGCTGCAGACATACTACATGTCCTATTTGAAAAAAGTCTGGACCATGAGTGAGGGCACAAACACAGCTAGGATATATCCAAACGGCAAGTTGCTCCTTGTTACGGTGTTGCCGGGAGAGTGATGCGATTGAGCCATTGAGTGATGGGCAGGAAAAACTTGACTGTTTCTCCTGCCATGGGGGTTGGGGGATGGGGGGGGGATGTGGATTCTTTTAAGAATGTGGATATTTGGGTCATCTTTGGCGCCCCCTAGAACGTAAACCGTGGGGTGCAGCGTCATGATTTTTACAACTTTGAATGGCCATGGGGTGTAGATTGGCCTGAGCAAATTTGGTGTCAGTGAGACGAAAGCCTTAGGAGGAGTTAGCCACATTCCAATGTGTGCGAATCGGCAAAAAATGCAAAATAGCCCTTTAACCGTACATTTTACAGATACGCGCGCATTGACTTTTTCGTAGATCTTATTGAGATACATGTGATTGTCAAATTTTGTGTCAATATGACAAAGCGTACAGGTATGACAGTCAACAATGTGTTTTTTCACCTTATGGGACAAGAAAAAATGGACTTTTTTCTCCTGCCATGGGGGGGCGCTCTTTTGGGGAGTAAAAATTCCTTCACAAATGTGTTGATGGCTGGACATTGCATCATCCTAGAAAACTTGGAGGCCAGTGAGGACAAAAATAAAAAGTTATAAGACTTTGAAATATGTGGATTTTAGGGTTATCTTTGGCGCCCCCTAGAACCTAAACCGTGGGGTGCAGCGTCATGATTTGAATAACTTTTAATGGCCATGGGGTGTAGATTGGCCTGAGCAAATGTGGTGCCGGTGGAACGCCAGCCTTAGGAGGAGTTAGCGAAATTCCAATGTGTGCGGATCAGCAAAAAATGCGGAATAACCCTTTAACCGTACATTTGACAGATACGCGCGCATTGACTTTTTCGTAGATCTTATTGAGATACATGTGTGTGTCAAATTTTGTGTCAATATGACAAAGCGTACAGGCGTGACACTCAACAATGTGTATTTTCACCTTAGGGGACAAGAAAAAATGGACTTTTTTCTCCTGCCATGGGGGGGCGCTCTTTTGGGGATTAAAAATTCCTTCACAAATGTGTTGATGGCTGGACATTGCATCATCCTAGAAAACCTGGAGGCCAGTGAGGTCAAAAATAAAAAGTTATAAGACTTTGAAATATGTGGATTTTAGGGTTATCTTTGGCGCCCCCTAGAACCTAAACCGTGGGGTGCAGCGTCATGATTTGAATAACTTTTAATGGCCATGGGGTGTAGATTGGCCTGAGCAAATGTGGTGCCGGTGGAACGAAAGCCTTCGGAGGAGTTAGCGAAATTCCAATGTGTGCGGGTCGGCAAAAAATGCGCAATAACCCTTTAACCGTACATTTGACAGATACGCCTGCACTGACTTTTTTGTAGATCTTATTGAGATACATGTGTGTGTCAATTTTTGTGTTAATATGACAAAGCGTAAAGGCGTGACAGTCAATAGTGTGAATTTTCACCTTAGGGGGCGCTATGGAGCCATTTTGCATTTTCTTGTTTGGGCGACTTCGGAATATCAAATTTTTCACCAGGCCCGGTCATCCTGCCAAATTTCATGAGTTTTCGCCAGTGGGAAGTGGGCCATTTTCCAGTTCAAAGGGGAGGAAAAAGAAGAAAGAAAGAAACAAAGAAAAACCCCTTGGGGAATAATAGGGCTCTCGCAGCTGCTTAGCAGCTACGCTCGGGCCCTAACTAGGACCCCGTTGGGGCACTGGCGGGCCCGAGCCGTGTCGCGTCCCCCCCCCCAACGTGCTGCCTCCCCGTCCCATTTGTGTCCTCTGGCCATCGCCCTCTCTGGTAACGCCCATCACTGCAAAGACCCTTTTTCTTCATCGGCGTTTGCTGTTCTTCCTGCCAGTGCGTGTTGCTTTCACTTACACTTGCCACAGCCAGCCTCGTGAGTGCCTAGCCTATTGGATATCACTGTCACCTACACAGGACAGTCATTACCTTTCTATTAATACTTTGTGTTTTAATTTCACATTAATTTCCATATTGTATAAACGACTGGAAAAAACTTGAGCCCCTGCCCCTGTATAATCATGTGCATGTCTCTGTTCTAGCTCCAAGGTGAATCTTCACTGCTAATGTTCTCCTCAGAAGCAGTCACCTCACTCCCCTCAGGTTACTGTACACATGCACCAACTGCCTGCTTCAGGTTTGGATGGAGCTTCATGGTTGTCTTTTGGAGAAATGACCAGTCAAGTTGTGTTTGAAATTTGATTTTTTTCAGGGGCAAAAGGAGCCTCTGCATTCTTGTCAAATATGTAAATAGCATGTTTTTGCAGGTGCTAAAAACCAGACTCTGAGTGTGTGTGTGTGTGTGTGTGTGTGTGTGTGTGTGTGTGTGCGTGTGTGTGTGTCTGTGTGTGCGTTCAAGTCACATGACATATTTAACCGGATGTAGCTGCAAGACGGAGCCTCGTTGACTCTCCGTTTCAACTTATCTCAAAAGTGAGGACCTCAACCTATATACCAGTTTTTAAATTGTGTTGATAGGCCAAATAAAACCAGAGTTATGATAAATTATGTCCGCGATACTTTTTTTCTGCTTATTTTGATCACGTTCGGCGCTCGATCGCGCTGTATGAGACAGGAAAACAGAGCATGCAGACATTAGCGACAGGTCTTACAGGCGGAAAAGGCTTGCCAAAAGAAAAAAAACACACCACAACATCTCTCCTATTGGTGGAAAAGTTCACCACAACAACCAATCCAAAATTATATGGTGACTGATTGACAAGGGGCGGGCGCTTACGTTCTTCCTGCAACATGAGAAGCGAGGGAGGGACTCTCAGCAGGGATGCAGTCTGGGACACGTAGTTGCAAACCTAGCGACTTTGTTGTTAGATTCAATGACTTTTCAGACCCCCTAACGACTTTTTTTTTAGAAAGAAAGGGACTTTTATCGACTTCTTCTGGAGTTTAGAGACTCTGACATGAAGCAGGCTTTCCTTACTGAGGAGTTAGCAACGCTGCTAAGGGTGCAGAGCCACACATGCGCTCAGAGCTCTGCATGGGAGACTGAAGCTGACAGAGCTGCAGCAGTTAGCAGGTTTCACCCTCAGAGACCACCAGGGGTTCATGTTGAGGCATTTAAATTTTTTTTTTTTTGTGCCATAGACACTGTCAGCACAATCTGCAGTTACACTAACAAAAATGCTGCAAAAAACAAAGAATTATGGAAAAATTACACATGGACTGACATAGAGGAGGATCTACACAAGTTTTTTACATCATGTTTTACATCATGCATCATTTACATCATGTTTTTTTGTAGTGGCATAAATAAAAAGTGACATTTGTGAGACTATACAGTGTTTTGTAAATAATTTTACAAAGAACGCCTGGGCCATTGCCTGCATTTTGATGTAAATAGAGGTAAATTACTATGTTCTTTGTTAAAAATTTGCATATGTTTTGAAGTTTACAATTTTTATTTGAAGTTTAAGTTTTAAAAACAGTTCATCACACATATTTGTGGTTTAATTTCACATTAATTTCCATATTGTATAAATGACTGGAAAAAACTTGAGCCCCTGCCCCTGTATAATCATGTGCACGTCCCTGTTCTAGCTCCAAGGTGAATCTTCACTGCTCATGTTCTCCTCAGAAATAGTCACCTCACTCCCCTCAGGTTACTGTACACATGCACCAACTATCTGCTTCAGGTTTGGATGGAGCTTCATGGTTGTCTTTTGGAGAAATGAACAGTCAAGTTGTGTTCGAAATCTGATTTTTTTCAGGGGCAAAAGGAAGCCTCTGCATTCTTGTCAAATATGTAAACAGCATGTTTTTGCAGGTGCTAAAAAACAGACTCTGAGTGTGTGTGTGTGTGTGTGTGTGTGTGTGTGTGTGTGTGTATATATGTGTGTGTATCCTGCAGTACTCTGTACTCCTGCAGTGGCCAAAAAGACTTTTAAGAATGTGGATTTTTGGGTCATCTTTGGCGCCCCCTAGAACTGCAGTACTCTGTACTCCTGCAGTGGCCAAAATGACTTTTAAGAATGTGGATTTTTGGGTCATCTTTGGCGTCCCCTAGAACGTAAACCATGGGGTGCAGCGTCATGATTTTTACAACTTTGAATGGGCATGGGGTGTAGATTGCCCTGAGCAAATTTGGTATCGGTGGGACGAAAGCCTTAGGAGGAGATAGCCACATTCCAATGTGTGCGAATCGGCAAAAAATGCGAAATAGCCCTTTAACCGTACATTATACAGATACGCGCTTTTTGACTTTTTCGTAGATCTAATTGAGATACACATGATTGTCAATTTTTGTGTCAATATGACAAAGCGTTCAGGCGTGACACTCAACAATGTGTATTTTCATGTAAGGGGACAAGAAAAAATTGACTTTTTTCTCCTGCCATGGGGGGGCGCTCTTTTGGGGAGTAAAAATTCCTTCACAAATGTGTTGATGGCTGGACATTGCATCATCCTAGAAAACTTGGAGGGCAGTGAGGACAAAAATAAAAAGTTATAAGACTTTTAAGAATGTGGATTTTGGGTTATCTTTGGCGCCCCCTAGAACGTAAACCGTGGGGTGCAGCGTCATGATTTGTACAACTTTTAATGGCCATGGGGGGTAGATTGGCCTGTGCAAATGTGGTGCCGGTCGAACGAAAGCCTTCGGAGGAGTTAGCGAAATTCCAATGTGTGCAGATCTGCAAAAAATGCAAAATAACCCATTAACCGTAAATTTGACAGATACGCCCGCACTGACTTTTTTGTAGATCTTATTGAGATACATATGTGTGTCAATTTTTGTGTCAATATGACAAAGCGTACAGCCGTCATGTGAATTTTCACCTTAGGGAGCGCTATGGAGCCATTTTGCATTTTATTGTTTGGGCGACTTCAGAATATCGAATTTTTCACCAGGCCCGGTCGTCCTGCCAAATTTCCTGAGTTTTCGCCAGTGGGAAGTGGGCCATTTTCCAGTTTAAAGCGGAGGAAAAATAATAACGAAAGAAGGAAACATGCAGGAACAAGAGGGCTCTCGCAGCTGCTTAGCAGCTACGCTCGGGCCCTAAAGAAAGAAAGAAAGAAAGAAAGAAACAAAGAAAAACCACTTGGGGAATAATAGGGCTCTCGCAGCTGCTTAGCAGCTACGCTCGGGCCCTAAAGAAGAAGAAAGAAGAATCCATCAGGAATAATAGGGCTCTCGCAGCTGCTTAGCAGCTACGCTCGGGCCCTAAAGACTAGGACCCCGTTGGGGCACTGGCGGGCCCGAGCCGTGTCGCGTCCCCCCCCCCCCCCCCTCCCCCAACGTGCTGCCTTCCCGTCCCATTTGTGTCCTCTGGCCATCGCCCTCTCTGGTAACGCCCATCACTGCAAAGACCCTTTTCCTTCATCGGCGTTTGCTGTTCTTCCTGCCAGTGCGTGTTGCTTTCACTTACACTTGCCACAGCCAGCCTCGTGAGTGCCTAGCCTATTGGATATCACTGTCACCTACACAGGACAGTCATTACCTTTCTATTAATACTTTGTGTTTTAATTTCACATTAATTTCCATATTGTATAAATGACTGGAAAAAACTTGAGCCCCTGCCCCTGTATAATCATGTGCACGTCCCTGTTCTAGCTCCAAGGTGAATCTTCACTGCTCATGTTCTCCTCAGAAATAGTCACCTCACTCCCCTCAGGTTACTGTACACATGCACCAACTATCTGCTTCAGGTTTGAAATGGAGCTTCATGGTTGTCTTTTGGAGAAATGAACAGTCAAGTTGTGTTTGAAATTTGATTTTTTTCAGGGGCAAAAGGAAGCCTCTGCATTCTCTTCAAATATGTAAACAGCATGTTTTTGCAGGTGCTAAAAAACAGACTCTGAGTGTGTGTGTGTGTGTCTGTGTGTGTGTGTGTGTGTGTGTGTGTATATGTGTGTGTATCCTGCAGTACTCTGTACTCCTGCAGTGGCCAAAAAGACTTTTAAGAATGTGGATTTTTGGGTCATCTTTGGCGCCCCCTAGAACTGCAGTACTCTGTACTCCTGCAGTGGCCAAAATGACTTTTAAGAATGTGGATTTTTGGGTCATCTTTGGCGCCCCCTAGAACGTAAACCGTGGGGTGCAGCGTCATGATTTTTACAACTTTGAATGGGCATGGGGTGTAGATTGCCCTGAGCAAATTTGGTATCGGTGGGACGAAAGCCTTAGAAGGAGATAGCCACATTCCAATGTGTGCGAATCGGCAAAAAATGCAAAATAGCCCTTTAACCGTACATTATAAAGATACGCGCTCTTTGACTTTTTCGTAGATCTAATTGAGATACACATGATTGTCAATTTTTGTGTCAATATGACAAAGCGTTCAGGCGTGACACTCAACAATGTGTATTTTCATGTCAGGGGACAAGAAAAAATTGACTTTTTTCTCCTACCATGGGGGGGCGCTCTTTTGGGGAGTAAAAATTCCTTCACAAATGTGTTGATGGCTGGACATTGCATCATCCTAGAAAACTTGGAGGCCAGTGAGGACAAAAATAAAAAGTTATAAAACATTTAAGAATGTGCATTTTTGGGTTATTTTTGGCGCCCCCTAGAACCTAAACCATGGGGTGCAGCGTCATGATTTTTACAACTTTGAATGGGCATGGGGTGTAGATTGCCCTGAGCAAATTTGGTATCGGTGGGACGAAAGCCTTAGAAGGAGATAGCCACATTCCAATGTGTGCGAATCGGCAAAAAATGCAAAATAGCCCTTTAACCGTACATTATACAGATACGCGCTCTTTGACTTTTTCGTAGATCTAATTGAGATACACATGATTGTCAATTTTTGTGTCAATATGACAAAGCGTTCAGGCGTGACACTCAACAATGTGTATTTTCATGTAAGGGGACAAGAAAAAATTGACTTTTTTCTCCTACCATGGGGGGGCACTCTTTTGGGGAGTAAAAATTCCTTCACAAATGTGTTGATGGCTGGACATTGCATCATCCTAGAAAACTTGGAGGCCAGTGAGGACAAAAATAAAAAGTTATAAAACATTTAAGAATGTGGATTTTTGGGTTATTTTTGGCGCCCCCTAGAACCTAAACCATGGGGTGCAGCATCATGATTTGAATAACTTTTAATGGCCATGGGGTGTAGATTGGCCTGAGCAAATGTGGTGCCGGTGGAACGAAAGCCTTCGGAGGAGTTAGCGAAATTCCAATGTGTGCGTATCGGCAAAAAATGCGGAATAACCCTTTAACTGTACATTTGACAGATACGCGCGCATGGACTTTTTTGTAGATCTTATTGAGTTACACGTGTGTGTCAATTTTTGTGTCATTTTGACAAAGCGTATAGGCGTGACACTCAACAATGTGTATTTTCACCTTAGGGGACAAGAAAAAATGGACTTTTTTCTCCTGCCATGGGGGGGCGCTCTTTTGGGGAGTAAAAATTCCTTCACAAATGTGTTGATGGCTGGACATTGCATCATCCTAGAAAACTTGGAGGCCAGTGAGGACAAAAATAACTAGGACCCCGTTGGGGCACTGGCGGGCCCGAGCCGTGTCGCGTCTCCCCCCCCCCCCCAAACGTGCTGCCTCCCCGTCCCATTTGTGTCCTCTGGCCATCGCCCTCTCTGGTAACGCCCATCACTGCAAAGACCCTTTTCCTTCATCGGCGTTTGCTGTTCTTCCTGCCAGTGCGTGTTGCTTTCACTTACACTTGCCACAGCCAGCCTCGTGAGTGCCTAGCCTATTGGATATCACTGTCACCTACACAGGACAGTCATTACCTTTCTATTAATACTTTGTGTTTTAATTTCACATTAATTTCCATATTGTATAAACGACTGGAAAAAACTTGAGCCCCTGCCCCTGTATAATCATGTGCATGTCTCTGTTCTAGCTCCAAGGTGAATCTTCACTGCTCATGTTCTCCTCAGAAGCACTCACCTCACTCCCCTCAGGTTACTGTACACATGCACCAACTGCCTGCTTCAGGTTTGGATGGAGCTTCATGGTTGTCTTTTGGAGAAATTACCAGTCAAGTTGTGTTTGAAATTTGATTTTTTTCAGGGGCAAAAGGAGCCTCTGCATTCTTGTCAAATATGTAAATAGCATGTTTTTGCAGGTGCTAAAAAAAGACTCTGAGTGTGTGTGTGTGTGTATCCTGCAGTACTCTGAGAAGAATAATAAGCATATTTCTGAGGTGAATTTTGAAGATTCATCTGAGAGTTAGGAGGGCTGATCATTCCCTTACCCTTTAGATGTCTATCTATGTCTGTTTTTGTGTGATAATGAAAGAATCCCAACTCAAAAAGGCTCTGTTGATGTTTTTTTTTTGTTGTTGTTCATTCATATTCAAACCACTATTTTATATCACTGCTAATACGCCAAGACCATTTTATGGAATTTAGCTTTATTATTTCTATACATTTTGCAAGGAAAGAAACCAAGGCCTTCACTAAAATTTCCATAAACTTTAGGAAAGGACCTCTGGTTGTTTAACGGGGTCATTACTGCAAAAACATATTCTTCCTAAATTTTGAAGGTCAAACCTTAGATCCATTAGGTTTAAATAGAAAAAGCATTAAAATATGTTAGGATTATAGCATATGACAAATATGTGCCTTTCAGTGGCCACAACTACTTTATCTGCTGGCTCTGCAGTCGATTGACGCTCCCCAGCATTCAAGTCACATTACATATTTAACCGGATGTAGCTGCAAGACGAAGCCTCGTTGACTCTCCGTTTCAACTTATCTCAAAAGTGAGGACCTCAACCTATATACCAGTTTTTAAATTGTGTTGATAGGCCAAATAAAACCAGAGTTATGATAAATTATGTCCGCGATACTTTTTTTCTGCTTATTTTGATCACGTTCGGCGCTCGATCGCGCTGTATGAGACAGGAAAACATAGCATGCAGACATTAGCGACAGGTCTTACAGGCGGAAAAGGCTTGCCAAAGGAAAAAAAAAACACACCACAACATCTCTCCTATTGGTGGAAAACTTCACCACAACAACCAATCCAAAATTATATGGTGACTGATTGACAAGGGGCGGGCGCTTACGTTCTTCCTGCAATATGAGAAGGGAGGGAGGGACTCTCAGCAGGGATGCAGTCTGGGACACGTAGTTGCAAACCTAGCGACTTTGTTGTTAGATTCAATGACTTTTCAGACCCCCTAACGACGTTTTTTTAGAAAGAAAGTGACTTTTATCGACTTCTTCTGGAGTTTAGAGACTCTGACATGAAGCAGGCTTTCCTTACTGAGGAGTTAGCAACGCTGCTAAGGGTGCAGAGCCACACATGCGCTCCGAGCTCTGCATGGGAGACTGAAGCTGACAGAGCTGCAGCAGTTAGCAGGTTTCACCCTCAGAGACCACCAGGGGTTCATGTTGAGGCATTTTCAGTTTTTTTTTTTTTTTGCCATAGACACTGTCAGCACAATCTGCAGTTACACTAACAAAAATGCTGCAAAAAACAAAGAATTATGGAAAAATTACACATGGACTGACATAGAGGAGGATCTACACAAGTTTTTTACATCATGTTTTACATCATGCATCATTTACATCATGTTTTTTTGTAGTGGCATAAATAAAAAAGTGACATTTGTGAGACTATACAGTGTTTTGTAAATAATTTTACAAAGAACACCTGGGCCATTGCCTGCATTTTGATGTAAATAGAGGTAAATTACTATGTTCTTTGTTAAAAATTTGCATATGTTTTGAAGTTTACAATTTTTATTTGAAGTTTAAGTTTTAAAAACAGTTCATCACACATATTTGTGGTTTTCACAGTAAAAACGTTACTTTTTTCCACTCGGATTTTATGTTTTGTGTGTGAATTTGGGTCCAATGTGTAAATATAGTATGTCAAAATGATAAAATAACTGTAAATTGACACAGGTGAGGTTGTGCTGAAAAAAATGATACCAGGCAAGGCAAGGTAAAAATTTTGTAAGAGGAAATATAAAGGTAAAATCTAAAGTAGTCAAAAACGGCCAATAGTGACTCACAGACTCCACAGACAAGTCCCTTTGGCGCCACTCAGTGGGCAAAACTACTTTGTCTACTGTAATGTATATTTGGGTCATCTTTGGCGCCCCCTAAAACGTAAAACGTGGGGTGCCGCGTCATGATTTTTACAACTTTGAATGGCCATGGAGTGTAGATTGGCCTGAGCAAATTTGGTGTCAGTGGGACGAAAGCCTTAGGAGGAGTTAGCGAAATTCCAATATGTGCGAATCGGCAAAAAATGCAAAATAGCCCTTTTACCGTACATTATACAGATACGCGCTCTTGACTTTTTCGTAGATCTAATTGAGATACACATGATTGTCAATTTTTGTGTCATTTTGCCAAAGCGTACAGGCGTGACAGTCAACAATGTGTATTTTCACCTTAGGGGACAAGAAAAAATGGACTTTTTTCTCCTGCCATGGGGGGGCGCTCTTTTAGGGAGTAAAAATTCCTTCACAAATGTGTTGATGGCTGGACATTGCATCATCCTAGAAAACTTGGAGGCCAGTGAGGACAAAAATAAAAAGTTATAAGACTTTTAAAAATTTGGATTTTTGGGTTATCTTTGGCGCCCCCTAGAACGTAAACCGTGGGGTGCAGCGTCATGATTTGAATAACTTTTAATGGCCATGGGGTGTAATTTGGCCTGAGCAAATGTGGTGCCGGTGGAACGAAAGCCTTCGGAGGAGTTAGCGAAATTCCAATGTGTGCGAATCGGCAAAAAATGCGGAATAACCCTTTAACCGTACATTTGACAGATACGCGCCCATTGACTTTTTTGTAGATCTTATTGAGATACATGTGTGTGTCAATTTTTGTGTCATTTTGACAAAGCGTACAGGCGTGACACTCAACAATGTGTATTTTCACCTTAGGGGACAAGAAAAAATGGACTTTTTTCTCCTGCCATGGGGGGGCGCTCTTTTGGGGAGTAAAAATTCCTTCACAAATGTGTTGATGGCTGGACATTGCATCATCCTAGAAAACTTGGAGGCCAGTGAGGACAAAAATAAAAAGTTATAAGACTTTGAAATATGTGGATTTTAGTGTTATCTTTGGCGCCCCCTAGAACCTAAACCGTGGGGTGCAGCGTCATGATTTGAATAACTTTTAATGGCCATGGGGTGTAGATTGGCCTGAGCAAATGTGGTGCCGGTGGAACGAAAGCCTTCGGAGGAGTTAGCGAAATTCCAATGTGTGCGGATCGGCAAAAAATGCGCAATAACCCTTTAACCGTACATTTGACAGATACGCCCGCACTGACTTTTTTGTAGATCTTATTGAGATACATGTGTGTGTCAATTTTTGTGTCATTTTGACAAAGCGTACAGGCGTCAGGTGAATTTTTCACCTTAGGGGGCGCTATGGAGCCATTTTGCATTTTCTTGTTTGGGCGACTTCGGAATATCAAATTTTTCACCAGGCCCGGTCGTCCTGCCAAATTTCATGAGTTTTCGCCAGTGGGAAGTGGGCCATTTTCCAGTTCAAAGGGGAGGAAAAATAATAACTAGGACCCCGGTGGGGCACTGTCGGGCCCGAGCCGCGTCGCGCCGCCCCCAGCGCGACCGCCTCCCCCTCCCGATCGCGTCACACTCAAGGTCCAAAGATGGTGTGCGCACTTGTCTGTGGTCATTTCCCATTATAATGAATGGGAGGCGCAGTTTCTACCAAAACACTCGCTGCAGACAAACTACATGTCCTATTTGAAAAAAGTCTGGACCATGAGTGAGGGCACAAACACAGCTAGGATATACCAAACGGCAAGTTGCTCCTCGTTACGGTGTTGCCGGGAGAGTTATGCGATTGAGCCATTGAGCGATGGGCAGGAAAAACTTGACTTTTTCTCCTGCCATGGGGGGGGGGGGGGGGGGGGAGAATGTGGATTCTTTTAAGAATGTGGATTTTTTGGTCATCTTTGGCGCCCCCTAGAACGTAAACCGTGGGGTGCAGCGTCATGATTTTTACAACTTTGAATGGCCATGGGGTGTAGATTGGCCTGAGCAAATTTGGTTTCAGTGGGACGAAAGCCTTAGGAGGAGTTAGCCACATTCCAATGTGTGCGAATCGGCAAAAAATGCAAAATAGCCCTCTAACCGTACATTTGACAGATACGCACCCATTGACTTTTTCGTAGATCTTATTGAGATACACGTGATTGTCAAATTTTGTGTCAATATGACAAAGCGTACAGGTGTCACACTCAACAATGTGAATTTTCACCTTAGGGGACAAGAAAAAATTGACTTTTTTCTCCTGCCATGGGGGGCGCTCTTTTGAGGAGTAAAAATTCCTTCACAAATGTGTTGATGGCTGGACATTGCATCATCCTAGAAAACTTGGAGGCCAGTGAGGACAAAAATAAAAAGTTATAAGACTTTGAAATATGTGGATTTTAGGGTTATCTTTGGCGCCCCCTAGAACCTAAACCGTGGGGTGCAGCGTCATGATTTGAATAACTTTTAATGGCCATGGGGTGTAGATTGGCCTGAGCAAATGTGGTGCCGGTGGAACGCCAGCCTTAGGAGGAGTTAGCCACATTCCAATGTGTGCGGATCGGCAAAAAATGCGGAATAACCCTTTAACCGTACATTTGACAGATACGCGCGCATTGACTTTTTCGTAGATCTTATTGAGTTACATGTGTGTGTCAATTTTTGTGTCATTTTGACAAAGCGTACAGGCGTGACACTCAACAATGTGTATTTTCACCTTAGGGGACAAGAAAAAATGGACTTTTTTCTCCTGCCATGGGGGGGCGCTCTTTTGGGGAGTAAAAATTCCTTCACAAATGTGTTGATGGCTGGACATTGCATCATCCTAGAAAATTTGGAGGCCAGTGAGGACAAAAATAAAAAGTTATAAGACTTTTAAATATGTGGATTTTAGGGTTATCTTTGGCGCCCCCTAGAACCTAAACCGTGGGGTGCAGCGTCATGATTTGAATAACTTTTAATGGCCACGGGGTGTAGATTGGCCTGAGCAAATGTGGTGCCGGTGGAACGAAAGCCTTCGGAGGAGTTAGCGAAATTCCAATGTGTGCGGATCGGCAAAAAATGCGAAATAACCCTTTAACCGTAATTTTGACAGATACGGCCGCACTGACTTTTTTGTAGATCTTATTGAGATACATATGTGTATCAATTTTTGTGTCAATATGACAAAGCGTACAGGCGTGACAGTGAATAGTGTGAATTTACACCTTAGGGGGCGCTATGGAGCCATTTTGCATTTTATTGTTTGGGCGACTTCAGAATATCGAATTTTTCACCAGGCCCGGTCGTCCTGCCAAATTTCATGAGTTTTCGCCAGTGGGAAGTGGGCCATTTTCCAGTTCAAAGGGGAGGAAAAATAATAATAATAATAATAACAAAAGAAGGAAACTACAGGAACAAGAGGGCTCTCGCAGCTGCTTAGCAGCTACGCTCGGGCCCTAACTAGGACCCCGTTGGGGCACTGGCGGGCCCGAGCCGTGTCGCGTCTCCCCCCCCAACGTGCTGCCTCCCCGTCCCATTTGTGTCCTCTGGCCATCGCCCTCTCTGTTAACGCCCATCACTGCAAAGACCCTTTTCCTTCATCGGCGTTTGCTGTTCTTCCTGCCAGTGCGTGTTGCTTTCACTTACACTTGCCACAGCCAGCCTCGTGAGTGCCTAGCCTATTGGATATCACTGTCACCTACACAGGACAGTCATTACCTTTCTATCAATACTTTGTGTTTTAATTTCACATTAATTTCCATATTGTATAAACGACTGGAAAAAACTTGAGCCCCTGCCCCTGTATAATCATGTGCATGTCTCTGTTCTAGCTCCAAGGTGAATCTTCACTGCTCATGTTCTCCTCAGAAGCACTCACCTCACTCCCCTCAGGTTACTGTACACATGCACCAACTGCCTGCTTCAGGTTTGGATGGAGCTTCATGGTTGTCTTTTGGAGAAATGACCAGTCAAGTTGTGTTTGAAATTTGATTTTTTTCAGGGGCAAAAGGAGCCTCTGCATTCTTGTCAAATATGTAAATAGCATGTTTTTGCAGGTGCTAAAAACCAGACTCTGAGTGTGTGTGTGTGTGTGTGTGTGTGTGTGTGTGTGTGTGTGCGTGTGTGTGTGTCTATGTGTGCGTTCAAGTCACATGACATATTTAACCGGATGTAGCTGCAAGACGGAGCCTTGTTGACTCTCCGTTTCAACTTATCTCAAAAGTGAGGACCTCAACCTATATACCAGTTTTTAAATTGTGTTGATAGGCCAAATAAAACCAGAGTTATGATAAATTATGTCCGCGATACTTTTTTTCTGCTTATTTTGATCACGTTCGGCGCTCGATCGCGCTGTATGAGACAGGAAAACATAGCATGCAGACATTAGCGACAGGTCTTACAGGCGGAAAAGGCTTGCCAAAAGAAAAAAAAAAACACACCACAACATCTCTCCTATTGGTGGAAAACTTCACCACAACAACCAATCCAAAATTATATGGTGACTGATTGACAAGGGGCGGGCGCTTACGTTCTTCCTGCAACATGAGAAGGGAGGGAGGGACTCTCAGCAGGGATGCAGTCTGGGACACGTAGTTGCAAACCTAGCGACTTTGTTGTTAGATTCAATGACTTTTCAGACACCCTTACGACTTTTTTTTAGAAAGAAAGGGACTTTTATCGACTTCTTCTGGAGTTTAGAGACTCTGACATGAAGCAGGCTTTCCTTACAGAGGAGTTAGCAACGCTGCTAAGGGTGCAGAGCCACACATGCGCTCAGAGCTCTGCATGGGAGACTGAAGCTGACAGAGCTGCAGCAGTTAGAAGGTTTCACCCTCAGAGACCACCAGGGGTTCATGTTGAGGCATTTTAATTTTTTTTTTTTTTTGTGCCATAGACACTGTCAGCACAATCTGCAGTTACACTAACAAAAATGCTGCAAAAAACAAAGAATTATGGAAAAATTACACATGGACTGACATAGAGGAGGATCTACACAAGTTTTTTACATCATGTTTTACATCATGCATCATTTACATCATGTTTTTTTGTAGTGGCATAAATAAAAAGTGACATTTGTGAGACTATACAGTGTTTTGTAAATAATTTTACAAAGAACGCCTGGGCCATTGCCTGCATTTTGATGTAAATAGAGGTAAATTACTATGTTCTTTGTTAAAAATTTGCATATGTTTTGAAGTTTACAATTTTTATTTGAAGTTTAAGTTTTAAAAACAGTTCATCACACATATTTGTGGTTTAATTTCACATTAATTTCCATATTGTATAAATGACTGGAAAAAACTTGAGCCCCTGACCCTGTATAATCATGTGCACGTCCCTGTTCTAGCTCCAAGGTGAATCTTCACTGCTCATGTTCTCCTCAGAAGCACTCACCTCACTCCCCTCAGGTTACTGTACACATGCACCAACTATCTGCTTCAGGTTTGAAATGGAGCTTCATGGTTGTCTTTTGGAGAAATGAACAGTCAAGTTGTGTTTGAAATTTGATTTTTTTCAGGGGCAAAAGGAAGCCTCTGCATTCTTGTCAAATATGTAAACAGCATGTTTTTGCAGGTGCTAAAAAACAGACTCTGAGTGTGTGTGTGTGTCTGTGTGTGTGTGTGTATGTTGGCGTGTGTGTATATGTGTGTGTATCCTGCAGTACTCTGTACTCCTGCAGTGGCCAAAAAGACTTTTAAGAATGTGGATTTTTGGGTCATCTTTGGCGCCCCCTAGAACTGCAGTACTCTGTACTCCTGCAGTGGCCAAAATGACTTTTAAGAATGTGGATTTTTGGGTCATATTTGGCGCCCCCTAGAACGTAAACCGTGGGGTGCAGCGTCATGATTTTTACAACTTTGAATGGGCATGGGGTGTAGATTGCCCTGAGCAAATTTGGTATCGGTGGGACGAAAGCCTTAGGAGGAGATAGCCACATTCCAATGTGTGCGAATCGGCAAAAAATGCAAAATAGCCCTTTAACCGTACATTATACAGATACGCGCTCTTTGACTTTTTCGTAGATCTAATTGAGATACACATGATTGTCAATTTTTGTGTCAATATGACAAAGCGTTCAGGCGTGACACTCAACAATGTGTATTTTTATGTAAGGGGACAAGAAAAAATTGACTTTTTTCTCCTACCATGGGGGGGCGCTCTTTTGGGGAGTAAAAATTCCTTCACAAATGTGTTGATGGCTGGACATTGCATCATCCTAGAAAACTTGGAGGCCAGTGAGGACAAAAATAAAAAGTTATAAAACATTTAAGAATGTGGATTTTTGGGTTATTTTTGGCGCCCCCTAGAACCTAAACCATGGGGTGCAGCATCATGATTTGAATAACTTTTAATGGCCATGGGGTGTAGATTGGCCTGAGCAAATGTGGTGCCGGTGGAACGAAAGCCTTCGGAGGAGTTAGCGAAATTCCAATGTGTGCGTATCGGCAAAAAATGCGGAATAACCCTTTAACTGTACATTTGACAGATACGCGCGCATGGACTTTTTTGTAGATCTTATTGAGTTACATGTGTGTGTCAATTTTTGTGTCATTTTGACAAAGCGTATAGGCGTGACACTCAACAATGTGTATTTTCACCTTAGGGGACAAGAAAAAATTGACTTTTTTCTCCTGCCATGGGGGGGCGCTCTTTTGGGGAGTAAAAATTCCTTCACAAATGTGTTGATGGCTGGACATTGCATCATCCTAGAAAACTTGGAGGCCAGTGAGGACAAAAATAAAAAGTTATAAGACTTTTAAATATGTGGATTTTAGTGTTATCTTTGGCGCCCCCTAGAACCTAAACCTTGGGGTGCAGCGTCATGATTTTGATAACTTTTAATGGCCACGGGGTGTAGATTGGCCTGAGCAAATGTGGTGCCGGTGGAACGAAAGCCTTCGGAGGAGTTAGCGAAATTCCAATGTGTGCGGATCGGCAAAAAATGCGAAATAACCCTTTAACCGTAATTTTGACAGATACGGCCGCACTGACTTTTTTGTAGATCTTATTGAGATACATATGTGTGTCAATTTTTGTGTCAATATGACAAAGCGTACAGGCGTGACAGTCAATAGTGTGAATTTCCACCTTAGGGGGCGCTATGGAGCCATTTTGCATTTTATTGTTTGGGCGACTTCAGAATATCGAATTTTTCACCAGGCCCGGTCGTCCTGCCAAATTTCATGAGTTTTCGCCAGTGGGAAGTGGGCCATTTTCCAGTTCAAAGGGGAGGAAAAAGAAGAAAGAAAGAAAGAAACAAAGAAAAACCACTTGGGGAATAATAGGGCCTACGCCCGGCTGCTCTGCAGCTGGCTCGGGCCCTAACTAGGGCCCCGGTGGGGCACTGGCGGGCCCGAGCCGTGTCACGCCGCCCCCAGCGCGACCGCCTACCCCTCCCGATCGCGTCACACTCAAGGTCCAAAGATGGTGTGCGCACTTGTCTGTGGTCATTTACCATTATAATGAATGGGAGGCGCAGTTTCTACCTAAACGCTCGCTGCAGACAAACTCCATGTCCTTTTTGAAAAAAGTCTGGACCATGAGTGAGGGCACAAACACAGCTAGTATATATCCAAATGGCAAGTTGCTCCTCCTTTCGGTTTTGCCGAGAGAGCGATGCGTTTGAGCCATTGAGCGATGGGCAGGAAAAACTTGACTTTTTCTCCTGCCATGGGGGGCGCTCTTTTGGGGAGAAAAAATTCCTTCACAAATGTGTTGATGGCTGGACATTGCATCATCCTAGAAAACTTGGAGGCCAGTGAGGACAAAAATAAAAAGTGATAAGACTTTAAAAATGTGGATATTTGGGTCCTCTTTGGCGCCCCCTAGAACGTAGACCATGGGGTGCAGCGTCATGATTTTTACAACTTTGAATGGCCATGGGGTGTAGATTGGCCTGAGCAAATTTGGTGTCAGTGGGACGAAAGCCTTAGGAGGAGTTAGCCACATTCCAATGTGTGCGAATCGGCAAAAAATGCGAAATAGCCCTTTAACCGTACATTTTACAGATACGCGCGCATTGACTTTTTCGTAGATCTTATTGAGATACACGTGATTGTCAAATTTTGTGTCAATATGACAAAGCGTACAGGCGTGACATTCAACAATGTGTATTTTCACCTTAGGGGACAAGAAAAAATTGACTTTTTTCTCCTGCCATGGGGGGGCGCTCTTTTGGGGAGTAAAAATTCCTTCACAAATGTGTTGATGGCTGGACATTGCATCATCCTAGAAAACTTGGAGGCCAGTGAGGGCAAAAATAAAAAGTTATAAAACTTTTAAGAATGTGGATTTTAGGGTTATTTTTGGCGCCCCCTAGAACGTAAACCATGGGGTGCAGCATCATGATTTGTACAACTTTGAATGGCCATGGGGTGTAGATTGGCCTGAGCAAATGTGGTGCCGGTGGACCGAAAGCCTTCGGAGGAGTTAGCGAAATTCCAATGTGTGCGGATCTGCAAAAAATGCGAAATAACCCTTTAACCGTAATTTTGAAGGATACGCCCGCACTGACTTTTTTGTAGATCTTATTGAGATACATGTGTGTGTCAATTTTTGTGTCAATATGACAAAGCGTACAGGCGTGACAGTCAATAGTGTGAATTTTCACCTTAGGGGGCGCTATGGAGCCATTTTGTATTTTATTGTTTGGGCGACTTCAGAATATCGAATTTTTCACCAGGCCCGGTCGTCCTGCCAAATTTCCTGAGTTTTCGCCAGTGGGAAGTGGGCCATTTTCCAGTTTAAAGCGGAGGAAAAATAATAATAACTAGGGCCCCGTTGGGGCACTGGCGGGCCCGAGCTGTGTCACGCCGCCCCCAACACGACCGCCTCTCCCTCCCGATCGCGTCACACTCAAGGTTCAACGATGGTGTGCGCACTTGTCTGTGGTCATTTACCATTATAATGAATGGGAGGCGCAGTTTCTACCAAAACGCTTGCTGCAGACAAACTACATGTCCTATTTGAAAAAAGTCTGGACCATGAGTGAGGGCACAAACACAGCTAGGATATATCCAAATGGCAAGTTCCTCCTCCTTTCGTTTTTTTCCGAGAGAGCGATGTGTTTGAGCCATTGAGCGATGGGCAGGAAAAACTTGACTTTTTCTCCTGCCATGGGGGGGCACTCTTTTAGGGAAAAAAAATTCCTTCACAAATGTGTTGATGGCTAGACATTGCATCATCCTAGAAAACTTTGAAGCCAGTGAGGACAAAAATGAAAAGTTATAAGACTTTTAAGAATGTGGATCTTGGGTTATCTTTGGCGACCCCTAGAACGTAAACCGTGGGGTGCAGCATCATGATTTGTACAACTTTTAATGGCCATGGGGTGTAGATTGGCCTGAGCAAATTTGGTGCCGGTGGAACGAAAGCTTTAGGAGGAGTTAGCCACATTCCAATGTGTGCGAATCAACCAAAAATGCGAAATAGCCCTTTAACCGTACATTTTGCAGACACGTGCGCATTGACTTTTTCGTAGATCTTATTGAGATACACGTGATTATCAAATTTTGTTTCAATATGACAAAGCGTACAGGCGTGACACTCAACAATGTGTATTTTCACCTTATAGGACAAGAAAAAATGGCCTTTTTTCTCCTGCCATGGGGGGGCGCGCTTTTGGGGAGTAAAAATTCCTTCACAAATGTGTTGATGGCTGGACATTGCATCATCCTAGAAAACTTGGAGGCCAGTGAGGACAGAAATAAAAAGTTATAAGACTTGTAAGAATGTGGATTTTTGGGTTATCTTTGGCGCCCCCTACAACGTAAACCGTGGGGTGCAGCGTCATGATTTGTACAACTTTGAATGGCCATGGGGTGTAGATTGGCCTGAGCAAATTTGGTGCCGGTGGAACGAAAGCCTTCGGAGGAGTTAGCGAAATTCCAATGTGTGCGGATCGGCAAAAAATGCGAAATAGCCCTTTAACTGTACATTTGACAGATACGCCCGCACTGACTTTTTTGTAGATCTTATTGAGATACACGTGTGTGTCAAATTTTGTGTCATTTTGACAAAGCGTACAGGCGTGACACTCAATCATGTGAATTTTTCACCTTAGGGGGCGCTATGGAGCCATTTTGCATTTGATTGTTTGGGTGACTTCAGAATATCGAATTTTTCACCAGGCCCGGTCGTCCTGCCAAATTTCATGAGTTTTCACCAGTGGGAAGTGGGCCATTTTCCAGTTCAAAGGGGCAGAAAAATAATAACTAGGACCCCGTTGGGGCACTGGCGGGCCCGAGCCGTGTCGCGTCTCCCCCCCCCCCCCCCCCCCCCAACGTGCTGCCTCCCCGTCCCATTTGTGTCCTCTGGCCATCGCCCTCTCTGTTAACGCCCATCACTGCAAAGACCCTTTTCCTTCATCGGCGTTTGCTGTTCTTCCTGCCAGTGCGTGTTGCTTTCACTTACACTTGCCACAGCCAGCCTCGTGAGTGCCTAGCCTATTGGATATCACTGTCACCTACACAGGACAGTCATTACCTTTCTATTAATACTTTGTGTTTTAATTTCACATTAATTTCCATATTGTATAAACGACTGGAAAAAACTTGAGCCCCTGCCCCTGTATAATCATGTGCATGTCTCTGTTCTAGCTCCAAGGTGAATCTTCACTGCTCATGTTCTCCTCAGAAGCACTCACCTCACTCCCCTCAGGTTACTGTACACATGCACCAACTGCCTGCTTCAGGTTTGGATGGAGCTTCATGGTTGTCTTTTGGAGAAATGACCAGTCAAGTTGTGTTTGAAATTTGATTTTTTTCAGGGGCAAAAGGAGCCTCTGCATTCTTGTCAAATATGTAAATAGCATGTTTTTGCGGGTGCTAAAAACCAGACTCTGAGTGTGTGTGTGTGTGTGTGTGTGTGTGTGTGTGTGTGTGCGTGTGTGTGTGTCTATGTGTGCGTTCAAGTCACATGACATATTTAACCGGATGTAGCTGCAAGACGGAGCCTCGTTGACTCTCCGTTTCAACTTATCTCAAAAGTGAGGACCTCAACCTATATACCAGTTTTTAAATTGTGTTGATAGGCCAAATAAAACCAGAGTTATGATAAATTATGTCCGCGATACTTGTTTTCTGCTTATTTTGATCACGTTCGGCGCTCGATCGCGCTGTATGAGACAGGAAAACATAGCATGCAGACATTAGCGACAGGTCTTACAGGCGGAAAAGGCTTGCCAAAAGAAAAAAAAAACACACCACAACATCTCTCCTATTGGTGGAAAACTTCACCACAACAACCAATCCAAAATTATATGGTGACTGATTGACAAGGGGCGGGCGCTTACGTTCTTCCTGCAACATGAGAAGGGAGGGAGGGACTCTCAGCAGGGATGCAGTCTGGGACACGTAGTTGCAAACCTAGCGACTTTGTTGTTAGATTCAATGACTTTTCAGACCCCCTAACGACTTTTTTTTAGAAAGAAAGGGACTTTTATCGACTTCTTCTGGAGTTTAGAGACTCTGACATGAAGCAGGCTTTCCTTACTGAGGAGTTAGCAACGCTGCTAAGGGTGCAGAGCCACACATGCGCTCCGAGCTCTGCATGGGAGACTGAAGCTGACAGAGCTGCAGCAGTTAGCAGGTTTCACCCTCAGAGACCAGAGTTTTTTTGTAGTGGCATAAATAAAAAGTGACATTTGTGAGACTATACAGTGTTTTGTAAATAATTTTACAAAGAACGCCTGGGCCATTGCCTGCATTTTGATGTAAATAGAGGTAAATTACTATGTTCTTTGTTAAAAATTTGCATATGTTTTGAAGTTTACAATTTTTATTTGAAGTTTAAGTTTTAAAAACAGTTCATCACACATATTTGTGGTTTAATTTCACATTAATTTCCATATTGTATAAATGACTGGAAAAAACTTGAGCCCCTGCCCCTGTATAATCATGTGCACGTCCCTGTTCTAGCTCCAAGGTGAATCTTCACTGCTCATGTTCTCCTCAGAAATAGTCACCTCACTCCCCTCAGGTTACTGTACACATGCACCAACTATCTGCTTCAGGTTTGAAATGGAGCTTCATGGTTGTCTTTTGGAGAAATGAACAGTCAAGTTGTGTTTGAAATTTGATTTTTTTCAGGGGCAAAAGGAAGCCTCTGCATTCTTGTCAAATATGTAAACAGCATGTTTTTGCAGGTGCTAAAAAACAGACTCTGAGTGTGTGTGTGTGTCTGTGTGTGTGTGTGTGTGTGTGTGTGTGTGTGTGTGTGTGTGTGTGTGTGTATGTTGGCGTGTGTGTATATGTGTGTGTATCCTGCAGTACTCTGTACTCCTGCAGTGGCCAAAAAGACTTTTAAGAATGTGGATTTTTGGGTCATCTTTGGCGCCCCCTAGAACTGCAGTACTCTGTACTCCTGCAGTGGCCAAAATGACTTTTAAGAATGTGGATTTTTGGGTCATCTTTGGCGCCCCCTAGAACGTAAACCGTGGGGTGCAGCGTCATGATTTTTACAACTTTGAATGGCCATGGGGTGTAGATTGGCCTGAGCAAATTTGGTATCGGTGGGACGAAAGCCTTAGGAGGAGATAGCCACATTCCAATGTGTGCGAATCGGCAAAAAATGCAAAATAGCCCTTTAACCGTACATTATACAGATACGCGCTCTTTGACTTTTTCGTAGATCTAATTGAGATACACATGATTGTCAATTTTTGTGTCAATATGACAAAGCGTTCAGGCGTGACACTCAACAATGTGTATTTTTATGTAAGGGGACAAGAAAAAATTGACTTTTTTCTCCTACCATGGGGGGGCGCTCTTTTGGGGAGTAAAAATTCCTTCACAAATGTGTTGATGGCTGGACATTGCATCATCCTAGAAAACTTGGAGGCCAGTGAGGACAAAAATAAAAAGTTATAAAACATTTAAGAATGTGGATTTTTGGGTTATTTTTGGCGCCCCCTAGAACCTAAACCATGGGGTGCAGCATCATGATTTGAATAACTTTTAATGGCCATGGGGTGTAGATTGGCCTGAGCAAATGTGGTGCCGGTGGAACGAAAGCCTTCGGAGGAGTTAGCGAAATTCCAATGTGTGCGTATCGGCAAAAAATGCGGAATAACCCTTTAACTGTACATTTGACAGATACGCGCGCATGGACTTTTTTGTAGATCTTATTGAGTTACATGTGTGTGTCAATTTTTGTGTCATTTTGACAAAGCGTATAGGCGTGACACTCAACAATGTGTATTTTCACCTTAGGGGACAAGAAAAAATGGACTTTTTTCTCCTGCCATGGGGGGGCGCTCTTTTGGGGAGTAAAAATTCCTTCACAAATGTGTTGATGGCTGGACATTGCATCATCCTAGAAAACTTGGAGGCCAGTGAGGACAAAAATAAAAAGTTATAAGACTTTTAAATATGTGGATTTTAGTGTTATCTTTGGCGCCCCCTAGAACCTAAACCTTGGGGTGCAGCGTCATGATTTTGATAACTTTTAATGGCCACGGGGTGTAGATTGGCCTGAGCAAATGTGGTGTCGGTGGAACGAAAGCCTTCGGAGGAGTTAGCGAAATTCCAATGTGTGCGGATCGGCAAAAAATGCGAAATAACCCTTTAACCGTAATTTTGACAGATACGGCCGCACTGACTTTTTTGTAGATCTTATTGAGATACATATGTGTGTCAATTTTTGTGTCAATATGACAAAGCGTACAGGCGTGACAGTCAATAGTGTGAATTTCCACCTTAGGGGGCGCTATGGAGCCATTTTGCATTTTATTGTTTGGGCGACTTCAGAATATCGAATTTTTCACCAGGCCCGGTCGTCCTGCCAAATTTCATGAGTTTTCGCCAGTGGGAAGTGGGCCATTTTCCAGTTCAAAGGGGAGGAAAAAGAAGAAAGAAAGAAAGAAAGAAAGAAAGAAAGAAAGAAAGAAACAAAGAAAAACCACTTGGGGAATAATAGGGCCTACGCCCGGCTGCTCTGCAGCTGGCTCGGGCCCTAATAAGAAGAAGAAAGAAGAATCCATCAGGAATAATAGGGCTCTCGCAGCTGCTTAGCAGCTACGCTCGGGCCCTAATAATAATAACACTAGGGCCCCGTTGGGGCACTGGCGGGCCCGAGCCGCGGTGCGCCGCCCCCAGCGCGACCGCCTCCCTGTCCCATTCACGTCCTCTGGCTGTCGCCCTCTCTGGTTACGCCCATCACTGCAAAGACCCTTTTCCTTCATCTGTGTTAGCTGGTCTTCCTGCCAGTGCATGTTGCTTTCACTTACACTTGCCACAGCCAGCCTTGTGAGTGCCTAGCCTATTGGATATCACGGTCACCTACACAGGACAGTCATTACCTTTCTATTAATACTTTGTTTTTAATTTCACATTAATTTCCATATTGTATAAACGACTGGAAAAAACGTGAGCCCCTGCCCCTGTATAATCATGTGCACGTCCCTGTTCTAGCTCCAAGGTGAATCTTCACTGCTCATGTTCTCCTCAGAAGCAGTCACCTCACTCCCCTCAGGTTACTGTACACATGCACCAACTGCCTGCTTCAGGTTTGGATGGAGCTTCATGGTTGTCTTTTGGAGAAATGAGCAGTCAAGTTGTGTTTGAAATTTGATTTTTTTCAGGGGCAAAAGGAGCCTCTGCATTCTTGTCAAATATGTAAATAGCATGTTTTTGCAGGTGCTAAAAAAAGACTCTGAGTGAGTGTGTGTGTGTGTGTGTGTGTGTGTGTGTGTGTGTGTGTGTGTGTGTGTGTGTGTGTGTGTGTGTGTGTGTGTGTGTGTGTGTATCCTGCAGTACTCTGAGAAGAATAAGCATATTTCTGAGGTGAATTTTGAAGATTCATCTGAGAGTCAGGAGGGCTGATCATTCCCTTACCCTTTCGATGTCTGTCTATGTCTGTTTTTGTGTAATAATGAAAGAATCCCAACACAAAAAGGCTCTGTTGATGTTTTTTTTTGTTGTTCATTCATATTCAAACCACTATTTTATATCACTGCTAATACGCCAAGACCATTTTATGGTATTTAGCTTTATTATTTCTATGCATTTTGCAAGGACAGAAACCAAGGCCTTCACTAAAATTTCCATAAACTTTAGGAAAGGACCTCTGGTTGTTTAAGGGGGTCATTACTGCAAAAACATATTCTTCCTAAATTTTGAAGGTCAAACCTTAGATCCATTAGGTTTAAATAGAAAAAGCATTAAAATATGTTAGGATTATAGCATATGACAAATGTGTGCCTCTCAATGGCCATAAGTACTTTGTCTGCTGGCTCTGCAGTCGATTGACGCTCCCCAGCGTTCAAGTCACATGACATATTTAACCGGATGTAGCTGCAAGATGGAGCCTCGTTGACTCTCCGTTTCAACTTATCTCCAAAGTGAGGACCTTAAACTATATACCAGTTTTTAAATTGTGTTGATAGGCCAAATAAAACCAGAGTTATGATAAATTATGTCTGCGATACTTTTTTTCTGCTTATTTTGATCACGTTCGGCGCTCGATCGCGCTGTATGAGACAGGAAAACATAGCATGCAGACATTAGCGACAGGTCTTACAGGCGGAAAAGGCTTGCCAAAAGAAAAAAAAAACACACCACAACATCTCTCCTATTGGTGGAAAACTTCACCACAACAACCAATCCAAAATTATATGGTGACTGATTGACAAGGGGCGGGCGCTTACGGTCTTCCTGCAACATGAGAAGGGAGGGAGGGACTCTCAGCAGGGATGCAGTCTGGGACACGTAGTTGCAAACCTAGCGACTTTGTTGTTAGATTCAATGACTTTTCAGACCACCTAACGCCTTTTTTTTTTTAGAAAGAAAGGGACTTTTATCGACTTCTTCTGGAGTTTAGAGACTCAGGCATGAAGCAGGCTTTCCTTACTGAGGAGTTAGCAACGCTGCTAATGGTGCAGAGCCACACATGTGCTCCGAGCTCTGCATGAAGCTGACAGATCTGCAGCAGTTAGCAGGTTTCACCCTCAGAGACCACCAGGGGTTCATGTTGAGGCATTTTCAGTTTTGTTTTTTTTTTGCCATAGACACTGTCAGCACAATCTGCAGTTACACTAACAAAAATGCTGCAAAAAACAAAGAATTATGGAAAAATTACACATGGACTAACATAGAGGAGGATCTACACAAGTTTTTTACATCATGTTTTACATCATGCATCATTTACATCATGATTTTTTGTAGTGGCTTAAATATAAGTGACATTTGTGAGACTATACAGTGTTTTGTAAATAATTTTACAAAGAACGCCTGGGCCATTGCCTGCATTTTGATGTAAATAGAGGTAAATTACTATGTTCTTTGTTAAAAATTTGCATATGTTTTGAAGTTTACAATTTTTATTTGAAGTTTAAGTTTTAAAAACAGTTCATCACACATATTTGTGGTTTTCACAGTTAAAATGTTACTTTTTTCCACTCGGAATTTATGTTTTGTGTGTGAATTTGGGTCCATTGTGTAAATACAGTATGTCAAAATGATAAAATAACTGTAAATTCACACAGGTGAGGTTGTGCTGAAAAAAATGATACCAGGCAAGGCAAGGTAAAAAAAATTTAAGAGGAAATATAAAGGTAAAATCAAAAGTAGTCAAAAACGGCCAATAGTGACTCCCAGACTCAATAGACAAGTCCCTTTGGCGCCACTCAGTGGGCAAAACTACTTTGTCTGCTGTAATGTATATTTGGGTCATCTTTGGCGCCCCCTAGAACGTAAACCGTGGGGTGCAGCGTCATGATTTTTACAACTTTGAATGGCCATGGGTTGTAGATTGGCCTGAGCAAATTTGGTGTCAGTGGGACGAAAGCTGTAGGACGAGTTAGCCACATTCCAATGTGTGCGAATCAGCAAAAAATGCAAAATAGCCCTTTAACCGTACATTTTACAGATACGTGCGCATTGACTTTTTCGTAGATCTTATTGAGATACATGTGTGTGTCAATTTTTGTGTCAATATGGCAAAGCGTACAGGCGTGACAGTCAACAATGTGTATTTTCACCTTAGGGGGCGCTATGGAGCCATTTTGCATTTTATTCTTTGGGCGACTTCAGAATATCGAATTTTTCACCAGGCCCGGTCGTCCTGCCAAATTTCATGAGTTTTCGCCAGTGGGAAGTGGGCCATTTTCCAGTTTAAAGCGGAGGAAAAATAATAATAATAACTAGGGCCCCGTTGGGGCACTGGCGGGCCCGAGCCGTGTCGCGCTGCCCCCCCCAACGCGCTGCCTCCCCGTCCCATTCGCGTCCTCTGGCCATCGCCCTCTCTGGTAACGCCCCTCACTGCAAAGACCCTTTCCTTCATCGGCGTTTGCTGTTCTTCCTGCCAGTGCGTGTTGCTTTCACTTACACTTGCCACAGCCAGCCTCGTGAGTGCCTAGCCTATTGGATATCAATGTCATCTACACAGGACAGTCATAACCTTTCTATTAATACTTTGTTTTTTAATTTCACATTTATTTCCATATTGTATAAATGACTGGAAAAAACTTGAGCCCCTGCCCCTGTATAATCATGTGCACGTCCCTGTTCTAGCTCCAAGGTGAATCTTGACTGCTCATGTTCTCCTCAGAAGCAGTCACCTCACTCCCCTCAGGTTACTGTACACATGCACCAACTACCTGCGTCAGGTTTGGATGGAGCTTCATGGTTGTCTTTTGGAGAAATGAGCAGTCAAGTTGTGTTTGAAATTTCATTTTTTTCAGGGGCAAAAGGAAGTCTCTGCATTGTTGTCAAATATGTAAATAGCATGTTTTTGCAGGTGCTGAAAAACAGACTCTGAGTGTGTATGTGTGTGTGTGTGTGTGTGTGTGTGTGTGTGTGTGTGTGTGTGTGTGTGTGCGTGTGTGTGTGTGTGTCTGTGTGTGTGTGTGTCTGTGTGTGTGTATCCTGCAGTACTCTGTACTCCTGCAGTGGCCAAAACGACTTTTAAGAATGTGGATATTTGGGTCATCTTTGGCGCCCCCTAGAACGTAAACCATGGGGTGCAGCGGCATGATTTTTACAACTTTGAATGGCCATGGGGTGTAGATTGGCCTGAGCAAATTTGGTGTCAGTGGGACGAAAGCCTTAGGAGGAGTTAGCCACATTCCAATGTGTGCGAATCGGCAAAAAATGCGAAATAGCCCTTTAACCGTACATTTTACAGATATGCGCGCATTGACTTTTTCGTAGATCTTATTGAGATACACGTGTGTGTCAAATTTTTTGTCAATATGACAAAGCGTACAGGCGTGAATCTCAACAATGTGTATTTTCACCTTAGGGGACAAGAAAAAATTGACTTTTTTGTCCTGCCATGGGGGGGCGCTCTTTTGGGGAGTAAAAATTCCTTCACAAATGTGTTGATGGCTGGACATTGCATCATCCTAGAAAACTTGGAGGCCAGTGAGGACAAAAATAAAAAGTTATAAAACTTTTAAGAATGTGGATTTTTGGGTTATTTTTGGCGCCCCCTAGAACCTAAACCATGGGGTGCAGCATCATGATTTGTACAACTTTGAATGGCCATGGAGTGTAGATTGGCCTGAGCAAATGTGGTGCCGGTGGAACGAAAGCCTTCGGAGGAGTTAGCGAAATTCCAATGTGTGCGGATCGGCAAAAAATGCGAAATAACCCTTTAACCGTACATTTGACAGATATGCCCGCACTGACTTTTTTGTAGATCTTATTGAGATACATGTGTGTGTCAATTTTTGTGTCAATATGACAAAGCGTACAGGCGTGACAGTCAATAGTGTGAATTTTCACCTTAGGGGGCGCTATGGAGCCATTTTGCATTTTATTGTTTGGGTGACTTCAGAATATCGAATTTTTCACCAGGCCCGGTCGTCCTGCCAAATTTCATGAGTTTTCGCCAGTGGGAAGTGGGCCATTTTCCAGTTTAAAGCGGAGGAAAAATAATAACTAGGGCCCCGTTGGGGCACTGGCGGGCCCGAGCCTGTCGCGCCGCTCCCAGCGCGACCACCTACCCCTCCCGATAGCGTCACACTAAAGGTCCAAAGATGGTGTGCGCACTTGTCTGTGGTCATTTACCATTATAATAATGGGAGGCGCAGTTTCTACCAAAACGCTCGCTGCAGACAAACTCCATGTCCTTTTTGAAAATAGTCTGGACCATGAGTGAGGGCACAAACACAGCTAGTATATACCCAAATGGCAAGGTGCTCCTCCTTTCGGTTTTGCCGAGAGAGCGATGAATTTGAGCCATTGAGCGATCGGCAGGAAAAACTTGACTTTTTCTCCTGCCATGGGGGGGCGCTCTTTTGGGGAAAAAAAATTCCTTCACAAATGTGTTGATGACTGAACATTGCATCATCCTAGAAAACTTGGAGGCCAGTGAGGACAAAAATAAAGTTATAAGACTTTTAAAAATGTGGATATTTGGGTCATCTTTGGCGCCCCCTAGAACGTAAACCGTGGGATGCAGCGTCATGATTTGTACAACTTTGAATGGCCATGGGGTGTAGATTGGCCTGAGCAAATTTGGTGTCAGTGGAACGAAAGCCTTAGGAGGAGTTAGCCACATTCCAATGTGTGCGAATCGGCAAAAAATGCGAAATAGCCCTTTAACTGTACATTTTACAGATACGCGCACATTGACTTTTTCGTAGATCTTATTGAGATACACGTGATTGTCAAATTTTGTGTCAATATGACAAAGCGTACAGGCGTGACACTCAACAATGTGTATATTCGCCTTAGGGGACAAGAAAAAATGGACTTTTTTCTCCTGCCATGGGGGGGCGCTCTTTTGGCGAGTAAAAATTCCTTCACAAATGTGTTAATTGCTGGACATTGCATCATCCTAGAGAACTTGGAGGCCAGTGAGGACAAAAATAAAAAGTTATAAGACTTTTAAGACTGTGGATTTTTGGGTTATCTTTGGCGCCCCCTAGAACGTAAACCGTGGGGTGCAGCGTCATGATTTGTACAACTTTTAATGGCCATGGGGTGTAGATTGGCCTGAGCAAATGTGGTGCCAGTGGAACGAAAGCCTTCGGAGGAGTTAGCGAAATTCCAATGTGTGCGGATCGGCAAAAAATGCGAAATAACCCTTTAACCGTACATTTGACAGATACGCCCGCGCTGACTTTTTTGTAGATCTTATTGAGATACATGTGTGTGTCAATTTTTGTGTCAATATGACAAAGCGTACAGGCGTCAGGTGAGTTTTCACCATAGGGGGCGCTATGGAGCCATTTTTCATTTTTTTGTTTGGGCGACTTCAGAATATCGAATTTTTCACCAGGCCCGGTCGTCCTGCCAAATTTCCTGAGTTTTCGCCAGTGGGAAGTGGGCCATTTTCCAGTTTAAAGCGGAGGAAAAATAACGAAAGAAGAATCCATCAGGAACAAGAGGGCTCTCGCAGCTGCTTAGCAGCTACGCTCGGGCCCTAACTAGGGCCCCGTTGGGGCACTGGCGGGCCCGAGCTGTGTCGCGCCGCCCCCAACACGACCGCCTCTCCCTCCCGATCGCGTCACACTCAAGGTCCAAAGATGGTGTGCACACTTGTCTGTGGTCATTTACCATTATAATGAATGGGAGGCGCAGTTTCTACCAAAACGCTCGCTGCAGACAAACTGTCCTATTTGAAAAAAGTCTGGACCATGAGTGAGGGCACAAACACAGCTAGGATATATCCAAATGGCAAGTTTCTCCTCCTTTCGGTTTTGCCGAGAGAGCGATGTGTTTGAGCCGTTGAGCGATGGGTAGGAAAAACTTGACTTTTTCTCCTGCCATGGGGGGGCACTCTTTTAGGGAGTAAAAATTCCTTCACAAATGTGTTGATGGCTGGACATTGCATCATCCTAGAAAACTTGGAGGCCAGTGAGGACAAAAATAAAAAGTTATAAGACTTTTAAATATGTGGATTTTAGGGTTATCTTTGGCGCCCCCTAGAACCTAAACCGTGGGGTGCAGCGTCATGATTTGAATAACTTTTAATGGCCATGGGGTGTAGATTGGCCTGAGCAAATGTGGTGCCGGTGGAACAAAAGCCTTCGGAGGAGTTAGCGAAATTCCAATGTGTACGGATCGCCAAAAAATGCGAAATAGCCCTTTAACCGTACATTTGACAGATACGCCCGCATTGACTTTTTCGTAGATATTATTGAGATACACCTGTGTGCCAAATTTTGTGTCATTTTGACAAAGTGTAGAGGCGTGACACTCAACAATGTGTATTTTCACCTTAGGGGACAAGAAAAAATGGACTTTTTTCTCCTGCCATGGGGGGGCGCTCTTTTGGGGAGTAAAAATTCCTTCACAAATGTGTTGATGGCTGGACATTGCATCATCCTAGAAAACTTGGAGGCCAGTGAGGACAAAAATAAAAAGTTATAAGACTTTTAAATATGTGGATTTTCGGGTTATCTTTGGCGCCCCCTAGAACCTAAACCGTGGGGTGCAGCGTCATGATTTGAATAACTTTTAATGGCCATGGGGTGTAGATTGGCCTGAGCAAATGTGGTGCCGGTGGAACAAAAGCCTTCGGAGGAGTTAGCGAAATTCCAATGTGTACGGATCGCCAAAAAATGCGAAATAGCCCTTTAACCGTACATTTGACAGATACGCCGGCATTGACTTTTTCGTAGATCTTATTGAGACACACCTGTGTGCCAAATTTTGTGTCATTTTGACAAAGTGTAGAGGCGTGACACTCAACAATGTGTATTTTCACCTTAGGGGACAAGAAAAAATGGACTTTTTTCTCCTGCCATGGGGGGGCGCTCTTTTGGGGAGTAAAAATTCCTTCACAAATGTGTTGATGGCTGGACATTGCATCATCCTAGAAAACTTGGAGGCCAGTGAGGACAAAAATAAAAAGTTATAAGACTTTTAAATATGTGGATTTTTGGGTTATCTTTGGCGCCCCCTAGAACCTAAACCGTGGGGTGCAGCGTCATGATTTGAATAACTTTTAATGGCCATGGGGTGTAGATTGGCCTGAGCAAATGTGGTGCCGGTGGAACAAAAGCCTTCGGAGGAGTTAGCGAAATTCCAATGTGTACGGATCGCCAAAAAATGCGAAATAGCCCTTTAACCGTACATTTGACAGATACGCCCGCATTGACTTTTTCGTAGATCTTATTGAGACACACCTGTGTGCCAAATTTTGTGTCATTTTGACAAAGTGTAGAGGCGTGACACTCAACAATGTGTATTTTCACCTTAGGGGACAAGTAAAAATGGACTTTTTTCTCCTGCCATGGGGGGGCGCTCTTTTGGGGAGAAAAAATTCCTTCACAAATGTGTTGATGGCTGGACATTGCATCATCCTAGAAAACTTGGAGGCCAGTGAGGACAAAAATAAAAAGTTATAAGACTTTGAAATATGTGGATTTTCGGGTTATCTTTGGCGCCCCCTAGAACCTAAACCGTGGGGTGCAGCGTCATGATTTGAATAACTTTTAATGGCCATGGGGTGTAGATTGGCCTGAGCAAATGTGGTGCCGGTGGAACAAAAGCCTTCGGAGGAGTTAGCGAAATTCCAATGTGTACGGATCGCCAAAAAATGCGAAATAGCCCTTTAACCGTACATTTGACAGATACGCCGGCATTGACTTTTTCGTAGATCTTATTGAGACACACCTGTGTGCCAAATTTTGTGTCATTTTGACAAAGTGTAGAGGCGTGACACTCAACAATGTGTATTTTCACCTTAGGGGACAAGAAAAAATGGACTTTTTTCTCCTGCCATGGGGGGGCGCTCTTTTGGGGAGTAAAAATTCCTTCACAAATGTGTTGATGGCTGGACATTGCAACATCCTAGAAAACTTGGAGGCCAGTGAGGACAAAAATAAAAAGTTATAAGACTTTGAAATATGTGGATTTTAGGGTTATCTTTGGCGCCCCCTAGAACCTAAACCGTGGGGTGCAGCGTCATGATTTGAATAACTTTTAATGGCCATGGGGTGTAGATTGGCCTGAGCAAATGTGGTGCCGGTGGAACAAAAGCCTTCGGAGGAGTAAGCGAAATTCCAATGTGTACGGATCGCCAAAAAATGCGAAATAGCCCTTTAACCGTACATTTGACAGATACGCCCGCACTGACTTTTTTGTAGATCTTATTGAGATACATGTGTGTGTCAAATTTTGTGTCAATATGACAAAGCGTACAGGCGTGACACTCAACAATGTGTATTTTCACCTTAGGGGACAGGAAAAAATGGACTTTTTTCTCCTGCCATGGGGGGGCGCTCTTTTGGGGATTAAAAATTCCTTCACAAATGTGTTGATGGCTGGACATTGCATCATCCTAGAAAACTTGGAGGCCAGTGAGGGCAAAAATAAAAAGTTATAAGACTTTTAAATATGTGGATTTTAGGGTTATCTTTGGCGCCCCCTAGAACCTAAACCGTGGGGTGCAGCATCATGATTTGAATAACTTTTAATGGCCATGGGGTGTAGATTGGCCTGAGCAAATGTGGTGCCGGTGGAACGAAAGCCTTCGGAGGAGTTAGCGAAATTCCAATGTGTGCGGATCGGCAAAAAATGCGGAATAACCCTTTAACCGTACATTTGACAGATACGCCCGCACTGACTTTTTTGTAGATCTTATTGAGATACATGTGTGTGTCAATTTTTGTGTCAATATGACAAAGCGTAAAGGCGTGACAGTCAATAGTGTGAATTTTCACCTTAGGGGGCGCTATGGAGCCATTTTGCATTTTCTTGTTTGGGCGACTTCGGAATATCAAATTTTTCACCAGGCCCGGTCATCCTGCCAAATTTCATGAGTTTTCGCCAGTGGGAAGTGGGCCATTTTCCAGTTCAAAGGGGAGGAAAAAGAAGAACTAGGGCCCCGTTGGGGCACTGGCGGGCCCGAGCCATGTTGCGCCGCCCCCAGCGGGACCGCCTCCCCCTCCCGATCCCGTCACACTCAAGGTCCAAAGATGGTGTGCGCACTTGTCTGTGGTCATTTACCATTATAATGGATGGGAGGCGCAGTTTCTACCAAAACGCTCGCTGCAGACAAACTCCAGGCCCTTTTTGAAAAAAGTCTGGACCATGAGTGAGGGCACAAACACAGCTAGTATATATCCAAATGGCAAGTTAGCCTTAGGAGGAGTTAGCCACATTCCAATGTGTGCGAATCGGCAAAAAATGCAAAATAGCCGTTTAGCCGTACATTTTACAGATACTTGCACATTGACTTTTTCGTAGATCTTATTGAGATACACGTGTGTGTCAAATTTTTTGTCAATATGACAAAGCGTACAGGCGTGAATCTCAACAATGTGTATTTTCACCTTAGGGGACAAGAAAAAATTGACTTTTTTGTCCTGCCATGGGGGGGCGCTCTTTTGGGGAGTAAAAATTCCTTCACAAATGTGTTGATGGCTGGACATTGCATCATCCTAGAAAATTGGAAAAATTATATGGTGACTGATTGACAAGGGGCGGGCGCTTACGTTCTTCCTGCAACATGAGAAGGGAGGGAGGGACTCTCAGCAGGGATGCAGTCTGGGACACGTAGTTGCAAACCTAGCGACTTTGTTGTTAGATTCAATGACTTTTCAGACCCCCTAACGACTTTTTTTTAGAAAGAAAGGGACTTTTATCGACTTCTTCTGGAGTTTAGAGACTCTGACATGAAGCAGGCTTTCCTTACTGAGGAGTTAGCAACGCTGCTAAGGGTGCAGAGCCACACATGCGCTCCGAGCTCTGCATGGGAGACTGAAGCTGACAGAGCTGCAGCAGTTAGCAGGTTTCACCCTCAGAGACCACCAGGGGTTCATGTTGAGGCATTTTAATTTTTTTTTTTTTTTTGTGCCATAGACACTGTCAGCACAATCTGCAGTTACACTAACAAAAATGCTGCAAAAAACAAAGAATTATGGAAAAATTACACATGGACTGACATAGAGGAGGATCTACACAAGTTTTTTACATCATGTTTTACATCATGCATCATTTACATCATGTTTTTTTGTAGTGGCATAAATAAAAAGTGACATTTGTGAGACTATACAGTGTTTTGTAAATAATTTTACAAAGAACGCCTGGGCCATTGCCTGCATTTTGATGTAAATAGAGGTAAATCACTATGTTCTTTGTTAAAAATTTGCATATGTTTTGAAGTTTACAATTTTTATTTGAAGTTTAAGTTTTAAAAACAGTTCATCACACATATTTGTGGTTTTCACAGTAAAAATGTTACTTTTTTCCACTCGGATTTTATGTTTTGTGTGTGAATTTGGGTCCATTGTGTAAATTCAGTATGTCAACATGATAAAATAACTGTAAATTCGCACAGGTGAGGTTGTGCTGAAAAAAAATGATACCAGGCAAGGCACGTGATTGTCAAATTTTGTGTCAATATGACAAAGCGTATAGGCGTGAATCTCAACAATATGTATTTTCACCTTAGGGGACAAGAAAAAATGGACTTTTTTCTCCTGCCATGGGGGGCGCTCTTTTGGGGAGTAAAAATTCCTTCACAAATGTGTTGATGGCTGGACATTGCATCATCCTAGAAAACTTGGAGGCCAGTGAGGACAAAAATAAAAAGTTATAAGACTTTTAAATATGTGGATTTTAGGGTTGTCTTTGGCGCCCCCTAGAACCTAAACCGTGGGGTGCAGCGTCATGATTTGAATAACTTTTAATGGCCATGGGGTGTAGATTGGCCTGAGCAAATGTGGTGCCGGTGGACAGAAAGCCTTCGGAGGAGTTAGCGAAATTCCAATGTGTGCGGATCGGCAAAAAATGCGGAATAACCCTTTAACCGTACATTTGACAGATACGCGCGCATTGACTTTTTCGTAGATCTTATTGAGTTACATATGTGTGTCAATTTTTGTGTCATTTTGACAAAGCGTATAGGCGTGACACTCAACAATGTGTATTTTCACCTTAGGGGACAAGAAAAAATGGACTTTTTTCTCCTGCCATGGGGGGGCGCTCTTTTGGGGAGTAAAAATTCCTTCACAAATGTGTTGATGGCTGGACATTGCATCATCCTAGAAAACTTGGAGGCCAGTGGGGACAAAAATAAAAAGTTATAAGACTTTGAAATATGTGGATTTTACGGTTATCTTTGGCGCCCCCTAGAACCTAAACCTTGGGGTGCAGCGTCATGATTTGAATAACTTTTAATGGCCATGGGGTGTAGATTGGCCTGAGCAAATGTGGTGCCGGTGGAACGAAAGCCTTCGGAGGAGTTAGCGAAATTCCAATGTGTGCGGATCGGCAAAAAATGCGGAATAACCCTTTAACCGTACATTTGACAGATACGCGCGCATTGACTTTTTCGTAGATCTTATTGAGTTACATGTGTGTGTCAATTTTTGTGTCATTTTGCCAAAGCGTACAGGTGTTACACTCAACAATGTGTATTTTCACCTTAGGGGACAAGAAAAAATGGACTTTTTTCTCCTGCCATGGGGGGGCGCTCTTTTGGGGAGTAAAAATTCCTTCACAAATGTGTTGATGGCTGGACATTGCATCATCCTAGAAAACTTGGAGGCCAGTGAGGACAAAAATAAAAAGTTATAAGACTTTTAAATATGTGGATTTTAGGGTTGTCTTTGGCGCCCCCTAGAACCTAAACCGTGGGGTGCAGCGTCATGATTTGAATAACTTTTAATGGCCATGGGGTGTAGATTGGCCTGAGCAAATGTGGTGCCGGTGGACAGAAAGCCTTCGGAGGAGTTAGCGAAATTCCAATGTGTGCGGATCGGCAAAAAATGCGGAATAACCCTTTAACCGTACATTTGACAGATACGCGCACATTGACTTTTTCGTAGATCTTATTGAGATACATGTGTGTGTCAATTTTTGTGTCATTTTGACAAAGCGTATAGGCGTGACACTCAACAATGTGTATTTTCACCTTAGGGGACAAGAAAAAATGGACTTTTTTCTCCTGCCATGGGGGGGCGCTCTTTTGGGGAGTAAAAATTCCTTCACAAATGTGTTACTGGCTGGACATTGCATCATCCTAGAAAACTTGGAGGCCAGTGAGGACAAAAATAAAAAGTTATAAGACTTTTAAATATGTGGATTTTAGTGTTATCTTTGGCGCCCCCTAGAACCTAAACCTTGGGGTGCAGCGTCATGATTTTGATAACTTTTAATGGCCACGGGGTGTAGATTGGCCTGAGCAAATGTGGTGCCGGTGGAACGAAAGCCTTCGGAGGAGTTAGCGAAATTCCAATGTGTGCGGATCGGCAAAAAATGCGTAATAACCCTTTAACCGTAATTTTGACAGATACGGCCGCACTGACTTTTTTGTACATCTTATTGAGATACATATGTGTGTCAATTTTTGTGTCAATATGACAAAGCGTACAGGCGTGACAGTCAATAGTGTGAATTTCCACCTTAGGGGGCGCTATGGAGCCATTTTGCATTTTATTGTTTGGGCGACTTCAGAATATCGAATTTTTCACCAGGCCCGGTCGTCCTGCCAAATTTCATGAGTTTTCGCCAGTGGGAAGTGGGCCATTTTCCAGTTCAAAGGGGAGGAAAAAGAAGAAAGAAAGAACTAGGGCCCCGTTGGGGCACTGGCGGGCCCGAGCCGTGTCACGCCGCCCCCAGCGCGACCGCCTCCCCCACCCGATCGCGTCACACTCAAGGTCCAAAGATGGTGTGCGCACTTGTTTGTGGTCATTTACCATTATAATGAACGGGAGGCGCAGTTTCTACCAAAACGCTCGCTGCAGAAAAACTCCATGTCCTATTTGAAAAAAGTCTGGACCATGAGTGAGGGCACAAACACAGCTAAGATATATCCAAATGGCAAGTTGCTCCTCCTTTCGCTTTTGCCGAGAGAGCAGTGCGTTTGAGCCATTGAATGATGAACAGGAAAAACTTGACTTTATTCTCCTGCCATGGGGGGGCGCTCTTTTAAAGAGAAAAAATTCCTTCACAAATGTGTTGATGGCTGGACATTGCATCATCCTAGAAAACATGGAGGCCAGTGAGGACAAAAATAAAAAGTTATAAGACTTTTAAATATGTGGATTTTAGGGTTATATTTGGCGCCCCCTAGAACCTAAACCGTGGGGTGCAGCGTCATGATTTGAATAACTTTTAATGGCCATGGGGTGTAGATTGGCCTGAGCAAATGTGGTGCCGGTGGAACGAAAGCCTTCGGAGGAATTAGCGAAATTCCAATGTGTGCGAATCTGCAAAAAATGCGAAATAACCCTTTAACCGTACATTTTACAGATACGTGGCCATTGACTTTTTCGAAGATCTTATGTAAATACACGTGTATGTAAAATTTTGTGTCAATACGACAAAACATACAGGCGTAGCACTCAACAATGTGTATTTTCACCTTAGTGGACAAGAAAAAATTGACTTTTTTCTCCTGCCATGGGGGGGCGCTCTTTTGGCGAGTAAAAATTCCTTCACAAATGTGTTGATGGCTGGACATTGCATCATCCTAGAAAACTTGGAGGCCAGTGGGGACAAAAATAAAAAGTTATAAGACTTTTAAATATGTGGATTTTACGGTTATCTTTGGCTCCCCCTAGAACCTAAACCGTGGGGTGCAGCGTCATGATTTGAATAACTTTTAATGGCCATGGGGTGTAGATTGGCCTGAGCAAATGTGGTGCCGGTGGAACGAAAGCCTTCGGAGGAGTTAGCGAAATTCCAATGTGTGCGGATCGGCAAAAAATGCGGAATAACCCTTTAACCGTACATTTGACAGATACGCGCGCATTGACTTTTTCGTAGATCTTATTGAGATACATGTGTGTGTCAATTTTTGTGTCATTTTGCCAAAGCGTACAGGTGTTACACTCAACAATGTGTATTTTCACCTTAGGGGACAAGAAAAAATGGACTTTTTTCTCCTGCCATGGGGGGGCGCTCTTTTGGGGAGTAAAAATTCCTTCACAAATGTGTTGATGGCTGGACATTGCATCATCCTAGAAAACTTGGAGGCCAGTGAGGGCAAAAATAAAAAGTTATAAGACTTTTAAATATGTGGATCTTAGGGTTATCTTTGGCGCCCCCTAGAACCTAAACCGTGGGGTGCAGCGTCATGATTTGAATAACTTTTAATGGCCATGGGGTGTAGATTGGCCTGAGCAAATGTGGTGCCGGTGGAACGAAAGCCTTCGGAGGAGTTAGCGAAATTCCAATGTGTGCGGATCGGCAAAAAATGCGAAATAACCCTTTAACCGTACATTTGACAGATACGCCCGCACTGACTTTTTTGTAGATCTTATTGAGATACATGTGTGTGTCAATTTTTGTGTCATTTTGACAAAGCGTACCGGCGTGACAGTCAATAGTGTGAATTTTCACCTTAGGGGGCGCTATGGAGCCATTTTGCATTTTCTTGTTTGGGCGACTTCGGAATATCAAATTTTTCACCAGGCCCGGTCGTCCTGCCAAATTTCATGAGTTTTCGCCAGTGGGAAGTGGGCCATTTTCCAGTTCAAAGGGGAGGAAAAATAATAATAATAATAACAAAAGAAGGAAACTACAGGAACAAGAGGGCTCTCGCAGCTGCTTAGCAGCTACGCTCGGGCCCTAAAGAACTAGGGCCCCGTTGGGGCACTGGCGGGCCCGAGCCGTGTCACGCCGCCCCCAGCGCGACCGCCTCCCCCACCCGATCGCGTCACACTCAAGGTCCAAAGATGGTGTGCGCACTTGTTTGTGGTCATTTACCATTATAATGAACGGGAGGCGCAGTTTCTACCAAAACGCTCGCTGCAGAAAAACTCCATGTCCTATTTGAAAAAAGTCTGGACCATGAGTGAGGGCACAAACACAGCTAAGATATATCCAAATGGCAAGTTGCTCCTCCTTTCGCTTTTGCCGAGAGAGCAGTGCGTTTGAGCCATTGAATGATGAACAGGAAAAACTTGACTTTATTCTCCTGCCATGGGGGGGCGCTCTTTTAAAGAGAAAAAACTCCTTCACAAATGTGTTGATGGCTGGACATTGCATCATCCTAGAAAACATGGAGGCCAGTGAGGACAAAAATAAAAAGTTATAAGACTTTTAAATATGTGGATTTTAGGGTTATATTTGGCGCCCCCTAGAACCTAAACCGTGGGGTGCAGCGTCATGATTTGAATAACTTTTAATGGCCATGGGGTGTAGATTGGCCTGAGCAAATGTGGTGCCGGTGGAACGAAAGCCTTCGGAGGAATTAGCGAAATTCCAATGTGTGCGAATCTGCAAAAAATGCGAAATAACCCTTTAACCGTACATTTTACAGATACGTGGCCATTGACTTTTTCGAAGATCTTATGTAAATACACGTGTATGTAAAATTTTGTGTCAATACGACAAAACATACAGGCGTAGCACTCAACAATGTGTATTTTCACCTTAGTGGACAAGAAAAAATTGACTTTTTTCTCCTGCCATGGGGGGGCGCTCTTTTGCCGAGTAAAAATTCCTTCACAAATGTGTTGATGGCTGGACATTGCATCATCCTAGAAAACTTGGAGGCCAGTGGGGACAAAAATAAAAAGTTATAAGACTTTTAAATATGTGGATTTTAGGGTTATTTTTGGCGCCCCCTAGAACCTAAACCGTGGGGTGCAGTGTCATGATTTGAATAACTTTTAATGGCCATGGGGTGTAGATTGGCCTGAGCAAATGTGGTGCCGGTGGAACGAAAGCCTTCGGAGGAGTTAGCGAAATTCCAATGTGTGCGGATCGGCAAAAAATGCGAAATAACCCTTTAACCGTACATTTGACAGATACGCCCGCACTGACTTTTTTGTAGATCTTATTGAGATACATGTGTGTGTCAATTTTTGTGTCAATATGACAAAGCGTAAAGGCGTGACAGTCAATAGTGTGAATTTTCACCTTAGGGGGCGCTATGGAGCCATTTTGCATTTTCTTGTTTGGGCGACTTCGGAATATCAAATTTTTCACCAGGCCCGGTCATCCTGCCAAATTTCATGAGTTTTCGCCAGTGGGAAGTGGGCCATTTTCCAGTTCAAAGGGGAGGAAAAATAATAACTAGGGCCCCGGTGGGGCACTGTCGGGCCCGAGCCGCGTCGCGCCGCCCCCAGTGCGACCGCCTCCCCGTCCCGATCGAGTCACACTCAAGAACCAAAGATGGTGTGCGCACTTGTCTGTGGTCATTTCCCATTATAATGAATGGGAGGCGCAGTTTCTACCAAAACACTCGCTGCAGACAAACTTCATGTCCTATTTGAAAAAAGTCTGGACCATGAGTGAGGGCACAAACACAGCTATGATATATCGAAATGCCAGGTTGCTCCTCCTTACGGTGTTGCCTGGAGAGCGATGCGATTGAGCCATTGAGCGATGGGCAGGAAAAACTTGACTTTTTCTCCTGCCATAGGGGGGATGTGGATTCTTTTAAGAATGTGGATTTTTGGGTCATCTTTGGCGCCCCCTAGAACGTAAACCGTGGGGTGCAGCGTCATGATTTTTACAACTTTGAATGGCCATGGGGTGTAGATTGGCCTGAGCAAATTTGGTGTCAGTGGGACGAAAGCCTTAGGAGGAGTTAGCCAAATTCCAATGTGTGCGAATCTGCAAAAAATGCGAAATAACCCTTTAACCGTACATTTTACAGATACGTGGCCATTGACTTTTTCGAAGATCTTATTGAAATACACGTGTATGTAAAATTTTGTGTCAATACGACAAAACATACAGGCGTAGCACTCAACAATGTGTATTTTCACCTTAGTGGACAAGAAAAAATTGACTTTTTTCTCCTGCCATGGGGGGGCGCTCTTTTGCCGAGTAAAAATTCCTTCACAAATGTGTTGATGGCTGGACATTGCATCATCCTAGAAAACTTGGAGGCCAGTGGGGACAAAAATAAAAAGTTATAAGACTTTTAAATATGTGGATTTTACGGTTATCTTTGGCGCCCCCTAGAACCTAAACCGTGGGGTGCAGCGTCATGATTTGAATAACTTTTAATGGCCATGGGGTGTAGATTGGCCTGAGCAAATGTGGTGCCGGTGGAACGAAAGCCTTCGGAGGAGTTAGCGAAATTCCAATGTGTGCGGATCGGCAAAAAATGCGGAATAACCCTTTAACCGTACATTTGACAGATACGCGCGCATTGACTTTTTCGTAGATCTTATTGAGATACATGTGTGTGTCAATTTTTGTGTCATTTTGCCAAAGCGTACAGGTGTTACACTCAACAATGTGTATTTTCACCTTAGGGGACAAGAAAAAATGGACTTTTTTCTCCTGCCATGGGGGGGCGCTCTTTTGGGGAGTAAAAATTCCTTCACAAATGTGTTGATGGCTGGACATTGCATCATCCTAGAAAACTTGGAGGCCAGTGAGGGCAAAAATAAAAAGTTATATGACTTTTAAATATGTGGATCTTAGGGTTATCTTTGGCGCCCCCTAGAACCTAAACCGTGGGGTGCAGCGTCATGATTTGAATAACTTTTAATGGCCATGGGGTGTAGATTGGCCTGAGCAAATGTGGTGCCGGTGGAACGAAAGCCTTCGGAGGAGTTAGCGAAATTCCAATGTGTGCGGATCGGCAAAAAATGCGAAATAACCCTTTAACCGTACATTTGACAGATACGCCCGCACTGACTTTTTTGTAGATCTTATTGAGATACATGTGTGTGTCAATTTTTGTGTCATTTTGACAAAGCGTACCGGCGTGACAGTCAATAGTGTGAATTTTCACCTTAGGGGGCGCTATGGAGCCATTTTGCATTTTCTTGTTTGGGCGACTTCGGAATATCAAATTTTTCACCAGGCCCGGTCGTCCTGCCAAATTTCATGAGTTTTCGCCAGTGGGAAGTGGGCCATTTTCCAGTTCAAAGGGGAGGAAAAATAATAATAATAATAACAAAAGAAGGAAACTACAGGAACAAGAGGGCTCTCGCAGCTGCTTAGCAGCTACGCTCGGGCCCTAAAGAACTAGGGCCCCGTTGGGGCACTGGCGGGCCCGAGCCGTGTCACGCCGCCCCCAGCGCGACCGCCTCCCCCACCCGATCGCGTCACACTCAAGGTCCAAAGATGGTGTGCGCACTTGTTTGTGGTCATTTACCATTATAATGAACGGGAGGCGCAGTTTCTACCAAAACGCTCGCTGCAGAAAAACTCCATGTCCTATTTGAAAAAAGTCTGGACCATGAGTGAGGGCACAAACACAGCTAAGATATATCCAAATGGCAAGTTGCTCCTCCTTTCGCTTTTGCCGAGAGAGCAGTGCGTTTGAGCCATTGAATGATGAACAGGAAAAACTTGACTTTATTCTCCTGCCATGGGGGGGCGCTCTTTTAAAGAGAAAAAACTCCTTCACAAATGTGTTGATGGCTGGACATTGCATCATCCTAGAAAACATGGAGGCCAGTGAGGACAAAAATAAAAAGTTATAAGACTTTTAAATATGTGGATTTTAGGGTTATATTTGGCGCCCCCTAGAACCTAAACCGTGGGGTGCAGCGTCATGATTTGAATAACTTTTAATGGCCATGGGGTGTAGATTGGCCTGAGCAAATGTGGTGCCGGTGGAACGAAAGCCTTCGGAGGAATTAGCGAAATTCCAATGTGTGCGAATCTGCAAAAAATGCGAAATAACCCTTTAACCGTACATTTTACAGATACGTGGCCATTGACTTTTTCGAAGATCTTATGTAAATACACGTGTATGTAAAATTTTGTGTCAATACGACAAAACATACAGGCGTAGCACTCAACAATGTGTATTTTCACCTTAGTGGACAAGAAAAAATTGACTTTTTTCTCCTGCCATGGGGGGGCGCTCTTTTGCCGAGTAAAAATTCCTTCACAAATGTGTTGATGGCTGGACATTGCATCATCCTAGAAAACTTGGAGGCCAGTGGGGACAAAAATAAAAAGTTATAAGACTTTTAAATATGTGGATTTTAGGGTTATTTTTGGCGCCCCCTAGAACCTAAACCGTGGGGTGCAGTGTCATGATTTGAATAACTTTTAATGGCCATGGGGTGTAGATTGGCCTGAGCAAATGTGGTGCCGGTGGAACGAAAGCCTTCGGAGGAGTTAGCGAAATTCCAATGTGTGCGGATCGGCAAAAAATGCGAAATAACCCTTTAACCGTACATTTGACAGATACGCCCGCACTGACTTTTTTGTAGATCTTATTGAGATACATGTGTGTGTCAATTTTTGTGTCAATATGACAAAGCGTAAAGGCGTGACAGTCAATAGTGTGAATTTTCACCTTAGGGGGCGCTATGGAGCCATTTTGCATTTTCTTGTTTGGGCGACTTCGGAATATCAAATTTTTCACCAGGCCCGGTCATCCTGCCAAATTTCATGAGTTTTCGCCAGTGGGAAGTGGGCCATTTTCCAGTTCAAAGGGGAGGAAAAATAATAACTAGGGCCCCGGTGGGGCACTGTCGGGCCCGAGCCGCGTCGCGCCGCCCCCAGTGCGACCGCCTCCCCGTCCCGATCGAGTCACACTCAAGAACCAAAGATGGTGTGCGCACTTGTCTGTGGTCATTTCCCATTATAATGAATGGGAGGCGCAGTTTCTACCAAAACACTCGCTGCAGACAAACTTCATGTCCTATTTGAAAAAAGTCTGGACCATGAGTGAGGGCACAAACACAGCTATGATATATCGAAATGCCAGGTTGCTCCTCCTTACGGTGTTGCCTGGAGAGCGATGCGATTGAGCCATTGAGCGATGGGCAGGAAAAACTTGACTTTTTCTCCTGCCATAGGGGGGATGTGGATTCTTTTAAGAATGTGGATTTTTGGGTCATCTTTGGCGCCCCCTAGAACGTAAACCGTGGGGTGCAGCGTCATGATTTTTACAACTTTGAATGGCCATGGGGTGTAGATTGGCCTGAGCAAATTTGGTGTCAGTGGGACGAAAGCCTTAGGAGGAGTTAGCCAAATTCCAATGTGTGCGAATCTGCAAAAAATGCGAAATAACCCTTTAACCGTACATTTTACAGATACGTGGCCATTGACTTTTTCGAAGATCTTATTGAAATACACGTGTATGTAAAATTTTGTGTCAATACGACAAAACATACAGGCGTAGCACTCAACAATGTGTATTTTCACCTTAGTGGACAAGAAAAAATTGACTTTTTTCTCCTGCCATGGGGGGCGCTCTTTTGCCGAGTAAAAATTCCTTCACAAATGTGTTGATGGCTGGACATTGCATCATCCTAGAAAACTTGGAGGCCAGTGGGGACAAAAATAAAAAGTTATAAGACTTTTAAATATGTGGATTTTACGGTTATCTTTGGCGCCCCCTAGAACCTAAACCGTGGGGTGCAGCGTCATGATTTGAATAACTTTTAATGGCCATGGGGTGTAGATTGGCCTGAGCAAATGTGGTGCCGGTGGAACGAAAGCCTTCGGAGGAGTTAGCGAAATTCCAATGTGTGCGGATCGGCAAAAAATGCGGAATAACCCTTTAACCGTACATTTGACAGATACGCGCGCATTGACTTTTTCGTAGATCTTATTGAGATACATGTGTGTGTCAATTTTTGTGTCATTTTGCCAAAGCGTACAGGTGTTACACTCAACAATGTGTATTTTCACCTTAGGGGACAAGAAAAAATGGACTTTTTTCTCCTGCCATGGGGGGGCGCTCTTTTGGGGAGTAAAAATTCCTTCACAAATGTGTTGATGGCTGGACATTGCATCATCCTAGAAAACTTGGAGGCCAGTGAGGGCAAAAATAAAAAGTTATATGACTTTTAAATATGTGGATCTTAGGGTTATCTTTGGCGCCCCCTAGAACCTAAACCGTGGGGTGCAGCGTCATGATTTGAATAACTTTTAATGGCCATGGGGTGTAGATTGGCCTGAGCAAATGTGGTGCCGGTGGAACGAAAGCCTTCGGAGGAGTTAGCGAAATTCCAATGTGTGCGGATCGGCAAAAAATGCGAAATAACCCTTTAACCGTACATTTGACAGATACGCCCGCACTGACTTTTTTGTAGATCTTATTGAGATACATGTGTGTGTCAATTTTTGTGTCATTTTGACAAAGCGTACAGGCGTGACAGTGAATAGTGTGAATTTTCACCTTAGGGGGCGCTATGGAGCCATTTTGCATTTTCTTGTTTGGGCGACTTCGGAATATCAAATTTTTCACCAGGCCCGGTCGTCCTGCCAAATTTCATGAGTTTTCGCCAGTGGGAAGTGGGCCATTTTCCAGTTCAAAGGGGAGGAAAAATAATAACTAGGACCCCGTTGGGGCACTGGCGGGCCCGAGCCGTGTCGCGTCCCCCCCCCCAACGCGCTGCCTCCCTGTCCCATTTGTGTCCTCTGGCCATCGCCCTCTCTGGTAACGCCCATCACTGCAAAGACCCTTTTCCTTCATCGGCGTTTGCTGTTCTTCCTGCCAGTGCGTGTTGCTTTCACTTACACTTGCCACAGCCAGCCTCGTGAGTGCCTAGCCTATTGGATATCACTGTCACCTACACAGGAGGTGAATTAATTATGTTAAGGTGAATCTTCACTGCTCATGTTCTCCTCAGAAGCACTCACCTCACTCCCCTCAGGTTACTGTACACATGCACCAACTGCCTGCTTCAGGTTTGGATGGAGCTTCATGGTTGTCTTTTGGAGAAATGACCAGTCAAGTTGTGTTTGAAATTTGATTTTTTTCAGGGGCAAAAGGAGCCTCTGCATTCTTGTCAAATATGTAAATAGCATGTTTTTGCAGGTGCTAAAAACCAGACTCTGAGTGTGTGTGTGTGCGTGTGTGTGTGTGTGTGTGTGTGTGTGTGTGCGTTCAAGTCACATGACATATTTAACCGGATGTAGCTGCAAGACGGAGCCTCGTTGACTCCGTTTCAACTTATCTCAAAAGTGAGGACCTCAACCTATATACCAGTTTTTAAATTGTGTTGATAGGCCAAATAAAACCAGAGTTATGATAAATTATGTCCGCGATACTTGTTTTCTGCTTATTTTGATCACGTTCGGCGCTCGATCGCGCTGTATGAGACAGGAAAACATAGCATGCAGACATTAGCGACAGGTCTTACAGGCGGAAAAGGCTTGCCAAAGGAAAAAAAAAACACACCACAACATCTCTCCTATTGGTGGAAAACTTCACCACAACAACCAATCCAAAATTATATGGTGACTGATTGACAAGGGGCGGGCGCTTACGTTCTTCCTGCAACATGAGAAGGGAGGGAGGGACTCTCAGCAGGGATGCAGTCTGGGACACGTAGTTGCAAACCTAGCGACTTTGTTGTTAGATTCAATGACTTTTCAGACCCCCTAACGACTTTTTTTTTAGAAAGAAAGTGACTTTTATCGACTTCTTCTGGAGTTTAGAGACTCTGACATGAAGCAGGCTTTCCTTACTGAGGAGTTAGCAACGCTGCTAAGGGTGCAGAGCCACACATGCGCTCCGAGCTCTGCATGGGAGACTAAAGCTGACAGAGCTGCAGCAGTTAGCAGGTTTCACCCTCAGAGACCACCAGGGGTTCATGTTGAGGCATTTTCAGTTTTTTTTTTTTTTTTTTTTTTTGCCATAGACACTGTCAGCACAATCTGCAGTTACACTAACAAAAATGCTGCAAAAAACAAAGAATTATGGAAAAATTACACATGGACTGACATAGAGGAGGATCTACACAAGTTTTTTACATCATGTTTTACATCATGCATCATTTACATCATGTTTTTTTGTAGTGGCATAAATAAAAAGTGACATTTGTGAGACTATACAGTGTTTTGTAAATAATTTTACAAAGAACACCTGGGCCATTGCCTGCATTTTGATGTAAATAGAGGTAAATTACTATGTTCTTTGTTAAAAATTTGTATATGTTTTGAAGTTTACAATTTTTATTTGAAGTTTAAGTTTTAAAAACAGTTCATCACACATATTTGTGGTTTTCACAGTAAAAACGTTACTTTTTTCCACTCGGATTTTATGTTTTGTGTGTGAATTTGGGTCCAATGTGTAAATATAGTATGTCAAAATGATAAAATAACTGTAAATTGACACAGGTGAGGTTGTGCTGAAAAAAATGATACCAGGCAAGGCAAGGTAAAAATTTTGTAAGAGGAAATATAAAGGTAAAATCTAAAGTAGTCAAAAACGGCCAATAGTGACTCACAGACTCCACAGACAAGTCCCTTTGGCGCCACTCAGTGGGCAAAACTACTTTGTCTACTGTAATGTATATTTGGGTCATCTTTGGCGCCCCCTAAAACGTAAACCGTGGGGTGCAGCGTCATGATTTTTACAACTTTGAATGGCCATGGAGTGTAGATTGGCCTGAGCAAATTTGGTGTCAGTGGGACGAAAGCCTTAGGAGGAGTTAGCGAAATTCCAATGTGTGCGAATCGGCAAAAAATGCAAAATAGCCCTTTTACCGTACATTATACAGATACGCGCTCTTTGACTTTTTCGTAGATCTAATTGAGATACACATGATTGTCAATTTTTGTGTCATTTTGCCAAAGCGTACAGGCGTGACACTCAACAATGTGTATTTTCACCTTAGGGGACAAGAAAAAATTGACTTTTTTCTCCTGCCATGGGGGGGCGCTCTTTTAGGGAGTAAAAATTCCTTCACAAATGTGTTGATGGCTGGACATTGCATCATCCTAGAAAACTTGGAGGCCAGTGAGGACAAAAATAAAAAGTTATAAGACTTTTAAAAATGTGGATTTTTGGGTTATCTTTGGCGCCCCCTAGAACGTAAACCGTGGGGTGCAGCGTCATGATTTGAATAACTTTTAATGGCCACGGGATGTAGATTGGCCTGAGCAAATTTGGTGTCAGTGGGACGAAGGCCTTAGGAGGAGTTAGCGAAATTCCAATGTGTGCGAATTGGCAAAAAATGCAAAATAGCCCTTTTACCGTACATTATACAGATACGCGCTCTTTGACTTTTTCGTAGATCTAATTGAGATACACATGATTGTCAATTTTTGTGTCATTTTGCCAAAGCGTACAGGCGTGACAGTCAACAATGTGTATTTTCACCTTAGGGGACAAGAAAAAATGGACTTTTTTCTCCTGCCATGGGGGGCGCTCTTTTAGGGAGTAAAAATTCCTTCACAAATGTGTTGATGGCTGGACATTGCATCATCCTAGAAAACTTGGAGGCCAGTGAGGACAAAAATAAAAAGTTATAAGACTTTTAAAAATGTGGATTTTTGGGTTATCTTTGGCGCCCCCTAGAACGTAAACCGTGGGGTGCAGCGTCATGATTTGAATAACTTTTAATGGCCATGGGGTGTAATTTGGCCTGAGCAAATGTGGTGCCGGTGGAACGAAAGCCTTCGGAGGAGTTAGCGAAATTCCAATGTGTGCGAATCGGCAAAAAATGCGGAATAACCCTTTAACCGTACATTAGACAGATACGCGCGCATTGACTTTTTCGAAGATCTTATTGAGATACATGTGTGTGTCAATTTTTGTGTCATTTTGACAAAGCGTATAGGCGTGACAGTCAACAATGTGTATTTTCACCTTAGGGGACAAGAAAAAATGGACTTTTTTCTCCTGCCATGGGGGGGCGCTCTTTTGGGGAGTAAAAATTCCTTCACACATGTGTTGATGGCTGGACATTGCATCATCCTAGAAAACTTGGAGGCCAGTGAGGGCAAAAATAAAAAGTTATAAGACTTTTAAAAATGTGGATTTTAGGGTTATCTTTGGCGCCCCCTAGAACCTAAACCGTGGGGTGCAGCGTCATGATTTGAATAACTTTTAATGGCCATGGGGTGTAGATTGGCCTGAGCAAATGTGGTGCCGGTGGAACGAAAGCCTTCGGAGGAGTTAGCGAAATTCCAATGTGTGCGGATCGGCAAAAAATGCGCAATAACCCTTTAACCGTACATTTGACAGATACGCCCGCACTGACTTTTTTGTAGATCTTTTTGAGATACATGTGTGTGTCAATTTTTGTGTCATTTTGACAAAGCGTACAGGCGTCAGGTGAATTTTTCACCTTAGGGGGCGCTATGGAGCCATTTTGCATTGTATTGTTTGGGCGACTTCAGAATATCAAATTTTTCACCAGGCCCGGTCGTCCTGCCAAATTTCATGAGTTTTCGCCAGTGGGAAGTGGGCCATTTTCCAGTTCAAAGGGGAGGAAAAAGAAAAAAGAAACAAAGAAAAACCACTTGGGGAATAATAGGGCTCTCGCAGCTGCTTAGCAGCTACGCTCGGGCCCTAATAATAATAACAAAAGAAGGAAACTACAGGAACAAGAGGGCTCTCGCAGCTGCTTAGCAGCTACGCTCGGGCCCTAATAACTAGGACCCCGTTGGGGCACTGGCGGGCCCGAGCCGTGTCGCAACGTGCTGCCTCCCCGTCCCATTTGTGTCCTCTGGCCATCGCCCTCTCTTGTAACGCCCATCACTGCAAAGACCCTTTTCCTTCATCGGCGTTTGCTGTTCTTCCTGCCAGTGCGTGTTGCTTTCACTTACACTTGCCACAGCCAGCCTCGTGAGTGCCTAGCCTATTGGATATCACTGTCACCTACACAGGACAGTCATTACCTTTCTATTAATACTTTGTGTTTTAATTTCACATTAATTTCCATATTGTATAAACGACTGGAAAAAACTTGAGCCCCTGCCCCTGTATAATCTTGTGCATGTCTCTGTTCTAGCTCCAAGGTGAATCTTCACTGCTCATGTTCTCCTCAGAAGCACTCACCTCACTCCCCTCAGGTTACTGTACACATGCACCAACTGCCTGCTTCAGGTTTGGATGGAGCTTCATGGTTGTCTTTTGGAGAAATGACCAGTCAAGTTGTGTTTGAAATTTGATTTTTTTTTCAGGGGCAAAGGGAGCCTCTGCATTCTTGTCAAATATGTAAATAGCATGTTTTTGCAGGTGCTAAAAACCAGACTCTGAGTGTGTGTGTGTGTGTGTGTGTGTGTGTGTGTGTGTGTGCGTGTGTGTGTGTCTGTGTGTGCGTTCAAGTCACATGACATATTTAACCGGATGTAGCTGCAAGACGGAGCCTCGTTGACTCTCCGTTTCAACTTATCTCAAAAGTGAGGACCTCAACCTATATACCAGTTTTTAAATTGTGTTGATAGGCCAAATAAAACCAGAGTTATGATAAATTATGTCCGCGATACTTTTTTTCTGCTTATTTTGATCACGTTCGGCGCTCGATCGCGCTGTATGAGACAGGAAAACATAGCATGCAGACATTAGCAACAGGTCTTACAGGCGGAAAAGGCTTGCCAAAAGAAAAAAAAAACACACCACAACATCTCTCCTATTGGTGGAAAACTTCACCACAACAACCAATCCAAAATTATATGGTGACTGATTGACAAGGGGAGGGCGCTTACGTTCTTCCTGCAACATGAGAAGGGAGGGAGGGACTCTCAGCAGGGATGCAGTCTGGGACACGTAGTTGCAAACCTAGCGACTTTGTTGTTAGATTCAATGACTTTTCAGACCCCCTAACGACTTTTTTTAGAAAGAAAGGGACTTTTATCGACTTCTTCTGGAGTTTAGAGACTCTGACATGAAGCAGGCTTTCCTTACTGAGGAGTTAGCAACGCTGCTAAGGGTGCAGAGCCACACATGCGCTCAGAGCTCTGCATGGGAGACTGAAGCTGACAGAGCTGCAGCAGTTAGCAGGTTTCACCCTCAGAGACCACCAGGGGTTCATGTTGAGGCATTTTAATTTTTTTTTTTTTTGTGCCATAGACACTGTCAGCACAATCTGCAGTTACACTAACAAAAATGCTGCAAAAAACAAAGAATTATGGAAAAATTACACATGGACTGACATACAGGAGGATCTACACAAGTTTTTTACATCATGTTTTACATCATGCATCATTTACATCATGTTTTTTTGTAGTGGCATAAATAAAAAGTGACATTTGTGAGACTATACAGTGTTTTGTAAATAATTTTACAAAGAACGCCTGGGCCATTGCCTGCATTTTGATGTAAATAGAGGTAAATCACTATGTTCTTTGTTAAAAATTTGCATATGTTTTGAAGTTTACAATTTTTATTTGAAGTTTAAGTTTTAAAAACAGTTCATCACACATATTTGTGGTTTTCACAGTAAAAATGTTACTTTTTTCCACTCGGATTTTATGTTTTGTGTGTGAATTTGGGTCCATTGTGTAAATTCAGTATGTCAAACATGATAAAATAACTGTAAATTCGCACAGGTGAGGTTGTGCTGAAAAAAATGATACCAGGCAAGGCACGTGATTGTCAAATTTTGTGTCAATATGACAAAGCGTATAGGCGTGAATCTCAACAATATGTATTTTCACCTTAGGGGACAAGAAAAAATGGACTTTTTTCTCCTGCCATGGGGGGGCGCTCTTTTGGGGAGTAAAAATTCCTTCACAAATGTGTTGATGGCTGGACATTGCATCATCCTAGAAAACTTGGAGGCCAGTGAGGACAAAAATAAAAAGTTATAAGACTTTTAAATATGTGGATTTTAGGGTTATCTTTGGCGCCCCCTAGAACCTAAACCGTGGGGTGCAGCGTCATGATTTTGATAACTTTTAATGGCCATGGGGTGTAGATTGGCCTGAGCAAATGTGGTGCCGGTGGAACGAAAGCCTTAGGAGGAGTTAGCCACATTCCAATGTGTGCGGATCGGCAAAAAATGCGGAATAACCCTTTAACCGTACATTTGACAGATACGCGCGCATTGACTTTTTCGTAGATCTTATTGAGTTACATGTGATTGTCAATTTTTGTGTCATTTTGACAAAGCGTATAGGCGTGACACTCAACAATGTGTATTTTCACCTTAGGGGACAAGAAAAAAATGGACTTTTTTCTCCTGCCATGGGGGGGCGCTCTTTTGGGGAGTAAAAATTCCTTCACAAATGTGTTGATGGCTGGACATTGCATCATCCTAGAAAACTTGGAGGCCAGTGAGGACAAAAATAAAAAGTTATAAGACTTTTAAATATGTGGATTTTAGGGTTGTCTTTGGCGCCCCCTAGAACCTAAACCGTGGGGTGCAGCATCATGATTTGAATAACTTTTAATGGCCATGGGGTGTAGATTGGCCTGAGCAAATGTGGTGCCGGTGGACAGAAAGCCTTCGGAGGAGTTAGCGAAATTCCAATGTGTGCGGATCGGCAAAAAATGCGGAATAACCCTTTAACCGTACATTTGACAGATATGCGCGCATTGACTTTTTCGTAGATCTTATTGAGTTACATGTGTGTGTCAATTTTTGTGTCATTTTGACAAAGCGTATAGGCGTGACACTCAACAATGTGTATTTTCACCTTAGGGGACAAGAAAAAATGGACTTTTTTCTCCTGCCATGGGGGGGCGCTCTTTTGGGGAGTAAAAATTCCTTCACAAATGTGTTGATGGCTGGACATTGCATCATCCTAGAAAACTTGGAGGCCAGTGAGGACAAAAATAAAAAGTTATAAGACTTTTAAATATGTGGATTTTAGTGTTATCTTTGGTGCCCCCTAGAACCTAAACCTTGGGGTGCAGCGTCATGATTTTGATAACTTTTAATGGCCACGGGGTGTAGATTGGCCTGAGCAAATGTGGTGCCGGTGGAACGAAAGCCTTCGGAGGAGTTAGCGAAATTCCAATGTGTGCGGATCGGCAAAAAATGCGAAATAACCCTTTAACCGTAATTTTGACAGATACGGCCGCACTGACTTTTTTGTAGATCTTATTGAGATACATATGTGTGTCAATTTTTGTGTCAATATGACAAAGCGTACAGGCGTGACAGTCAATAATGTGAATTTCCACCTTAGGGGGCGCTATGGAGCCATTTTGCATTTTATTGTTTGGGCGACTTCAGAATATCAAATTTTTCACCAGGCCCGGTCGTCCTGCCAAATTTCATGAGTTTTCGCCAGTGGGAAGTGGGCCATTTTCCAGTTCAAAGGGGAGGAAAAAGAAGAAAGAAAGAAAGAAAGAAAGAAACAAAGAAAAACCACTTGGGGAATAATAGGGCCTACGCCCGGCTGCTCTGCAGCTGGCTCGGGCCCTAATAACAAAAGAAGGAAACTACAGGAACAAGAGGGCTCTCGCAGCTGCTTAGCAGCTACGCTCGGGCCCTAACTAGGACCCCGTTGGGGCACTGTCGGGCCCGAGCCGTGTCGCACCGCCCCCAGTGCGACCGCTTCCCCCTCCCGATCGCGTCACACTCAAGATCCAAAGATGGTGTGCGCACTTGTCTGTGGTCATTTCCTATTATAATGAATGGGAGGCGCAGTTTCTACCAAAACACTCGCTGCAGACAAACTTCATGTCCTATTTGAAAAAAGTCTGGACCATGAGTGAGGGCACAAACACAGCTATGATATATCGAAATGGCAGGTTGCTCCTCCTTACGGTGTTGCCTGGAGAGCGATGCGATTGAGCCATTGAGCGATGGGCAGGAAAAACTTAACTTTTTCTCCTGCCATATGGGGGGGGGGGGGGGGGGGGAATGTGGATTCTTTGAAGAATGTGGATTTTTGGGTCATCTTTGGCGCCCCCTAGAACGTAAACCGTGGGGTGCAGCGTCATGATTTTTACAACTTTGAATGGCCATGGGGTGTAGATTGGCCTGAGCAAATTTGGTGTCAGTGGGACGAAAGCCTTAGGAGGAGTTAGCCACATTCCAATGTGTGCGAATCGGCAAAAAATGCAAAATAGCCCTTTAACCGTACATTTGACAGATACGCGCGCATTGACTTTTTTGTAGATCTTATGGAGATACATATGTGTGTCAATTTTTGTGTCAATATGATAAAGCGTACAGGCGTGACAGTCAATAGTGTGAATTTCCACCTTAGGGGACAAGAAAAAATTGACTTTTTTCTCCTGCCATGGGGGGGCGCTCTTTTGGGGAGTAAAAATTCCTTCACAAATGTGTTGATGGCTGGACATTGCATCATCCTAGAAAACTTGGAGGCCAGTGAGGACAAAAATAAAAAGTTATAAGACTTTGAAATATGTGGATTTTAGGGTTATCTTTGGCGCCCCCTAGAACCTAAACCGTGGGGTGCAGCGTCATGATTTGAATAACTTTTAATGGCCATGGGGTGTAGATTGGCCTGAGCAAATGTGGTGCCGGTGGAACGAAAGCCTTCGGAGGAGTTAGCGAAATTCCAATGTGTGCGGATCGGCAAAAAATGCGGAATAACCCTTTAACCGTACATTTGACAGATACGCGCGCATTGACTTTTTCGTAGATCTTATTGAGATACATGTGTGTGTCAATTTTTGTGTCATTTTGCCAAAGCGTACAGGTGTTACACTCAACAATGTGTATTTTCACCTTAGTGGACAAGAAAAAATGGACTTTTTTCTCCTGCCATGGGGGGGCGCTCTTTTGGGGAGTAAAAATTCCTTCACAAATGTGTTGATGGCTGGACATTGCATCATCCTAGAAAACTTGGAGGCCAGTGAGGGCAAAAATAAAAAGTTATAAGACTTTTAAATATGTGGATCTTAGGGTTATCTTTGGCGCCCCCTAGAACCTAAACCGTGGGGTGCAGCGTCATGATTTGAATAACTTTTAATGGCCATGGGGTGTAGATTGGCCTGAGCAAATGTGGTGCCGGTGGAACGAAAGCCTTCGGAGGAGTTAGCGAAATTCCAATGTGTGCGGATCGGCAAAAAATGCGAAATAACCCTTTAACCGTACATTTGACAGATACGCCCGCACTGACTTTTTTGTAGATCTTATTGAGATACATGTGTGTGTCAATTTTTGTGTCATTTTGACAAAGCGTACACGCGTGACAGTCAATAGTTTGAATTTTCACCTTAGGGGGCGCTATGGAGCCATTTTGCATTTTCTTGTTTGGGCGACTTCGGAATATCAAATTTTTCACCAGGCCCGGTCGTCCTGCCAAATTTCATGAGTTTTCGCCAGTGGGAAGTGGGCCATTTTCCAGTTCAAAGGGGAGGAAAAATAATAATAACTAGGGCCCCGGTGGGGCACTGTCGGGCCCGAGCCGCGTCGCGCCGCCCCCAGTGCGACCGCCTCCCCGTCCCGATCGAGTCACACTCAAGAACCAAAGATGGTGTGCGCACTTGTCTGTGGTCATTTCCCATTATAATGAATGGGAGGCGCAGTTTCTACCAAAACACTCGCTGCAGACAAACTTCATGTCCTATTTGAAAAAAGTCTGGACCATGAGTGAGGGCACAAACACAGCTATGATATATCGAAATGCCAGGTTGCTCCTCCTTACGGTGTTGCCTGGAGAGCGATGCGATTGAGCCATTGAGCGATGGGCAGGAAAAACTTGACTTTTTCTCCTGCCATAGGGGGGGGGATGTGGATTCTTTTAAGAATGTGGATTTTTGGGTCATCTTTGGCGCCCCCTAGAACGTAAACCGTGGGGTGCAGCGTCATGATTTTTACAACTTTGAATGGCCATGGGGTGTAGATTGGCCTGAGCAAATTTGGTGTCAGTGGGACGAAAGCCTTAGGAGGAGTTAGCCAAATTCCAATGTGTGCGAATCTGCAAAAAATGCGAAATAACCCTTTAACCGTACATTTTACAGATACGTGGCCATTGACTTTTTCGAAGATCTTATTGAAATACACGTGTATGTAAAATTTTGTGTCAATACGACAAAACATACAGGCGTAGCACTCAACAATGTGTATTTTCACCTTAGTGGACAAGAAAAAATTGACTTTTTTCTCCTGCCATGGGGGGGCGCTCTTTTGCCGAGTAAAAATTCCTTCACAAATGTGTTGATGGCTGGACATTGCATCATCCTAGAAAACTTGGAGGCCAGTGGGGACAAAAATAAAAAGTTATAAGACTTTTAAATATGTGGATTTTACGGTTATCTTTGGCGCCCCCTAGAACCTAAACCGTGGGGTGCAGCGTCATGATTTGAATAACTTTTAATGGCCATGGGGTGTAGATTGGCCTGAGCAAATGTGGTGCCGGTGGAACGAAAGCCTTCGGAGGAGTTAGCGAAATTCCAATGTGTGCGGATCGGCAAAAAATGCGGAATAACCCTTTAACCGTACATTTGACAGATACGCGCGCATTGACTTTTTCGTAGATCTTATTGAGATACATGTGTGTGTCAATTTTTGTGTCATTTTGCCAAAGCGTACAGGTGTTACACTCAACAATGTGTATTTTCACCTTAGGGGACAAAGAAAAATGGACTTTTTTCTCCTGCCATGGGGGGGCCCTCTTTTAGGGAGTAAAAATTCCTTCACAAATGTGTTGATGGCTGGACATTGCATCATCCTAGAAAACTTGGAGGCCAGTGAGGGCAAAAATAAAAAGTTATATGACTTTTAAATATGTGGATCTTAGGGTTATCTTTGGCGCCCCCTAGAACCTAAACCGTGGGGTGCAGCGTCATGATTTGAATAACTTTTAATGGCCATGGGGTGTAGATTGGCCTGAGCAAATGTGGTGCCGGTGGAACGAAAGCCTTCGGAGGAGTTAGCGAAATTCCAATGTGTGCGGATCGGCAAAAAATGCGAAATAACCCTTTAACCGTACATTTGACAGATACGCCCGCACTGACTTTTTTGTAGATCTTATTGAGATACATGTGTGTGTCAATTTTTGTGTCATTTTGACAAAGCGTACAGGCGTGACAGTGAATAGTGTGAATTTTCACCTTAGGGGGCGCTATGGAGCCATTTTGCATTTTCTTGTTTGGGCGACTTCGGAATATCAAATTTTTCACCAGGCCCGGTCGTCCTGCCAAATTTCATGAGTTTTCGCCAGTGGGAAGTGGGCCATTTTCCAGTTCAAAGGGGAGGAAAAATAATAATAATAATAACAAAAGAAGGAAACATGCAGGAACAAGAGGGCTCTCGCAGCTGCTTAGCAGCTACGCTCGGGCCCTAAAGAAACAAAGAAAAACCACTTGGGGAATAATAGGGCTCTCGCAGCTGCTTAGCAGCTACGCTCGGGCCCTAACTAGGACCCCGTTGGGGCACTGTCGGGCCCGAGCCGTGTCGCGCCGCCCCCAGTGCGACCGCCTCCCCCTCCCGATCGCGTCACACTCAAGATCCAAAGATGGTGTGCGCACTTGTCTGTGGTCATTTCCTATTATAATGAATGGGAGGCGCAGTTTCTACCAAAACACTCGCTGCAGACAAACTTCATGTCCTATTTGAAAAAAGTCTGGACCATGAGTGAGGGCACAAACACAGCTATGATATATCGAAATGGCAGGTTGCTCCTCCTTACGGTGTTGCCTGGAGAGCGATGCGATTGAGCCATTGAGCAATGGGCAGGAAAAACTTAACTTTTTCTCCTGCCATATGGGGGGGGGGGTGTGGATTCTTTGAAGAATGTGGATTTTTGGGTCATCTTTGGCGCCCCCTAGAACGTAAACCGTGGGGTGCAGCGTCATGATTTTTACAACTTTGAATGGCCATGGGGTGTAGATTGGCCTGAGCAAATTTGGTGTCAGTGGGACGAAAGCCTTTGGAGGAGTTAGCCACATTCCAATGTGTGCGAATCGGCAAAAAATGCAAAATAGCCCTTTAACCGTACATTTGACAGATACGCGCGAATCGACTCTTTTTTAGATCTTATTGAGATACATATGTGTGTCAATTTTTGTGTCAATATGATAAAGCGTACAGGCGTGACAGTCAATAGTGTGAATTTCCACCTTAGGGGACAAGAAAAAATTGGCTTTTTTTTCCTGCCATGGGGGGCGCTCTTTTGGGGAGTAAAAATTCCTTCACAAATGTGTTGATGGCTGGACATTGCATCATCCTAGAAAACTTGGAGGCCAGTGAGGACAAAAATAAAAAGTTATAAGACTTTTAAATATGTGGATTTTAGGGTTATCTTTGGCGCCCCCTAGAACCTAAACCGTGGGATGCAGCGTCATGATTTGAATAACTTTTAATGGCCATGGGGTGTAGATTGGCCTGAGCAAATGTGGTGCCGGTGGAACGAAAGCCTTCGGAGGAGTTAGCGAAATTCCAATGTGTGCGGATCGGCAAAAAATGCGAAATAACCCTTTAACCGTACATTTGACAGATACGCCCGCACTGACTTTTTTGTAGATCTTATTGAGATACATGTGTGTGTCAATTTTTGTGTCATTTTGACAAAGCGTACAGGCGTGACAGTCAATAGTGTGAATTTTCACCTTAGGGGGCGCTATGGAGCCATTTTGCATTTTCTTGTTTGGGCGACTTCGGAATATCAAATTTTTCACCAGGCCCGGTCGTCCTGCCAAATTTCATGAGTTTTCGCCAGTGGGAAGTGGGCCATTTTCCAGTTCAAAGGGGAGGAAAAATAATAATAACAAAAGAAGGAAACTACAGGAACAAGAGGGCTCTCGCAGCTGCTTAGCAGCTACGCTCGGGCCCTAATAATAATAATAACAAAAGAAGAATCCATCAGGAACAAGAGGGCTCTCGCAGCTGCTTAGCAGCTACGCTCGGGCCCTAATAATAACAAACTAGGGCCCCGGTGGGGCACTGTCGGGCCCGAGCCGCGTCGCGCCGCCCCCAGCGCGACCGCCTCCCCCTCCCGATCGCGTCACACTCAAGGTCCAAAGATGGTGTGCGCACTTGTCTGTGGTCATTTACCATTATAATGAATGGGAGGCGCAGTTTCTACCAAAACGCTCGCTGCAGACAAACTACATGTCCTATTTGAAAAAAGTCTGGACCATGAGTGAGGGCACAAACACAGCTAGTATATATCCAAATGGCAAGTTGCTCCTCCTTTCGGTTTTGCAGAGAGAGCGATGTGTTTGAGCCATTGAGCGATGGGCAGGAAAAACTTGACTTTTTCTCCTGCCATGGGGGGGCGCTCTTTTGGGGAGAAAAAATTCCTTCACAAATGTGTTGATGGCTGGACATTGCATCATCCTAGAAAACCTGGAGGCCAGTGAGGACAAAAATAAAAAGTTATAAGACTTTTAAAAATGTGGATATTTGGGTCCTCTTTGGCGCCCCCTAGAACGTAAACTGTGGGGTGCAGCGTCATGATTTGTACAACTTTGAATGGCCATGGGGTGTAGATTGACCTGAGCAAATTTGAAGCCGATGGGACAAAAGATTTAGGAGGAGTTAGCGAAATTCCAATGTGTGCGGATCGGCAAAAAATGCGAAATAACCCTTTAACCGTACATTTGACAGATACGCCCGCACTGACTTTTTTGTAGATCTTATTGAGATACATGTGTGTGTCAAATTTTGTGTCATTTTGACAAAGCGTAAAGGCGTGACAGTCAACAATGTGTATTTTCGCCTAAGGAGACAAGAAAAAATGGACTTTTTTCTCCTGCCATGGGGGGGGGCGCTCTTTTGGCGAGTAAAAATTCCTTCACAAATGTGTTGATGGCTGGACATTGCATCATCCTAGAGAACTTGGAGGCCAGTGAGGACAAAAATAAAAAGTTATAAGACTTTTAAGACTGTGGATTTTTGGGTTATCTTTGGCGCCCCCTAGAACGTAAACCGTGGGGTGCAGCGTCATGATTTGTACAACTTTTAATGGCCATGGGGTGTAGATTGGCCTCAGCAAATGTGGTGCCTTTGGAACGAAAGCCTTCGGAGGAGTTAGCGAAATTCCAATGTGTGCGGATCGGCAAAAAATGCGAAATAACCCTTTAACCGTACATTTGACAGATACGCCCGCACTGACTTTTTTGTAGATCTTATTGAGATACATGTGTGTGTCAAATTTTGTGTCATTTTGACAAAGCGTAAAGGCGTGACAGTCAACAATGTGTATTTTCGCCTAAGGAGACAAGAAAAAATGGACTTTTTTCTCCTGCCATGGGGGGGGGCGCTCTTTTGGCGAGTAAAAATTCCTTCACAAATGTGTTGATGGCTGGACATTGCATCATCCTAGAGAACTTGGAGGCCAGTGAGGACAAAAATAAAAAGTTATAAGACTTTTAAGACTGTGGATTTTTGGGTTATCTTTGGCGCCCCCTAGAACGTAAACCGTGGGGTGCAGCGTCATGATTTGTACAACTTTTAATGGCCATGGGGTGTAGATTGGCCTCAGCAAATGTGGTGCCTTTGGAACGAAAGCCTTCGGAGGAGTTAGCGAAATTCCAATGTGTGCGGATCGGCAAAAAATGCGAAATAGCCCTTTCACCGTACATTTGACAGATACGCCCGCACTGACTTTTTTGTAGATCTTATTGAGATACATGTGTGTGTCAATTTTTGTGTCAATATGACAAAGCGTAAAGGCGTGACAGTCAATAGTGTGAATTTTCGCCTTAGGAGACAAGAAAAAATGGACTTTTTTCTCCTGCCATGGGGGGCGCTCTTTTGGGGAGTAAAAATTCCTTCACAAATGTGTTGATGGCTGGACATTGCATCATCCTAGAAAACTTGGAGGCCAGTGAGGACAAAAATAAAAAGTTATACGACTTTTAAGAATGTGGATTTCTGGGTTATCTTTGGCGCCCCCTAGAACGTAAACCGTGGGATGCAGCGTCATGATTTGTACAACTTTTAATGGCCATGGGGTGTAGATTGGCCTGAGCAAATTTGGTGCCGGTGGAACGAAAGCCTTCGGAGGAGTTAGCGAAATTCCAATGTGTGCGGATCGGCAAAAAATGCGAAATAGCCCTTTAACCGTACATCTGACAGATACGCCCGCACTGACTTTTTTGTAGATCTTATTGAGATACACGTGTGTGTCAAATTTTGTGTCATTTTGACAAAGCGTACAGGCGTGACACTCAATCATGTGAATTTTTCACCTTAGGGGGCGCTATGGAGCCATTTTGCATTTGATTTTTTGGGCGACTTCAGAATATCGAATTTTTCACCAGGCCCGGTCGTCCTGCCAAATTTCATGACTTTTCACCAGTGGGAAGTGGGCCATTTTCCAGTTCAAAGGGGCAGAAAAATAATAATAAGAACTAGGGCCCCGTTGGGGCACTGGCGGGCCCGAGCCATGTCACGCCGCCCTCAGCGCGACCGCCTCCCCCACCCGATCGCGTCACACTCAAGGTCCAAAGATGGTGTGCGCACTTGTTTGTGGTCATTTACCATTATAATGAACGGGAGGCGCAGTTTCTACCAAAACGCTCGCTGCAGAAAAACTCCATGTCCTATTTGAAAAAAGTCTGGACCATGAGTGAGGGCACAAACACAGCTAAGATATATCCAAATGGCAAGTTGCTCCTCCTTTCGCTTTTGCCGAGAGAGCAGTGCGTTTGAGCCATTGAATGATGAACAGGAAAAACTTGACTTTATTCTCCTGCCATGGGGGGTGCTCTTTTAACGAGAAAAAACTCCTTCACAAATGTGTTGATGGCTGGACATTGCATCATCCTAGAAAACATGGAGGCCAGTGAGGACAAAAATAAAAAGTTATAAGACTTTTAAATATGTGGATCTTAGGGTTATCTTTGGCGCCCCCTAGAACCTAAACCGTGGGGTGCAGCGTCATGATTTGAATAACTTTTAATGGCCATGGGGTGTAGATTGGCCTGAGCAAATGTGGTGCCGGTGGAACGAAAGCCTTCGGAGGATTAAGCGAAATTCCAATGTGTGCGAATCTGCAAAAAATGCGAAATAACCCTTTAACCGTACATTTTACAGATACGTGGCCATTGACTTTTTCGAAGATCTTATTGAAATACACGTGTATGTAAAATTTTGTGTCAATACGACAAAACATACAGGCGTAGCACTCAACAATGTGTATTTTCACCTTAGTGGACAAGAAAAAATGGACTTTTTTCTCCTGCCATGGGGGGGGCGCTCTTTTGGCGAGTAAAAATTCCTTCACAAATGTGTTGATGGCTGGACATTGCATCATCCTAGAAAACTTGGAGGCCAGTGGGGACAAAAATAAAAAGTTATAAGACTTTTAAATATGTGGATTTTACGGTTATCTTTGGCGCCCCCTAGAACCTAAACCGTGGGGTGCAGCGTCATGATTTGAATAACTTTTAATGGCCATGGGGTGTAGATTGGCCTGAGCAAATGTGGTGCCGGTGGAACGAAAGCCTTAGGAGGAGTTAGCGAAATTCCAATGTGTGCGGATCGGCAAAAAATGCGGAATAACCCTTTAACCGTACATTTGACAGATACGCGCGCATTGACTTTTTCGTAGATCTTATTGAGATACATGTGTGTGTCAATTTTTGTGTCATTTTGCCAAAGCGTACAGGTGTTACACTCAACAATGTGTATTCTCACCTTAAGGGACAAGAAAAAATGGACTTTTTTCTCCTGCCATGGGGGGGCGCTCTTTTGGGGAGTAAAAATTCCTTCACAAATGTGTTGATGGCTGGACATTGCATCATCCTAGAAAACTTGGAGGCCAGTGAGGGCAAAAATAAAAAGTTATAAGACTTTTAAATATGTGGATCTTAGGGTTATCTTTGGCGCCCCCTAGAACCTAAACCGTGGGGTGCAGCATCATGATTTGAATAACTTTTAATGGCCATGGGGTGTAGATTGGCCTGAGCAAATGTGGTGCCGGTGGAACGAAAGCCTTCGGAGGAGTTAGCGAAATTGCAATGTGTGCGGATCGGCAAAAAATGCGAAATAACCCTTTAACCGTACATTTGACAGATACGCCCGCACTGACTTTTTTGTAGATCTTATTGAGATACATGTGTGTGTCAATTTTTGTGTCATTTTGACAAAACATACAGGCGTGACAGTCAATAGTGTGAATTTTAACCTTAGGGGGCGCTATGGAGCCATTTTGCATTTTCTTGTTTGGGTGACTTCAGAATATCAAATTTTTCACCAGGCCCGGTCGTCCTGCCAAATTTCATGAGTTTTCGCCAGTGGGAAGTGGGCCATTTTCCAGTTCAAAGGGGAGGAAAAATAATAATAATAATAATAACAAAAGAAGGAAACATGCAGGAACAAGAGGGCTCTCGCAGCTGCTTAGCAGCTACGCTCGGGCCCTAAGAAGAAGAACTAGGGCCCCGTTGGGGCACTGGCGGGCCCGAGCCGTGTCACGCCGCCCCCAGCGCGACCGCCTCCCCCACCCGATCGCGTCACACTCAAGGTCCAAAGATGGTGTGCGCACTTGTTTGTGGTCATTTACCATTATAATGAACGGGAGGCGCAGTTTCTACCAAAACGCTCGCTGCAGAAAAACTCCATGTCCTATTTGAAAAAAGTCTGGACCATGAGTGAGGGCACAAACACAGCTAAGATATATCCAAATGGCAAGTTGCTCCTCCTTTCGCTTTTGCCGAGAGAGCAGTGCGTTTGAGCCATTGAATGATGAACAGGAAAAACTTGACTTTATTCTCCTGCCATGGGGGGGCGCTCTTTTAAAAAGAAAAAACTCCTTCACAAATGTGTTGATGGCTGGACATTGCATCATCCTAGAAAACATGGAGGCCAGTGAGGACAAAAATAAAAAGTTATAAGACTTTTAAATATGTGGATTTTAGGGTTATCTTTGGCGCCCCCTAGAACCTAAACCGTGGGGTGCAGCGTCATGATTTGAATAACTTTTAATGGCCATGGGGTGTAGATTGGCCTGAGCAAATGTGGTGCCGGTGGAACGAAAGCCTTCGGAGGAATTAGCGAAATTCCAATGTGTGCGAATCTGCAAAAAATGCGAAATAACCCTTTAACCGTACATTTTACAGATACGTGGCCATTGACTTTTTCGAAGATCTTATGTAAATACACGTGTATGTAAAATTTTGTGTCAATACGACAAAACATACAGGCGTAGCACTCAACAATGTGTATTTTCACCTTAGTGGACAAGAAAAAATTGACTTTTTTCTCCTGCCATGGGGGGGCGCTCTTTTGCCGAGTAAAAATTCCTTCACAAATGTGTTGATGGCTGGACATTGCATCATCCTAGAAAACTTGGAGGCCAGTGGGGACAAAAATAAAAAGTTCTAAGACTTTTAAATATGTGGATTTTACGGTTATCTTTGGCTCCCCCTAGAACCTAAACCGTGGGGTGCAGCGTCATGATTTGAATAACTTTTAATGGCCATGGGGTGTAGATTGGCCTGAGCAAATGTGGTGCCGGTGGAACGAAAGCCTTCGGAGGAGTTAGCAAAATTCCAATGTGTGCGGATCGGCAAAAAATGCGGAATAACCCTTTAACCGTACATTTGACAGATACGCGCGCATTGACTTTTTCGTAGATCTTATTGAGATACATGTGTGTGTCAATTTTTGTGTCATTTTGCCAAAGCGTACAGGTGTTACACTCAACAATGTGTATTTTCACCTTAGGGGACAAGAAAAAATGGACTTTTTTCTCCTGCCATGGGGGGGCGCTCTTTTGGGGAGTAAAAATTCCTTCACAAATGTGTTGATGGCTGGACATTGCATCATCCTAGAAAACTTGGAGGCCAGTGAGGGCAAAAATAAAAAGTTATAAGACTTTTAAATATGTGGATCTTAGGGTTATCTTTGGCGCCCCCTAGAACCTAAACCGTGGGGTGCAGCGTCATGATTTGAATAACTTTTAATGGCCATGGGGTGTAGATTGGCCTGAGCAAATGTGGTGCCGGTGGAACGAAAGCCTTCGGAGGAGTTAGCGAAATTCCAATGTGTGCGGATCGGCAAAAAATGCGAAATAACCCTTTAACCGTACATTTGACAGATACGCCCGCACTGACTTTTTTGTAGATCTTATTGAGATACATGTGTGTGTCAATTTGTGTGTCATTTTGACAAAGCGTACCGGCGTGACAGTGAATAGTGTGAATTTTCACCTTAGGGGGCGCTATGGAGCCATTTTGCATTTTCTTGTTTGGGCGACTTCGGAATATCAAATTTTTCACCAGGCCCGGTCGTCCTGCCAAATTTCATGAGTTTTCGCCAGTGGGAAGTGGGCCATTTTCCAGTTCAAAGGGGAGGAAAAATAATAACTAGGGCCCCGTTGGGGCACTGGCGGGCCCGAGCCGTGTCGCACCCCCCCCAACGCGCTGCCTCCCCGTCCCATTCGTGTCCTCTGGCCATCGCCCTCTCTGGTAACGCCCATCACTGCAAAGACCCTTTTCCTTCATCGGCGTTTGCTGTTCTTCCTGCCAGTGCGTGTTGCTTTCACTTACACTTGCCACAGCCAGCCTCGTGAGTGCCTAGCCTATTGGATATCACTGTCACCTACACAGGACAGTCATTACCTTTCTATTAATACTTTGTTTTTAATTTCACATTAATTTCCATATTGTATAAACAACTTGAAAAAACTTGAGCCCCTGCCCCTGTATTATCATGTGCACGTCCCTGTTCTAGCTCCAAGGTGAATCTTCACTGCTCATGTTCTCCTCAGAAGCAGTCACCTCACTCCCCTCAGGTTACTGTACACATGCACCAACTGCCTGCTTCAGGTTTGGATGGAGCTTCATGGTTGTCTTTTGGAGAAATGAGCAGTCAAGTTGTGTTTGAAATTTGATTTTTTTCAGGGGCAAAAGGAAGCCTCTGCATTCTTGTCAAATATGTAAATAGCATGTTTTTGCAGGTGCTAAAAAACAGACTCTGAGTGTGTGTGTGTGTGTGTGTGTGTGTGTGTGTGTGTGTGTGCGTGTGTGTGTCTGTGTGTGTGTGTGTGTGTATCCTGCAGTACTCTGAGAAGAATAATAAGCATATTTCTGAGGTGAATTTTGAAGATTCATCTGAGAGTTAGGTTTGATTCGATTCGATTGACGCTCCCCAGCGTTCAAGCCACATGACATATTTAACCGGATGTAGCTGCAATACGGAGCCTCGTTAACTCTCCGTTTCAACTTATCTCAAAAGTGAGGACCTCAACCTATATACCAGTTTTTAAATTGTGTTGATAGGCCAAATAAAACCAGAGTTATGATAAATTATGTCCGCGATACTTTTTTTCTGCTTATTTTGATCACGTTCGGCGCTCGATCGCGCTGTATGAGACAGGAAAACATAGCATGCACACATTAGCGACAGGTCTTACAGGCGGAAAAGGCTTGCCAAAAGAAAAAAAAAACACACCACAACATCTCTCCTATTGGTGGAAAACTTCACCACAACAACCAATCCAAAATTATATGGTGACTGATTGACAAGGGGCGGGCGCTTACGTTCTTCCTGCAACATGAGAAGGGAGGGAGGGACTCTCAGCAGGGATGCAGTCTGGGACACGTAGTTGCAAACCTAGCGACTTTGTTGTTAGATTCAATTACTTTTCAGACCCCCTAACGACTTTTTTTTTGAAAGAAAGGGACTTTTATCGACTTCTTCTGGAGTTTAGAGACTCTGACATGAAGCAGGCTTTCCTTACTGAGGAGTTAGCAACGCTGCTAAGGGTGCAGAGCCACACATGCGCTCCGAGCTCTGCATGGGAGACTGAAGCTGACAGAGCTGCAGCAGTTAGCAGGTTTCACCCTCAGAGACCACCAGGGGTTCATGTTGAGGCATTTTCAGTTTTTGTTTTTTTTGCCATAGACTGTCAGCACAATCTGCAGTTACACTAACAAAAATGCTGCAAAAAACAAAGAATTATGGAAAAATTACACATGGACTGACATAGAGGAGGATCTACACAAGTTTTTTACATCATGTTTTACATCATGCATCATTTACATCATGTTTTTTTGTAGTGGCATAAATAAAAAGTGACATTTGTGAGCCTATACAGTTTTTTGTAAATAATTTTACAAAGAACGCCTGGGCCATTGCCTGCATTTTGATGTAAATAGAGGTAAATTATTATGTTCTTTGTTAAAAATTTGCATATGTTTTGAAGTTTACAATTTTTATTTGAAGTTTAAGTTTTAAAAACAGTTCATCACACATATTTGTGGTTTAATTTCACATTAATTTCCATATTGTATAAATGACTGGAAAAAACTTGAGCCCCTGCCCCTGTATAATCATGTGCACGTCCCTGTTCTAGCTCCAAGGTGAATCTTCACTGCTCATGTTCTCCTCAGAAGCAGTCACCTCACTCCCCTCAGGTTACTGTACACATGCACCAACTATCTGCTTCAGGTTTGGATGGAGCTTCATGGTTGTCTTTTGGAGAAATGAACAGTCAAGTTGTGTTTGAAATCTGATTTTTTTCAGGGGCAAAAGGAAGCCTCTGCATTCTTGTCAAATATGTAAACAGCATGTTTTTGCAGGTGCTAAAAAACAGACTCTGAGTGTGTGTGTGTGTGTGTGTGTGTGTGTGTGTGTGTGTGTGTGTGTGTGTGTGTGTGTGTATATATGTGTGTGTATCCTGCAGTACTCTGTACTCCTGCAGTGGCCAAAAAGACTTTTAAGAATGTGGATTTTTGGGTCATCTTTGGCGCCCCCTAGAACTGCAGTACTCTGTACTCCTGCAGTGGCCAAAATGACTTTTAAGAATGTGGATTTTTGGGTCATCTTTGGCGCCCCCTAGAACGTAAACCGTGGGGTGCAGCGTCATGATTTTTACAACTTTGAATGGGCATGGGGTGTAGATTGCCCTGAGCAAATTTGGTATCAGTGGGACGAAAGTCTTAGGAGGAGATAGCCACATTCCAATGTGTGCGAATCGGCAAAAAATGCGAAATAGCCCTTTAACCTTACATTATACAGATACGCGCTTTTTGACTTTTTTGTAGATCTAATTGAGATACACATGATTGTCAATTTTTGTGTCAATATGACAAAGCGTTCAGGCGTGACACTCAACAATGTGTATTTTCATGTAAGGGGACAAGAAAAAAAGGACTTTTTTCTCCTGCCATGGGGGGGCGCTCTTTTGGGGAGTAAAAATTCCTTCACAAATGTGTTGATGGCTGGACATTGCATCATCCTAGAAAACTTGGAGGCCAGTGAGGACAAAAATAAAAAGTTATAAGACTTTTAAATATGTGGATTTTTGGGTTATCTTTGGCGCCCCCTAGAACCTAAACCGTGGGGTGCAGCGTCATGATTTGAATAACTTTTAATGGCCATGGGGTGTAGATTGGCCTGAGCAAATGTGGTGCCGGTGGAACAAAAGCCTTCGGAGGAGTTAGCGAAATTCCAATGTGTACGGATCGCCAAAAAATGCGAAATAGCCCTTTAACCGTACATTTGACAGATACGCCCGCACTGACTTTTTTGTAGATCTTATTGAGATACATATGTGTGTCAAATTTTGTGTCATTTTGACAAAGCGTACAGGCGTGACAGTCAATAGTGTGAATTTCCACCTTAGGGGGCGCTATGGAGCCATTTTGCATTTTATTGTTTGGGCGACTTCAGAATATCAAATTTTTCACCAGGCCCGGTCGTCCTGCCAAATTTCATGAGTTTTCGCCAGTGGGAAGTGGGCCATTTTCCAGTTCAAAGGGGAGGAAAAATAATAATAATAATAATAATAACAAACTAGGACCCCGTTGGGGCACTGGCGGGCCCGAGCCGTGTCCCCCCCCCCAACGCGCTGCCTCCCCGTCCCATTTGTGTCCTCTGGCCATCGCCCTCTCTGGTAACGCCCATCACTGCAAAGACCCTTTTCCTTCATCGGCGTTTGCTGTTCTTCCTGCCAGTGCGTGTTGCTTTCACTTACACTTGCCACAGCCAGCCTCGTGAGTGCCTAGCCTATTCGATATCACTGTCGCCTACACAGGACAGTCATTACCTTTCTATTAATACTTTGTGTTTTAATTTCACATTAATTTCCATATTGTATAAACGACTGGAAAAAACTTGAGCCCCTGCCCCTGTATAATCATGTGCATGTCTCTGTTCTAGCTCCAAGGTGAATCTTCACTGCTCATGTTCTCCTCAGAAGCACTCACCTCACTCCCCTCAGGTTACTGTACACATGCACCAACTGCCTGCTTCAGGTTTGGATGGAGCTTCATGGTTGTCTTTTGGAGAAATGACCAGTCAAGTTGTGTTTGAAATTTGATTTTTTTCAGGGGCAAAAGGAGCCTCTGCATTCTTGTCAAATATGTAAATAGCATGTTTTTGCAGGTGCTAAAAAACAGACTCTGAGTGTGTGTGTGTGTGTGTGTGTGTGTGTGTGTGTGTGTGTGTGTGTGTGTGTGTGTGTGTGTATGTTGGCGTGTGTGTATATGTGTGTGTATCCTGCAGTACTCTGTACTCCTGCAGTGGCCAAAAAGACTTTTAAGAATGTGGATTTTTGGGTCATCTTTGGCGCCCCCTAGAACTGCAGTACTCTGTACTCCTGCAGTGGCCAAAATGACTTTTAAGAATGTGGATTTTTGGGTCATCTTTGGCGCCCCCTAGAACGTAAACCGTGGGGTGCAGCGTCATGATTTTTACAACTTTGAATGGGCATGGGGTGTAGATTGCCCTGAGCAAATTTGGTATCGGTGGGACGAAAGCCTTAGGAGGAGATAGCCACATTCCAATGTGTGCGAATCGGCAAAAAATGCAAAATAGCCCTTTAACCGTACATTATACAGATACGCGCTCTTTGACTTTTTCGTAGATCTAATTGAGATACACATGATTGTCAATTTTTGTGTCATTTTGACAAAGCGTTCAGGCGTGACACTCAACAATGTGTATTTTTATGTAAGGGGACAAGAAAAAATTGACTTTTTTCTCCTGCCATGGGGGGGCGCTCTTTTGGGGAGTAAAAATTCCTTCACAAATGTGTTGATGGCTGGACATTGCATCATCCTAGAAAACTTGGAGGCCAGTGAGGACAAAAATAAAAAGTTATAAAACATTTAAGAATGTGGATTTTTGGGTTATTTTTGGCGCCCCCTAGAACCTAAACCATGGGGTGCAGCATCATGATTTGAATAACTTTTAATGGCCATGGGGTGTAGATTGGCCTGAGCAAATGTGGTGCCGGTGGAACGAAAGCCTTCGGAGGAGTTAGCGAAATTCCAATGTGTGCGGATCGGCAAAAAATGCGGAATAACCCTTTAACCGTACATTTGACAGATACGCGCGCATTGACTTTTTCGTAGATCTTATTGAGATACATGTGTGTGTCAATTTTTGTGTCATTTTGACAAAGCGTACAGGTGTTACACTCAACAATGTGTATTTTCACCTTAGGGGACAAGAAAAAATGGACTTTTTTCTCCTGCCATGGGGGGGCGCTCTTTTGGGAAGTAAAAATTCCTTCACAAATGTGTTGATGGCTGGACATTGCATCATCCTAGAAAACTTGGAGGCCAGTGAGGGCAAAAATAAAAAGTTATAAGACTTTTAAATATGTGGATCTTAGGGTTATCTTTGGCGCCCCCTAGAACCTAAACCGTGGGGTGCAGCGTCATGATTTGAATAACTTTTAATGGCCATGGGGTGTAGATTGGCCTGAGCAAATGTGGTGCCGGTGGAACGAAAGCCTTCGGAGGAGTTAGCGAAATTCCAATGTGTGCGGATCGGCAAAAAATGCGAAATAACCCTTTAACCGTACATTTGACAGATACGCCCGCACTGACTTTTTTGTAGATCTTATTGAGATACATGTGTGTGTCAATTTTTGTGTCATTTTGACAAAGCGTACAGGCGTGACAGTGAATAGTGTGAATTTTCACCTTAGGGGGCGCTATGGAGCCATTTTGCATTTTCTTGTTTGGGCGACTTCGGAATATCAAATTTTTCACCAGGCCCGGTCGTCCTGCCAAATTTCATGAGTTTTCGCCAGTGGGAAGTGGGCCATTTTCCAGTTCAAAGGGGAGGAAAAATAATAATAATAACAAACTAGGGCCCCGTTGGGGCACTGGCGGGCCCGAGCCATGTCACGCCGCCCTCAGCGCAACCGCCTCCCCCACCCGATCGCGTCACACTCAAGGTCCAAAGATGGTGTGCGCACTTGTTTGTGGTCATTAACCATTATAATGAACGGGAGGCGCAGTTTCTACCAAAACGCTTGCTGCAGAAAAACTCCATGTCCTATTTGAAAAAAGTCTGGACCATGAGTGAGGGCACAAACACAGCTAAGATATATCCAAATGGCAAGTTGCTCCTCCTTTCGCTTTTGCCGAGAGAGCAGTGCGTTTGAGCCATTGAATGATGAACAGGAAAAACTTGACTTTATTCTCCTGCCATGGGGGGGTGCTCTTTTAACGAGAAAAAACTCCTTCACAAATGTGTTGATGGCTGGACATTGCATCATCCTAGAAAACATGGAGGCCAGTGAGGACAAAAATAAAAAGTTATAAGACTTTTAAATATGTGGATTTTAGGGTTATCTTTGGCGCCCCCTAGAACCTAAACCGTGGGGTGCAGCGTCATGATTTGAATAACTTTTAATGGCCATGGGGTGTAGATTGGCCTGAGCAAATGTGGTGCCGGTGGAACGAAAGCCTTCGGAGGATTTAGCGAAATTCCAATGTGTGCGAATCTGCAAAAAATGCGAAATAACCCTTTAACCGTACATTTTACAGATACGTGGCCATTGACTTTTTCGAAGATCTTATTGAAATACACGTGTATGTAAAATTTTGTGTCAATACGACAAAACATACAGGCGTAGCACTCAACAATGTGTATTTTCACCTTAGTGGACAAGAAAAAATGGACTTTTTTCTCCTGCCATGGGGGGGCGCTCTTTTGGGGAGTAAAAATTCCTTCATAAATGTGTTGATGGCTGGACATTGCATCATCCTAGAAAACTTGGAGGCCAGTGGGGACAAAAATAAAAAGTTATAAGACTTTTAAATATGTGGATTTTACGGTTATCTTTGGCGCCCCCTAGAACCTAAACCGTGGGGTGCAGCGTCATGATTTGAATAACTATTAATGGCCATGGGGTGTAGATTGGCCTGAGCAAATGTGGTGCCGGTGGAACGAAAGCCTTCGGAGGAGTTAGCGAAATTCCAATGTGTGCGGATCGGCAAAAAATGCGGAATAACCCTTTAACCGTACATTTGAAAGATACGCGCGCATTGACTTTTTTGTAGATCTTATTGAGATACATGTGTGTGTCAATTTTTGTGTCATTTTGCCAAAGCGTACAGGTGTTACACTCAACAATGTGTATTTTCACCTTAGGGGACAAGAAAAAATGGACTTTTTTCTCCTGCCATGGGGGGGCGCTCTTTTGGGGAGTAAAAATTCCTTCACAAATGTGTTGATGGCTGGACATTGCATCATCCTAGAAAACTTGGAGGCCAGTGAGGGCAAAAATAAAAAGTTATAAGACTTTTAAATATGTGGATCTTAGGGTTATCTTTGGCGCCCCCTAGAACCTAAACCGTGGGGTGCAGCATCATGATTTGAATAACTTTTAATGGCCATGGGGTGTAGATTGGCCTGAGCAAATGTGGTGCCGGTGGAACGAAAGCCTTCGGAGGAGTTAGCGAAATTGCAATGTGTGCGGATCGGCAAAAAATGCGAAATAACCCTTTAACCGTACATTTGACAGATACGCCCGCACTGACTTTTTTGTAGATCTTATTGAGATACATGTGTGTGTCAATTTTTATGTCATTTTGACAAAGCGTAAAGGCGTGACAGTCAATAGTGTGAATTTTCACCTTAGGTGGCGCTATGGAGCCATTTTGCATTTTCTTGTTTGGCCGACTTCGGAATATCAAATTTTTCACCAGGCCCGGTCGTCCTGCCAAATTTCATGAGTTTTCGCCAGTGGGAAGTGGGCCATTTTCCAGTTCAAAGGGGAGGAAAAATAATAATAATAACTAGGGCCCCGGTGGGGCACTGTCGGGCCCGAGCCGCGTCGCGCCGCCCCTAGCGCGACCGCCTCCCCCTCCCGATCGCGTCACACTCAAGGTCCAAAGATGGTGTGCGCACTTGTCTGTGGTCATTTCCCATTATAATGAATGGGAGGCGCAGTTTCTACCAAAACACTCGCTGCAGACAAACTACATGTCCTATTTGAAAAAAGTCTGGACCATGAGTGAGGGCACAAACACAGCTAGGATTTATCCAAACGGCAAGTTGCTCCTCGTTACGGTGTTGCCGGGAGAGCGATGCGATTGAGCCATTGAGTGATGGGCAGGAAAAACTTGACTGTTTCTCCTGCCATGGGGGGTGGGGGATGGGGGGGGATGTGGATTCTTTTAAGAATGTGGATATTTGGGTCATCTTTGGCGCCCCCTAGAACGTAAACCGTGGGGTGCAGCGTCATGATTTTTACAACTTTGAATGGCCATGGGGTGTAGATTGGCCTGAGCAAATTTGGTGTCAGTGGGACGAAAGCCTTAGGAGGAGTTAGCCACATTCCAATGTGTGCGAATCGGCAAAAAATGCAAAATAGCCCTTTAACCGTACATTTGACAGATACGCGCGCATTGACTTTTTTGTAGATCTTATTGAGATACATATGTGTGTCAATTTTTGTGTCATTTTGCCAAAGCGTACAGGTGTTACACTCAACAATGTGTATTTTCACCTTAGGGGACAAGAAAAAATGGACTTTTTTCTCCTGCCATGGGGGGGCGCTCTTTTGGGGAGTAAAAATTCCTTCACAAATGTGTTGATGGCTGGACATTGCATCATCCTAGAAAACTTGGAGGCCAGTGAGGGCAAAAATAAAAAGTTATAAGACTTTTAAATATGTGGATCTTAGGGTTATCTTTGGCGCCCCCTAGAACCTAAACCGTGGGGTGCAGCGTCATGATTTGAATAACTTTTAATGGCCATGGGGTGTAGATTGGCCTGAGCAAATGTGGTGCCGGTGGAACGAAAGCCTTCGGAGGAGTTAGCGAAATTCCAATGTGTGCGGATCGGCAAAAAATGCGAAATAACCCTTTAACCGTACATTTGACAGATACGCCCGCACTGACTTTTTTGTAGATCTTATTGAGATACATGTGTGTGTCAATTTTTGTGTCATTTTGACAAAGCGTACAGGCGTGACAGTGAATAGTGTGAATTTTCACCTTAGGGGGCGCTATGGAGCCATTTTGCATTTTCTTGTTTGGGCGACTTCGGAATATCAAATTTTTCACCAGGCCCGGTCGTCCTGCCAAATTTCATGAGTTTTCGCCAGTGGGAAGTGGGCCATTTTCCAGTTCAAAGGGGAGGAAAAATAATAATAATAATAATAATAACAAAAGAAGGAAACTACAGGAACAAGAGGGCTCTCGCAGCTGCTTAGCAGCTACGCTCGGGCCCTAAAGAAGGAAACTACAGGAACAAGAGGGCTCTCGCAGCTGCTTAGCAGCTACGCTCGGGCCCTAAAGAAGGAAACATGCAGGAACAAGAGGGCTCTCGCAGCTGCTTAGCAGCTACGCTCGGGCCCTAACTAGGACCCCGTTGGGGCACTGGCGGGCCCGAGCCGTGTCGCGTCCCCCCCCCCCCCCAACGTGCTGCCTCCCCGTCCCATTTGTGTCCTCTGGCCATCGCCCTCTCTGGTAACGCCCATCACTGCAAAGACCCTTTTCCTTCATCGGCGTTTGCTGTTCTTCCTGCCAGTGCGTGTTGCTTTCACTTACACTTGCCACAGCCAGCCTCGTGAGTGCCTAGCCTATTGGATATCACTGTCACCTACACAGGACAGTCATTACCTTTCTATTAATACTTTGTGTTTTAATTTCACATTAATTTCCATATTGTATAAACGACTGGAAAAAACTTGAGCCCCTGCCCCTGTATAATCATGTGCATGTCTCTGTTCTAGCTCCAAGGTGAATCTTCACTGCTCATGTTCTCCTCAGAAGCACTCACCTCACTCCCCTCAGGTTACTGTACACATGCACCAACTGCCTGCTTCAGGTTTGGATGGAGCTTCATGGTTGTCTTTTGGAGAAATGACCAGTCAAGTTGTGTTTGAAATTTGATTTTTTTCAGGGGCAAAAGGAGCCTCTGCATTCTTGTCAAATATGTAAATAGCATGTTTTTGCAGGTGCTAAAAACCAGACTCTGAGTGTGTGTGTGTGTGTGTGTGTGTGTGTGTGTGTGTGTGTGTGTGTGTGTGTGTGTGTGTGTGTGTGTGTGTGCGTGTGTGTGTGTCTGTGTGTGCGTTCAAGTCACATGACATATTTAACCGGATGTAGCTGCAAGACGGAGCCTCGTTGACTCTCCGTTTCAACTTATCTCAAAAGTGAGGACCTCAACCTATATACCAGTTTTTAAATTGTGTTGATAGGCCAAATAAAACCAGAGTTATGATAAATTATGTCCGCGATATTTTTTTTCTGCTTATTTTGATCACGTTCGGCGCTCGATCGCGCTGTATGAGACAGGAAAACATAGCATGCAGACATTAGCGACAGTTCTTACAGGCGGAAAAGGCTTGCCAAAAGAAAAAAAAAACACACCACAACATCTCTCCTATTGGTGGAAAACTTCACCACAACAACCAATCCAAAATTATATGGTGACTGATTGACAAGGGGGGCGCTTACGTTCTTCCTGCAACATGAGAAGGGAGGGAGGGACTCTCAGCAGGGATGCAGTCTGGGACACGTAGTTGCAAACCTAGCGACTTTGTTGTTAGATTCAATGACTTTTCAGACCCCCTAACGACTTTTTTTTAGAAAGAAAGGGACTTTTATCGACTTCTTCTGGAGTTTAGAGACTCTGACATGAAGCAGGCTTTCCATACTGAGGAGTTAGCAACGCTGCTAAGGGTGCAGAGCCACACATGCGCTCAGAGCTCTGCATGGGAGACTGAAGCTGACAGAGCTGCAGCAGTTAGCAGGTTTCACCCTCAGAGACCACCACGGGTTCATGTTGAGGCATTAAAAATTTTTTTTTTTTTTTTGTGCCATAGACACTGTCAGCACAATCTGCAGTTACACTAACAAAAATGCTGCAAAAAACAAAGAATTATGGAAAAATTACACATGGACTGACATAGAGGAGGATCTACACAAGTTTTTTACATCATGTTTTACATCATGCATCATTTACATCATGTTTTTTTGTAGTGGCATAAATAAAAAGTGACATTTGTGAGACTATACAGTGTTTTGTAAATAATTTTACAAAGAACGCCTGGGCCATTGCCTGCATTTTGATGTAAATAGAGGTAAATTACTATGTTCTTTGTTAAAAATTTGCATATGTTTTGAAGTTTACAATTTTTATTTGAAGTTTAAGTTTTAAAAACAGTTCATCACACATATTTGTGGTTTAATTTCACATTAATTTCCATATTGTATAAATGACTGGAAAAAACTTGAGCCCCTGCCCCTGTATAATCATGTGCACGTCCCTGTTCTAGCTCCAAGGTGAATCTTCACTGCTCATGTTCTCCTCAGAAATAGTCACCTCACTCCCCTCAGGTTACTGTACACATGCACCAACTATCTGCTTCAGGTTTGAAATGGAGCTTCATGGTTGTCTTTTGGAGAAATGAACAGTCAAGTTGTGTTTGAAATTTGATTTTTTTCAGGGGCAAAAGGAAGCCTCTGCATTCTTGTCAAATATGTAAACAGCATGTTTTTGCAGGTGCTAAAAAACAGACTCTGATTGTGTGTGTGTGTCTGTGTGTGTGTGTGTGTGTATGTTGGCGTGTGTGTATATGTGTGTGTATCCTGCAGTACTCTGTACTCCTGCAGTGGCCAAAAAGACTTTTAAGAATGTGGATTTTTGGGTCATCTTTGGCGCCCCCTAGAACTGCAGTACTCTGTACTCCTGCAGTGGCCAAAATGACTTTTAAGAATGTGGATTTTTGGGTCATCTTTGGCGCCCCCTAGAACGTAAACCGTGGGGTGCAGCGTCATGATTTTTACAACTTTGAATGGGCATGGGGTGTAGATAGCCCTGAGCAAATTTGGTATCGGTGGGACGAAAGCCTTAGGAGGAGATAGCCACATTCCAATGTGTGCGAATCGGCAAAAAATGCAAAATAGCCCTTTAACCGTACATTATACAGATATGCGCTCTTTGACTTTTTCGTAGATCTAATTGAGATACACATGATTGTCAAATTTTGTGTCAATATGACAAAGCGTTCAGGCGTGACACTCAACAATGTGTCTTTTTATGTAAGGGGACAAGAAAAAATTGCCTTTTTTCTCCTACCATGGGGGGGCGCTCTTTTGGGGAGTAAAAATTCCTTCACAAATGTGTTGATGGCTGGACATTGCATCATCCTAGAAAACTTGGAGGCCAGTGAGGACAGAAATAAAAAGTTATAAAACATTTAAGAATGTGGATTTTTGGGTTATCTTTGGCGCCCCCTAGAACCTAAACCATGGGGTGCAGCATCATGATTTGAATAACTTTTAATGGCCATGGGGTGTAGATTGGCCTGAGCAAATGTGGTGCCGGTGGAACGAAAGCCTTCGGAGGAGTTAGCGAAATTCCAATGTGTGCGTATCGGCAAAAAATGCGGAATAACCCTTTAACTGTACATTTGACAGATACGCGCGCACTGACTTTTTTGTAGATCTTATTGAGTTACATGTGTGTGTCAATTTTTGTGTCATTTTGACAAAGCGTATAGGCGTGACACTCAACAATGTGTATTTTCACCTTAGGGGACAAGAAAAAATGGACTTTTTTCTCCTGCCATGGGGGGGCGCTCTTTTGGGGAGTAAAAATTCCTTCACAAATGTGTTGATGGCTGGACATTGCATCATCCTAGAAAACTTGGAGGCCAGTGAGGACAAAAATAAAAAGTTATAAGACTTTTAAAAATGTGGATTTTAGGGTTATCTTTGGCGCCCCCTAGAACCTAAACCTTGGGGTGCAGCGTCATGATTTTGATAACTTTTAATGGCCACGGGGTGTAGATTGGCCTGAGCAAATGTGGTGCCGGTGGAACGAAAGCCTTTGGAGGAGTTAGCGAAATTCCAATGTGTGCGGATCGGCAAAAAATGCGAAATAACCCTTTAACCGTAATTTTGACAGATACGGCCGCACTGACTTTTTTGTAGATCTTATTGAGATACATATGTGTGTCAATTTTTGTGTCATTTTGACAAAGCGTACAGGCGTGACAGTCAATAGTGTGAATTTCCACCTTAGGGGGCGCTATGGAGCCATTTTGCATTTTATTGTTTGGGCGACTTCAGAATATCGAATTTTTCACCAGGCCCGGTCGTCCTGCCAAATTTCATGAGTTTTCGCCAGTGGGAAGTGGGCCATTTTCCAGTTCAAAGGGGAGGAAAAAGAAGAAACTAGGGCCCCGGTGGGGCACTGTCGGGCCCGAGCCGCGTCGTGCCGCCCCCAGCGTGACCGCCTACCCCTCCCGATCGCGTCACACTCAAGGTCCAAAGATGGTGTGCGCACTTGTCTGTGGTCATTTCCCATTATAATGAATGGGAGGCGCAGTTTCTACCAAAACACTCGCTGCAGACAAACTTCATGTCCTATTTGAAAAAAGTCTGGACCATGAGTGAGGGCACAAACACAGCTGGGATATATCCAAATGGCAGGTTGCTCCTCCTTACGGTGTTGCCTGGAGAGCGATGCGATTGAGCCATTGAGCGATGGGCAGGAAAAACTTGACTTTTTCTCCTGCCATGGGGGATTCTTTTAAGAATGTGGATTCTTTTAAGAATGTGGATTTTTTGGTCATCTTTGGCGCCCCCTAGAACGTAAACCGTGGGGTGCAGCGTCATGATTTTTACAACTTTGAATGGCCATGGGGTGTAGATTGGCCTGAGCAAATTTGGTGTCAGTGGGACGAAAGCCTTAGGAGGAGTTAGCCACATTCCAATGTGTGCGAATCGGCAAAAAATGCAAAATAGCCCTCTAACCGTACATTTGACAGATACGCACTCATTGACTTTTTCGTAGATCTTATTGAGATACACGTGATTGTCAAATTTTGTGTCAATATGACAAAGCGTACAGGTGTCACACTCAACAATGTGAATTTTCACCTTACGGGACAAGAAAAAATGGACTTTTTTCTCCTGCCATGGGGGGGCGCTCTTTTGGGGAGTAAAAATTCCTTCACAAATGTGTTGATGGCTGGACATTGCATTATCCTAGAAAACTTGGAGGCCAGTGAGGACAAAAATAAAAAGTTATAAGACTTTGAAATATGTGGATTTTAGGGTTATCTTTGGCGCCCCCTAGAACCTAAACCGTGGGGTGCAGCGTCATGATTTGAATAACTTTTAATGGCCATGGGGTGTAGATTGGCCTGAGCAAATGTGGTGCCGGTGGAAAGAAAGCCTTCGGAGGAGTTAGCGAAATTCCAATGTGTGCGGATCGGCAAAAAATGCGGAATAACCCTTTAACCGTACATTTGACAGATACGCCCGCACTGACTTTTTTGTAGATCTTATTGAGATACATATGTGTGTCAATTTTTGTGTCATTTTGACAAAGCGTAAAGGCGTGACAGTCAATAGTGTGAATTTTCACCTTAGGGGGCGCTATGGAGCCATTTTGCATTTTCTTGTTTGGGCGACTTCGGAATATCAAATTTTTCACCAGGCCCGGTCATCCTGCCAAATTTCATGAGTTTTCGCCAGTGGGAAGTGGGCCATTTTCCAGTTCAAAGGGGAGGAAAAAGAAGAAAGAAAGAAACAAAGAAAAACCTCTTGGGGAATAATAGGGCTCTCGCAGCTGCTTAGCAGCTGCGCTCGGGCCCTAACAAGAGGGCTCTCGCAGCTGCTTAGCAGCTACGCTCGGGCCCTAATAACACTAGGGCCCCGTTGGGGCACTGGCGGGCCCGAGCCGTGTCACGCCGCCCCCAGCGCGACCGCCTCCCCCACCCGATCGCGTCACACTCAAGGTCCAAAGATGGTGTGCGCACTTGTTTGTGGTCATTTACCATTATAATGAACGGGAGGCGCAGTTTCTACCAAAACGCTCGCTGCAGAAAAACTCCATGTCCTATTTGAAAAAAGTCTGGACCATGAGTGAGGGCACAAACACAGCTAAGATATATCCAAATGGCAAGTTGCTCCTCCTTTCGCTTTTGCCGAGAGAGCAGTGCGTTTGAGCCATTGAATGATGAACAGGAAAAACTTGACTTTATTCTCCTGCCATGGGGGGGCGCTCTTTTAAAGAGAAAAACTCCTTCACAAATGTGTTGATGGCTGGACATTGCATCATCCTAGAAAACATGGAGGCCAGTGAGGACAAAAATAAAAAGTTATAAGACTTTTAAATATGTGGATTTTAGGGTTATATTTGGCGCCCCCTAGAACCTAAACCGTGGGGTGCAGCGTCATGATTTGAATAACTTTTAATGGCCATGGGGTGTAGATTGGCCTGAGCAAATGTGGTGCCGGTGGAACGAAAGCCTTCGGAGGAATTAGCGAAATTCCAATGTGTGCGAATCTGCAAAAAATGCGAAATAACCCTTTAACCGTACATTTTACAGATACGTGGCCATTGACTTTTTTGAAGATCTTATTGAAATACACGTGTATGTAAAATTTTGTGTCAATACGACAAAACATACAGGCGTAGCACTCAACAATGTGTATTTTCACCTTAGTGGACAAGAAAAAATTGACTTTTTTCTCCTGCCATGGGGGGGCGCTCTTTTGCCGAGTAAAAATTCCTTCACAAATGTGTTGATGGCTGGACATTGCATCATCCTAGAAAACTTGGAGGCCAGTGGGGACAAAAATAAAAAGTGATAAGACTTTTAAATATGTGGATTTTACGGTTATCTTTGGCTCCCCCTAGAACCTAAACCGTGGGGTGCAGCGTCATGATTTGAATAACTTTTAATGGCCATGGGGTGTAGATTGGCCTGAGCAAATGTGGTGCCGGTGGAACGAAAGCCTTCGGAGGAGTTAGCGAAATTCCAATGTGTGCGGATCGGCAAAAAATGCGGAATAACCCTTTAACCGTACATTTGACAGATACGCGCGCATTGACTTTTTCGTAGATCTTATTGAGATACATGTGTGTGTCAAATTTTGTGTCAATATGACAAAGGGTACAGGGGTGACACTCAAAAATGTGTATTTTCACCTTACGGGACAAGAAAAAATGGACTTTTTTCTCCTGCCATGGGGGGGCGCTCTTTTGGGGAGTAAAAATTTGTTCACAGATGTGTTGATGGCTGGACATTGCATCATCCTAGAAAACTTGGAGGCCAGTTTGGAGAAAAATAAAAAGTTATAAGACTTTTAACACTTTGGATTTTTGGGTTATCTTTGGCGCCCCCTAGAACCTAAACCGTGGGGTGCAGCAAGATGATTTGTACAACTTTTAATGGCCATGGGGGGTAGATTGGCCTGCGCAAATGTGGTGCCGGTGGAACGAAAGCCTTCGGAGGAGTTAGCGAAATTCCAATGTGTGCAGATCTGCAAAAAATGCGAAATAACCCTTTAACCGTACATTTGACAGATACGCCCGCACTGACTTTTTTGTAGATCTTATTGAGATACATGTGTGTGTCAATTTTTGTGTCATTTTGACAAAGCGTACAGCCCGCATGTGAATTTTCACCTTAGGGGGCGCTATGGAGCCATTTTGCATTGTATTGTTTGGGCGACTTCAGAATATCGAATTTTTCACCAGGCCCGGTCTTCCTGCCAAATTTCATGAGTTTTCGCCAGTGGGAAGTGGGCCATTTTCCAGTTTAAAGCGGAGGAAAAATAACGAAAGAAGAATCCATCAGGAACAAGAGGGCTCTCGCAGCTGCTTAGCAGCTACGCTCGGGCCCTAATAACTAGGGCCCCGTTGGGGCACTGGCGGGCCCGAGCCGCGTTGCGCCGCCCCCAGTGCGACCGCCTCCCCCTCCCGATCGCGTCACACTCAAGGTCCAAAGATGGTGTGCGCACTTGTCTGTGGTCATTTCCCATTATAATGAATGGGAGGCGCAGTTTCTACCAAAACACTCGCTGCAGACAAACTACATGTCCTATTTGAAAAAAGTCTGGACCATGAGTGAGGGCACAAACACAGCTAGGATATATCCAAACGGCAAGTTGCTCCTCGTTACGGTGTTGCCGGGAGAGCGATGCGATTGAGCCATTGAGTGATGGGCAGGAAAAACTTGACTGTTTCTCATGCCATGGGGGATGGGGGATGGGGGATGGGGGATGGGGGGGGGGATGTGGATTCTTTTAAGAATGTGGATATTTGGGTCATCTTTGGCGCCCCCTAGAACGTAAACCGTGGGGTGCAGCGTCATGATTTTTACAACTTTGAATGGCCATGGGGTGTAGATTGGCCTGAGCAAATTTGGTATCAGTGGGACGAAAGCCTTAGGAGGAGTTAGCCACATTCCAATGTGTGCGAATCGGCAAAAAATGCAAAATAGCCCTTTAACCGTACATTTTACAGATACGCGCGCATTGACTTTTTCGTAGATCTTATTGAGATACATGTGTGTGTCAAATTTTGTGTCAATATGACAAAGCATACAGGTATGACAGTCAACAATGTGTATTTTCACCTTATGGGACAAGAAAAAATGGACTTTTTTCTCCTGCCATGGGGGGGCGCTCTTTTAGGGAGTAAAAATTCCTTCACAAATGTGTTGATGGCTGGACATTGCATCATCCTAGAAAACTTGGAGGCCAGAGAGGACAAAAATAAAAAGTTATAAGACTTTTAAATATGTGGATTTTAGGGTTATCTTTGGCGCCCCCTAGAACCTAAACCGTGGGGTGCAGCGTCATGATTTGAATAACTTTTAATGGCCATGGGGTGTAGATTGGCCTGAGCAAATGTGGTGCCGGTGGAACGAAAGCCTTCGGAGGAGTTAGCGAAATTCCAATGTGTGCGGATCGGCAAAAAATGCGCAATAACCCTTTAACCGTACATTTGACAGATACGCCCGCCCTGACTTTTTTGTAGATCTTATTGAGATACATGTGTGTGTCAATTTTTGTGTAATTTTGACAAAGCGTACAGGCGTGACAGTCAATAGTGTGAATTTTCACCTTATGGGACAAGAAAAAATGGACTTTTTTCTCCTGCCATGGGGGGCGCTCTTTTGGGGAGTAAAAATTCCTTCACAAATGTGTTGATGGCTGGACATTGCATCATCCTAGAAAACTTGGAGGCCAGTGAGGGCAAAAATAAAAAGTTATAAGACTTTGAAATATGTGGATTTTAGGGTTATCTTTGGCGCCCCCTAGAACCTAAACCGTGGGGTGCAGCGTCATGATTTGAATAACTTTTAATGGCCATGGGGTGTAGATTGGCCTGAGCAAATGTGGTGCCGGTGGAACGAAAGCCTTCGGAGGAGTTAGCGAAATTCCAATGTGTGCGGATCGGCAAAAAATGCGCAATAACCCTTTAACCGTACATTTGACAGATACGCCCGCACTGACTTTTTTGTAGATCTTATTGAGATACATGTGTGTGTCAATTTTTGTGTCATTTTGACAAAGCGTACAGGCGTCAGGTGAATTTTTCACCTTAGGGGGCGCTATGGAGCCATTTTGCATTGTATTGTTTGGGCGACTTCAGAATATCAAATTTTTCACCAGGCCCGGTCGTCCTGCCAAATTTCATGAGTTTTCGCCAGTGGGAAGTGGGCCATTTTCCAGTTCAAAGGGGAGGAAAAAGAAAAAAGAAACAAAGACTAGGACCCCGTTGGGGCACTGGCGGGCCCGAGCTGTGTCGCGCCCCCCCCCCAACGCGCTGCCTCCCCGTCCCATTTGTGTCCTCTGGCCATCGCCCTCTCTGGTAACGCCCATCACTGCAAAGACCCTTTTCCTTCATCGGCGTTTGCTGTTCTTCCTGCCAGTGCGTGTTGCTTTCACTTACACTTGCCACAGCCAGCCTCGTGAGTGCCTAGCCTATTGGATATCACTGTCATCTACACAGGACAGTCATAACCTTTCTATTAATACTTGTTTTTTAATTTCACATTAATTTCAATATTGTATAAATGACTGGAAAAAACTTGAGCCCCTGCCCCTGTATAATCATGTGCATGTCTCTGTTCTAGCTCCAAGGTGAATCTTCACTGCTCATGTTCTCCTCAGAAGCAGTCACCTCACTCCCCTCAGGTTACTGTACACATGCACCAACTGCCTGCTTCAGGTTTGGATGGAGCTTCATGGTTGTCTTTTGGAGAAATGACCAGTCAAGTTGTGTTTGAAATTTGATTTTTTTCAGGGGCAAAAGGAGCCTCTGCATTCTTGTCAAATATGTAAATAGCATGTTTTTGCAGGTGCTAAAAACCAGACTCTGAGTGTGTGTGTGTGCGTGTGTGTGTGTGTGTGTCTGTGTGTGTGTGTGTGTGTGTGTGTGTGCGTTCAAGTCACATGACATATTTAACCGGATGTAGCTGCAAGACGGAGCCTTGTTGACTCTGTTTCAACTTATCTCAAAAGTGAGGACCTCAACCTATATACCAGTTTTTAAATTGTGTTGATAGGCCAAATAAAACCAGAGTTATGATAAATTATGCCCGCGATACTTGTTTTCTGCTTATTTTGATCACGTTCGGCGCTCGATCGCGCTGTATGCGACAGGAAAACATAGCATGCAGACATTAGCGACAGGTCTTACAGGCGGAAAAGGCTTGCCAAAGGAAAAAAAAAACACACCACAACATCTCTCCTATTGGTGGAAAACTTCACCACAACAACCAATCCAAAATTATATGGTGACTGATTGACAAGGGGCGGGCGCTTACGTTCTTCCTGCAATATGAGAAGGGAGGAAGGGACTCTCAGCAGGGATGCAGTCTGGGACACGTAGTTGCAAACCTAGCGACTTTGTTGTTAGATTCAATGACTTTTCAGACCCCCTAACGACTTTTTTTTTAGAAAGAAAGTGACTTTTATCGACTTCTTCTGGAGTTTAGAGACTCTGACATGAAGCAGGCTTTCCTTACTGAGGAGTTAGCAACGCTGCTAAGGGTGCAGAGCCACACATGCGCTCCGAGCTCTGCATGGGAGACTGAAGCTGACAGAGCTGCAGCAGTTAGCAGGTTTCACCCTCAGAGACCACCAGGGGTTCATGTTGAGGCATTTTCAGTTTTTGGTTTTTTTTTGCCATAGACTGTCAGCACAATCTGCAGTTACACTAACAAAAATGCTGCAAAAAACAAAGAATTATGGAAAAATTACACATGGACTGACATAGAGGAGGATCTACACAAGTTTTTTACATCATGTTTTACATCATGCATCATTTACATCATGTTTTTTTGTAGTGGCATAAATAAAAAGTGACATTTGTGAGACTATACAGTGTTTTGTAAATAATTTTACAAAGAACGCCTGGGCCATTGCCTGCATTTTGATGTAAATAGAGGTAAATAACTATGTTCTTTGTTAAAAATTTGCATATGTTTTGAAGTTTACAATTTTTATTTGAAGTTTAAGTTTTAAAAACAGTTCATCACACATATTTGTGTTTTAATTTCACATTAATTTCCATATTGTATAAATGACTGGAAAAAACTTGAGCCCCTGCCCCTGTATAATCATGTGCACGTCCCTGTTCTAGCTCCAAGGTGAATCTTCACTGCTCATGTTCTCCTCAGAAATAGTCACCTCACTCCCCTCAGGTTACTGTACACATGCACCAACTATCTGCTTCAGGTTTGGATGGAGCTTCATGGTTGTCTTTTGGAGAAATGAACAGTCAAGTTGTGTTTGAAATCTGATTTTTTTCAGGGGCAAAAGGAAGCCTCTGCATTCTTGTCAAATATGTAAACAGCATGTTTTTGCAGGTGCTAAAAAACAGACTCTGAGTGTGTGTGTGTGTGTGTGTGTGTGTGTGTGTGTGTGTGTGTGTGTGTGTGTGTGTGTATATGTGTGTGTATCCTGCAGTACTCTGTACTCCTGCAGTGGCCAAAAAGACTTTTAAGAATGTGGATTTTTGTGTCATCTTTGGCGCCCCCTAGAACTGCAGTACTCTGTACTCCTGCAGTGGCCAAAATGACTTTTAAGAATGTGGATTTTTGGGTCATCTTTGGTGCCCCCTAGAACGTAAACCGTGGGGTGCAGCGTCATGATTTTTACAACTTTGAATGGCCATGGGATGTAGATCGGCTTGAGCAAATTTGGTGCCGATGGGACGAAAGCCTTAGGAGGAGATAGCCACATTCCAATGTGTGCGAATCGGCAAAAAATGCGAAATAGCCCTTTAACCGTACATTATACAGATACGCGCTTTTTGACTTTTTCGTAGATCTAATTGAGATACACATGATTGTCAATTTTTGTGTCAATATGACAAAGCGTTCAGGCGTGACACTCAACAATGTGTATTTTCATGTAAGGGGACAAGAAAAAATTGACTTTTTTCTCCTGCCATGGGGGGCGCTCTTTTGGGGAGTAAAAATTCCTTCACAAATGTGTTGATGGCTGGACATTGCATCATCCTAGAAAACTTGGAGGGCAGTGAGGACAAAAATAAAAAGTTATAAGACTTTTAAGAATGTGGATTTTGGGTTATCTTTGGCGCCCCCTAGAACGTTATAAGACTTGTGTCATTTGCGTCATGATTTGTACAACTTTTAATGGCCATGGGGGGTAGATTGGCCTGCGCAAATGTGGTGCCGGTCGAACGAAAGCCTTCGGAGGAGTTAGCGAAATTCCAATGTGTGCAGATCTGCAAAAAATGCAAAATAACCCATTAACCGTACATTTGACAGATACGCCCGCACTGACTTTTTTGTAGATCTTATTGAGATACATGTGTGTGTCAATTTTTGTGTCAATATGACAAAGCGTACAGCCGTCATGTGAATTTTCACCTTAGGGGGCGCTATGGAGCCATTTTGCATTTTATTGTTTGGGCGACTTCAGAATATCGAATTTTTCACCAGGCCCGGTCGTCCTGCCAAATTTCCTGAGTTTTCGCCAGTGGGAAGTGGGCCATTTTCCAGTTTAAAGCGGAGGAAAAATAATAACTAGGGCCCCGGTGGGGCACTGTCCCGATCGCGTCACACTCAAGGTCCAAAGATGGTGTGCGCACTTGTCTGTGGTCATTTCCCATTATAATGAATGGGAGGCGCAGTTTCTACCAAAACACTCGCTGCAGACAAACTACATGTCCTATTTGAAAAAAGTCTGGACCATGAGTGAGGGCACAAACACAGCTAGGATATATCCAAACGGCAAGTTGCTCCTCGTTACGGTGTTGCCGGGAGAGCGATGCGATTGAGCCATTGAGTGATGGGCAGGAAAAACTTGACTGTTTCTCCTGCCATGGGGGGTGGGGGATGGGGGGGGGATGTGGATTCTTTTAAGAATTTGGATATTTGGGTCATCTTTGGCGCCCCCTAGAACGTAAACCGTGGGGTGCAGCGTCATGATTTTTACAACTTTGAATGGCCATGGGGTGTAGATTGGCCTGAGCAAATTTGGTGTCAGTGGGACGAAAGCCTTAGGAGGAGTTAGCCACATTCCAATGTGTGCGAATCGGCAAAAAATGCAAAATAGCCCTTTAACCGTACATTTGACAGATACGCGCGCATTGACTTTTTTGTAGATCTTATTGAGATACATATGTGTGTCAATTTTTGTGTCAATATGATAAAGCGTACAGGCGTGACAGTCAATAGTGTGAATTTCCACCTTAGGGGACAAGAAAAAATTGACTTTTTTCTCCTGCCATGGGGGGGGGGCTCTTTTGGGGAGTAAAAATTCCTTCACAAATGTGTTGATGGCTGGACATTGCATCATCCTAGAAAACTTGGAGGCCAGTGAGGACAAAAATAACTAGGGCCCCGGTGGGGCACTGTCGGGCCCGAGCCGCGTCGCGCCGCCCCCAGCGCGACCGCCTCCCCCTCCCGATTGCATTACACTCAAGGTCCAAAAATGGTGTGCGCACTTGTCTGTGGTCATTTCCCATTATAATGAATGGGAGGCGCAGTTTCTACCAAAACGGTCGCTGCAGACAAACTACATGTCCTATTTGAAAAAAGTCTGGACCATGAGTGAGGGCACAAACACAGCTAGGATATATCCAAATGGCAAGTTGCTCCTCCTTATGGTGTTGCCGGGAGAGCGATGCGATTGAGCCATTGAGCGATGGGCAGGGTTAACTGGACTTTTTCTCCTGCCTTGGGGGGGGGGGGATGTGGATTCTTTTAAGAATGTGGATATTTGGGTCATCTTTGGCGCCCCCTAGAACGTAAACCATGGGGTGCAGCGGCATGATTTTTACAACTTTGAATGGCCATGGGATGTAGATTGGCTTGAGCAAATTTGGTGTCGGTGGGAAGAAAGCCTTAGGAGGAGTTAGCCACATTCCAATGTGTGCGAATCGGCAAAAAATGCGAAATAGCCCTTTAACCGTACATTTTACAGATACGTGCCCATTGACTTTTTCGTAGATCTTATTGAGATACACGTGTGTGTCAAATTTTGTGTCATTTTGACAAAGCGTATAGGCGTGACAGTCAACAATGTGTTTTTTCACCTTAGGGGACAAGAAAAAATTGACTTTTTTCTCCTGCCATGGGGGGGCGCCCTTTTCGGGAGTAAAAATTCCTTTACAAATGTGTTGATGGCTGGACATTGCATCATCCTAGAAAACTTGGAGGCCAGTGAGGACAAAAATAAAAAGTTATAAGACTATTAAGAATGTGGATTTTTGGGTTATCTTTGGCGCCCCCTAGAACCTAAACCGTGGAGTGCAGCGTCATGATTTTTACAACTTTTAATGGCCATGGGGTGTAGATTGGCCTGAGCAAATTTGGTGGCGGTGGAACTAAAGCCTTCGGAGGAGTTAGCGAAATTCCAATGTGTGCGGATCGGGAAAAAAAGCGAAATAACCCTTTAACCGTACATTTTACAGATACGTGCACATTGACTTTTTCGTAGATCTTATTGAGATACACGTGTGTGTCAAATTTTGTATCATTTTGACAAAGCGTATAGGCGTGACAGTCAACAATGTGTTTTTTCACCTTAGGGGACAAGAAAAAATGGACTTTTTTCTCCTGCCATGGGGGGGCGCCCTTTTCGGGAGTAAAAATTCCTTTACAAATGTGTTGATGGCTGGACATTGCATCATCCTAGAAAACTTGGAGGCCAGTGAGGACAAAAATAAAAAGTTATAAGACTATTAAGAATGTGGATCTTTGGGTTATCTTTGGCGCCCCCTAGAACCTAAACCGTGGAGTGCAGCGTCATGATTTTTACAACTTTTAATGGCCATGGGGTGTAGATTGGCCTGAGCAAATTTGGTGGCGGTGGAACTAAAGCCTTCGGAGGAGTTAGCGAAATTCCAATGTGTGCGGATCGGGAAAAAATGCGAAATAACCCTTTAACCGTACATTTTACAGATACGTGCACATTGACTTTTTCGTAGATCTTATTGAGATACACGTGTGTGTCAAATTTTGTATCATTTTGACAAAGCGTATAGGCGTGACAGTCAACAATGTGTTTTTTCACCTTAGGGGACAAGAAAAAATGGACTTTTTTCTCCTGCCATGGGGGGGCGCTCTTTTCGTGAGTAAAAATTCCTTCACAAATGTGTTGATGGCTGGACATTGCATCATCCTAGAAAACTTGGAGGCCAGTGAGGACAAAAATAAAAAGTTATAAGACTTTTAAGACTGTGGATTTTTGGGTTATCTTTGGCGCCCCCTAGAACGTAAACCGTGGGGTGCAGCGTCATGATTTGTACAACTTTTAATGGCCATGGGGTGTAGATTGGCCTGAGCAAATGTGGTGCCGGTGGAACGAAAGCCTTCGGAGGAGTTAGCGAAATTCCAATGTGTGCGGATCGGGAAAAAATGCGAAATAACCCTTTAACCGTACATTTTACAGATACGTGCACATTGACTTTTTCGTAGATCTTATTGAGATACACGTGTGTGTCAAATTTTGTATCATTTTGACAAAGCGTATAGGCGTGACAGTCAACAATGTGTTTTTTCACCTTAGGGGACAAGAAAAAATGGACTTTTTTCTCCTGCCATGGGGGGGCGCTCTTTTCGTGAGTAAAAATTCCTTCACAAATGTGTTGATGGCTGGACATTGCATCATCCTAGAAAACTTGGAGGCCAGTGAGGACAAAAATAAAAAGTTATAAGACTTTTAAGACTGTGGATTTTTGGGTTATCTTTGGCGCCCCCTAGAACGTAAACCGTGGGGTGCAGCGTCATGATTTGTACAACTTTTAATGGCCATGGGGTGTAGATTGGCCTGAGCAAATGTGGTGCCGGTGGAACGAAAGCCTTCGGAGGAGTTAGCGAAATTCCAATGTGTGCAGATCGGCAAAAAATGCGAAATAACCCTCTAACCGTACATTTCACAGATGCGCCCGCGCTGACTTTTTCGTAGACCGTATTGAGATACACGTGTGTGTCAATTTTTGTGTCAAAATGACAAAGCGTACAGGCGTGACAGTCAATAGTGTGAATTTTCGCCTTAGGGGGCGCTATGGAGCCATTTTGCATTTTATTGTTTGGGCGACTTCAGAATATCGAATTTTTCACCGGGCCCGGTCGTCCTGCCAAATTTCCTGAGTTTTCGCCAGTGGGAAGTGGGCCATTTTCCCCTTCAAAGGGGAGGAAAAATAAGAAGAAAGAAAGAAAGAAAGAAAGAAGAAAGAAAAACCTATACAGGAATAATAGGGCTCTACGCCCGGCTGCTCTGCAGCTGGCTCGGGCCCTAAAAAACCACTTGGGGAATAATAGGGCTCTCGCAGCTGCTTAGCAGCTACGCTCGGGCCCTAATAACAAACTAGGGCCCCGTTGGGGCACTGGCGGGCCCGAGCCGTGTCGCGCCGCCCCCAGCGCGACCGCCTACCCCTCCCGATCGCGTCACACTCAAGGTCCAAAGATGGTGTGCGCACTTGTCAGTGGTCATTTACCATTATAATGAATGGGAGGCGCAGTTTCTACCAAAACGCTCGCTGCAGACAAACTCCATGTCCTTTTTGAAAAAAGTCTGGACCATGAGTGAGGGCACAAACACAGCTAGTATATATCCAAATGGCAAGTTGCTCCTCCTTTCGGTTTTGCCGAGAGAGCGATGCGTTTGAGCCATTGAGCGATGGGCAGGAAAAACTTGACTTTTTCTCCTGCCATGGGGGGCGCTCTTTTGGGGAGAAAAATTCCTTCACAAATGTGTTGATGGCTGGACATTGCATCATCCTAGAAAACTTGGAGGCCAGTGAGGACAAAAATAAAAAGTTATAAGACTTTTAAAAATGTGGATATTTGGGTCCTCTTTGGCGCCCCCTAGAACGTAAACTGTGGGGTGCAGCGTCATGATTTGTACAACTTTGAATGGCCATAGGGTGTAGATTGACCTGAGCAAATTTGAAGCCGATGGGACAAAAGATTTAGGAGGAGTTAGCCACATTCCAATGTGTGCGAATCGGCAAAAAATGCAAAATAGCCCTTTAACCGTACATTATACAGATACGCGCTCTTTGACTTTTTCGTAGATCTAATTGAGATACACATGATTGTCAATTTTTGTGTCAATATGACATAGCGTTCAGGCGTGACACTCAACAATGTGTATTTTCATGTAAGGGGACAAGAAAAAATTGACTTTTTTCTCCTACCATGGGGGGCGCTCTTTTGGGGAGTAAAAATTCCTTCACAAATGTGTTGATGGCTGGACATTGCATCATCCTAGAAAACTTGGAGGCCAGTGAGGACAAAAAAAAAAAGTTAAAACATTTAAGAATGTGGATTTTTGGGTTATTTTTGGCGCCCCCTAGAACCTAAACCATGGGGTGCAGCATCATGATTTGAATAACTTTTAATGGCCATGGGGTGTAGATTGGCCTGAGCAAATGTGGTGCCGGTGGAACGAAAGCCTTCGGAGGAGTTAGCGAAATTCCAATGTGTGCGGATCGGCAAAAAATGCGCAATAACCCTTTAACCGTACATTTGACAGATACGCCCGCACTGACTTTTTTGTAGATCTTATTGAGATACATGTGTGTGTCAATTTTTGTGTCATTTTGCCAAAGCGTACAGGCGTGACACTCAACAATGTGTATTTTCACCTTAGGGGACAAGAAAAAATGGACTTTTTTCTCCTGCCATGGGGGGGGGCGCTCTTTTGGCGAGTAAAAATTCCTTCACAGATGTGTTGATGGCTGGACATTGCATCATCCTAGAAAACTTGGAGGCCAGTGAGGACAAAAATAAAAAGTTATAAGACTTTTAAATATGTGGATTTTAGTGTTATCTTTGGCGCCCCCTAGAACCTAAACCTTGGGGTGCAGCGTCATGATTTTGATAACTTCTAATGGCCATGGGGTGTAGATTGGCCTGAGCAAATGTGGTGCCGGTGGAACGAAAGCCTTAGGAGGAGTTAGCCACATTCCAATGTGTGCGGATCGGCAAAAAATGCGGAATAACCCTTTAACCGTACATTTGACAGATACGCGCGCATTGACTTTTTCGTAGATCTTATTGAGTTACATGTGTGTGTCAATTTTTGTGTCATTTTGACAAAGCGTATAGGCGTGACACTCAACAATGTGTATTTTCACCTTAGGGGACAAGAAAAAATTGACTTTTTTCTCTTGCCATGGGGGGCGCTCTTTTGGGGAGTAAAAATTCCTTCACAAATGTGTTGATGGCTGGACATTGCATCATCCTAGAAAACTTGGAGGCCAGTGAGGACAAAAATAAAAAGTTATAAGACTTTTAAATATGTGGATTTTAGTGTTATCTTTGGCGCCCCCTAGAACCTAAACCTTGTGGTGAAGCGTCATGATTTTGATAACTTTTAATGGCCACGGGGTGTAGATTGGCCTGAGCAAATGTGGTGCCGGTGGAACGAAAGCCTTCGGAGAAGTTAGCGAAATTCCAATGTGTGCGGATCGGCAAAAAATGCGAAATAACCCTTTAACCGTAATTTTGACAGATACGGCCGCACTGACTTTTTTGTAGATCTTATTGAGATACATATGTGTGTCAATTTTTGTGTCAATATGACAAAGCGTACAGGCGTGACAGTCAATAGTGTGAATTTCCACCTTAGGGGGCGCTATGGAGCCATTTTGCATTTTATTGTTTGGGCGACTTCAGAATATCGAATTTTTCACCAGGCCCGGTCGTCCTGCCAAATTTCATGAGTTTTCGCCAGTGGGAAGTGGGCCATTTTCCAGTTCAAAGGGGAGGAAAAAGAAGAAAGAAAGAAAGAAACAAAGAAAAACCACTTGGGGAATAATAGGGCTCTCGCAGCTGCTTAGCAGCTACGCTCGGGCCCTAAAGAAGGAAACATGCAGGAACAAGAGGGCTCTCGCAGCTGCTTAGCAGCTACGCTCGGGCCCTAAAAAGAAGGAAACATGCAGGAACAAGAGGGCTCTCGCAGCTGCTTAGCAGCTACGCTCGGGCCCTAAAGAAAGAAACAAAGAAAAACCACTTGGGGAATAATAGGGCCTACGCCCGGCTGCTCTGCAGCTGGCTCGGGCCCTAACTAGGACCCCGTTGGGGCACTGGCGGGCCCGAGCCGTGTCGCGTCTCTCCCCCCCCCCCCCCCCCAACGTGCTGCCTCCCCGTCCCATTTGTGTCCTCTGGCCATCGCCCTCTCTGTTAACGCCCATCACTGCAAAGACCCTTTTCCTTCATCGGCGTTTGCTGTTCTTCCTGCCAGTGCGTGTTGCTTTCACTTACACTTGCCACAGCCAGCCTCGTGAGTGCCTAGCCTATTGGATATCACTGTCACCTACACAGGACAGTCATTACCTTTCTATTAATACTTTGTGTTTTAATTTCACATTAATTTCCATATTGTATAAACGACTGGAAAAAACTTGAGCCCCTGCCCCTGTATAATCATGTGCATGTCTCTGTTCTAGCTCCAAGGTGAATCTTCACTGCTCATGTTCTCCTCAGAAGCACTCACCTCACTCCCCTCAGGTTACTGTACACATGCACCAACTGCCTGCTTCAGGTTTGGATGGAGCTTCATGGTTGTCTTTTGGAGAAATGACCAGTCAAGTTGTGTTTGAAATTTGATTTTTTTCAGGGGCAAAAGGAGCCTCTGCATTCTTGTCAAATATGTAAATAGCATGTTTTTGCAGGTGCTAAAAACCAGACTCTGAGTGTGTGTGTGTGTGTGTGTGTGTGTGTGCGTGTGTGTGTGTCTGTGTGTGCGTTCAAGTCACATGACATATTTAACCGGATGTAGCTGCAAGACGGAGCCTCGTTGACTCTCCGTTTCAACTTATCTCAAAAGTGAGGACCTCAACCTATATACCAGTTTTTAAATTGTGTTGATAGGCCAAATAAAACCAGAGTTATGATAAATTATGTCCGCGATACTTTTTTTCTGCTTATTTTGATCACGTTCGGCGCTCGATCGCGCTGTATGAGACAGGAAAACATACCATGCAGACATTAGCGACAGGTCTTACAGGCGGAAAAGGCTTGCCAAAAGAAAAAAAAAACACACCACAACATCTCTCCTATTGGTGGAAAACTTCACCACAACAACCAATCCAAAATTATATGGTGACTGATTGACAAGGGGCGGGCGCTTACGTTCTTCCTGCAACATGAGAAGGGAGGGAGGGACTCTCAGCAGGGATGCAGTCTGGGACACGTAGTTGCAAACCTAGCGACTTTGTTGTTAGATTCAATGACTTTTCAGACACCCTAACGACTTTTTTTTAGAAAGAAAGGGACTTTTATCGACTTCTTCTGGAGTTTAGAGACTCTGACATGAAGCAGGCTTTCCTTACTGAGGAGTTAGCAACGCTGCTAAGGGTGCAGAGCCACACATGCGCTCAGAGCTCTGCATGGGAGACTGAAGCTGACAGAGCTGCAGCAGTTAGCAGGTTTCACCCTCAGAGACCACCAGGGGTTCCTGACGAGGCATTTAACTTATTTTTTTTTTTGTGCCATAGACACTGTCAGCACAATCTGCAGTTACACGAACAAAAATGCTGCAAAAAACAAAGAATTATGGAAAAATTACACATGGACTGACATAGAGGAGGATCTACACAAGTTTTTTACATCATGTTTTACATCATGCATCATTTACATCATGTTTTTTTGTAGTGGCATAAATAAAAAGTGACATTTGTGAGACTATACAGTGTTTTGTAAATAATTTTACAAAGAACGCCTGGGCCATTGCCTGCATTTTGATGTAAATAGAGGTAAATTACTATGTTCTTTGTTAAAAATTTGCATATGTTTTGAAGTTTACAATTTTTATTTGAAGTTTAAGTTTTAAAAACAGTTCATCACACATATTTGTGGTTTAATTTCACATTAATTTCCATATTGTATAAATGACTGGAAAAAACTTGAGCCCCTGCCCCTGTATAATCATGTGCACGTCCCTGTTCTAGCTCCAAGGTGAATCTTCACTGCTCATGTTCTCCTCAGAAATAGTCACCTCACTCCCCTCAGGTTACTGTACACATGCACCAACTATCTGCTTCAGGTTTGAAATGGAGCTTCATGGTTGTCTTTTGGAGAAATGAACAGTCAAGTTGTGTTTGAAATTTGATTTTTTTCAGGGGCAAAAGAAAGCCTCTGCATTCTTGTCAAATATGTAAACAGCATGTTTTTGCAGGTGCTAAAAAACAGACTCTGAGTGTGTGTGTGTGTGTATGTGTGTGTGTGTGTGTGTGTGTGTGTGTGTGTGTGTGTGTGTGTGTGTATGTTGGCGTGTGTGTATATGTGTGTGTATCCTGCAGTACTCTGTACTCCTGCAGTGGCCAAAAAGACTTTTAAGAATGTGGATTTTTGGGTCATCTTTGGCGCCCCCTAGAACTGCAGTACTCTGTACTCCTGCAGTGGCCAAAATGACTTTTAAGAATGTGGATTTTTGGGTCATCTTTGGCGCCCCCTAGAACGTAAACCGTGGGGTGCAGCGTCATGATTTTTACAACTTTGAATGGGCATGGGGTGTAGATTGCCCTGAGCAAATTTGGTATCGGTGGGACGAAAGCCTTAGGAGGAGATAGCCACATTCCAATGTGTGCGAATCGGCAAAAAATGCAAAATAGCCCTTTAACCGTACATTATACAGATGCGCGCTCTTTGACTTTTTCGTAGATCTAATTGAGATACACATAATTGTCAATTTTTGTGTCAATATGACAAAGCGTTCAGGCGTGACACTCAACAATGTGTATTTTTACCTTAGGGGACAAGAAAAAATGGACTTTTTTCTCCTACCATGGGGGGGCGCTCTTTTGGGGAGTAAAAATTCCTTCACAAATGTGTTGATGGCTGGACATTGCATCATCCTAGAAAACTTGGAGGCCAGTGAGGGCAAAAATAAAAAGTTATAAGACTTTTAAATATGTGGATCTTAGGGTTATCTTTGGCGCCCCCTAGAACCTAAACCGTGGGGTGCAGCGTCATGATTTGAATAACTTTTAATGGCCATGGGGTGTAGATTGGCCTGAGCAAATGTGGTGCCGGTGGAACGAAAGCCTTCGGAGGAGTTAGCGAAATTCCAATGTGTGCGGAACGGCAAAAAATGCGAAATAACCCTTTAACCGTACATTTGACAGATACGCCCGCACTGACTTTTTTGTAGATCTTATTGAGATACATGTGTGTGTCAATTTTTGTGTCATTTGGACAAAGCGTACACGCGTGACAGTCAATAGTGTGAATTTTCACCTTAGGGGGCGCTATGGAGCCATTTTCTCATTTTCTTGTTTGGGCGACTTCGGAATATCAAATTTTTCACCAGGCCCGGTCGTCCTGCCAAATTTCATGAGTTTTCGCCAGTGGGAAGTGGGCCATTTTCCAGTTCAAAGGGGAGGAAAAATAATAACTAGGGCCCCGTTGGGGCACTGGCGGGCCCGAGCCGTGTCACGCCGCCCCCAGCGCGACCGCCTCCCCCACCCGATCGCGTCACACTCAAGGTCCAAAGATGGTGTGCGCACTTGTTTGTGGTCATTTACCATTATAATGAACGGGAGGCGCAGTTTCTACCAAAACGCTCGCTGCAGAAAAACTCCATGTCCTATTTGAAAAAAGTCTGGACCATGAGTGAGGGCACAAACACAGCTAAGATATATCCAAATGGCAAGTTGCTCCTCCTTTCGCTTTTGCCGAGAGAGCAGTGCGTTTGAGCCATTGAATGATGAACAGGAAAAACTTGACTTTATTCTCCTGCCATGGGGGGCGCTCTTTTAACGAGAAAAAACTCCTTCACAAATGTGTTGATGGCTGGACATTGCATCATCCTAGAAAACATGGAGGCCAGTGAGGACAAAAATAAAAAGTTATAAGACTTTTAAATATGTGGATTTTAGGGTTATATTTGGCGCCCCCTAGAACCTAAACCGTGGGGTGCAGCGTCATGATTTGAATAACTTTTAATGGCCATGGGGTGTAGATTGGCCTGAGCAAATGTGGTGCCGGTGGAACGAAAGCCTTCGGAGGAGTTAGCGAAATTCCAATGTGTGCGAATCTGCAAAAAATGCGAAATAACCCTTTAACCGTACATTTTACAGATACGTGGCCATTGACTTTTTCGAAGATCTTATTGAAAGACACGTGTATGTAAAATTTTGTGTCAATACGACAAAACATACAGGCGTAGCACTCAACAATGTGTATTTTCACCTTAGTGGACAAGAAAAAATGGACTTTTTTCTCCTGCCATGGGGGGGCGCTCTTTTGGCGAGTAAAAATTCCTTCACAAATGTGTTGATGGCTGGACATTGCATCATCCTAGAAAACTTGGAGGCCAGTGGGGACAAAAATAAAAAGTTATAAGACTTTTAAATATGTGGATTTTACGGTTATCTTTGGCGCCCCCTAGAACCTAAACCGTGGGGTGCAGCGTCATGATTTGAATAACTTTTAATGGCCATGGGGTGTAGATTGGCCTGAGAAAATGTGGTGCCGGTGGAACGAAAGCCTTCGGAGGAGTTAGCGAAATTCCAATGTGTGCGGATCGGCAAAAAATGCGGAATAACCCTTTAACCGTACATTTGACAGATACGTGCGCATTGACTTTTTTGTAGATCTTATTGAGATACATGTGTGTCTCAATTTTGGTGTCATTTTGCCAAAGCGTACAGGTGTTACACTCAACAATGTGTATTTTCACCTTAGGGGACAAGAAAAAATGGACTTTTTTCTCCTGCCATGGGGGGGCGCTCTTTTGGGGAGTAAAAATTCCTTCACAAATGTGTTGATGGCTGGACATTGCATCATCCTAGAAAACTTGGAGGCCAGTGAGGGCAAAAATAAAAAGTTATAAGACTTTTAAATATGTGGATCTTAGGGTTATCTTTGGCGCCCCCTAGAACCTAAACCGTGGGGTGCAGCGTCATGATTTGAATAACTTTAAATGGCCATGGGGTGTAGATTGGCCTGAGCAAATGTGGTGCCGGTGGAACGAAAGCCTTCGGAGGAGTTAGCGAAATTCCGATGTGTGCGGATCGGCAAAAAATGCGAAATAACCCTTTAACCGTACATTTGACAGATACGCGCGCATTGACTTTTTTGTAGATCTTATTGAGATACATGTGTGTGTCAATTTTTGTGTCATTTTGACAAAGCGTACAGGCGTGACAGTCAATAGTGTGAATTTTCACCTTAGGGGGCGCTATGGAGCCATTTTGCATTTTCTTGTTTGGGCGACTTCGGAATATCAAATTTTTCACCAGGCCCGGTAGTCCTGCCAAATTTCATGAGTTTTCGCCAGTGGGAAGTGGGCCATTTTCCAGTTCAAAGGGGAGGAAAAATAATAATAATAACTAGGGCCCCGGTGGGGCACTGTCGGGCCCGAGCCGCGTCGAGCCGCCCCCAGCGCGACCGCCTCCCCCTCCCGATCGCGTCACACACAAGGTCCAAAGATGGTGTGCGCACTTGTCTGTGGTCATTTCCCATTATAATGAATGGGAGGCGCAGTTTCTACCAAAACACTCGCTGCAGACAAACTACATGTCCTATTTGAAAAAAGTCTGGACCATGAGTGAGGGCACAAACACAGCTAGGATATATCCAAACGGCAAGTTGCTCCTCATTACGGTGTTGCCGGGAGAGCGATGCGATTGAGCCATTGAGTGATGGGCAGGAAAAACTTGGGGGATGGGGGGGGGGGGATGTAGATTCTTTTAAGAATGTGGATATTTGGACATTGCATCATCCTAGAAAACTTGGAGGCCAGTGAGGACGAAAATAAAAAGTTATAAGACTTTTAAATATGTGGATATTTGTGTCATCTTTGGCGCCCCCTAGAACGTAAACTGTGGGGTGCAGCGTCATGATTTGAATAACTTTCAATGGCCATGGGGTGTAGATTGGCCTGAGCAAATTTGGTGCCGATGGAACGAAAGCCTTCAGAGGAGTTAGCCACATTCCAATGTGTGCGGATCAGCAAAAAATGCGGAATAACCCTTTAACCGTACATTTGACAGATACGCGTGCATTGACTTTTTCGTAGATCTTATTGAGATACATGTGTGTGTCAATTTTTGTGTCATTTTGACAAAGCGTACAGGCGTGACACTCAACAGTGCGTATTTTCACCTTAGGGGACAAGAAAAAATGGACTTTTTTCTCCTGCCATGGGGGGGCGCTCTTTTGGGGAGTAAAAATTCCTTCACAAATGTGTTGATGGCTGGACATTGCATCATCCTAGAAAACTTGGAGGCCAGTGAGGGCAAAAATAAAAAGTTATAAGACTTTGAAATATGTGGATTTTAGGGTTATCTTTGGCGCCCCCTAGAACCTAAACCGTGGGGTGCAGCGTCATGATTTGAATAACTTTTAATGGCCATGGGGTGTAGATTGGCCTGAGCAAATGTGGTGCCGGTGGAACGAAAGCCTTCGGAGGAGTTAGCGAAATTCCAATGTGTGCGGATCGGCAAAAAATGCGCAATAACCCTTTAACCGTACATTTGACAGATACGCCCGCACTGACTTTTTTGTAGATCTTATTGAGATACATGTGTGTGTCAATTTTTGTGTCATTTTGCCAAAGCGTACAGGCGTGACACTCAACAATGTGTATTTTCACCTTAGGGGACAAGAAAAAATGGACTTTTTTCTCCTGCCATGGGGGGGGGGGGCGCTCTTTTGGCGAGTAAAAATTCCTTCACAAATGTGTTGATGGCTGGACATTGCATCATCCTAGAAAACTTGGAGGCCAGTGAGGGCAAAAATAAAAAGTTATAAGACTTTTAAATATGTGGATCTTAGGGTTATCTTTGGCGCCCCCTAGAACCTAAACCGTGGGGTGCAGCGTCATGATTTGAATAACTTTAAATGGCCATGGGGTGTAGATTGGCCTGAGCAAATGTGGTGCCGGTGGAACGAAAGCCTTCGGAGGAGTTAGCGAAATTCCGATGTGTGCGGATCGGCAAAAAATGCGAAATAACCCTTTAACCGTACATTTGACAGATACGCGCGCATTGACTTTTTTGTAGATCTTATTGAGATACATGTGTGTGTCAATTTTTGTGTCATTTTGACAAAGCGTACAGGCGTGACAGTCAATAGTGTGAATTTTCACCTTAGGGGGCGCTATGGAGCCATTTTGCATTTTCTTGTTTGGGCGACTTCGGAATATCAAATTTTTCACCAGGCCCGGTAGTCCTGCCAAATTTCATGAGTTTTCGCCAGTGGGAAGTGGGCCATTTTCCAGTTCAAAGGGGAGGAAAAATAATAATAATAACTAGGGCCCCGGTGGGGCACTGTCGGGCCCGAGCCGCGTCGAGCCGCCCCCAGCGCGACCGCCTCCCCCTCCCGATCGCGTCACACTCAAGGTCCAAAGATGGTGTGCGCACTTGTCTGTGGTCATTTCCCATTATAATGAATGGGAGGCGCAGTTTCTACCAAAACACTCGCTGCAGACAAACTACATGTCCTATTTGAAAAAAGTCTGGACCATGAGTGAGGGCACAAACACAGCTAGGATATATCCAAACGGCAAGTTGCTCCTCATTACGGTGTTGCCGGGAGAGCGATGCGATTGAGCCATTGAGTGATGGGCAGGAAAAACTTGGGGGATGGGGGGGGGGATGTAGATTCTTTTAAGAATGTGGATATTTGGACATTGCATCATCCTAGAAAACTTGGAGGCCAGTGAGGACGAAAATAAAAAGTTATAAGACTTTTAAATATGTGGATATTTGTGTCATCTTTGGCGCCCCCTAGAACGTAAACTGTGGGGTGCAGCGTCATGATTTGAATAACTTTCAATGGCCATGGGGTGTAGATTGGCCTGAGCAAATTTGGTGCCGATGGAACGAAAGCCTTCAGAGGAGTTAGCCACATTCCAATGTGTGCGGATCAGCAAAAAATGCGGAATAACCCTTTAACCGTACATTTGACAGATACGCGTGCATTGACTTTTTCGTAGATCTTATTGAGATACATGTGTGTGTCAATTTTTGTGTCATTTTGACAAAGCGTACAGGCGTGACACTCAACAGTGCGTATTTTCACCTTAGGGGACAAGAAAAAATGGACTTTTTTCTCCTGCCATGGGGGGCGCTCTTTTGGGGAGTAAAAATTCCTTCACAAATGTGTTGATGGCTGGACATTGCATCGTCCAAGAAAACTTGGAGGCCAGTGAGGACAAAAATAAAAAGTTATAAGACTTTTAAGAATGTGGATATTTGGGTCATCTTTGGCGCCCCCTAGAACGTAAACCGTGGGGTGCAGCATCATGATTTGTACAACTTTTAATGGCCATGGGGTGTAGATTGGCCTGAGCAAATTTGGTGTCGGTGGAATGAAAGCCTTCGGAGGAGTTAGTGAAATTCCAATGTGTGCGGATCGGCAAAAAATGCAAAATAGCCCTTTTACCGTACATTATACAGATACGCGCTCTTTGACTTTTTCGTAGATCTTATTGAGATACACGTGATTGTCAAATTTTGTGTCAATATGACAAAGCGTTTAGGCGTGACACTCAACAATGTGTATTTTCACCTTAGGGGACAAGAAAAAATGGACTTTTTTCTACTGCCATGGGGGGGCGCTCTTTTGGGGAGTAAAAATTCCTTCACAAATGTGTTGATGGCTGGACATTGCATCATCCTAGAAAACTTGGAGGCCAGTGAGGACAAAAATAAAAAGTTATAAGACTTTTAAGAATGTGGCTTTTTGGGTTATCTTTGGCGCCCCCTAGAACCTAAACCGTGGGGTGCAGCGTCATGATTTGTACAACTTTTAATGGCCATGGGGTGTAGATTGGCCTGAGCAAATTTGGTGCCGGTGGAAGGAAAGCCTTCGGAGGAGTTAGCGAAATTCCAATGTGTGCGGATCGGCAAAAAATGCGAAATAGCCCTTTAACGGTACATTTGACAGATACGCCCGCACTGACTTTTTTGTAGATCTTATTGAGATACACATGTGTGTCAATTTTTGTGTCATTTTGACAAAGCGTACAGGCGTCAGGTGAGTTTTCACCATAGGGGGCGCTATGGAGCCATTTTTCATTTTTTTGTTTGGGCGACTTCAGAATATCGAATTTTTCACCAGGCCCGGTCGTCCTGCCAAATTTCCTGAGTTTTCGCCAGTGGGAAGTGGGCCATTTTCCAGTTTAAAGCGGAGGAAAAATAACGAAAGAAGAATCCATCAGGAACAAGAGGGCTCTCGCAGCTGCTTAGCAGCTACGCTCGGGCCCTAATAACAAAAGAAGGAAACATGCAGGAACAAGAGGGCTCTCGCAGCTGCTTAGCAGCTACGCTCGGGCCCTAACTAGGGCCCCGTTGGGGCACTGGCGGGCCCGAGCCATGTTGCGCCACCCCCAGCGGGACCGCCTCCCCCTCCCGATCCCGTCACACTCAAGGTCCAAAGATGGTGTGCGCACTTGTCTGTGGTCATTTACCATTATAATGGATGGGAGGCGCAGTTTCTACCAAAACGCTCGCTGCAGACAAACTCCTGGCCCTTTTTGAAAAAAGTCTGGACCATGAGTGAGGGCACAAACACAGCTAGTATATATCCAAATGGCAAGTTGCTCCTCCTTTCGGTTTTGCCGAGAGAGCGATGCGTTTGAGCCATTGAGTGATGGGCAGGAAAAACTTGACTTTTTCTACTGCCATAGGGGGGCGCTCTTTTGGGGAGTAAAAATTCCTTCACAAATGTGTTGATGGCTGAACATTGCATCATCCTAGAAAACTTGGAGGCCAGTGAGGACAAAAATAAAAAGTTACAAGACTTTTAAGAATGTGGATATTTGGGTCCTCTCTGGCGCCCCCTTGAACCTAAACCGTGGGGTGCAGCGTCATGATTTGTACAACTTTGAAAGGCCATGGGGTGTAGATTGGCCTGAGCAAATTTGGTGTTGGTGGGACGAAAGCTTTAGGAGGAGTTAGCCACATTCCAATGTGTGGAATGTGGATTTTTGGGTCATCTTTGGCGCCCCCTAGAACGTAAACCGTGGGGTGCAGCGTCATGATTTTTACAACTTTGAATGGCCATCGCGTGTAGATTGGCCTGAGCAAATTTGGTGTCAGTGGGACGAAGACCTTAGGAGGAGTTAGCCACATTCCAATGTGTGCGAATCGGCAAAAAATGCTAAATAGCCCTTTAACCGTACATTTTACAGATATGCGCGAATTTACTTTTTCGTAGATCTTATTCAGATACACGTGATTGTCAAATTTTGTGTCAATATGACAAAGCGTACAGGCGTGACACTCAACAATGTGAATTTTCACCTTAGGGGACAAGAAAAAATGGACTTTTTTCTCCTGCCATGGGGGGGCGCTCTTTTGGGGAGTAAAAATTCCTTCACAAATGTGTTGATGGCTGGACATTGCATAATCCTAGAAAACTTGGAGGCCAGTGAGGAAAAAAATAAAAAGTTATAAGACTTTCAAGGCTGTGGATTTTTGGGTTATATTTTGCGCCATCTAGAACCTTAACCGTGGGGTGCAGCGTCATGATTTGTACAACTTTTAATGGCCATGGAGTGTAGATTGGCCTGAGCAAATGTGGTGCCGGTGGAACGAAAGCCTTCGGAGGAGTTAGCGAAATTCCAATGTGTGCGGATCGGCAAAAAATGTGAAATAACCCTTTAACCGTAAATTTGACAGATATTCCCGCACTGACTTTTTTGTAGATCTTATTGAGATACATGTGTGTGTCAATTTTTGTGTCAATATGACAAAGCGTACAGGCGTGACAGTCAATAGTGTGAATTTTCACCTTAGGGGGCGCTATGGAGCCATTTTGCATTTTATTATTTGGGCGACTTCAAAATATCGAATTTTTCACCAGGCCTGGTCGTCCTGCCAAATTTCATGAGTTTTCGCCAGTGGGAAGTGGGCCATTTTCCCCTTCAAAGAGGAGGAAAAATAAGAACTAGGGCCCCGGTGGGGCACTGTCGGGCCCGAGCCGCGTCGCGCCGCCCCCAGCGCGACCGCCTCCCCCTCCCGATCGCGTCACACTCAAGGTCCAAAGATGGTGTGCGCACTTGTCTGTGGTCATTTCCCATTATAATGAATGGGAGGCGCAGTTTCTACCAAAACACTCGCTGCAGACAAACTTCATGTCCTATTTGAAAAAAGTCTGGACCATGAGTGAGGGCACAAACACAGCTATGATATATCGAAATGGCAGGTTGCTCCTCCTTACGGTGTTGCCTGGAGAGCGATGCGATTGAGCCATTGAGCGATGGGCAGGGTTAACTTGAGTTTTTCTCCTGCCTTGGGGGGGGGGGGGGATGTGGATTCTTTTAAGAATGTGGATTTTTGGGTCATCTTTGGCGCCCCCTAGAACGTAAACCGTGGGGTGCAGCGTCATGATTTTTACAACTTTGAATGGCCATGGGGTGTAGATTGGCCTGAGCAAATTTGGTGTCAGTGGGACGAAAGCCTTAGGAGGAGTTAGCCACATTCCAATGTGTGCGAATCGGCAAAAAATGCGGAATAACCCTTTAACCGTACATTTGACAGATACGCGCGCATTGACTTTTTTGTAGATATTATTGAGATACATATGTGTGTCAATTTTTGTGTCAATATGATAAAGCGTACAGGCGTGACAGTCAATAGTGTGAATTTCCACCTTAGGGGACAAGAAAAAATTGACTTTTTTCTCCTGCCATGGGGGGGGGCGCTCTTTTGGGGAGTAAAAATTCCTTCACAAATGTGTTGATGGCTGGACATTGCATCATCCTAGAAAACTTGGAGGCCAGTGAGGACAAAAATAAAAAGTTATAAGACTTTTAAATATGTGGATTTTAGGGTTATCTTTGGCGCCCCCTAGAACCTAAACCGTGGGGTGCAGCGTCATGATTTGAATAACTTTTAATGGCCATGGGGTGTAGATTGGCCTGAGCAAATGTGGTGCCGGTGGAACGAAAGCCTTCGGAGGAGTTAGCGAAATTCCAATGTGTGCGGATCGGCAAAAAATGCGGAATAACCCTTTCACCGTACATTTGACAGATACGCGCGCATTGACTTTTTCGTAGATCTTATTGAGATACATGTGTGTGTCAATTTTTGTGTCATTTTGCCAAAGCGTACAGGTGTTAAACCCAACAATGTGTATTTTCACCTTAGGGGACAAGAAAAAATGGACTTTTTTCTCCTGCCATAGGGGGGCGCTATTTTGGGGAGTAAAAATTCCTTCACAAATGTGTTGATGGCTGGACATTGCATCATCCTAGAAAACTTGGAGGCCAGTGAGGGCAAAAATAAAAAGTTATAAGACTTTTAAATATGTGGATCTTAGGGTTATCTTTGGCGCCCCCTAGAACCTAAACCGTGGGGTGCAGCATCATGATTTGAATAACTTTTAATGGCCATGGGGTGTAGATTGGCCCGAGCAAATGTGGTGCCGGTGGAACGAAAGCCTTCGGAGGAGTTAGCGAAATTCCAATGTGTGCGGATCGGCAAAAAATGCGAAATAACCCTTTAACCGTACATTTGACAGATACGCCCGCACTGACTTTTTTGTAGATCTTATTGAGATACATGTGTGTGTCAATTTTTGTGTCATTTTGACAAAGCGTACAGGCGTGACAGTCAATAGTGTGAATTTTCACCTTAGGGGGCGCTATGGAGCCATTTTGCATTTTCTTGTTTGGGCGACTTCGGAATATCAAATTTTTCACCAGGCCCGGTCGTCCTGCCAAATTTCATGAGTTTTCGCCAGTGGGAAGTGGGCCATTTTCCAGTTCAAAGGGGAGGAAAAAGAAGAAAGAAAGAAAGAAAGAAACAAAGAAAAACCCCTTGGGGAATAATAGGGCTCTCGCAGCTGCTTAGCAGCTACGCTCGGGCCCTAAAAAGAAACAAAGAAAAACCACTTGGGGAATAATAGGGCTCTCGCAGCTGCTTAGCAGCTACGCTCGGGCCCTAACTAGGGCCCCGTTGGGGCACTGGCGGGCCCGAGCTGTGTCGCCCCCCCCCCCCCCCCCCCCAACGCGCTGCCTCCCCGTCCCATTCGCGTCCTCTGGCCATCGTCCTCTCTGGTAACGCCCATCACTGCAAAGACCCTTTTCCTTCATCGGCGTTTGCTGTTCTTCCTGCCAGTGCGTGTTGCTTTCACTTACACTTGCCACAGCCAGCCTTGTGAGTGCCTAGCCTATTGGATATCACTGTCACCTACACAGGACAGTCATTACCTTTCTATTAATACTTTGTTTTTTAATTTCACATTAATTTCCATATTGTATAAACGACTGGAAAAAACTTGAGCCCCTGCCCCCGTATAATCATGTGCACGTCCCTGTTCTCGCTCCAAGGTGAATCTTCACTGCTCATGTTCTCCTCAGAAGCAGTCACCTCACTCCCCTCAGGTTACTGTACACATGCACCAACTGCCTGCTTCAGGTTTGGATGGAGCTTCATGGTTGTCTTTTGGAGAAATGAGCAGTCAAGTTGTGTTAGAAATTTGATTTTTTTCAGGGGCAAAAGGAAGCCTCTGCATTGTTGTCAAATATGTAAATAGCATGTTTTTGCAGGTGCTAAAAAACAGACTCTGAGTGTGTGTGTGTGTGTGTGTGTGTGTGTGTGTGTGTCTGTGTGTGTGTGTGTCTGTGTGTGTGTATCCTGCAGTACTCTGTACTCCTGCAGTGGCCAAAACGACTTTTAAGAATGTGGATATTTGGGTCATCTTTGGCGCCCCCTAGAACGTAAACCATGGGGTGCAGCGGCATGATTTTTACAACTTTGAATGGCCATGGGGTGTAGATTGGCCTGAGCAAATTTGGTGTCAGTGGGACGAAAGCCTTAGGAGGAGTTAGCCACATTCCAATGTGTGCGAATCGGCAAAAAATGCAAAATAGCCCTTTAGCCGTACATTTTACAGATACGCGCCCATTGACTTTTTCGTAGATCTTATTGAGATACACGTGTGTGTCAAATTTTTTGTCAATACGACAAAGCGTACAGGCGTGACACTCAACAATGTGTATTTTCACCTTAGGGGACAAGAAAAAATGGACTTTTTATTCCTGCCATGGGGGGGCGCTCTTTTGGGGAGTAAAAATTCCTTCACAAATGTGTTGATGGCTGGACATTGCATCATCCTAGAAAACTTGGAGGCCAGTGAGGACAAAAAAAAAAATTTATAAAACTTTTAAGAATGTGGATTTTTGGGTTATTTTTGGCGCCCCCTAAAACCTAAACCATGGGGTGCAGCATTATGATTTGTACAACTTTGAATGGCCATGGAGTGTAGATTGGCCTGAGCAAATGTGGTGCTGGTGGAACGAAAGCCTTCGGAGGAGTTAGCGAAATTCCAATGTGTGCGGATCTGCAAAAAATGCAAAATAACCCTTTAACCGTACATTTGACAGATACGCCCGCACTGACTTTTTTGTAGATCTTATTGAGATACATGTGTGTGTCAATTTTTGTGTCAATATGACAAAGCGTACAGGCGTGACAGTCAATAGTGTGAATTTTCACCTTAGGGGGCGCTATGGAGCCATTTTGCATTTTCTTGTTTGGGCGACTTCAGAATATCGAATTTTTCACCAGGCCCGGTCGTCCTGCCAAATTTCATGAGTTTTCGCCAGTGGGAAGTGGGCCATTTTCCAGTTTAAAGCGGAGGAAAAATAATAATAATAACAAAAGAAGAATCCATCAGGAACAAGAGGGCTCTCGCAGCTGCTTAGCAGCTACGCTCGGGCCCTAAGAAAGAAAGAAAGAAAGAAGAAAGAAAAACCCATACAGGAACAATAGGGCTCTCGCAGCTGCTTAGCAGCTACGCTCGGGCCCTAATAACAAAAGAAGGAAACATGCAGGAACAAGAGGGCTCTCGCAGCTGCTTAGCAGCTACGCTCGGGCCCTAAAAAGAAAGAAAGAAACAAAGAAAAACCACTTGGGGAATAATAGGGCCTACGCCCGGCTGCTCTGCAGCTGGCTCGGGTCCTAAAAAGAAACAAAGAAAAACCACTTGGGGAATAATAGTGCTCTCGCAGCTGCTTAGCAGCTACGCTCGGGCCCTAATAATAACAAAAGAAGGAAACATGCAGGAACAAGAGGGCTCTCGCAGCTGCTTAGCAGCTACGCTCGGGCCCTAAAGAAGAATCCATCAGGAATAATAGGGCTCTCGCAGCTGCTTAGCAGCTACGCTCGGGCCCTAAAGAAAGAAAGAACTAGGGCCCCGGTGGGGCACTGGCGGGCCCGAGCCGTGTCGCGCCGCCCCCAGCGCGACCGCCTCCCCCACCCAATCGCGTCACACTCAAGGTCCAAAGATGGTGTGCGCACGTGTCTGTGGTCATTTACCATTATAATGAATGGGAGGCGCAGTTTCTACCAAAACGCTCGCTGCAGAAAAACTCCATGTCCTATTTGAAAAAAGTCTGGACCATGAGTGAGGGCACAAACACAGCCAAGATATATCCAAATGGCAAGTTGCTGCTCCTTTCGCTTTTGCCGAGAGAGCGATGCGTTTGAGCCATTGAACGATGAACAGGAAAAACTTGACTTTATTCTCCTGCCATGGGGGGGCGCTCTTTTAACGAGAAAAAACTCCTTCACAAATGTGTTGATGGCTGGACATTGCATCATCCTAGAAAACATGGAGGCCAGTGAGGACAAAAATAAAATGTTATAACACTTTTAAGAATATGGATATTTGGGTCATCTTTGGCGCCCCCTAGAACTTAAACCGTGGGGTGCAGCGTCATGATTTTTACAACTTTGACTGACCATGGGGTGTAGATTGGCCTGAGCAAATTTGGTGCCGGTGGAGCGAAAGCCTTAGGAGGAGTTAGCTACATTCCAATGTGTGCGAATCGGCAAAAAATGCGAAATAGCCCTTTAACCGTACATTTGACAGATACGCCTGCATTTACTTTTTCGTAGATCTTATTGAGATACACGTGTGTGTCGAATTTTGTGTCATTTTGACAAAGCGTACAGGCATGACCCTCAACAATGTGTATTTTCACCTTAGGGGACAAGAAAAAATGGACTTTTTTCTCCTGCCATGGGGGGGCGCTCTTTTGGGGAGTAAAAATTCCTTCACAAATGTGTTGATGGCTGGACATTGCATCATCCTAGAAAACTTGGAGGCCAGTGAGCACAAAAATAAAAAGTTATAAGACTTTTAAAAATGTGGATATTTGGGTCATCTTTGGCGCCCCCTAGAACGTAGACCGTGGGGTGCAGCGTCATGATTTTTACAACTTTGAATGGCCATGGGGTGTAGATTGGCCTGAGCAAATTTGGTGTCAGTGGGACGAAAGCCTTAGGAGGACTAAGCCACATTCCAATGTGTGCGAATCTGCAAAAAATGCGAAAAAGCCCTTTAACCGTACATTTTACAGATACGCGCGCATTGACTTTTTCGTAGATCTTATTGAGATGCACGTGATTGTCAAATTTTGTGTCAATATGACAAAGCGTACAGGCGTGACATTCAACAATGTGTATTTTCGCCTTGGGGGACAAGAAAAAATGGACTTTTTTCTCCTGCCATGGGGGGGCGCTCTTTTGGGGAGTAAAAATTCCTTCACAAATATGTTGATTGCTGGACATTGCATCATCCTAGAGAACTTGGAGGCCAGTGAGGACAAAAATAAAAAGTTATAAGACTTTTAAGACTGTGGATTTTTTGGTTATCTTTGGCGCCCCCTAGAACCTAAACCGTGGGGTGCAGCGTCATGATTTGTACAACTTTGAATGGCCATGGGTTGTAGATTGGCCTGAGCAACTATGGTGTCAGTGGGACGAAAGCCTTCGGAGGAGTTAGCGAAATTCCAATGTGTGCGAATCGGCAAAAAATGCAAAAAAAACCTTTTACCGTACATTATACAGATACGCGCTCTTTGACTTTTTCGTAGATGTAATTGAGATACACATGATTGTCAATTTTTGTGTCAATATGACAAAGAGTTCAGGCGTGACACTCAACAATGTGTATTTTCCCCTTAGGGGACAAGAAAAAATTGACTTTTTTCTCCTGCCATGGGGGGGCGCTCTTTTGGGGAGTAAAAATTCCTTCACAAATGTGTTGATGGCTGGACATTGCATCATCCTAGTGAACTTGGAGGCCAGTGAGGACAAAAATAAAAAGTTATAAGACTTTTAAATATTTGGATTTTAGGGTTATCTTTGGCGCCCCCTAGAACCTAAACCGTGGGGTGCAGCGTCATGATTTTTACAACTTTTAATGGCCATGGGGTGTAGATTGGCCTGAGCAAATTTGGTGCCGGTGGAACGAAAGCCTTCGGAGGAGTTAGCGAAATTCCTATGTGTGCGAATCGGCAAAAAATGCGAAATAAACCTTTAACCGTACATTATACAGATACGCGCTCTTTGACTTTTTCGTAGATCTTATTGAGATACACGTGTGTGTCAATTTTTGTGTCAATATGACAAAGCGTTTAGGCGTGACACTCAACAATGTGTATTTTCATGTTAGGGGACAAGAAAAACTTGACTTTTTTCTCCTGCCATGGGGGGGCGCTCTTTTGGGGAGTAAAAATTCCTTCACACATGTGTTGATGGATGGACATAGCATCATCCTAGAAAACTTGGAGGCCAGTGAGGACAAAAATAAAAAGTTATAAGACTTTTAAGAATGTGGATTTTTGGGTTATCTTTGGCGCCCCCTAGAACATAAACCGTGGGGTGCAGCGTCATGATTTGTACAACTTTTAATGGCCATGGGGTGTAGATTGGCCTGAGCAAATTTGGTGCCGGTGGAACGAAAGCCTTCGGAGGAGTTAGCGAAATTCCAATGTGTGCGGATCGGCAAAAAATGCGAAATAGCCCTTTAACCGTACATTTGACAGATACGCCCGCACTGACTTTTTTGTAGATCTTATTGAGATACACATGTGTGTCAAATTTTGTGTCATTTTGACAAAGCGTACAGGCATCAGGTGAGTTTTCACCATAGGGGGCGCTATGGAGCCATTTTTCATTTTTTTGTTTGGGCGACTTCAGAATATCAAATTTTTCACCAGGCCCGGTCGTCCTGCCAAATTTCCTGAGTTTTCGCCAGTGGGAAGTGGGCCATTTTCCAGTTTAAAGCGGAGGAAAAATAACGAAAGAAGAATCCATCAGGAACTAGGGCCCCGTTGGGGCACTGGCGGGCCCGAGCCGTGTCGCGCCGCCCCCAGCTCGACCGCCTACCCCTCCCGATCGCGTCACACTCAAGGTCCAAAGATGGTGTGCGCACTTGTCTGTGGTCATTTACCATTATAATGAATGGGAGGCGCAGTTTCTACCAAAACGCTCGCTGCAGACAAACTCCATGTCCTATTTGAAAAAAGTCTAGAACATGCGTGAGGGCACAAACACAGCTAAGATATATCCAAATGGCAAGTTGCTCCTCCTTTCGGTTTAGCCGAGAGAGCGATGCGTTTAAGCTATTGAGCGATGGGCAGGAACAACTTGACCTTTTCTCCGGCCATGGGGGGGGCGCTCTTTTGGGGAGTAAAAATTCCTTCACAATTGTGTTGATGGCTGAACATTGCATTATCCTAGAAAACTTGGAGGCCAGTGAGGACAAAAATAAAAAGTTATAAGACTTTTAAGACTGTGGATTTTTGGGTTATCTTTGGCGCCCCCTAGAACCTAAACCGTGGGGTGCAGCATCATGATTTTTACAACTTTGAATGGCCATGGGGTGTAGATTGGCCTGAGCAAATTTGGTGCCGATGGGACGAAAGCTTTAGGAGGAGTTAGCCACATTCCAATGTGTGCGAATTGGCAAAAAATGCGAAATCGCCCTTTAACCGTACATTTGACAGATACGCGCGCATTGACTTTTTCGTAGATCTTATTGAGATACACTTGATTTTCAAATTTTGTGTCAATATGACAAAGCGTATAGGTGTGACACTCAACAATGTGTATTTTCGCCTTAGGGGACAAGAAAAAATGGACTTTTTTCTCCTGCCATGGGGGGGGCGCTCTTTTGGCGAGTAAAAATTCCTTCACAAATGTGTTAATTGCTGGACATTGCATCATCCTAGAGAACTTGGAGGCCAGTGAGGACAAAAATAAAAAGTTATAAGACTTTTAAGACTGTGGATTTTTGGGTTATCTTTGGCGCCCCCTAGAACCTAAACCGTGGGGTGCAGCGTCATGATTTGTACAACTTTTAATGGCCATAGGGTGTAGATTGGCCTGAGCAAATGTGGTGCCGGTGGAACGGAAGCCTTCGGAGGAGTTAGCGAAATTCCAATGTGTGCGGATCGGCAAAAAATGCGAAATAACCCTTTAACCGTACATTTGACAGATACGCCCGCACTGACTTTTTTGTAGATCTTATTGAGATACATATGTGTGTCAATTTTTGTGTCAATATGACAAAGCGTACAGGCGTGACAGTCAATAGTGTAAATTTTCACCTTAGGGGGCGCTATGGAGCCATTTTGCATTTTATTGTTTGGGCGACATCAGAATATCGAATTTTTCACCAGGCCCGGTCGTCCTGCCAAATTTCATGAGTTTTCGCCAGTGGGAAGTGGGCCATTTTCCCCTTCAAAGGGGAGGAAAAATAAGAAGAACTAGGGCCCCGGTGGGGCACTGTCGGGCCCGAGCCGCGTTGCGCCGCCCCCAGCGCGACCGCCTCCCCCTCCCGATCGCGTCACACTCAAGGTCCAAAGATGGTGTGCGCACTTGTCTGTGGTCATTTCCCATTATAATGAATGGGAGGCGCAGTTTCTACCAAAACACTCGCTGCAGACAAACTTCATGTCCTATTTGAAAAAAGTCTGGACCATGAGTGAGGGCACAAACACAGCTATGATATATCGAAATGGCAGGTTGCTCCTCCTTACGGTGTTGCCTGGAGAGCGATGCGATTGAGCCATTGAGCGATGGGCAGGGTTAACTTGACTTTTTCTCCTGCCTTGGGGGGGGGGGGGGATTCTTTTAAGAATGTGGATTTTTGGGTCATCTTTGGCGCCCCCTAGAACGTAAACCGTGGGGTGCAGCGTCATGATTTTTACAACTTTGAATGGCCATGGGGTGTAGATTGGCCTGAGCAAATTTGGTGTCAGTGGGACGAAAGCCTTAGGAGGAGTTAGCCACATTCCAATGTGTGCGAATCGGCAAAAAATGCAAAATAGCCCTTTAACCGTACATTTGACAGATACGCGCGCATTGACTTTTTTGTAGATATTATTGAGATACATATGTGTGTCAATTTTTGTGTCAATATGATAAAGCGTACAGGCGTGACAGTCAATAGTGTGAATTTCCACCTTAGGGGACAAGAAAAAATTGACTTTTTTCTCCTGCCATGGGGGGCGCTCTTTTGGGGAGTAAAAATTCCTTCACAAATGTGTTGATGGCTGGACATTGCATCATCCTAGAAAACTTGGAGGCCAGTGAGGACAAAAATAAAAAGTTATAAGACTTTTAAATATGTGGATTTTAGGGTTATCTTTGGCGCCCCCTAGAACCTAAACCGTGGGGTGCAGCGTCATGATTTGAATAACTTTTAATGGCCATGGGGTGTAGATTGGCCTGAGCAAATGTGGTGCCGGTGGAACGAAAGCCTTCGGAGGAGTTAGCAAAATTCCAATGTGTGCGGATCGGCAAAAAATGCGGAATAACCCTTTCACCGTACATTTGACAGATACGCGCGCATTGACTTTTTCGTAGATCTTATTGAGATACATGTGTGTGTCAATTTTTGTGTCATTTTGCCAAAGCGTACAGGTGTTAAACTCAACAATGTGTATTTTCACCTTAGGGGACAAGAAAAAATGGACTTTTTTCTCCTGCCATGGGGGGGCGCTCTTTTGGGGAGTAAAAATTCCTTCACAAATGTGTTGATGGCTGGACATTGCATCATCCTAGAAAACTTGGAGGCCAGTGAGGGCAAAAATAAAAAGTTATAAGACTTTTAAATATGTGGATCTTAGGGTTATCTTTGGCGCCCCCTAGAACCTAAACCCTGGGGTGCAGCGTCATGATTTGAATAACTTTTAATGGCCATGGGGTGTAGATTGGCCTGAGCAAATGTGGTGCCGGTGGAATGAAAGCCTTCGGAGGAGTTAGCGAAATTCCAATGTGTGCGGATCGGCAAAAAATGCGAAATAACCCTTTAACCGTACATTTGACAGATACGCCCGCACTGACTTTTTTGTAGATCTTATTGAGATACATGTGTGTGTCCATTTTTGTGTCAATATGACAAAGCGTACAGCCGTCATGTGAATTTTCACCTTAGGGGGCGCTATGGAGCCATTTTGCATTTTATTGTTTGGGCGACTTCAGAATATCGAATTTTTCACCAGGCCCGGACGTCCTGCCAAATTTCCTGAGTTTTCGCCAGTGGGAAGTGGGCCATTTTCCAGTTTAAAGCGGAGGAAAAATAATAACGAAAGAAGGAAACATGCAGGAACAAGAGGGCTCTCGCAGCTGCTTAGCAGCTACGCTCGGGCCCTAACTAGGACCCCGTTGGGGCACTGGCGGGCCCGAGCTGTGTCGCGTCCCCCCCCCAACGCGCTGCCTCCCCGTCCCATTTGTGTCCTCTGGCCATCGCCCTCTCTGGTAACGCCCATCACTGCAAAGACCCTTTTCCTTCATCGGCGTTTGCTGTTCTTCCTGCCAGTGCGTGTTGCTTTCACTTACACTTGCCACAGCCAGCCTCGTGAGTGCCTAGCCTATTGGATATCACTGTCACCTACACAGGACAGTCATTACCTTTCTATTAATACTTTGTTTTTTAATTTCACATTAATTTCCATATTGTATAAACAACTGGTAAAAACTTGAGCCCCTGCCCCTGTATAATCATGTGCACGTCTCTGTTCTAGCTCTAAGGTGAATCTTCACTGCTCATGTTCTCCTCAGAAGCAGTCACCTCACTCCCCTCAGGTTACTGTACACATGCATCAACTGCCTGCTTCAGGTTTGGATGGAGCTTCATGGTTGTCTTTGGGAGAAATGACCAGTCAAGTTGTGTTTGAAATTTGATTTTTTTCAGGGGCAAAAGGAGCCTCTGCATTCTTGTCAAATATGTAAATAGCATGTTTTTGCAGGTGCTAAAAACCAGACTCTGAGTGTGTGTGTGTGCGTGTGTGTGTGTGTGTGTGTGTGTGTGTGTGTGTGTGTGTGTGTGTGCGTTCAAGTCACATGACATATTTAACCGGATGTAGCTGCAAGACGGAGCCTCGTTGACTCTCCGTTTCAACTTATCTCAAAAGTGAGGACCTCAACCTATATACCAGTTTTTAAATTGTGTTGATAGGCCAAATAAAACCAGAGTTATGATAAATTATGTCCGCGATACTTGTTTTCTGCTTATTTTGATCACGTTCGGCGCTCGATCGCGCTGTATGAGACAGGAAAACATAGCATGCAGACATTAGCGACAGGTCTTACAGGCGGAAAAGGCTTGCCAAAGGAAAAAAAAAACACACCACAACATCTCTCCTATTGGTGGAAAACTTCACCACAACAACCAATCCAAAATTATATGGTGACTGATTGACAAGGGGCGGGCGCTTACGTTCTTCCTGCAATATGAGAAGGGAGGGAGGGACTCTCAGCAGGGATGCAGTCTGGGACACGTAGTTGCAAACCTAGCGACTTTGTTGTTAGATTCAATGACTTTTCAGACCCCCTAACGACGTTTTTTTAGAAAGAAAGTGACTTTTATCGACTTCTTCTGGAGTTTAGAGACTCTGACATGAAGCAGGCTTTCCTTACTGAGGAGTTAGCAACGCTGCTAAGGGTGCAGAGCCACACATGCGCTCCGAGCTCTGCATGGGAGACTAGAGCTGAGAGAGCTGCAGCAGTTAGCAGGTTTCACCCTCAGAGACCACCAGGAGTTCATGTTGAGGCATTTTCAGTTTTTTTTTTTTTGCCATAGACACTGTCAGCACAATCTGCAGTTACACTAACAAAAATGCTGCAAAAAACAAAGAATTATGGAAAAATTACACATGGACTGACATAGAGGAGGATCTACACAAGTTTTTTACATCATGTTTTACATCATGCATCATTTACATCATGTTTTTTTGTAGTGGCATAAATAAAAAGTGACATTTGTGAGACTATACAGTGTTTTGTAAATAATTTTACAAAGAACGCCTGGGCCATTGCCTGCATTTTGATGTAAATAGAGGTAAATTACTATGTTCTTTGTTAAAAATTTGCATATGTTTTGAAGTTTACAATTTTTATTTGAAGTTTAAGTTTTAAAAACAGTTCATCACACATATTTGTGGTTTAATTTCACATTAATTTCCATATTGTATAAATGACTGGAAAAAACTTGAGCCCCTGCCCCTGTATAATCATGTGCACGTCCCTGTTCTAGCTCCAAGGTGAATCTTCACTGCTCATGTTCTCCTCAGAAGTAGTCACCTCACTCTCCTCAGGTTACTGTACACATGCACCAACTATCTGCTTCAGGTTTGGATGGAGCTTCATGGTTGTCTTTTGGAGAAATGAACAGTCAAGTTGTGTTTGAAATTTGATTTCTTTCAGGGGCAAAAGGAAGCCTCTGCATTCTTGTCAAATATGTAAACAGCATGTTTTTGCAGGTGCTAAAAAACAGACTCTGAGTGTGTGTGTGTGTGTGTGTGTGTGTGTGTGTGTGTGTGTGTGTGTGTGTGTGTGTTGGCGTGTGTGTATATGTGTGTGTGTCCGGCAGTACTCTGTACTCCTGCAGTGGCCAAAAAGACTTTTAAGAATGTGGATTTTTGGGTCATCTTTGGCGCCCCCTAGAACTGCAGTACTCTGTACTCCTGCAGTGGCCAAAATGACTTTTAAGAATGTGGATTTTTGGGTCATCTTTGGCGCCCCCTAGAACGTAAACCGTGGGGTGCAGCGTCATGATTTTTACAACTTTGAATGGCCATGGGGTGTAGATTGCCCTGAGCAAATTTGGTATCGGTGGGACGAAAGCCTTAGGAGGAGATAGCCACATTCCAATGTGTGCGAATCGGCAAAAAATGCGAACTAGGACCCCGTTGGGGCACTGGCGGGCCCGAGCCGTGTCGCGTCCCCCCCCCAACGCGCTGCCTCCCCGTCCCATTTGTGTCCTCTGGCCATCGCCCTCTCTGGTAACGCCCATCACTGCAAAGACCCTTTTCCTTCATCGGCGTTTGCTGTTCTTCCTGCCAGTGCGTGTTGCTTTCACTTACACTTGCCACAGCCAGCCTCTTGAGTGCCTAGCCTATTGGATATCACTGTCACCTACTCAGGACAGTCATTACCTTTCTATTAATACTTTGTTTTTTAATTTCACATTAATTTCCATATTGTATAAACAACTGGAAAAAACTTGAGCCCCTGCCCCTGTATAATCATGTGCACGTCTCTGTTCTAGCTCTAAGGTGAATCTTCACTGCTCATGTTCTCCTCAGAAGCAGTCACCTCACTCCCCTCAGGTTACTGTACACATGCACCAACTGCCTGCTTCAGGTTTGGATGGAGCTTCATGGTTGTCTTTTGGAGAAATGACCAGTCAAGTTGTGTTTGAAATTTGATTTTTTTCAGGGGCAAAAGGAGCCTCTGCATTCTTGTCAAATATGTAAATAGCATGTTTTTGCAGGTGCTAAAAACCAGACTCTGAGTGTGTGTGTGTGCGTGTGTGTGTGTGTCTGTGTGTGTGTGTGTGTGTGTGTGTGCGTTCAAGTCACATGACATATTTAACCGGATGTAGCTGCAAGACGGAGCCTCGTTGACTCCGTTTCAACTTATCTCAAAAGTGAGGACCTCAACCTATATACCAGTTTTTAAATTGTGTTGATAGGCCAAATAAAACCAGAGTTATGATAAATTATGTCCGCGATACTTGTTTTCTGCTTATTTTGATCACGTTCGGCGCTCGATCGCGCTGTATGAGACAGGAAAACATAGCATGCAGACATTAGCGACAGGTCTTACAGGCGGAAAAGGCTTGCCAAAGGAAAAAAAAAACACACCACAACATCTCTCCTATTGGTGGAAAACTTCACCACAACAACCAATCCAAAATTATATGGTGACTGATTGACAAGGGGCGGGCGCTTACGTTCTTCCTGCAATATGAGAAGGGAGGGAGGGACTCTCAGCAGGGATGCAGTCTGGGACACGTAGTTGCAAACCTAGCGACTTTGTTGTTAGATTCAATGACTTTTCAGACCCCCTAACGACTTTTTTTTTAGAAAGAAAGTGACTTTTATCGACTTCTTCTGGAGTTTAGAGACTCTGACATGAAGCAGGCTTTCCTTACTGAGGAGTTAGCAACGCTGCTAAGGGTGCAGAGCCACACATGCGCTCCGAGCTCTGCATGGGAGACTGAAGCTGACAGAGCTGCAGCAGTTAGCAGGTTTCACCCTCAGAGACCACCAGGGGTTCATGTTGAGGCATTTTCAGTTTTTTTTTTTTTGTTGCGCCATAGACACTGTCAGCACAATCTGCAGTTACACTAACAAAAATGCTGCAAAAAACAAAGAATTATGGAAAAATTACACATGGACTAACATAGAGGAGGATCTACACAAGTTTTTTACATCATGTTTTACATCATGCATCATTTACATCATGTTTTTTTGTAGTGGCATAAATAAAAAGTGACATTTGTGAGACTATACAGTGTTTTGTAAATAATTTTACAAAGAACACCTGGGCCATTGCCTGCATTTTGATGTAAATAGAGGTAAATTACTATGTTCTTTGTTAAAAATTTGCATATGTTTTGAAGTTTACAATTTTTATTTGAAGTTTAAGTTTTAAAAACAGTTCATCACACATATTTGTGGTTTTCACAGTAAAAACGTTACTTTTTTCCACTCGGATTTTACGTTTTGTGTGTGAATTTGGGTCCAATGTGTAAATATAGTATGTCAAAATGATAAAATAACTGTAAATTGACACAGGTGAGGTTGTGCTGAAAAAAATGATACCAGGCAAGGCAAGGTAAAAATTTTGTAAGAGGAAATATAAAGGTAAAATCTAAAGTAGTCAAAAACGGCCAATAGTGACTCACAGACTCCACAGACAAGTCCCTTTGGCGCCACTCAGTGGGCAAAACTACTTTGTCTACTGTAATGTACATTTGGGTCATCTTTGGCGCCCCCTAAAACGTAAACCGTGGGGTGCAGCGTCATGATTTTTACAACTTTGAATGGCCATGGAGTGTAGATTGGCCTGAGCAAATTTGGTGTCAGTGGGACGAAAGCCTTATAAGGAGTTAGCGAAATTCCAATGTGTGCGAATCGGCAAAAAATGCAAAATAGCCCTTTTACCGTACATTATACAGATACGCGCTCTTTGACTTTTTCGTAGATCTAATTGAGATACACATGATTGTCAATTTTTGTGTCATTTTGCCAAAGCGTACAGGCGTGACAGTCAACAATGTGTATTTTCACCTTAGGGGACAAGAAAAAATGGACTTTTTTCTCCTGCCATGGGGGGGCGCTCTTTTAGGGAGTAAAAATTCCTTCACAAATGTGTTGATGGCTGGACATTGCATCATCCTAGAAAACTTGGAGGCCAGTGAGGACAAAAATAAAAAGTTATAAGACTTTTAAAAATGTGGATTTTTGGGTTATCTTTGGCGCCCCCTAGAACGTAAACCGTGGGGTGCAGCGTCATGATTTGAATAACTTTTAATGGCCATGGGGTGTAGATTGGCCTGAGCAAATGTGGTGCCGGTGGAACGAAAGCCTTCGGAGGAGTTAGCGAAATTCCAATGTGTGCGAATCGGCAAAAAATGCGGAATAACCCTTTAACCGTACATTTGACAGATACGCGCGCATGGACTTTTTTGTAGATCTTATTGAGATACATGTGTGTGTCAATTTTTGTGTCATTTTGACAAAGCGTACAGGCGTGACACTCAACAATGTGTATTTTCACCTTAGGGGACAAGAAAAAATGGACTTTTTTCTCCTGCCATGGGGGGGCGCTCTTTTGGGGAGTAAAAATTCCTTCACAAATGTGTTGATGGCTGGACATTGCATCATCCTAGAAAACTTGGAGGCCAGTGAGGGCAAAAATAAAAAGTTATAAGACTTTTAAATATGTGGATTTTAGGGTTATCTTTGGCGCCCCCTAGAACCTAAACCGTGGGGTGCAGCATCATGATTTGAATAACTTTTAATGGCCATGGGGTGTAGATTGGCCTGAGCAAATGTGGTGCCGGTGGAACGAAAGCCTTCGGAGGAGTTAGCGAAATTCCAATGTGTGCGGATCGGCAAAAAATGCGGAATAACCCTTTAACCGTACATTTGACAGATACGCCCACACTGACTTTTTTGTAGATCTTATTGAGATACATGTGTGTGTCAATTTTTGTGTCATTTTGACAAAGCGTACAGGCGTGACAGTCAATAGTGTGAATTTTCACCTTAGGGGGCGCTATGGAGCCATTTTGCATTTTCTTGTTTGGGCGACTTCGGAATATCAAATTTTTCACCAGGCCCGGTCGTCCTGCCAAATTTCATGAGTTTTCGCCAGTGGGAAGTGGGCCATTTTCCAGTTCAAAGGGGAGGAAAAAGAAAAAAGAAACAAAGAAAAACCACTTGGGGAATAATAGGGCTCTCGCAGCTGCTTAGCAGCTACGCTCGGGCCCTAAATAGCCCTTTAACCATACATTTGACAGATACGTGCCTATTGACTTTTTTGTAGATCTTATTGAGATACACGTGATTGTCAAATTGTGTGTCAATATGACAAAGTGTATAGGCGTGACACTCAACAATGTGTATTTTTACCTTAGGAGACAAGAAAAAATGGACTTTTTTCTCCTGCCATGGGGGGGCGCTCTTTTGGGGAGTAAAAATTCCTTCACAAATGTGTTGATGGCTGGACATTGCATCATCCTAGAAAACTTGGAGGCCAGTGAGGACAAAAATAAAAAGTTATAAGACTTTTAAGAATGTGGATTTTTGGGTTATCTTTGGCGCCCCCTAGAAAGTAAACCGTGGGGTGCAGCGTCATGATTTGTACAACTTTTAATGGCCATGGGGTGTAGATTGGCCTGAGCAAATTTGGTGCCGGTGGAACGAAAGCCTTCGGAGGAGTTAGCGAAATTCCAATGTGTGCGGATCGGCAAAAAAAGCGAAATAGCCCTTTAACCGTACATTTGGCAGATACGCCCGCACTGACTTTTTCGTAGATCTTATTGAGATACACATGTGTGTCAAATTTTGTGTCATTTTGACAAAGCGTACAGGCATCAGGTGAGTTTTCACCATAGGGGGCGCTATGGAGCCATTTTTCATTTTTTTGTTTGGACGACTTCAGAATATCAAATTTTTCACCAGGCCCGGTCGTCCTGCCAAATTTCCTGAGTTTTCGCCAGTGGGAAGTGGGCCATTTTCCAGTTTAAAGCGGAGGAAAAATAACGAAAGAAGAATCCATCAGGAACAAGAGGGCTCTCGCAGCTGCTTAGCAGCTACGCTCGGGCCCTAACTAGGGCCCCGTTGGGGCACTGGCGGGCCCGAGCTGTGTCACGCCGCTCCCAACACGACCGCCTCTCCCTCCCGATCGCGTCACACTCAAGGTTCAACGATGGTGTGCGCACTTGTCTGTGGTCATTTACCATTATAATGAAGGGGAGGCGCAGTTTCTTACAAAACGCTTGCTGCAGACAAACTACATGTCCTATTTGAAAAAAGTCTGGACCATGAGTGAGGGCACAAACACAGCTAGGATATATCCAAATGGCAAGTTCCTCCTCCTTTCGTTTTTTTCCGAGAGAGCGATGTGTTTGAGCCATTGAGCGATGGGCAGGAAAAACTTGACTTTTTCTCCTGCCATGGGGGGGCACTCTTTTAGGGAGAACAAATTCCTTCACAAATGTGTTGATGGCTAGACATTGCATCATCCTAGAAAACTTTGAAGCCAGTGAGGACAAAAATGAAAAGTTATAAGACTTTTAAATATGTGGATTTTGGGTTATCTTTGGCGACCCCTAGAACGTAAACCGTGGGGTGCAGCATCATGATTTGTACAACTTTTAATGGCCATGGGGTGTAGATTGGCCTGAGCAAATTTGGTGCCGGTGGAACGAAAGCTTTAGGAGGAGTTAGCCACATTCCAATGTGTGCGAATCAACCAAAAATGCAAAATAGCCCTTTAACCGTACATTTTGCAGACACGTGCGCATTGACTTTTTCGTAGTTAGGGCCCGAGCGTAGCTGCTAAGCAGCTGCGAGAGCCCTCTTGTTCCTGATGGATTCTTCTTTCGTTATTTTTCCTCCGCTTTAAACTGGAAAATGGCCCACTTCCCACTGGCGAAAACTCAGGAAATTTGGCAGGACGACCGGGCCTGGTGAAAAATTCGATATTCTGAAGTCGCCCAAAAAAAAAAATGAAAAATGGCTCCATAGCGCCCCCTATGGTGAAAACTCACCTGACGCCTGTACGCTTTGTCAAAATGACACAAAATTTGACACACATGTGTATCTCAATAAGATCTACAAAGAAGTCAGTGCGGGCGTATCTGTCAAATGTACCGTTAAAGGGCTATTTCGCATTTTTTGACAATCCGCACACATTGGAATTTCGCTAACTCCTCCGAAGGCTTTCGTTCCACCGGCACCAAATTTGCTCAGGACAATCTACACCCCATGGCCATTAAAAGTTGTACAAATCATGACACTGCACCCCACGGTTTACATTCTAGGGGGCGCCAAAGATAACCCAAAAATCCACATATTTAAAAGTCTTATAACTTTTTATTTTTGTCCTCACTGGCCTCCAAGTTTTCTAGGATGATGCAATGTCCAGCCATCAACACATTTGTGAAGAAATTTTTACTCCCCAAAAGAGCGCCCCCCCATGGCAGGAGAAAAAAGTCCATTTTTTCTTGTCCCATAAGGTGAAAATACACATTGTTGACTGTCATACCTGTACGCTTTGTCATATTGACACAAAATTTGACAATCACATGTATCTCAATAAGATCTACGAAAAAGTCAATGCGCGCGTATCTGTAAAATGTACGGTTAAAGGGCTATTTTGCATTTTTTGCCGATTCGCACACATTGGAATGTGGCTAACTCCTCCTAAGGCTTTCGTCCCACTGACACCAAATTTGCTCAGGCCAATCTACACCCCATGGCCATTAAAAGTTATTCAAATCATGACGCTGCACCCCACGGTTTAGGTTCTAGGGGGCGCCAAAGATAACCCAAAAATCCACATATTTAAAAGTCTTATAACTTTTTATTTTTGTCCTCACTCGCCTCCAAGTTTTCTAGGATGATGCAATGTCCAGCCATCAACACATTTGTGAAGGAATTTTTACTCCCCAAAAGAGCGCCCCCCCATGGCAGGAGAAAAAAGTCCATTTTTTCTTGTCCCATAAGGTGAAAATACACATTGTTGAGTACCTCTATTTACATCAAAATGCAGGCAATGGCCCAGGCGTTCTTTGTAAAATTATTTACAAAACACTGTATAGTCTCACAAATGTCACTTTTTATTTATGCCACTACAAAAAAACATGATGTAAATGATGCATGATGTAAAACATGATGTAAAAAACTTGTGTAGATCCTCCTCTATGTCAGTCCATGTGTAACTTTTCCATAATTCTTTGTTTTTTGCAGCATTTTTGTTAGTGTAACTGCAGATTGTGCTGACAGTGTCTATGGCACAAAAAAAAAAAAAAAATTAAAATGCCTCAACATGAACCCCTGGTGGTCTCTGAGGGTGAAACCTGCTAACTGCTGCAGCTCTGTCAGCTTCAGTCTCCCATGCAGAGCTCTGAGCGCATGTGTGGCTCTGCACCCTTAGCAGCGTTGCTAACTCCTCAGTAAGGAAAGCCTGCTTCATGTCAGAGTCTCTAAACTCCAGAAGAAGTCGATAAAAGTCCCTTTCTTTCTAAAAAAAAGTCGTTAGGGGGTCTGAAAAGTCATTGAATCTAACAACAAAGTCGCTAGGTTTGCAACTACGTGTCCCAGACTGCATCCCTGCTGAGAGTCCCTCCCTCCCTTCTCATGTTGCAGGAAGAACGTAAGCGCCCGCCCCTTGTCAATCAGTCACCATATAATTTTGGATTGGTTGTTGTGGTGAAGTTTTCCACCAATAGGAGAGATGTTGTGGTGTGTTTTTTTTTTTCTTTTGGCAAGCCTTTTCCGCCTGTAAGACCTGTCGCTAATGTCTGCATGCTATGTTTTCCTGTCTCATACAGCGCGATCGAGCGCCGAACGTGATCAAAATAAGCAGAAAAAAAGTATCGCGGACATAATTTATCATAACTCTGGTTTTATTTGGCCTATCAACACAATTTAAAAACTGGTATATAGGTTGAGGTCCTCACTTTTGAGATAAGTTGAAACGGAGAGTCAACGAGGCTCCGTCTTGCAGCTACATCCGGTTAAATATGTCATGTGACTTGAACGCACACACAGACACACACACACGCGCACACACACACACACACACACACACACACACACACACACACACACACACACACACACTCAGAGTCTGGTTTTTAGCACCTGCAAAAACATGCTGTTTACATATTTGACAAGAATGCAGAGGCTCCTTTTGCCCCTGAAAAAAATCAAATTTCAAACACAACTTGACTGTTCATTTCTCCAAAAGACAACCATGAAGCTCCATTTCAAACCTGAAGCAGATAGTTGGTGCATGTGTACAGTAACCTGAGGGGAGTGAGGTGACTATTTCTGAGGAGAACATGAGCAGTGAAGATTCACCTTGGAGCTAGAACAGGGACGTGCACATGATTATACAGGGGCAGGGGCTCAAGTTTTTTCCAGTCATTTATACAATATGGAAATTAATGTGAAATTAAAACACAAAGTATTAATAGAAAGGTAATGACTGTCCTGTGTAGGTGACAGTGATATCCAATAGGCTAGGCACTCACGAGGCTGGCTGTGGCAAGTGTAAGTGAAAGCAACACGCACTGGCAGGAAGAACAGCAAACGCCGATGAAGGAAAAGGGTCTTTGCAGTGATGGGCGTTACCAGAGAGGGCGATGGCCAGAGGACACAAATTGGACGGGGAGGCAGCACGTTGGGGGGGGGGGGGGACGCGACACGGCTCGGGCCCGCCAGTGCCCCAACGGGGTCCTAGTTCTTATTGAGATACACGTGATTATCAAATTTTGTTTCAATATGACAAAGCGTACAGGCGTGACACTCAACAATGTGTATTTTCACCTTATAGGACAAGAAAAAATGGCCTTTTTTCTCCTGCCATGGGGGGGCGCTCTTTTGGGGAGTAAAAATTCCTTCACAAATGTGTTGATGGCTGGACATTGCATCATCCTAGAAAACTTGGAGGCCAGTGAGGACAGAAAAAAAAAGTTATAAGACTTGTAAGAATGTGGATTTTTGGGTTATCTTTGGCGCCCCCTACAACGTAAACCGTGGGGTGCAGCGTCATGATTTGTACAACTTTTAATGGCCATGGGGTGTAGATTGGCCTGAGCAAATTTGGTGCCGGTGGAACGAAAGCCTTCGGAGGAGTTAGCGAAATTCCAATGTGTGCGGATCGGCAAAAAATGCGAAATAGCCCTTTAAACGTACATTTGACAGATACGCCCGCACTGACTTTTTTGTAGATCTTATTGAGATACACGTGTGTGTCAAATTTTGTGTCATTTTGACAAAGCGTACAGGCGTGACACTCAATCATGTGAATCATTCACCTTAGGTGGCGCTATGGAGCCATTTTGCATTTGATTGTTTGGGTGACTTCAGAATATCGAATTTTTCACCAGGCCCGGTCGTCCTGCCAAATTTCATGAGTTTTCACCAGTGGGAAGTGGGCCATTTTCCAGTTCAAAGGGGCAGAAAAATAATAACTAGGGCCCCGTTGGGGCACTGGCGGGCCCGAGCCTGTCGCGCCGCTCCCAGCGCGACCACCTACCCCTCCCGATAGCGTCACACTAAAGGTTCAAAGATGGTGTGCGCACTTGTCTGTGGTCATTTACCATTATAATAATGGGAGGCGCAGTTTCTACCAAAACGTTTGCTGCAGACAAACTCCATGTCCTTTTTGAAAATAGTCTGGACCATGAGTGAGGGCACAAACACAGCTAGTATATACCCAAATGGCAAGGTGCTCCTCCTTTCGGTTTTGCCGAGAGAGCGATGAATTTGAGCCATTGAGCGATCGGCAGGAAAAACTTGACTTTTTCTCCTGCCATGGGGGGGCGCTCTTTTGGGGAAAAAAAATTCCTTCACAAATGTGTTGATGACTGAACATTGCATCATCCTAGAAAACTTGGAGGCCAGTGAGGACAAAAATAAAGTTATAAGACTTTTAAAAATGTGGATATTTGGGTCATCTTTGGCGCCCCCTAGAACGTAAACCGTGGGATGCAGCGTCATGATTTGTACAACTTTGAATGGCCATGGGGTGTAGATTGGCCTGAGCAAATTTGGTGTCAGTGGAACGAAAGCCTTAGGAGGAGTTAGCCACATTCCAATGTGTGCGAATCGGCAAAAAATGCGAAATAGCCCTTTAACTGTACATTTTACAGATACGCGCACATTGACTTTTTCGTAGATCTTATTGAGATACACGTGATTGTCAAATTTTGTGTCAATATGACAAAGCGTACAGGCGTGACACTCAACAATGTGTATATTCGCCTTAGGGGACAAGAAAAAATGGACTTTTTTCTCCTGCCATGGGGGGGCGCTCTTTTGGCGAGTAAAAATTCCTTCACAAATGTGTTAATTGCTGGACATTGCATCATCCTAGAGAACTTGGAGGCCAGTGAGGACAAAAATAAAAAGTTATAAGACTTTTAAGACTGTGGATTTTTGGGTTATCTTTGGCGCCCCCTAGAACGTAAACCGTGGGGTGCAGCGTCATGATTTGTACAACTTTTAATGGCCATGGGGTGTAGATTGGCCTGAGCAAATGTGGTGCCAGTGGAACGAAAGCCTTCGGAGGAGTTAGCGAAATTCCAATGTGTGCGGATCGGCAAAAAATGCGAAATAACCCTTTAACCGTACATTTGACAGATACGCCCGCGCTGACTTTTTTGTAGATCTTATTGAGATACATGTGTGTGTCAATTTTTGTGTCAATATGACAAAGCGTACAGGCGTCAGGTGAGTTTTCACCATAGGGGGCGCTATGGAGCCATTTTTCATTTTTTTGTTTGGGCGACTTCAGAATATCGAATTTTTCACCAGGCCCGGTCGTCCTGCCAAATTTCCTGAGTTTTCGCCAGTGGGAAGTGGGCCATTTTCCAGTTTAAAGCGGAGGAAAAATAACGAAAGAAGAATCCATCAGGAACAAGAGGGCTCTCGCAGCTGCTTAGCAGCTACGCTCGGGCCCTAATAACGAAAGAAGGAAACATGCAGGAACAAGAGGGCTCTCGCAGCTGCTTAGCAGCTACGCTCGGGCCCTAAAAAACCTATACAGGAATAATAGGGCTCTACGCCCGGCTGCTCTGCAGCTGGCTCGGGCCCTAATAATAACACTAGGACCCCGTTGGGGCACTGGCGGGCCCGAGCTGTGTCGCGCCCCCCCCCCCCCCCCAACGCGCTGCCTCCCCGTCCCATTTGTGTCCTCTGGCCATCGCCCTCTCTGGTAACGCCCATCACTGCAAAGACCCTTTTCCTTCATCGGCGTTTGCTGTTCTTCCTGCCAGTGCGTGTTGCTTTCACTTACACTTGCCACAGCCAGCCTCGTGAGTGCCTAGCCTATTGGATATTACTGTCACCTACACAGGACAGTCATTACCTTTCTATTAATACTTTGTTTTTTAATTTCACATTAATTTCCATATTGTATAAACAACTGGAAAAAACTTGAGCCCCTGCCCCTGTATAATCATGTGCACGTCTCTGTTCTAGCTCTAAGGTGAATCTTCACTGCTCATGTTCTCCTCAGAAGCAGTCACCTCACTCCCCTCAGGTTACTGTACACATGCACCAACTGCCTGCTTCAGGTTTGGATGGAGCTTCATGTTTGTCTTTTGGAGAAATGACCAGTCAAGTTGTGTTTGAAATTTGATTTTTTTCAGGGGCAAAAGGAGCCTCTGCATTCTTGTCAAATATGTAAATAGCATGTTTTTGCAGGTGCTAAAAACCAGACTCTGAGTGTGTGTGTGTGTGTGTGTGTGTGCGTGTGTGTGTGTCTGTGTGTGTGTCTGTGTGTGTGTGTGTGTGTGCGTTCAAGTCACATGACATATTTAACCGGATGTAGCTGCAAGACGGAGCCTCGTTGACTCTCCGTTTCAATTTATCTCAAAAGTGAGGACCTCAACCTATATACCAGTTTTTAAATTGTGTTGATAGGCCAAATAAAACCAGAGTTATGATAAATTATGTCCGCGATACTTGTTTTCTGCTTATTTTGATCACGTTCGGCGCTCGATCGCGCTGTATGAGACAGGAAAACATAGCATGCAGACATTAGCGACAGGTCTTACAGGCGGAAAAGGCTTGCCAAAAGAAAAAAAAAACACACCACAACATCTCTCCTATTGGTGGAAAACTTCACCACAACAACCAATCCAAAATTATATGGTGACTGATTGACAAGGGGCGGGAACTTACGTTCTTCCTGCAATATGAGAAGGGAGGGAGGGACTCTCAGCAGGGATGCAGTCTGGGACACGTAGTTGCAAACCTAGCGACTTTGTTGTTAGATTCAATGACTTTTCAGACCCCCTAACGACTTTTTTTTAGAAAGAAAGTGACTTTTATCGACTTCTTCTGGAGTTTAGAGACTCTGACATGAAGCAGGCTTTCCTTACTGAGGAGTTAGCAACGCTGCTAAGGGTGCAGAGCCACACATGCGCTCCGAGCTCTGCATGGGAGACTGAAGCTGACAGAGCTGCAGCAGTTAGCAGGTTTCACCCTCAGAGACCACCAGGGGTTCATGTTGAGTCATTTTAATTTTTTTTTTTTTTTGTGCCATAGACACTGTCAGCACAATCTGCAGTTACACTAACAAAAATGCTGCAAAAAACAAAGAATTATGGAAAAATTACACATGGACTGACATAGAGGAGGATCTACACAAGTTTTTTACATCATGTTTTACATCATGCATCATTTACATCATGTTTTTTTGTCGTGGCATAAATAAAAAGTGACATTTGTGAGACTATACAGTGTTTTGTAAATAATTTTACAAAGAACGCCTGGGCCATTGCCTGCATTTTGATGTAAATAGAGGTAAATTACTATGTTCTTTGTTAAAAATTTGCATATGTTTTGAAGTTTACAATTTTTATTTGAAGTTTAAGTTTTAAAAACAGTTCATCACACATATTTGTGGTTTAATTTCACATTAATTTCCATATTGTATAAATGACTGGAAAAAACTTGAGCCCCTGCCCCTGTATAATCATGTGCACGTCCCTGTTCTAGCTCCAAGGTGAATCTTCACTGCTCATGTTCTCCTCAGAAATAGTCACCTCACTCCCCTCAGGTTACTGTACACATGCACCAACTATCTGCTTCAGGTTTGAAATGGAGCTTCATGGTTGTCTTTTGGAGAAATGAACAGTCAAGTTGTGTTTGAAATTTGATTTTTTTCAGGGGCAAAAGGAAGCCTCTGCATTCTTGTCAAATATGTAAACAGCATGTTTTTGCAGGTGCTAAAAAACAGACTCTGAGTGTGTGTGTGTGTCTGTGTGTGTGTGTGTGTGTGTGTGTGTGTGTGTGTGTGTATGTTGGCGTGTGTGTATATGTGTGTGTATCCTGCAGTACTCTGTACTCCTGCAGTGGCCAAAAAGACTTTTAAGAATGTGGATTTTTGGGTCATCTTTGGCGCCCCCTAGAACTGCAGTACTCTGTACTCCTGCAGTGGCCAAAATGACTTTTAAGAATGTGGATTTTTGGGTCATCTTTGGCGCCCCCTAGAACGTAAACCGTGGGGTGCAGCGTCATGATTTTTACAACTTTGAATGGGCATGGGGTGTAGATAGCCCTGAGCAAATTTGGTATCGGTGGGACGAAAGCCTTAGGAGGAGATAGCCACATTCCAATGTGTGCGAATCGGCAAAAAATGCAAAATAGCCCTTTAACCGTACATTATACAGATACGCGCTCTTTGACTTTTTCGTAGATCTAATTGAGATACACATGATTGTCAAATTTTGTGTCAATATGACAAAGCGTTCAGGCGTGACACTCAACAATGTGTATTTTTATGTAAGGGGACAAGAAAAAATTGCCTTTTTTCTCCTACCATGGGGGGCGCTCTTTTGGGGAGTAAAAATTCCTTCACAAATGTGTTGATGGCTGGACATTGCATCATCCTAGAAAACTTGGAGGCCAGTGAGGACAGAAATAAAAAGTTATAAAACATTTAAGAATGTGGATTTTTGGGTTATCTTTGGCGCCCCCTAGAACCTAAACCATGGGGTGCAGCATCATGATTTGAATAACTTTTAATGGCCATGGGGTGTAGATTGGCCTGAGCAAATGTGGTGCCGGTGGAACGAAAGCCTTCGGAGGAGTTAGCGAAATTCCAATGTGTGCGTATCGGCAAAAAATGCGGAATAACCCTTTAACTGTACATTTGACAGATACGCGCGCACTGACTTTTTTGTAGATCTTATTGAGTTACATGTGTGTGTCAATTTTTGTGTCATTTTGACAAAGCGTATAGGCGTGACACTCAACAATGTGTATTTTCACCTTAGGGGACAAGAAAAAATGGACTTTTTTCTCCTGCCATGGGGGGGCGCTCTTTTGGGGAGTAAAAATTCCTTCACAAATGTGTTGATGGCTGGACATTGCATCATCCTAGAAAACTTGGAGGCCAGTGAGGACAAAAATAAAAAGTTATAAGACTTTTAAATATGTGGATTTTAGTGTTATCTTTGGCGCCCCCTAGAACCTAAACCTTGGGGTGCAGCGTCATGATTTTGATAACTTTTAATGGCCACGGGGTGTAGATTGGCCTGAGCAAATGTGGTGCCGGTGGAACGAAAGCCTTCGGAGGAGTTAGCAAAATTCCAATGTGTGCGGATCGGCAAAAAATGCGAAATAACCCTTTAACCGTAATTTTGACAGATACGGCCGCACTGACTTTTTTGTAGATCTTATTGAGATACATATGTGTGTCAATTTTTGTGTCAATATGACAAAGCGTACAGGCGTGACAGTCAATAGTGTGAATTTCCACCTTAGGGGGCGCTATGGAGCCATTTTGCATTTTATTGTTTGGGCGACTTCAGAATATCGAATTTTTCACCAGGCCCGGTCGTCCTGCCAAATTTCATGAGTTTTCGCCAGTGGGAAGTGGGCCATTTTCCAGTTCAAAGGGGAGGAAAAAGAAGAAAGAAAGAAAGAAAGAAAGAAACAAAGAACTAGGGCCCCGGTGGGGCACTGTCGGGCCCGAGCCGCGTCGCGCCGCCCCCAGTGCGACCGCCTCCCCGTCCCGATCGAGTCACACTCAAGAACCAAAGATGGTGTGCGCACTTGTCTGTGGTCATTTCCCATTATAATGAATGGGAGGCGCAGTTTCTACCAAAACACTCGCTGCAGACAAACTTCATGTCCTATTTGAAAAAAGTCTGGACCATGAGTGAGGGCACAAACACAGCTATGATATATCGAAATGCCAGGTTGCTCCTCCTTACGGTGTTGCCTGGAGAGCGATGCGATTGAGCCATTGAGCGATGGGCAGGAAAAACTTGACTTTTTCTCCTGCCATAGGGGGGGGGATGTGGATTCTTTTAAGAATGTGGATTTTTGGGTCATCTTTGGCGCCCCCTAGAACGTAAACCGTGGGGTGCAGCGTCATGATTTTTACAACTTTGAATGGCCATGGGGTGTAGATTGGCCTGAGCAAATTTGGTGTCAGTGGGACGAAAGCCTTAGGAGGAGTTAGCCACATTCCAATGTGTGCGAATCGGCAAAAAATGCAAAATAGCCCTTTAACCGTACATTTGACAGATACGCGCGAATTGACTTTTTTGTAGATCTTATTGAGATACATATGTGTGTCAATTTTTGTGTCAATATGATAAAGCGTACAGGCGTGACAGTCAATAGTGTGAATTTCCACCTTAGGGGACAAGAAAAAATTGACTTTTTTCTCCTGCCATGGGGGGGCGCTCTTTTGGGGAGTAAAAATTCCTTCACAAATGTGTTGATGGCTGGACATTGCATCATCCTAGAAAACTTGGAGGCCAGTGAGGACAAAAATAAAAAGTTATAAGACTTTTAAATATGTGGATTTTAGGGTTATCTTTGGCGCCCCCTAGAACCTAAACCGTGGGATGCAGCGTCATGATTTGAATAACTTTTAATGGCCATGGGGTGTAGATTGGCCTGAGCAAATGTGGTGCCGGTGGAACGAAAGCCTTCGGAGGAGTTAGCGAAATTCCAATGTGTGCGGATCGGCAAAAAATGCGGAATAACCCTTTAACCGTACATTTGACAGATACGCGCGCATTGACTTTTTCGTAGATCTTATTGAGATACATGTGTGTGTCAATTTTTGTGTCATTTTGCCAAAGCGTACAGGTGTTACACTCAACAATGTGTATTTTCACCTTAGGGGACAAGAAAAAATTGACTTTTTTCTCCTGCCATGGGGGGGCGCTCTTTTGGGGAGTAAAAATTCCTTCACAAATGTGTTGATGGCTGGACATTGCATCATCGTAGAAAACTTGGAGGCCAGTGAGGGCAAAAATAAAAAGTTATAAGACTTTTAAATATGTGGATCTTAGGGTTATCTTTGGCGCCCCCTAGAACCTAAACCTTGGGGTGCAGCGTCATGATTTGAATAACTTTTAATGGCCATGGGGTGTAGATTGGCCTGAGCAAATGTGGTGCCGGTGGAACGAAAGCCTTCGGAGGAGTTAGCGAAATTCCAATGTGTGCGGATCGGCAAAAAATGCGAAATAACCCTTTAACCGTACATTTGACAGATACGCCCGCACTGACTTTTTTGTAGATCTTACTGAGATACATGTGTGTGTCAATTTTTGTGTCATTTTGACAAAGCGTACAGGCGTGACAGTCAATAGTGTGAATTTTCACCTTAGGGGGCGCTATGGAGCCATTTTGCATTTTCTTGTTTGGGCGACTTCGGAATATCAAATTTTTCACCAGGCCCGGTCGTCCTGCCAAATTTCATGAGTTTTCGCGGGTGGGAAGTGGGCCATTTTCCAGTTCAAAGGGGAGGAAAAATAATAATAACAAACTAGGACCCCGTTGGGGCACTGGCGGGCCCGAGCCGTGTCGCGTCCCCCCCCCCAACGCGCTGCCTCCCTGTCCCATTTGTGTCCTCTGGCCATCGCCCTCTCTGGTAACGCCCATCACTGCAAAGACCCTTTTCCTTCATCGGCGTTTGCTGTTCTTCCTGCCAGTGCGTGTTGCTTTCACTTACACTTGCCACAGCCAGCCTCGTGAGTGCCTAGCCTATTGGATATCACTGTCACCTACACAGGAGGTGAATTAATTATGTTAAGGTGAATCTTCACTGCTCATGTTCTCCTCAGAAGCACTCACCTCACTCCCCTCAGGTTACTGTACACATGCACCAACTGCCTGCTTCAGGTTTGGATGGAGCTTCATGGTTGTCTTTTGGAGAAATGACCAGTCAAGTTGTGTTTGAAATTTGATTTTTTTCAGGGGCAAAAGGAGCCTCTGCATTCTTGTCAAATATGTAAATAGCATGTTTTTGCAGGTGCTAAAAACCAGACTCTGAGTGTGTGTGTGTGCGTGTGTGTGTGTGTGTGTGTGTGTGTGTGTGTGCGTTCAAGTCACATGACATATTTAACCGGATGTAGCTGCAAGACGGAGCCTCGTTGACTCCGTTTCAACTTATCTCAAAAGTGAGGACCTCAACCTATATACCAGTTTTTAAATTGTGTTGATAGGCCAAATAAAACCAGAGTTATGATAAATTATGTCCGCGATACTTGTTTTCTGCTTATTTTGATCACGTTCGGCGCTCGATCGCGCTGTATGAGACAGGAAAACATAGCATGCAGACATTAGCGACAGGTCTTACAGGCGGAAAAGGCTTGCCAAAGGAAAAAAAAAACACACCACAACATCTCTCCTATTGGTGGAAAACTTCACCACAACAACCAATCCAAAATTATATGGTGACTGATTGACAAGGGGCGGGCGCTTACGTTCTTCCTGCAACATGAGAAGGGAGGGAGGGACTCTCAGCAGGGATGCAGTCTGGGACACGTAGTTGCAAACCTAGCGACTTTGTTGTTAGATTCAATGACTTTTCAGACCCCCTAACGACTTTTTTTTTTAGAAAGAAAGTGACTTTTATCGACTTCTTCTGGAGTTTAGAGACTCTGACATGAAGCAGGCTTTCCTTACTGAGGAGTTAGCAACGCTGCTAAGGGTGCAGAGCCACACATGCGCTCCGAGCTCTGCATGGGAGACTAAAGCTGACAGAGCTGCAGCAGTTAGCAGGTTTCACCCTCAGAGACCACCAGGGGTTCATGTTGAGGCATTTTCAGTTTTTTTTTTTTTTTTTTTTTTTGCCATAGACACTGTCAGCACAATCTGCAGTTACACTAACAAAAATGCTGCAAAAAACAAAGAATTATGGAAAAATTACACATGGACTGACATAGAGGAGGATCTACACAAGTTTTTTACATCATGTTTTACATCATGCATCATTTACATCATGTTTTTTTGTAGTGGCATAAATAAAAAGTGACATTTGTGAGACTATACAGTGTTTTGTAAATAATTTTACAAAGAACACCTGGGCCATTGCCTGCATTTTGATGTAAATAGAGGTAAATTACTATGTTCTTTGTTAAAAATTTGTATATGTTTTGAAGTTTACAATTTTTATTTGAAGTTTAAGTTTTAAAAACAGTTCATCACACATATTTGTGGTTTTCACAGTAAAAACGTTACTTTTTTCCACTCGGATTTTATGTTTTGTGTGTGAATTTGGGTCCAATGTGTAAATATAGTATGTCAAAATGATAAAATAACTGTAAATTGACACAGGTGAGGTTGTGCTGAAAAAAATGATACCAGGCAAGGCAAGGTAAAAATTTTGTAAGAGGAAATATAAAGGTAAAATCTAAAGTAGTCAAAAACGGCCAATAGTGACTCACAGACTCCACAGACAAGTCCCTTTGGCGCCACTCAGTGGGCAAAACTACTTTGTCTACTGTAATGTATATTTGGGTCATCTTTGGCGCCCCCTAAAACGTAAACCGTGGGGTGCAGCGTCATGATTTTTACAACTTTGAATGGCCATGGAGTGTAGATTGGCCTGAGCAAATTTGGTGTCAGTGGGACGAAAGCCTTAGGAGGAGTTAGCGAAATTCCAATGTGTGCGAATCGGCAAAAAATGCAAAATAGCCCTTTTACCGTACATTATACAGATACGCGCTCTTTGACTTTTTCGTAGATCTAATTGAGATACACATGATTGTCAATTTTTGTGTCATTTTGCCAAAGCGTACAGGCGTGACACTCAACAATGTGTATTTTCACCTTAGGGGACAAGAAAAAATTGACTTTTTTCTCCTGCCATGGGGGGCGCTCTTTTAGGGAGTAAAAATTCCTTCACAAATGTGTTGATGGCTGGACATTGCATCATCCTAGAAAACTTGGAGGCCAGTGAGGACAAAAATAAAAAGTTATAAGACTTTTAAAAATGTGGATTTTTGGGTTATCTTTGGCGCCCCCTAGAACGTAAACCGTGGGGTGCAGCGTCATGATTTGAATAACTTTTAATGGCCACGGGATGTAGATTGGCCTGAGCAAATTTGGTGTCAGTGGGACGAAGGCCTTAGGAGGAGTTAGCGAAATTCCAATGTGTGCGAATTGGCAAAAAATGCAAAATAGCCCTTTTACCGTACATTATACAGATACGCGCTCTTTGACTTTTTCGTAGATCTAATTGAGATACACATGATTGTCAATTTTTGTGTCATTTTGCCAAAGCGTACAGGCGTGACAGTCAACAATGTGTATTTTCACCTTAGGGGACAAGAAAAAATGGACTTTTTTCTCCTGCCATGGGGGGGCGCTCTTTTAGGGAGTAAAAATTCCTTCACAAATGTGTTGATGGCTGGACATTGCATCATCCTAGAAAACTTGGAGGCCAGTGAGGACAAAAATAAAAAGTTATAAGACTTTTAAAAATGTGGATTTTTGGGTTATCTTTGGCGCCCCCTAGAACGTAAACCGTGGGGTGCAGCGTCATGATTTGAATAACTTTTAATGGCCATGGGGTGTAATTTGGCCTGAGCAAATGTGGTGCCGGTGGAACGAAAGCCTTCGGAGGAGTTAGCGAAATTCCAATGTGTGCGAATCGGCAAAAAATGCGGAATAACCCTTTAACCGTACATTAGACAGATACGCGCGCATTGACTTTTTCGAAGATCTTATTGAGATACATGTGTGTGTCAATTTTTGTGTCATTTTGACAAAGCGTATAGGCGTGACAGTCAACAATGTGTATTTTCACCTTAGGGGACAAGAAAAAATGGACTTTTTTCTCCTGCCATGGGGGGGCGCTCTTTTGGGGAGTAAAAATTCCTTCACACATGTGTTGATGGCTGGACATTGCATCATCCTAGAAAACTTGGAGGCCAGTGAGGGCAAAAATAAAAAGTTATAAGACTTTTAAAAATGTGGATTTTAGGGTTATCTTTGGCGCCCCCTAGAACCTAAACCGTGGGGTGCAGCGTCATGATTTGAATAACTTTTAATGGCCATGGGGTGTAGATTGGCCTGAGCAAATGTGGTGCCGGTGGAACGAAAGCCTTCGGAGGAGTTAGCGAAATTCCAATGTGTGCGGATCGGCAAAAAATGCGCAATAACCCTTTAACCGTACATTTGACAGATACGCCCGCACTGACTTTTTTGTAGATCTTATTGAGATACATGTGTGTGTCAATTTTTGTGTCATTTTGACAAAGCGTACAGGCGTCAGGTGAATTTTTCACCTTAGGGGGCGCTATGGAGCCATTTTGCATTGTATTGTTTGGGCGACTTCAGAATATCAAATTTTTCACCAGGCCCGGTCGTCCTGCCAAATTTCATGAGTTTTCGCCAGTGGGAAGTGGGCCATTTTCCAGTTCAAAGGGGAGGAAAAAGAAAAAAGAAACAAAGAAAAACCACTTGGGGAATAATAGGGCTCTCGCAGCTGCTTAGCAGCTACGCTCGGGCCCTAACTAGGGCCCCGGTGGGGCACTGTCGGGCCCGAGCCGCGTCGCGCCGCCCCCAGCGCGACCGCCTCCCCCTCCCGATCGCGTCACACTCAAGGTCCAAAGATGGTGTGCGCACTTGTCTGTGGTCATTTCCCATTATAATGAATGGGAGGCGCAGTTTCTACCAAAACGCTCGCTGCAGACAAACTACATGTCCTATTTGAAAAGGTCTGGACCATGAGTGAGGGCACAAACACAGCTAGTATATATCCAAATGGCAAGTTGCTCCTCCTTTCGGTTTTGCAGAGAGAGCGATGTGTTTGAGCCATTGAGCGATGGGCAGGAAAAACTTGACTTTTTCTCCTGCCATGGGGGGGCGCTCTTTTGGGGAGAAAAAATTCCTTCACAAATGTGTTGATGGCTGGACATTGCATCATCCTAGAAAACTTGGAGGCCAGTGAGGACAAAAATAAAAAGTTATAAGACTTTTAAAAATGTGGATATTTGGGTCCTCTTTGGCGCCCCCTAGAACGTAAACTGTGGGGTGCAGCGTCATGATTTGTACAACTTTGAATGGCCATGGGGTGTAGATTAACCTGAGCAAATTTGAAGCCGATGGGACAAAAGATTTAGGAGGAGTTAGCGAAATTCCAATGTGTGCGGATCGGCAAAAAATGCGAAATAACCCTTTAACCGTACATTTGACAGATACGCCCGCACTGACTTTTTTGTAGATCTTATTGAGATACATGTGTGTGTCAAATTTTGTGTCATTTTGACAAAGCGTAAAGGCGTGACAGTCAACAATGTGTATTTTCGCCTTAGGAGACAAGAAAAAATGGACTTTTTTCTCCTGCCATGGGGGGGCGCTCTTTTGGCGAGTAAAAATTCCTTCACAAATGTGTTGATGGCTGGACATTGCATCATCCTAGAGAACTTGGAGGCCAGTGAGGACAAAAATAAAAAGTTATAAGACTTTTAAGACTGTGGATTTTTGGGTTATCTTTGGCGCCCCCTAGAACGTAAACCGTGGGGTGCAGCGTCATGATTTGTACAACTTTTAATGGCCATGGGGTGTAGATTGGCCTCAGCAAATGTGGTGCCTTTGGAACGAAAGCCTTCGGAGGAGTTAGCGAAATTCCAATGTGTGCGGATCGGCAAAAAATGCGAAATAGCCCTTTCACCGTACATTTGACAGATACGCCCGCACTGACTTTTTTGTAGATCTTATTGAGATACATGTGTGTGTCAATTTTTGTGTCAATATGACAAAGCGTAAAGGCGTGACAGTCAATAGTGTGAATTTTCGCCTTAGGAGACAAGAAAAAATTGACTTTTTTCTCCTGCCATGGGGGGGCGCTCTTTTGGGGAGTAAAAATTCCTTCACAAATGTGTTGATGGCTGGACATTGCATCATCCTAGAAAACTTGGAGGCCAGTGAGGACAAAAATAAAAAGTTATACGACTTTTAAGAATGTGGATTTCTGGGTTATCTTTGGCGCCCCCTAGAACGTAAACCGTGGGATGCAGCGTCATGATTTGTACAACTTTTAATGGCCATGGGGTGTAGATTGGCCTGAGCAAATTTGGTGCCGGTGGAACGAAAGCCTTCGGAGGAGTTAGCGAAATTCCAATGTGTGCGGATCGGCAAAAAATGCGAAATAGCCCTTTAACCGTACATTTGACAGATACGCCCGCACTGACTTTTTTGTAGATCTTATTGAGATACACGTGTGTGTCAAATTTTGTGTCATTTTGACAAAGCGTACAGGCGTGACACTCAATCATGTGAATTTTTCACCTTAGGGGGCGCTATGGAGCCATTTTGCATTTGATTTTTTGGGCGACTTCAGAATATCGAATTTTTCACCAGGCCCGGTCGTCCTGCCAAATTTCATGACTTTTCACCAGTGGGAAGTGGGCCATTTTCCAGTTCAAAGGGGCAGAAAAATAATAAGAAGACTAGGACCCCGTTGGGGCACTGGCGGGCCCGAGCCGTGTCGCGTCCCCCCCCCCAACGTGCTGCCTCCCCGTCCCATTTGTGTCCTCTGGCCATCGCCCTCTCTGGTAACGCCCATCACTGCAAAGACCCTTTTCCTTCATCTGCGTTTGCTGTTCTTCCTGCCAGTGCGTGTTGCTTTCACTTACACTTGCCACAGCCAGCCTCGTGAGTGCCTAGCCTATTGGATATCACTGTCACCTACACAGGACAGTCATTACCTTTCTATTAATACTTTGTGTTTTAATTTCACATTAATTTCCATATTGTATAAACGACTGGAAAAAACTTGAGCCCCTGCCCCTGTATAATCATGTGCATGTCTCTGTTCTAGCTCCAAGGTGAATCTTCACTGCTCATGTTCTCCTCAGAAGCACTCACCTCACTCCCCTCAGGTTACTGTACACATGCACCAACTGCCTGCTTCAGGTTTGGATGGAGCTTCATGGTTGTCTTTTGGAGAAATGACCAGTCAAGTTGTGTTTGAAATTTGATTTTTTTCAGGGGCAAAAGGAGCCTCTGCATTCTTGTCAAATATGTAAATAGCATGTTTTTGCAGGTGCTAAAAACCAGACTCTGAGTGTGTGTGTGTGTGTGTGTGTGTGTGTGTGTGTGTGTGCGTGTGTGTGTGTCTGTGTGTGCGTTCAAGTCACATGACATATTTAATCGGATGTAGCTGCAAGACGGAGCCTCGTTGACTCTCCGTTTCAACTTATCTCAAAAGTGAGGACCTCAACCTATATACCAGTTTTTAAATTGTGTTGATAGGCCAAATAAAACCAGAGTTATGATAAATTATGTCCGCGATACTTTTTTTCTGCTTATTTTGATCACGTTCGGACTTTTTTTTAGAAAGAAAGGGACTTTTATCGACTTCTTCTGGAGTTTAGAGACTCTGACATGAAGCAGGCTTTCCTTACTGAGGAGTTAGCAACGCTGCTAAGGGTGCAGAGCCACACATGCGCTCAGAGCTCTGCATGGGAGACTGAAGCTGACAGAGCTGCAGCAGTTAGCAGGTTTCACCCTCAGAGACCACCAGGGGTTCATGTTGAGGCATTTTAAATTTTTTTTTTTTTGTGCCATAGACACTGTCAGCACAATCTGCAGTTACACTAACAAAAATGCTGCAAAAAACAAAGAATTATGGAAAAATTACACATGGACTGACATAGAGGAGGATCTACACAAGTTTTTTACATCATGTTTTACATCATGCATCATTTACATCATGTTTTTTTGTAGTGGCATAAATAAAAAGTGACATTTGTGAGACTATACAGTGTTTTGTAAATAATTTTACAAAGAACGCCTGGGCCATTGCCTGCATTTTGATGTAAATAGAGGTAAATTACTATGTTCTTTGTTAAAAATTTGCATATGTTTTGAAGTTTACAATTTTTATTTGAAGTTTAAGTTTTAAAAACAGTTCATCACACATATTTGTGTTTTAATTTCACATTAATTTCCATATTGTATAAATGACTGGAAAAAACTTGAGCCCCTGCCCCTGTATAATCATGTGCACGTCCCTGTTCTAGCTCCAAGGTGAATCTTCACTGCTCATGTTCTCCTCAGAAATAGTCACCTCACTCCCCTCAGGTTACTGTACACATGCACCAACTATCTGCTTCAGGTTTGGATGGAGCTTCATGGTTGTCTTTTGGAGAAATGAACAGTCAAGTTGTGTTTGAAATCTGATTTTTTTCAGGGGCAAAAGGAAGCCTCTGCATTCTTGTCAAATATGTAAACAGCATGTTTTTGCAGGTGCTAAAAAACAGACTCTGAGTGTGTGTGTGTGTGTGTGTGTGTGTGTGTGTGTGTGTGTGTGTGTGTGTGTGTATATGTGTGTGTATCCTGCAGTACTCTGTACTCCTGCAGTGGCCAAAAAGACTTTTAAGGATGTGGATTTTTGGGTCATCTTTGGCGCCCCCTAGAACTGCAGTACTCTGTACTCCTGCAGTGGCCAAAATGACTTTTAAGAATGTGGATTTTTGGGTCATATTTGGTGCCCCCTAGAACGTAAACCGTGGGGTGCAGCGTCATGATTTTTACAACTTTGAATGGGCATGGGGTGTAGATTGCCCTGAGCAAATTTGGTATCGGTGGGACGAAAGCCTTAGGAGGAGATAGCCACATTCCAATGTGTGCGAATCGGCAAAAAATGCGAAATAGCCCTTTAACCGTACATTATACAGATACGCGCTTTTTGACTTTTTCGTAGATCTAATTGAGATACACGTGATTGTCAATTTTTGTGTCAATATGACAAAGCGTTCAGGCATGACGCTCAACAATGTGTATTTTCATGTAAGGGGACAAGAAAAAATTGACTTTTTTCTCCTGCCATGGGGGGGCGCTCTTTTGGGGAGCAAAAATTCCTTCACAAATGTGTTGATGGCTGGACATTGCATCATCCTAGAAAACTTGGAGGCCAGTGAGGACAAAAATAAAAAGTTATAAGACTTTTAAGAATGTGGATTTTGGGTTATCTTTGGCGCCCCCTAGAACGTAAACCGTGGGGTGCAGCGTCATGATTTGTACAACTTTTAATGGCCATGGGGGGTAGATTGGCCTGCGCAAATGTGGTGCCCGTCGAACGAAAGCCTTCGGAGGAGTTAGCGAAATTCCAATGTGTGCAGATCTGCAAAAAATGCAAAATAACCCATTAACCGTACATTTGACAGATACGCCCGCACTGACTTTTTTGTAGATCTTATTGAGATACATGTGTGTGTCAATTTTTGTGTCAATATGACAAAGCGTACAGCCGTCATGTGAATTTTCACCTTAGGGGGCGCTATGGAGCCATTTTGCATTTTATTGTTTGGGCGACTTCAGAATATCGAATTTTTCACCAGGCCCGGTCGTCCTGCCAAATTTCCTGAGTTTTCGCCAGTGGGAAGTGGGCCATTTTCCAGTTTAAAGCGGAGGAAAAATAATAACGAAAGAAGGAAACATGCAGGAACAAGAGGGCTCTCGCAGCTGCTTAGCAGCTACGCTCGGGCCCTAAAGACTAGGACCCCGTTGGGGCACTGGCGGGCCCGAGCCGTGTCCCCCCCCCCCCCCCCCCAACGTGCTGCCTCCCCGTCCCATTTGTGTCCTCTGGCCATCGCCCTCTCTGGTAACGCCCATCACTGCAAAGACCCTTTTCCTTCATCGGCGTTTGCTGTTCTTCCTGCCAGTGCGTGTTGCTTTCACTTACACTTGCCACAGCCAGCCTCGTGAGTGCCTAGCCTATTGGATATCACTGTCACCTACACAGGACAGTCATTACCTTTCTATTAATACTTTGTGTTTTAATTTCACATTAATTTCCATATTGTATAAACGACTGGAAAAAACTTGAGCCCCTGCCCCTGTATAATCATGTGCATGTCTCTGTTCTAGCTCCAAGGTGAATCTTCACTGCTCATGTTCTCCTCAGAAGCACTCACCTCACTCCCCTCAGGTTACTGTACACATGCACCAACTGCCTGCTTCAGGTTTGGATGGAGCTTCATGGTTGTCTTTTGGAGAAATGAGCAGTCAAGTTGTGTTTGAAATGTGATTTTTTTCAGGGGCAAAAGGAGCCTCTGCATTCTTGTCAAATATGTAAATAGCATGTTTTTGCAGGTGCTAAAAACCAGACTCTGAGTGTGTGTGTGTGTCTGTGTGTGTGTGTGTGCGTTCAAGTCACATGACATATTTAACCGGATGTAGCTGCAAGACGGAGCCTCGTTGACTCCGTTTCAACTTATCTCAAAAGTGAGGACCTCAACCTATATACCAGTTTTTAAATTGTGTTGATAGGCCAAATAAAACCAGAGTTATGATAAATTATGTCCGCGATACTTGTTTTCTGCTTATTTTGATCACGTTCGGCGCTCGATCGCGCTGTATGAGACAGGAAAACATAGCATGCAGACATTAGCGACAGGTCTTACAGGCGGAAAAGGCTTGCCAAAGGAAAAAAAAAACACACCACAACATTTCTCCTATTGGTGGAAAACTTCACCACAACAACCAATCCAAAATTATATGGTGACTGATTGACAAGGGGCGGGCGCTTACGTTCTTCCTGCAATATGAGAAGGGAGGGAGGGACTCTCAGCAGGGATGCAGTCTGGGACACGTAGTTGCAAACCTTGCAACTTTGTTGTTAGATTCAATGACTTTTCAGACCCCCTAACGACTTTTTTAGAAAGAAAGTGACTTTTATCGACTTCTTCTGGAGTTTAGAGACTCTGACATGAAGCAGGCTTTCCTTACTGAGGAGTTAGCAACGCTGCTAAGGGTGCAGAGCCACACATGCGCTCCGAGCTCTGCATGGGAGACTGAAGCTGACAGAGCTGCAGCAGTTAGCAGGTTTCACCCTCAGAGACCACCAGGGGTTCATGTTGAGGCATTTTCAGTTTTTTTTTTTTTTGTGCCATAGACACTGTCAGCACAATCTGCAGTTACACTAACAAAAATGCTGCAAAAAACAAAGAATTATGGAAAAATTACACATGGACTGACATACAGGAGGATCTACACAAGTTTTTTACATCATGTTTTACATCATGCATCATTTACATCATGTTTTTTTGTAGTGGCATAAATAAAAAGTGACATTTGTGAGACTATACAGTGTTTTGTAAATAATTTTACAAAGAACGCCTGGGCCATTGCCTGCATTTTGATGTAAATAGAGGTAAATTACTATGTTCTTTGTTAAAAATTTGCATATGTTTTGAAGTTTACAATTTTTATTTGAAGTTTAAGTTTTAAAAACAGTTCATCACACATATTTGTGGTTTTCACAGAAAAAACGTTACTTTTTTCCACTTGGATTTTATGTTTTGTGTGTGAATTTGGGTCCAATGTGTAAATATAGTATGTCAAAATGATAAAATAACTGTAAATTGACACAGGTGAGGTTGTGCTGAAAAAAATGATACCAGGCAAGGCAAGGTAAAAATTTTGTAAGAGGAAATATAAAGGTAAAATCTAAAGTAGTCAAAAACGGCCAATAGTGACTCACAGACTCCACAGACAAGTCCCTTTGGCGCCACTCAGTGGGCAAAACTACTTTGTCTACTGTAATGTATATTTGGGTCATCTTTGGCACCCCCTAGAACGTAAACCGTGGGGTGCAGCGTCATGATTTTTACAACTTTGAATAAGCATGGGGTGTAGATTGCCCTGTGCAAATTTGGTATCGGTGGGACGAAAGCCTTAGGAGGAGATAGCCACATTCCAATGTGTGCGAATCGGCAAAAAATGCAAAATAGCCCTTTAACCGTACATTATACAGATACGCGCTCTTTGACTTTTTCGTAGATCTAATTGAGATACACATGATTGTCAATTTTTGTGTCAATATGACAAAGCGTTCAGGCGTGACACTCAACAATGTGTATTTTCATGTAAGGGGACAAGAAAAAATTGACTTTTTTCTCCTACCATGGGGGGGCGCTCTTTTGGGGAGTAAAAATTCCTTCACAAATGTGTTGATGGCTGGACATTGCATCATCCTAGAAAACTTGGAGGCCAGTGAGGATAAAAAAAAAAAGTTATAAAACATTTAAGAATGTGGATTTTTGGGTTATTTTTTGCGCCCCCTAGAACCTAAACCATGGGGTGCAGCATCATGATTTGAATAACTTTTAATGGCCATGGGGTGTAGATTGGCCTGAGCAAATGTGGTGCCGGTGGAATGAAAGCCTTCGGAGGAGTTAGCGAAATTCCAATGTGTGCGTATCGGCAAAAAATGCGGAATAACCCTTTAACCGTACATTTTACAAATACGTGGCCATTGACTTTTTCGAAGATCTTATTGAAATACACGTGTATGTAAAATTTTGTGTCAATACGACAAAACATACAGGCGTAGCACTCAACAATGTGTATTTTCACCTTAGTGGACAAGAAAAAATGGACTTTTTTCTCCTGCCATGGGGGGGCGCTCTTTTGGGGAGTAAAAATTCCTTCACAAATGTGTTGATGGCTGGACATTGCATCATCCTAGAAAACTTGGAGGCCAGTGAGGACAAAAATAAAAAGTTATAAGACTTTTAAAAATGTGGATATTTGGGTCCTCTTTGGCGCCCCCTAGAACGTAAACTGTGGGGTGCAGCGTCATGAGTTGTACAACTTTGAATGGCCATGGGGTGTAGATTGACCTGAGCAAATTTGAAGCCGATGGGACAAAAGATTTAGGAGGAGTTAGCGAAATTCCAATGTGTGCGGATCGGCAAAAAATGCGAAATAACCCTTTAACCGTACATTTGACAGATACGCCCGCACTGACTTTTTTGTAGATCTTATTGAGATACATGTGTGTGTCAAATTTTGTGTCATTTTGACAAAGCGTAAAGGCGTGACAGTCAACAATGTGTATTTTCGCCTTAGGAGACAAGAAAAAATGGACTTTTTTCTCCTGCCATGGGGGGCGCTCTTTTGGCGAGTAAAAATTCCTTCACAAATGTGTTGATGGCTGGACATTGCATCATCCTAGAGAACTTGGAGGCCAGTGAGGACAAAAATAAAAAGTTATAAGACTTTTAAGACTGTGGATTTTTGGGTTATCTTTGGCGCCCCCTAGAACGTAAACCGTGGGGTGCAGCGTCATGATTTGTACAACTTTTAATGGCCATGGGGTGTAGATTGGCCTCAGCAAATGTGGTGCCTTTGGAACGAAAGCCTTCGGAGGAGTTAGCGAAATTCCAATGTGTGCGGATCGGCAAAAAATGCGAAATAGCCCTTTCACCGTACATTTGACAGATTCGCCCGCACTGACTTTTTTGTAGATCTTATTGAGATACATGTGTGTGTCAATTTTTGTGTCAATATGACAAAGCGTAAAGGCGTGACAGTCAATAGTGTGAATTTTCGCCTTAGGAGACAAGAAAAAATGGACTTTTTTCTCCTGCCATGGGGGGCGCTCTTTTGGGGAGTAAAAATTCCTTCACAAATGTGTTGATGGCTGGACATTGCATCATCCTAGAAAACTTGGAGGCCAGTGAGGACAAAAATAAAAAGTTATACGACTTTTAAGAATGTGGATATCTGGGTTATCTTTGGCGCCCCCTAGAACGTAAACCGTGGGATGCAGCGTCATGATTTGTACAACTTTTAATGGCCATGGGGTGTAGATTGGCCTGAGCAAATTTGGTGCCGGTGGAACGAAAGCCTTCGGAGGAGTTAGCGAAATTCCAATGTGTGCGGATCGGCAAAAAATGCGAAATAGCCCTTTAACCGTACATTTGACAGATACGCCCGCACTGACTTTTTTGTAGATCTTATTGAGATACACGTGTGTGTCAAATTTTGTGTCATTTTGACAAAGCGTACAGGCGTGACACTCAATCATGTGAATTTTTCACCTTAGGGGGCGCTATGGAGCCATTTTGCATTTGATTTTTTGGGCGACTTCAGAATATCGAATTTTTCACCAGGCCCGGTCGTCCTGCCAAATTTCATGACTTTTCACCAGTGGGAAGTGGGCCATTTTCCAGTTCAAAGGGGCAGAAAAATAATAAGAAGAAGAAGAAGAACTAGGGCCCCGTTGGGGCACTGGCGGGCCCGAGCCGCGTTGCGCCGCCCCCAGTGCGACCGCCTCCCCCTCCCGATCGCGTCACACTCAAGGTCCAAAGATGGTGTGCGCACTTGTCTGTGGTCATTTCCCATTATAATGAATGGGAGGCGCAGTTTCTACCAAAACACTCGCTGCAGACAAACTACATGTCCTATTTGAAAAAAGTCTGGACCATGAGTGAGGGCACAAACACAGCTAGGATATATCCAAACGGCAAGTTGCTCCTCGTTACGATGTTGCCGGGAGAGCGATGCGATTGAGCCATTGAGTGATGGGCAGGAAAACTTGACTGTTTCTCCTGCCATGGGGGATGGGGGATGGGGGATGGGGGGGGGGGGGGGGGGATGTGGATTCTTTTAAGAATGTGGATATTTGGGTCATTTTTGGCGCCCCCTAGAACCTAAACCGTGGGGTGCAGCGTCATGATTTTTAAAACTTTGAATGGCCATGGGGTGTAGATTGGCCTGAGCAAATTTGGTGTCAGTGGGACGAAAGCCTTAGGAGGAGTTAGCCACATTCCAATGTGTGCTAATCGGCAAAAATGCAAAATAGCCCTTTAACCGTACATTTTACAGATACGCGCGCATTGACTTTTTCGTAGATCTTATTGAGATACATGTGTGTGTCAAATTTTGTGTCAATATGACAAAGCATACAGGTATGACAGTCAACAATGTGTATTTTCACCTTATGGGACAAGAAAAAATTGACTTTTTTCTCCTGCCATGGGGGGGCGCTCTTTTGGGGAGTAAAAATTCCTTCACAAATGTGTTGATGGCTGGACATTGCATCATCCTAGAAAACTTGGAGGCCAGAGAGGACAAAAATAAAAAGTTATAAGACTTTGAAATATGTGGATTTTAGGGTTATCTTTGGCGCCCCCTAGAACCTAAACCGTGGGGTGCAGCGTCATGATTTGAATAACTTTTAATGGCCATGGGGTGTAGATTGGCCTGAGCAAATGTGGTGCCGGTGGAACGAAAGCCTTCGGAGGAGTTAGCGAAATTCCAATGTGTGCGGATCGGCAAAAAATGCGCAATAACCCTTTAACCGTACATTTGACAGATACGCCAGCACTGACTTTTTTGTAGATCTTATTGAGATACATGTGTGTGTCAATTTTTGTGTAATTTTGACAAAGCGTACAGGCGTGACAGTCAATAGTGTGAATTTTCACCTTATGGGACAAGAAAAAATGGACTTTTTTCTCCTGCCATGGGGGGGCGCTCTTTTGGGGAGTAAAAATTCCTTCACAAATGTGTTGATGGCTGGACATTGCATCATCCTAGAAAACTTGGAGGCCAGTGAGGGCAAAAATAAAAAGTTATAAGACTTTGAAATATGTGGATTTTAGGGTTATCTTTGGCGCCCCCTAGAACCTAAACCGTGGGGTGCAGCGTCATGATTTGAATAACTTTTAATGGCCATGGGGTGTAGATTGGCCTGAGCAAATGTGGTGCCGGTGGAACGAAAGCCTTCGGAGGAGTTAGCGAAATTCCAATGTGTGCGGATCGGCAAAAAATGCGCAATAACCCTTTAACCGTACATTTGACAGATATGCCCGCACTGACTTTTTTGTAGATCTTATTGAGATACATGTGTGTGTCAATTTTTGTGTCATTTTGACAAAGCGTACAGGCGTGACAGTGAATAGTGTGAATTTTCACCTTAGGGGGCGCTATGGAGCCATTTTGCATTTTCTTGTTTGGGCGACTTCGGAATATCAAATTTTTCACCAGGCCCGGTCGTCCTGCCAAATTTCATGAGTTTTCGCCAGTGGGAAGTGGGCCATTTTCCAGTTCAAAGGGGAGGAAAAATAATAATAATAATAACAAAAGAAGGAAACTACAGGAACAAGAGGGCTCTCGCAGCTGCTTAGCAGCTACGCTCGGGCCCTAACTAGGACCCCGTTGGGGCACTGGCGGGCCCGAGCTGTGTCGCGTCCCCCCCCCAACGCGCTGCCTCCCCGTCCCATTTGTGTCCTCTGGCCATCGCCCTCTTTGGTAACGCCCATCACTGCAAAGACCCTTTTCCTTCATCGGCGTTTGCTGTTCTTCCTGCCAGTGCGTGTTGCTTTCACTTACACTTGCCACAGCCAGCCTCGTGAGTGCCTAGCCTATTGGATATCACTGTCACCTACACAGGACAGTCATTACCTTTCTATTAATACTTTGTTTTTTAATTTCACATTAATTTCCAAATTGTATAAACGACTGGAAAAAACTTGAGCCCCTGCCCCTGTATAATCATGTGCACGTCTCTGTTCTAGCTCTAAGGTAAATCTTCACTGCTCATGTTCTCCTCAGAAGCAGTCACCTCACTCCCCTCAGGTTACTGTACACATGCACCAACTGCCTGCTTCAGGTTTGGATGGAGCTTCATGGTTGTCTTTTGGAGAAATGACCAGTCAAGTTGTGTTTGAAATTTGATTTTTTTCAGGGGCAAAAGGAGCCTCTGCATTCTTGTCAAATATGTAAATAGCATGTTTTTGCAGGTGCTACAAACCAGACTCTGAGTGTGTGTGTGTGCGTGTGTGTGTGTCTGTGTGTGTGTGTGTGTGTGCGTTCAAGTCACATGACATATTTAACCGGATGTAGCTGCAAGACGGAGCCTCGTTGACTCTCCGTTTCAATTTATCTCAAAAGTGAGGACCTCAACCTATATACCAGTTTTTAAATTGTGTTGATAGGCCAAATAAAACCAGAGTTATGATAAATTATGTCCGCGATACTTGTTTTCTGCTTATTTTGATCACGTTCGGCGCTCGATCGCGCTGTATGAGACAGGAAAACATAGCATGCAGACATTAGCGACAGGTCTTACAGGCGGAAAAGGCTTGCCAAAGGAAAAAAATACACACCACAACATCTCTCCTATTGGTGGAAAACTTCACCACAACAACCAATCCAAAATTATATGGTGACTGATTGACAAGGGGCGGGAACTTACGTTCTTCCTGCAATATGAGAAGGGAGGGAGGGACTCTCAGCAGGGATGCAGTCTGGGACACGTAGTTGCAAACCTAGCGACTTTGTTGTTAGATTCAATGACTTTTCAGACCCCCTAACGACTTTTTTTTAGAAAGAAAGTGACTTTTATCGACTTCTTCTGGAGTTTAGAGACTCTGACATGAAGCAGGCTTTCCTTACTGAGGAGTTAGCAACGCTGCTAAGGGTGCAGAGCCACACATGCGCTCCGAGCTCTGCATGGGAGACTGAAGCTGACAGAGCTGCAGCAGTTAGCAGGTTTCACCTTCAGAGACCACCAGGGGTTCATGTTGAGGCATTTTCAGTTTTTTTTTTTTTTTTTGCCATAGACACTGTCAGCACAATCTGCAGTTACACTAACAAAAATGCTGCAAAAAACAAAGAATTATGGAAAAATTACACATGGACTAACATAGAGGAGGATCTACACAAGTTTTTTACATCATGTTTTACATCATGCATCATTTACATCATGTTTTTTTGTAGTGGCATAAATAAAAAGTGACATTTGTGAGACTATACAGTGTTTTGTAAATAATTTTACAAAGAACACCTGGGCCATTGCCTGCATTTTGATGTCAATAGAGGTAAATTACTATGTTCTTTGTTAAAAATTTGCATATGTTTTGAAGTTTACAATTTTTATTTGAAGTTTAAGTTTTAAAAACAGTTCATCACACATATTTGTGGTTTTCACAGTAAAAACGTTACTTTTTTCCACTCGGATTTTATGTTTTGTGTGTGAATTTGGGTCCAATGTGTAAATATAGTATGTCAAAATGGTAAAATAACTGTAAATTGACACAGGTGAGGTTGTGCTGAAAAAAATGATACCAGGCAAGGCAAGGTAAAAATTTTGTAAGAGGAAATATAAAGGTAAAATCTAAAGTAGTCAAAAACGGCCAATAGTGACTCACAGACTCCACAGACAAGTCCCTTTGGCGCCACTCAGTGGGCAAAACTACTTTGTCTACTGTAATGTATATTTGGGTCATCTTTGGCGCCCCCTAAAACGTAAACCGTGGGGTGCAGCGTCATGATTTTTACAACTTTGAATGGCCATGGAGTGTAGATTGGCCTGAGCAAATTTGGTGTCAGTGGGACGAAAGCCTTAGGAGGAGTTAGCGAAATTCCAATGTGTGCGAATCGGCAAAAAATGCAAAATAGCCCTTTTACCGTACATTATACAGATACGCGCTCTTTGACTTTTTCGTAGATCTAATTGAGATACACATGATTGTCAATTTTTGTGTCATTTTGCCAAAGCGTACAGGCGTGACAGTCAACAATGTGTATTTTCACCTTAGGGGACAAGAAAAAATGGACTTTTTTCTCCTGCCATGGGGGGGCGCTCTTTTGGGGAGTAAAAATTCCTTCACAAATGTGTTGATGGCTGGACATTGCATCATCCTAGAAAACTTGGAGGCCAGTGAGGACAAAAATAAAAAGTTATAAGACTTTTAAAAATGTGGATTTTAGGGTTATCTTTGGCGCCCCCTAGAACCTAAACCGTGGGGTGCAGCGTCATGATTTTGATAACTTTTAATGGCCATGGGGTGTAGATTGGCCTGAGCAAATGTGGTGCCGGTGGAACGAAAGCCTTCGGAGGAGTTAGCGAAATTCCAATGTGTGCGGATCGGCAAAAAATGCGAAATAACCCTTTAACCGTACATTTGACAGATACGCGCGCATTGACTTTTTCGTAGATCTTATTGAGTTACATGTGTGTGTCAATTTTTGTGTCATTTTGACAAAGCGTATAGGCGTGACACTCAACAATGTGTATTTTCACCTTAGGGGACAAGAAAAAATTGACTTTTTTCTCCTGCCATGGGGGGGCGCTCTTTTGGGGAGTAAAAATTCCTTCACAAATGTGTTGATGGCTGGACATTGCATCATCCTAGAAAACTTGGAGGCCAGTGAGGACAAAAATAAAAAGTTATAAGACTTTTAAATATGTGGATTTTAGTGTTATCTTTGGCGCCCCCTAGAACCTAAACCTTGGGGTGCAGCATCATGATTTTGATAACTTTTAATGGCCACGGGGTGTAGATTGGCCTGAGCAAATGTGGTGCCGGTGGAACGAAAGCCTTCGGAGGAGTTAGCGAAATTCCAATGTGTGCAGATCGGCAAAAAATGCGAAATAACCCTTTAACCGTAATTTTGACAGATACGGCCGCACTGACTTTTTTGTAGATCTTATTGAGATACATGTGTGTGTCAATTTTTGTGTCATTTTGACAAAGCGTACAGTCGTGACAGTGAATAGTGTGAATTTTCACCTTAGGGGGCGCTATGGAGCCATTTTGCATTTTATTGTTTTGGCGACTTCAGAATATCAAATTTTTCACCAGGCCCGGTCGTCCTGCCAAATTTCATGAGTTTTCGCCAGTGGGAAGTGGGCCATTTTCCAGTTCAAAGGGGAGGAAAAAGAAAAAAGAAAGAAAGAAACAAAGAAAAACCACTTGGGGAATAATAGGGCCTACGCCCGGCTGCTCTGCAGCTGGCTCGGGCCCTAACAAGAGGGCTCTCGCAGCTGCTTAGCAGCTACGCTCGGGCCCTAAAGAAAGAAAGAAACAAAGAAAAACCACTTGGGGAATAATAGGGCCTACGCCCGGCTGCTCTGCAGCTGGCTCGGGCCCTAAAGAAACTAGGACCCCGTTGGGGCACTGGCGGGCCCGAGCCGTGTCGCGTCCCCCCCCCCCAACGTGCTGCCTCCCCGTCCCATTTGTGTCCTCTGGCCATCGCCCTCTCTGGTAACGCCCATCACTGCAAAGACCCTTTTCCTTCATCTGCGTTTGCTGTTCTTCCTGCCAGTGCGTGTTGCTTTCACTTACACTTGCCACAGCCAGCCTCGTGAGTGCCTAGCCTATTGGATATCACTGTCACCTACACAGGACAGTCATTACCTTTCTATTAATACTTTGTTTTTTAATTAGGGCCCGAGCGTAGCTGCTAAGCAGCTGCGAGAGCCCTATTATTCCCCAAGGGGTTTTTCTTTGTTTCTTTTTTCTTTTTCCTCCCCTTTGAACTGGAAAATGGCCCACTTCCCACTGGCGAAAACTCATGAAATTTGGCAGGACGACCGGGCCTGGTGAAAAATTTGATATTCCGAAGTCGCCCAAACAAGAAAATGCAAAATGGCTCCATAGCGCCCCCTAAGGTGAAAATTCACACTATTGAGTGTCACGCCTGTACGCTTTGTCAAAATGACACAAAATTTGACACACACATGTATCTCAATAAGATCTACAAAAAAGTCAGTGCGGGCGTATCTGTCAAATGTACGGTTAAAGGGTTATTTCGCATTTTTTGCCGATCCGCACACATTGGAATTTCGCTAACTCCTTTGAAGGCTTTCGTTCCACCGGCACCACATTTGCTCAGGCCAATCTACACCCCATGGCCATTAAAAGTTATTCAAATCATGACGCTGCACCCCACGGTTTAGGTTCTAGGGGGCGCCAAAGATAACCCTAAAATCCACATATTTAAAAGTCTTATAACTTTTTATTTTTGCCCTCACTGGCCTCCAAGTTTTCTAGGATGATGCAATGTCCAGCCATCAACACATTTGTGAAGGAATTTTTACTCCCCAAAAGAGCGCCCCCCCATGGCAGGAGAAAAAAGTCCATTTTTTCTTGTCCCCTAAGGTGAAAATACACATTGTTGAGTGTCACGCCTGTACGCTTTGTCAAAATGACACAAAAATTGACACACACATGTATCTCAATAAGATCTACAAAAAAGTCCATGCGCGCGTATCTGTCAAATGTACGGTTAAAGGGTTATTCCGCATTTTTTGCCGATTCGCACACATTGGAATTTCGCTAACTCCTCCGAAGGCTTTCGTTCCACCGGCACCACATTTGCTCAGGCCAATCTACACCCCATGGCCATTAAAAGTTATTCAAATCATGACGCTGCACCCCACGGTTTACGTTCTAGGGGGCGCCAAAGATAACCCAAAAATCCACATTTTTAAAAGTCTTATAACTTTTTATTTTTGTCCTCACTGGCCTCCAAGTTTTCAAGGATGATGCAATGTCCAGCCATCAACACATTTGTGAAGGAATTTTTACTCCCTAAAAGAGCGCCCCCCCATGGCAGGAGAAAAAAGTCCATTTTTTCTTGTCCCCTAAGGTGAAAATACACATTGTTGACTGTCACGCCTGTACGCTTTGGCAAAATGACACAAAAATTGACAATCATGTGTATCTCAATTAGATCTACGAAAAAGTCAAAGAGCGCGTATCTGTATAATGTACGGTAAAAGTGCTATTTTGCATTTTTTGCCGATTCGCACACATTGGAATTTCGCTAACTCCTCTGAAGGCTTTCGTCCCACTGACACCAAATTTGCTCAGGCCAATCTACACTCCATGGCCATTCAAAGTTGTAAAAATCATGACGCTGCACCCCACGGTTTACGTTTTAGGGGGCGCCAAAGATGACCCAAATATACATTACAGTAGACAAAGTAGTTTTGCCCACTGAGTGGCGCCAAAGGGACTTGTCTGTGGAGTCTGTGAGTCACTATTGGCCGTTTTTGACTACTTTAGATTTTACCTTTATATTTCCTCTTACAAAATTTTTACCTTGCCTTGCCTGGTATCATTTTTTTCAGCACAACCTCACCTGTGTCAATTTACAGTTATTTTATCATTTTGACATACTATATTTACACATTGGACCCAAATTCACACACAAAACATAAAATCCGAGTGGAAAAAAGTAACGTTTTTACTGTGAAAACCACAAATATGTGTGATGAACTGTTTTTAAAACTTAAACTTCAAATAAAAATTGTAAACTTCAAAACATATGCAAATTTTTAACAAAGAACATAGTAATTTACCTCTATTTACATCAAAATGCAGGCAATGGCCCAGGCGTTCTTTGTAAAATTATTTACAAAACACTGTATAGTCTCACAAATGTCACTTTTTATTTATGCCACTACAAAAAAACATGATGTAAATGATGCATGATGTAAAACATGATGTAAAAAACTTGTGTAGATCCTCCTCTATGTCAGTCCATGTGTAATTTTTCCATAATTCTTTGTTTTTTGCAGCATTTTTGTTAGTGTAACTGCAGATTGTGCTGACAGTGTCTATGGCACAAAAAAAAAAAAAATTAAAATGCCTCAACATGAACCCCTGGTGGTCTCTGAGGGTGAAACCTGCTAACTGCTGCAGCTCTGTCAGCTTCAGTCTCCCATGCAGAGCTCTGAGCGCATGTGTGGCTTGCACCCTTAGCAGCGTTGCTAACTCCTCAGTAAGGAAAGCCTGCTTCATGTCAGAGTCTCTAAACTCCAGAAGAAGTCGATAAAAGTCCCTTTCTTTCTAAAAAAAAGTCGTTAGGGGGTCTGAAAAGTCATTGAATCTAACAACAAAGTCGCTAGGTTTGCAACTACGTGTCCCAGACTGCATCCCTGCTGAGAGTCCCTCCCTCCCTTCTCATGTTGCAGGAAGAACGTAAGCGCCCGCCCCTTGTCAATCAGTCACCATATAATTTTGGATTGGTTGTTGTGGTGAAGTTTTCCACCAATAGGAGAGATGTTGTGGTGTGTTTTTTTTTTCTTTTGGCAAGCCTTTTCCGCCTGTAAGACCTGTCGCTAATGTCTGCATGCTATGTTTTCCTGTCTCATACAGCGCGATCGAGCGCCGAACGTGATCAAAATAAGCAGAAAACAAGTATCGCGGACATAATTTATCATAACTCTGGTTTTATTTGGCCTATCAACACAATTTAAAAACTGGTATATAGGTTGAGGTCCTCACTTTTGAGATAAGTTGAAACGGAGAGTCAACGAGGCTCCGTCTTGCAGCTACATCCGGTTAAATATGTCATGTGACTTGAACGCACACATAGACACACACACACGCACACACACACACACACACACACACACACACACACACACACACACACACACTCAGAGTCTGGTTTTTAGCACCTGCAAAAACATGCTATTTACATATTTGACAAGAATGCAGAGGCTCCTTTTGCCCCTGAAAAAAATCAAATTTCAAACACAACTTGACTGGTCATTTCTCCAAAAGACAACCATGAAGCTCCATCCAAACCTGAAGCAGGCAGTTGGTGCATGTGTACAGTAACCTGAGGGGAGTGAGGTGAGTGCTTCTGAGGAGAACATGAGCAGCGAAGATTCACCTTGGAGCTAGAACAGAGACATGCACATGATTATACAGGGGCAGGGGCTCAAGTTTTTTCCAGTCGTCTATACAATATGGAAATTAATGTGAAATTAAAACACAAAGTATTAATAGAAAGGTAATGACTGTCCTGTGTAGGTGACAGTGATATCCAATAGGCTAGGCACTCACGAGGCTGGCTGTGGCAAGTGTAAGTGAAAGCAACACGCACTGGCAGGAAGAACAGCAAACGCCGATGAAGGAAAAGGGTCTTTGCAGTGATGGGCGTTAACAGAGAGGGCGATGGCCAGAGGACACAAATGGGACGGGAAGGCAGCACGTTGGGGGGGGGGGGGGGGAGAGACGCGACACGGCTCGGGCCCGCCAGTGCCCCAACGGGGTCCTAGTTTCACATTAATTTCCATATTGTATAAACGACTGGAAAAAACTTGAGCCCCTGCCCCTGTATAATCATGTGCATGTCTCTGTTCTAGCTCCAAGGTGAATCTTCACTGCTCATGTTCTCCTCAGAAGCACTCACCTCACTCCCCTCAGGTTACTGTACACATGCACCAACTGCCTGCTTCAGGTTTGGATGGAGCTTCATGGTTGTCTTTTGGAGAAATGACCAGTCAAGTTGTGTTTGAAATTTGATTTTTTTCAGGGGCAAAAGGAGCCTCTGCATTCTTGTCAAATATGTAAATAGCATGTTTTTGCAGGTGCTAAAAACCAGACTCTGAGTGTGTGTGTGTGTGTGTGTGTGTGTGTGTGTGTGCGTGTGTGTGTGTCTGTGTGTGCGTTCAAGTCACATGACATATTTAATCGGATGTAGCTGCAAGACGGAGCCTCGTTGACTCTCCGTTTCAACTTATCTCAAAAGTGAGGACCTCAACCTATATACCAGTTTTTAAATTGTGTTGATAGGCCAAATAAAACCAGAGTTATGATAAATTATGTCCGCGATACTTTTTTTCTGCTTATTTTGATCACGTTCGGACTTTTTTTTAGAAAGAAAGGGACTTTTATCGACTTCTTCTGGAGTTTAGAGACTCTGACATGAAGCAGGCTTTCCTTACTGAGGAGTTAGCAACGCTGCTAAGGGTGCAGAGCCACACATGCGCTCAGAGCTCTGCATGGGAGACTGAAGCTGACAGAGCTGCAGCAGTTAGCAGGTTTCACCCTCAGAGACCACCAGGGGTTCATGTTGAGGCATTTTAAATTTTTTTTTTTTGTGCCATAGACACTGTCAGCACAATCTGCAGTTACACTAACAAAAATGCTGCAAAAAACAAAGAATTATGGAAAAATTACACATGGACTGACATAGAGGAGGATCTACACAAGTTTTTTACATCATGTTTTACATCATGCATCATTTACATCATGTTTTTTTGTAGTGGCATAAATAAAAAGTGACATTTGTGAGACTATACAGTGTTTTGTAAATAATTTTACAAAGAACGCCTGGGCCATTGCCTGCATTTTGATGTAAATAGAGGTAAATTACTATGTTCTTTGTTAAAAATTTGCATATGTTTTGAAGTTTACAATTTTTATTTGAAGTTTAAGTTTTAAAAACAGTTCATCACACATATTTGTGTTTTAATTTCACATTAATTTCCATATTGTATAAATGACTGGAAAAAACTTGAGCCCCTGCCCCTGTATAATCATGTGCACGTCCCTGTTCTAGCTCCAAGGTGAATCTTCACTGCTCATGTTCTCCTCAGAAATAGTCACCTCACTCCCCTCAGGTTACTGTACACATGCACCAACTATCTGCTTCAGGTTTGGATGGAGCTTCATGGTTGTCTTTTGGAGAAATGAACAGTCAAGTTGTGTTTGAAATCTGATTTTTTTCAGGGGCAAAAGGAAGCCTCTGCATTCTTGTCAAATATGTAAACAGCATGTTTTTGCAGGTGCTAAAAAACAGACTCTGAGTGTGTGTGTGTGTGTGTGTGTGTGTGTGTGTGTGTGTGTGTGTGTGTGTATATGTGTGTGTATCCTGCAGTACTCTGTACTCCTGCAGTGGCCAAAAAGACTTTTAAGGATGTGGATTTTTGGGTCATCTTTGGCGCCCCCTAGAACTGCAGTACTCTGTACTCCTGCAGTGGCCAAAATGACTTTTAAGAATGTGGATTTTTGGGTCATATTTGGTGCCCCCTAGAACGTAAACCGTGGGGTGCAGCGTCATGATTTTTACAACTTTGAATGGGCATGGGGTGTAGATTGCCCTGAGCAAATTTGGTATCGGTGGGACGAAAGCCTTAGGAGGAGATAGCCACATTCCAATGTGTGCGAATCGGCAAAAAATGCGAAATAGCCCTTTAACCGTACATTATACAGATACGCGCTTTTTGACTTTTTCGTAGATCTAATTGAGATACACGTGATTGTCAATTTTTGTGTCAATATGACAAAGCGTTCAGGCATGACGCTCAACAATGTGTATTTTCATGTAAGGGGACAAGAAAAAATTGACTTTTTTCTCCTGCCATGGGGGGCGCTCTTTTGGGGAGCAAAAATTCCTTCACAAATGTGTTGATGGCTGGACATTGCATCATCCTAGAAAACTTGGAGGCCAGTGAGGACAAAAATAAAAAGTTATAAGACTTTTAAGAATGTGGATTTCTGGGTTATCTTTGGCGCCCCCTAGAACGTAAACCGTGGGGTGCAGCGTCATGATTTGTACAACTTTTAATGGCCATGGGGGGTAGATTGGCCTGCGCAAATGTGGTGCCCGTCGAACGAAAGCCTTCGGAGGAGTTAGCGAAATTCCAATGTGTGCAGATCTGCAAAAAATGCAAAATAACCCATTAACCGTACATTTGACAGATACGCCCGCACTGACTTTTTTGTAGATCTTATTGAGATACATGTGTGTGTCAATTTTTGTGTCAATATGACAAAGCGTACAGCCGTCATGTGAATTTTCACCTTAGGGGGCGCTATGGAGCCATTTTGCATTTTATTGTTTGGGCGACTTCAGAATATCGAATTTTTCACCAGGCCCGGTCGTCCTGCCAAATTTCCTGAGTTTTCGCCAGTGGGAAGTGGGCCATTTTCCAGTTTAAAGCGGAGGAAAAATAATAACGAAAGAAGGAAACATGCAGGAACAAGAGGGCTCTCGCAGCTGCTTAGCAGCTACGCTCGGGCCCTAAAGAAGAATCCATCAGGAATAATAGGGCTCTCGCAGCTGCTTAGCAGCTACGCTCGGGCCCTAAAGAAGAAAGAAGAATCCATCAGGAATAATAGGGCTCTCGCAGCTGCTTAGCAGCTACGCTCGGGCCCTAAAGAAGGAAACATGCAGGAACAAGAGGGCTCTCGCAGCTGCTTAGCAGCTACGCTCGGGCCCTAAAAACCTATACAGGAATAATAGGGCTCTACGCCCGGCTGCTCTGCAGCTGGCTCGGGCCCTAATAATAATAACAAAAGAAGAATCCATCAGGAACAAGAGGGCTCTCGCAGCTGCTTAGCAGCTACGCTCGGGCCCTAAAAACCTATACAGGAATAATAGGGCTCTACGCCCGGCTGCTCTGCAGCTGGCTCGGGCCCTAATAATAATAACAAAAGAAGAATCCATCAGGAACAAGAGGGCTCTCGCAGCTGCTTAGCAGCTACGCTCGGGCCCTAACTAGGGCCCCGTTGGGGCACTGGCGGGCCCGAGCCGTGTCGCACCCCCCCCCCCCCCCCCCCCAACGCGCTGCCTCCCCGTCCCATTCGCGTCCTCTGGCCATCGCCCTCTCTGGTAACGCCCATCACTGCAAAGACCCTTTTCCTTCATCGGCGTTTGCTGTTCTTCCTGCCAGTGCGTGTTGCTTTCACTTACACTTGCCACAGCCAGCCTCGTGAGTGCCTAGCCTATTGGATATCACTGTCACCTACACAGGACAGTCATACTTTGTTTTTTAATTTCACATTAATTTCCTTATTGTATAAACGACTGGAAAAAACTTGAGCCCCTGCCCCTGTATTATCATGTGCACGTCCCTGTTCTAGCTCCAAGGTGAATCTTCACTGCTCATGTTCTCCTCAGAAGCAGTCACCTCACTCCCCTCAGGTTACTGTACACATGCACCAACTGCCTGCTTCAGGTTTGGATGGAGCTTCATGGTTGTCTTTTGGAGAAATGAGCAGTCAAGTTGTGTTTGAAATTTGATTTTTTTCAGGGGCAAAAGGAAGCCTCTGCATTCTTGTCAAATATGTAAATAGCATGTATTTGCAGGTGCTAAAAAACAGACTCTGAGTGTGTGTGTGTGTGTGTGTGTGTGTGCGTGTGTGTGTGTGTCTGTGTGTGTGTGTGTGTGTGTGTATCCTGCAGTACTCTGAGAAGAATAATAAGCATATTTCTGAGGTGAATTTTGAAGATTGATCTGAGAGTTAGGTTTGATTCGATTCGATTGACGCTCCCCAGCGTTCAAGTCACATGACATATTTAACCGGATGTAGCTGCAAGACGGAGCCTCGTTAACTCTCCGTTTCAACTTATCTCAAAAGTGAGGACCTCAACCTATATACCAGTTTTTAAATTGTGTTGATAGGCCAAATAAAACCAGAGTTATGATAAATTATGTCCGCGATACTTTTTTTCTGCTTATTTTGATCACGTTTGGCGCTCGATCTCGCTTTTATGAGACAGGAAAACATAGCATGCACACATTAGCGACAGGTCTTACAGGCGGAAAAGGCTTGCCAAAAGAAAAAAAAAACACACCACAACATCTCTCCTATTGGTGGAAAACTTCACCACAACAACCAATCCAAAATTATATGGTGACTGATTGACAAGGGGCGGGCGCTTACGTTCTTCCTGCAACATGAGAAGGGAGGGAGGGACTCTCAGCAGGGATGCAGTCTGGGACACGTAGTTGCAAACCTAGCGACTTTGTTGTTAGATTCAATTACTTTTCAGACCCCCTAACGACTTTTTTTAGAAAGAAAGGGACTTTTATCGACTTCTTCTGGAGTTTAGAGACTCTGACATGAAGCAGGCTTTCCTTACTGAGGAGTTAGCAACGCTGCTAAGGGTGCAGAGCCACACATGCGCTCCGAGCTCTGCATGGGAGACTGAAGCTGACAGAGCTGCAGCAGTTAGCAGGTTTCACCCTCAGAGACCACCAGGGGTTCATGTTGAGGCATTTTCAGTTTTTGTTTTTTTTGCCATAGACACTGTCAGCACAATCTGCAGTTACACTAACAAAAATGCTGCAAAAAACAAAGAATTATGGAAAAATTACACATGGACTGACATAGAGGAGGATCTACACAAGTTTTTTACATCATGTTTTACATCATGCATCATTTACATCATGTTTTTTTGTAGTGGCATAAATAAAAAGTGACATTTGTGAGACTATACAGTGTTTTGTAAATAATTTTACAAAGAACGCCTGGGCCATTGCCTGCATTTTGATGTAAATAGAGGTAAATTACTATGTTCTTTGTTAAAAATTTGCATATGTTTTGAAGTTTACAATTTTTATTTGAAGTTTAAGTTTTAAAAACAGTTCATCACACATATTTGTGGTTTAATTTCACATTAATTTCCATATTGTATAAATGACTGGAAAAAACTTGAGCCCCTGCCCCTGTATAATCATGTGCACGTCCCTGTTCTAGCTCCAAGGTGAATCGTCACTGCTCATGTTCTCCTCAGAAATAGTCACCTCACTCCCCTCAGGTTACTGTACACATGCACCAACTATCTGCTTCAGGTTTGGATGGAGCTTCATGGTTGTCTTTTGGAGAAATGAACAGTCAAGTTGTGTTTGAAATCTGATTTTTTTCAGGGGCAAAAGGAAGCCTCTGCATTGTTGTCAAATATGTAAATAGCATGTTTTTGCAGGTGCTAAAAAACAGACTCTGAGTGTGTGTGTGTGTGTGTGTGTGTGTGTGTGTGTGTGTGTGTGTGTATGTGTGTGTATCCTGCAGTACTCTGTACTCCTGCAGTGGCCAAAAAGACTTTTAAGAATGTGGATTTTTGGGTCATCTTTGGCGCCCCCTAGAACTGCAGTACTCTGTACTCCTGCAGTGGCCAAAATGACTTTTAAGAATGTGGATTTTTGGGTCATCTTTGGCGCCCCCTAGAACGTAAACCGTGGGGTGCAGCGTCATGATTTTTACAACTTTGAATGGCCATGGGGTGTAGATTGCCCTGAGCAAATTTGGTATTGGTGGGACGAAAGCCTTAGGAGGGGATAGCCACATTCCAATGTGTGCGAATCGGCAAAAAATGCGAAATAGCCCTTTAACCGTACATTATACAGATACGCGCTTTTTGACTTTTTCGTAGATCTAATTGAGATACACATGATTGTCAATTTTTGTGTCAATATGACAAAGCGTTCAGGCGTGACACTCAACAATGTGTATTTTCATGTAAGGGGACAAGAAAAAATTGACTTTTTTCTCCTGCCATGGGGGGGCGCTCTTTTGGGGAGTAAAAATTCCTTCACAAATGTGTTGATGGCTGGACATTGCATCATCCTAGAAAACTTGGAGGCCAGTGAGGACAAAAATAAAAAGTTATAAGACTTTTAAAAATGTGGATTTTGGGTTATCTTTGGCGCCCCCTAGAACCTAAACCGTGGGGTGCAGCGTCATGATTTGTACAACTTTTAATGGCCATGGGGGGTAGATTGGCCTGCGCAAATGTGGTGCCGGTCGAACGAAAGCCTTCGGAGGAGTTAGCGAAATTCCAATGTGTGCAGATCTGCAAAAAATGCAAAATAACCCATTAACCGTACATTTGACAGATACGCCCGCACTGACTTTTTTGTAGATCTTATTGAGATACATGTGTGTGTCAATTTTTGTGTCAATATGACAAAGCGTACAGCCGTCATGTGAATTTTCACCTTAGGGGGCGCTATGGAGCCATTTTGCATTTTATTGTTTGGGCGACTTCAGAATATCGAATTTTTCACCAGGCCCGGTCGTCCTGCCAAATTTCCTGAGTTTTCGCCAGTGGGAAGTGGGCCATTTTCCAGTTTAAAGCGGAGGAAAAATAATAACGAACTAGGGCCCCGTTGGGGCACTGGCGGGCCCGAGCCGTGTCGCACCCCCCCCAACGCGCTGCCTCCCCGTCCCATTCGTGTCCTCTGGCCATCGCCCTCTCTGGTAACGCCCATCACTGCAAAGACCCTTTTCCTTCATCGGCGTTTGCTGTTCTTCCTGCCAGTGCGTGTTGCTTTCACTTACACTTGCCACAGCCAGCCTCGTGAGTGCCTAGCCTATTGGATATCACTGTCACCTACACAGGACAGTCATTACCTTTCTATTAATACTTTGTTTTTAATTTCACATTAATTTCCATATTGTATAAACAACTTGAAAAAACTTGAGCCCCTGCCCCTGTATTATCATGTGCACGTCCCTGTTCTAGCTCCAAGGTGAATCTTCACTGCTCATGTTCTCCTCAGAAGCAGTCACCTCACTCCCCTCAGGTTACTGTACACATGCACCAACTGCCTGCTTCAGGTTTGGATGGAGCTTCATGGTTGTCTTTTGGAGAAATGAGCAGTCAAGTTGTGTTTGAAATTTGATTTTTTTCAGGGGCAAAAGGAAGCCTCTGCATTCTTGTCAAATATGTAAATAGCATGTTTTTGCAGGTGCTAAAAAACAGACTCTGAGTGTGTGTGTGTGTGTGTGTGTGTGTGTGTGTGTGAGTGTGTGTGTGTGTCTGTGTGTGTGTGTGTGTGTATCCTGCAGTACTCTGAGAAGAATAATAAGCATATTTCTGAGGTGAATTTTGAAGATTCATCTGAGAGTTAGGTTTGATTCGATTCGATTGACGCTCCCCAGCGTTCAAGCCACATGACATATTTAACCGGATGTAGCTGCAATACGGAGCCTCGTTAACTCTCCGTTTCAACTTATCTCAAAAGTGAGGACCTCAACCTATATACCAGTTTTTAAATTGTGTTGATAGGCCAAATAAAACCAGAGTTATGATAAATTATGTCCGCGATACTTTTTTTCTGCTTATTTTGATCACGTTCGGCGCTCGATCGCGCTGTATGAGACAGGAAAACATAGCATGCACACATTAGCGACAGGTCTTACAGGCGGAAAAGGCTTGCCAAAAGAAAAAAAAAACACACCACAACATCTCTCCTATTGGTGGAAAACTTCACCACAACAACCAATCCAAAATTATATGGTGACTGATTGACAAGGGGCGGGCGCTTACGTTCTTCCTGCAACATGAGAAGGGAGGGAGGGACTCTCAGCAGGGATGCAGTCTGGGACACGTAGTTGCAAACCTAGCGACTTTGTTGTTAGATTCAATTACTTTTCAGACCCCCTAACGACTTTTTTTTTGAAAGAAAGGGACTTTTATCGACTTCTTCTGGAGTTTAGAGACTCTGACATGAAGCAGGCTTTCCTTACTGAGGAGTTAGCAACGCTGCTAAGGGTGCAGAGCCACACATGCGCTCCGAGCTCTGCATGGGAGACTGAAGCTGACAGAGCTGCAGCAGTTAGCAGGTTTCACCCTCAGAGACCACCAGGGGTTCATGTTGAGGCATTTTCAGTTTTTGTTTTTTTTGCCATAGACTGTCAGCACAATCTGCAGTTACACTAACAAAAATGCTGCAAAAAACAAAGAATTATGGAAAAATTACACATGGACTGACATAGAGGAGGATCTACACAAGTTTTTTACATCATGTTTTACATCATGCATCATTTACATCATGTTTTTTTGTAGTGGCATAAATAAAAAGTGACATTTGTGAGCCTATACAGTTTTTTGTAAATAATTTTACAAAGAACGCCTGGGCCATTGCCTGCATTTTGATGTAAATAGAGGTAAATTATTATGTTCTTTGTTAAAAATTTGCATATGTTTTGAAGTTTACAATTTTTATTTGAAGTTTAAGTTTTAAAAACAGTTCATCACACATATTTGTGGTTTAATTTCACATTAATTTCCATATTGTATAAATGACTGGAAAAAACTTGAGCCCCTGCCCCTGTATAATCATGTGCACGTCCCTGTTCTAGCTCCAAGGTGAATCTTCACTGCTCATGTTCTCCTCAGAAGCAGTCACCTCACTCCCCTCAGGTTACTGTACACATGCACCAACTATCTGCTTCAGGTTTGGATGGAGCTTCATGGTTGTCTTTTGGAGAAATGAACAGTCAAGTTGTGTTTGAAATCTGATTTTTTTCAGGGGCAAAAGGAAGCCTCTGCATTCTTGTCAAATATGTAAACAGCATGTTTTTGCAGGTGCTAAAAAACAGACTCTGAGTGTGTGTGTGTGTGTGTGTGTGTGTGTGTGTGTGTATATATGTGTGTGTATCCTGCAGTACTCTGTACTCCTGCAGTGGCCAAAAAGACTTTTAAGAATGTGGATTTTTGGGTCATCTTTGGCGCCCCCTAGAACTGCAGTACTCTGTACTCCTGCAGTGGCCAAAATGACTTTTAAGAATGTGGATTTTTGGGTCATCTTTGGCGCCCCCTAGAACGTAAACCGTGGGGTGCAGCGTCATGATTTTTACAACTTTGAATGGGCATGGGGTGTAGATTGCCCTGAGCAAATTTGGTATCAGTGGGACGAAAGTCTTAGGAGGAGATAGCCACATTCCAATGTGTGCGAATCGGCAAAAAATGCGAAATAGCCCTTTAACCTTACATTATACAGATACGCGCTTTTTGACTTTTTTGTAGATCTAATTGAGATACACATGATTGTCAATTTTTGTGTCAATATGACAAAGCGTTCAGGCGTGACACTCAACAATGTGTATTTTCATGTAAGGGGACAAGAAAAAAAGGACTTTTTTCTCCTGCCATGGGGGGCGCTCTTTTGGGGAGTAAAAATTCCTTCACAAATGTGTTGATGGCTGGACATTGCATCATCCTAGAAAACTTGGAGGCCAGTGAGGACAAAAATAAAAAGTTATAAGACTTTTAAATATGTGGATTTTTGGGTTATCTTTGGCGCCCCCTAGAACCTAAACCGTGGGGTGCAGCGTCATGATTTGAATAACTTTTAATGGCCATGGGGTGTAGATTGGCCTGAGCAAATGTGGTGCCGGTGGAACAAAAGCCTTCGGAGGAGTTAGCGAAATTCCAATGTGTACGGATCGCCAAAAAATGCGAAATAGCCCTTTAACCGTACATTTGACAGATACGCCCGCACTGACTTTTTTGTAGATCTTATTGAGATACATATGTGTGTCAAATTTTGTGTCATTTTGACAAAGCGTACAGGCGTGACAGTCAATAGTGTGAATTTCCACCTTAGGGGGCGCTATGGAGCCATTTTGCATTTTATTGTTTGGGCGACTTCAGAATATCAAATTTTTCACCAGGCCCGGTCGTCCTGCCAAATTTCATGAGTTTTCGCCAGTGGGAAGTGGGCCATTTTCCAGTTCAAAGGGGAGGAAAAATAATAATAATAATAATAATAACAAAAGAAGGAAACATGCAGGAACAAGAGGGCTCTCGCAGCTGCTTAGCAGCTACGCTCGGGCCCTAAAGAAGGAAACATGCAGGAACAAGAGGGCTCTCGCAGCTGCTTAGCAGCTACGCTCGGGCCCTAAAGAAGGAAACTACAGGAACAAGAGGGCTCTCGCAGCTGCTTAGCAGCTACGCTCGGGCCCTAAAAACCACTTGGGGAATAATAGGGCCTACGCCCGGCTGCTCTGCAGCTGGCTCGGGCCCTAAAAAGAAGAATCCATCAGGAACAAGAGGGCTCTCGCAGCTGCTTAGCAGCTACGCTCGGGCCCTAAAGAAAGAAAGAAGAAAGAAAAACCGATACAGGAACAATAGGGCTCTCGCAGCTGCTTAGCAGCTACGCTCGGGCCCTAATTAATCACACATGGAGGAGAGGATTCCCTGTACATGTGTTTTCTGTAACTTTCCCTTTAGATCGATGATTCATACAGATGAAAACACAGATGTTTGTGTGCATCACATGAAGAAATGATGGTTTCCATTCAGCTGATCACAGTTATCTTTGCTAATATGCTCTGCAGTATGCATCTGAACTCACACAAGTTATGTTTGAGCTTGAATGATTATGTGCTTAATGTCATCCCCTGAACTAAATAAACAATGAGGCCTTTGATTTGATAAATCATGCAGTTTAATATCTTGTTAATGAAAACTGATCTCTGTTGTAAATTTCCAGCTCTTTCAGTACATAGATGCTTCAGAGATCTTTTTGCTGTAAAGGGTGTGGCCCACACCTGCAGAGCATACCTGCATAGCAGGATGCAACAGAAACCAGTCTGGACATGAAGTGGAATAAATAGGAGCACAAAGGTAGAGAGACATTGTATAGACATACCCGCTGCTACAATCAGTCATGGCTATCCGCCCTTCCTCTCCAACAGAAGGTAGAAAAGAAATATTGTTTTTTTCATGCCACAGGACATTATGAACATACTGTTCCTGTTTTTTTCCACAAGCTGACATTATTCATGTCACCAAGGCACTTAGTTTGCACGCTTGAATTGACTTCTTGCATTCTGAGGACTTAACATGAAAATTGGATGGCGTATGTGACACAGTTAAGGATCTGCAAGATTAACTACAAGTGCTTTCAGCTTTAAAAAAAATGTTACACAAAGACGACCTGAAAATAGATACATGAACAATGACAAGACAAAAATAAACATTATCAACTTTATTCCCAAACCAAACTAATGAAGTGCAAGTCGCACACTGCCACCCTGTGGTTTGTATTAGTAACTGTTCAGAGTTATGCTGCATGCATAAAGAGCAGCAAGCTTACTGTTACTATAATTTTTCATCCTTACTATTACATGTTAACATTATGGAGTGCTTGCAGTAGTTGTCAGGCAAAGCGATCGACTGCACATCATGCCAAGCTCTTAAAAAAAAAAACACTTTATCCACAGCAAACCTGGACAAAATGGGATGGGATGGAGAAGATCAATATCTGTTGTTGCACTAAGCGAAAGTCCACTCCTGGAGCTTTTCAGTTCCAGTGAAATGTCACAATGATTGCACAGTTTTTGTCAATAGAGCGGGGAACATTTTCAGAAAATACAACAGAGCTCAGCAGTTAATGGTTACCTCCTGCTGCTCTTATATGTTGACTGAAAGAGAAACACAAGCAGCAGGAACAAGAGGGGCTTAATAACACTTAACACTTAATATCTTAACAACAGACACACAAACATCTGCGAGTTTCTGTAAAGGATGGAGTGCAAGTCGTCTCTGATTCTGCTTTGTCTATCTGTCATTTTCACTGAGGTGATTTCAACTCAAGACAATGGTAAGTGCTGTTTTCATGAGCCATTATTTTGATTATGCATTGACTATTAAAGTTTGGCTTTCACATAGGGTGATGCAATTATTTGCTATTTATGTCAACATCATAGTAATACTGATTTGCAGCTGGAAAGAACTGTACAGGGAAATAAACTGTAGTGAGGACTGTTTTGTTACGACTGGATAATCTACTGAATTTGTTTCGGACTCAAGATTCGATTCGCATCAACTTTTGAATCTGTTTGTCCATACAGTATTTTTTTTAGGCCTGAGCTTTCTGACAACATTGAGCCTAAAAAGACTCCCAGCAAAGGCCAGAACTTTTGGAAATTGTAAAATGGTCCTTGAGACAGCCAGACCAGCCCTATCTAGAACTTATGTAAAAAAAAACCAGCCACCAAATATTTCAGGGGAAAAAAAGCATTTTAGGGTCAAAATATAGGACTTTTACTTTGAAAATCTCCATAATTTTACAGTAAAAATGCTTGATATTTGGTCTGAATGTAGTCAAAGTGGTCCTGAATACACACAGACCAGCCAATGCCAGAACTTGTGGAAAATAAGGAAACTACAGCTACCCAAATTTACAGAAAAAAAACAAACCTATTTCAGTATCAAAAGTAAAAATACTTGATATTTGGTCTGTGTGTAGTCAGGGCGGTCTTGAAGACACTTGGAACAGCCATCGCCAGAAGTTAAATGCTGTGAAGTCCAGTGTCACAGTAGTTCTTACAGGTATTATTTGTGATATCTCAGGGGCCTTTGATTACAATATTTAACAGCAAAATAATATAGTTAAATACTGTGAAATCCTGGTAATTTTTAAGTGTGTAGACTTTTAAGAATATGGTTTGGCTTTATGAGCAAATTCTTTTAAAATGTTTGTTTACGTGAATGTTTTCTGTGTTTTTTGCTGTCTGTCTATTCATCAAAGGCTTACAAATTAATTGATTCATAACCCCCATTGAGTTTAGATTCAGTTTTATCTTTTCACATTTCATCTTCTTTTCTACAGCCAAGATGTGTCCAATCCCTCAACCTCTGCAGCCCTTGGCAAGGGGAATGACTGAAGCTCCATTTAAGACTCTGCTCAACTTCTCATGTGATGATGGGTAAAAGTCACCGATATTTCCAAGTCAAACATAACAAGGCATAATTACAAAAAGAATGATTGTTAGAATGATTTTAGGTTTTGCTCGGCAGGTACATCATGATTGGAGCCAATTCAAGCAGCTGTCTTCAAGATGGGACCTGGAGCAATCCCCCGCCTCTCTGTAAAGGTAATGAAGGTGGAGTTTTAGTTTAATTAATTCGTTTTTTTAACTAGTGTAGCTCAAGTGTTGTCTTTTCCCTTCTTCCAGCTGTGAATTGTCCTCTGCCCCTGCCCCCAAGAGATGGAAGAATTGTCCATGACAATACAGTGTCTGGAACCACCACCATGTATGGACAGGGCTGGACCTACGAGTGTAACCCACCTAAAGCCCCGAGCCACGAGAGAGGATCCTGTAGGGCTGATGGAAGTGTGACTGAGCCACCAGTATGCAGAGGTAAGCTAAAAACATCAGTGTCCTCCCTTCAATATATCCTGTGATGTCTAACTTGCCAACGCTTTGAGCTGTCCCTACATAATATTACCTACTGACAGTTTCTAACGCGTTTATTTCTATCCCAGAGGTGAGCTGCTCCGCCCCCACAGGGATACCGAATGGTTTCATCACCTTTGCTGTCATCAGGCCTCACGGCTACAAGGAAAAGGTTAAATACGCCTGCAATGAGCACTATGTCCTGGATGGTAATCCTGATATCCAGTGCCAAAACACCGGAAACTGGTCTGCCAAGCCAGTTTGCAGGGGTGAGTCATGGGGAATTTGATTATTTTTCTACTATTGTTACTAGATTTGGTAAAAAAGCAGTCCAATTTTAGAAAATAAAGATCCCAAGTGAGTGTATTTGCGGTATCTCTCAAACACAGATGTCAAAAGCTGTTTTTTCCCCCCACCTAGCTCCTTGCACTGTTGGTATCAAAAGAGGTCGCATCTTCTACAATTCCAGGAAGCTCTGGATTGCAGACCTGAAACCCAACCGAGTCCTCCATGAAGAACATGTGGCTTTCTATTGTTTAAACAAAACTGAAAGGTGTGGCTATCCTGTGAACAGCACCTGTATCGATGGGACCCTTGCCCTCCCAGAGTGCTTTGAGGGTGAGTTATCAACAGTCCGATGGATCTGTCTGTTAAAAACGTGGTTTCAAAGGCTCAGCTCTCCTTTGTCCTATCCTTCATTCCATGATGTACCGAATGATTTTAGTGGGTTACAGGTCTCGGCTGCAGACAAGCCAGTTAACTGTAAGCACCCAGACCCTAAGACTAACGGAGATGCTGTTGTGATATGTGCAAGATGGGGTTTGAATCGTCTTGCTGAAACGTGCAAGGTCCTCTTTGGAGTAGACATTGTCTGGGTGGTGGCATAATGTTTCAAAACCCATATAGTATATCACTTGGCCCTGCGAGATGTTTGAGCCATCCATTCTTATACCATCAAAGATGCCAAGAATGACACATTTTTGTTCCATATTCACATTGTCTCCCAGCTTTCTTGGAATTAGGGTTGAACTTTTGTGCAAAGCATGAAGAAGTTAAGTCTGGATAGGGGAAAACTGTATTGTCAAAATCTAATTTGGCACAAGTTTAAGACAAGACATGATTGTGAATGAGCAAAAGTAATACTTTGACCTTTGACATTACAGTACTTTCCCTTTAAATCTCCTCTGTAAAAACTATCAGATGACCATCAAATGCCTTTGAAAAACCCAAAGAGCCTTTAATGGATTTCCAATAATTACACAAATGACTTTGTCTTTTATCGTTTTTTTACAGAACCAGGCAAGGTGGAGTACAACTTAAAGGCCAAAAGCCTTCCATCAGAAATACAAGCGTGTGCCACCTCACCACCTGCGAGCCCCGCAAGCCCCACAAGGCCTGCAAGCCCTGCATAACAACAGAAAATAACCTGACACAGCATGTAAACGAAGAGTATCTCAGTGGATTAAACACCATGAGTTAAAGCCACTGTTATTGATGTTTACATGTTTTACTTTGTCTGTCATTTCAGTAATAAAGTTATTGTTTTGATCGACACACAGAAAAAAAACAAGATCACAAGATACACACAGAGTCTGCTGGAAATCAATGTTGTACTTCTTTTTCTGAGTTTGACTTATGCTAGCAGAGTTAGCACCGCCTCTCGACTTTAGGTTAACATCCACATATATGTGCCGGTCATCCACCACTAAGGTTGAGTGGTTACCTGCCAGTTTATCCAACTTAATCTGTAGTTTTTAGTTGAATTTGATGCCAAAACGTGCACTTTAAGTCTGTATGTTTACCTCCAATTCGTATTATGTAGCTTTTGTAGCATTATAGTATTGTGGCATTCATTTCCGATGTCTTCCAGTACTGATAGTGTGTTTATTATAGTGCATCATTAGTATGCACACATCTCTAGTTACCAAAACGAGTGAATTTTAATGTGATAACAACTCCATCACAACCATAACAGCTCTTCTGCTGTGAAGCCCAGTAAGTATCAAAAACCATGACAAACTCAATCTGAATATAATCTAATATTTATGCAATGATATTTTTTTTACTGCCCATAAATCAGACTAAAATTAATACGGATACCTCTCTGGGAACTTAGCTGTAACGTCTGAAAATAAGAGCTGGACGTCTCGTCACTGTTAACTTCACTTAACTTTAGCATATGAAACATGACATTTACAGTGCATTGCAAAACTCAAACTGTCTCTCTCATAAATCTTTGTTTCATTCTCGGGTATACTCATAGACTGTTAATAGTCAGTTACAGTCTGTAAGTATACTGTCTGACCTTTTTACGACACTTCTTTAGGGTACTTAAAGCTGCAGCCAAAGTCGCACACTGCCACCCTGTGGTTTGTTTTAGTAACTGTTCAGAATTATGCAGCATGCATAAAGAGCAACAAGCTTACTGTTACAATAATTTTTCATCCTTACTATTACATGTTAACAATATGAAGTGCTGTATCAATGAACTTAAGGTTCATTAGCCTCTTTATGACTCTTAAAAGCAAACCAGACCATAATCAATAAGATTGACTGTTTCAATACAGTTATTATTATATCTGAAACCTCTACTGTGGTTGTCAGGCAAAGCAATCGACTGCAAGTCATGCCAAGCTCTTTAAAAAAAAAGCACTTTATCAACAGCAAACCTGGACAAAATGGGATGGGATGGAGAAGATCAATATCTGTTGTTGCACTAAGTGAAAGTCCACTTCTGGAGCTTTTCATTTCCAGTAAAATGTCACAACGATTGCGCTGTTTTTGTCAATAGAGGGGGGAACATTTTCAGAAAATACAGCAGGGCTCAGCAGTAAATGGTTACCTCCCGCTGCTTTTATTTGTTGACTGAAAGAGAAACACAAGCAGCAGGAACAAGAGGGGCTACACTCTTAATATCTAAACAACAGACACACAAACATCTGCAGGTTTCTGTAAAGGATGGAGTGCAAGTCGTCTCTGATTCTGCTTTGTCTATCTGTAATTTTCACTGAGGTGATTTCAACTCAAGACAATGGTAAGTGCTGACCATTAAGGTTTAGCTCTAGTATCGGGTAATGCCATAATTTGCTGTAAACCACTGGCTCTTAAAGCGTTTGTCTGAGGAGCAGGTGTCATTTTTAATTTGGAGGAAACGTCTTTTTAAATATTACATTTGGAAAGATCAGACTTTTTATAACATGAAGGTGAGATTGAAGTTATCCTGACTGTTATATTTTATTTGTAAGTTCTATAATATTTGATGCTTCCTTATCAAACATGAACAGTCTATAGTTACGTCTACATCATAGTATTAGTGATTTGCTGCTGGAAAGAACTGTTCAGGGAAAATAGTTTTAGTGAGAACTGTTTTTATTTGTTTTGGACTGAAGGTTCGATACACATCAACTGTTGAATCTGTTATTTGTCCATGCAGTGTGTTCTAGACCCCAGCTGTCTGACAACATTCAGCTTGAAGGGCTCCAGAGGTACTTTCGCCCCGGTGCAGAATTAGCCCTGTCCTGTAAACAGGGATTCACCCCCATTTCAGGCCCTCTGAGGATCGTCTGTGCTGCCAGTGGACAATGGACCAGCACCAAATTAAAGTGCATACGTAGGTCACTTTTATCCTAGTGAGAACTTGTGACAGATCAATTAGTGCTGCATATTAAAGTTTTTTTTTAACCCTACGTTTCTGGTAGGGTAACCATATTGACAGACATTGGTAATATATTTTTCTGTTGTCTATGAAGAAAGATAATGTTTTGATATGGTATATTAAAAAGCAATTCCCGTTTGAAGAGGAATGTTTATCCAGCATCTGTCTTTTCAACCAATACTACAGTACACTACATAAGCTATTTGTATTGCAAATATCATTCAGTTTAATCCGGCAATAGTCGCCTACAGCTGAAAGAACAATAGCATGGCTCTCCACTTCATGAGTACATTGTTATCAAAGAAAAACTGATGTCTGAATTTCTTTCTTTACAGCAAAACGGTGTCCTTATCCTGATGACTTAACTAACGGAGAGATGTACTATGAGGATGTTGTGTACCAAAGCACAATCAACTATACTTGTAATGAAGGGTAAAACATCTTTCTGAATTCTAGTATGTGGTATGGACTGTTTGGCCTCCCGTTGTCACTTCTCTGTCCTACAGGTCTATCCAACAGAGGATATACTTGTTTATATAGTGCAAACTGTACAGATTTGTCAGTGCCAGTTACAATCAAAACAAACAGAGCTAACTGCTGAAATCACATTATTGTAGACAGCTTAAACATCAACATGTGAGCTGAATTTTGACTTTCTTTTTTTATCATATCAGTGTATTAAATGTGTGTGATCATGACCTGACTGATAGATTCTGCTCAGGTACACGTTAAATGGAGAAAGATCTGCTGTGTGTCTTGCCAATGGAACATGGAGCACACCAGTGCCAGAGTGCACAGGTATGTTATCGATAGCCGACAATAAAAAGGAAAGTTGGTTGAGATTTTTACATTTTAAATGTTTCAGTATTTTAAAACACATTGAATACATTAAACGGAAATTTTCAAAATCACTTGCAATTTTTTGGGAAACATAAAAAGCTGTTTATTTTTGCAACATAGTGCTAACATTTTAGATACAAAACACCTTGTTAGCTGCGATTGTACCTGTTGATAAAGTTAGATTGGTTGTAGTCATATCACTACTGATGGATGCTGGGATGTCAGTACTCCACCTGCTTTTGCCTTTCACAAGGACTGTTTCCTGCATGCATCAAAGCCTGCTGATGATAGTGTATGCATTCATGGATATGGAGCGACACCTAAACTGTAATTCTCTTCCTCCTCTCGTAGTTGTTACCTGTGGTCTGGCTCCGATCCCACTGAATGGATTGATAATTTATGACAGGAGGATTAGAGGGAACAGCACTGAGTTTGGTGTGCAAGGGACATACAAGTGCCGGCCTCCATTTGTCCTTATTGGTGAGGCAAGAGCCGAGTGCACTGTGAGTGGCAACTGGACCAAAACACCTAAATGTCAAGGTATGAAAGTTGGTAAACCAGGAATTTCAATACCGTTATTGGAAATGGGTATAGACAGAAAACTTTGAGTCTGGGTTTATATGTCTTTACAACTCCAATATATAGTGTGAATGTAAGTGTCTCTCTTTCAGTTGTGACCTGCCCGCCTCCCGAAAACATAGACAGAGGCTATATGTCGGTCGATGAAGAGAGAGAGTATGACTACATGGAAACCGTCAAATATGGCTGTCATGGGGACTATGTTCTTGAGGGAAGCTCAGAGATTGTTTGTCAGCAAAATGGGAACTGGTCTGACAAACCATCATGCAAGGGTAAGATGACCAACAATGTGACTGTCATCTTTGAATAAAGAGTCTACAGAGGTGAAAGAACTAAACCCCCCTTTTTAAGGGTTTTGCTTTTCGAGGATGGTCTTAAAATCCCAGTTTGGGTCTTGTTTAATCTGTCATATTATTAAAAAAAATAGATCTGTAATCCTACAAATCTTCTGATCTGTTAATTAACTATGATGAGTATTACTCCCCAAACACAAAATCATGTTACCAGTCAAACGAAATACTGTGAATACCCATTTTTAATGTTATGCCCTTCCTGCATGATTCTACTTCTTTTGACTATCAGCTCCTTGCAGTGTTGACATACGGGGTGCAAGGATCATCTACAGAGGACGGAAAATGTGGATCAGAGACCTGAATCCTAAGAAAGTCTTGCACAATGAAATAATTTCCGTCTTCTGCAAAGACAAGACCAGAAAGTGTGGTTATGCAGTGCCAACCCAGTGCATCGATGGACAACTCAGAATCCCAGACTGCTTTGAAGGTAGTAGAAATCTAAATTACAAAGTACATAAAATTTTTACACAAGTTCCAGTTAGGCCTACTTGGCAACTGAATAATTTGCTCCTGCTGTGATATCAGTTGAAATTTAATTTTTAACAATCCAAAGACTGGCTTTGGGATATGACATGAACAATAAAACACCCTGCTGTGAAGTATGTGTGTTCATACTAAAGTTAGTGCAAAACTGCAAACCTTTTCTTCATGTGTATGCTTTTATTTTTATCCTAGAGTCCAGCGCCTTTGGCCACATCCTGCACTCAAGTTCACTTCCATCAGAAATCCAACAGTGTTGAAACAGCAGAAGACCTCTTCTCTGGTGGTTTGTCAAGATACGGCGATATGAAAAATAACATTGTGTTCTGCTCCAAAAAAAATAAAGTATATATGATCTCACTCAAGCTGTCTTTTTCTTCTAATGCAATATGAAAATTCAACTTTTCAAGCACGTTGAAAAACGCTGCAATTTTAAGTTTTTCAGAGTCAAAATTAGGTTCACTCTAAGGGTTGGCTGCACTTGACATGTAATGTGAATCCTATTTTTCTGAATGTCTTCTTTTGTACCATGTATGAGAGCTAAGTCAACAGCCTATGTGCCAAACTTGAGAAGCAATCAGCGTTGGTTGAACACTGCAACAGGGGGTGGCTCAACTTACTTCACTCTCCTCTACTTGTAAACTTTATTGGAAATGGGAGAAACCTAAATTTCTTTGAGAAAATGAATAAAGGATTAAATTGTGTGAGGCATTTTTCTCATTGTAAACACACAGACCGCTATAACTTCTGACAGCATTTATGTTCTGAGAAAATTGGGAAATTTTCAGATTTTATGGTGAAAAGGTGTACGGTGACCCAAGCCAAACAGTGGAAGGCGCTGTTGTTGTGGCAGCTGACGAACACACGTGTCTTCTCGCGAGAGCCAGCGAGCTCTGCTCTCTTCTCGTCCAGCATGGCCGCGCTGTATGAGGGATACACGTTGTGCGGGCTTGTTCCAGCTCAAAATCAGTTATATTCAGGAATTCAGGGGGTCGAAGAGGAGAGAGACAGCGACCATGTCGTCGTCACCGACTCAACCCGATCTGTTACGTTGTATAAGGTAACATTAAACGCTTGTTTGGAGGAGGATCCGCTAACCTGGGCTCTATGACCTGCTTGACTCGTGTTGGCATCCGTGTAGCATCAGTGACATAAACCACGAGAAAAGACAAGATTAGAGTAACATCATAACTAGCTTTGGAATTGTGTTCCATAATTTTCACTGCTAAAAATGTTATGAAAGTGTGGCACAGGTCGAAATAGTCTTGTTGGTCAAAACAAGCAAATGTTAGCTTACACTCGCTGTATTCATAACACACGCGCATGTTGCTTTTTATTACGTGCATGAACATTTAAGTTGATTAGATTTTGCCTTAAAATACAGAAGAAACAGAACATCTTTTTAGTTTTGGCTTATTTCTTTAGCAAAGAACTTAAACACAACTCACCATCTCTTCCAGCAGCCACTTGTTTGTACGGACGAGTTCATCGACTTCAGCGGTGCGACGCAGCTCAAGGAAGAACATTTATGATCATTACTTCATGGAAATGCAATCAGACCGAGACGCTAAGGCAGAAGAACTACCGCATCTGCAGTGCAAAATGATTAATATGATTATAACTTAAAGGAAATGATAAAGTAATGATTATAAATGTTCTTCCTTGAGCTGCGTCACCCCACTGCAGTCGATGGACTTGCCTGGAGGTCTCTGTACAAACAAGCGGCTGCTGGAAGAGAGTGGGTGAGTTGTGTTTGGTCTCTTTGCAAGACGCTGAGATTGGATTGAGGCCTGGTTTGGATTTTGGGGTGCTGGAATCGGGGTCTCAGGATTGTTTTAGTAGTTTTTTTTTACTCTTTTCATTGCATTAATTTTAGTCTTTCCACTGTGAATGCATTGCACATGTATTTATTATGTAGTTGTTCATTTATTGCTGATTTGTGGTGCTGAAAGGGGAATGTTTGGACTATGAATGTCTGGAAATTGTCTGTTCCTGATTGTTGTTTGTTCCTTAATTTAACAACAAGGTGGGTTACTGTGAACTGAATTTCCCTTCGGGATTAATAAAGTTGTCTGAATATGAATCTGAATCTGAATCTAAATCTAAATCTAAATCCAAAGAAATTAGGCAAAGATAAAAAGATGTTTGGTGGCTAGTACTATGGCTAGGACCCCATATGTACTGTTGATGAAGTGAGGTGCTGTTCTGAACATTATTTGTGACTATAGAGTGGCGTTTTGGTCGAGCGCGTGGCTCTCTGTATTGCCATCTGCGGCTGTTACTGAAGTTGGTATAACTAGAGAAGCAAGCGGTCGGCAACATTCATCTCTCAATGGGGTGTCTGAACTTAGGTGTTACGGTGTGTTTGACCCTAACTTAATTTTACACCGGAATATCTCTTTAATAACAAGCAAATTTATTTGCTTGGATGCCCAGATGTCCATAATCTAGTGGCTGGCCAATGTAATTGTTGGCTTAGTTTTAAATACACCTAAAGCAAAACTTGACCACCACTGGTTACCTGTAAATATCGAGGTTCATCATCTTTTGTCTTATTTGTGTTTTGGTTCTGACAGGTTTCTGACCAGAAGCCGCTGAGCAACTGGACAGTGAAACAAGGACAGACTCTGACCTGTCCAGCAGTCTACAACGCAGAGACGCAGGAGTATGTGACAGTATCGGACAGCAAGGTAGACTTTCAGTCATTCCAGTACTATCACACAGGTCTTTATGGAAGAGACACTAGTGATTGCTTTGGCTGCAACACCACCTGTACAAATATAATTGTAATAACAACAATAATATTAAGGCAGTTGCTTGTCCGACTGTTGCAAAACAATATATGCCTCTGATTTGTCTTTAAGGTGATCAGGATTTGGAAGGAAGATGACATACACTTGGATAAGACATTCAAAGCAACTGTAAGTACTGATCAAGATGAGATATGACTGTTGTATCCAGCTGTAGAAGCAGCTTTATCTGTCTTTGTCTTTTATTTTGCAACCAAGTGTTCATGGAGCATTTACAGTTTCTGTTCATTCTGTCCACAGGTGTCATCAGATGTTTGGAGAGTTCACTCTGCACCAGGAGGGGAGCCTGTGGTCTTGTTTCAAAGAGGGGCTGTGAGGCTTTTGGACTCTCTCTTGTCTGCTCCTCAGCAGCCCATCGAGGAAGTTCTTTCTCAAGAAGAAACGATAAGGTAATCATCGCTTCTCCCTCATGGTTTATGCATATTAAGATACCTGCCATGTTTGATGTCATTACATCCCATTTTGAAAGGATCTATTTTTTAATGCAACATGTTTGATGAGTTCTTATTTTGTCTTCAGGTGGAGCACCTTCATAAGGGCAGAGTCACAACAACTTGTCATCTTCACAACTGAACAGGTAACATCACTTTAATTGTTTGAACTGTGACAACAACCTGTTTAGTTTGATAAATTAATGTTTTAGTTTTACTGTGCTCAAACCACAATAACAAGCTGTAAAGGTGTGTCAGGGCATGCTAACATGCTTGCACTGAAATGTGTTTGAATAATCAGTTTTAAGACCTAGACTAAAATAAAATGATTTTTTTCTGTAACTGTTTTCACAACTGAATCATTTTATTTGTTATTTCTAAAAGACCTTATCATCTTGAATGGATGTCTTTTCACAGAAAGGGGATAGTTTCCTGTACCTGCAGAGACTGAACCCTAACACCCTACAAAAGTACCGACTGGAGAGAGAGGAGCCTGGTCTGTCCCCGCTCAGCTTCTCCGCATCCTACAGAGACAAACAGATCGGACTGCTTTATCTCTGTAAGCCTTGACTTCCTGTAAATGCATCTATCGTGTCCGTACCTGACTGTAAGAGCTAATTTTAAAAAGAGCTCATCTCAGTCAAGTACAGCTAGAAGTAAAGGATCCTGGTTGTGAATGCAGGTGGAACGCCTGCTTATGGCCACAGTGAGGATTTTAGAAAATCTGAGGGTGTTTTTATTCACTTTCTCTTTTTGTGTCTTTCATACAGACCCTAATGGCCATGTGTACCAGAGTGTGGTCTCTGTTCGAGGTCTGGGGGCTGAAGAGGGGAGCCAGGCTCTTTCGCTGCCCCGCAGTCTGCTGCTCTTACTCCCTGTTGGTGAGGGTCTGCTGAAGGCAGCATCAGCCCTGGTCCTGGATGAAGCCCACGTGGCTCTTGTAGGGGTTCCACATCCATCTGCTGGAGCTGGTAAAGGTAAATGCTGAACTACAACAAGGCCTTAGATCAGGTACCTAAATGCTCAGGCATCAATGTGTCAGGGTTTTCTGGAGTAACTGCTACCTTTACATTCTGGAAATCTTCTCAAAATACCATTGATTTAACGTCTTTTGGGCTTTGTTTTCTGAAGGAGCACATGAGGTGCTAACTTGCAGGAATGTTGCTCCAGTGTCTAATGAGAGAGGATGTGTGTTTGCTCCACTTTTCAGACTTTCTTTGCATCTGGAATACCAATTTCCAGACACTCCAGGCAGGAAAAGAGATGGCGGGTAAAATCTACGGCCAGGTGGGACATGTTTCTTGTTTATGACCAGAGAGTGATATTTAACCATGCAAGCAACATGGCTCAGGGGCTTATACAGGACATCCACTGGTGTGTGCTGCTGAGTTTGAAAGAATGCATGATCCCCCTCTCTCCTGTCCCCACTCAGGCTCAATCATTAATAAGTTAATATCTGCAGGCCAAGGTTCCCTGTCCTTCCAGCTGCTGGGTGCTGATGGAGGACTGTATGACTTTGGTAGAGCATAATGTCTGCCCTCCACTGTGACAGGGCTTACTGTCCCTCCTCACAACTTAACTGCAGTTTACAATCTGAACTCTGATTCATTTATAGACCTGTTGTGCTCTCCAGATTATCACCATTAACATGCGTCATTTATTCATGTTTGGATTTGTTTTCTTCTTTTTCCCTGGTCTAGCTTTGGAGTTTTTCCAATAAGTTATTCATCCCACATGGAAAAACACTCTCTGTTATTCCATATGAGTGCCCCAAATCTTGCCTGGCCTCTGCGCTGGGCAAACTAAGGCAGGCAAAAAGTGAAGGTGAGATCCTTTGCAGTGTTACACAATGATAACTTTGAGCAGATGCATAAGATAACCACCATACTTTAAAATAATAAACATAAAGAAGCTACAGGAAGATTGTGAGAACTACAAATTCACTCATTTGTCAGGTTTATAGTTCGGCTGCATAAATTCGCATGTTTGCTCATAATATATATTTTTTTACAGAGTCCAGAGCTCCAGCCTCTGTACCTTCATGGAACAGTCTTCTGCATGGAGAGAAAGCTCAGCCCTCTAGGGCAGTGGAGACCAGGAAGACTGTAAGTTCTGTCATCTGTTGAGCTTTATTGATGGAGAGCTTGACTAGGGCCGAAATCACACTCTCTGCACACAGCGTTTTCCAGACCAACAGTGTATAAACAAATTATTTTCATGTTGCTAATTAGCACTTTTGCACCTACCTGCTGCCTGAAATCTTTTCAACTGGTGAATTACTTGCAGACTTTCAAACTATCTGCTTTGCTGGGGAATGCGCATATGAGGCAGCTATTGTATTTTACATTTCTTATTTTTCAGGTTATATATAAAATATTATTTTTATTTGTAGTACACTGTAGGGCTGGGCGATATGGCCTCAAATCAATATCACTGTATATTGAGCAGTTCACCCCGATAACGATAAATGGACGATAACTACTCCACAAGCTGCTCACCCCCTCCCACATTAACTTTGTCTACTTCAGCCGCAACAACTTTTGAACCGTCCTCCATCTCCTCACCTGTCTTTCCCTCTTTGTTACGGACTGGATGGAGTGGAGTCACATCTCTGATGTAGGACAGCGTCTTAAAGGGACATGAAACCATAACCTACCTACACTCATCCAAAACCAACTTTTATTTATTTAATTTTTGACACAGAATATATTGACATGGGCAAAATGACGTCAATTATTGACGTAAATTTCAGTATCAGTAAATTTTCGGTTTATCGCCCAGCCCTAGTTCACTGTATTTAGAAGTCTGTTGGGTGAAATTAATCCTCACAGTTTCTTAAAGTACTGATCAGACACACATTGATACCAGAACGATAAGAGCAGTAGGACTCTGCCTCTTTGTAAACATAGCTGTATCTGCACCTTGTTAAAAGTATCCTGTATTAATTGGAAGTTTATGCTTCTGTGTATTTCTGAATCTCTTGTACCTGAAGTGGTTTTGCTCTTGTCATTGTCATTCATCATATTTTTTTCTCCACTAATGAAATAGAGAACAACTCGAAAGACTCAATCAACACCCAGTTTAACTATTGACCAAGTTCTGGAACTCATCACGGTAAAACTTTGATATTTTTATGACTCTCTGGCAAATGGGAAAATTCCTGTCCTATGATTTATATCCTTATATTGACATCACATTTAAATTCCATCATGCAGACGGCTCCAGTAGAAGAGGTCCAGAAGGAGGTGGATGGGTTCCTATCTAGGTCAGATATTCAGGAGTTGCAGCTCTCAGTGGGACAGCTAGCATCATCCCTTGTGTCCCGAAGCCTCGCTGATCCGGCTTTTTACACCCCTAGCACCCTGGCACAGCTGGTGCACACTCAGTCTCTCTGCCACAGGTTTGTAAATCCTTGCCGTGGAGCAGGGTTGATGCTTTTTTTATTGGAAAAATTTTTGAGTTAAAACATGTTTACTCCCAAGACTGATAAATCTAAAGTCCATTTTTATGATGAGTGTCTGTATTGTGCAGTAAAACTCCTCACTGGAGCTTTAATTACTGATAGAATGACTGTACCTTTGCGAGATCTCGATAATATGACCCCTTATCTTCTTCTCCTTTATCAGTGTGTGTCCTGACCTTGTGCTCCTGGCCTTGGAGAGGAAGGACTACTTTCTGTGTCAGCTCTGCTTGCAGTTTTTCCCTGACATCCCAGAGGCTGTCACCTGTGCCTGTCTTAAGGCTTTTATCAGGTAAAATTAATCATTTGCAATTGCTAAAAATCATTTCTTCAGAAGTTTTTTCAAGTTGCCTAAGAAATAAAATTCTAATTATTATAAAGGCAACAAGTAAGGTAAACCAGACTCCTTTCTGTAGATCTATAAGAGAAAGCTGAGTCCTCTTCTTCTTATGACAAAGGTCTGCTATCAAGAAATAACAGACTGCTCTATGTAATAACTGATCGGAACCATGTAATAAACGCAGCTGTGCAATAATGCAATCAAAATGTGTTAACTGTGATAAATTGATTGATAACTTATCAGATTTTCATACTAAGGAAAAACATTTTTCACTGTTTCCTGTTTCTAGTATGCCAGACGTTGATGCAGAGAAGGCGAGCCTGGAGCCCGACAGCGTCTCTTTCATGGAAACCCTTATGTCTGGGCAGCACGGCCCAACAGGCTTGCAGAATGGTTTTTGCCCTACCTCGGGTGACGAGGACCACACAGACACCCTCAGCGGAGGGGGCACTGTTGTGAACACCAGGGCAGAGGACGAGGAGAAGACCTCAACCCCACCAGAACTCATCTGTCCCGTGGGATTACACAAAGCCATCCTGTTGTATCCTACCAGCGCACAACCACTCACTCACAACACACTTAGCTTTCCTGTCAAATCAAGTATTTTGTTGTGGTGCTCGACATAATGACTGTGAGCTAGAGGGTTTGTTACATATTTTACTTTTGTCTCCACTTTTGATGATCTTGTGTTGTGGCTAAACAGTGTAATTACAAACTGTGAAATGTTTATATTCAAAACTGTTTAGAGGTATGTGATCTTAACTCAAGTTGCACAGAAATGAAGTCCTGCAAACGGCGTACAGCGATACTTTCCTTCTCCCACACTTAAAAGATCTCTCCTCTCAAGATGTCGTTGTGAGTAGCCTAATAACCTACCAGTTTTTCTCTGAAATATTCATGAAATAAGTGGTGTGTTCCTCAAGTATTTAACAACCATAAAAATAATAATGCTTATAATATTTTGATTTCTCTCTGATCCACCAGCTTTTCCTCCAATACCTGCAGTACCTTTACATGAAGTATTCCCAGGATGCTTTTCCACAGATGCATGGATTGAGATCACCTAGTCTGTCTCAGGTCAGTGTCAAGTTCTTACTAGATGATGTCGAGCTGTTTTAGTCTGATTTACACTTCACTTTAACTTTAAATACTGCGCTTATAACATGAATGAAAATAATGTTTTCCTTGTATTGAATTCTAGATCATGGATTGGGTAGGTTTGCTGTTGGACGCACATTTCACAGTCCTAGTCATGACCCAAGAGGCTAAAGGGTTACTGTTGAACCTCCACCGCTTTGTTAAGTCTCAGGTAACACACAGGCTCTCTCTTTTTTTTTTCTTTTGTTACTTGTTTTATGCCAAGAAATCAGTCCAAGAAAAAGCGTGGAATATAAAAAAATGAGAACATTTGCAGGAGCCTGTCATAACCATTTAAGAGCTTTGCTTTTATTGTGTCCTCAGGTGAGGCTGGTGTCTGAGCTCGGAAAGATTGAGAGCAGCCTACAAGAGCTCAATAAGAGGAGGGGGAAGAAGACGGACATTGGAAAATACTCCATTGAAGTTATTGAGCTGTTTTAAAATATGTGCTTTATATTTTTAATAAATCAGTGAACATGTATCTCTATCCAACTTTTCACCAATTATGGTTTTGAGTTGGGGATTGTCCAGCATGGTACAATATCAAGTGTGTTTTGGCTGCCTCTCAGAACTTCAGTTTAAGTTTACGTTCACAGTGAAGAAATTGCAGCTGTGAATGAGCCATGCTTTAACGCAGTGAGGACAATATAAATATTCAGATGTTATGGCTTACCTGGACAAATTGTCCATCTTTATCTTCGTTGATTATTGATAAATACACCTGAGTGTGAGAGTGAACTGCTTTTTTTGGTGTTTTACACAATTGAACATTTGTAAATCTGTAAGCTGTGACTTTGTACTTTTTACACATAAGCTTTTCATGTTGAAAACAAATATACAACAATAACAGAGCAGACATCGGATTTTTTCTTGTGTGATGCATGACATCCGCATGCTGTCAACGAAAGATCACAATTTGCATCCCAATAATGCCATTTATATATACCAATAGATTGCTATAACATTTAAGTTTAATAAACTTTCAGAGTCTGGTGGACAGAGCAGGGCCATACTTTTGCCTTATAAGAAAAAAACAACTGATGCACCTACATTTTGACCAAATTTCAACACAAGTTTGCTAAAGAGGAAAGTGAAAATGGTAACAGCTATTACCAGAGTGAAATGATTATGGTGTTACAGCTGTTGTAACAATAACATGAAACTAAAAGGTGCATTTTGTATAATCAAGTTTAGTCTTAAAGATTAAAACAAGGCATATTGCATGGATGAAAACTAATTATGCCAACTGAGTGAAAGGGAGTTTTGTTTGTAAACCCACTGTTATCGATAGCCTTTGCAAATATTTCAGCGCGATATATCACGACTTAGACAAAAAAAAAAAAAAAAGGTTCGTTGTCGGCAGGATTCGAACCTGCGCGGGGAGACCCCAATGGATATCTAGCTTTGAATGATTCTAGTCCATCGCCTTAACCACTCGGCCACGACAACGGTGACTTACATGGAACACGAGTTGGAATATGACGTGTGCACATTTGATTGAACAATTATTTAGAGGTAATCATTACAGCTAAACGTGACCCTTATTAGTCCCTGCCTGCTTACCTTCTTGGCTAACCCAAACTCAGTCTGATTGAAATCTGAGTTCAGGCACGACAATGCAAAAAATAAAATAAAGGTATCGAGTGAATATACAGACCAACTTTAACGTCTAACCGTCAAAATGCCAAACCCCGCGCCAAAACACAAGTTTAGGTGAATTTGAGCGAGAATGGTTCTAGGCTACCAGGTTCGATTTGTAAAGCTTCTACCTATACAAAATCGATACCAAATTATTGCCAAAGTATTCATCAGCGCAGATTTCATCCCTCTGTGACACTGTTCATTTAATTTACCGAGCAGATTGTACATTAGGTTACTCTGGGGAAAATTATTAGTATTCTGCAGTTATGTAAGATGCATTTGTTAAAGGATGAAATGCAGCTGCATCTACAGGAACTTTGTACAATCACTAAATCGTGTTCGCTGATAACTTTTCGGACCACATCTCAGGTGGATGTTCAATCAAGCTCAATGTCGGACGTATATCTTCTCGCCTCGTTTTTCTGTGACGACAATGGCGACAGGGCCGAAAATGAACGACGGTGTTTCACTGGAAGCATTAGACGGACCTGGAATTAAAACTTTCCAGCAGTCGGAGTCAACGCTAATGAAGTCCTGTTGGCGGAAAGAGTTTGCATCGATATCTAATTTTATGAACTAGCTCGGCTATTGCGTCTATTGTAGAATAGTGGGTCACGTGACCCCACATCCACTCAGGCCTGTTACTGTCAAGTTAGAGGGTGGCACCTACACTTCCTAATGCCATACAGTGAGTGTGTTTTAAAGTTCTTTATGTTTTCTAAAAGAAAAAAATAAACTCATTAATTTGTGCTTGGTTCTTTTATGTTTTTATATGTTTTATGCTTTTATTGTTTTTATATATATATTTAATTGTTTCTGGCTATTTCACTGTAAAGCACTTTGGCTGGCCACTGGCTGTTTTTAAATGTGTTATATAAATAAAATTGACATTGACGTTGACCTATACCATAGTTAAAACAACAATATATAGATAAACACAGCAAATAAATAAAATACCCAATAAAAGTAGCTATACTTTCCCAAAAGCTAAAGTGAACAGGTGCGTCTTCAGAAGTGGCGTTTTTATGTTGATTTTTTTTTCAGTTTTTTTAATTGAATTTTTACTAAACAAATCTTTTGAGTGACTGATTTTTTAACACTGAATTTATTTCATCATTGTGGAAAATAAGTGTGAGAAATAAAAATGCGTGCTTGAAATTCAATAGTTTTGAAATTCAAAGTCTTATTTTGATGCAAAAAAAAAATCAGCTTTAGAAACTGAAATCCAAAATCAGATGGCACAGATTTACTTCCATTCTCCACGTTCGTTTGCTGACTTTTATTTTAGTGCTTTTACTCTGAAGGAAAGCTGGCTTTATTTCCGGTATATTCATGCGTGCCTCGGGTCAGCTTGACGCAGCTGTGGGGCCTGCTGTGTTTTCAACGGAGGGAGAGCCGAGAAGAAAAATGGCGTCTGCAGGCGACCCAGAGCGGGACACCGGCCATTCAGTTTGAGCTTTCCACCCTGAAATTGAGACCGGGGCTTGGTGGGGAGGAACGAGGAACCACCACCAGAACTGTTGGCTTTTATCTCCCCCGCTTTTCTCGGTGCGAGCAGCCTGCACAAGCACCGAGATTGAAGCGGAACAGCAGAGACTCTCTCCTACAATGAGGGGGAGAAGAGGAAGGCCGCCCAAACAAGCTGCTGCGATGCGGGAAGGTTCACCCGGGCCAGTCCGCGGCTCTCGAGGCGGCAGGAGTAGAGGGATGCGTGGACGGGGAAGAGGCAGAGGACGGGGTCGTGGACGGGGAGGAAGTGTCGGGGTGGTCGTCTCTGGCTCGACAGAGGTGGATACAGAAATCTCCGGCCGAGAGAACTTTCATTCGTCCCGGGGCCGCAGGAAAGTTGGAGCCTCTAGCGCGGCGGCGGCGGCGGCCGTGGCATCGCGGGGCAGAGGAGGCAGAGGGAGAGGCAGGGGGTCGAGAGGCGGCCGCGGCAGCAGAGGCGGAGTGAGGCGGCCTCAAACCAAGGTGGTCTACGACGACAACAGCGACGAGGAGGATAATTTAAGCTACAGGTCAGATGAAGACGAACTCCTGAACGATAACCCGTCGGATCTGGAAGAAGATGAGGCCTTGGGAAACGACTCCGACTATCTGGAGGAACTACCAGATGATGATGATGCCAGCTACTGTACCGAGAGTAGTTTTAGGAGCCACAGCACGCTCGGTAGCACTCCAGGTACGGTCGTTTGCAAACGTGCACGCACTATATGAAAGCAGGTGTGAATTACTTTAAGCGTGCACTGTATTTTTAGCTCAGAAGAGAAACCAAGCGGCATTGTTCAAAATGGAGCTTGCACTGAGAAACAGGCCTTTGTTTACCGTGTGCTCTGCTCGCCGCTGGCTTGCAGACCTGCTCCACGCTTCATCCCGCTCTCATGTGTTTGATTCTTGTCAGATCAGCACATTTTTTGTTGTCAATTTTACATTCGGGCTATTTTGTTGGTCTTTTTTGATTCTTTACGAGTATAACGTGTTTCCATTTTCTCTGAATTTACTGTATAGACACTTTGACACCTTCAGTCGGTTTCATTCATTCAGAACATGCACAAATGTTTAAACACACTCCAAATATGTAAACAAAGCTCCATCAAAACACGTGCTTTGTTTATATTATTCAATAGGCCTTTGGTTAGTGGTTCACTTTTCCCCCTTAAGCTGCAAATTAAAAAAAAAAGTTTTAGCTGCAGAATTATGAAGTTACACTTTTAATCACATTCATTTCTATATCTTCTTGGCTTGTCCAACTAAATTTGTAAAATAATTGTAAGTTTCTTGATGCAATTCAATGACTTTGGTGAGAATTTGGACACAAGAAAAGCACTCATTTTTTGATTGTAGTCACTTTAAAAGTAGTTCCAATATTGTGTGATGTTCTGTTGCCATGGTAACCACTCCTGTGTTATCAGGTGAGTAAATTAGACTACCCCCACTTAAATACAATTATAGTCATTGAGTTTTGTCTGTTAAAGCTAAAACTTTTCTGCTGAAGAGAAATATCGACTCTCTAAAAGGAGCCTCTTTTTTCATCAGTGATATTTTTTTAATATTCAGGTTTCCTACGCAAGTATGGACATTAATTTGATCAATTTCCAGGTCTTAGAAAGTATGGAAAATGAAAACTTAAGTATGGAAAAATATTTATGTTTCCAGACTATTACCGCAGTTCTAAAATGCTTGTTTTTTCTAAAACAGAAAAGTAGGTATTTCCAAAAATAATTCTAAAAAGTACGGTATAGAAAAGTATGGAAATTCCACCTGTGTAGGAACCCTGTATAGAGTCCTTTCAATCTGAAGCATCTTGGTAATCTATTTCTGTTCTCCACAGGAGCAAACACTGTCACAGTGACTTTTTTTAAAATAAGAAAAAACATCTTTTTACGGAGGACATCAACTTTCAGGCCATGAATTAAAACCAACGAAATTATAAGAATTTAATTTTCTACCATTTGTACTAATAACAGAAATAGTGTTTATTACATTTTCTTGCCCCTATGTCTCAGTTGGACCTTTTGCTTATCTTGTTTGATTTATTATTTTACAGACCAAAAATATTCTTTTGGGGAGAACATTGCTCTGAACAGCTTTTCATGATATAGTCTTGTAGCTGGTTTAAAGCCTACCCACAAACTGGTTAATTTGCACTGACCAGGCCGCCAGTTTTCCCAGACATATGTACCTGGATGTTTTGTACAGCAGAGTGTGATTGGGTCATTTATAAAACCATGGTTACACATGGACATAACAAGGTCTGTTGCTGTCATAGACATTTGAGATAATATTCTCTACATGTTTCATCACATTCCCTCCTTCAAAGCTGAATAATAATGGCTGGCGGTCAACTCCTAAACGCTCTCTTTGTCACCATTTTTGAAGCAGCTGGTTCTGTTGGTGTTTTCCTGTCGCTGTCTCTCTGTTTACACATCGATGATGAATCCCAGATTCATATCACTGTAGTGTTCGGATGCAGCGTCACAGACAGCAGTGATGAAGTGACACAGTTTTGGGGATTTCATGCAGCTCTTTACTCACTGTAGTAATGTTATAAAGGTCATAAATCAATATCAAACAGCTCTCCTGGCCCATTCATAACCATCACATATGAAAATTTGATTCCACGCTACAGTACGCAAAGACAAACAAAAGATAATATGTAACCTGCATTTGCACACAGCAGTTATAGGCAGGCTTATGAATCTAACATCAACATGTATTAAATCATCTTTGGACATGAAGTGATTTTCCAAATAGTGACACCTTTGAAATGTAGTCGATAAAGTATAAAAAAATGAAGCAGAATTTTGTTTTTGTACTTTTGTTAGGAAAAAACCTGTGGGGCTTAGAGATGTAGGGCAAGGAGAGAAATAAAGGCACCTTGAGATTACTCTTAAACAAGGCGTTGTTGCTGCAAGCATTGTATTATTGCAGAATTTGAAGAGTTCAGTCCACAGGAGCTAGGGTATCCAAAGGATGCTGGTAGCTTTAGGGTATTCTGTTGCACAGATTGATGGTAAAAATGAAATGCAGCTCGGGTACTTTTGGTTCACAGTTCATCTTATAAAATGCACGGCGCTTGAACATAATGTGGTGACTCAGAGAAACAATGGGTTGTCTGTTCTGGTTTTCCTATTTTGCAGACATCAGTTTTCTGTGCAAATACCTGAATTTCAAATACTGCTGTTGTCACTACTGTCAAACACTATGTAGACGGGGCTTGATGTATTAATGTTTTTTTGTGGATCACAGGCAGGTTTGCTCTTCATCTTTTTTTGTTTCGTCTGTCATTCTTCCTCTATCTCATGGCTCCTTTTATTTTCTCCTCACAGGCAGGAGAAGAAGCAGGGCTATTCGACCAAGATCTCCCATCCTTGAGGCAAAAGACATTCCTCCCCTGGAGCTTCCTAAATCCTCAGAGGACCTCCTGGTTTCTACCTCACAGCTCCTCAATGTGTCTGCCGTGTATGAAGTCCTCCGCAACTTTGGCACAGTTCTGCGGCTCTCCCCATTCCGCTTTGAGGACTTCTGTGCAGCATTAGCCAGCCAGGAGCAGTGCACGCTTCTGGCAGAGACCCACATCTCCTTGCTCAAAGCTATTCTCAGAGAGGAGGACACGTCTAACACCACATTTGGTCCCACTGACGTGAAGGACTCTGTCAACTCCACTCTTTATTTTGTGGATGGTATGACCTGGCCTGAAGTGGTGCGGGCGTACTGTGAGAGCGACCCGGAGTACCGCCACATTCTGCCTTTCCAAGAGGGTGAGGATTACCCGTATGAACCTTTAGAGAGCAAAATCAAAGTTCTCCAGTTTTTGGTGGACCAGTTTCTGGCGACTAACATTGCCCGGGAGGAGCTCATGTCGGAAGGTGTGGTTGCCTACGACGACCACTGCAGGGTATGCCATCGCCTTGGTGACCTGCTGTGCTGTGAGACATGTTCAGCGGTTTACCATCTGGAGTGTGTGAAGCCGCCTTTGCAGGAAGTGCCCGAGGACGAGTGGCAGTGCGAAGTGTGTGTGGCACACAAGGTTCCCGGTGTGGCAGATTGCATCCCCGAAGTGCAGAGGAGCAAACCGTTTATTCGACAACTGCCAGTCGGCTTTGACCGACACCACCGCAAGTACTGGTTCCTAAACCGCCGCGTTGTAGTGTAAGTGCAACATGTTTTTATGCAGCAAGTGACTGTAGAGGTGACAGAATAAGCAACTTCATGTTATGCATGTCCAGATTGTTTGTTCAAAAAAATATCTGCCCAATATGCCGAAATGTGCAAATATTGAAGAGAGAGGTTTCCCATTCACAACTATGAGCAGATTTTCCCCCCCAAGAGTAGTCGTCACAGCAAGAGCATTTTTAAATGACACTATTAATACACAGGACAAACTCAAAGTTATCCAAATGTCCTTTATTGTTTATAGTCAAAAAAAGTAAAGCCATAGACACAACATGGTTTTGAAAGTTGTCACACCACTGGCAGTCATAACAAGTTTTCAAGTGCTCACAGTTGTCAAATATAAAGTGTGCGCTTATTAAACATGAGTAAGTAAGTAGGAACCGTATGGCCAGTATTCCCATCATTTCCATTCTGTACCTTCACATGATAGAGTTGTGATTGAGTTCTTCTCCTCAGATGCATTAAACACTGTAACAGGTCTGCAAAGATCTGATTGTGAGTGGACTGCTTTATACTCTTGCATCCATGCTTATATCTGAGTAGGGCTGGGCGATATGGGGAAAAGTTTATCACAGTATATTTTTTTCATATCAGTTGATATTGATTTGTATCACGATATAACAAAATCAGTTATCAATCTTAAATGTTCCCTGTCACATTTAACATGTACTCGACACAGTTTGCAGTGCACATTACACTGCTTCATGTCCGACCTCAAAAAACCAAAATACCTCCACACCGCTGACATTTTCGTGCCAGTGTTGCCGCCGATTATCATCTGTTGAGCCTTCATCTGCATTTCTGCCAGGGATTGCACTCATTTTTCTCACCAACAGGGCTGTCAGCTTTGCGTGTTAAAATGCTATGGTTGCGTGTAGCTGCAGCCTGCTACTACACAGTTTTTTGCTACTTAGTTCTAATTCAGCACATGATTGGTTCAGCGCGGCACAGACTCAGAGCAACTCCCCTTTTTATTGGTTATTCATGTAGTCTGACAAAACATGGCAGAATGCCGGCTATTGAAAAGCATATTGACCGTGTTTAATATCAATAGAGAGGGAAATTAGTTTTTTAAATATATATCATTATCGTTTTATCGCCCAGCCCTATATCCGAGTAAGTAATGTTACTCCTTTGACAGTAGAGATTGTTGTTTTTTTCACTCATGGCCCATAACGCTGTCATGGATTTATCCTGTTGCATGACAAAGAGACACCAAGCTCGACATCTGTTATTCAAAGGCAAAGCTTCAATACAACCTGTAAAAAATTGTCAGTGACTTTGGATTAAGTGTTTATTTCTAAAGAGGTGTATGCTCTTAAACTGGGATTTATTAAACTGGAGCTGTGACCCTGAGAAGTAGAGAAGAGGGATCACGGTGTGTGATCAGGAGAACTTCTTGACCCATTCATACTGACCGCAGCCAGATTTAAAAGCATATTTTGGTTGTTGAGTTTCAAACACCGCCTCTGCAGATGTGTTTATTGAGAAGAGAGCATGATGTTCATTGTTACAGACCGAAGCTGGAGTTAAAGTGAACATATTCCACATGCTGCGTATGCACTCTGGTCGTAACAACAGGGATGTGTTAACAATGATACATATTTTTTCTGACACGTTTTTTTTTCATCCATGAGCTTTGGGGATCTTTGCAGATTGACATTGTGGTTGAACCTGCTGTTTAACAAACCAAAAAGAACTACAACTGCCCGTAAGATTAACACTCCCTGACTGTCAGCAGTATTGGTTCCATACTGTTAAGAATTATCTCAGTTTGGTATGGTCACAGATGGCGTGTGTGCTGGGTCAGCAGCAGCAGAAGGCCTGCTTCATAAAGCATAGAGAAGCATGGATCACTTGAACTATGTAAGATTTAAGAGGGTTGGTGGCCCCGTTTTTGTTGTGGCTGCATTTCTCTCTCTCTCTTCCTCTCTCTCTCACTCTCTCCTGCTTCATTCTCCTCTCCAGTTTAGCCCCCAGCAGGTGCTGTGTTACTGATCTTCACTCTCCCTTCAGAGGGGAGAGTGTGTGCACATGTGTGTGTGTCTACAAGTAGTGTGCACAGAGGAAAGTTTGTGTTAGTGGATGTAAGTGCCTACGTGCAATGAATGATGTGCACAGCATTTAAGGTGTGTGTGTGTGTGTGTGTGGCACATGTGCCTTTGGTGCAGGATGCTGAATAGACACTACTGTTTCATTGCCTCGGGGTCCACAGTTCCCCTGCATGGACCATGTTACTGGCAAATAGCGGTACTAAAGTCTACTCTGTAGCTGCGGCTACAAAAACTAAAGTGCCCCAAGTCAATATATCTTATTATAGAGTCTTTTCAATCTCAAGCATCTTGGTACTCTATTTCTGTTCTCCACAGGAGCAAACACTGTCACAGTGACTTTTTTTAAAATGGGGAAAAAAAGATCATTTTACGTATTACATCAACTTTCTGTCTGCTATTATCTAGAAGACCATGAAGTGAAACAAGGTTTAGATTTGAGATTTTTTTCATCAGTGATATTTTATTGTTATTCAGGGTTCCTACGCAAGTACGGAACTAAATGTGATCAATTTCCAGGTCTTAGAAATGATGGAAAATGAAAAATAAAGTATGGAAAAATATGTATGTTGCCAGACTATTACCACAGTTCTAAAATGCTGTTTTCTAAAATAGAAAAGTAGGTATTTCCAAAAACAGTTCTAAAAAGTAGAGTATAGAAAAGTATGGAAATTCCACCTGTGTAGGAACCCTGTATAGAGTCCTTTCAATCTGAAGCATCTTGGTAATCTATTTCTGTTCTCCACAGGAGCAAACACTGTTACAGTGAGAAAAAAGATCTTTTTACGGAGAACATCAACTTTCAGATTTTATCTAGAAGACCATGAATTGAAACCAGGCTTAGATTTGAGATTTTTGTTATCAGTGACATTTTATTGTTATTGTTACCAAACAGTATGTGTACATACACATATATTTCCCCACTTATTCACAAACTATCTGTTGAGATTTTTTGCTGTACAAAGTATTCCATTCACACCTGTTGCAGGCTATTAATAAAATAGCTTTGAATAATTCATCTCTTTAGCACCGTGAACAGCCTACCTGAGGGCAGTTGTGGCTCAGTGCTAAAGTTAGAAGGCACGGCGAAGGTGTGTGTGTGTGTGTGAAGGTGTGAATGCAACGTGTTGTGAAAGAACCCTTCGAAATCTCTGCAGAAGCGCAGTTTACCGTTTACCTTTCAAAGATGCAGCCACTTGGGTGACGCATGTTTGAAAAAGAGAACCGATAAAAACACTTATCCTCTACTGTTGCCATGACACCTTGGAGAGTCAAGTCTAACCTATGACTATAGAACCTGAACATGTATAATTGATCCGTGCGGTGTTAAGTTCCCTGTGCAGGCTTCAGCCCCTGTTTATGAAGCTTTCTCATACATGTATTTGTCAGAGATGCAACAAAATCAAAGTGATGCATGTTTAAGATTTTGGCAGAGAGCTAATCTGCTGTCTCTTACTTACTCAGTGACAGATGATCAAATAGCATCAGTGCACACAGTATACAAAAAGCAAGCAAACGTACAGCATGTATTTTCAACTTTCATCCTCTTCATTTTCTCTGTTTGTCCTGCCCTTTACTGTAAAGTCTCCTAATTCCTTTTCCTGCTGTCTCCTCTCTCATGTCTCCCCTGCAGTGAGGAGGATGGCGAGCAAGAGGACAAAACCATCTGGTACTACAGCACCAAGGTAAATGCAACTGTTTTTTCACGAGACGTGTGTAATTCTCCCTAATTGTGCAGAGCAATCCTGCTTTCTTTTAATTAACTTTCTCTGTTATATAGCAGAGAAGAAGCTTTGTTATATTGAGTTTATTTTGCCTTTTACACATTGCACTCTTTGCTGGGACTTTGCTCTTTACAGGTCCAGCTAGCTGAGCTCATAGACTGTTTGGATAAGGAGTACTGGGAGGCCGACCTGTATGCAGCGCTCGAGGAGATAAGGGACGAGGTGCATGCACATATGGACATCACCGAGGACCTGACCAACAAGGCGCGTGGCAGCAACAAGTGTTACTTCACTGCTGCCAATGGTAAAGGGCGCTCCTGTTTTTTTGTTCTTTCTTTGGCGAGTTAAACCAACTTAAAGAGAGTGAGGGGATTTCTGTAGCTGTTAAGTTCTCACTGGCTCAGGCAGAAAGTTTTCTTCAAGCCCTGATCTCCTTTTTTGTCTCTTCCCTTCCACTCCCCTGCCTGCATTCACATTCATACTCATAAATGCCACCCAATCATAAATGGCTGGGCCTGTAGGAATCAACCCAACAATTATGTAACCTTACTCTGGTCCCAGTTTGGCCAGTATCCAGCCCATGAGTTTCCCTTTAGTGCCTCACCCGTCCTAACTGTCTGCAGGCTGTTTCGCTGATTCTTTGTCTGCTCCTGGCTTGTTGTGTCATTGGGAATTTTGGCACTTGTGAAAATTAAAGGGATATTCCAGCGTAAATTTAAGTTATGGTCAAACACACCGAAACACAGAGTTAGACACCCCCTCGAGAGATGATTGTTGCAGACTTCTTGCTTCTCTAGTCATACCAACTTCAGCAAAGACCGGACGATAGCAATACACAACGCTCTACATCTCCACGAGCAAACATCAACCAAAAAGCCACTCTACAGCCACAAATAATGCTCAGAACAGAACCTAACTTCATCAACAGTACATACAGGGTCCTAGCCATAGCACTAGCCATCAAACGTATTTTTAGCTCTGGCTGGTTTGTTTTAGCAAAGAGACTAAAAACAACTCACCTAGTCTCCTCCAGCAGCTGCTTGTTTGTGGGGGGAGCCCTGACTAGTTGATCCCCGAGTGCAGTGGAGTTTCGCCGCTCAAGGAAGAACATTTATGATTATTACTTCATGGAAATACAATCAGACCGAGACGCTTAGGCAGAAGAACTACCGCGTCTGCAGTGCAAAATTATCATTAAGATGATTATTACTTTAAGGAAATGATCTGCTGCACTCAGTGATCGACTCGTTAGGGCTTCCGCCACAAACAAGAGGCTGCTGGAAGAGAGTGGGTGGGTTGTGTTTATTCTCTTTGCTAAAGAAACCAGGCAAAGCTAAAAAGATGTTTGATGGCTAGTTCTATGGCTCGGACCCTATATGTACTGTTGATGAAGTTAGGTGTTGTTCTGAGCATTATTTGTGGCTATAGAGTGGCGTTTTGGTTGAGGTTTGCACATGGAGACGTAGAGCGCTGTGTATTGCTATCGTGCGGTCTTTACTAAAGTTGGTATAACTAGAGAAACAAGCAGTCAGCAGCATTCATCTCTCGAGGGGTGTCTTACTCAGTGTTACTGTGTGTTTGACCCTAAATTAATTATACACCGAAATATCCCTTTAAGTTCTGTTAGATGTTTTGGGAGGTAGTGTTACACTGTGAGCGGTTCTGCTGTTCAGGGTTTGATGCAAGAGCATTGGTGGAAACTCTTTGAGTAAGCACAAAGAAGTAGATGATTCAGACATAAAATAATGCTGCTTGAAAGAATAAATGCAGCTTTACTCAAGCTTTTCAAGGCTGAAGCTGCAGTATAATTATTTTACTTAGTAGTACACTTCTCATTGAAGATACACAGATAATGAATTGATTGAAAAGGTTTCAATAAGGCAAAGAAAAAAGCTTTGAAAATTCTCCTCATTGTTGCATGGCTTATTGTAGTGAGTAAAGTAAAGAGTTTATTTCTCATTTCTTTATTTTCTCAGCGCTGAAAAGTAAGCAGATAATACTCATTTTTGTAGCCAAGCCTTTCTCCGCTAGGTTGAATTGTTGAATGCATTTGTCACTGATATCCACAAGATCTCATTCAAGACTACTTTGTATCAGCTAAACCAATTTGAGCTCACAATTATTTCCATTTCTTCAATATTTTTCCTCCATCCAGAGGAGATCTTGGAGCGTTTGCGGGCAAAGAAGGAGGAGGAGCTAGAGGAGGTGAAGAGAAGGGCCGCCGAGGAGGCTGCGAAAGCACGGCTGGAGAAGGAGAAGAAAGAGGAAAATGTGGAGAGGGAGGACGAAGAGGCCAAGTTTAAGGACGAGGGGCAGCAGCAGGATGGCAAAGCGCTGACCAAGGAAGAAGAGGAGACAAAAGAAGAGGCCTGGGAAGAGAAAAGCGATGGCATCAAAGCTGGAGGTAAATAAAACGGGGTTTATATTTCACCAAGCACTCCAGAAATCACAGCAAAATGTGTAATTAAAGCAAAGATTATAATGATTAAAGAATAACCACCTAAACAGCGATGTCTTTGGATTTGAGTAGCTGCACTCTACTCGGTTCTTGAGCCTCCGAACAAAAGGAACATCATCACTGAGGTTTAATTAGTCATTGATTTAAGAATCAATTCTGCACTTATTTGGCTTGTAGAGCAATTTGAAATGCTCTTTGCGTTTCTCGGGGCTCAAATCACAAAATTGGCACTCACCAAGTACTTGTTAATTAAAATCTTTGTCTTGCTGGATATGCATTATTGATCGCAATAAAGAGGCCTATACACAGAATGATAATAAATCAAACAGAGTTGTTTCTAATGATAGGTTGTCTCCTCTATAAATGATTACACACATCTTTAAAGCAAGTTAAAATCATCCCAGAGGTTTAGATACATTGTAAAGAAATGTTTCCCCTCGGTTAAGAATTTACTTGTGGTGGTGGGCCGGGCGGTGCAGGGCGGTGCCGTGGTGTTTGATGAGTGCTTTCAAAATAATCTAGTCAAACTAAATTTATGAACTACGTGTTTTTTATTGCGCTTAAAGGGCTCCAGACTAACTTGTTTTGCTAAGAGGTCAGTAACCCCTAACTAAAAATTTTAGGAGCACAAGCAGAAAATTTCGGGGTGCACGCTGTAAGGCAAATAATTCACATTTCCTTTCATTTTCGCTGTATTACTTATAAATAGGTAATAAATGTAAAAGTTACAATTTGCTGTTTTAAATTCAGTGTCACATTTTATTGTGCATTTTTATTTTTAAAGATGCAAAATAAACATAAAACAAAAGGTAGACAGTACGCTATCATTACACTGACCAATGAGAAGTTTTTTTTGCGCATGGCATTTTTTTTTTTACAACTTTAGACTACTACAGACTGTTGCTTTGTTTACAAACAACCCAAAGGAAAAAATAACTTAAAGAAGAAAAAGTCACAGTCAGTCTCTTGAGACATAACCAGTGGTACAATAACAGAAACTGTATGAGAAAGAAAACAGTGTATAATCAAAGATAAGTTAGTGTAGCCGGAGCGCAACAGTTTATCCACCAGTGTACCGTGCGCTGCGCCGCTTTTGTTTGCTCAAAAAAAACGAAGCGCAAAGCCGGAGCGCAACAGTTTCAGTGCGCGTCCGTATATTCACCAGCGCGTCCTGCGCTGCGGCACGTTTGTCTGGAGGAAACCCTGCTGTCTGTATGTCTGTATGACCGCGTTTTTTTTTCTTTCTAATTCTATTTTTTTAATCTTCTTCGGCGGGCCGCCCAAGTAAAGTCTGTGTAGGGGAAACACTATAAAGGATATACACGTAGGTTTTTGACCACTTTTCATATTTCTGACAAAAATCATGACCGCTTCTCTCCATTGTCAATTTTTTGTGCACTAATTACTAAAATCAACAATATTTACAAAACTGCTGCTGTCCATCTTCAGTTGTTGAAGCTTCATCCACTAGCCATGGAGGCAGTAGTGGCAGTGGCATCTCAGACGGACTTTTGCCTCCAGAAAACTCTGCTCCACCGCAAACCATCCCCTCTGCCTCGAACTATAGACCAGCCCCTGAGGCTCCAAAGCCAAAGGTGTCAACCTTAGAGGCCCTGATAGAGGGCTGTTCCCATGTGGAAGTCTCTAACTGCACCAAAGGTACACAAGGACGCTATCAGGTTGAAGTTGACCTCACTAAGCTGTCTCTGGAGATCTGCTTTTGTTGCCACAGCCTGCAGCTGTTGTGTGATGCATCTCAAACCCCCAAACATCACCTGTGGCTTGAACGTTCCACCACGTACCCTCTTTGTGATGTTCCTCCTGAATGTTTCCGGCCTGCAGCTTTGCATGTGGCTCTCATTCCATCTGCCAGCTTTTGTGTTAAATGATACACTTTTTTCATTTCTTGAAAAGTTGCCCCCAGCCTCTGAGCGGTTTCAGCTGTTGTGCACTTGAACTCCTAACTTGACTGCTGTCCTTCTAATGCCCATGCTGATGGATGGAGTTGTAGTCAGATCGCATTGTCATTCCAGGCAATGTGACTGAAACCAAGTGAATGTGAAGCAGCAGTGCTGACGCTCTTTAAACAGCTTTTCTTCCGCTGGTTACTTGTAAGTGGAAGCTGTGGTCAGGAAGTTCTCTGTTTGGGTTACAAGGTCAAGTATTCATCCTTCATTATGACTACACGTGTGTTGCTATTGCCTGCGTGATTGTTGGAGCCTTGTCTTGCCTTACCTGGTTGCACATCACTTTTAATCGAGCCATCCCTCCAGTTAAACTGCTCATTTGGTGCATGCATTACACGAAAATTGTCAGTAGAGGGGGCTACAGCCTAAACTATTTCACAAGTATCACTTCATCAAGGCCAGGACTTCACTGATGCTCAGCGTCTGTATAAACGGTCACTGTTTTGTCTTTGGTGCTGCATTTTTGTCTTGCTTTTCAAAGCTCTCTTTGTGACGTTTTGCCTTTGTTGCAGAAACCCCGTCATCAGACTCTGTCCCTGCCAGCGAAGATGGTATCCCCAGCCTGAGCCAGCCGTCCCAGACCATGGAGGAGAACAGCAACAGCAGCATGGGAACCGGTGTCAATCCCAGAGGACCTGAACCTCCAGACTTGGCTGACAAGTCCTCACAGTCATCCATGGCCAGCCTTGATGACACAGGTCTGACGAAACAACACCTCCTCATCACATCTTGTCCTTTGTTGCAGCAAATCTGCTTTTACACGAGTTAATATCATATTTTGCTCTGTTGAAACCTGTTTTCTCTTACTAATTGTACATTTAAGTTTAAGGGTAGTGGCATGTTTATTAGTTTTGTAACTCTAACTTTTGTCCTGCGTTACCAACAAAGAAAGGGGTTCTGAGAGGGAAATCAAACGCTGGGATTATTGAAGGATGCCAGCTCAAATTTTATCCACTTAAGCCAAAAATTCTGGACCCAAGAACAAGCAAATTAAAAGGCCAAATACGAGAACTTTGATTATTCGGCACCTTGATATTGCTGAACCAAATTGATCAAATCTCCTGAAACACACAACTCAAAAATTTGTCTTTAACGTCGCTAAACATACCAAATAATTCCCCCCAAACAAAACAAAAAATGTCCCCAGGTAATACCCAGTTGGGAGAGTTTTATAAATTAGATCCAAATCCCGGAAAGCCGTCCCCGGGAGCGAATGTCCACATAAAAGTAATCCCCAAGATACCAAAAAAAAGGATTGATCGATCAACCAAAAATCTCTGGTATACCAGGCAGTCAAAAATGAAAGAAAAAAAACAAATCCGAAAAATTTCAGAGTCCAAGGAGGACCAGGTTATTTTCCCCCTTTAACCTTTAACCCACTTGTTGTTACGGGGGATTATTAACTGGGCACCAACAACCAAGAAAACATCTTCCTTTTTTTTTCTTTTTAATACAACTGCCAACCAGCTTAATTTCAATTTCCTATGGTGACGCCATCACAGTTTTCACAGTTAAGGACGCCATCACAATTAAGGAAAACAAACTATACAATTATTTTTATGAAAGAGCTGCCAAGTGGATTTTACTCAAAATTGTTTTAGTTCAAAAAGACTAAAAAAGCAAAAACAAAACTGCGAGATAGCAGGACAACCTCAGTTGACTTAACTCTGCTTTGTGATTCCAGGGGACAGTAAAGACTCCGCCAACGGTGACGCAACAAGTGCCAGCGGTAAGAAGTCTTCAGCTACCCGAATGGTGACCCGGCTGAGGAACCCGGACAGCAAGCTCAGCCAGCTGAAGAACCAACAGGTGGCTGCCGCCGTTCATGAAGCCAACAGAGGCTTCAGAGAGGGCAAAGAGGTGACAAGAACCATAGTGGATGATAAGGATTTTTATGGGTTGGCCAGTGACTAAAAACTACGTTAACAAAGTCTATCACAGTATCTAAAGCAGAACAGGTCACTGAGGATTAAACAAGGACTCTGAAGCCATTAGGAAAGAACTTGGTCACCATTACTCTTTTACACACTGCAAATCCAGCGTCTTTAAGAGGATTTGTTACTCTGTTTGACACATTTCATTGCATTCTTGTTTATTCTAAATTGTCATTGTCTTAAAAGCAGCATTTCAAGAAATGAAATTACTCTTTCATCTTCTTCTTCCTGTACAGGTATTAGTCGTAAACGCACAGGGCGACATCACCCGTGTCAGCACACGTAGCAGCAAAGACGTCGTGATGAAGGGGACACTCAGCCAGTTCTTCAAGCTCGGCCAGGAGGGGAAATTTCGCGTCTATCACAACCAGTACAGTTCCAACGCTGTGGCTCTTAATAAACACCAGCACAGAGAGGCAAGCCACACGCGAAACTTGTTTTCACTGTTTAATTTTTTTTTCTTTACTATAGCCTAGTATTAATTATTTATTGATTTTTATTTTCTTTCTTTCTTCTTTCTTTATTTAAATTTATTTTTTATTTTTTTATTTTAAACAAGGACATATTCATAGAAAAGACAGACAAAAACAGTTTACATATCTTGGATATATAAAAAAAACCTTTCATATTAAGAAACTATACATCAACACAGAAACAGGCAAAGAAAAATTAACATAAAAATACATCTGTGGGTACAAAAATTAGAGCAAGGATTTAAAGAAAAAACCGATAACTCTTCATCCCTAACTTGTGTTGTTGCTAATTTTTGCCAACTATCTAGGTCTGGCTTTTTTTTTTGCTTTTTGTCATAATCTTAGGCAAGAAGTAGTGGTAATATAAGAATATAGCAAACAATTCAAATTATCCTTTTGCTTTTTGAAAATAACAAATATTTTCGAGAAGCACAATGGTATTTAACAACATATTATTTTCTTCTTGTAAACCCCAGATTATATTGATAGGTGATAGTGGTAAATCAAGTCTTTGTTCAGATAATCATACTCCCAATTTACACCAAAAAACAAGAGTAAGATTTCTTCGTCTTCTTCTTCATAATATCTTCATACTTTATCATCAGTCATTTTCCATATTTTTAACATTTTCCTCGTTGGTAATATCTTATAGAAAACAATTTAAATATTAATTTTGTGTCATGCCAGTATTTGTTCCCCCCGATATTACAAATACATATTGGCAGTTTTCTAACTGAACCAAAGACCACATATCGACTGAGCTGTTTAATGTTGACAGTTAAAGTGTTTTTCGCTGAAACCTGCTTTCTTTGTCTTTATTCAGGATCACGACAAGAGGCGGCACCTCTCTCATAAGTTCTGCATGACACCAGCAGGGGAATTTAAGTGGAACGGGTCCATTTATGGGTCCAAGGTTTTGACCATCTCCACATTGAGACTCACCATCATCCAACTGGAGAACAATGTTCCCGCTCCGTTTATGCATCCCAACTGGGCCTCACATAGGTACACTGTGATATTTACTTCATGGATTGAAATTCTAATGTTGCATTGCTTGCATTGTAATTCATAATCATAGAAATGTTCGGTTTTGTGGGTTTGTTGGTTGTTTTTTATTGATTTTGGCAGTTAATCATGTTCCCATGGATGCCTTTCAGTCAAAGATAATTTCTTAATTGTAAAACTAAACGGCGAACTAAAAGTTTTTGCTTGTTTTGCAGGACCAACTGGATCAAAGCGGTTCAGATGTGCAGTAAAGCTAGAGAATTTGCACTTGCTCTGGCCATCCTGGAGTGCGCCATCAAACCTGTGGCTATGCTGCCTGTCTGGAAGGACTCCCTGGGCCACACAAGGTACACACATTGTACAGTATACACTCAGTTTGTTCGGGTATCTGTGCAGTGTGCATACTGTATCTGTAGATCTGCATAAACTGATATCATTTTCAAAACACACACATACACAAAAAACAGATCTGGGATTCCTCAATTTAAATGCAGCACATTCAAAAGCATCAAAAAGGTTAAAAAAAAAAACACTCAAACAAGCATTTAGTGCATGTTCACAGGGGACGTGTGGTCAGCATAGCAGGCCGAAGAGATCATAACCAAATCAGATCAAAAGGCCCACCCGAGCTGTGAGGCATAATATTTATGCTTCAGGTCCACTACCAGTACCACCCACCTCTGCTGCTGCTACTACTGCTTCTACACCACATCAGCCCTTCAAAGAGGAGATTGTCCAACATTTCAGAAGGCTGGGAGCACAACACCGTGTGTGTATGTGCCTTCAGTGTGAGCGATGGACGTCAGTAAAGTGTGTGTTTGTGTGGATCTGTTTCAAAAGCAGCTCTTATCTTCTCATGTTGAAGTCGGAGTTTTAGTCATACTTTACACCACAGAGGAAGCCTTTCAGTGGTTATAAGATACATTTTAATATAGGCTTAAATAATGTGTGAGTTTAATAATTGCCTGAAACATTAAGGTCTCTGTAGGTAATGATACCACAGTGGTTACTGTATAAACACAAAACATTGGACTGGGATTGGAAAGCAGCTACAATGTCAGTCACTTGTCCTGATACATGTTTGACCATTTTATAAACATGTTTTCAGATTAAACCGAATGACGTCCATGGAACGAGAGGAAAAGGAGAAAGTGAAGAAGAGGGAGAAGAAGCTGGAGGATGAGGAGACGTTGCAACAGGCCACCTGGGTCAAATACACCTTTCCAATCAAACACCAGGTGGGTTGAGTAAATACTTTCCTATTTTGTCTTTCGTGTGATTATTTTAGATCTTTAATGTCTATGTGTCTGACTGACTGACTGCAAGTGGCTTTTTTAAACTAGTTGGACTCTTCTCATCCTTTCCTTGTTTTCCTAATCCAATCATTACTCTCTTATTTTACTTAAAGGTGTGGAAGCAGAAAGGAGAGGAGTATCGTGTTACGGGCTACGGAGGCTGGAGCTGGATCAGCAAGACTTACGTCCAGCGGTTTGTCCCCAGGCTCCCCGGAAACACCAACGCCAACTACCGCAAAGAACTAGAAGGTCTGGAGAGGGTGAATGTGGGGCCCAATAATGTGCTTTTTGATCGTCGCTATTTGGCATCAATGTTTTTCCCTAATTTGAGCTTGTTTGATTCTGATGGTAAATTAGTAATCTCAGATATATCATTGTGTGGCAATCAAAGAACCAAAACTCTCTTTTGAGCTGTCAAAGACTCCAGTTTCATCAAATATTATGAAAGACTTTGATTCATTTTCCTGGGAATAATGAAAAAACCTCGATAAATCAAAAATATTTAGTATATTATTACTGAAAGGGAATGTTCCTACACCAGCAGCAACTGTCTGAAGCTCAAAGTTTTATCAAACCAGGTTTTAACTCTCATTTATATCCTATGTCCCAAAGATGCCAAACTTGGCAAGAAATGCACCCTGCTTGACTTGAGCCGACGGCCCAGCATAGCTGCACCAGACACTCAGGAAGCTCCCGTCAGTGAGGCAAAGGATCAAGAACTCTCGAGCCTCTCTGAGCCTGCACCAGATTGCATGACGTCTGCTGAAGATTTAGGATTGAGCGAGAAGATGGAAGAAGAAAAGAAAGAAGGGACAGGTGTAAAAGAGAAGTCTGAGAACTTGTCAGTAGACGAACAGTCCAGGAAGATGGAGGTGGACCCGGCAGACCCACCGTCAGAAGAAGAAGAGCGAAGTATGACAGTCTGACAGCACTTTTTACTCTCTTTATTAAAACACAGATTAGTTTTAGTAAATTGATTTGACATGTTCTTTCCAGGGTCCAGTATGGAGGAGGGAAAGACACCCGTGAAGGAGGAGAATGCAGAGGAGCCTCCCAGACCCTTTAACTACGACGTAGTGGATGTCAGCAAGGGCTTCCTCACCCGCATTGCCTACAAGAAGAAGGTCAAGTCGTCCAAGCTGGACAGCCTGCTGGAGCGACGAGTGAAGCAGCACATTATTGAAGAAAAGCAGAGGCAGCAGGTGTCGGCCTCCAACCCTCTCACTCCTGCACCAGCTTCATCCACTTCACCCCCAGCTCTGAGCACTCCAGTACGACCACGGTCGCCACTCAGGCCCCACATTCTCACTCAGACACAACCTTTATTGGGTGACTCTGTGAAAATACCAGAGACAACAGAAACTCCAGGGTTGGGAGACGTTGGAGAGCGACTAGGAAGGGAGAGTCAGTCTGAACTCTCTAAAACTACTGATGAGAATGTCACTCCTCTTCCTCTTTTTCCCCCTCTCCCTTCTCCTACTCTGGGCTCCACACCAAAAGACAGTAGCAGTAAAGGTACAGGTGAACATTCAGCTTCACCACAAACCACTTCCATGCCTCAGGGATTGGAGGCAGACTTATTGGAAAGAACCATGGGGCCAAAGGAAACAAATTCAGACAGTTCAGGGCAAGAGGGGGGCAAAGCACCTGATCTTCAACAAACAAACACAGGGGGGATTCAAAGCTCTTTTGAGCTACAAACAGCCAAGGTATCACTTGATGATACCAAGGCTGGGTATGTTGAAAATACAGGGTTAAAATTGGACCCTGTAAGGACTTCCACAGGTGTTCCTGACCAAAAAAGCAGTCAAAACACATCCCCCTCTAAATTTATTCAGCAAAACCCAGAAACACTCAGCTCGGTTCATTTATCGACAGAGAAAAATGGCACAGGACCAGAGGACAACCAAGAAAACCTTGAAGGCATGGGACAAGGTAAAAACGAAGGTGTCAGCACTCCCAAGCCTGCTTCTCCTCTCCCTCAGGTAAATGGTAATGACGGCTTGGGGAATGAAAGCATTATGGGAAACTCTGTAGTAAGGGCAAATAATGGCGTGCTTACCAACAGTACACAACACAAGATGAACAGTGCAGGTAATGTAGAAGAACAAGGGATGGTTGTCTCTTTAAATGACACCACACAGAAGAAACCTTTAGTCAACGGGGACGTGGGCTGTTTGAAGGATTGTACAGATGTTGGTGCAAAGGCACTAAGCCCGGAGCGCAAGACAACGCTGTCAGATCAGGACTACGAACCTCCAGTGAAGGTGATAAGGCTGGAAAACAACATAAACACACTGGGAGAAAATACACAGAGCCCTCGACAACACAACAGCTCATCCCCATTCAAGTCAACAGAGACCAAACCCAGCTCTGCGGTCAAAATCATTCGAATGGCTCCATCTCCTATTCCGTCAGCGGAGGAGGAGTCCAGTCTGAGCGACGACTTCATAGAGGAGAAAAGTAACGGTGGGACCACAGATCCCCTAAGAACAGTTGTAACCCAGGTAACAACAACGACTTCCACCACAACAACAGTCGTCTCCACGGAGACCAGGACGGCCAAAGTGCCGTCAGATTCACCTGGAGGGGCGAGGACAACAGTAAGCAATGCAGTGTCCACTCTTACAACCATGACGAAAACAACAGTGACGAAAATCTGTTCCTCTGACAGTCAGTCAGACGACAGCCAGAGTGAAATGATCATGCATGAACAGAAGCTCTCAGCCTCCATCAGCAAGTCAAGCACTGACATCAGGGGCGAAACCTCACTGTCAAACATGGCTGTGAGCCGGGAGGATTATTTGTCAACTAAAGGCCGCGTTCATCTCCTCAAGTTCTCCCGCACCAAAAAGACAAGATCAGACACTGCCCTTCCTTCCTACCGCAAGTTTGTCACCAAGAGCAACCGAAAGAGTATTTTTGTACTGCCGCATGGCGACCTGAAGGTACTGGGGAGGCGTGGGGGATTCCGTGAAGTGCCCATTTTTAGCTACAATGCTAAGCCAGCGCTGGACATCTGGCCGTATCCTTCACCCAGGCCCACGTTTGGCATCACCTGGAGGTAAGCTAAGGCCCTTTGTTTACCTTTTTCAAAACCAAAAGCATTACCAAAGTTTTCATTCTTTATGTCATTAAGGACCACAGATACAAAATTTCCCCCAAAGCGCTCATCACATTACCATACTCCTGTCTCATCTGTGGTTAAGTAGGAAATACAAGGGAAGGAGTCCTTAAAGACCCACTCTGATAAAAATCATGTTTTTCCTATTGTCTACATGTTCATACGGTATTTTTCTGATGCTACGGGACATTTGAGAAAAGTACGTGTGAAATTGTATTTCTGTATTCAAATCGCTGTGAATCTCTGGCAGACCCAAACAGCAGGTTCAGATACAGTGAGATTTCCTATGTCACAAATCCAAGCTCCGCCCCCTGAGCCCCTCTATGCAGGCCAGACTCAGAAAAATAGAGGACGGTTGCAAAACAAGCGTGTGCGTTAGCAGATGGCATTGCTCACAAGGAAATTAATTATGATATTAACTTTCATCATGTCCCCAAAAATATTAGTGTCCGAGAGCTGAACAGCTCCTATGTAACCTGCTAGTTGCAGGTAGCAGGCTGTTACTTCTACTACACCGGCAATGTTAGGCTACAAGCTAGCATGAAGACGAGCGTGCAGAGCAGCGCTGTCTCTGCCCACGACTCAGAGGTGAATTGCTAATGACTTACTGGAGCTTAGCAGAAGAAAAGCACTAGAAAATGACACAGGTAACATGATTTTGGCTAAAAAAAACTTAATAATCACAACTTAAAGACCACTGAGAACACTTTAAGAAGTAAAAAAAAAAGATCAGAGTGGGACTTAAAAGATCAAATGGAGCCTGTTCACCTGTTCATTGTAGCTGCCTGGGTTTTTGAAGCTAATTCAAAAACAAAGAACATGAAAAATTCTTCATATCAAAAAATGATAAAGATATTCCAGGTCTGGACCTTTTACTTTGAGCCAACAAAGAGTCCCAAAGTATGGATGTTCTCAGAGACAGAAGCCTTAAAATATGAAAGGAAACTGTGATACAGAAAGCCAAAATCAATTATTTAGAGGGTTTTATTTTTAAAATACAGGGTTCATGATTTATTCTCTGACAGTCTTAACTGTTTCCTCAAAAAAAAAAAAAACAACGGCAGCACTTAAATTACTTTTAATTAAATTGTAAGGATGGAGTAGACTTCCCTCCTTTTATGAGTGAAATATTTCAAAATGAAACCTTTCCAGAGAACAACTTTGTGGCCTTGATTTTTCTTTTTAAGTCGATTTATATTTAATTGTTGTAAATCCAGCCAAAGATTGGATGTCCTGTCTTTAAGAGCTTTTCCTTCCTGATATTTGTCAAGGATTATTACGCTTTTATTGTTGCCGTAAAATGCATTTATGAGCTGTTTCCTATGACATGGAAATCCAAAACACATAGTTGTGGTAAGCTGCAGCCTGAGAACAAGTTTCTGACACGACCTGGTTTTTAAAAGTCTCCAAGGACCAGAACAGTAATGTCACACTGATGACACAAAATAGTCCCAATTTTTTAAGGTCTGTCTTAAACCAAAAACAACGTAACCTCTTTAGTTTTCATCAAAACAAAAAAGGAAGCTTTGAACCCTCAAAAGATTTCAGATGTAGATATTGAACTCCTGATGGATTTGAAGTGAACATGCAGTGTCTGTGTCTGATTTCCTGTTTGTCACGTCTTCCTCCTCCCTGTCTGCTGTCTATGGCTTTGGCCCTCTACGACACTGTGGTCCTGAGCACAGAGTCACACAAGGGCTTCTGGTTGTTTTGACCGGACCTCAGATTTGCGACGCAGTTATGAATCATTTAGCGGTCAGGGAAGTGTCAGGATGTTCACTCTGCACGGTGACCCAGCCCTGAAATACAGGGATGTTTCACCGCCTGTGGTTGCACACGAGAAAGGGATGATCTCCCCAGACTTACGCACACTGCCTGTGTAATTATTGTGTTTTTGTAGGCGATCAGGATGTTTAAATGCCAGCAGTACTCCATTTTAAGTTGATGTGCTGAATGTTTTCAGTGGGTGAAAAGTCAGGACAAGAGCCATGCTGTTGTGATATAAGTGGAATGTGGATTTGACTTTCTTAAATATGTCAGGTCTTCTCTAAAACATGTGCATATGTTGCTCCAAAACGGGCCTGTTTAGTCCACCATTAAGGGTTTTCTCTGAAGTGTGTAAGCAACTCACACCATGAGCACTTAACACATTCGTTATATCATCATGGATGTTGTAACTGTGCGCTGATAACAGGCCTGGTGGTCCCTCTCCCTTTCAGAAAGAGGGGACAGCTTCCTTATTTAGGATTAGTCAGAACCTTAGACAGTTTTCCTCATTGCCTCACCCCTAGGGCTGGGCGATATGGCCTCAAATCAATATCACGATATATTGAGCAGTTCACCTCGATAACGATAAATGAACGATAACTACTCCACAAGCTGCTCACCCCCTCCCACATTAACTTCATCTACTTCAGCCGTTACAACTTTTGAACCATCCTCCATCTCCTCACCTGTCTTTCCCTCTTTGTTACAGACTGGATGGGGTTGAGTCACATCTTTGACATAGGACAGCGTCTTAAAGGGACATGAGACCATAGCCTACCTACACACATCCAAAACCAACTTTGATTTATTTATTTTTTGACACCAAATATATTGACTTGGGCAAAATGATGTCGTTATTGTCGTAAATTTCGGTATCTGTAAATTTTCGGTTTATCGCCCAGCCCTACTCACCCCTTCTTCAGTGGACTGAGCGCCACACATCTTTTCGCATGGTGCATTTGTGGATGCAGAAATGATGAACTAGGTTTACAGATGATGCTTTATGAAAGAGATTTTGAGCCCATGCAGCAATTTCCACCACAGAGTTGTATCTGTTTTCAATGTTCTGCTGCTGGAGGGCCCAAAGATCGAGGCCATCTTTAACTGGTTTACCACCTTCCCCCTTTTTGCACAGAATTTTTTCAAATTATCTGAATCCTTTAGCGACATCATGTCCTGTAGATGCGAAAATCCCAGATGTCTTTGGGGTTTTACACAGAGGGACACTATTCTGAAATTGTTGACCTATTTGTTTATGTGGTGAACCTCCTCTAAACATCTTTGAGCAACACATAATTAGTAGATTCACTTTTCAGTTTTAACCTCTGGGTTGTGTTGTAGGTATCGCTTGCAGACGGTGAAATCTCTGGCTGGTGTGAGCCTGATGCTGAGACTTCTGTGGGCGTGTCTGAGATGGGATGATATGGCCGTCAAACCATCTGCTGCTGTGGGCACCACTCGTACAGGTAGATCCTCTCCACAATCCCCTCCAAACCTCCTCCACATACAGATGTCATCCCTCCATGAGCTTAGGTTTAAAGGATTGAAATGTGTTTGTCATTTGCTACTATTATTTTTAATGTTGAAAATTTCTTTTATAGTTTTACGAGAGTTTTGCTTTTCTTCACTCATATCCACAACTTAATGTGTGTGAGAAGTGCAGCTGGTGCCTCAGCAAAAACTCCAACCTGATGTTTTAAAGGCTACAGAAATTGTTCAAACCGGATAATTTCGGTATGAATTTGGGATTATTTCGCTGTTGATCGAGAAAAACATGCAAAGATGGCTGCCAGTAAAAAGACCCAGCCTCACCCTCATTTTGGTGTCACTGTTTTTATATTGGAGTGCATTTCCTCCATCTTCTCGGGCTCTTCTCCTCATCACCGTACCAACCCAGCCCTATCCCCACTCATTGCTACAGAGACATCAGACACAGAAATCACCACCACAGAGATCATCAAGCGCCGCGATGTGGGACCATATGGCATCCGGTCAGAGTACTGCATCCGCAAGATCATCTGCCCGCTGGGAGTGCCTGAGACACCAAAAGGTTAGATGCCTTTTTTTTTTATCTCTGTGTATATTTATGAACTGCCTCAGAGTTTATTGGTTTAACTGCTCCTTTTTTTTGCAAAGAAAAATAAAAATGTGAAGGATGTTTATGTCGATTTCTTTGCAGACTTTAAACTTTCAAATGACCCGTCTGTCTCTAATATATTCATCTGTCAACCTTCCCAGAAACCCACACACCTCAAAGAAAGGGGTTGCGCTCCAGTGCCTTGCGTCCAAAGAAGCCCGAGCCTGCCAAGCAGACGGGTCCTGTGGTGATTGAGACCTGGGTAGCTGAGGAGGAGCTGGACCTCTGGGAGATCAGAGCCTTCTCAGAAAGGTCAGGGGGCTAAGTATGATTTTACTCCACCTGCCCACAGATCAGATGTATAAACATGGAAAAGTAGTGAAGCTGATTTTGCATTTTCCATTGTAATCACCTGAATTTATAAGAAAAATGGTCTGAGGGATTGAAATATTTTACTCCATTCAACTCCCAAAAGAGGTTTTCTCCTAAGAATTTTGTTGTTGATGTTTTTCTTTTCTTTTTAGGGTTGAGAAAGAGAAAGCCCAGGCAGCAGAGCAGGCTAAGGTCAGTATGGTCCAGAAGGATCATCTTTCCACACATTATAATTCTCATTTTGAAGAACATTTATTTTTACATATATTTATTGTGCATGCCAGCTGATTTTGTAAATAATAACATGGTTCAGAAGTAGACATTTTTCAAGAGGACATCAATGACAACCTGGAGAACAATCTTGTTTTGACAATGAACAAAAGCTGTGTTGATCCAGGCTAGTGTACATCTACATGACTGATTCATATTCATGTACTCATGTTCTGACCAACTCTTGTACCACCTCAGAAACGCCTGGAGCAGAAACCCGGTTCAGTCAACGCCACCCCAACGGGGACTCCAGGAACTCCTGCTGCCCCGCCCAAAGTCATCGTCGGTTCACTGTCGGGTCAGGGTACCCCCACCACCAAGGTGGTACTGTCCTCCAAGATGGGCACCCCGGTTACATTCCAGCAGAACAAAAACTTCCAGCAGTCGTTTGCCACCTGGGTCAAGCAGGGCCAGAGCACACAAGGTAGAAACATGGCCAGAGAGATACACATTTCAACAGGCTAGTCTTGACAGGGTTTTTCAACTTGGGTGTTTAAGTTGGGCTTCAATTATGTTGGATATGAGTGTAAATAAAAATATCAGATTTTCTGTTTAGTGCTTTTGGAGGTGTATTAAGAGTTTTGATTTGAGTTCTTGTTATCAAAGGTTATTAAAAGTTGGGATATTATCGGATTCAATACTTAGAAATCCCAATCATACTCCCCACATGTACGATATCAAACTCCAACATATCAGTTTTGCTCCTTTTTTTCTTTTCTCGTACATTTAATGTCAATATCAGTCAGTTGTGCGTTATGCAATAAGAATAAAGGAGTTCTGTCCTTTCTGTTACTTTTATAAGGAACGGGCAGCGAGACCACTGTGGCTACATCAGGGGGACACACCTTCCAGATTACGGGAACCTCAGTGGGTGGAAAGGTGGTGACCACCAAGCTGCCGCTACCAGCCAACAGCAAAATCGTCACGGTCAACGTGCCAACTTCACAAGGAGGTATGGGCAGTTTTAATGAGTCTCACCTTTAGAGGCAGGTGGAGAGTGGAGGTTACACACAGTAAATCCATCGAAGGCTTTTCTTTTTCCAGCCCCAGCAGTTTTGGGATGCTTGTTTGTTTATGTTTTCATTCCTTCACCTCAGACCCACAGCTCAGACATTCGAAAGGAGTAAAAATTAGTCTGGCTCGTTGATTGGATACTATTGTAAGCACTTTGGTGTGCTAACCATGTGCACGGTGCTTCAGGAGAACTCGGTCTGTCTGCACTCATCTTAAGATGTTGTTGGTGGCCGCAAAACACTCTGGCTCAAACATTTTGAGTCAACAAATTAGACACAAATTAGACATTGGCCTGTCTCTGTCATCGAGCCAAGAACACATGTAAATGCCCACAGACTTGAAGAAATCTATGACTAAAGTGTTCAGATGCTGGTTTCAGCAGTTTGTGTCTGATCGATCACAGAGCTGTAATTGCAAATTTCATCCCAGTCCTAATGCAGCCGTAGTTTTTGCACCCTTAGATTTCATGCTCTTAAAGTTGTTTATTTGTTAGGTCTGGTTTCAGTTTGTCTTGGATGATGCTTTATTATTGGCAATGCTGGAGGTCAAATCTGGAACATTCTGCTTTATTATTTAACTGAATTCTAGGATAAAGGAAAGCTCCTCTGAGGAGTTTTTGACAGGTGATGAAACAGACCAAATGAAATGAGACCATCACTAATGGGTTACAGAACTTTTTTTATTATAATTTATGATATAATATTTACCATCTGTAGTGGCCGTGATGGAAACAGCTCTTGTTACTTTTCCACTGCAAATATTAACAGTAAAAAGAGCAGGTGGAGATTTATTGTCAATGTACACTGCTTCCATAAGGACAAGGCAAACCCACTTAATCCACTGGGGGTGCCAAAACCAACACAGACAGAAGAACCTTATAGAAGCTTTAAATACAACCCACCATATAATAACAGTGGACCACATAACTTTGTGTATAGAGATGTTAAAAATATGAACAAAGCTCTCGTTCTCCTCAGCTCTGCAGTGACTTCTTTCGGTACATTGTTCTGGGATTCACAGTTATTGACCTGATAAAAGGCAGCAGATAGATGTGGATAGGGTGTTTTGTTTCTCTAAACTTTAGCTTCATCAGGTTCCAGCTGAAAAAAAAAAAACACTGAACATGTGTTACTACTGCTAAACCAGCCGGTAGCTCATTGTGGTTTGTGTCACCGTGCTACCAAACCCATTGTGGTACCTCCATGTGCTTAACCTCATGAGTCTGCATGAGTTTGATGTGCATGCTGTCTGCTGGCCCTGTAGTCATGGTTATCCATTAGAAATCTGTTATTTTGGTCGGATGATTTTATGCATGGTGGACTTGTGTAGTCTGAGGTTCTCAATCCAGACCGAGGGTTCAGGATGTACTATCTTATTTTGGGTACTTTTGAACTTTTCAAAATGTCAGTGTTGACACAGAAGATGAGTCAATGGTTCATGCCGGGCGTCATCTGGATCTGGCCCGTCTGCAGTCCCGCCTTGCTGTTGGATGATGGATTTTGCTGAACACTCTGTAGAGGTGGACCGTCATGTTGAGATTGTTGATGCATAGAGTCGATCATCTTCCTGTGGATGATACTGGTCGGATATCCCTTTCAGAAAATCAGTCACCTGTGTACAGAGCCAGCCCAAGCCTCAATGAGGCCCTATGCAAAATTTGATTTTGGGGCCCTCTTTTTCTGCCAATAATATTGATTGTTGATCATTCACACACCTTTAGAAATCTCTGATTAACATTCCATGACATGCAAACATACCTTTATCTTGGCGTTTTTTTCTCTTCTTCCTCTTTCTTTTCTCTGCTCCTGAAGGATATGTCCTTTTTTGCGACACTGTTTTGCCCCACAACTACCTGTGCTTTGGATGCTCAGTGCACATTGTTCAGCAGGAGGCACATTACAGTAGCGGAGCTTTGACGTATCGGCAGTAAGAATCATAGGCCTACATCAGCAGCAGCACTAAAATGTTCTTACTTTATTTTATTTTTACAATAATATATATTTGATCATACAGAAAGCATCACTCAGACATGCAAAAAAATAAAAAAAAACCCATTTATTTACTTATTTATTTAGATGGCTTTTGGGGGCCCCCTACTGGCCGCGGGGCCCTACGCAGGCGCTTAGTTCGCTTATGCCTTGGGCCGCCTCTGCCTGTGTACATGCTGTATACACTGGATGTTACGGCTGTAAAGGCCTAATCGATTGGTCGACTTTTTGCTCGATACGTGCTGAGTCGACCAAAATTCTGATAGCTCGACTCGATTTGTTCCCGCGTCAATTTACAGTCTGTGGTTAAGTCCATCAAGAGGAACGTACCAAGTGCTAATGGGGGTGATTTCAGAGCCCCTTACTTTCACAGGTTGCGGTCTGTCTCAGAACACCCCCCTTGTTTTTGCCATTTTGGATTCGCCCAACCCACTGGCGACTGGAAGATTGGAGCACGTCCATGCTTATCAACGTCCGGTGGTTTGATGAATATTTATTTTTCTTTTCAACTTGCCTTTTAATAACTTTGAATAAGTATTTAATTGTCTATTTGTGCTGATATCAGTGAATTTTCATCCCGCCAAACAGCGTCGTCCCCCGCCATAGAAGCATTTGCCGTCAGAGCCAGGAACCCCCCACCTCCCCCACCCCACCCCAATTAATCGATTTTGGTCGAAAATTTCAGGGTTTTAGTCGACCAAGAATTTCTCTGGTTGATGACAGCCCTGCTGGATGTTTTCTTTTAGTGTTATTTAAGGTAAAAATGAGCCTCAGTGCAAAGCAGCACTAAAAAGTAGGGTAAGACTACTTAATTATAACGAGCTTTCCATGCTGTATCAACATGTTAGTGGACTTGAAAATACAGGAAAGGAACAACAGAAGTCTGAAAGTTAATTTTTAAACACCATGTCATTTAAACAGCATTTCAGTATACAGTGAATGTATTGTTAAAGGCGGTCAAGCTTTTATAGAACATTTCAATCACCAGTTAGAGAGAATTATATCCATCGGAGGCTACAGAGGAAGTGATTTTTCTTACCTTTGAAATTGCCACGAAGGAGAAACTTAGTTCAGGAGGAGTGCAACCATTTAAGAGACATGTGTATTTATCCAGCATGACTGTTGGACGCCCTGTTTGTTTTGGAAGGCCTTAAGGAAGTTAGGAAGGAAAACAAGTTTACTCTGAGGTCTGCTTCCCAGACAGGTAGCCCTCTATAGCAAGATTCCATGTTTCTTTTTTTCCTTCTCGTCTTTTTGAATGAAAGTGTACCCCTCCACTCACCGGAGTCCCAACTCCAAACAGCCTGTTCATAGAAAAGCATGTTTGATGTGTGTGACTAGCGCAGCTACTCCCCTGGTCTTACAACGTCCCTGTTTGAAGAGGGAAACCCTTGATGTATAGGTTTACCTGCTCGGTTGCGGTCGAAAAACCACAGAAAGAAGGCAAAAGGCAGCAGCGGAGGAAAAAGCGCGACAGTCATGGTTTCCATTTCTGCCACTGGCTTCACGTGAGCTCATTAAGGCACAGAGCTGGGTGAACAAACATGAAACACTCCCTTTGTCAGATTAAGGTTCAAAAGTAGGATCTGATTCATGCATAATTTATGAGAGGGTCAGGTTTGTTGAAGGAAATCAGTGAGTCTTTGAAGATGTTGTTTACCTGCTCAGCTAATATTTACCATTGCTGTGATCAAAAGCTGGCCATCTAACATAGAGAGAGAGAGCGCTGCAAATAATGTATGAAACGCGTCAGTGAAGGACTTCTGTATAACTGCAGCTTATAACATGCACACATGTAAGCTCAGCTTCACATCAGTAATCGTGTGAAGGATTTTCAGATTTTGGTGGATGTTTGATGTACTAAGTAGGTGTGTTTGATACCTCTCCAAATATGAGGTTACAACAGCTTTAGCTCACACGTCTGTTTCTATCAAGTTTAAAACTACTAGGGGTGGGAATCACTAGTTGCCCCACGGAAAGAAATTATCATGATACATGGACCATGATACAATATTATCACGATACTTAGGCCACGATACAAGATTATCACAATACATGGGCCACGATACAGTATTATCATGATACATGGGCCATGATACAGTATTATCATGATACATGGGCCACGATACAGGATTATCACGATACATGGGCCACGATACAATATTATCATGATACATGGGCCATGATACAGTATTATCATGATACATGGGCCATGATACAGTATTATCACGATACATGGGCCATGATACAGTATTATCACGATACATGGGCCATGATACAATATTATCATGATACTTGGGCCACGATACAATATAATTGCGATTTTTAACATTTTGCAATACAGTTATTGTTGTGATACAATATACTGTGATTTATACATTTTTTCAACTGTTAAGCTAACTTAGCATTCGTCTTTCCTTTATTTTTGTCTTATTTATGAAGTGTTTTATTTTCATGTAGCACTTCTTGCAAACCTTATATATTTATTTGCTGTACTAACTTTCTCCTGCTTTATAATGTTCCCATTATCATAGATTTGACTTCCTCTTAGCAGTTAACTTGAAAATTTGATACTTAGTCAATGAGACAATATATCACCAGACAAAATATCGCAATACTATGCTGTATCGATTTTTTTCTCCCACCCCTAAAAACTACATTCTCCATCTTGTCCCTGTTTTTTCATATCTCTTCATTTGTGTCTTGTATCTCTCTTTTTCACCTTTCTCTGCAGGTGTGGTTCATCAGAAAGTGTTGGGTATCATTCCGTCGAGTACATCAGGCGGTGCCCAGACCTACACCACATTCCAGCCCCGCACCACCACACTCAACATCAGGCCAAATACCCCAGGATCCCAGCAGCAGGTATGTCTGCCTCCTCCCTGCTTGGAAGTATGCATAAGACTGGTGCCATTTTTGCTTTAGCTATATTATCTCTTCTACTCTTGTGCTGTTCACACTTTACAGAGGTGACACAGCAAATTTTTACAATATTTCTCTTCAAATCAGCTCCACTTAGCCCCGGTGTACCCCTCTTTTTCAAACAGCTCTTTTTTTTGTCAACAATGTCAACTGTACAACCATGCAGTGGCAACTTGGGGAAGTAAAAATAAAATGTAATAGAATAATAAAATAATAAATGGAGGTGGGGTCACCACTCATGTTTCAGCTTTTTCCACTGTCTATTAGGTCTGTTGAGTATTAGACCCTTCTTTATTCATTTACACAGTCCATTTGTGCCACTGTTGGTCTAGAATCTTTCACACGGCTTTGAAGCAATAAAGAAAATATGCCATCTTTAAGGAATTATCTCTCTGAAAATGTCTTTGTAGGTTCTGGCAGCAGGTACTCAGATCCGTCCAGGAATGACAGTAATCCGGACACCGATCCAACAGACCGGACCAATGGGAAAGACAATACTCCGCACTCCTCTTGTGATCCAGCCGGGTAATATAGTATTCATGAGTGTTTGAGCTCTTTTCTGTTGCACAAAACTCCCTTCCTGTAGAGAGAGTGTGTGTTTTACAGCTCTATACTGACTGTGTCTTTACTTTTCTATCTCACCCCTTTTTGTTCCAGGTCAGGGTGGCCAGCAAGTGGTGACACAGATCCTCCGTGGCCAGACAGTTTCCACAGCTATACCAGGCGCCAGCCCTGTCACTGCCGTCACAGGTCAGGGGTCAGCCAGCCCCACCGTAGGAGGGCAGGCTGCTGGCCAAACACCAACTGGCACCCCACGAGCACAGGGGCAAGGCCAGGTCAAACTCACCATGGCGCAGCTCACCCAGCTCACACAGGTTAGAGAAAAAGACACCAGAAAGTGATGATCTAGTGAGACTTTTAATAGAATTTGGTCAGGATTGTTTTTTGTTATGTTTTGATAATAAGACTCCAAAAACAAACAGACACAAAAAGAGTTTGGACGAAGAAAAACATGAGTAAGATCATTGATGAACTGATCAGTAATTGTTTTTGGTATCAAAATCCAAATATTTACAGCTTATATGACAAAGTGTTATGATAAAAATGACTCGCCCACACAGAAACTCCAACTCAAAGTTATGTCCCTAATTTTAACATTTCAGAGTTAATTTTGTGTTAAAGGAAATGTTGGTTACAGGAAGTGTCAAGAGACGAAAACTCTGAAACAAAAACAAACTAGATGCGTTTGGCGTGACATGCAAATGGCCGTAATGGGCCAAAAACAGCGGAATAACTCTTTAACCGTGCATCTAAGAAAAAAGTCCAAGAGCCTAACAACAAATATCTCGTTGGGATACACATCTCTGTGAAATTTCAGGCAGATCGGAAAAGTCGACGTTCATGGCGCTCTGTAGGGGGCACTAGCGAGCCATTTCTTTTGGCTTTTGCTTTTTTTGGGTCACTTTAAAACTTTGCGATTTTCACTGGGCCCGACCTGCCTCAAATTTTCGTCAGTTTTCAAAATCGTTTAGGGGGTCACATTTGCGTTTTCGGAGGCTGTAAAATAACAATAATCGAGAACTCCTTGGGTTTCAGTAGGGCTTTGCTGTCGGCTCGGGCCCTAAAAATTTTAAAGCCTGGACTCCAAAAAGACACACACAGCCCATCAGTCTAACTAATCAAGTAATTAAATGTTGAAGGAGCACTGGATTGGTTGCACAGGACTTCAGTAAAGTTTAAAAGGAAGAGCATTTTCACTCATTTGATTTAAGTCTTCATGAAATGCATCCATCACCACTGGTATTTTGTAATAGAAGAGACTTTAAAATGTGTTTCACGGACTAAAAAGTCTTCCGCTCTCTTCCCTCCCTTCTTTAGAAGCAGCAGGCAGGCTCAGGTGTGGAGCGGCAGGCCAGTGTGGGTGGAGCCCAACAGGCTCTGACGGTGATGGTTCAAGGTCAGGGCCAGACCACAGGTCAGCTGCAGGTAATACCTCAAGGCGTCACTGTCATCCCAGGACCCGGGCAGCAGCTCATGCAGGCGACTCTGCCCAACGGACAGGTGCAGCGCTTCCTCTTCACCCCCTTGACGTCTGCCGCCACACCCACATCAAGCACAGGTACGATAAGAAAAACAGTAAAAGAGGCATGTTGTATACCTTAATTCAATATCATTAACTACGACAGATTAATTAACCAAGGCTTTGAGTTCTACCCTTATATGTTCATGTGCACCACTCTCATCTCTCTCCAGCCACCCATCCAAACTCCACCTCCACCAAAACGCCAGTCCAGCAGGCTGCAGCACCCATCCAGGCTGGGGCTACCCCCTTGGCCACCACCAGCACCCCTTCCTCAGCTACACCACAAAGCCAGTTACCCAATCAAACCCAGGCTCACATGCCCATCCAGTCTCCCACCTCGCTGCAGGTTAAAACACAGGGGGGAACCGCCCAGTTGCAACTGCAGCAGTCACCCCAGCTCATCAGCATGTCTGGACTGCAGCAGCAGGTACAGGTATGATTAGGTACAGGGATGCATTTTGAATGACAGAGCTGCATATGTTAATATTAGCAGCTGGACATAAGATGGTCTTTTGTCTACTAAGGGGGTTAACTTCTATGAACTACTAATTCACTCAGCCAGGCTATTTGTAAGGTGGTGTCCTTGTAAGATAGAGGTGCCTGTAACATATCAGACTTTGATCTGTTTCATTAAGTAGAAGTTGCATTAAAAGACCCTTGGTTAAATGTGTATCGTCTGTGTTGTGTCTGTAGGTGTTGGCTCAGCTGCAGGCCCAGCAGGCCGGAGGCTCCCTGCCACAGCACATCAAATTGCAGCTTCCAATCCAGATACAACAGACCGGGACCACCTCAGCTCAGGGAGGACAGGTAGTGCAACAAGTTTTGATTTCCAGAGGCCTCGTTAGGGCAGTATGTATCATCAGTTCAACTAGATAGGAAAAATAAGAAGATTCAGAATGATCAACACACCTCTACTTTAACTGGAGCACAGCTTTCTCTTCATCTTGCAACTTAACAATACTACTTAAACCCCAATACTACTTAAACCTGCTTAAAAGGCATCTTCAGATCAGAAATGGTTAAAATACAGAGTGTGTCGTTTGAAGCTCAGTTAACTTTCACCTCAATAATGATTTTAGATTGGATTTTCTAAAATTTTGTGTGTCTTGTTGCACTTTTCTGTCTTCATAGATTGGGAACGTCGTGACCATCCAGGCAGCTTCAGTCCAGGAGCAGCTGCAGAGGATCCAGCAGCTCAGAGAACAGCAACAACAGAAGAAGAGACAAGCAGCAGAGGCCAAGAGGGAGCAAGCCCTCAACACAGCCAGCCAAAGCGACATCATTCAGAAACAGGCATGTTTGTGTGTGGGTGTGGGTGTGTGCGTGTGGTTGGGGCACCCATCAAAATTCAATAAGTCAACCACGTCAGTCCAAGGCTAACCCTTTTACTGCCATCAATACTGAAACTGTGGTCTTCCTCATCTTTTCACTGAGGCTGTGTTTATTCTATCAGTTTATTTTGCCAGTCTGTGTTTTTTCACCTGTCTCTGAATGTATCTAACATACAATACTCTACTCCCTGGTCATATATGAACAATATTTCAATTTTTGTTTCAGGTGGTGATGAAACAAAACGCTGCTATCGAGCATCTGAAGCAGAAGAAGACCATGACGCCAGCAGAGAGAGAAGAGAACCAGAGGTTTGTGTTTGAAATCATTGGGGAAGCACACACTCTGTTTGATGGAGGATGTAGGTTTTTTTTTTTTTTTTTTTTGTGAGTCCATGTCGGGATCTTATGGATTTGCAATATTGTGGCTCTGGCAGTCTGTACATCGTGCTCCTCTCTGACACCGTGTTGGGAGCATGAGAACATTTGGGTGTGTGGCCAACGACAGCTGCATGTTCTCACTGCAAACAAGACACAAAGACAAAACGATTATAAATGAAGGGAGTTGTTCAATAAATTCACACAAGACTCTTCAAACCCAACAATGATTTAAAAGGAAACTTCAATAAAGAAGTCTTTCATCTTTTTTTCTAACAAAACAGCCCGACTTTGTTACTTGAATCTTCGCTATAGTTTCAAGTTCGAGGTGTTGTCACACACAGATGGTTTGCTTTACCCCAGTATCACATCTGTAACTGATACCAAGGTTGTTTTAGTGCTATTTTATCAAGAGCTGAAACATCTTCAATCGTCGTTTCATGGAAAGCTTTGACCAAAAGTCGACTTTTTTAAGAGTGTTTGCACACTTTACCTGAAAGAAAGTAAGATATTAGTCTCAAAGTGAAATATGGACTTGCATCGCTTTAAAAACAAAATCAAGCTCCATAAGTAAAAGTCAAAGTTCTGAAGTATGTAGAAAGATTTTCCTTTCATTCTCCAGTTTTACACGGTATGGACTGGACTATACTCTGACCTACAGATGACCCTGACAACCATGTGTTTATGTCCACAGACGGTGTGTCAACACTGTACCCATTCACACAAACCTGAAATACCAAACCCAGACGACCGTGACATCACAGCAGCTCCGTCTGTTGTCTGTCTCGCTGCTTATTTTTCATCCTTTTTTCCATTTCTTCATGTCATCCTTTTCTCCTGCTTTTCCTCCAAAACACTTCCCCGTAACCTCAGCCTGTGACATCAGGTCGCATGTGTTTGCATGTCCTGTTGCGTTCGCGCTGTTCGCCGCCACACTGCATTTACACTTCGTAGGAATCTCTTGGCCCGTCTTCGACCTCGGCAGTCACGGATGTGCCAGTGTGTGCTGTTCCCACAAACGATCAACTGCCAAGCAGCACGGTCCTGAACAAGAAGTCCCCGTTTTCTATCTTAGTTGTGAATGTTAACACACACAAGTGAACATACTGGCATGATTGAGCTATAAACTAGTGCAACCTGCAGGAATACCTTTGCATTCAGTTTTGATAAGACATTTTCTGACTTTCTTTTTGCTTCATATATAAATATCTGTTTTTTTATATGACTGTTGCAGTGTGTAGAATTGAGATGCAAATTTAAAGAATCCTCTGTGATGCATTTTTGGAAATATTAATGATCGTATAAAAGAAATTTACATCTGATATGGATATAAGGGACAGTTTACAAAGCTACAGCGCTATGAAAGAATACATGTTTTTAAAGGGATAGTCTGCCGTAAAATTAATTTAGGGTCAAACTCACCGCAACACTGAGTTAGACCCCCCCCCCCCCCCCCCCCAGAGATGAATGTTGCCGACTGCTTGCTTCTCTAGTTATACCAACTTTAGTAACGACCGCACGATAGCAATACACAGTGTTCCGAGGAGCCATAAACAAACCTCAACCAAAAAGCCACTCTATAGCCACAAATAATGCTCAGAACAACAACTAACTTCATCAACAATACATATAGGGTCCTAGCCATAGTACTAGCCATCAAACATCTCTTTAACTTTGCCTAATTTCTTTAGCAAAGAGACTAAACACAACTCACCTACTCTCTTCCAGCAGCTGCTTGTTTGTATGGAGACCTTGGGCCAGTCCCCCCCTAAAAAGTTCTCGTTTGTCTTACTTAAATTATTGGCTGATGTTGTATAAAAGATGCATTTCCTTCGCTTTAAACCTAAAACTCCTCCTTGATAACTCGATATAAAATGAAACCACACATTTGTTTATTAGCAGAAGATTGATCAATTATAGGATCAATGAATTTAGAGTATCGATAAGTGCTAACATCCCCAGTGTAGAAGTCGACCCATGGAATTTGCATTTAGATCAGCTCAATTGAGCTCATATTTCCCTCCCTCATCCCGTGTGTTTACAAGAGCAGCAGAACTTCCCAGTCATCCTCTATCTGTCCATCTGTCACCATTCACTTCACTTCCCTGCCGCTGAAGCTGAGCCTCACACAAATAAACTCTGGACAAGTCAATAACTCTCTAACATCTGTAAAACACATGATTTAAGAAACACTACATTCTTCTCACAGGGGAGGATGACAAAACTGCATTGCTTTTTGCTTCATGTTCACAGAAGTCTGACCAAAGTTTTCTCACTTATTTGATTCTAATGTTAAGGAAAGCAAACGGTGAACTATCAGAGGGTTTAGCTTTTGCATTTCCCTTTGTTTCACACTCCACAGCGGAGGAAGGAGAGATCTGGGGTCCGATAATGATGAGATTCAAATACATGACTTTGTTATTAACAAGCTTACACAACTGAACCACCGGAGTGCCTGGAGTTCTTGAATAGAGAGAAATGCTTCATTGTTCACTAACACGCAATCATTTCTTACATGTGGAAAGCAGGTTTTTTGTTTTTTTGTCTGTTTGTTTGTTGTTTAGCCAACAGACATGCAGGTTGTGCTCTCTGAAACATTGACGCATTGTTTCTCCACTCTGGCCTGTTAGTGTGTCAGAGGGATTACTTTCTTCCTCTGTGACTTTCTGAATTCAAGATCCAGGTTCATGATAATCCTTTCCTCTCAGCAAGAGAGTCGTGAATATCCAGGGCCTACAAAATTCTGCGAAAAGGCCACAACACCTCTCACATGGGTCTTCATTAGGGCCATTTTCCGGGACTTAATTTTGACCTTTAGTATATACAGAGCTTTCCTGTCCTATAAAATGTGCTTTCACTATCCTTGTGAATTTTTACGGTCAGGAAGAGAGGAGCCTGAAAATAACTAGGGGTGTTCCAACAAGGGTACCTCACAATTCATTTTGGATTATGAGAGCTTTGATTTTTCGATTATAATGATTTTCCATTCGATTATTGGTGCCACGATTTTCAGTTTATCGCCTAGCCCTAGCACCCACCTCTAAAATTAACCTCTTGTTATTTTTCTGTCTCTCAGGATGATTGTATGCAACCAGGTGATGAAGTTCATTCTGGACCGAATAGACAAGGATGAGAGGCAGGCAGCCAAAAGGAGGAAAAAGGAGGAGGTGGTGGAGGCAAAGAGGAGGCTGGCTAATGCCAGTAAACTCTCCTCGCTGCTTTACCGGCACAAGGAGAGTCTGAAGATGGAGATCCTGAAGAAGCGTGCTCTTCTGGACAAGGAGCTCCAGCTAGAGGCCCAGGTACGAAGAGATGAACCAAACAGCAGAAATATAAGGAGAGACAATAAATCAAGACTATTTACTTGGAATTATGAATAAAATGAGATGCTACATATACAAGTGTGCTCTAAACAAACTTTGTAACCGTTTGGTCTTGACATTATTCTTCTCAGGAGGAGCTAAAGAGGGACCTGTTGCGGATGCGGAGGGAGAAAGAGAAGGCTCAGGCTGCAGCCCACCAGGCCGCCCAGGCTGCAGCCGCCGCAGCCGCCGCCCACAACCAGCAGAAACACACGAACGTGCACGGCATCCCATCCCAACACCACCTCACCACGACCGTCACCTCCACACACAAGAGGAAACGTGAGGAGGAGAAGGAGGTCATGACGTCAGCGAAGTCCAAGAAGAAGAAGATGATCGTGACGACGAGCACGAAGGAGAGCAAGAAGGACACCAAGCTTTACTGCGTCTGCAAGACGCCCTACGATGAGACCAAGTATGATGAGGCTCTGCGCTCAAGACTGCATGTCATGTTTATAAATTTAACTTCCAGGTCAAATCAGACCATCCCTGAACTTTCCAAACAGCAGCTAATGACTGTTTAGTTTTTTGTGTTTTTAATTTATTGACATATAGTTTGTAAGACATTGTCTCGTGTCGTTCATCATTTGAAATGTCTCTTAATCTTTCTGCTTTCAAGGTTCTACATCGGTTGTGACCTTTGTACAAACTGGTATCACGGCGACTGTGTGGGCATCACAGAGAAGGAGGCCAAAAAGATGGACGACTACATCTGTGTGGAGTGTAAACGGGGCCAGGAGAGCAGCACAGAGGAGCTGTACTGTATCTGTCAGACGCCGTACGACGAGTCCCAGTAAGGAGTTTCAGGAGTTTTTGCATTTTTATTGAAACGAATCATCAGTGTTGTTGGTGTGAGTCCTATACGATGAATTACAGTTCAAAATTTAGGAGTGTAACGAGTCCATTGTGTCTCCACAGATTCTACATCGGCTGTGACCGCTGCCAGAACTGGTACCACGGTCGCTGTGTGGGTATCCTGCAGAGCGAGGCCAACCACATAGACGAATATGTGTGTCCACAGTGTCAGTCAACAGAGGACGCCATGACAGTGTTCACGCCGCTTACAGACAAGGATTATGAAGGCCTGAGGAGAACTCTGCGCTCTTTACAGGTAAACGGGAGCCTTAGTGTCATCCCAGCTGTGAAACACAAACATTACGGGTTTAAAAACATGTGTTACCTTCGTTTAATTTAACAGCAGCAGTCAAACTCAAAGCTGAAATCACAACAGTATATATATTCCCTTTTTTGCTAATTTTTGCTCTTTATTATTGCAAAATGACTGCAGAGATATGAGAGCGCTCTTCAGTAGCTGAAGCAGCTGTAGTGGTGATTTTATTGCATGAGATACCCTGAACACTAACGCTACCTCACTGCAGCGTAAGAGCAGCAAACAAAAGTCCTCTGTGTCCGTCTTATCTGATGGGTCCCGTTTCCCGGAGCGCTACTTGGATTATTGCCGAGCCTCAGCATTTTTTCCCTGCTTCCCACTTTTTTTTCTCTCCCTTCTTGTACCTCTCCTCTTTCTGTATTATTTTCTCCTCCTCTCTTGAGAGATCTCTGTGTTTGTGTGTGTGTGTGATGGATAGAAGTGGAGGAGAAAGCAGGAGAGAACATCTGTGTTGACCCACCTGTTTCCAGTGTCATTTTCAGGGTGCTGTTTGTTTTCTTTCATCGGTTTCAGCTGTCTCAAGTGTCTTGTCTCCCTCTTTATCTCTCCCCTCCCTCCTCTGCAGGCGCATAAAATGGCTTGGCCGTTCTTAGAACCGGTGGACACCAATGACGCCCCAGACTACTACAGGGTTATCAAGGAACCAATGGGTGAGTGGAGAAAATGAGGAAAAGTACACATCAAGTAAATACTGATAACAGGGGTTGTGATTGAAGGGGTGGGAATCACTAGTGGCTCCATGATATGATATTATCAGGATATTTGGGCCACGATACGATATGAGTATTGCGATACAATATATTGCAATTCATACAATTTTTCAACTGTTTAGCTAATTTAGCATTTGGCTTTCCTTTTTGTTTGACTTATTTATGCTGTATTTTATTTTCATGTAGCAGTTCTTGCAAACCTCATATATATATTTGTTGTACTAACTTTCTCCTGCTCTATGATGTCACCTCTGCCAACCTCACTGGACAAACAGTTGATTTTATTTTTCCATTCTCATAGATTTGACTTACTTTGTACTTTGACTTCATGATAGCAATTAAGATGAAACATCAATTCTTGGTCAATGAAGCGATAGGATATATCACCAGACAAAGTATCGCAATACTACGCTGTATCAATTCTTTCTCCCACCCCTTTGATTGAACATCTTTTAAGTCCCACTCTGATCTTTTTTTTTTGAACACTTGAAGTGTTCTCAGTGGTCTTTAAGTTGTGACTATAAGTTTTTAGCCAAAATCACGTTACCTGTGTCATTTTCAAGGGTTTTTCCTCTGCAGAGCTCCAGTAGCTCATTAGCAATTCACTTCTGAGTCGTTGGTGGAGACAGCGCTGCTTTGCTCATTCGTCTTCATGCTAGCTTGCAGCCTAACATTGCTGGTGTAATAGAAGTGGCAGGTAACATAGGAGCTATTCAGCTCTCAGACACTAATGTCTTTAGGGACATGATGAAAGTTAATATTATAATTAGCTTTCTTGAGAGCATTGCAATCCGCTAATGCACACGCTTGTACCACGATCATCCTCTCTACTTTTTAGAGTCTGGCTTGCATAGTGGGGCTCTGGGGGCGGAGCTTGGATTTGTGACATAGGAAATCTCACTAAATCTGAAACTGCCGTTTGGGTCTGCCAGAGATGCACAGCGATTTGAATCCAGAAATACTCAGAAATGCAGTTTCCCACTTAGTTTTCTCATGATATATTCTGTAACATCAGAAAAATACCATATAAACATGTAAAAAAAACAAGAAAACACGATTTTCATCGGAGTGGGTCTTTAAGTAATGTCAGTAATCAATAATTAAAGCCATTTTGCACCATTTTAGAACACAGCTGCTCCTTTTTCCTCTCGTTCATATTTGTAATATGGTTCTGTAACCTGAGCAGACTTGCACGTGTGCACAGTCCCATACAGCTGGTAGAGAAATGCAGGTTGATGGTAAACAAGAGGAAAGAAAAAGCAACCATTGCAACCACTCACGTTGCATTTGAATCTCCTGCACCAACCGTGTTGATTCCACAGAAATTGTGCTCAAGACTAACTCTTTGCATTTTTGTGGCTCTCTAGGAGAAAGAAAACAGATTAGTGTAATCAGTAAAGGCCCACTTCTGAATCCCAGAGACACGGATCAGATCCTCGCTGAGTTTCTGCGTTTGCCTCAGTAATGTTGTTTTCATTTCATAACCCGCCTCAGGCATAACGAAGCTGCAACCTCTCAGTGAAAGTAACACCCAGTCTCTATATCTTCAGCACTAAAGCAGCCACCAGGAGGCCAGCAGAGAGGAAGCCCTCCAACTCAGATCAAACTGGCCATGTAAATGGGGACTTACATCAACAGGGCCTTTTTGAACTTCCATACAAACAAACCGTTAATGAGCTGCCCGGGGCCTGCAGGGCTCCCTGTGGAAAGGGACCAGCTCCACACTTAGCTCCTGTTGGCCTGGTACTGGAAACTCAAGTCCTCCCTTTTCCCCCTCCAATTCAAGAAAGAGACCCTCTTGGTTTTCAGGAAAAAAAAAAAGTTTTAAAAAGGAGCATTTGGCTGGTGTAGCAGCAGCAGCCGTTGGTAGTTTTTGGAGGGTTTTGAGATGAAATCTGATGACGGAGAAGAAGGAGGTCTTTGATATTGACCGTGAGGTTTGTAAGCCCCGGGGCAGCTGTTATGAGTCGGATATGTTTGTTTTAACGCAGCCCAAAGGACGCTGTGGAGAGTAAACCACCGGCAGCAGCAGCAGCAGATTATTTGAAACCTATGCTGCTTCCAGTTAGCTCGTTAACTAACTCAGTCCTCTTCGTTAGATTTTGACTATTACTCAACCGTGAAATCTGAATCTGAGGCCTAGGAGTGGTTGAGACTCAACACTTATAATGACGCTCCCCTCAGGAATGACGGATAAGCCAGATCTCAGTGACAAATCTGGACGCTGCAGATCGAGGTCAAAGCTGGAAAGGTTTCCAGATTTTTGTTGTCACATAAAAAGTGATGAACGGTGCCGCCAGGAAACATATTTAATCATTTGTCAAACACATTTCACATAAACTGCAATTATTACATCTGATATTTGGAAATATATCTGATTCGAGTGCATGTGTGATGTTTGAGTTTGCAATCAAACCATAGACTGTATATAGAATCGATGTTGCCTGCCTCCTTGCTGGGTGAAGCCACCGCGAGAACAGCACCCTCTGGTGACGGGCTGCAGTATAGGTCATAAATCCCGCCTCCTCCAGCAATCCCTATGGAGCTGTGGACAAACTTCAGAAATTTATTTCACAGAATATACATTTTTCTCCCCCCGGTTGCGATGTTGACATGTAATTACTGTAAGACTGGTTTGTGCTCAAGTCCTTTTTTTTCTGTACAGCTCCATTTTTAAAATTTATTAGGGGGTTCATGTTTTCTATGATTGGCACCTGATTCAGCCTATGGGTGTACAGAAGGTGAAACCAAGTTGTCCAAAGTATATACAGTCTATGAATCAAACATGATGTTTTAATATGTTTTCTGAATCCCCTTTTTTGCAGACCTTTCCACGATGGAGGAGAGGTTGCAGAAGCGTGAGTACGTCAAGCTGACAGAGTTTGTGGCGGACATGACCAAAATCTTTGACAACTGCCGCTACTACAACCCCAGTGACTCACCCTTTTACCAGTGTGCGGAGATTCTGGAGAACTTCTTTGTCCATAAACTCAAAGGCTTCAAAGCCAGCAGGTAAGAAGAGGAAGACTCTGATAATGAACTGATGATGAGGAGAGGAAACACAAGCAGGTGACTCCGACAAAAGTTGCTTCCAGGGTCATATACCCTCATGAGAAATAAGTCAGAAACTCCATCATTAGTGACTCCAGCTGTGCTGCTATGGAGCCGACTCTGACCTCTGACCCCTCTGGTGGTGGAGTAGACATAGTCCCTCCAACGAGACCAATAAAATGCAACTACATGCAATGTAAAATACTTTTCCATGCCTGGGGGCTTTTTTTGACTTCCTCTCTTTGAATTCTTATCATGTCACCATCTTGTGTTCCCTCGAAATGTTTACTGTGTTTAAAATAACTTCTCTTTATTGCACAGTCATGACTGAATGCCCACACAGCCAGCAGGTTTCAGGAACAAGCAGCATGAAACACTGACACTGATAAACCTCCTTCACCAAAACAGTTGTACAGACAAACATTTCAGGCTCTGTGTAGGAAGTATGAGCTTTACTGTTTCATGTTGCTGTTGTCTTCATCCAGCTGCATTTTCACCCAGTGTGAAATAAGACCACTTGCTGTGGGCATGTTATAAATACACAGTTACTGCTTAAAGGGACATTCCGGAGTAAATTTAAGTTATGGTCAACCACACCGTAACATCGAGTTAGATACCCCCTCGAGAGATAAATGTTGCCGACTGCTTGCTTCTCTAGTTATACCAACTTTAGTAACGACCGCACGATAGCAATACACAGTGATCTACGCCTCCACGTGCAAACCTCAACCACGGTGTGTTTGACCCTAGCTTTACGCTGGAATATCCCTTTAATGGCATGTATTGGAGTAATTAAATTTTGACCATTTAACCAGTCCTTTAAACTGTGTTTGATTTGTTTTTACATCGTTGTTTCTGCCTGTGCTGTAGTTTGTATTGATCTAGTCTTTGTTTGTTGAATGAGGATCGGTTCATAAGCCTTGGTAACTCCACTATCTTCCTCACCTCGATGCATCGCCATGGCTGTGTGATGGATTTGCTTTGCTTGGATGCAAACTACAAGATCTTAACCACAGGTTTATGTACAAATACACAACACAGTTGTTTAAGATGATCAAAAAATAGTGTCTGAACATTCAGTCTGAACTCCTCGGAAATCTTTCTAATTAACTAAGAAGTTTGTCATGTGATGTGAACAGATTCTTGATAACAGGGTCAGTGTTTCCGCCTCATCCAGCTCATCATCTGTAAAAGGACAGACCTGACCTCTGTGAGGATGAGAGTGAAGATGCGAACAAAGATGCAAAACAAGTGACACCTGCACAGAGCTGCAAACCTTTGTTTGCATACTCGCTAGGGCTGGGCAATATGGCCTGAAATCAATATCATGATATATTGAGCAGTTCACCTCGATAACGATAAATTTGTCTCCTTCGTCCAAAACCAACCTTTATTTATTTATTTATTTATTGGACACCAAATAAACCGATATGGGCAAAATGATTAGTGTTGTAAATTTCAGTATCGGTAAATTTTCGGTATATCGCCCAGCCCTAATACTCCCGTCAGGATATTGAATAGCGCAGCATGAATCAGTCCTTTAGGCCAAGCGGATAGTGTAAATGATGCACAGTTCTCATTCGATTCATACTCAAGTCTTGTTGTTTGCATCCAGTGTTATGTGGCTTTAACAGTGACATGCTTCACCTGCGTGTATTTACACCATCCATTCTCTTTTTCCCTTTCTCTCTCCCTCTGTCTTTCTCTCTCTCTCTCTCTGTCCCTCCCTCTCTCTCTGTCTCTCTCTCTTTTTCAGATTGTGATGTCAGACTCCTGGGTGCCGGGTCACTTTAAAACAAACAAAAACAACAATTCTCATCCCTCTAATTGGGCTGTTTTTACTTGTCAAAAAAAACAGCCTCAAAAACTTGTAAAAAGAAAAAAAAGTGCATATAATGATCCACACTTTTTATTTTTGGAACAAAAGAAAAAAAACGTTTCTACTGGCTAATTATGGCAGCCATGTTGGTAACACACAGCATTCAAGGGAAAAAGTATTTTCTTACACCTGTTGCCACAGATGACGGACGTTTTGTCGAGGTTTGAAAAGATCATGAAGTAGCTAAGTTTGTTCTCGTTTTTTGAGAGTCAGTTTTGTAAAAAATAAAGTAAAAATAAATAAAATAACTTTAAGCTACTGCTTGATTGTGAAATTGGACTTAGGTACAACACAAATTAAACTTCTTTTGAATTGGACAAAACAGTTGGTTATCCTCCCGGTAATAACATGCTGCAGCCGAAACATTTTTACCTCATTTCTTAGCCAAGAATTCAAAAAAAGCATGTTACATGTATTAGTTTATTTTTATTGGCTCTACCCATGTATATTGTTATTTTATGTGTATAATATATCTTTTTTGTGAAGGACTATTTTTATGTTATAAAGTAAATACTGGTAGGCTTGTAAAGATAGATTTGAGAAAACTGTAGTTAAACTCTCCACTTTGAGTACGTCTTTGTAAATACACTGTTGGGCTGACAACACAAAAAACAATTGGATCAAACTTCACCAACATGGCTGCTGGAGCTCTGTCAAATTGTCTGACCCACTGGCATCCTATCATTTGTTTCTGTTTTCCTTTTTTTTTTTTTGTATTTTTCACTAGTGCATATTTTGTCATATTGTAAAGCTTTTAATAAAAAAAAAAAAGAAATGAGATATTTTTCCAACTGTTTTTCTTCCTCCTCTTTTTACCCCGTCTCTTTAGGTCTCATAACAACAAACTACAATCATCAGCCTCTTAGCTCCCTCCTTATATCCAAGAGTCAAAAGGACAGGTCTTGTGGTTTCATCTGAATGATAAATCCCCATGATCCAAGTCCGGCTCAGCGCACTGCGGTGTGGGATCGCCCAACCTTCAGCGCCTTCATTACATTACTCAAGCCCCTTTTTCATACAAGTCCCACCTTCTGATCAGAGGCAGGACTGGTCACAGACTCAGCAGCCTTTTCCTCCCATCTATCAGAGAGGAGATCCAGATTATAAATGCTGATGATGAAGCTGATAAATTAGCTGGTTGGAGGTCATCTCAATGCTGCAGCAGACTCTTGTTTCAATTCTGTAGCTGATCACTTTTTTTCCCCATCTCTACTCAAAGTGTTCACTCTCCTTGACCAAATGCTGTCACATGCTGTCTGCTAAAGCTTGATCCAGTCCTCACGTTGGAAATGCTCATTCAGGTCCCCACACTTTTGTAGGTTTTCTGTAAAAGTCAACTGGACTTGGTGAAGTCCTTAGAGATGTTGCTTAAATCAGAAGAGAAGAAATTGACGGAGGAGAAGAGAAACATCTCCAAGAACGTAAACCAAGTGCCGTATTTTTCGCACTATAAGGCGCACCATCAATGAACGCGTCTATTCGCGTCTATATTCATACATAAGGCGCACCAGATTATAAAGCGCATGCCGAAAGGATTTTAAGTGCGCCTTATAGTGCGAAAAATACGGTAGTTGCCTTATGAGTTAAAATAACATCTATCCTGACCTGGATGACTCTGAACTTTTACAGAGATGTTCATACCTGGTTGTATCTTGTTCTTTATATGGAAAAACACTTTTTTTTTTACCCCACATGAAGAAACAATCTTATTGAATACGTACTCTTGACTCCATCTTTTCTGTAGCAGTGTCACCCCCCTGTTTGAGATTTAAGTCTAGTACCCCGGTGTACAGACCCACCAATCTCTTACTGTAAATCAGGAGAATCTATAGGTATTGAAAACCAGCCAAGAGATGAAACATTTCCACTGGATCAATATCTAACTACATAGATGTTTACACCCGTTCAGGGGGTTGTCATTCTGTCTGCGAACTGTGATATTTCCATGTTGATTTTCCTAAGGGAGACGCCCAGGTCAGGCCATCTCCCCCATCACCACATCCTGCCCCACCGCTGACTTTTTTTTTTCCATTTTATGTTCTGAAAATCAAGACTGGACTGCACACCAGCTCGGTGGTCTTTTTAAACTTGACGTTTTTTTTGAAAAATCAAGAACAAGGAGGTAGAAAACAAGGTGTTAGGTCTTTGGGAAAAAGTGAAACTTGTACGAGACTTACCTGACTCATCTGTACCGTGCTTTCCTCCATGCACACAGACTGTCTCGTCCGAGCTTTGTTTCTGTCATGGCTGAGTCTGTAAGTCTCTGTCCCCTTATCTATCAGCAAATTTTTCCTGCATATTTCATTAAAGTTGACAGTTTGGCTCACATATGTCTCTCAACTCACCCTCAAACCATGGTTTAGTAATTGGATAATGGTCTTTTCCACTTAGCATCCACTCAGTTATGTTGCGGTCTGCGGCAGCATGTCTCGGAGTAAACTTTGAGTGGGGACTGGGGAGTCTTTGTATGTCGGGGTTTGTATGAAAATTTTATAGCTGCATTTTTAGCATATTTGAGAACATTTTTGTAATCTGTGTTTATCCGTTTTGTAGGAGAGGCACGGTCATAAGACACACTTGTCTTCAAGTTTTTAAGAACTGTTCAAATTTGAGCAAATTTTTCGGTTTCAGTCCGTTTTTTTTTTTTTTTTTACTTTTGTGTGTAGCAGAGTTGAGAGATGATGTAGCTTCTGTCTCCTTTTCTGTTTGTGAGTCTGTCACACAAATGTCTGTCACTTTGTAATCTGATGACGATAATGATGATGATGTGTTTCATCCACTCTTTGTAATCTCAGTTGTATATTATGGCTGTCCAAATATGTAGAGATAAAGATTTTTAGAGCAGTCAAAACTTTTATTTTTCACTTTTCAAACCAGCAACTAAGCCCGCCTGTATATTTTAACTATTTTTTTCTCTGATAGAAGTGAACTCTACATTTAGGTGGAATCGCCCTTTTCATAAAAAGTGCTGCATATTGTGAGCATAAAGGTTTTGGACGGGGTAGATTGACACAGTTAACTCTTTTAAAAGAGTTTTTCTTGTTTTTGTAAGAAACAAACCAGTTCAACATAACTTCTATATTGACATTGCATTTCTTGTATTATTTATTCATATCAACAAACAGTTCTCAGTTTTTTGAGTAATGTTGAAGACAACGTAACTGCAGATGAAAGAAGTATTCTATGTTTTTAACGGATTGTGAAAACTCAGAAGAGATTCTCTTTTGTACTTGATAGGACATTTCATCCTAGGTAATAAAGTAATGTTTTTGACACCATTTTACAAAAGACTTGTGAGTTTTTTGGTTTGTCTTTCTTTACGTTCAGCATGTGTCGGATGAGCCCAACTGTAGATGACAGCTCTTCACATTCACCTTACGATATCATGAATCTCCAGAGACCACTTGATTTTACCCTTCAGCTCTGTACGAGAATTAAGATAGCGCCCATTCACCTTAATATTACAGCAATGAACCGGCCAGTGCAGGTTTTTTTTTACATGTTCATATGGCATTATTCTGATGCTACAGGACATATCATAAGAAAACTAAGTGCAAAATTACATTTCTGAGTATTTCTGCATTCAAATCACTGTGAATCTCTGTGAAACCCAAACAGCAGGTTCAGATACAGTGTGATTTCCTATGTCACAAATCTAAGCTCCGCCCTCGGAGCCCCGCCAGCAGGCCACACTCTTAGAAATAGAGAAGACGATTGCGGAAGAAGGGCATGGGTTAGCGGATCACAATGCTCGTAAGAAAGGTAATATTGATATTAACTTTACTCATGCCCCTAAAGACATTAGAAAAGCTCTTGAAAATGACACAAGTAACGTGATTTTGGCTAAAAACTTCATTATTAGAATTTAAAGATCACTGATAACACGCTAAATAGCAAAATAAAAACGATTGGGGTGGGACTTAAAAGCCTTTGACTTTGAGAGTCAAATGAGTTTATAAACTGTTTTTTAACATTGTCCACAGCTCCATAGGGATTGCTGGAGGAGGCGGGATTTATGACCTATACTGCAGCCCGTCAACAAAGGGTGCTGTTCTCGTGGTGACCTCACCTAGCGAGGAGGCAGACGGCGTCCATTCTAGTCTCTATGGTACCGACTTGAGGGATTTTGCTTTTTAACAGTGAGTTAGAAGTATGTCATTTCTGTGACGTACTTCTGTGCACGCCTCAAATGTCAGTGCCTTTGAAGGCTATTTTAACTTCACTTAATTACAGTTGGAGAGAATGGAGGTGCTGACAGCTCATGTTTTCACCTTAGACAATTAATCTGACCTTACATGACAAATTCTTCCCTCAACGTAACTCTTTAGGCATCAAACATTTCCTCCATGTTGGAACCAAAAGACCCGATCACAACCCCAAACACACTCGTATAAAATCTTCCTGTGATCAAATTACCAACATGATTCACAAAAGGTGACCTTTCACTCTCCTCACACACCCTTACCCCCCACTTAACGCTCCTAACTCTCCACTCAAACCACTAAATGAATCCAGAAGCTTGCACAGACGCCCAGAGCAGCGCAGATGACCACAACCCTCAAGTGGTTTCAATCCCCCATCCTTGCCTTCTTCTCTCACTCCCCCCTTGTGGCTTGGTGGCTATCACACAGGAAGCAACTAAGATATTACATCCTCCCTCCTCCTCTCTTCTCTTTTTCTCTCCTTCCTCTCCTTCCTTCTTCTCCTCTGCAACATCCTCCGTGATGAGGAATGTCCTCCCGCTGCGATAGTAGCCAAGATGAGGAGCAGGCTCCCGTTTCCTGCCCGCCTGCATCTGTTCCCTCCAGCTCTGATCCCAGATAGAGGCTTCCTCGAGCCTGGGAACTGATCAACCCAGCTGACAGACGTACAGAGGGGGGAGAAAAGAGGCTTAGCCCTGCCTGCCCCTACATCGAATTTCTCAAGTCAGTCCCTCTTCCCGCAGGCCAGACAGAGACCATGGTTGTTAAAGTCTAATTAGAGTGTCTTACTTTAGGGGCCCCTTCTCATGCATTCACTGGGATTGGTAATGAAGATCAATGTTCAGTCAGTGGGCAGCTGAATGTGATAGCGTGAGCGAGTAAAGTATGGTTTGCGCACAAATAAAAAATTCCCACAGGCTCAAAAAGTCGGAAACATATTTACATTTTTATTGGGGCCATGTATGGCAAAGCAGTCAGTGCAAATATTTTCCCATTTCTAAGAAGCATCAAATCAAGGTTGTAGTACAATACAGCCAGAGGCTTTTTTTCATTAAATAAAAAGCTGTCCCTTAGGGAGGACAAGCCTCTCCTCTTTTAATCCCCTCACTGTGTCATTTTACGTAACCCTCTTTTATTTTCTTTCGACCTTGCCCACGCCTTCCGCTTTCTCCGATCCTCCCTTCATACTTTAAATATCCCCTTTTTTAGCTTTGACCCACACAGAGGAGAGAGTGTTGTTGAATAAGCAAGAAAACAAGAGAGTAAAGGAGGCATTTTCCCAAGTCAAATGCCCAGGTGTGCAGTAAATCTGATTCCTGCGATTGGATTTACGGCAAAGTTCCTACAATAACATCCCTCCTCCTTGTTCAGTGAGGCATCTTTTGATGTTCCCCTCTACTCAGACGAATATTTCATCCTGGACACATAATTAAAGTTTGGAAATAAGTTGCTCTAATGTCAAGCAAATGTGCTCTCTCTTCCCTTTTTCACTCCTCCTCCTCTTCACTAAGATTTTTTCAGGCCCTTCATTCCCTCCCTTTGGTCCTTGGAACAATAAAAGTGCATTTCCTGCTAACCAAAAACAACCGCAGTGACAACATGTACAGAATTTGGGTGTTAGGAGACAATTACTATTCAGTGCAAAACGACATCATGTAATTAAATTAATTTAGATGCATAATCTAATAATAATTAAAGGAACCTCAGGATTGAAATGATGGATTTCAGGGATCCTGCGTGATCCTTCAAAATGTACCAGGCAAGATTAGCTGCTTGGGTTTTATATGCACTCACTCTCAGTCTGTGATTAAACCTGTATCATTGCAATTTACCTCTAAGGCAGAGAATTTTTACTTTTTTTGGTTTTCATGAACCAGCCATTAACTAATAAAGAGTTGAATCGAGTGGCTAGTTTAAGATTTGAATAGAGGGGCTGATGGAGCTAAAATCTATTTAATTTAAAGCCATTTAAGTTTCCTTGCAAAGAACAAAACAAATGAATAAACAGAAAAACCCAAATAATGACGTATCAAAGCAGTCCATAAGAAAATACATCCATGTCTTCTGTGAAATACAATACTGAAGGGTAACTTAGGAACAGTTCCGGCTGCAATGTCTCTTCCCCTGCAGCAGGGGAGCCACAGTCTTATCTTTAGTTCACCTACACTTGGAGCGGGTGGCTTCCAAGGCCTTCTGATGCCTCCGTTTGTTGAATCTCTTTACGTAGTTATTGCTCCTCAGGAGGCCGTCTCCAGGCTTCAGTTTACCCCCCAGGAGGTTCAGGAGGTCACTGGGAAGATGGCGCCTTCGGTGGTAGATCTGACCCATCACGATGTATCTGGTTCCTTTGGAACATAATGGGAAATGTTGAAATTTCCATTCTTCACATAAAACATTTTAGGTCATTGGCTGTTTATTTCAGTTTTTGACAATTTGTATATTCATGTAAATATATAACATCTTTTTATTTTTCAATTTAATAAATCAAGACAAAGCAAAGAGGTCAATAATTCTGCGACACTCACCAAGCTTGATGTCAGGACAAGGCTTGCTGCATTTGTAGGTGTCCAAAACCAGCAGGCGAACTTTAAAGAAGAAGCTGTCCGGCGTCACGTAGAGACGACTCATCTTGTAGAAGCCATCACTGCTCACCATCAAGGTTATGAGGCGGATCCCTTTACGCAACACTTCGATGTCGTGAACTATCCCATTTATAGCTGTTTGAGGAGCACAGAGTGTGAAACGTCAAAACATTATAAATGTACACATCACACTATGTAAAATATTATTTCCGTTCGTGGACAGTTGTGTTTCTGAGTTGATTCAAGTCCAATGAACAGAGTTTTAACTCAGCTAGCAACCAGCAAATGTCCTGTCACAGTGCCACGTATGCCAATACCAAAAGAAAACAAAAAAAAGTATTAATTAATGTTTTTTAAAATGTTTTTTATTATTTTTTGCATGGGTTTGGAGAAGAAACTGTTTGCTCGCGTGCTTATTTATGAGCTTTGGACACAACATGTTTGTGTTTTACTCGTCAACAGAGCCAAACTAATTGGTCTGGTTCTGGCTTCATATTTATTATGAGCAAATTAGAGGGTATAAAAAATCTTGAACCACATTTGAAAAAAACAAACAAACCAAAAACTGTGAACTAATATTCAGTAGAGTCTTATATAGCATTTTAAATCTCTGTCTGTTCTGTGCTGCTTTGCTTCAGTTTATGATGAAAACTCTAATTTTGAGAAGTACAATCGATTAACAAGGTGACAAAGTGTAAAAAAAACTACAAAAATAATCCTCATAAAAAGAAATTTCTGTATTTTTTTCTTATGTTGACAAACTTGAACATTGTTTTTTGACTGTATACATACCAAACTCACTGTAGCAGTAATACTCTCGCTCCTCCTTTTCCTTCCTGCACTCGCTCATGCAGAAGGCATCGTGTGTAAAGTCAGGCTCTACGTAGAGAAAACAACAAGAAGAGAGGATGGAGGGATGAGAAGAAGAAGAAGATGAAGAAGGAGAAGGTGAAGCCAGACTCTCATTCCAGCGTCATTAGAAAAGGACAGGGTTGTCATTACAAAACCCAGACGTGACATTCCTCAGCATGGGACTGGAGGAGGTGGTATGAGTGATGAGATCACATCTGTGGTACATTTTCCGTCTTTATTATAACGTCAGAACACTCTCACTTACTTTGCTTCAGCTTAATGATAACCTAACCCTCCTCCAACACTGTGCACATTGTCAGACTGTATTCAGTGAAGAACATGTAATTAGGGGTGTTTATCGTGCCTTTGAGCACAGTATTAATTTATGACTGGTGCTTTTTCATAAAATTTAAGCCTTTTTGTTCTACTTTAGTTGTTTTGTGGTCATTTCAAGTCATTGATTGACAGGCAATCCTGAAGAGTGACAGGAAAGTGGGGAACAAGATTTAGGGATTGCATGCAGCAAAGGTCCCAGCCCAAATTTCCAAGAGACATTACAACAATATGAAAACTGGAAAATTTAAAAAGCTTTTATAGCTTCCAAATGTAATTTGTTTTCAAAAGTCCTCTGCTAAATTTCTAGATATCTGATCTATAAATGTTGACTCCATGTATCTTAGTTTACACAGACATATTGGGTTGAGTCATATAGTTATGTAATATGATATTTTAGGTCAGGATACTCAGATTATTATTGGTAATAAATACTGGGAAACTAGACTTCAAAGAATTCCCCACATGGCTTAGAAAAATGTCCCTAACTCTTACATAATTTTCAATCTTTTAAAAGCGTTCTCCCAAAGGAGGGTTTAAAATGATAAAGCTTGGGCACAGCACAGTAACATTCACAGATCCTCATTATGTGGCTTTTGAAGGTCAAGATACATACCTCGCCTCAAGATGTCAAACTGGTATAGCAGGCTGGAGGAGCGCCGGTTGAAGACCACAGGTGGCCGACTGTTGTTCCGGGTTGCTGCACCGATACCTGACTGATAGAGACTGGACTTTCCAGGTCGGTTCTCTTCTGGGTCTAGCCGTCTGTTTGGGGGGTCTTTTCTTGGGGAAGAGGCCGGTTGGTGTGGCTGAGACTGAGACTGCGTGAGGACCGGAGACCTGGGTCTGGAGTTGAGGTGTCCATCTGGTTCACTCAGCTGAGGAGGACTGATGTTAGACTGGGTGTCCTGGTTTGGTTTTTGCACGGTTCGGGTATTGTTGTTGTTGTTGTTGTTGGTGGTGGCAGCTGCTGCAGCTCCCATCAACAACGTTTTGGGAAGCAGACTGGAAACTTCTCTGGTTTTCTCGCTGTTGTGTTCCACCAGACGGTCGCTCTTAGGGCCTTTCTTACTCTTGTTGTGGGGGCTATGGTGGCGAGGGATGGGGGCCAGGTCACCATGTTTGGGCCAGACGGCTGAAGGGAGAGGATGGAGAGTGAACTTGGTCTCTATGGTTTTGCTGCTCTTCTCCAGAAGCTCGTTGATAGGCAGGGAGGGCTCTTTAACCACCAGCCAGCTCTGGTTGCTCGGCGCTGGGTCTGCAAAGCTTGGTTGACCCTTTTCTATCAAGGTGTACAGCCCTGGGTTCACACAGACAAAGAGTTGCTCCCACAATCAACCAAGACAATGCATTCATTAAATTGACATAAATAGGATACAATTTTTTTTGTTTAACTGCACTTTGTTTAGCGATTGTGCATAAACCTTCATCACTAGAAAGTTTTCAAAACAGTACTTAATTTATTTATCCTTAATCCCAATTCACCAGAGTTTAAAAATAATGCTTTCACACAAAATTTCTTCTAAATCACTTTGTTTTGTAGAGTCATAATTCCCTAGAGGAGTCTTAAAATTAGCAGATTTTGCAGATTACTTTAACAACAACCACATTATTCATACAAATAAACCACCTCAGAGCAAACTGCTGTGAAATCTTACCATCTAAAAACATTGTGAGACAGAAGTGATCATTGAGCTATGGGAAGATCTGTTGTCCACCTTTATTTAATTAAAAGGTTTCTGTTAAATGACAATACAATATAAAACAAATATATCAACACTCACCGTTAACAACATGCTCCTCTGTCCTGTCAAGAGGAAATGCCAGAAACAAGAGAAACAGAATAATCCCTGTCATCCTCGTTGCTGAGTGTGAACATGCGTTATGATCTGCTGCAGAGCTGGGATTCCTGAGATTTTTATAGGGGCTGCTCTGGAATGAGATGGGAAGGGGTGGGAATGGAGGTAGTGGGACGTCCTCTGCACATAGACGAACTTGACACTCCCTTCATTCATAAAATGGCTCCTTAAAAGTCATATATCATGCAACACTGTATGTGTGGAGATATTCTCAGTTCAGAGTTTGACAAGAGATGATTTGAAGTTTTACTTTCAGGTATCTGATGACGAATACGGTGTTAGGAATCCTCTTTATTTATAGCCTGTCCTTTTGTTTCTCTTATTCCTTCCCTTTTTTTCAGTTTGTTTGACCACCATCAAATGAGTTATTCTGTTTAAACCAGATGCAACAAAATCTTAACATTTGCCTCTCTTTATGTAGGGTGAAAGAGATGTGTTAAAATTATGAGCCCTCACTTCCCTCTAGTGGTCACAGTGAGGACATATTAGACTCTTGCCAGTTGAGAAATAAAGCACTAAATACCAGTTACAGCCACTATTTGGAAGACAAGAAAGAATGGGATTGTTGTTGGGCAAAAATAAATAGGATAATATTCATCTTCTTGTCCTCAAAGGTTACTGTAGTTTCACTGACAGAGGGGGTGAGCAGGGAAGCAAGTAGATGCCAATTCTCACAGCCACAAATTAATCAATATTCCCATTTAAACAGACTAAATCTGCATTAAAATGAACTGATAATTGTCTTACTAGTCATAATACCACGTATTTCTCAACCACGGCAGGATTTACTGTTATTTTTGTAGATTTACTGTTAGAATTTGGTCGGTATGAATATATGAGTGGCTGGTTTTAATTGTTACTTCTTCTTCTTTCATTTATCGTGCAGGTAGGATATTTTTTTATATATTGTCAAATCATTATGTGGCAACCCATGAGACACAGCCCTGAAAAGAAAGCTAAATACGACCCAGATGGGACTCGAACCCACAATCCCCAGCTCCGGAGGCTGATGCCTTATCCATTAGGCCACTGGGTCATTACGTGATATATCGAACAAAACAACCTTTATCAAAACAGAAAGTAGACATAAAAGCGGTCTGAAATTCATGGTTTCGCTTTTGTTGATACATGTTCGAGCAAAAAAAACGATAGCGACAGAATTGATAAGACTTCAAATATGGCCGCGATGGTTTAGCCGCCTAATTTTGCGACACAGAAGAAGAGAGACGTCCCACTCCGGCCTTGTTAGGCGACACTTCCGTTCCCGCTGAAACCCGCGAACTTTATGGATTTATCGATTTTCAGGAAATATTTATTTTAAAAAAGCAAAAAATCAGACTAGAGTTTAGTACAGCTCCATCACACTATCATTCTCCACGGCAGGTTACTTTTTTTGTGTGTTTTTTTTTCAGTTTCTCTTTCTCAGAGGCTCAACGGTTTATCGATTGGGTGTCACTTTTCAGAGATCATGAAGCTAATCTCATTTTGCCATGTTTTTCCCTGCACAAAAAAACATCCTCAGGCATGTCCAGACATGTGAATTCAATTTAGTATAGATGTCTGTGTGAGGGGTATACTGAAAAAAAAGGCCTAGAGGCCCACTACAAAAACTATTATGAGCAATATTTTCACAAATAATGAAGCCTAACAAGGTAACATAGAGGTGACAACCAAATTGGATGATAGAGAAATGTTTTTAGTGTAATTTACTGCTGATTTAAGACAAGGTCAAAACTGACCCTTAACATGGTGGGTGCTTAGTAAAAGCTAAAACGGAAGGAAGGTTAATTTTTAAAATACAACTTGCTCACAACTAGTAGTGACTCAGCATGCATCACCCCTATCCCCCTTGTGCACTGCATACGCTTTTTTGTGCCTCTGTAGTTGATCAACTGTAATCATAGCCCTCAACACCAAAGGTTTTCCCATAACCCGGTAGTGATTTTTTTTCCAAGCGTCTTATGCATGTGATTTTATCACAGGTCAATGAGGACTCTTACTCAGGTCTTTTAGAGTTTTTGTTCTGTATGTATGTACAAGTGTGATGGAGAATGTATGTCTTCTGATACAACTGAGGCCTGTCGAAAGATGAACTTCTGTCACTTTTTTGTGTCAGACAATAAAATTCTTCTATTCTATTCTATCAACAGGAGGCCATCGGGGCCCCAGAGTAGCCATGGGCCATGGCTACTCTGGGGTGCTTAGTTTGCCTATGCCTTGGGTCAGCCCTGCGTCTGCCTGATGAGGAGAACAATTTTTGAAATTGGTCCAGCACTGGGTCAGAGTGGAACAACCAGCAGTCGTGAAACATAGTAAAATGTAGTTTGACTGGGCAACTACTCTGGTTGCATGCTCAAGTTGATGTCACAAGTCCTGAGTATGGAATAGCAAGGGTTTTCCCTTACCTCCCACTCATTCCACTTATCAGACAACTGAACAAAATCTCTGGAGCTCAACAAAACACCCTGTTGCTGCTATGACACCAGGTCCCGGATAGGTGTGTTAAGTTGGAGCATCGACACATGACAAAATCATGACTGCCAAGATCATCTCCTCTCTAAGGTATTTCTCAATTTTAAAAACTAAACGTAAACGACCATCTCTGTTTTTCCCAGACTCTGTGGTCACTTAGCAACATTGTGACCAGGACGGATGAGCAGACCCAGTGTGCGCTGAATGCAGGTGCCCTGGCAATGTTCCCTGGCCTGCTGCGCCACCATAAGCCAACTATCCAGAAAGTGGCAGCCTGGACTGTGTCCAATATCACTGCTGGCAAGGACACCCAGATCCAAGAGGTCATCTATGCAGGCCTGATGCCCATTCTGGTGGAGTTTCTCTAACCGGTCAAAAAACAATAATTTAAAAAGAGCATTACCCTTTTACAAAAATATATATATATAACTCAGAAAGTGGACTTATTTTCAAACTGCATGAAAATAAAGATGACTACTTATTGTTTTTACTTTAAGCAGTGAGTAATTATCATTTGAAACATTATCCTGTATAAGCAGTTAATGTTGCTGTGGTTTCATGCTAGTGTCATCCTATCCACTATACTTAATTTGAAGTAAATAGAGGTAAGCGTTTCCGACCACATGGACATGGATGCCTGAACTGTGGTTAAATTAAGCAAATATTTCTCCTTTTTGAATGAAGAGTCGTAGATTTTGACTATGTCCGAAACTGTGAAGGTCAAATATCTCTGAAATATTAACCTTTAAATTTACCCTTACAGACATCTTTCCCATCAGATATTTGATTTTAGGTCCTAGAGAAACTATGATTGAACTGTGAGTCATTACGATTAGAAACATAGAGATGTAATCAAGGTGAATGTAGATTGATTGAAGCATGCAGATTTTTGGCTGTCACGGATTAAACCGAATGATCACAGTTGAATCGTTTCCTGTGTCTTCCTATATTTTTTTCCCTCTCTTTACAGATGGCATACAAAAGTGATGAAATTGAGAAGCTCTGCCGAAGGACTGAAGATGTTACTAGTTTTCAAGGCCCCGCAGTACCATGACTGTGAAGCTGAAGGAAAAATCTGCTGTCAACACCGTGTTAGTTTTTTGTTTGTTTTTCCTGAATAAGGTTTATACTGATGTTAAGGCCTCTTTAGAGCACTTCACATTTCAGATCCCCAAAGGCCAAAGCTCTTTCCATTGTTAATATTTCTATTTTGCTGTTTGTATATTGTTTATATTTTTGTATTCTATCAGAAATGTCATATTTATATATGGCCTTCAAGGACAAATTGTTGCTATTATTCCCTCTATAATTTGTCAGTTAATTTTACTAACCCTGATCTTTTCAAATGCAATGGGGTAATCTTGGTGAATATCAAATGCATTCCTTTATAAGCGAGGAAAAAGTACATTTGGGTAACTGGACTTGAAATAGACTCATGTTCCCACTAGGTGGCACCATAATCCTAAATTATTCTGACATAAACTCATGTTGAAAAAAAGCTGCATATAGTGCAGTCAAGTTTATTTCATACTTCTGTTTATGATTGTAATGGGTGGGCTTGCGAGAGTAAGAAAAAATAGGGACTTAATGCAACTGTAGATCGAAATCTACAGAAGTAGATTTTTTTTTACAATATCATGATGTTAATCTCTTAAATGTATTGCAGCCTAACCAAATGTACCGAACACTGTTTACACTTTCCTAAACCTAAGTAGCTATGTGCACAAAATAGATATTTCAAAATCTAAAGATCTGTATAATACAGAAAGTGTAGGGGAGAGTGGGGTAAGATGAGCCATTTTTTATGTTTCAGATCACTACATCAAGACAATCATAGTTTTGTCTCTAACTAGTGAATCTGCATATATTTCATTTTAACATGAGAATGCTTTTAAGTGATTCAGAACATTCACAGCTGTATTTTTCAAAAGAAAAAGTAAAACATTTCATTAATCTGACCTGAAACGCTGATCCTCTCATCAGACTTTTTTACTTTCTCAGTTGATCCGAATGGCTCAACTTACCCCAGAACTACTATTGTGACTTTATTAGTCCTCTAAACTAAAATCGTAGACTTTCATGTTGTAGCTCATAGATACCACAACTGATAAGTAAAACTAATTTAAAATGATCTTTTTTCATCTGTACACAATTCTAATAAAACTTATGACAGACTAAATTCACTTTCAAGAGTGAAAAATGTCTAACCTCTTCACCCATGTGCTTCTAACCTTCACAGACTCCATGAATTGATGCCCATCTCCTTAATATTTGGTCACATGATCAATTTCTTTTACCATTTCCAAGCAACAGGGGGTGGCTCAACTTACCCTTTGGCTCAACTTACCCCACTCGCCCCTACAGAAAATTTATGCAAAGAAAACATGAAAGTAAGGCATCTTAAATGAAGGACTTCGTAGCCAATTTTAGTTTAATAGTATGACATTTTATTTCTCGTTGAAAATAGATACTGATATGAGAAAAAAATATGATTATTTGATGGTACTTTTGCTTTGAAAGTTCTCCCGGATGTGCTTTTCCTCCCCTTCTCTCTGACCCCGTCTGTCTGCTGCAGATCAGCCTCCGATCATCACGACCAGCTTCAGTCAGAGCTGCCCTGCTGGACCGTCCGGATGGATCCCCTACTGTCCACTCACTCTCTAACTCTGCATGTGTCCGTGGCATGAACGACGTCTAGGAATGTTGATACTCGTTTTTTTCACGTCGCAGTGGCTCGACTGAGAGTGTTATTCCAGCGGTATGATCATTATGTTGCATATGCAGCCAGCGTGATTTGCTATGCTGATATTACAAGCTAACCCCAAGCTAGCAGAGGGATTGTTTTGGGATATAACTTCTTGAAAAACTCGTACGCCGACACATGAATTAGACAGTTTTTTGTGATTTTTTTTTCATCAAGCTGGAACATAAAGGGGAATGTCTAGCCAAGGAGTAAGGAGGAATGGCCCAGTAAAGCTGCGGTTGACAGGTAAGCGAATTTAAACCCCCTCCTGCGACGCTTCGACACGTTAGCAAGCTAGCCTCCTAACCGAACAGGCTATAGCTAACATCTGCAAATGTTATCAGTGGACACCGGCGCGAAACATTCAGCATGCAGTATGCCCTGTGTTAATTTATATCACATTTAATCTAATGAAGCCACCACACAGAGCCTGTTTGTGAAGCTGTGAGTGAGCGTGGCTCGATAGCAAACATTAGCTGTAACACTTACTCAGCTGGCTAACGTTACTTCAGGCAGTTTGTCGCATTAGCAGCTTTTGGGTTTCTCCCTCATCAGTTACGCGAAAAAACATTAGTCAGCTTTTGTCTAGGAGTGTGAAGGGGTTTTAGCGCAATAAATGCAGTTAATTTTAACGAATACTTATTTACAAATTGTTAAAATCTATTTAAAAGGACTATTGTGGTTGGTGTCGTGTTACAAGTATTTTTAGGAAGGTTAAAGGGATGCTAAGTAGTAGCTGAACCCTAAATTGATTGTTTTATTTTCAGTATCCATTTATGTAGATCATACTTAGCTATGTGTTAAACAAAAAGTAATAGAGGAATAACAGGAGTAAAGATCTATGATTGTATTGTTTTGGGTTCTGAAAAAAGGATCTGTGGTATCACCTTGAGGTAGGGCTGGGCGATATGGGAAAAAGTTTATCACAGATATTTTTCATATCAGTCAATATTGATATATATCACAATATAAAAAAAAGAAATTTAACAGTGCTTATTAGTAGTATGTCTTTTGCCATACAAACATACAAACTGCATCTGTGAGGTCTTTGTGTCTCTTTGACATTTTGTCGTAAGGCGTTGCGCTAGAGAAAGCGGACTGACTGAATGGTTGGCTGCTTCGGCTGCACAGGCACCATGGGTTCCTTGTTCCACTCAGGGTTTGTAAACTTTTGCAATGTGTGTGGTGGCGAAAAAGATTTGAGGTATTCCCCGACTTTGTGAGAACATGCACTCGACATAATTTGCAGTACACATTACTCTGCTTCATGTCCCACCTCAAAAAAAACAAAAATACCTCCACACCGTTGACGTTTTTGTGCCAGTTTTGTCGACAATGTCGTCATCTGTTGAGTCTTCATCTGCATTTCTGCCAGGGGTAGCACTCATTTTCTTTTTTTTTTTTCACTGACAGCGCTGTCTGCTTCACATGTTAAAGTGCTATGGTTGCGTGTGTCTACTTGTTGGCTACTTGGTTCTAATTCAGCACATGATTGGTTCAGCACGAAGCAACTCCCCTTTTTATTGGCTATTTGTATAGTCTACCAAAACATGGCAGAATGCCGACTATCGAAAAGCACATTGATCATATTTTATATTGATATTGAGGGAAATTAATTTTCGATATATCTCGTTATTGTTTTATCGCTGAGCCCTACCTGGAGGCAGAGGTTGTTCCTTGTTTTATCTTTAACCTGCATGGATGGGTTTCTGCAGGGGCAACATTTTGAATCAGATGCCCTCAACAATTAGAAGTATTCTCATCAAACAATAAACTTGATGGTGTTCACTAGACAATTATGATGAACTGGTGTTGAGAAAGAACCAAGAAACCAGACTTTGCAACAGAACAGAACATTGTAGAGATGATGAATTATATCATACCACTATGAAACTTTAAAGCATAACATGAGACAACAGGTGTTGAATTAAAGCATGGCTGTGGATGTGCTGTCTTAAAAACTGAATTAATGTCATTCTTCTTCTTAACCACAGTATTCTGCAAATTGAAGTACTGAAAAAGATAAATAACAAAATCATTTTCTGAAGAAAAAAAAATGCTCTCAGAGCTCCAAAATCCATCCAGCCACCCTTTCCTGGGTCCCCCTACCACCATTTGGGGAATGGTTTTAAATGGGCCACAGTGGTCTTCAGACGGAATTTCAGGAATGTGAAACCTCAGAGAGGAAATGTGAGTCTTTCCCAGCCATAGACACATCCTCTGTCTGTCCTCCAGTAAAGAGAAAGGATTTGGAAAACAGAATGTGTGTGCATATTTGTGTGTCTATGCATATGTGTGTGAAAGATTTATTTGGGTGCATGTTGCCGAGTGTGACCTGAGTTTCTGCTCCCACTGTGAAAATCATTTATGCCTTATCTGCTGTTGGACTTCTGCATTTATACGGGCGCTGCGCTTTACACGTGAGCCTGGTTGTGGTCAGACTTGAGTTATATGTCTGAAACTGTGTGTATTTAGACTTAATTTTGCATACCGACTGAAGTCCAGTTTTGCTCCATCTCTTCTGCGGTCTCTTGTAGTATGCTTTCTTTTCTCTGCCAGGGGAAATTAGAAATGGTGAAACCGAAGGCTTGTATTTTATATGGCAGAGTTATTTTAAACTATTGCTTTGTTTAGCGACTGCAGTCTTTCTCCAGATTCAGTTTAATGTTTAGAGAATGTTTCTTTGATATGAAGTAAACAGACGTGTAGCATTACTACTACTACTACTACTACTACTATTGTGACTACTACCACCAATAACAATAGTTATAAACCAACTGGTATTATAGAATTTGTATGTGAGGTAACCCCCTATTTCCACCGCATCCGGAATGGCTACGAAAAAGCCATATCCGCTGATCATAGCTGATCGTAACCATTCAAGTTAATGTGTCAATTTCCACCGACTTCTTTCCGTCCCCTGTGGATCGCCGGACTCCGCAGCTGATCGCAAGAGTTCTATTTTTTCTGGACGCCGGAGCACGCAGGATTAATTCAGCACAGATTAACCCGTGCTGGAAAGGAGGTCAGGCACAGACACAAAATAAAACATCCGGCTTCTTTTAAAAATAAAACACTCCGTGTTTCAGCCGGATCGTATTTCACACCATGCAAACAAGTGAAAGGTTTTTAGACAGCATTTCACCCCGATGACACCATGGATGAGGAGATCCTGATTCTTGAAGTCTAAAGGTGGATGTCCTGCTCTGGAAGGACACAATCTACTGCTTATGTGTTTATGTGGCTGTCTTTATAGAGACAACTCCTTATTGCACGACTACACGTGAATCCGTGGGTTCTTGTGAGTTCTCGTGATTCACGCTGTCCGTAATCCGCCACGAAATTTGCCCCACAAACGCATCCAGTAGGAATTGGTGGACGGCGAAAATCGCTGCTGTGGAAATTCAGGGTAAGACCGTGTCAAGAGGATTCACCAATGCTGCTGGGTGACATCAGTATCAACTCCTAATCTATAAATCGTCTCCAGTCATCTCCTAATATCCCCTCTTTAGCCTTTTATACATTTTGTCTCAGTCTGGTCTGAGAAATTCAGATAGCTTTGCATAAGATAGAGTTCTAGCTTCAGATCATGTTTTTTAAGAGTTGTATTACATACTTTCTCATGTCTTCATGTGGCGACAGGTCTTTGCAGAAGTAATGCCAGTCATTTGCATCAATGTGCTGACAGTAGGACTGCTGCATGAAGAGTATATTCATTATTTTAGTCATACAAACATGCAGGATTAACACGTCTAATCAATGATGTCTGAGCTAAACTGGCGTAAATAAGAAAAATGAACAAGTTTGAGTGAGAAAAGAGAGTTAGACAATTAGTCAGGGATATGGATATGATAAATGACATGCAGAATGATCAGGAAAGCCAGTTTGTAAGTTTTATAAAAAGTAAAAACAACAACCACAGCATTGACACCATGAATATTAACCAAAGGTCTGACAAATTAAGCCCAGGCTGTTTTCTGCAGTATCATATAAAGTGCAAGTAATTTTGGTCTTGTGGTTCACCAAACCACAGAGAAGATGCCTTTGCTTGGTAGAAGTTTCATAAAAACAGCAGAATCTGAAATGTGCTGTAACAGTTTGCCACCCTCGCTGGGATCACCTCTCATCATGGCAATGGATTTGAATCTGCGTGGGGTGGGTTTGAACAGACTGCAGGATTTCAACCGACTCATCCCCGGCTTCATCATCCCACACTGCAGCCAAACCTCGCCTTCTAGTTTCTCACAAAGGCGTTTTTTTGGAGCTTCCCTTTCTGCTGAGGAAATGCTAACTGGGACAAATTTACTTGTGTGCTTGAATTAATAAAGAAACATCCTAGTTTGAGTTTTGCTGGAAGGCAGTTTGTCATGTCACCACTGAACTTTTTTATGCCAAGCTTGTAAAAGAGAGCAATTTAGGATTTGGGGAGCTGTTGTTCCTGACACTACAGGGAGCTGACAATTGGTGTAGTTACCCCTCTGTCGACTGCGCTGCGAGAGACGGTGTATGATTCACAGTTTCGAACAAGAACAAGGTGTTTCCCCCAGCTTTCTGTCTATGGATACAATCTGGAATTCCTCAAACATAAATGTATGAGATGTTGGAGGGGATGAATCCATCTCTAAGCACATCAACTTTTACCTTTAGCCTCAAGTAAGCTGTTACAACCTTTGCTGTGAGGAAGGGATTCTGTCTAGCCTGAGACATTTCCTCTATTAGCGTGACACTCAGGTTTGAAAAGACAACCCGCGTACATGTTCGTCATCTACTTTCATGTTGTGTTTGTGTCCCAACCATTAAATCATCTCTGAAAGTTGGCGCTGGTACTTCAGTACACATTTAATGGGGGAAAGCCAGGAAGCTGGTGATTAAGATAAAGATCCAGCCTCTGTCTCTAGGCCAGCATCAGCACTGAGACAGAGTGCATTTTAGAGAGGTTTATTAGAGACCACTGTCTGAGCAGTTTTAGTCAGCTCTCAGAAAGTGCTGCTGTTGCTGCTTCTGCGTGTGTGTGTCCGTGTGTGTGGCGGCGGCACCTTATTTGCATTCCCCCCCAAAAAAGAGAAGAACACACACACTTCCATGCACACATGCAGACAGATGCAGTCAGACGTGCAGTTGGTTTTCCACATGATGGACTGTAAGCATGTGATACTAGGCTAAATTAGGGCCGTCTGCAAGATTCCTGCCGCTCCTTAAAAGTCCTAGAGAGATCTTAAAACTGGAATCTGTCAAATTTAGGCCATCAGCTGTCTGAAATGTATGGTAGATGTGATGTAGGTATTAAATTCCAAGATCTTCTCTGTCAAACTAATGGCTAATTAAGCATTATCATTATTATTATTATTATTGTTATTGACTCCAACATACACTGAGGAACCAGCAGAAAGTGGTGTTAGATAGGTGTGGGAGAAAAAATTGATTCACATAAGTATCGTGATTTTTTTGTTTTACAATTTTTAAATAGATTTTTTTTGTTCAAAAATAGACTTTTTTTTTCAAGTTTAGGAATAAATCTTAAAAACCAATTTAAATGTTATGTATTTTTTGGCGAAACATGGTTCCTGGAATAGTCAGTTGACAATCATAATCATTCGACTGTTTCACTGGTGTTAAAAATACAGACTAAAAATCAAGAAAATCGACAATATACAAAAGTATATTGTCCCAGCCCAAGTGTTAGTATGACACTATGGGAAAAACCAATGCGTCAGGAAAAAAGGCATGCTTTACTTAAAAACTGTAAAGTCAAACATAATGGTGTTCCATATCAGGGAAGTGTTCTAAGACTTGATTGACTCTAAATGTAATCTTAAATAGCCTCAGATATAACCTTGAAAATGGACCTCAAGTATAATATTGGAAATAAAATTTTTACACAATAATGGTGAGAGAGCTGAAAGGATTTGTGAAGTTAAAAGTTATAAAAACAGGACCCTAACACTTGCGGTAAACTTCGTCCACATTTATGTTTTTAAAGATTTAAAACATTATTTTTTAATGAGTTACCTTTGCTTGAGTTGAATTGTAATTATCTATATTATTTATGAATTACTTGCATTATCAAGTACAGTGGGCAGCCTAACAAAATATAATTGATTTAAGCAAGTTTCTTTTTTTAATTCGCCTAAACCTTACGTTTGTAGTTTGGGTTGCTTGCAGACACTCTACTTGACATTCATTTTGGCTCCCCCCATGGCAAGATTGACAGTTACTTATATTGTGATAGATATGAATCTAATCATTTGCCTCTGGTTTGGTGATTAGAGGCTTGGATTATACATGTGCTAGAAATTGCGTCTCGTTACATTCAAACTGTTAAATTTCCGAGTTGGTTTTTATTCCCTGCAAAAGTTTTGACAGTTGAAATGTAGACCAGACTTAGGGATTAGGATTCACCAACACACAATGGATGTGAGTCATACAGTGATGTGTTTGTGGTTTTGCCATCTGTTTTGTGTATCCTTGGCACTGGCTTAATTTGGGAACAAGTTTCGCTCTGGTGGAAAGTGCAACTTGACCCAGTTTTTTGGCAATTAAATGGCGCTCATTCCTGCATGAATTGCCCCTTGTTCTTCTTTTTTGTATATTTTTGCCAAATACATCTGCTTTTTGGTCATCCATCACACATGATAAGCTATGTTTCAAGAGTATTAGCAGTGCCAACATCATTGGTCAACTAGCATTAAAAGAAATCTTACTTCAGGGAAGCAAAAAAAGTAATATGCATTTGGAATTATTCAAAAACCAAAGTGTGAGGCATGTTTAGGCTCGCTCATGAAACTGAGCAACCCAGGCACTTGGACAAGTAAGCCTCAGCTGTTCAGTATGCACCACAAATCTCTACAGCACCACAGTGAAAAAGGACTGTGCTGTTTGCAGAGGTCAGTGGGTGATTCGTCTACGCAGTCCATTGCCTTTTGAAGTTCAAGGTCTAGAGCTTGTGCTGTATAAGTATGTCTAAGGCTACATTATGCTTCTTTCTATTCTGCCTACTTCTATCATCTTTGGGGTAAGGCACATATGCTGGTACTTACTCCTTTTATTTTTCCTAAGGCTGTCTGTAAATGTGAAGTTAAAATCAGAAGTATGAATTTTCCCATTGCAGGCTTAGGGGACGTCTCTGTTGACTTAGTGTTTCATGTGTTGTTTTAGTGGTGGCCTGTGTGCCTTAGCTCAAACATTTATCTGTAAAGGCTATATGTAGCCCACACTGGACAGCCAGTTGTTGCAAGCTAATAAGAAATAGTGTTCTTTATATAAAGGAAAAAATCTTTTACTGCTTATAAGTGTACTCTGTTTTGTTTTTGTATGATTACACATAAGAATCAGGGTCGTGAGTCACACACATTGAGTCACATTGTCGTGCTTTTTACTCAGCTAGCAACTTACAAATTGACACTTATGCTGCGTTCCAGTTAACTTGGAAGTCGGAGCTGGGAATGACGTTACACCAGAGTTGACGGCGTTCCAGTTAACAAGTCAGAAAACCAAGATGGACGCCTACAGTTGCCCGTTGTTAGCTGTTGTTTACAATTGTCAGCTGTCGTTAGCCATTGTCAGCGGTCGTTAGAGTTGCCAGTTGTAAACAACGCATAACATAGTATTTTACTCTTACAAACACCATAGCACCATGTTCACAGTTAGATGTTGGGCAGTACAACATACACCACTTATTTAATTTCACGAAAACAAAATAGAAATGCTGCTAAATAATACATTACAAGAGCTTTTACTTTTACTCTTTACTGTTGATGCACTGTGCTGCCATCTTGGATTATGACGTCATCAAGTTGGGGTTGACAAGGATCATCCAACTTTCTGAGTCGGACATCCGACTTCAGGGGGGCGTTCCAGATGAATTTCCGACTCGGAGCTTGGAAATTCCAACTTTTGAGTACAACTGTAACACAGCATAAGTATTGATCTAGGATGATTTATGATTTCCAGTTTACGAGTATAAATCTCTTTAAACTGAAATTTTTCATCCACGGTGAAATCACAACAGAAGTGTTTTCTGTCGGTATTTTCATTAAATCAGAAAATACAACTGTATAAGTCTTCCCTGTAACTTTTCTGTTGGCATTTTCTTCCTACTTGATCAGTCTGGTTACCAGAGCCCATGCGGTGTTGCCATTCATGTCTGTATTCATCAGTTTGGTCTCATGATTTTGACTCAGCTCCTTGTGTTTTTGTACACTTCTTGCTTATTTTTGTGCCGTTTTACCATTTCTTGTTTTCTTGTCTCTGCTGGTGGCTGATCAGCTGTCAAACACCGATCTCAAGCTTGACTCTCTCCAAATAAAATAAGACCAAAATCAAAAATATCCCCATGTTGTCTGCAGATGTTGAAAATGAATGTTTTGTCAGATTGTTAATAGGAAGGGATAAAATCAACAGTACACTAGATGTGTTGTAACTCTTTTTAAAGGATTTATTTACATGTGTGATGTGTGTGAATAAGTCGTGGCCTATGTCTCTAGACTTGATCAAAGTTGTTATGGGGGTTTTACCAATCAGATTCAAGTATTAGACACAGCCTGGCGATTAATAAGAAAACTGGGTAGTGCATAAAGTTTTTTCATGTGACATTGTGTGGATCACCTATGTGAGAAAGCTCAACTTATGTTTAGACAGTTTTGTTTGCTTGCTCTCAGACTGTGTCTTACTTCCGCTGAATAGTCCCCAAACATTGATTGTAGTGTAGTTAAGAGAAGCTTAACTACTGCTGCTTGCATTCTTATCTTGGTTCTTGTCCAATAATCTGATATTTAGCCAGAGGCCGCTCTGTTTATCAAGCCAGTGTCTTTTCTGGCAAACAGATACTCACTGCTGCACATACAGATAGCCACTGTTTCGGGCTCACAGTATTTGATTTTTGCCGTTAACTGGCATGTTGATGTTTTTCAACTCATCTTGGCCAATTCTGAAATGTGCTACCCTTTTTTTTTTTTTGATGGTAGAAAACACAAAGTCTCACTTGTACTAGAAATTGGCTGTGAATTTATTGTGAGAGTCTGTTTAAGAAACAGACATAAAACAAGATTTCATTGACCTATAAATGACAAATGTATTCATTTTTTGAAACATAGCCATTCAGAAATATGGGCGCCCATACGTCTTGGCATTGTTAAAAGACTGAAAGAGAGGCTGTGCTGTGGGTGTCTGACACTTCAAAATACTTCCACTCAGTTGGCTCGCATTAACATCTGCTGATTCATCAGTTAACTTATTGAGCAAGCAATATGATGCTGATAATATCATGCAAAAACAGCAGTGTATTTACGATCAACACAATGTTGATTTCACACCACAGTCTTGGTAAGCGACATGTCAAGGAGGAGGCTTTAAGAAATCCACACATTTTTGAAGAATTTGGCTCTTGAATCCAAGGATTTGTTATGAGCCACCCTCTTCCTTCTTTACTTCCCCTGTTTCTCTGAAAATCACCCCATGAAATAAAGCTCTTGGTATGTGTATGTGTTTTTGTTTTGGATATTGGCTTTGCTGATGGTGATTTACGGGGATGTAATTTCATAATGTGGGTGAAAAGGGGACACAGAGCTCTGAGCAGATTGTGGTCATCTCACTTTCTCCTCAGCGCTCAGATTTCATGCTGTAGGGGAAACCCAGAATTTCTAGTGTGTTCAGCTATATCCTTTTTGTTTCACTGATGTACTTGTTGTTAGTTTACCAGTGTTTTTGTCTTATTAGGTTTAGTAAAGTATCTCTTTGCTCTACAGAGATGTCATCTGTCTGGAGCTGATTGCAAAATGGATGCTGGTTAATATTTTATCCGTCTGTGATGGTTTTATTGTGAAATATTATTAAGTTCTCTAATTCAAGCTGGTGTAGCATTTTCAGGCACTTCTTCTTATTCCAACACATCCCTGTGTTTTAGGAAGACTTGGGCATAAAAGGAGACTATGACTCAGTTCTGAAATCTAGCAGGTCACTGCCAGCCTCATAACTCAGCTTTACTGTCTGCTCATGACCTGCTTTTTACCCATGTAACACAGCGGGAGCTTACATGCTTTTAACTCAGCTAAAATCGTGTCTGCCAGAATATCAGGCTAAAAGCTGGACACATGTAAACTCAACTGAGTAAACTCAACATTTTATTTGGTCCAAATTTGACACATCTACACATTACAGTCTGTGAATAGGTAGATCTATTCTCTCGATAGCTTTGGACAAGTTTATTCCTGGGCTTTGGTTGTTTCAGTCAATCCCCGGGTTTTATCTGCTTTTCGTATTACTTTTGAACTTGGTGGCATCAGTGTACTTCTGAGCAGGAAAATGGAAAGACTGAACACCTCTCTATTATATAACAGGCTCTGACTGGAGAGAAGGTGGTTGTCAATGTGCAGAATGCATTAAACTTTCCAACTGCTTCAAGGAGGATTTTCCCGCTAAGTGTGGAGGAGAAATATCACCTTTGCTTTTCATTTGCTTGGGTCATAATTATCTTGACAGCCTCTAAGAATTATTAGTAGATAAAAAAAAGTTGAGGTCTTGTGAATTTAATTTTTAGTTTATGAAGACTTCCTAATTTTCCACGATGTTGCTTGACCTTCTTTTACCTTCCTTGCACCCTCTGTATATCTCTTTATTCATCTTTTGTCGTTTCAGTTTTTTACATCCTCTTTTATGTCTTGAACAGGATGTCCTTCATTTCTCTGTCATTTCACTCTCTTACTTCCTCCCCCTCGCTCACCCCCGGATCTGGCCCAGACAGGTGGCAGACAACTCTGCCGGTGTGGTTCCAGTTTAGTATACTTTTTTTTTATATATCTGTATTTAGCTTGTGATGTGCACATACATTCACTCATCTGTGCACTTCCTGTATGGGTCCCTCAGCTTAGTGAAGTATGTGGTGTTTGTCAGAGTTTGTTTGGGGACCCCACAGAACTCTGTGCCAAAGCAGTACTTTCTCTTATTCCATAGGGAAGGAGTGGGTGTTAAATTATGTCTGATTCACTGTTGTCAGTATACAGTCTTACAATAAGGGGAAAAAAAATCAGCCTATACAATTGAATACAAAACCAACAGAACACAAAGCCTTGTGCACAAACTGTTAATTGAACGAGAGATCGGCCTCAGGTCTTAAGCAGCTAAAGCCCGTTGTTATATGAGTAAAAATGCTGGTAATGCTATTAAAAGGAAGTTGTTTGTAGCCTCAGTCTTTGCCTCAATCTCCACAAGAGAGACTGCTGGAACGACCTTCAGGAGGACAATGTTCATGCAGGAGTTTGTTGTTGAAAACAATCTCTGGAACCACAACGATTGCAGAAAAACTGAAGTGTGTGTCACTGAAATAAAAAAAAAAATAATAACTTTTCGCAGTTGTCAGGCTCGAGTTGTAAATATAAACAAGTTTATCCTTGTGACTAAAAAAAAGTTGCTTTTCACCTTTCCATAGAATTATTTCTTCTCAATGCTGTGAAAGCATCCAAATGAAGCAGGAAAGCAGATCCTCCCCCTCACTGCTCTCCTGCTACTGTTTCTGCGGTCAGACTGCCCACCAGTTTGACTGTGTGTGTGTGTGTGTTATTGTGTGTCTGGTAGACCACTCAGTGTATCTACTGTACAAACACACACACATACACACATTCACATACACCACTGCTCAGATTGCATTTCCCGCTCTCCAAATCTGTTTCTGTGTGGGAGAAAGACAGTCGGAGGATGCAGTGGTTTTTATTGTGGAGATGAGGGTCAAGTCTCTCTGATGATGCCAGTGCGCCACAACTTCCTACTCTTCTTTTAGCATAATCACAGAAACAGCAGGATTTCCCACCCAAAGTAAAAACAATGATTCAGTCACAGGGGAGCTGCTTTGTCGGTCTTTTTGTTTGATTTGTTGCAATCTTCAAGTTTTTTTTTCTAATCTCTGCAAAAGCAAATATTTACTGCTTTCTGGGTGATTTTTCCTCTCAAGTTTTTTAAATCCCAGCATAGTTGTGAAAACACTGTTTTATTTAAAGCTACAAAGCTATAGCATTGAGTAATGTAAGAGAACACAGTTTAAAGTTGGATTCTGGTGAGAAATTTCCTTGCTTATTGGCCTCCAGCAGAGTCCAGATCCACTGGATAAAATGAAAATAATTAGTTCAGCAGTTCAGTTACAATCATAAGGTCATTGTATAGATATGCTTCTAAACTGCACATTACTCCTCTTCTCATATAGTCTCTTAAAGCACAGGATCCACCATTAACCTCTACAGGGCACCAAATCTGCTGCTACCTATCTCCATACCCCTCTTACCGAGGGACAGGCATAGGGAAAACCCAGTACCATCTTTCTCTGTATATGTAGCTTTCTGTCAATGTGTTGCCTACTCCTCTTACTTCAAACCGTACAAAAGTCATCTGTCATTTTCCCTGTCTATTTTAAAAGCATTTTAGCACAGTCCTGAAGTCCTTTTCTCCTTTTACAAACTTATGAATAGAAGAATAAAAAGATAAGGGTTACACCTTACCTTCATCCAATTACTTGCTACTCTTATAGTTGAGGTGCCATGTTTTCAACGGTCGATGAGCATGGTAGTAATTGTTAATTACTCATGTATGTACAAGAGAAGACCGGGTCTATCAGACACATTTTGTGTTTGACACATAAACACTCAGTGATTAATTTGTAGGGGTGGGAGAAAAAAATTGATGCAGCGCAGTATCACAATATTTTGTCTGGTGATATATCGTGTCATCTCATTTACCAAGAATCAATTTTTCAAATTCATTGCTGATATGAAGTCAAATCTATGATAATGTACTACATAAAAATAAAGTACAGTGTAAATAAGACAAACAAAAAGGAAAGCCAAATGCTAAATTAGCTGAACAGTTGAAAAACTTGTGTAAATTGCAATATATTGTATCGCAATTCTCACTGTATTGCAAAATGTTAAAAAATCGCAATAATAAATCGTGGCTTAAGTATCGCAATACTATTGTATTGTTGCCAACAGTGTTCATTCAATGCTCATTCTTCTTATAATTTTTTGAATACCACATGCTTTTAACAGTAAAATGTCAGTTATTCTTACATCCGATTAAAAAACTAAAGATCAACACTTATATCTTCAACTCTGCTGTGAGCAAATGAAAGTGAAAGAGCAAGCAGCAGAGAGAGCACCAGTAAAGTAAACATAACAGTGAGAAGTTATTTCCTGGTTGTGTGACAGTAGTTGTACTCTGAAGAACCAATCGTATCCACACCTGAGCGTAAACATGCAGGCAGGCCTTGGGTTTGATTTGTTTCAAGCTGATTTTGCGCTTCTGTCTGTCTGCTGCGTGTGTTTTCCTGATGTCCATGCGCTGCTAAATCCTCTCTTCACTGGTTGGTGAATGCTGATGTTTTCTTGAGTCCTTAAGCATCTAATGCAAACACAGGTTAAGTTTGTCTTTTGTTGCAGACAGTCAGAGAGAGACAATGAAATCACTTCCTCTCTAAACTGTGTGTTTTTTTAAATATAAGCTGTCGTTTGCAAAGATAGTTGTTGAAGACAGACATGACTGGTATATAGTAACCATTTAATATCCTTCACCAGCTCTTATCTCCATCTCTCTTATACTACTTCTCCTTTCTGTCCTATTCCAAGCCTTGCTCCTCTGTTTGATATTTCTCTTTACTCTCCTCCATCACTGCCGCTCTCCTCTTTTATTGCCCTACTTTCTTCCTCTCAATGCTCTTTAGATTCCCACCAACCCAACCCAACCTCTGAGTCCCGCTTTCCACGTCATAATCATGGTCATCGTGTTTCTCTGCTCTTGTCTCCTCTCTTCCTCTTCCTCAGTAGTTCAAACGCACGCTGTTAAATAGACCCCGCTGCCGTTCTGGCAATAAGACAAACACAAGAAATGCAGCAGAGACAGCCAGACATTTATTACACAAACACTGACTGGGTACTGATATAGTAGCTGTGGTTTGAAGCTCTTTAGGGTAATTAGCTTGTATTGAACTGTGTCTTATCCTGTGATATGACAATTAAGTTACATTACATAAGGGCTGCTTTATTATGGCGAAAATCATAACCACATTTTTTAAAATATTGAAAACACTCTGAGCTTTTCAAAAACATTAAAATAAATGAAAGTGAAATTTACTTTAATAAGTGGAACTAACTGTTCATCTTTTTTGTTTATCAGTTAGCCTGTCTGTCCAACTAAGTAGATATTACACACACATGCACACACACTTTCTCTTACTTCTCTATCTGTTCTACCCCGGTTCATAATTAAGGTAAGATAAGAACTTTATTGATCCCCGAGGGGAAGTTCCTGACTTCCTCAAACTCCCTGATTTAGTTCTACATTGACCTGAGCTCATAATGATGACATTAAGTGAGAGCTGTTTAAGAGGGAGGGGTAAAGCACATGCTCAGTTTTAGAGAAGAAAGAGGGGTTGTTCCTCATCAACCATTTAGGACACAATGAGCAAGACGCAGTATCACTTAGTCTCTATTATCTTATTCTTATGATAGTGTGGAGTCATAATCACAATTGAAACTGAAACCCAATTAATTGCCAGTTCTGTATCACATTAGAATCTTTTTTAATTTTTTTATTTTAATGCTTCTCGTGGGTGTTTTCTCTTTCTTTTTTTTTTTTTTTTTTTGCTGTCTTGTCTGATGAGCTTGACTCCCCCTGGCTTCTTTCTTCAGCCTTAATTCTTTGATTTCTTGATCCTTCCCTCCATCCTTTCTCTCTGCCTCATGTCACCTTCCCCTCTTGGATTCCCTCCTCCCAAACTCTCCATCTGTTCATTATGTGGCAGCTTACCTCTGCCTCAAAACTAATTCACCGTTTTCTTACAGCTTATTCGCAGTGTTCTGCTCAATCTCAGCTGTTTCCTTTCCCTAAATAGTCATTTTCTGTTGTCAGCTTACTGTTGAAATGAAGGAGCTAAATGCAGCGGCATCACAACAAAATTGTAAACATTTCTGAATCATGATTTTACATCATACATTTTTAAGCTTTGATTTAGGGCTGGGTGATAAACCAGAAAATTAATTTCTGATGTTATTTTGCCCGTATGGGTATATTCAGTGTCAAAAAATGAATAAATAAAAGTTGGTTTTGGATGTGTGTAGGTAGGCTATGGTCTCATGTCCCTTTAAGATGCTGTCCTACATTGGAGATGTGACTCCACCCAATCCAGTCTGTAACACAGAGGGAAAGACAGGTGAGGGGATGGAGAACAGTTCAAAAGTTGTGGCTGGAGCAACAGCTGAAGTAGACAAAGTTAATGTGGGAATGGTTGAGCAGCTTGTGGAGTAGTTAAAGTCCATATGCACTCATCGAGGTGAACTGCTCAATATATCGTGGTATTGATTTGAGGCCATATCGCCCAGCCCTACACTCATGGCAGACATACTTGGACTACAACCATGATCCATCATACTTTTGTATAATAAATGCTGTGATTTTTTGCTTAGCTCATACTGATACAGAAATGTAAACACAGGCTCAATCTGATTGTATTAAAATGCTGAGTTTTCTGTAGCCAAGGCTTGTTAGAGTGAACTTGTTTTATATACTGCAGAGCATGCAAATAACAAAAAAAAAAGTGCTCATCAAGTTAAATTTTGAACCAAACTTAGATGAATGGCAGGGGATTTCAGTTAAGTATTATCTTCAGAGACATACACATAAAAGCACGACCTACGTATGTTAATTTTACAAAATCCTAAATATCTCTTGGGCACACCAGGTTCATATTCTAGTATTCCTCTTCTATCTTCTGTCATCTCCTCTTATCTCTCCCTGACCTACCTGCTTCTCCTGTCACAGTGTTTTCCATGCTACAAAACTGTCATCAGTGTCAAAATTCCCTGGTCCAAATTAAGTTCTCCCCTTTCTTTCCCTCTACTGTCTACATTCCTCAGATTTGTGGGTGTAGATAGACCTCTCTCAGCGCCTCCTCACATTCCTCCATCACTCTTCCTCCATTCCTCTGTAGATTCCTGCCACCAGATGAACATTTCATCTTTACCTTCTCAACCCCTTTCGAGCCCAGCCCACCTCCTCATTAAAGTGAAGTGAATACGTTCCACTTCAGATTCCGACTCCAGATTGTTGGCGTCTCCTCTGGGAGTAGAAAGCAGGCGGGAGGGGGATTGTCAGCTGTAACTGCTGGCCTCTCAGATGGATGACATAATTGGCATCCTGAGCATTTACTGGACTGGAGAAAGGCTGAGGGTGGGAGGTTGGAAAACCATGCAACGGCCCTCCAAGGAAAGCTCATATAGATTTAAATCCCAGTTTGGCAGCATTACCTTACAGTGAACGCTTCTGCATTCTACAACCGTTATTTTTTTGCACTGTTGACAAGCTGCAGTCACACACAGTTAGTCACGTCCATGCTCTGCACTTGTGTTTGACATTCGGCCAACATGCATTCTCTGTGTGTCCTGGTAAGTGAGTGAGCTCACCGGGGAGGCGTGAGGACAGGAAAAGGAAGTGTTTAGTTAAACTGTGAACAATGCTGTGAATGAGACAGCGCTGGACTGGAGCAGGAGTTAAAACAGGGGCAATGGGATAAGACATTAGCCCCTTTAAAATTTGAATGGCCATGCTCAGGGACTCAATGAGTTGCTAGTAGGTGTTAATATAGTTTTTATGTTTTTTTTTTTTTTTTTTTAGTTGTGATAAGATTGATATTTTTCCTCTCTTAAAGGTGGGGTAGGCAGGATCTGAGGAAGTGCCAGTTTTTGGGAGAAATCTTGAATGTAAACTCTACCCCTCCCAACCAGTTTTCCCCTCAGCTCCTCCTCTCCCCTCCCTCTCTGCTCCAGCAAGCTCCACCCACAAACAGACACTCCCACTCGACCGTATCATTTCAGTTAAATTCAGATATAATGCAGATAGATACTTTAGATAATTACAAACAGGGCCAGTCAATGTGAAAGTAAAAAGCATTGGTGCTACCGTAGATGCCAACAGACTACTAGCAAACACAGGTTTTATGTGCATGTATAAAGTAAAACATGAGCAGAGGTAAAATAAATCAAATTCTGGCTTTGTGTCACAAGCTAATTCCCGTTTTTTTATTGCTAAACAAGATTATTGAAAACAAAGAGGGCTCCATCTGTTTATTCAGAAATATTCCCTCCTATTTTCAGTGTCACTTCTCACTCGTTCTTTAATTAAAAAATATATATATATTTGATGCAAACTCATGAATAGAGATGAACATTGAGAACACACATTTATAAGTAGAAGTACATGATTGGTCAGTACTGCTAAGCTCACGGACAAACAGTGCTTTAACCAGTGTTCTGTGTTATTGCACAGATGTTTCAGGTAAAGACTCATCTTCAGGATTCTGGCAAGCAAACTCAGAGTGTGTATGTCTTTTGCCAACAACTTTACCTGGAAGGTTTCATCTCAAGTTTGGTTCTTTTTTTAGCAGTAGGACTCACGGTTTGTTTGACAGCTTAAGTCACACTCTAATGTGTTTAACATAAACATAACAGCCTGCCTCAGTGTTGACCGTGTTAATATTTGGAAACAGGTCTTCATGGGCCGGCTGTGTTGATTAAATACCAAAGGTCTATTACATATTTGCCCCTTGAATTTGGCTTTGACACCAGCTGAGAGGCTCATTACTCATGTAGGCTATAAAAAGCCTAAATTTGGGGGTTTAAAGTGAAGCAAGCTGTTAATAGTTTGTTACATTACAGCTTCATGTAGGACTGGGTTGTGTTTGGATCAGTATGGTCATGACAAAGTTGGGCATAAAAAGTTGTTTTACCGTTTATAGCTGAGCGATCCCTTCAGTTGTCCATAGCAACAGAAGCAGTCTTTTTTTTAATACAAGCAAATGTGCTTAAAACACTTTATACAAAACAGTCATCTGTGTAATAACATTTGCATGCAAACTCTGTAATCGGATGCGGAGGCAGCAAAGCTTGACTGTCCGTCTTCCTGTGCTGTAGTAGAAATCATCAAACAAGTGGACCACAAAGCAGCTGTACTTTATTGTGGGGTTGGCAGGGCACAATCATGCAATCATTAGTTATTTCCTGCAGTTATAGGCAATGAATCACAGGACATATAAAAAAATATACAAAAAATTCTTTGGTTTTAGGAAGAGCATCTCCACTCTTTGATGATATTGAGTAAGTGAGAGCAAGAGAGGCTCACTGCATTTTTAGATACAAGCAACTGCATTCCATTTATTCAAATTCATCAGATTTCAAGACGACCACAAACTTCAAAACTTGCTGTGATACAGATTTTTTATATATCATATTACTTGATCCATCAAACAGGGTAGCAGTTATCTTAAACCTCTTATTGGGGTTTAAAACTTCTCAACATGTTTGTAAAAAGAGATGGTGAGATGATATGAGTGTGTCATTGAGCAGCTTTTGTAATTCATGACTCTGAGAGCTTCCCTTGTGAAAGTAAGGCTGAAACTCCTTACACCCTCCTGAGCTTGTCTGTTTATGACCTTTCACCTTATGACCAGAACTAATGCCAACCTTTAGTCTGACCTTTGTATTTAGACAGATGGAGATCATTCAAAGCTCCAGCCCAGTAACTGCCCCTCTTTTTTGGTCCAGAGCACACTGTGCATGTCTTGCTCTGAAAACTTATTGTTATTATTATTATTATTATTTTGTTTCATACAATAAAGATTTATCCAAAATAATAAAGTAAATTATTTTCAATTGACTTTTGTTTATTTTGACTGAATTAAAATTTAATTGCTGAAAACTTTTTAGCAAAATATTTTGATTTTATGCCCTTTTAGCTGAATTGTACATATACATTTCATCCAGCATTAAAAAGGAGAAAAATGTTAAAGTAACTTTTTTATTCTTGATTAATGACTAACTCATTACTCAAACATTTTGTCCATTTTTACTCCCTTCTGGAGTGTGGACATACCCACAGGTACAAAGACATGTATTTTTCTGTGCTCTTGTTTGTCATAGTTTCTTAAAACTCCAAACAAAGGTGAAGGCGGAAGGTTGAAGTAATACACTGTCTGTTCCCCAGGGAACGAGAAGCTATGGTTGGCCTCTGAGGCCTAAGGACACATTGTCTGGGTCATTGTCAGGCCACTGTCTGTCTCCACCTCCCATATGCTCCCGACAGTGGTTCAAAAGTGGTTAAAGCTTTATCCTAGTATGTCAGTTGCAGTGGCTTGGTTTGGTGTGGCTGTTACTTTGATTTATAGCTGCTGTTTCAGACTTTGAATTGGGGTTCTCAAAACAGCAGCTGTTTAAGTCCTCTTCATAAATAGTGAAGCACAGTTGACCCTTTTTTGACCCTTTAAATACTCTTACAGTTTGGCTTAGTTTTAGGGCAACAAAGACAGCACTTCACAGAGCTTTGAAATGGATCCCTCAGTCTTCTTATTTCATTTTTTCTCTGTTAGACTTTAGCTGTGCTGATCTAGTTCCTAATTTTAGACCAACTTGCTTCTCTGAAAACTTGATTTAGATGTTAAGTGATGAAAGCCTTCACTTGGTTAATAAAATAAAAAATAATGATGACGATTATGAGAACAGAGAGTCATCTGCTGTAAATGATTTATTTATATATCAAGCTAGCAGCCTCTGTTTTGGAACACCTCTGATGGTGGCATCGGTAGTCTAACTGCAGTTCTCATAAGCCTTGTAGTATAACGGTTGTTTTCACTTCTGTGTAGCTTTTGAGAAGTGTAGATATTTTACTGATCTGGTTGTGTCCACAGAAGTTCCAATTCCCACGGTAAAGTCGAAGTCACATGAAGTGCTCTGTCATGGTCTTGCATGAAGTCACTGCATCCCGCATCCCAGCAATTTGCAAACAGCAGATATCCCAGCATACATTCACCTTAAGAGGGTCATACACACACACAGTTGATGTCCTGATAAGCTAACACATAACTAACCCCCAGTAACCAGTCTGTGAGAACATGCCCATAAATTCTTAACGGCTATTACAGGTCAAATAACTGGAAAGAAGCCTGCCATAATTAGAGTTATAAAAGAGGACTTGAGACTTGGATTAAGAGAACGTGGGACAGTACAGTTGAAGACGAGCTTGTGCAGTTAGGACAGTGAAGCAGTGACAGCAATGAGACTTCACCCTAGGACTCCCCGGTCGTTTACTGATTCTTAGTTGACCTAGCTTTCAGTGTTTGGATCTGACCGAGTCTGGTCCTCTGCCAGTCCTGGGTCACCATGGCCTGCTTGCTCACGTGGCTGTATTCAACTCAGCTGGATCCCCACAGGGTGCAGAGGGGAAATTTGAGTCCTCATTGATGATAGAGACCACAGTGATAGAGCCTGCATAGATCTATGAAGGTACTTACATTATCAGGCAGGTTGGATTATTTTTTACCCAGACTGCTGTTTATGGTTTCAAAATGTATTGGGGTTACATTGGCTACAGTAAAGATTGATTTCATTGATGAAGTTTCCAGGCTGTGTCTTTGAGTTAAACTTTCTCATGTTTCTTGTTGAAATTTGTTGATGTTCTGTTACTCTGTGCTCTGGAAGTCATGAAAACCTCACCCATGATCTCTAAAAATGTTGCTGCCTTTTGTTAAAACTGTTTAGTTGTATAATTTATGCCCTCTTTGAACCTATTCATTACCATTAGTTGCAGTGGCCTGCTGTGCCTGGCGGCGCTATTTGTGAGAGGCTATTGGTGACAATAAGGGAGGATTTTCCCTCTGTGGTGATTGTGTCTGAGACAGTGGAGCAGTGTTCAGGTTAATCCCTTTAATCTTCATTAGCATAGTTTGGTTACCAGTCTTTACAAGTGCTTGGCACACTCAGTTTGACCTGGCAGCTATCTACCAGTGTTGCCTGCTCTATCACGAAATCTTTTCTGCTAATACCCTGTTATACATGCACATAAAACAGGCTCACAAATGTATTGCCAAGTAGAAGGTTCATGCATAAGATAATGACCCAATTGAACTTTGGTGGTTGACCATTGTCTCCAAGTTGCAGTCTTAATCCACAAATGTTCAGCCAAGATTACAGCCCCCTGTTTATCCAGTATTTCTCTTGTCTGCTGTCAGCATGGTATCCATTTAGTCCCACAGGAGGCCTTACTGGCTGCCTCTGATTTGGCCTTGGCCCATACTGTCGGCTTTGGCAGTGTAATTTCCCCTGACAAGCTGAGTGTTAGCGCTCATCCTGTTGACCCTGTTGGTGTAATTTGGTTTCTGGTGAACTTGTCTACCACCATGTCGTGCTTCTGTATGATTTATCTGACTGTTTCAGTCTGTTCTCTGTGAAGGTGTCCACACTGAATAGATGTATATCAGATTGGTCCAAAGTGTAACCAAAGTCTTTTCAGAGGTGGTGCTTGTTGGGTTGCAGGTTCATGTGATGGGTAATCCATCTACATGATGTCTCGAAGACATTCATTTTTTTAGGACAAAGTTCAAAATATAATGAAGCTTTTCATGATGTGGGCTAACACAGATTGTTTATTTGACTTAACCCATACAACCACTCCACTGACTGAATCAAGCACGAACCTGAGACCAAAAAGAGTCTGTATGTATGTAATCGTTACAAAGACCCAGCAGTGCCTTCACCTTTCTGTCTGCACAATCATATTCCTGCTTTTGAGGCACAGGTAGAGGAGAGCAGCTGAGAAAAATGCACCAAAAAGGAGATCAGAAATATCAAAGGCTGACATTTTTAAATGAACCTTCAGTCCTTTTTATTTGTCTGCAGCCTATTGAGCTGCCTCTGAACTGCAGAGGAAATCACTCTTTTGTTTGACTAGTACATTTACATATTGCAGTTAATCCGGACTGTCCGTATTGTGATTTGGTTGAAAAGGAACAGATCACCTGCTGTACCTGAATAAATTAATAAAGTCCATGACCACAGGTAGATGGAAGCACTTGCAGAGAAACTGAACAGCAGGATTCTTCTTACCTTCTTTTTTTCTATCTCTTTTTTGTAGTTTAACATTCCCTTCATTTCTCTGACAACCAAATGATTAAGGTATAGGGCTGGGCGATAAACCAAAAAATTTACCAATACTGAAATTTACAAGAATATATTTATATCAATATATTTGGTGTCAAAAAAATAAAAGTTGGTTTTAGATGTGTGTAGGTAGACTATGGTCTCATGTCCCTTTAATAACGCTGTCCTATGCCAGAGACATGACTTCCCCCGCCCATCCAGTCTGTAACAAAGAGGGAAAGACAGGTGAGGAGATGGAGGACAGTTCAAAAGTTGTAGCGGCTGAAGTAGACAAAGTTAATGTGGGAGGGGGTGAGCAGCTTGTGGAGTAGTCATCGTCCATTTATCGTTATCTGCTCAATGAACTGCTCAATATATCGTGATAGTATTTTGAGGTCACATCGCCCAGCCCTATTAAAGCGTGCCATCAGCATGTGTCTGTTTGCTCTCTGCCCCCAACAAACTAGAGGGAAGATATTTATAAGAGCTGAAGAGGAAAAAAGACAAGGCCTGTCTAGTCCACACACAACACTTACTCTGTTTCTGTTGAAAGCTGTTGTATTTCATCTGTGATGCAAACCCTCAGTGACTAGTTCAGGCGGGAAAAAGTGCTTGTCATCTGAATATTTTAGAAGAAGAAACTATTTAAACTGGTCCCCTTGCTTTTGATTGGGCAGTGAGGGTGGACAAACTGATATGTTGGAGGAAAATACAGCAGTGATGACTCAAAGGAAGCTTGTCGGACTGAAATGAATAAATCATGACTTCTTTGAGTAAGCTGTATTTTGACAGAAGGCGGTGAAACACTCAGATAAAACAAAGGTGCAGCAGCATCCACACATCTGTCGATTTTAACGGTAACAATTTGAAATAGTAAATAATTTATTTTAACACTTCACCACTGGAAGCTCATTGTGTTTTTTCTTTATTTATTTTTTTGGTGCCCTCCTTTTGTTTTGTGCATATTTGATGTCGAACCTTTTTAATTAACACTTTTCTTTCTTTTTGTCTTTTAGTCCTGTGTGCAAAGAACCTGGCAAAGAAAGACTTCTTTCGTAAGTAAAGCCTATTTTTACATGTTTCTATTCCTGTCCCACTCCCTCCCTTATGCATCAGAATGGGCTTTGTCAGCTGGAGCAGCTTGTTGGCTTTTGAAGCCACACTGCTCATAAAAGTCCCTTAGGAGAGGTCTGTCTGTTCTGAACACCTTTAGACTTGGCACACAGAAGGAGCCACTGATAACCCTACATGTAGTAAAAAAAAAGTATCATATCCACTAAAATACAAAATTCTTCAGATTTTATCAAAATAAGAAAAATCTTCAATCAAGCTGGACAGAAGTTACATCTGATAATGTCCAGATCCTAACCAATACTTAATGCCGATAAAATCAATAGATGTTACAAATAATAAAACATGTCATCCTTTATTTATTGTTGACAAATTAAGAATATTTTCTTTTTTGAGAAAAGTACAAGAGTACAACATCTGGGTTAATGGTATAAGTGTGAGCTAGAGGTGCACGATTAATCGATTTTAAATCAGAATCGGATTATTTGATTATGACGATGTTAAAAAATGTAAATCATCAAATTGATTTTCCACTCTATCATGTCTCGTACCTGCAGGCCACCGTAGGCTCCCCCTTCCTGCAGGACCGCCTCCCAGTTCCCACACAAACCAGTTTAAACAAACATGACATTTGCAAAAGAGGGCGATTATTTTGTTGCTAAAAGGGGCAAGAATAAGTCAGTCGTGTAGAATTAGTACGGCTTTGCAGTTTTGGATGAAGAGCAAACCACTCCCCACTGCAAAGTCTGTCTGGAGGCGGTATTAACTGTTTCATCCACACGGAAGCCACATTTTGGGTGACAGTACTTTTTGGAAATGGGTCAGAGAGTGCATAAATCTGTAAACGACTACCATTTCATCTTCGTGTGGATACCTATCTGCGTCTCTCTTGAAACGATTATGTTGCACACAACATTTTTTATGGCGCCTGCACGTGTCCATCCAAAACAACCTTAATACGCATGTTCTGTACTCTTCTTCTGTCTTCTGTGCATTTCCTCCACAGTGTTACAGCGCCACTTACTGGCTTGGCATATGCACTACATCGTTTTCGGTGGTTTCGTTTTGAGAGATAATGGAAAAACTTATAATTAGAGTGAAGTTTGGTGAAGTTGTCACTGAATAAAAAATCGAAATCTAGTTTTTTAGAAAAAAAAATCGGGATTTTTTTTGGGGGGGGCAAAATCGTGCAGCGCTGGTGAGCAAAGTTTTTTATCCTTTTAAGAACTCAATCCAGATGGGAGACTGTAATACTATGATCCCACCGAGCATTTTTTGGTCTTAAAGAGGTCTAATAGACGTCTAAATTTAGCCTAGACGATGGTCTAAAATCAGGCTACCACAGGTCTAAAAATGAAAGTTTTTTCAGACGTCTGAATTTGGACCAAGTTCAGACTAGCCGGCTAACAGAGGTATAACTGTATATTGCTCAATGGCTATCATAATTATTTTGGTTAACTACTTGAAGATCAGTTATGCAACTCACAGTTGCTTTTTGAAATAAATAGTTATTGAATATTGGGTTGAAGTGCAACGTCTAAATTCTGTCTAAAAATATACAGAATCTAGACAGTTGAAATTAGGTCTAAAAAAAAAACTAGACGTCTAATAGCCGTCTGTTGCTCAATGGGATGGGACTGGCTTGGATAAAACACACAAGCAAACAAACATACAGTGCATAGATTAAAACCCTGATTGTCTGGGTCATCAGAGGTAGGAAGGATAATGTTTGCTTTCTGGGTTCTTTTCCTTGATAGTTGACTTTTGGCTTTAGGCTGTTAGACACTTAAGTAAGCTAGACACGATCCTTCCTGTGCCGTTGGCAAAATTGTAAGATGAGATGAGCTACTTGGTTTCACCATGAAGACATTTCTCACAAAAATTACCCTCAAGGAAGCCACACCTTTATACCCCAGTCGCTGGTTATATTTATGTTAAACGCACTAAATTGCAGTTGCAGGAATATTTTTGGCAGAAGTTCCTCAGTGGGAAAGTCACGGCAGCTTTATTTTGGTCTTCAGCTCATGCACACACAAGTAGTGTCACATGAAAGAATAATGGCGACTGAACAGGTTTGACTTGTACGAAGTATCGTTGCCAAGAGGTAAATACTCTTGACACATTTGAAATACTCATGTATGCATGCATGGTCACACAGAATACCTCTGATGACCACACAAAGAAGAGTCCCGTATCAGATGTCTAACTCCGTAAGACTGGGAAAGAGCCAGTCTGTTTGTTTTACAGTTGCTGTTGATACAGTACACACAAACTGAAATGAAGAAAGAAAGCAGCACAAGAAGAACAAAGGGGCCTTAATAAAACTGATAATCAGGTCAGTTAATGTTTATTTAAAAGGCCAGTGAGCTCACCTGATCAGAGTGACTCATGTATGAATGACTCTCAACAAGCAGGACACACTGTCAATAGTTTTTCTTTATTTTTAAAACAATATTCACAAAGCCAAATGTTCAAAATACTACCAAGGCAACAGCAACTCAAACACAAAGGTACCATCAGTCGGCATGTTTTATGACAGGCACACAGTTTGTCTTCATAGCTCCATTTCTGGCTCAGATACATTTGCAGCATTACTTTTTTTTTTTTATTAAATGAATAAGACCAAACTTTAGTTCACATAGCTTGAAGTGTTTCCACATGCTAAACAAAGATGTAAAAAGAGCAATCTTACAAAATAAAAGCACGTCACCTCAATTATGAAGCAGTACGATCAAACCCCCTTTCTCCAGGCAGATAATATCAAAACATAGACTGACAAACATTAAAAAGATTGACATCAAATTAAGCTGATCGCTTTTGATAGTCCCCCTAAGTGTGGTCCCCTGACATCAATCACTCTTCCTTTATTTTCTTTTTGCGGCATTCCCTCTCTCTGCTAAATTATGATTCAAACACAGCATTTACTTCCAGGAGGGTTTTTTTTAAGGGTTTGTGCCATCCATGTTGTAATTGTTCGCAGTTGTGGATTTGTGGAAAATAGTATTCCACCTCAGCAGTTAGAAAGTAGAATAAAGAATTGTAGGCCAATATCTTTGCTGCATTCCAGTTACCTCGGAAGTTGGATGTCGGAGCTTGGAATGATGTTACACCCAAGTTGCTTGCCTTGTGCGAATATAACAAGGACAAGGCAAGCGCTAAAATAACTTTCCTAGATGTAGCCATCTTGTTTCCGCCTCCGTTTCGCTTTTTTCTGACTTGGTAACTGAAACGCTGGTAATTTGGGTGTGACATCATTTTCAGCTCCAACATCTGACTTCCTAAAGCCTAAAGGAATAAAAAAGGAATGAGATCGATCATAAATTCTTAACCAAAGTAACTTTAATGCAAAGTGTGAAGGACCCATGTTGACATCTCAAGTCTTTGTAAATATTGGATAACACAGACTAATTTGTATATGGGACAAACAGAGGTCAAAAGTATACATGTTTTGTCCTTTGTAATGAGAATAATTCTAATAACGTTATTGAGGTATTCAAGGTATCTGTTTCCTCACAGGGTTGCTATGGTTGTCAACAAAGCTCATCATATTGTTTCTCTCTGCTCTAATAGGGCTGCCAGACCCTTTTGCCAAAGTCGTGGTGGATGGCTCAGGACAATGCCACTCAACAGATACTGTGAGAAACACGCTGGACCCAAAGTGGAATCAACATTATGATCTGTAAGTCAACAAGAGCAGAATGACATTTCTGCCGTATACGCTTCATTTACGAACAAATGAGGCAAGTGTTGTGTGTGTGTGCTTTTGTGTACACCTAGTTTGAATAGGTAAATAAAGCATTGTTGTCACAGAAATGCAGCATGCTGGTTTTGCTCGCCATAATATCTCCGCGCTGCTATGACAAGTGTTTGAGGAATGTGGATCGAGTAGCCCCTTCACTGTGTGCAGAAACACCCTTCGATAAAGCCTTTCAGAACAAAACATCTTGTCAAGTCAGATTTTAGACATACTTTGTCTCAGACCTCACCAATACATGCAGATGTGACCTTTTGTACTGGCTTCACACAATATGAGAGCTATTTTTAGTCATCGGTCTCCGGACAAAGCCAAGTATCAGCTTCCAAGAATTTCAAAATTTTACAATTATTTGATGATGAAGAATTAAGAAATATAGGAGAGGAAAAAATACTCAATGACTTCTTAAAAACCTGAAAAACATTTAAACAAAATTCAATAATTTTATTGTCTGTAGCCATAAGACACTACTGACTGAATTAAGTCTAACACAAAGTGCTCCTTTGAAACTGTGTTCTTGACTCAGTAGAGGGAGGAGTGTTTTCACCGAGGCTGTGTGCTGTGACTGTTCATGTGCTATGTCGACAGGCCGTTACAAGGAGCAATTACCCCAAAGGACCCACTGGCAACAAAAGCTTACTTATAGTGATGACAGATGAAGGGAAACAGTGTTGATAGGAGAAGGAATAAGGAGCAAGGAGGTCTGAGAGAAAGAGCTGGAAATTGTTGTGAAGGGACTGAAAAAGGCTATGAGGCGCAGGTAAAAAAGGGTTTACAGATGCATAAATCAAACAAGGATGTAAGTGTACTGTTATGGGATGAATTATGTGTTGAATCATTTGTTTGCAAAACTGAAACTGTAAACAGAAAGCGATGATGTTTTGAGTTTACCATGGATACATCTTTCCTGTCTAATTTCACTCGCTCCTGTTTTACAACGTTATTCATGATCTGTCTGCGTTCACCTCAGTTTGCCACTGTCTTCCACATTAAACTCTGCCCACTTCCGCACTGATCCGCACTATCTTAAAAGAGTGTTGTTTCCCGCCAGTGACCCCTGGCCTCTTCCTCTGGTTTAGGAAATGGCCAACATGCCACAGAGAGCAGATGAGAGTGTGGGCTTGGCTGGTTGCCATCTCCAGTCTTCAGTGTTTGGGGTGGGAGTGGGGGGTCTTATCCTGCCAGGGGCTTGGATAACTTGTGTTTTACACCGTAGAAAGCTAAACCAACCATCTTTTAGTTGAAAGGGCATGAACTCACAGTAGTATGTGGGTCTGGTTTTGGCAAGTTCCCTCCTCATACTTGGTGTCCAATTTCCTGCCCTTTCAGTATAACTATTCACTTTGCTTTGGTTGGAGAGTCAGACGGGATTTCTGCTTGCTATGATTTTACTTTTGATTAAATGTTGTGTATGTCCTGCTGTGCATATCACATCTCTTTAAAACACAGCCTGCTTGAGTGACCTTTTCAGTCTGCAGACATGTTGTCTAACAAGATTTGTTTTGTCACCTGTAAACTTTACATCTTGGAGTCTTCTGAGGCCTTCACATACAGTTATGAAAAACGCGCTGAATTCTTAATTTTGACTGATATTTGTTCAACTCTAAGTTTCTCCTCATTCCATTCCTTTCTGCAGTAAGTTGGCACAGAACTAGAAATGCCAGCAGACGTTTGTGTCAACTTTTTTGTCTTAGTCTTGGACTTCAGTTTTTTTTTAATTCATAATTTGGTTACACTATGTTCACAAAATGCTTGCCTTCCAAGGCCAAATAACAGGAAAGGTCACAGGACAGGTTCTGCCACCTTCAAGAAGCACTCATGTAGGGCTGGGCGATAAACCAAAAATTTACCGATACCGAAATATACGACAACAATCGACATCATTCTGCCCATATCGATATATTCTGTGTCAAAAAATAAATAAATAAAAGTTGGTTTTGGATGTGTGTAGGTAGGCTGTGATCTCATGTCCCTTTAAGACGCTGTCCTACATCAGAGACGTGACTCCACCCCATCCAGTCCATAACAAAGAGGGAAAGACAGGTGAGGAGATGGAGGACGGTTCAAAAGTTGTAGCGGCTGCTGAAGTAGACAAAGTTAATGTGGAAGGGTGTGAGCAGCTTGTGGAGTAGTTATCGTCCATTTATCGTTATCGAGGTGAACTGCTCAATATATCGTGATATTGATTTGAGGCCATATCGCCCAGCCCTACACTCATGGCAGACACACTTGGACTACAACCAGGATCCATCATATTTTGTGTTGACTATTGCTTACGTATAAAGAATTTTGTATTATCAAAATTGGAAACATCTCTGGAAGCATGTGTGAGAAAGTAAAAAAAAACAAACATGGAGGTTCATTATATTTTACAGTAAAGGAATAATCTGTGTTTTGTAAAAAGAGATTGCTTTGGCATCATCATGGTAAATATAAATCAGATCAGGATACTCCAGATCAAAATCTACACGCTGATTTATATTTGTTTCAGAGATACTAAAAGCTTTTCAATGCAAACTTTGTCCAATCCAGGAAAAACATTGTGTTCTCTTCTGCTAAAATACACCTTCACTGGCTGGAAAACGTTTGGGAAGTCCTGCAGGTCTGGATTTAGACACTTATCTGGGAAGAGAAGAATATTTTCCCTTCCACTGCTGTTGTCTGTAGGAGTAGGAACGTGTGTGAGTGTGTTTGTGCACACATGTGTGTGATTTCCTAACCATGTTTTCTCTGCACATACTGTTCTGTTTGAGCTCTCAGTAAAATTTGCAAAGGAAGCCCCTGATGAGAACAATCTAACCTCTTACACTATCCTTACAATATAGGGTCAAAGCAATCGGTAAAAGGCTGCTTTGTTTTTTATATCAGGTGAAAAAAATATATTACTTCATTGGCTGTCTTACAACTAACACAATCCTGAGCGAGTGATTGATCCTGTAGGAGGAATTTTCCTGTGGGAGAGTATTTGATTGTAGATGTAGAACATTTTATCAATCATACTAACTTTATAGTGTTGTTGTCATAGGTCAAAACTGCTGAACTCTTGAATGTCTTTGTAAAAAAAAAAGGTTGACATTACAAAGCGAAACATCTGTGTCAAAGAGTGAAAGATAAAGTACAAGTGTGGAGATGCAAGTAATAGTTGGAGGAACATTGTGACTGATATCTTAACACTGTGATCTTTAGAGTTTATACGTTTTAAAAAGTCATAAAGCATAAAGATCCTTTCACACTGCGACCGTTTCTATCGTGCGATTATTTTGGACGCCAGTATTTTTTTTGAACCTGTATCCTGTCAATACAAGCGTTCACATCAGCGATGTTTTCCGTCCTGCAATATTGCAGCATTTATTTTTTCGGATCACGGTCGATTTTTGTAAAGTTTCACATACTGTGTGTCCACTTCTGACCAATCAGATTGCGTGTTGTTGCCGACCGACTGATTGTTTACGTGTCGGACAACAGAGTGCTTTTTGATAAAAGACACAAACATTACAAAGATAACGACCTGAAGGATGGTTTGTGTGCTTTAACAGTTTGCTAAACGTCTTTGTTTAACTTTTATCTGTGCGAAGTAACTTTAGCTCGTAAGCTAACATGTTCAGATACAACATACCATATGTATTTTCACTGTCTCAAACTCAATCACAGCATTGCTGTCACAGCACCATTAGGTCTCGGTTGTTACCTTACGTTTATGGATTATAGTTTATTGTGCTTATCTGGTACTGACCCCGACTCAGTACATGCTATCATGACAGACAGACATCTCAACACTAGTGTCTAATCAGAACTGAAAAACAGTCAGTCTGCTGTTGTGTCAGTCTTCTCACTTCCACCCGGGACGTGCCTTCCCCCCCCCGGAAAGTCGCAAAATCGCATCGGGCTTGATGTGTATAATCCGGCGCGTCAAAATTCGCCTCTGAATATTTCTTAATTTCACGTTGTATATTTGCGTCGGTCCCGGTGTGAAAGGACCTTAAGTCTGATTATGTATTGTGCAACCTTTTATCTCCTCTGCAGCCCACTCATTAAGACATGCTGAAGGATTACTCCCCTTTCAACATCTTGCCCCAACACCATATGAATCAGGATGATCTTAATAGCTGTGTTGTAATTTTGAACTCATGACCTAAAATGGTTTAGCAGACAGTTTTTTTTATTTCAAGTTTGGATAGAGTGAGTGAGATAAAAAGCTTTTGCTCAACCTTTCTTATCTTCAGACAGGGAGTCAGTATCTTGATGTCTGTATCAGTTCTCTTTTTGTGAATCAAGATGCTTGACACTGACCTGTAAATCCTACAAAAAGCACACTGTGAAGGTGAAAAGCATTAGATTAAATTTAGAGCACTGTCATGTCCCCAGAGAGGCCGTTAGAGTTGCACCACAGCCCCCACTCCCCAGACAGATGCTTAACAACACAGTGCTTGGTTCATCTGTTTTGTTTTTTTCTTTTCTAAAATTAAAACAGTTTCCCAAACAAGGATGAGCCAAGTCAGGTTTAATCTAAATGTGCTTAAAAGCACCGCTTTGATTAGTCACAACAGAGGAGTAAATACAGTCTACCTGGCTGAAGGGTTATTTCTCTGTGGACCAATAAGCAAAACTGTTTCCAAGTACATTCACTTTAATCCTGCTGCCATATTGTGATGTGATGGAAACAGTTTACAGGAAGAAGAGTCTGGGACAGCTTCCTTTAAGTGTATTTGGGTCTGTAATTATCTGCTCCCTGGCGTATTGGAGTTTAGATTTTCATTCACCTTTATTGGAAGAGAAAATGAATACTCTCGTAGTTATAAACAGTGTTGTTTCATCCAGTTAGAGTGTTAAATATCCACAATAAAGATAGAAATAAATGTGGAATAAAGCACAAACCCACCGAAACAGTGTTCACAAAAGCAGTTAAGAACATTAATATCAACCTTTACTCCAGTATCCTGATCAGATGTTCAGATACTTTGAATAATCACTGGACATTTGAAGATTTGAAACCCACATAGGTTGTAATTTGATTTCATTGCAGCTATTTTCCAAACCTTGATGTTTGAAGGGAAACCCCCGCTCGCTGCCAGAGATACAGAGTGTAATATAGAGCTTGGCATCAGCGCTGGCAGCTGGGCTGTAATTTTGTCTGTGTATGTGTGTCAGAGAATGCCTGATTGTGCATTTAAATGTTGAACTCTGTGTTTACTGTGAGTGCTGTCTGGGTCTCAGACTGTGGTGGAACATATCATGGGGACTTCCTCTCTTCTTCGACCACGACTAGACTGGCCACTGTACTAAATCTGCACACACACACACACAAGCAAATGCACACGAGTTGTTGTATAATCAGCTAATCGGCCTCATTACAGTCACAGAGTCTAAAACACCGTGTGCATTGTTCTTGTACTGCTGAGAAGAGTAGTAGACGAGATGCAGACAAGCAATTTTTATTTTATTTTTTGACATTTGGAAAATCATTTTTCTTAGCATGTCATTAAAAGTAATACGTTAACCCAGTCTTTTTGCTTCCCTGTCAGATACATTGGAAAGGCAGACTCAATCACCATCAGTGTATGGAACCATAAGAAGATCCACAAAAAGCAGGGCGCAGGTTTCCTGGGCTGTGTGCGCCTCCTGTCCAACGCCATCAACAGACTTAAAGACACTGGCTGTAAGTACCGTTTTGTGTTTATATGTACATAAATGCAGACTCGGCCTGAAATACTTGCGGAAATCTCTGGTGTCTAGTCCCCTCACGCTCCCTCTGTGAACCTCAGGCTTGTTAAAGTGTGATGGGGAGGATCCAGAATGAATAGATGAAAGACTGAGCACACATGTATGTACACCCTTAACTTAGGACTCATATTAAGACCGACAAATGTTTGGCTCAGACCTAGCTTCTCCAGCTACACACACAGACTTCTCGCCAGAGAAGCTTTCCTGTGCCTCTGATTTATTTGTATCTCGTATTTTGGTAGTAAGCTACCCTGCAGCATGCAGCATGTGTAGCTCCTTCAACAGTGTTGCTGTCAAGAGATTTATGGGCTCAATATTCAAAGACTCCTTGAGTCCACACTTATCAGAAATATTGCCCGCTGTATATACAAGCCACCTGGGACTAAATCAATAACTACAAATCACTCCACAGCAATGCAGCGTTCTTTCAAGGACACAATCACTTTTGTTTTTGGAATCAATCACAGCCCCACCAAGAATATATGGTCAGTGGTCAGAGACAGCAATGACTTTCCACAGACACACCCACACACAGACCCAGATTGTAGGTTTGAGACATGTATGGTGTTCTTTTGATTTACTCTGTAGGACTGGCTACTTGCCTGTTAGCCCTGTCTGCCTTGTTTGCAGCAGCAGTCTTTTGATACTGACACACACTAGGGCTGGACGATTATGCAGGGCTCGACAGTGCGACTGTTTCACACGTGTTTGCGATTAAAAATAGTAAGATGTATTTAGGGGCACATGTGCGCATAAAAAAAATCAACCGAAGCAACAAATCTTTTTTCATGTAAATACCGCAGTGAAGTTGGTATTAGGTTGAATATTCGACGGACATTTACTGAGGATCTACCAGTGTCTTCTCACTCTCCATAACCGGGAATAGCAACAGCAGCGCGGTTAAATCTACTCAACGTCAGGTGTTGAATAAGGGACCATCAATAAATTACCGGTTGATGTTCACAAAAAAGGCTGTTTTCCTTCAATAGCTTCCATGTCATGTGACCAAAAGACCTAAAATTGATTTCAAATAAGAGTACTTATGTTGACCAATAAGGCGCACATTATTTGATCAATTTTCATTGTGCCTCTAAAGTTTTTGTGTGCTCCTTACTTTTTCAATCCTTACTTCTAGGATTAAATGTGCTCCTTGTGAAAAAAGTTAGTGTCAAGCCCTGTCATGGCAAAAATAATAATTGCGATTATTTTGACTGATATTGAAATCACGATTAATAAAGACGATTATTTGTGGCAGGTTGAATTGATGGCAGATCAATTGCACACAGAGAAAACCCTAAAGCGTGACAAACTTTGTAAACAATTGTCTTTTGCTCAACGTCCATCAAATTAAAGCCAAAAAACTGAACTTGTCCTACCTTACTTCTCAACCAAAAGCAGGCCCTTCTAACAATGTTTTTAATCGCTTACTTGCTCCTCATATTAGTGATCCAAACATATCACACGCTTGCTGTAGCTACACGTAAAAGGGGTGCATTCAAGGAGTTTTTCCAGCACAGGAACTTACATACACGCCACACCGTGCGGCACATTGATCGTCTTTATTCGATTATAATGTTTTTATGATAGTGAGAAGCCATAACTGAAATCATGGTTAAAATTTGATTAACCACCCGGCACTAACACACATGCACGCACACACACAACTTTCAGCCAACCTCCCCCTTCCCCTTCCTTCCCCTTCCTTCCCCTCACTCTTCTTTCCATCAGTCCATTTTCCTGACCAGTCCAAAACTCAGTCAGACATGAACCAGGATCCCTACACTGAGATTCATTCGTCCTGCTTTTTCCTTTGTATTCATTCATTTATCCTACACAGTTACGCCCCACAACAATTTTAGAAGTTGTTTGTTCGACCTAAATTGACATTTCTTGGATAAATTTCAAACCAAACCCGTTTTTGGATGCCTCCATGAATGCATGCAGTTTTGCTGGAACAGATGCAACATCCTCTAATGCCAACTCCAAACAGTTGGGCTAAATACTTCATACTAGAGTCCTGAATAAGCTCCAGGAACCTTTTATGTTCGCTACTAAATGGCACTTTTGGGTCATAAAGTTCACCCTCTAATCTGCCAGAAACCACAACAGCGTCAGCGGTGCTGCATAGAGGACCTCGACACCCATGGCAGCCTGGTATCACATTTTTACTTCAGTGAATGCAAAAGAAATTGCCCTTAAATTTACCCACAACTTCCAGACACAGACAGTATAGGCTCCATACAGGCTCTAGAAAAACCACTTATTGTGGAGCCAAAATGGCAGAAATTATACTCTATCAAAGTAACAGGAAGTGGACAGGGAGATATTCTATGACATTATCCCACTGTCCTTATCCTGTGTGCAGCAGACACATGAGCGGTGCCAAGCCTGTGGTCTGACCCAATTGTGCATGTACACACACACACACACACACACACACACACACACACACACACACACACACACACACACACACACACACACACACAGACAAAGACAGACAAACAAGCTAAAGGCATGATCACACTGACACACACACACAAAGACTTACTAGAAATGCTCTTGGTCCTAGAAATCACATTCACGCTCACAGTACATTTTGTCATCCAAAGCAAACACAAAGTCACACCAAAGCCTGTCAATCCTACACACACATACACACACACACACACACACACACACACACACACACACACACACACACACTCTCTCTCTCTCTCTCTCTCTCTCTCTCTCTCTCTCTCTCTCTCTCTCTCTCTCTCTCTCGCTCTGTCTCTCTCTCATCACAGAGGGGGATTCTGCATGGTTGTTGCATTGTTAAGCTCCACTTACTGTATTTTTCGCACTATAAGGCGCACCTGGTTAAAAGGCGCACCATCAATAAACGCGTCTATTTTCATACATAAGGCGCACCGGATTACAAGGCACATTAAGCCAAACAAAACAGTCAAACTTTATTTCACTCATTCAATAACTCTGCAAGTCTGCTGTAGCTGCAGTGCTCCGACAAGCCAAAAGGATTTTAAGTGCGCCTTAAGGTCCTTACACACCGGGGTTGACGCGAACATAGAACACGAAATCACAAAATATTCAGAGGCGAATTTTGACGCGCCTGACTATACACAACAAGCCTGATGTGATTTTGCGACTTTCCGGGAGGAAAAACGCATCCCGGGGAAGACTTTTCCCGCCCCCTTCGCCTCTGATTGGCTAGAAAAGCTGGAAACGTCATCACACACTCAAGCCAAACAGTCAACACTTATAGCCAATCAGAGGCGAAGGAGGGCGGGACCTTCCCTTAACAACCAGCGTCCCGGATGGAAGTGAGAGGACAAAAATGAAGTCTACTTCAGCTTCAGGTGATGGCGAATTAGTACTCCATTTGCTCGCACGAATAAAACTGTCCCGGTGTGTAAGGACCTTCATAGTGCGAAAAATACGGTACCTTAACATTGCAAACAAACTTCTACGTCCTCTGCACCTCTCATCTCTGTTTCCCAATCTTTTAAATAAGTTGAAAACACTCCAAAGTCTGTGTGGTTGTTTATTTTTGTGCGAAAGTGTTGAAATAGCTTTTTTTTAATTCACTTTGATGCTGATTAGGACACTGCTGATACTTCAGTTCTGCATGTATTTGCATCCATAAACGCACATGCAGAGACAGGCGTGAATTTGCTCATTTCACTGATTCAAATCTTCTACGGTTCAAGTGCCTTTTGCAGATTTGGATTCTCAAAATGAGAGTTTTTCTGATTCTGAGAAATGTAATGGCTGGTTGAAAAATTGTGGCAAACAGCCTGTCAAAGGTCTGTCTCCCTGTGTACGTCAGTAGAAAAATTTGCTCACAGAGGCGTCCATGACTGGTTTGTTTGGTGTAGATATGACCGGATACACACACACTCACACACAACCGATCAAACATTCGGTTACTTATTGAAACAGGCTACAGGCTTGTTCAAAACTGCTCAGTTCATGATTACAAATAGAATCACCATCTCAGTGTGTTCAATCACAGAGCGAACCAAAGACATGACAAATCCAGTCCAGCCGTGGTTTTTAGTTTTAGCACTCTGAGAACTGGGGCATCTCTTCATCTCTCTTCTGCTCACTCACTCTGACTCTTCCTTGCCTGCATACCCCCCTACACTAACACACACGCACACACACATACAAACAAACACACACACTGCCTTTCTTATGATTGAAATTTTAGTTTTATTTTAAGTAAGCCCCTGCAGGCACAAAGATATTTTTTGGTAATGTGTACCAATTTTTATTACTCTTGTGTTGGTCAGCTGGACCGACAAGTTTCCCATTGAGATACTGTGTGTGTATGTGTGTGTGTATAACAGAGAGAGAGAGAGAGAGAGAGAGCGAGAGAGAGAGAATGTGTGTTTGGGGGGTGGGGGGGCTGCATATATCTGTGTCTGGATCTTGTTTGGAGTCTTCCTGGTTTGTGTGTCTGCGCTGTCTGTGTCTGGCAGCGCTATCCTGTCCTGACAATGAGTTCCTACTGATCCAGAAACAACAAGACCCCTTTCAGGCTTATTTGTACAAATTTTCTGTTTCAGTGTGTCACCTGCTTTCTACTCTTTCCTTCCACAAAACAAGATGTGGTGCAGAGGCATCTGGAGGGTGGACTGTTCAGTGGAATATCTAAACCTACTTCCACGCAGAATATGATATATCTGATTTATGACTTTCTGCTTCAATACTGTGCTACTTGACTTTTGCATAAGATCATTGCTCTCTTGGTCCAATTATGAACAGGTGCTGCTCTTTTAAATCATGACGTCTTTACATTCATTTTTAAACACAAAAGACAGATGCATGCCATTTGTGCATCACTACCTACGTCACCCACTATCATGAGTGTTTGCCTGTTCAGTGTGTATTTGTTCCACCCTGGTGTGTTCAAGTGCACATTCCTGCCACATTACTTAAATTCATAAATGGGGTTTATTTATTATCCCGGCAATGTTGAAAAGGTTGCTAAAAATGTTCACTCTGAAAACTCCTCAGTGTTATCACATTGTAAACCCACTGACTGTACACTTTGAAGACACATGACAGTTTTCAAACTTTCTTATCTTTCACTTATTCCAGCTTTTCTGGACACTGTTTACAGTTGCTCAGGTTCCATGAAATTTTTTTGTGCAAAATATTTCAACAGTTTTTGCAAGGAATATGATTTTATATACATGCTTAAAATAAGTCGTGTTCAACAGCTTACACAGCAGCTCAATACCTTCATGAGTTTATGAATGTTAATGGAGGATGAGGCTGAATATTTGTGTGTGTCTCCTTTTTTTTCCCCTGCAGATCAGAGACTCGACCTGAATAAACTTGGTCCCAATGACAATGATACTGTGAGAGGACAGATAGTCGGTAAGAAAAACACTCAAATACACACACATTTCCAAACCATTGGTCATCATCAACCTATTTATGGACCAGTTAAGCCATGGAATCACCATACATTTCAGTATAATCACCAGTATTTGTCTATTAATGTATTCTTGTAGCTCTGATTTCATTGAGCGTTCAAACATTGAACCATAAAACAAACAATACTTTGTGAAAATGATTCCTTCATGTAAAGCTAAACAATTCTGCTACAAGCAAATGCACAGAGGAAGAACTCCCACTGACTGAGACTATGCCCTCTCTCTGGTTAGGTTTACCCAAGCACTGACCGTTTTTTCTTAATTTTTGCTTTACATTAACAGGGTTTTCTGCTGGGTCTTACAAAGTCTTAAAACATCTAAAATCCAATAACTTGAATTTAAGGCCTTAAAATGTCTAGAAAATTTTTAAACCACATAAAGTGTCTCAAATACAAATTTGAAAGATCTTAAAAATGTATTAATGTTACTTACAAAAAAAGATTGATTTGAAGTTAGTTAAAAATGTTCCGATTTCCCTTCATGTCTTTTGTACTTTTTTTGCCAGTATGGATGTGAAATGGATCTTAAAGTGTATTTATTATGGTCATAAAAAAAGTCTTAAATTTGACTTGTTGAAACCTGCAGAAACCCTGATTAAAGAAACAGCAGTTTATGTTTGAAATCTATAACCTGACAAAAAGAATAATTATCATCTTTTACATTCATTTGCTAAAATGTAAAAGAGAGTTCGACAGAAGCCACATACAATCAAGCTTAATTACAAACTGCTGTATATACTAAATAGAAGTTATTATTTGGGCCGTGTTGTACAGGTTAGTCGTCACAGATCTTTCTTTGTTTTTGTTTTACTGTGTAGTAAGTCTTCAGTCCAGAGATCGCATTGGTACAGGGGGTCCAGTGGTGGACTGCAGCCGCCTGTTTGACAATGACTTACCTGACGGGTCAGTATTATCTCTTTATTTCTCTCTTTATTGTTTCACACTGTACTTTTTCCGACATTGAGCCGCAACATTCTCAGTGTCTTCAAACAGACTTTGTGTTGTCGCTGAATTTGACGTCTGGAAGTGGTCCCTTTTTTTTTTTACCAATGCACCTGAAAATTTTAGGACATTTTCAGGAGCTCTGCAAACTTTTCAAAGTTGCTTGAAATGGTTACTTCATGATTGTAGATGGAGCAACAGAGACTTCTAATAAGATGGCAGTTTTTTACATTCTTATCAATTCTACATGGAAACAGTTGGATGTGCAGAAATCTTTGCTGTTCTGGTCAGACTTTGCATGAAGATTTATCTGTGTGTCAGATGATAATTATCTTTTCTGTGTTTTTCAAATGTAAAGGATCAAATGTTGACAGTGTTGTTGTAAAGGCATCATCTCAGATTGTGCAAGTATGATGCTTTTCATATTCAGACATATCCTCCTTTTGTTATCTAACAGATGGGAAGAGAGGAGAACAGCTTCTGGAAGGATACAGTACCTGAACCACATTACCCGAACCACGCAGTGGGAGAGACCCACCAGGTACATCTGCACACATCCTGCTCACAACATTACCGCATTATGTCTTGTAAAACTGACAGAAAACAGTGAGCCATGTCAACACAGAAACTGTCTATAGATCAGATTATGTTATCATAGACCTTTTTCCTGCCTACCAAATGTGCAGCAGCATGTTGATTTAATGCAAAACAAACATAAACTTTACTAAAAATTAGAAAGGAGAGCATCAATTTGAATGTTTTCCTTTTTCTCCTTGTTTCAGAAAAACAAAATACAAAAGAAATATCCACTCAACCTACGTCACAGTAATGTCTGTCTCTTATTAGTCAATTGCTGTCAGTTTCCTTGGCTTCTGACCCCATCACGCTCATACATACACACTTGCAGACACATACACCTTAATGAAAATGTCAGCCAGTCAGGCAGCCAGGCTTTTTTTTTTTTTTTTTTCTTTTTCCCAGCCCTTTTTCCCTCAGGAACAACTGTCGCCTTCCTAGTTGGCCCATATCAGTGGAGCCGTTAGGGGAGTAAGCAAACAAACAGAACAACCCCCCCCCCCCACCACCACCAGTAACACTGCCTCACCCACACTAACTACAGGTCTGTACTTCCCCCAAGGAAGTGTAGCAGAGCAAGGCTGGAGAGGTAGAAAAGGTTAAGTGGTGTTACATTAAGGGGGAAGAAGGGATGAGCTTGGAGAGGAAGATGACCCTGAGGGAATGGAGAAATGACAATGCTAGAAGTGAAGATCACCATATAAAGCACTTTTGGTCATTTTTTTGTCTTGTACATGTCTTGTACATGCAACATAAGGCCAAGACATTTACCTGCAAGAATTAGAAAATCATTTCTGAGATTGCTTTGATTTTTTTCTGAAGCAGTTTTTTTTTAATGGTACATAATCATTATCCAAATAATACAATTTATTACTGTAATCAAGTCCATGAAGTTGTTGTGAGGTGTAGATAGAAAGCAGTAGTTCAACAAAAAAGATGGAGTAGGCAGTGTAGATTAGGTGGTGAGGGGAGAGAAAGAGGAAATAGAAGGGAGGAAGAGTGTTTTAGGGGCAGGAAGTGAGTTGTGGGTCGACTGACAAGGGACCGAAGTTTAAGATAGCCAAGGCGTCAGTAACTTAGGTCAGGCAGACAGCGGTCAGACATGCCAGACACTCATATGTGAGTCAGTGGTTGAGCCTGTCTCTTTTTCTCTTTGAAAGTCTTGATGTTGAGAAGTTAACAAACAAAAGACGCTTTTACAGTCTTATGACAACTGTACTGAAATCCTAACAGTAACCATGAAGTAGATTAATGCTGCGTTCCAGTTACCTCGGAAGTCAGATGTCGGAGCTGGGAATGACGTTACACCCGAGTTGATGGCGTTCCAGTAAACAAGTTGGAAAACCAAGATGGATGCCTACTGTTAGCCGTTGTCAGTTGTTGTTAGCGGTTGTTAGCTATACCAGTTGTCAACAACGCATAACAAAACAGAAGTGCTAATAAATAATACATTACGAGAGCTTTTACTGCTACTCTTTACTGTTGATGCACTGCGCTGCCATCTTAGGTTATGACGTTGTTGTCAAATCAGTGTTGGTGAGCATTGTCCAACTTTCCAAGTCGGAAATCCGTCCTTGGGGGTCGTTCCAGTTTAAAGTTCTGACTCGAAGCTGGGATACCCCGACTTCCGAGTACAACTGGAACGCACCATTAGTATTGAGAAGTCATAACTAAATGATATAGATGAAAATGACCCTGAACCATGACAGCTAGGTGAGAAAGAAAATGTTATGGTTTAACTCAGAGGGACACTGTGGTGGAAAGTATAGATGGTTATGCTCATGGTTATGCCAAGTATGGATGTTTGTAAGGTCAGGTGGTAACCAGGAAAGTTCGACTGAGTATCCCCAGAAGTGTTCATGTCACATTGTCTCCAAACATTGTGAGATATTCTAATCTTGGCTGATCTCCCAGGCATCCTGTGTAGAGACTCACGCCTGTAATACACACACTATGGCTCACACTTGTAATACACACCTACTATGTTTACAAACACACAGTGTGACGGGAAGGAGAATGAGCGGGCACTTTTGAAGACTTTGGTCAGGACTCTGTTTGTCAGTTGTACTGATTTTTCATTAACATGCATGCATTTCTTCTTTTTCTCAGGCCGGCCTCGGAGTACTCCAGCCCATCAGGGCGTCCACTGAGCTGCGTAGTGGATGAGAATACACCAGTTATGACGCCAGTTAATGGGGCTGAGGCCAGTTGTCCACCTGGTGAACAGCGTATCCAGGAAAGGCGGGTTCGGTCGCAAAGGCATCGTAACTACATGAGTCGAACACACCTGCATACACCTCCAGACCTGCCTGAGGGTTATGGTAAGAAATACAAAACAGACACACACGTACATGATCCTTGTCAATGCTTATCTCCGATTCACATGTTACTTTTTCGACTGTGGCCTGCGTAGTGAGGCTCAGGGGGCGCAGCTTGGATTTGTGACATAGGAAATCTCACTGTATTTGAACCTGCCGTTTGGGTCTGTCAGAGATTCACAGCGATTTGAATGAAGAAATAATCAAAAATGCAATTTCGCACTTATTTTTCTCATGATATGTCCTGTAGCATCAGAAAAATGCCATATGAACATGTAAACAACAAAAAAAACATGATTTTCATTGGAGTGGGTCTTTGAGGATTCATGTCTGAACAGATTTTTGTTTCATTACCGGTTTATCACCTCTGTCTTTGATCCTGACTGAATGTTTTTCACTTGTAGTAACACAGTTTCAAGTATCAAGGAACAGTTTGCACCCTGAGGACCCCAGGTGAATGATAATCCTTAGCTGTTACATTAGAGAGTCTGCAAAATTCTTAAAGACTGATATTAAAAAGGCAACCAAACGTAAAGTTTCAGCCATGACTCACAAAAATAAATCACATATATAGACATAGTGGGATTCACGTTTTTTCTTAATGAGGACGATCAAGATTTGACACCCCTTATGTAAATTTTTTTTCTTCATCTCTTCTTGTCCATCTCTCAGCACTCTCCTCTGTACAAACCTACTTTCCTCTTCCCCTTTCCTCTCCTGCCCAAACTGTGAAAACTGTATTCAACCCTCCCTGTGTGTTAATGTGCTGCCGGTCCTTCTCCTCTCCCGTCCTCTTCTCATCTTCCTACAAACACATCCCTGTGTTGAATATTTTGTCTTTGCACACTGATTCTCCCCACAGTAAAAACAAGCAGGACTGGTGTTCATAGCTCGGTTACCTAGCAAGGAAAAGCCATTTTGGGTTGTTGGTTATTTTTTTATGTCTGCAAATCTTAGGCTACTCTTAATCACAGCCTGCAAACACATCAGAAATGAAAACATGGGTACAACTTTCAACATCAGGACATTTTTATGCACTTTTTACAGTCAGTTGCAGTGCACCCGTAATGCCCACAAAGTCTGTAAAACAAATTATTATTCTAAGTGTGGTGTTGTGAGCCAGCGTTTTAGAATGGCACTGTCGGTCTCATACCCCTTTGTACGTCCTGCTGTGTCCACCGAGTCTGGCCGAGGTTGGACAAAGTGAGTCACTGATGCCCAACAGTCACTTTCTTCCTCGACTGAACCCTCTGAACTGGGGCTGGGTGTGGTGAGAGCAAGCGTGAGAGAGAATAAGAGGGAGACGGAGGGTGTGAGGGAACAAAAAGAGGGGGAGAGGTGGGTAGGAAATGAGTTGTGCCAGTAGGAAGTGAGGGTGGTGGATTGTGATGGATTAGCGGACGAATATACACACATGAATACCACACTTATGCAGCACACACATTTTGTGGCAACGTTCACTCACTCTCTCTCTCACTCTCCACTCAGTTATGAGCTGGGCTGAACCAGAAGTCAGACAATCCAACTTTAAACCGTCATCTTCACATTTCTTTTGGCTGTTTGCAGAACATTATACAGTATATGGCATGAGTTGAGTGACGGCTTTTAAGCGTCTCGTTTTTTTTCTGAGATTTATCAGAGAGGAGTATGTTCAGAGCACCTACGAGCCTCTAAGAGGGAAAAAAAAAGCAACTAGGATGCATTGAGTAACTCTGTGTAAGGAAAAACACTCATGAAAGTCTTTGAAAAATACCTCTCACATTTATTTTTCCTCTTCCTCTTGGGATAGGCCAACTGAAGGCTGCAGAGGAACTAATTGATTACTTTGGCGCCCACCTTTAGAAACTCCTGTCCCCGCAGTTTGCCTGTCATATCAATTATAAGGAGACTTCACCTTTTCCAAAACACACAAACTCTTTATCCACGCTTGTACCCACCAGAATTCAGAACAGCTCCAGTTCCAGTAACACTTCCAAGCTTGTTTCGGTGCATTTTTTGCTATTTGACACTTTAATTCAGATCGATTTTCTCTCTGTTTCAGAGCAAAGAACAACTCAGCAGGGTCAGGTCTACTTCCTCCACACACAGACTGGAGTAAGCACCTGGCATGACCCCCGGGTGCCCAGGTAACTCCCTTTCAACTCCAAGTTTCCCTCCTTTATTGTTACGACTTTAAATTCCCTTTAAATTCAAGCTCATCAGAGGCTTTTATTATGAGCACAATTATCTAAACTGACAGAATATATTTCTAATCCTAATATGAAACCTTAATTTAATTCCCAAAACAGACAGGAAAAAAACTGAGCCTGACTGGGCTTGAACAGACCTAATTTCTCATGTAATTACTCAGCCTGATGTTCAAAAACACTCCTCTGAGTCAAGTTGTAGTCTCAAGTCCAGGTCAGCCAGTTTAATGACCCCTAAGTCCACTGTGGAACATTTTTTGGACAGATCTTGAGCTGAACACACTGCAGACCAGCGGCTCTGCATTGAATCGAACACTTTCACCCACTCTCAGTCGCCCACTGTTTTATTGTAGAAACAGCCACGGTTACATTTTTGGCCACTTCTCGGCGTCACTGATGCTCACTGATGAAGCACAGGAATCTAACATCCAGCTCACCGCATCGACCTGTGGGTGTGGTCTTTTGGAGTGAGCAGTTTTGTTGCAGTGAGAGCAGCGAGGCATGTGCTTTGTTCCCGAAAGCTGTGTCCTCGTGTCATTTAAGTACAAAGTACTTTCACAGACTCACAAACACAAACAAGTTCTCATTAGGTAATAACCGCCCAGATCCTCCAGTTTGTAGTGATAGGAGAAACACAAGAAGTTAGAAATCAGTGCAGATATTTTGTCAGTGCTCATCTAATTGGCTAAGCCCTGTTAACCTCCTGAAAAGGAAAAATCCCAACTACATGGAGCAGTTTGTACAACATTAAAGGAATATTCCAGCATAAATTTAAGTTAAGGTCAAACACACTGTAACATCCAGTTAGACTCCCCCTTGAAAGATTAATGTTGCCGACTGCTTGCTTCTCTAGTTTACCAACTAGTAACTAGTAACAATGGCTATACACAGCGGTCCAAGTCTTCATGCACAAACCTCAACGAAAAAGCCGCTTTATATCCACAAATAATGCTCAGAACAGCACCTAACTTCATCAACAGTACATATAGGGTCCTAGCCGCAGTACTAGCCATCAAGCATCTTTTCAGCTTTGCCTGGTTTCTTTAGCAAAGAGACTAAACACAACCCACCCGCTCTCCTCCAGCAGCCGCTTGTTTGTGGGGGAGCCCTGACAAGTCGATCACCAAGTGTAGTGGAGTTTTGCAGCTTAATGAAGAACATTTATGATCATTTCTCCTTGGAAATGCAATCAGACCGAGACGCTAAGGCAGAAGAACTACCGCGTCTGCAGTGCAAATACTTATTATGATGATTATTACTTCATGGAAATGATCCACTGCAATACACGTAGACTGCTGTGTATTGCTGTCGTGCGGTCGTTACTGAAGTTGGTATAACTAGAGAAGCAAGCAGTCAGCAATATTCATCTCTCAAGGGCGTGTCTAACTCGGTGTTATGGTGTGTTTGATCATAACTTAAATTTATGCTGGAATATCCCTTTAATGTGCAGTTATATATTTATTGTCCATGTCTTTTAAAAGAAAGTTCATGACCTTTTTTTTTTCTGCAGGGATCTCAGTAATGTGAATTGTGAGGAGCTGGGTCCACTGCCACCAGGTTGGGAGATCAGAAACACAGCTACGGGTCGAGTCTATTTTGTGGACCACAACAATCGAACAACACAGTTCACAGATCCACGGCTATCAGCCAACCTGCACCTAGTTCTCAAGTGAGTTTTTTGCCCTCTTCTCTAATACTCTTAAGTAGTCGGGTCAAGTATGCAACCACCGACAGTAGTTGCATTGATGAAACACAAACTATAACAGTAGCTCTCTAAAGTTATGTCCTAACAGAAATAGAAGGTAAAAATAAAGTCAAATGAGCTGCAAAAAAACAAAACAAAACACGCAGCTCATAAGAATCATGCTGTCCTGGCATCTTTTCCACATTCAGCCTTCAAGCAGGCGTGATATTCAGATGAGTTTCAGGGACACTCACTGCTGAGGAGTGTTAGCAGGATGGTTCGCAGATTATTGTTTCAGACGAGGTTCACGCTCACACACCGCCTGTCCTGCGAATGGACCTGATGACTCCTGTCTGGGAATGCTGGAACAACCCGAGGAAAAGGGAAAACTGTTTGGAAATCTGTAGCACACTTCAGTCATGAATCCACAAGCAAGGAATATGTCTTCTGTAAGATGATAGCTAGTGACTGTCTTGGCTTTGTCAATCTCACCAGGAGTTTTTTTTTTCTCCTTCTTATGTCATTCCCTCTTTCCCCACTTTCCTCTCTGACCTTGCAATGCGTTTTTGAACTTTTTAACCTGTTTTTCGTCTCATATCTTCGCTTCTTTTCTATGCTTATAACCTCATGTTGGTTCATCCCCCTCCCCCCGACTCCATCCTGTTTTTTATATCCAATGCTTCAACCCTTTTGTCTGTCATTCACATTCTTTTAATTCCCTTTTGCTCCCTCTTTGTCTTTCCCCGACTTGCCCCCCCTCCCGTTTTCTCCAGCAGCCCAAGTCCAAATGGTTCCCGTGTGGCCATGGACAGCCAAAACACTAACCTCAGGTAACCCCAAACACACACATGCACATACATACATTTGTGCAGATATAGATGTGGGTTTGAATGCTTCTCTGCTGACGATAAATGGCATATCATCACGTAAATGTTCTCTGATAAGTCTTCAAACACTTAACATAAAGCAGACTCACACTGAATGTCCTACACGTGTGTGTTTGTGTGTGTTTCTACAAAATGTCCTCTTGCTAAAGGTTGACTTTTAAGTTGGTGTCATTCAAGTACATACACACACAGGCCTGTCCACCAAACATACATTGGTTTCACACTTATGCCGCTTTATTAAAGACAAGGTGCAAAGTGTGATAATCCCGTAAACGTAAACTGTGAGATAAATGAATCCCTGATATGATCGACTGAATTTAAGGATTGTTCTCCTGGATTTTTCTCGCCGTCAGGGAGCTCCAGGTACTTTCCGCCAACCAGCATGTGAGGCAGGGATCATTAGAATAAGTGAGACAGAGAAATGTGGAGATTTTTCCCCTTTTGGTTTTTTAGTGCAAATCCTGAGTGGAAACCTCTTCCAATAAAAGTTGCTGGCACGATAGACATGTTTGGGAAATGAACATCTGGTCATTTGGTCAAATAGTATCCATATGTGTTTGAGCAGCCTCTGGTTGTGAGTTGAAGCTCAGCTATGTTATCCAGTCAGCATCATTAACTCTCTGTTTGACTCCTTATTAGGAGAGATTTGAGAGAGACCAGACAATGTTTGCAAAAGGTCAAAACTAACAAGCTCTAATTTGTAACACAGTTTTCTGCGACACACACTGATTAATGAAAACACCCCTGAAATATACAGGTTATACAAAAGCAGAGGTTTTAGTCTTGCTTTAAGACTGTCTGGCAAATCAACAGTTTGAGGGAGTCAAATTTGACGAGGAGTCAGGATAACATAATTGTGTCAGCATTGCCAGTATTGAGCAGGAGCTCTCTCTGGAAGCTGTGATTTTACTAGTTTTTACATTTTTTTTGCCATAATTTTAAAGCAAGTTTACCCGATCCTTACCCAATACCTTGAGCTCTCAGTTGTCCTCAGACAAGCTTCCATCGGAGTCTCCAATCCTCCCGATTCTCATACACCCGGCCAGCTCCGAAGAGCTTTCAGCATCTTTATTCAGGACGTCCACATACAATAGCGCTGAACGTCCTCGTGAACGGTGCCCGTGTGTTGGTTCCATAGGACCAGCCTGCTGGCCGGGAGCTCCTGATGTCTATGGCAGTGGCTGGCCAGCCTCATCCTCCTAGTTGCTGCCTTCTTGCTGAGCCTCAGCAGTTGCCCGTACAGGTCCTTGTTGGTAATGTGGATGTTCTGGTCCACATTCAGAACAGCTCGTAGCATTTCTGAATGAGCCATAAGACATAAGACCCACTGTTTGCTTTTATCGGACTATTGGTCCTAGACTGGGCCTTGCCACAGCTAACCAACCCTGTCTCAAAGACACAGTGCTTCGATAAACGCCAAAGGGACTGCAGTCAACTGATATCCTGATGAATTACAACCTACAGCGGTCTGTTAATTGCAACAACTGTGCACACATGCAGAGCAAACACCTGGACCCTGATGAAATGCAGTACAGCGTCGTACTGCAGGTGGTTTAGTGGATGGCCTGTTATGACACCCGGTGTTTCAGAGCATTAAGAAATTATTCTTTTCTTATATATTTGGAAAACCTCAAAGATAAATCAAGCGTGTCTGGGATTTGCAAAAAGGCTTTTCAAGACAAAAATGCAAAATCCAATGAGACGTTGCACAAGCTGCACGGCAGTAAGACAACAGTATCTCTCTGTTGTTGTTTGTGTTTTTTCTGCAAGATTAGAAGGTGTGAGAAAGATTTTCCCTTACAACACCAGAGTCAGCAGTTTTCACCTTAACCCGACTGATCCTACAGCACACAGCTTGGTTTGAATGTGACTCACACGGCCCTGATGCCGTCAACCTTGCCCTGATGAAGGCCTTGAGTTGTCAGACAGTCAGACAACCACATTACTGTGGTCTGCCACACTGTCTCTCAAGTGCTTAGCTTCCTCCCTGCACCAGCACACTACACTATATGTCTGAAAGATTACATCAGTGTTCGCTGATATTTTTAGGTGCTGCTAGATAAAGGTTTAGTGAGCACTTGCCAGTATTTTCTAGACTATACATATAAGACAAACATTTGTATTGATGTTTTAACATCTAATGACACATATAGATTTAGTTTGTATTTCACACCTTGTGGGCGTGTGGTGTCTTCAACTTGTGCGAGGTGAAAATGAAAGCAAGTTGTTGGGTTGGCAATGAATCTCAAATTATAAATATTTAGTTTTTACGTAGCATATGCTTGTTATGGACATTAATTTGACATTTTAAAACCCCCAAAGTGAACAGGATGGATCAGGGTCTTGGTCTGGCTTAATGGAGTGAGATTACTAGGGCTGTAATCAACCGAAAAAATTCTCTGTCGACTAAAACCCAAAAATCGACAAATAGGAGGGGTCTGACTCTGACGGCAAACCCTTCTGCAGTGGGGGATGACGCGGCTCAGCGGAGTGAGAATATACTGATATCAGCACAAGAAGGCAATTAAACAGATGAAAGTCAAAGCGTTCAAAATAAAATTAAAATTTAGCAAACCTAACCGGACGTTGATTAACGTGGACGTTCTTCAGGCTTCCTGTCTCCAGTGGGTTGGGCGAATCCAAAATGGTGAAAACTTGGGGGGTGTTCTGAGACAGGCTGTTAGCTGTAAAACGGGGGTGCTCTGAAAACACCCCCATTAGCACTTGATATGTTCCTCCTGATGACATTAACCATAGACTGTAAATTGACCCGGAAAAAAATTGAGTTGACCGATCAGAATTTTGGTCGACTCAGCACGTATCGACCAGTCGACTAGGACTTTACAGCTGTCGAGATAACACTCAAGAAGTCTTTTATTGTCACGTATTTTAGTACAATTTTTAAATGGAAAGTGTAAATCTAAGTGAACATATCGAAGTTAGACAGATTAATTTTTGTTATGTGAACTTTTGAAAAAGGTTTTTGTCACTGACTTCCAGGAGATGTCAGGTGGGGCATATTTCTCATCGCTGTAGTCTGTCTGCTGCTGGTTTCCTGTACTTTCTGTAATTTTTAAAACCAGTAATGTGCAGACGTGGTTGCTCGGTAGGTGGGGAGAATGTAAGAGATCACACATTTACTGACAGAACACACAGTTTTTATTTATGTATGTAATTCTTTACACACATGCAAACACTTTGAGCCCACATTCTGCAAAGTGGACTGCAGTGTTCAGCCCACATTTCTGTCCCTTCCTGCTCTTTAGGCAAAATAGCACGGCACCAGCTGATCCTCAGACCAGATCATCTCACAAAGGGTCCTTTGATTCTCTGGGCTGGGTGGGGGTCAGAGTGGGTGAGAAGGGGCGGCTGCTGTGGCTTTAACACCACTGCACCTACTCAACACTAATTTCAGCCCACCTGTGCCAGCTGCCGTGTCAAAGAATCAAGAACATTTTCTCTTAGACACACAAATGGAGGCTTTACATTCCTGCGTGTGCACTCTCTCACCTCACACACGCCCAAAGAAAGAGGACGGAGTCCTATCATGACTCTGCAGGTTCAGGTGCAGGTGACCCAGTTCTGGAAAATATTCAGTACTTTGTTTTTTTTACTCCTACAGTTTCTTTTCCTCCCTCTCCTTCCACCTTGAAATAACAATAATAAAATCCTCTGCCTCTTAAATGTGAAAGTTTACATTTTTCCCCATTTTTGGTATTTCACCTAAGTTGTCACAGCAATGGGAACCATCTCGCTCTTGGATTGACCAGATTTTCAGCTTTGCCGTGCTTGTGTTTTCTATATTTACCATAAAATATGCCGAGCTCGTCTCATTCAGAAACCAGAGACATTGAACTATGTTGAAACGTATTTTTAATTACCCCGTGCCCTCACATGGAAAAAAAAGAAAGTGCGCTGAAATTATGGTTTATTATATGGTTCATGAGTCTCAAAGCCAAAAGCAACTCATTCCATTTAGTTTTAAGGCCATCTCTTCTTCCCCTCCTCTTCCCTAAAGTGGTTTTCAGGACTGCTCCGCTGCAGTCTTACCCTTTCTTTGACATGCTAGCAGCCCCTGTGCTTGCCAATAAAATAAATAGCAGCGTAGTTGATTATACAGGGATAGACTAGCGAAACACTGCACCCGTTTAGTTTGGAAAGCCTGAATGGACGAGACCTTTTTCAACCCACTGAACCAGAGAAGCCAAGTGTATAACGAGTGTCGGAATAAGTGGGTGGCTGTGTGGCTGCTACCTCAGAAGGTCTCTGCTTCCTTTTTTTATCCCGGTTAAGGCTGCTCGGTGTGCCGTCTTTGTTTGGTCGACGCTCCTCTCCCAGCAGAGGACAGTAGCGTCTTTTAAAAAAAGTCCTCTGCTGGCTCAGCGTCTCTCTGCAGGAAAATGAGGGCCGCTGTCCTGTTAAAGAGAGAGGGATGCAATATGTTTTTTCACAGCCCACCCAGGGATCACACCACCAACCAACACCACAATGAGGGCTGGGGCTAGGAAAGTGACCATGGCTCACCTTTGCTAAGATTGGATTTTACACTTCCCTTGGTTGTGAGCTTTGTTTGGTTTGAGACAAAATATGGAGGGTTTGAAAAATGGCCTGAATGAAGGTCAACGCAGTTTATTGATGCATACACCAAATGGAAATGGGAGAGAGCAAGTCAGGAGAAACAACTGAGAACTGTAATTCATGCTGACATACGCCTCATTTTTCTGCTCGTTCCTGTCACCGTACTCTCCCTCTGCTCTTTCTGTGTCTGTTGATCTTCAACCCCTGTTTGAAACCTGTTCTCCCCACAGTCAACCTCCTCAGCTGAAAGACCAGGGTGGTCCTGGGGGCCCTCCACAGGCTCTGTCTCCAGCCCAGCTGCCTGAGGAAGCGGAGTGCTTGACTGTACCCAAATACAAGCGGGATCTGGTGCAAAAGCTGAAGATCCTCCGGCAGGAACTGTCCCAGCAACAACCCCAGGCTGGTCACTGTCGCATAGAGGTCTGCCGAGAGGAGATATTTGAGGTACACCTGAAATCAGGACGGCCCTTTTTACACTCATACACCTAAACAACATGTTACTAATTCACGTAGAGACTGTGAGATAACACATGGTAATGTTTTTATGTTTATTTACCATCATTACTCTGATCATTGTCCAAAATCCTCCTCCTCAGTTGCCCAAATTCATCGAGATAAGTAGTCTTTCATCCAAAACATGATAACAACACATTTCTTAGGTGCTTGAAACCATAAAAGAAAACATGCAGCTGACTTTTAAAGCGCATCTGTGCACAGCAGCAAACACATTAAGATTTAAAATGTGTAACGACAAAATACATCGGCAGCGTGTTCGTAAATTCTTCATCTGGCTTTAAAAGTATCACGTGCTGAATGGCGGACTCTAAATGTCTCAAAAAAACAATAGCCAAGTGCTCAAACACCCAGATCTTTGCATTTTACTGGCATTTTTTCACCCTATTTACGACGTGCACCAGAAAAAGGCCCGGGGCGGCACAGAACCAGTACTCAGAACTACTTTATGATTTCCAGAGAAAAGGCAGAACAAAGAAGCATTTGGTGCACCACAAAAACATCTCTGTGTTACTTTTCTTCCCCTCCTCTGTCTCTCTGTTTCTTGCCCTCCAAATCATTTGTTCTACCACGGCGAGGCATTCTTTCTGGATGATTTCAGCAGCTAAAGAGATGGCGGGCGGGGGGGGTGGGGGGGGGCTGGGAAGGAGCAAGTAAGGAAGGGAGCAAAGGCAGCAGTGGCAAGTATTCAGGGCCAGACATAACTTCATAACTACAAGTTAAGCAGTGAAAATATGACTTCATCCTCCTGCGACGTGACAGCTGTGGAAGGGGAAACTTGAGTGTGAAAAGCAAGCTCTGCAGATCCACTTGAGGTTTGCAGTGCAGGAAACAGAGATGCAGATAAACGCAGGCGAAGTGACTGCAGTGGTTCTAGTCTGGTTTTCAGTTTGCACGAGTACTGCACCACAAGTTACTCCACAACTGAAACAAAACGTCCTTCTCTTTTTATTTTCCAGCACGATCACAGTTTTGATTTTGATAATTTTGACACTTGGTGCAAAACTGCTTTGCTCAGAAACTTGTCGGATAACTTGAGTTCAGAGCGTCTCTGTGCTGCTGTGTCAGGCGATCACAGGTTCAATGTACTGTTGCAGGTTTACTGTAGCACCGAACTGGAGTCTTTGGAGTTCTCTGAGGGTCAGATGAAACTTCTGCATTGAAAGAAAACATGCTGACAATTTATTTAACTATAAAAGAGCGAGAGGAAAAGAATGCACTGATATTAGTTTATCATTCTCATAGAAATATTTTAACTGCATTAAATCAAGTTCTTGAGATTATTAGACTTTTCAAAATGTCAAAGCTCCTGATTTGTACTTTCAAACTAGAAAAAAACACCCAAGTTACCTGTACAAACCTTGGATTTAAAGACCCACTCCAATGAAAATCATGTTTTTCTTGTTGTTTACATGTTCATACAGCATTTTCCTGATACTAGAGGACACATCATGAGAAAAAGAAGTGCAAAAATGCATTTCTGAGTGTTTCTGCATTCAAATTGCTGTGGATCTCTGGCAGACCCAAACGGCAGGATCAGATTCAGTGAGATTTCCTATGTCACAAATCCAAACTCCGCCCCCTGAGCCCCACAATGCAGGCCAGGCTAGGAGAAATAGAGAGGAAAGACCACTGAAAACACTTTAAATAGTAAAAAAGATAAAAACTATTGGAGTGGGACTTTACGGGCCCTACAGACCCAACCATTGGTTAGGCACAGTCAGGTTTTTTTTCCCCACATAAACCTCAAGATCTTCAGGCTTTTGATATGAGCAGGCTGGAGGAACCTTTTGGTCTTTCAGGCAGAAAGTTTCTCGGTCCTGTTGGCCTTCCTGATAGTATATTTTCTGTTATTAGCGAGTTACTTTCTGCAGCCTGCCTTTAAGCCAGAGTAATGAGGACTTCCTTTAACTAAATTTTACTCTTGTTCTTTGATACCAGAGCAGTTCAGTTTTTTTTCACTGTGTGTTCATTTTGTGTTTATTTTGTGTTGCAGGAGTCCTACCGGCAGGTGATGAAGATGCGGCCAAAGGATCTCTGGAAAAGATTAATGATCAAATTCAGAGGAGAGGAGGGGCTGGACTATGGCGGGGTAGCAAGGTGCTTTGACGCATTGATTTTTCTGTGTCTGAAAAAGTCTTTTGAAGGGTTATTTAAAAACCCAGATTTCTTATTAACCTGTGTGTGTTTGTGTGTTTGTGTTTTAGGGAATGGTTATACCTGCTGTCCCACGAGATGCTGAACCCTTACTATGGTCTGTTCCAGTACTCCAGAGATGACATCTACACTTTACAGATAAACCCAGACTCTGCTGTCAACCCGGTGGGAATTATTTTGTGTAACTTAAAATAGATATGTGAAAATAATTCACAAATTATCACCTCATCGTCCACCTCATCAGGAGCTGAAAGAAACATTATTACTCTATTTTCACAACGAAAGTATAAAAGGATATCTTTGGATGATCGAGCTGGAGTCCAACAAAATATAATTTAAAGGGTGTTAAAACTGTATCACGTGTTACAGAAGCGTATTGCATTCACTTACAAAGAAAAAAAAGGAAACAGCTTTTTTTAATATATTTTTCTTCTTTTTGTTTCTTTTTTTTCTTCTGTTTTTTTTGTACTAATAATTCCCCTCTGTCTGTTTTTCGGACAAAATTTTTTTCGTAACATTTTCTTTTTCGTCTTTCTGTTGTTGAGACTGTTTTTTGGACTAAACAAGATACTTAAAAATCCTGCGAGAATCTCATACAATCAGATAATGTTAACCACCGCAGCTGCTCCAAATCAGCAGATTCTCCAGCTCCCAGATAACTTTGACTACGGGGTCAATGAGAGTAAAACATGTGATTACTTAAACATAGGGTATACAAATCCTGAGGTGCCTGCGCAAAGTAGACAAACTTATGACGATTTCATCTTTCTGACTTAAAGAAAGGAGGATCTCCCAGTGTCTCAAATCCAAAAGAAAGTAAAACTTGATTAAAATAAACAAGTGGGCCATGTTTGCTTCTGATAAATCAAGCAGAGGGGGATGAAAGCGTCAGTTTTTAAATGACCATGATCCCAGAGAATAGGAAAAACAATTATTTTGAAAAACAAAACAGAAAAAATACTCAGAAAAACAGAAAAAAAATTACTCTTAAAAACAGAGAAAAAAATATTTACTTCGAAAAACAGGACAAAAAAATAAAAAAAATAAAAAGAAAATAAATAAGAATAAATAGTCAAAAACTAAATAGATATTCCGAAGAACAGGAAAAAAAATTACTCTGAAAAAAAGGACAGAATAAAATTACACAAGAAAATAGAGCTTTTTTTGTGAATGCAATGAGCTTCCATAAAATGTCACCCTTCATGGATCGATGGAAAATTTATGACCACCGTCAAAAATGACAAGTAACAACTCGTTTCCTGTGTCCCTAAATCACTAGCCTCCGATTTAAATCAGTGTAAACATGAGATAACATGCATAGTTATAAAATAAAAACATTAGACGAAAATCATTCTGTTTTATTTGGGCTAAAAATGAACTGGACCATGACGCTTGAGCCATGATCTGAATTTAACAGCGATTTGACATCTGTTGTAACCCCACTGTAATTGTTAAATTGGGCAGAACGGTTCATCCCCTCTGAACATGTGATTTAAAAAATACCTACAGTAATAAATATCTTGACATGAATAAGCCGTCATAATAACCCCGCTTGTTCCTTGTGCAGGAACACCTGTCGTACTTCCACTTTGTGGGCCGGATCATGGGCATGGCGGTGTTCCATGGTCACTACATTGACGGAGGCTTCACTCTGCCCTTCTACAAACAGCTGCTTGGAAAACCCATCACACTCGATGATATGGAGTCTGTGGACCCTGACCTCCACAATAGCCTTGTCTGGATCCTGTGAGAATTTTTTTCAGTTTCATCCCTGAAAACCCACTTTAAGTGTAAATATATGTCATATATCAGCTTTCATCATGACATCAAGGTTGTTTTCTTGTCAGCTGAGTGTAAATACTGAAAAACTCTGCGCTTCTACAACCTTGATGAACTTTTACCCTGTACTTTCAATATCAAAAACAGTAATTAAGACTACAGCGCCCTCTGCTGACAGTGTAAGCTCACAAACTCTTACCTCAGAGATCATAGACAGAAACTCATTCACCAGTGATGGGTTGAAATCTTTATCTGAGAGCGCAGAACTGTTGTCCTAGTTTTCAAAAAAGACAGAAAAGACGGAGTAAAGCGCAATACTCGTTGGTGAAGCTTCTCTCTCCTCGCCTTCAGGGACAATGACATCACCGGCGTCCTGGACCACACTTTCTGCGTGGAACATAATGCTTACGGAGAAATCATCCAACACGAGCTCAAACCCAACGGCAAGAGTATCCCGGTCTCAGAGGACACCAAGAAGGAGTATGTCAGGTGAGAAGAGAGTTACACACTCGGAGAAAAAGTTTGGTTTGATTTCAACCCACTCGAGTGACACGGTTAGAGTGTTTTTTTAGGTCATTGTTATGAGGACTAAAATGTGTTTTCTGTGTCGCTGTAGTGTTGAAAAAGAGACTGATCCTGCATTTCTTGTCCCTCCCTCCTTTCTTTATTTCTCTGCAGACTGTATGTGAACTGGCGTTTCCTGCACGGCATCGAGGCTCAGTTTCTGGCCCTGCAGAAAGGCTTCAACGAGGTTATTCCTCAACACCTGCTCAAATCCTTCGATGAGAAAGAGTTGGAGGTAGGAGGAGAGTCGACTGTCTGAAAATAACAGACACACTGGCGTGGGCATCTTTTCAATTTTTCCAGCTGTGTTGTAGAGGAAATACTCCATTCTGTGTTCATGTTTCTTGTATAAAATAACCTAACTCAACCCTATTTCTCTCTCTCTAGCTGATAGTTTGTGGTCTGGGAAAGATTGACATCTCTGACTGGAAGTCCAACACCCGGCTGAAGCACTGCACTCCTGACAGTAACATCGTCAAATGGTTTTGGAAAGCCGTGGAGTCGTTTGACGAGGAGAGAAGGGCAAGGCTGCTGCAGTTTGTAACAGGCTCATCGAGGGTTCCTCTGCAAGGCTTCAAAGCTCTACAGGGTAATGGAAGGACCATCTCAGCTAATATTCAGACCTTTTTTTTTTTTTTTCTTTCTCTCAAAATTCTTTTTATTGAGTTGTTCTTGGATGTATTTCAACAGCAAATGTCAGGGCGCAAGGGATTAACTTAAGTACCTAAAAAAAATAATAATAATAAATAATAATTTAACGCCTAATGTTAAGGATGTTGACTTTGTAACATTGTACTTTGTTGGAAAATATCCATAAATAAATTAAAATAAATAGATAAATAATAATAAATTAGATGAATAAATCTGTAAATATTTTGTTTGTTTGTTGTTTATTTATGTTTATCAAACATGTGCGTGAAACACAAAAAAGTAAACTGAAAACAAACAAACAAAACCAGTGAGAAAATTCAAAATAAAAACAATAAACAAAGCAAAAAAGTAAAAATAAAAATAGAAAATACTGATATAATAATGATAATGCGAACCCAATATATCCGAAAAGGAGTAGGATGAAGCATTATACTTTTTTTAAACCTACCCCTTTCTCCTCTTTCTAGTTAAACATTAATTCTCCAGCATATTTACATTATATTAACAAAAAAATAGAACATAATAAGAGTAAATAAGTTTATTAATCATTTATGAAAACACCTGATCGTTAAAGTCTGTCTTCCTCCCTGTACCATGTTCTTGTACTGCTTTTTTATGAAAGTAAAAATAATGCCAAGCTCATACAGAATCAGATCATACCAACATAATGCCAATTAAATGAAATAAAATAACAATATGATGGAAATACAGAGGGAAAAAAATGGGTTTCTAGAGACCACTTGTGATCGAGTCTTAGACTGCAACAACTTTTTGGCGATTTGTTTTTTTTACTTTTTTTCATTTTGAAGGTTTTAAGTGCAACGGGAACAAACCCACTTATGTTAATGTCGTGTAACCAAACAGTAGACAATGTTTAGCTGTCCTCATCACAGTTTCGGTGTTCTGTCTTCAGGTGCTGCAGGGCCCAGACTATTCACCATACATCAGATCGATGCTAACACCAACAATCTGCCCAAAGCCCATACCTGGTATGTGTGACATTCAGACATTTATGAAACATTTTCACATGGAAATACCGGCTTAAAATCTGTCTCCATATTGGATGAATAATCTGTTGTTCTCGTCTTGTATTTCCAGCTTTAATCGGATCGACATTCCGCCCTACGAGAGCTACGACAAGCTATACGACAAGCTGCTGACGGCCATTGAGGAGACCTGCGGCTTTGCAGTGGAATGAGAGACATTTTAGAGAGGGTGGGATTGTTTGTGGCTGTGTGCAGGACTCTGCTAGAATATTACTGTCAACTGCAGCAAAAGGACAGACACCCTCTGAGCCCGATACATGCGTCTACAACCAGCCTGCAGTCTTCCTCTTCTCTCACCTTTCCTCACACTCTTCCCTCATCGATGTCTGTTTGAACAGCTGCTACAGAGTCCTTTGTCCCTGATGAGAAAAAATCTTTAGTTCATTTATTTTTATTCATTGATTTAATCTGTTTGGGATTGATCTTTATTTTTGAATGAGTTTTGTTATACGGAGTGAATTAACTTAAAAGCTGCTGCAGTTGTTGAGTGGGCTGTTTGTCTGAATTCAGAGGGCAGAACTGCAGTTATCGCCTTAAATCTAAATCAGGAAGCTGGTTAAGAACATACAGAAGTTCAAAAATTCTCCCCAGGCATCAGAAAGCAGCAAGTTACTTTCATTTTCTCCAATTTCAAGCCGGTTGAATTGATTCTCATCATGCTACTGAACCTTTATCACTGCAGGTATCCTGCCCTTAGTCGCCATCTTAACCTCAACTATACACCTTCCTGTCCTCATGGCCTGCACAGTTGATTTGCTTCATTTTGTATGAGCGTCACAGTTTCATCCTACCTCAGTTTAATGCTTTGATACTTGCAGGGTTGCGTTCCAAAATGTCACATGTTCTCTCTCGGAGAAGTCAAAAGCAAATTGATTCAGAGTCAGGAAACAAAACCCTGCTCCACGATGTATTGAACTTCTATTCCAGCAGGCACGTTGTAACTGTCAAATTTTGTTTTTGGTATTATGAATATGATTATGAAATGGAATTGGACTGACCTGAGTGTGGGTCTGGTGTTTTGTGGTGTTTTTGAGTTTCAAGCATGTGGCAGGATGGTGAAAGATAAGGGATGGGCTTTGGTTGAGATGAAGAAAATATGAAATTCCCAAATCACTGCAGTCTGACCGCAGCCTTTGTATACATGTATGTATGTATGTATGTCTCTGCATGTGTAAACAAGTGTGTGTTCGTATGAAAGAAGCTAAAAGTTTTATCGATGAATTCCCAATCATGTGCACAGACACAGTGTTTTTGTATATTTGGAGCAGTAGAGCAGATTGAACCTCACTTCTTGAGCCTGGTTAGTCTTCCTTTTCTCATCGGATCATCCATCTGCAGCAGTTATCTATGAAGTTTTTTCTTTTTTTAATCCTGCACACTTCTTCTCAAATTACCCGTAAAAGGGCACAACTGTTCATGGGACCAGGTTTGATTTAAAAGACAGGCGTCTATTTTCAGTCACGTTGTCAGTCTGTCTGTCTCGTCACTTTGGAGCACTTTAAAAACTGAGCAGTGATGACAGGAGTGTTTTCTTTGTGTTAGATTAAATGTATCATGTTTTCTTTTTCCTGTACAACCACATCAGAGTATACAGAGTAAGACGTATCTATACACCTGTAATTTTTGGGTATATATGTTAAATCCATAGCTAATTTGTATATTGTTGCTTGTTCTATCAGTTTAAATGCAAGCATGTAGGTGTCTGCCACAGACCTTCTTTGCATTCTCAGGTAATTTTTTTTTTCAGTTTAGCTTTTATTATGCTAGCAAATTGGGTGGGTGGGAGGTGGGGGTTATGGGAACGTAATATCAGAGGCCCTGTGTTTGAACCCAAGATGAAAAGTCAAAGTTAGCCTTTTAAAAAGTCATAGTTTTGTCCATGATTTACTTTTATTTTATTTTAAGAAAGCATCTCATGAGCCCTGTGTCAGGGAAATAGACTGAAGATGCAGTCATGCTGCGAGTGTTCAAGGTCTACTGATTGTGGATTTCTGGGTACTGCACGGTAAAAAAAAATGAAACCAGTGAACGTTGTTAAAATCCTGTCATATTCATCTGCATCACTAGAGCGTAAATCCAAAGAACCCCCAGAAACCTTGAGTTTTTATTTCATGTCAGTCGTCTGAAATATGAGACATAGCATTTTGAAGTTTCTGTCGTTGTACAATTACAGAGGGCGTTTGTTTTCACCATTAAGAAGCTCACTCAGAGGCAGAGAAGAAACATTACAACTTTTTTGCACATTTTATGCATACGTGGGCTGCAAGTTATAATCAGACACTTCCTTTTATCTACCGAATAGTTAATGGACAGATTGTTTTTATGTAGATAACATAGAAATATATACACACATGTTCTTGATATGCACACTTGTATGTTTGTCCAGTGCACACAGTCTACTTTTGTTTTTATTTTTGCTTTTATTTTTCGGTCAAGTTTCCTGACTTGTTGAGTCTTTATAATGGGGATTTAGTACATTAAAGTGAGAGATGAATCACTTCTTCTCACAGTGCAGAAAAGAAAAGTTTCAGGTTCCGGCAATTTCTTCGACCCTTTGAAAGCCTGTAACATAAAGAGGCTTATTTAGTCAGTTTAATCTAATGAAGACAGCAAGTTCTGGAAAAAGCCCATGTACCTGAGAATTCCTCTTATCAATGAAAAACAAAAGAAGTCAGTCTGTAGTTCAACAGACCTTCCCCCGACACGCTTTACTTTAAAGGTTTGCAGGTTATGTAAAAATCCCTGTGTGTGTGTGTGCGTGCTTGTGTGTAAAGGATTTTTTAATAAAACCAGTACAAAACAGAAAAAAATCTTTTTTTTTTTTTTTTTTTTTTTTTAAATCTGCACCATGTTTTTATTTCTTTTGGTGTCCTATCTGATTTTTGTATTTATTATTACAGTATATGTGTCAATAGTTTTTCACATCAGCTGCTCTGTGAGCTTGTAACTGACACCTGTACATAAAAATGATTAAGAAACAAAGTAAACTTCCTGTACCCTTGCAGAAAGCTGAGCAATAAAACTATGCTGTTTGAACCTCACAGCAATATGTTTTATAGAAACGTGTGTTTTACTGTCGTTCTTTTTTGCAGATGGCGGTTGAAATTCTTGTTTGCTCAAGAATGGAGTGGGCACAAGAAAACTTTTCTTTAAATTAATTAAAGCTTAAGGTAATATAAGAAATGTATTATATGTTATTATTATTAATAGTTTGAATAAATTAAAAAGTAACCTGTTTCAAAAAGCAGGTTTAGGTTGAACCCTCTGTGCTGACCCTGATACACCTTTCTTTGTATTCTAGAAAAAAAGGTAACTCGTGCCATAAGTACTGTCAATGAGTTTGTGAACCTAACTTAGTTTGTGACAGCTTTACTTTAATCGAACCTTGAATTTTACCATTTAGGAGAGAAAAACAGCAGAACTGTCATGGCTACATCCGTCACTCTACATGGAAGAACTGCGGGATGAACATTTATGATTATTACTTTGTGGAAATGCAATCAGATTGAGACGCTAAGGCAGAAGAACTAAAAAATGATTAATATGGTGATTATACCTTCAAGTAATTGATAAAGTAATGATCATAAATGTTCTTCCTTGAGCTGTGAAACTCCGCTGCACTTGGTGATCAACTCGTCGGGGCTCCCCCTACAAACAAGCTGCTGCTGGAAGAGAGTAGGTGAGTTGTGTTTAGTCTCTTTGCTAAAGAAATCAGGCAAAGTTAAAAAGATGTTTGGTGGCTAGTACTGTGGCTTGGACCCTATATTTACTGTTGATGAAGTTAGGTGCTGTTGTGAGCATTATTTGTGGCTCTAGAGTGGTGTTTTGGTTGAGGTTTGTTTATGGCTCCTCAAACCGCTGTGTATTGCTATCGTGCGGTCGTTACTAAAGTTGGTTTAACTAGAGAAGCAAGCAGTCGGCAACATTAATCTCTGGAAGGGGTGAATAAAATCAGTGTTGTGGTATGTTTCACCCTAAATTAATTTTACGCCGGAATATCCCTTTAATATTGTTTTATGTTTGATTAATATGAAGAGTAGGAGTGTAAGGAGTTGCTTCATTTAGTCATTTCTAAATCTCAACTCAAAATGATAAAGTTTCATGTAAACCAGTCTGAGAGTGATGCTCCTCCTCATCTTTACGCTAAAATATACGTAATTAACTTTACTCCACGGCTGAAATATCACATTTTATTTTCTTCTACTCAAGTTTTGTAGATTTATTTATTTTCTTTCGCTGTTGAGAAATCCGTTTTAATAAAGTTGACAGGGGAAAAAAATGCATCGGCTTACGGCAGACGGGGGGAGCCAAAAAATCAAAAGGGGAACAACAGTCACAGCTTCGCCTTTGTTTTAAGCGTTAATCCGAGATGTTTCGTTGAAAAGCTTCAGTCCTGTAGCATGTGAAGATGGAAGGCCTTAAGGGCGGGAAAGAGAGACATTCAGTGAAGCCCAAATTACCTGTAAAGAGAGTGAGGAAGAGCCTTTCGGAGAAGGCCAAGATAGCGAAGCGGGAGAGCGACCGACTGAGAGCGAAGAACCGAGTCAACATCGGCTCTGCTCACGGAGTCTGGAAGAAGCTGCGGGACGAGAATGGCTTCAGGACTGATGCTGAGATGGCTTTCTTTCTTATAAACATGTAAGTGAGATGTCTGGAAAGCTTTTTACTTTTGTGTGATTTCACTGTGATATCACTCTGATAACACCACATTCACACGGTGGGCGGATATCAGAAGGCCTGGATGTCTATATAGGTGTTTAAGGAGTATATTAACCGTCTTTTTAGGTTTCACAGCTCGAAAATGCGTCCTAACTATCTTGCAGATGCTCAAGTTTGGTCGCCTATTCTTTTAATAGTGGGACGATAAGTGGCAAAATCGCAAAGAGTGAGAAAAGTAGATCAAATGTGAAGGGCGACTTTAAATCCCTGTCATTCATACTTCAGTTAGTCCTGATTACGGAAAGATTAATTCATGCGTGATAATATAGAGATCAACACCACTTAGACTCTTGACTGTAGATATCACTCTTGAATACTCCATTCTGAATTGGTATGAACTCCACAGCATTGGTCTGACATTTCCTGACAGCACGCCGTTGCCATGGCTACGGCTCTAACCACAGACTCACTATCGGGTTTTATCAAATGAATCTGCCAATAGACTATTAGTTTATTTGGATTTGTATGCAGTGGTGGAGAAAACAGATAAAGAAGCCAAGAAAGGGCAGAGAATATCACTATGTGAGATTACATGTGTCATTTTTTATTAAAGGTGCAATATGTAGGATATATTAGGGGTGGGAGGAAAAATTGATTCACATAAGTATCGCGATTTTTTGTTTTACAATTTTTAAATAGATTTTTATGTTCAAAAATCGGATTTGAACCCAGGACCTTCTTGCTGTGAGGCGACAGTATTAACCACTACTCCACTGTGCCGCCCCAAAGTTTGCAGCACCTGGTATTCCCAGGCGGTCTCCAAACCAAGAAGTAACCAGGCCAGACCCTGCTTAGCTTTTGAGATCAGACGAGATGGGGCGTGTTCAGGGTGGTATGGCATTAAGCCCCAGGCAAACCAATAGATGGATATAACGATAAACAAGCGTACTTGACCTAAAAAGTCTCGACAGTCATGTAAAAGTCTCCACGACAAGAACTGTAAACAACCAAAGGATCCGTATTTGAGCATCAGTGGGCGCGTCAATAACACGAGCTGATGGCTAACCGCTGGCGGAGCGCGTCAAAAGTCTCCAATGGGATTCTTCCATGTTTTTAATCTGGGCTGCAGTTCTCAGAACTATGTATTGAACCTTTAAGGAAACGTAAAAGATCATTTAAAAATGAATCTATGGTGTAACTTTTTTAATTCAGTGAGCAAATAGTGAGATAATGTAGAACAAGCAAGCTGTTGCAGCTGTGAAAGGGAAGCCGGGGTCCTGCTCGCCCTGTCAGTTTCAATCCTTACACAACAACCTGCTGACTTTATATTATTCCATATATTATTCCATACTTAATGTTGAAATATAACATTGTTGTCAATGTGAATAACTGCTGACTATTGACCATATGTTTCCATTGTAGTTATCTCCAGGCCAGGTCACAAGATCAGTCCATCTCTCATGGTCTGAACAAGACTTCTTTGACCGACGGCTGGTGTGTACAATATTGTTTGCTGCACTCATGTTGCTGTGTATCATTATCAAGTACATGTGTCAATTTGAAATATCACTCATATGATTATCATCCTGCAGCCTACACACATCCTCGACTGTTGACCTCTTTGTTTTGTGCGTTCGTAGTGAAAGTGTTCACTATGAATACCAGGTAGCTATGAGTTCACCGAGTGAAGATGAAGAGGAAACCTGTGCTGCTTCCTCTGTTGAGTCATCTGAAAATATAAAGGTAAATGCTTCTTATACACATCTAACATAATGAATAGGTGTGACTGATTTTTTAAATTCAAAGAAGTATAAGTAAGTAATTTTAAAGTTCAAATGTGTCGGAATAAAAAATGTCAAAAATCCCATTGACTAACAAGTTTCTGTTCCGTGTCCCACTGTGAGCAGTGTGTGAAAAAAGACTTGGGAAAGAAAGAAAAGAGAGGTAAGTGATGTTTTAGTCATTCTGCCTTCAAAATAAGGATTTTTTTCAAGCAAACTGGTAAACAAGAGGAAGAAAAGCTAATATCTGTGTCTGTGTGAAACTCTCAAACACAGATATTCAACCAGTCGAGGATGAACAATTCAGTACTTCATTGATCGTAGGAGATGGCCTTCACCTGGTGGATTTGGGCAGGTGAGATAACTGAGTAACCAAGATACAGTTTCTCTAAAATTATAACAAAAGCTTCTTCCCTGAAACATTTCCTCTCCTTGTTCAAAGACCATTTAGTCTCAGTTTTAAATAGACTCTCAATATTTTGATTTTCTATTGTAAGGAAACATTATGATAAGAGTCTGTCATTCAAACATGTCTGTTTTGTGTCCTCTCAGTTCATCGGAGTTTATCGTTGATGAGGAGTGCATCCTTAAGCTCTTCAAGTTATGCCGGGAGTGCAACAGACAATGTTCAGTCAGGAAACAAGTCAAAGGACTCCAGCTGGTGGTTTACCAGGCATGTCGTTACTGTAATAACCGCTTTAAATGGACTAACCTGCCAGATGACAGCAACAGTGTCCAGTTAAATGGAAAAAATGCAACACATGGACAGAACAACTTAGCAGTGGTGCAGAGTAAAAACTGAGATGATGTCTTCTCTGGATTGTGACACTGGACTGACAGTGTTTCTGTTGCAATAACACAACAGGAATATGTTCCAGTTTTGATTTTACCCCTTTAATTTGGAGGACTGTACAGCTGGACTCTTTTTCTGCTGTGGAAGCTGTCGTTAACTTCTTTGATGCTGCGACGCCATCAAAGACAGGCACCTTCTGACACATTCATGTGTGACGGGCATCATTTTTCTGCTGACGTCATGTACAGCTGCACAGAGGAAGAATACGCAAAAATACTTGGATTTTATCGGCAGCTGAACGGCTGCAGGAGTAAAGAAACACAAGCTAGAGATGAACAGTGGTTGTAATCGTGAGACTGTTACTTGGGAAGACTTTATCGTTCTTGAAGTTAGTCATTTTTAACCTTTCTCATCCTTGTGCGTTGACACAGCTTTACAAAATGATGAAGACTTACTTCTGATAACTTAAATATCTGGATAATGTGAAACATGTCAATGATTTTTTTGTATATGAATGGTGTATGTAAATAGTTGCCTTCTTGTTGCCTAAAACAAGCAAGGTTAAAATCACAGACAGTCAAAAATGTACAAAAACTGTATAAATGTTGAAGAAAATTATTGTAAAAGTAAATAAAAACAAGCGCCCCACAGGGCACCAATGGGTCCGAGTTGTGTCGTGCTGCCACCTCTGTGGACCGCCTTTCCATTTCTTCATGGAAATGCAATCAGACTAAGACACTAAGGCAGAAGAACTACCACGTCTGCAGTGGGAAATGATTGATACAGTGATTACTACTTTAAAGAAATGATAAAGAAATGGTTATAAATGTTCTTCCTTGAGCTGCGAAACCCCGCTGTAATCTGTAGTGAACTGGCCCGAGGTCTCGATATAAACAAGCGGCTTCTGGAAGAGAGTAGGTGAGTTGTGTTTAGTCTCTTTGCTAAAGAAATTAGGCAAAGTTAACCGCTGCATATTGCTATCGTGCGGTCGTAACTAAAGTTGGTATAACTAGAGAAGCAAACAGTTGGCAACATTCATCTCAGGAGAGGTTGTCCAACTCGGTGTTACAGTGTGTTTGACCCTAAATTAATTAACACCAGAATATCCCTTTAAGTGACTAGTGACTATGTAATGTTATTACATAAATTGCTCACTGGTGTAATTTTTTTGTTTACTTTTTCAGTTCTGAAAGCAATATTAGCCATAATGTTGGAAAAGAAAGAGCCTCATGACCATAGTTGCAGTGTGGATCTGAAGACATGGCTCCTGTTGCACAGCCCCAACAATGCGCTTCCATGTCACTGGTAGAAACACCAACAACAGAGAGGAGAGACTCGTCCCCGCCCACTCTCCCGGCCCTCCTCGGAGCTCTGAGCGGCTAAAAGTAGTTTAGCAGCTTAGCTACAGGAGCTGTGATGGAGAAGGACGGGAGAAGACCACTTCTGCTTGCCCCAACGACAAAAGTGGGAAGGAAACGCAAGTCAATAGAAGAAAGGTTAGAGACGAAGAGGAGATGTGAACAAGCGAGGAATCAATCTCGGATAAACATCGGGTCATCCATCGAGCGGTGGAGAAAGCTCCGCCAGGATTTGGGCCTGAAAACAGACGCCGAGACAGCAGAGTTTTTATTAAACAGGTAATTTTTATCGCCTTTTATCGTGGCACATGTTACATGAATAACTCGTATTAGTCTCTGCAATGTCAACACGGTAGCTGTCCAGGCAGCTGCAGACGGTGCTCGCTGCAGAGGTGGCGTTTGCTGATGTTAGTCACCAAAAATCCGACATGGTGAATCCTGTTAGGAACTAGCGTAGGATAATGTAACCATAGATATATATAAGAAAGGCTAGATGACCCGAGGCGGAGTCTCACGGCGGCCATCTTACTTCAGTATACCATTCTGGTACGCTCTATGGTAGCTGTCGGGAGGTGAGTAATCTGCATGATCAAAAATACTCTTAACTCGCTGAAATCTTGACAGGTTTACAAATGGTTTGGTTTATTACATACCTTGATAACGTGGCTATAAGTCGGGATTCTTGGACATATTGAAATAACAGCTTTTCTTTGAGGAAAAAAGACTTTATCATGAAGCAAAGTTGTTTAACAGCTATTTGCGCACAAGGGCTAACAATGTCTTGTATGACACCCTTTTTTAAATTTATTTAGTCTACGTGAAAGTCTTGGTAGATGTACTTGTGTTTATCAGTTGTCTAACTAGGCTAACAGAGTGGCTGTGAGTGAGACCGAGTACATATTATAAAGTTGACCCATCAATTTTATATTAGTTGGAGAGGCAGAAATGCTCTTTCGATTCAACATAACTTAAGTTGCACATGATTTCCAAACTGTTTGGTTTGTTAAAAACATCTAAAATGGCAACATGAGGCAGAAATTTATATTGAAAATAAATATTTACGTATGTTATTGCTATATGTTGTTATAGTTATCCCTATAATAGAATATTACTTATTTAACATACATAGAGGGATTAAATTTTTGTTTATAAATTATTTAATATAACTGCCTTGTGTGTGTAGGCCTATAGGTATTGCCCTACAAAGTCAAAGTCAACTTTATCAAATAAGCTATACATGATAAACACAAAGCACAGATGAAATTTCAGTCCTCTCAGACCCATGGTGCATAACAATAAACCATAAGAATAAAACTAAAACAGTATAAATATAGAATAAACAACTGAGCTACACAAAAGACCACCTTAAATACTCACATCAATTTACTAAATAAAGATAGCAATATAAGCAGCATAACAGTATAAACAGTGTTAGAGTACAAGGAGGAAGGTGAGTGGAAGAAAGTGAATGTATACAGTATGGCAGTCCTGTAGTGGACATAATAGTGCAAGTATGGCAATATGGAAATAAATGTAATACAGTAGTAATGATGTTGCTCTACCTATCTGCTTAATGTTTATTTATGAAAATCCATGGTTAAAATTATTCTTTAGCACGCAGGAACATAACTATGACTCTGAGGTTTGTTACAAACCAAACCGCTCGAAAATCAGTCTAGAATTAAACAATCTATTGTTATTTAAATGATACATACACCATAGACTGTGACGTTATGAGTGGGCGAGTGTCCCGTAGCAAAATGGCCGCCATGCGCGGACGTCGGTCTCCATTGGCTAACATCTAGTGTGTTTATGTATATCTATGGTCGGGTCGGCCTACTGACGAAACGACGAACGGCACGCAGACCGGAAGTTATGGCATATATACAGGGAACTAAAGGAGCAGTGAGTTGCTGCGAGTTGTTGTAATTAGTGAAAACAGCGAAAACAAATAGCTACACATGGCCGATGATGTGACGGGGTCTACAAAAACAAAAAGAATTTTAACAGAAAAACAAAAAAGAGCAAAAAAAGAACGTGATCGAGTGAGGACAAAGACGAGAGTAAACCTCGGTAAATCCTTCGCGAAGTGGAGAGAGTTGCGGGACTCGAAGGGATTCAAGTCGGATCCTGAATTTGCCCAATTCCTCCTAGACAGGTACCGTGCTTTTTACAGTGCTGTCTTATTGATATGAAGGTATAACATTTCCGAGGAAAGCTGACAAATTTAGCTCTATGTACTAATCTACAGCCGAGTTATCTAATCTGTTTGTTGTTACAAACGGGACGTAACTGTAGGCTAAAAACACAAGCTACAATAATACGACATTACGGACCTTATTAAGAGGAAAAAAAGCGACTTATTGCTTCTCTAGTTATACCAACTTTAGTAACGACCGCACGATAGCAATACACAGCAGTCTAAGCCACTCTCCTCCAGCAGAGTGGGCAAACAGTCGGCAACATTCATCTCTCGAGGGGGTGTGTAATTCGGTGTTATGGTGTGTTTAACTCCAATTTAGTTTTATGACGGAATATCCCTTTAACATTCAAGAATACTTTTAACACTTTTTCCCTTCTTCCTGTTCTCTCCAACTTTTCCATCATTATTCCTCATTCCTGTCTGTAATTCCCACACATCAGAAGTACATGCTCTCTATTGTCATCAGCTCTTGGCAATGCTCACACAATCCCTTTTGCTACCTCTGTAGTTTACTGTGTTTTATGTCCCCACTGCATCTGTGTCCTTTAATCCAATGGCCACGTTGTTTCATTATAGATATTATCAGAAGAACCCGCCCAAGAATCAACTGGACACTCCTGTTGTAAAAAAGAAATCTGCTGCTGAGTCCCGGTTTGTACACTCTTTTTAGTACCATTGCCATGCTCACTATACTCTACATGTGAATTATAGTAACTGTCTGAAAACATCGACACTGAGCCTCATTATACATTTATGGTCTTTACAAGTGTCTTTTAATCTTTGGCAATAACATGTTCATCCTACAACAACAAACATGCTTGTTAATTAATTGTGTCTTTGTTGTGTGTTTTTGCAGTGGCAGTGTGTACTATGAATGCCAGGTGACTGTGGGTTCAGTCAGTGAAGATGAGCAAACTCTATCCGCTTGTTCTTCTCCACTGTCATCTGATAAAGAAATGGTAAAAATGCTGCTGAGACACACTCACGATACTCTTAAAGAAACTTGAGTCATGCACTTTTTGATATTTTGAAGTCAAATAATCAAATTAAACGCTAACACAAGAGGAAGACATATGTAGATAGATAAGAGAACATTTGATCTCCTTTTCATGTTGTTCGATAGCTGTATTACCGACACTGCAGATAGCCTCTTTGTATGTGATTAGGTTTGCTTATAACTGAGCTGTTTGCTGATGAGTACCTGTTTCTTGTCCCTCTTTAGGAGTCTGAGGAAGGAGATGGGAAAATGAGAAGTCCAGTTGAGAGCACGCCAACTATTAAATCTGAAATTAAAGAGGAAATAGGTAGGTGGTTCTCATTAAAACAAAAAGTATTGGCAAGCTTATCCGATTAAAAATGTTATAACTGATGTCCTTTTCTAATCGACACAGAGATCAAAAAAGAGAGTGATGAAGAATTCAGCATCTCAAGTAGTTCTTGGTGATGGTCTTAACCTGGTGGATTGAGGAAGGTGGGTTGGTGTTGATTTAAGAAACCAAGATACAGTTAAATGTTTTTTAAAAATTAGCTTTCAAGTTTCTTCCCCATCAACATAAAATATGCTGAATTTCCATTTCTGGAGTTTTCCATTCCTCAAACATCTGTTTTCTTCCTCCTCAGCTCATCAGTTTGTTGCATTCTTGGCATGACTTGAAGAGCTCAGGAGGCACTCTTCTTCAACAACAGACACTGTACGGTTAAAAACCAGGTCAAAGGACTCCGGCTGGTGGATCACCAGGCATGCTGTAACTGTGAAACCCACAGTGAGTGGGCTAACCTGCCAGATGACAGCGACAGGGGTTTTCAGATAAATGGAAAAGATGCAGAGGACCACTCACAGAGCAACATTCAGAACAAACGTTAAGATGATGTCGTCTCTTGATAAGATTCCAGGCTGACTGGTTTTACTGCATGAGCAATAAATCAGGATAACGTTCCACTTTTATCTGATGTTCGGCAGATCGAGTAGCTGAACTCTATTTTTTTTCTGCTGTGGATCTGGGGCTACTGAATTATTTGTGGTATTGCTCAATGTCATCAAGTGCGAGCACCTCCTGATGCTTTCATTGCAGCTCCTCGAGAGGTGTAGATTGTATTTAAACCTCACCTACACCTGTAGTAGCTTCATAGTACTCATCTGTTCAAAAACAAACATTGCAGTATGAGACAACATTTACATTTTGGTTATGTAAATACTGGGTTTCTCTTCTGTAGAATTGGACTCGTCCTTGAGTCTTCTTTGAAAAACCCTTCTCATGAGAATTTCAGGTCAGGTTTAAACTCCTCTTCATGTTCATGAGTGTGGTATTTTTGGACCCCATGTTTATCCCTGTAACATGTAATCCGTGTCTGGAAAAGCTTTGTGAGATGGGTGTGTTGTTGCTGCTAAGAACCCAGGCCAAAACTTCAAACCACCTAGAAAGTTCGACCAAAGTGAGCAGTACTACTCCTATTTTGGACACAATGGCTTCATACAAGACATCCCAGTCAAATTAATGTGCGTACTGGAACGATCACCATGTGGGAGAACAGAGATAATATTTTTGAATATGAGGAGGAAAGGAAAGGTCTGTAACCTTTACTATGTACAGATATAGACCGTATGTGCATGCCACGTGTAAAAAGTTCAACATGCAGGACAAACAAGAACTTTTGTAGGCTTTTTATTTAAGGCAAACCTCAAACTTGTGTTCAGTTGGTGAATATAAAACTAATATTTTCTTGATTAAAAAACATGAATGAAAATGACATTTTGTTTGATGATTGTCTCTTTAAATTTTAATTTAAGCCTTAATTCTTCATGACAAGTTACAGATAGAGCTGCCCTGTGAGTGGATCTATTCATTTTTGGTTGTGTGTCCGGTTCATCCTTTAATGCACCCCATGCAAATATCACTAACTGTGACTCCTTTTAGCCAGAGGAGGTGAGTGAACACTGCGACAGAAGAGGGAATTTATGTGCTCATTAAATGCAACACACAATTTAAGTACACAACTTTACCTTTGCACTCATTTGTGTATTGACGCTAATCATCCAGCTGGAGAAATGACTTAAGAAAAACAAAGTTCAGGTAGGACTGATATCATCACTCACAGTGATCAGACAGCACAACATCCAGTTAAGAACAGAATTGAGTGAGATATGAGTTAAAAAATAAATAATCCAATGGTATGGTTAAAACATTTTAGGATGACATTATCACACATAACAGTAAAAAGGGAGGTAAAAATCTCAGTCAGTGTGACATACTCTTAAAGGTTGCATCTGTGGTCCCTGTTTGGCAAAAGGAAGAACAATTTACTCGCTTACTGCTACAATACCTACTCACAAAGACAGAACTGGTAGGAATCATTTACAAAACACTTTTTTTTTCAAGTAGTAAAACTCGTGGAAGAAGAGGACTAGGTCCAAGGTGTCAAGGTATAGCAGCTGAGGTGAGAAGAGGAGTTAAATAAGCTAATAGCTACATTTTATCAGAGTGTTGAGCTCATTCAGCTACAATAAGGATATTTTTAGTGAATTACAAAGATGATTTCCTTTTTCTGTGCAAATCTGAAAAAAAATTACTAACTAATCTGACTTTACAATGTCGTACCCTTGGCTTTGAGTCTGTCGCACGCAGTGTGACACCAGCCAGAGTGAGTCGAGCTTAAAACAGCTCTCAATCCCACTTTCCTGCTCAGTGCAGATAACTAGTGTTGTAGTGGAAGGAAGCCATGTGGACCCGATTGCGCAGTCTCTGGACCTCCAGATCCTGGAGATAATCCTCCTCGTCGTTCTGGATGATGATCTTCTGAAGTTCACCAATCTCACGTTCCATCCTGGATCGCAGCTCTCGCTTCATTTTCAGTAGAGCCTGCAGAAAAAAGAGGAGCAGGATGAACGACTTTGATGACCTCAATGGTGTGAAAGTAGATTTAAAGGGATATTCCGGTGCAAAATTAATTTAGAGTCAAACGCACCGTAACACAGGGTTAGTCGCCCCCTGGAGAGATGAATGTTGCCGACTGCTTGCTTCTCTAGTTATACTAACTTTAGTAACGATCGCAAGATAGCAATACACAGCGGTCTGAGGAGCCATAAACAAACCTCAACCAAAACGCCACTCTATAGCCACAAATAATGCTCAGAACAGCACCTAACTTCATCAACAGTACATGTGTTGAAAGAAACATGGCTAAAGAACACAGTTTGACAATTTTGATTTATAACGTAAAAATCTTAAATGAAAAACGTTTACCTTTTCTTGAGCTTTTTTCCGAACCTGGATGTCCTGTCGCTCTTGTGCAAGTTTTTCCGCTAATAGTGAAAACTAAGAGAGAGAAAACACTTCTTGGAGTTAATGATTGTGATGTCCATTTAAGCGACAATAAAAAAGTGTGTTTGACTCGGTAGGTCATGTAACGCTCTCTGGAGGTCCAACCTGGTCTTTATAGTAGTTCTCCAGGGATTTGATGTGGTCCTGGTGTCGCCGCTGATGTTCTAGCCTCTGCTCCCTGGCGTAGGCTCTCTGCTCTCTCAACCGGACTTTCTGTAACTCCAAACCCTCCTCAAACAGCTGACGAAACATCTACACACAAATACGCAAACACACACACACTTCAGTCATCATGTCACTTGGAAGACTTAAAGGTGAGATAGGCAGGATTCTGTTAAAGAAGCATCTTTTTTGTGGTGTAAATACGAAATATCTTTTAATTGCAGTCAAAAGTTATTAGTCATTGACGACATTTGGGAATATCATGATAACGCTCTGGTCTCTTATGTCTGTGTAGTCAACATTTTAACATTTTTGAGCTGTCCGCTCTTTCTGACTGTAAACAAAGCCGTTCTCCACCTCCTCGGCCTGATTGGTTGTAAGCCAGACGCTGCTCCCTCGTGTTGAGAGGCACGCTCCACTTCCGGAATAACATTCACGAACCCAAACAAAGTTAGCGTGCTACGACATCGAACAGTAGAAACCAACCAGAAAGTACGGAAAATTGTCTGAATCCTCCTTTGACCACGACTGCCGACACAAGCAAGAAAACAAAGTAAATACTGGAGACTCTGGTGGAATAACGGGCGCTTAACGGGGTAGAGTTACGTTCAAGATTTCTCCCAAAAACTGTCCCTTCCTCAGATCCTGACTACCCCACCTTTAACGAGTAGCTCAGCTTTAAACAAGAACACAAAATGATCACCGCTCACCTTCTCCTCCTTGGTGCGAGCCCTCATCAAGCGGGCCCGATGCTGAACGTGATAGTCGTTGTGGTACTTCTTGGCCCGTGCGATCTGCTGCCTCTGTTCCCTCAATCTATTCTGGGTGGACTTCTGCTGTTGGATACGCTCTTTGAAGTCTCTCTGAAAATCAACATTTAGGCTGAAAACTAAACAGTAAAAAAACAACCACCGTGTTTGGCAGCAGGTTGGTTAAAGAAGTCTAAATGTAGATGTTTGTGTCAATGAGGTTCAGCTCACCAGACGCTTGTTGTGCTCCTGGTCCTTTCGGACTAGTTCCACCAGCAGGTCATGTTTCCTCTGAGCCTCCTCCACCTAGCAGACAAGATTTAGACCATCAGCCCATGAACCAAATCTCACACTCAGCGATGAAAAAAAGGCACCGACATCCGACTGACCTGGCTGGAGAGTTTGTTGCTACGCCGATCACGAGATGACGACAGGGAGTGAAGTCTGTCCACCTGCTGCATCTGCTGCTCCCACATCCGACCCAGAGCATGTGGGGTGATGTGAAGGTGGGGTAACTCCTCCAGGAGAACAGGGAGGAGCTCATTCTCTCTCACCGTCACTGGAGACAGAGGAGACGTGAACCCTGACATTACTTTCTCTTTTGTATGAATCAGAGTAATACTACATATCAGAAAACAGTCATTTTTTATGGTTTATCACAGTGTTTTTATCTATAAACATATGAAAATGTTGTAGCCAAAGCCTGTAAACTGCACGCTTCAATGACTGGGCCAACCAGTCAAAATGACAGCGATAAACAGGAGCAAACAACCTGATGCTTTTGCATTTTTGTACTTCTATTTTTGCCGGATTCCGGAGCACGGCGCATCAATTCAGTGCAGCGCAGCACGAGCCGCAGTGGAAGTTGTACACGGTTACAGAGTAAAATATCCGGTTGATTTTCAAAATAAAATAAAGTCAATACATTGAGCTGTTAGTAACTTGATAATAGGAGAGGCCAGGGTTGTGGGATGTGGGTGTTTATATACACCGATCAGCAGATCTCATTCTATGATTCCCGGGGAAACATAAAAGAGCTCGTGAGATCTCATCCAGTCTTGCGAGAAATATCGGTAATATCGATGGCGGCGGCGGATCGGATTCTGTGGGTTTAGCCAGTATGATGTCACCTCTGCCAACCTCACTGGACAAACAGTTGATTTTATTTTCCCATTATCACGGATTTTAACTTCATATTAGCAATTAATTAAAAAAATCGATACTTGGCCAATGAGATGATACGATACATCACCAGACAAAATATCACGATACAAGGCTGTATCAATTTTTTCTCCCACCCCTACTAATTTCACTAGTGGTTCCCCTCTCTCAATCTGCTTTAATCCCCCTAACCATCCTCAGAAATGCTTCCATAATTAACCTGTGTGGATGCAGCTTCCTATTGTGGTGCCCCATACAGCCTAGGAGGCATTACCATAATGTAATTCTTTCTTTTACTGCCTCTGCAGCACATTGTTGATGAGGATACCCTCCTGATGACAACCTGCTCCATGTGCAAAAAAAAAATGCATAAGTGGTCCATCCTTCATGATCCACCAGATATACTACTTCAGCACAAGTGGGCCAGCCAGCCTGGAGCCACAAACATCAACGTTCATAGAGGAAACACACCAGCTAAGAGGAAACATGAGCCAAAGAGGAAAGTGTCTGTAAAAACAAAGGCTCATTTGTTACCGCTGAACAAGACAGGAACTGCTGAATCTTCAGATTCCCATGACCACCTGTAGATCACCTATCAGTGCTGCTGGTTTCAAGATATTCTGAGGAGATTACTGCTGAGTAGCTTCAGCCTCAAATCAAGACAAACTAGTTTATAACTTCATCTCAAACTGGGAACACAGCCTCGTTTGAGACCTAATAGAGCAGCACTACTTATATGCAGACATGTCCAAATACGAACACGAACCAGAGGTAAATAATGTAACTGTGGAAATCTTACTTGGTGGTGCTTTCCTGTGGGCCTCATGCCGTCTCCTTCCCGGTGAGATTAGTGTGTTTTGTTGAGACCTGTGCTGGGTCTTCATTCTCACTGGGGACGGTCGTGAGGCTTGGGAGACATCATTTAGTATTGCTTCTCTGTACTGTCGTTCCTACACACAAACACAAACACAAACACAAACACAGAGTAGGAGCTGATATTAGTTTGAAGTTTAGACCATTTTTTTAAATTATGTTGATGTCAACCTTCCTCTAGCAAATCAGAACCAGCGAATAAAGACAGAAGTTGGATCCTGTGGACTTCTAGCAGGGCCCTCCTTGTGGTCCTTAGATCTTGACTGACCAAACAGTTGACCAAACCTCCACAACTGTCTGAAGATGTTAGGGAGTCAAATTCAGAGTCCTTTAATTAATCTCCTCATGAAACTTCTCCCATCTGGCTTTGTCTAATCCAGCTCTTTCAACTTATTTATTTGTCATTTGTTTTGATTGTTTACCTTGTTTAATTAGTAGTTGTTTTTTGTCGCTGTTATACACATTAGGGCTGTAAAGTCCTAGTCCACTGGTCGACTTATTGGTCGATACCTGCTGAGTAGACCAGAATTCTGATTGGTCGACTACATTTTTACCGCGTCAATTTACAGTCTATGGTTAATTTCATGAGGAGGAACGTACCAAGTGCTCATGGGGGTGTTTTCAGAGCATCCCGTTTCATAGGAAACAGCCTGTCTCAGAACACCCCCCTTGTTTTCACCATTAGCATTCACCCAACCCACTGGGGATCGGAAGATTGAAGAGCGTTCACGTTAATCAACGTCCGGTGAGTGATTTTTTTCCGTAGGATGGAAGGGGAAAGTCCTGCCTCCTTCACCTCTGATTGGCTAAAAAAGATGGAAACGTCATCACATGCTAAAGCCAAACGCGGGCTGTCAGCTCTGTACATCGAACAGAACATTATCACACTTCTGAATCTCCCAACCCTAACCCGACAGACAATGACGTTTCACAGCCATAAGGAATAACCAATCGGAGCCAATCAGAGGCAAAGGAGGGCGGGACCTTCCCCTACCATTCTACAAACTACAAGCGTTTCAACTTGTCTCCTTGTGCTGTTATCAGTATATTTTCACCCTGCCGAGCTCCCCCCCCCGTAGAAGGGTATGCTGTCGGAGTTGGAATCCCTGATTAGTCGATTTTTGGTCGAAAATTTCAGCGTTTTAGTCGACCAATTATTTCTTTGGTTGATTACAGCCCTAATACACATTAATTTGCATGTTATTTGATTTTTTTCATCTGCTTAGCACTTCGTCACTTCACTAGTAAAATAATGAATCTGACTTACAGCTTCTTGAGCTCTGTAGCGTGCCTTGTCTAGCTCTGCTCGCTCTTTGTCTTCATATCTTTTCAGCTCCTTCTCATAATCTTTATTCTGCAGAGACTGAAAGAAAGTCCCGTTTATGTTTTACATGGAAAATTGAATAGAAACAAGAAGAAAAGGCAAATAAATTTGATGTAATCTTGATATTTCTAGAAAGTCTGTAGTACCAGAGTGGTTTAACAATGTTAGCCAATGAAAAATAAACTATTGCAACCAGTTTGTTCGGTTTTTCATCCCTTGAGAAAACAAACTCTTCCTTGAGACATCTGGAATCTTAACCTACCACTTTCGTTTCTGGTTTTCCAGCACCCATTCTTAAGTTATCAGAAAAAATGCTCTCGAGTAGGTGAAATTTTAAGCATTTCAACACTTTTATCTCTTTAATATTTAGTTATTTTAATGAGAGAAAACAACGACTTCCTGTACCTTGCCATGTTTTCTGTGCGACATTCTGTGGTGTGGCTCTTTTCGCCTTGTACGATCAGGCGCTGTGAGGTTGGTTTGTCTCCCGTCACCCAGACTCAAAGCCTCTGCCATAGCGTCTCCTAACTGACCCTGCAGTGGGTGACAGACCCGTGGAGGGGAAGGGGATAAAGAGTGAGTCTGGTGGGCCGATTCAGGCACAGGAGTTCCTGAAAGTAAAGCAGAGCATTAATTCGGGTTTCTGTGGTGTATGACGGTGTATGACGTTCACAGCGTTAAAGTTGAAATACTGTCTGTAATATCTAATCTTGAAGCCTTTCTATTAAAAATCATAGATGTAGAGCATTAAAACGGATAAAACAGCATTTCTAAAGGCTAAACTTTGATTATAAGAGCATCCAAAGGTTCTTGCTTGTGTGTACCTGTGTGCTCTCTGCCACACTCCGTGGGGCTGTCACTGTGGTGAGACTGCTTGTCTCCATCTTTGACTTCACTGGACTCTCCGCTTTCACTCAGAACACGTTTAAGCATCTGTAGGAGGTAGACATCACTTGTAAGCATCAACAGGATAATTCACAGTCATACAGAGGGATCTCTGCCCATTGATCAGGGCTATGATTTGCAGAACTTTCTTAAACTGCTCACAAACTGCAACACAGGCTGAAGCAAGACATGAAGACTGGATTGTTCAGCTTCACAGCAAAGAGTAATGGGGCTAGGAATAAAAAGTTTTTCCTTTAAGACCTTGAAATGAAGATTAAAATCCTTTTTGGCACATTCAGACTCTGGACAGGGTGCATTATTTGTTTTTACATGAACCCTTATACTTCTCCTAGAGTGGAGAGCAGAAGTAAGAGGAGGAACTGCAGAAAAACTCATCAGGATCAAGGCTGTCATACTTGTATGGGGGAAAGGACTGTGTTCAGATACTTCTGGATTTTCTTGAGTATATACAAGCTCCAGCTCACCGGACAGAGAGGTACATGGAGCCAGTTTCTCAAGTGAGACTCAGCTTGTATCTTATACAAATCTAAATCCAGGGCAACTGATAGCAAATGGTTTATCTTGAAGAAATGAAGCAAACTGCGTTCAACCCGAGAACGACAGGCACTCAAACCACTTCTGAACATTTCACAAACAGAGATTCGATGCAAAGCCTTCTCACCTGATCCAGCTCTTCAAGTCGATGGGAAAGTTTCTCAGAAATGTGATGCAGTTCTTCTTCTGCTTTCTTGTTCCTCTGTCTTCGATAGGAAAGAGGATCTTCAAAATCTTCTTCTTCTACTCTGACACTGTTCAGACAGACAGTAAATTATTACCACGTTGGCCTTTTTTAGGATTTTTTAACCCATAATCCCTCGTATCATCACTCCATCCTGTCCTCCAGAGCTCTCCTACCTGTGCCCCGCCCTTTCTCTGTGACCTGTCCGTCTGTCCAGTTGTGCTGGTGTATAACTCAGATCTTCCTCATCATCCTCCTCCTCCTCTGTGTCGGGAGGAGAGGGTGTTGCGGCTGCCATCTCATCCTGCAGGGTGAGGAAGAGCACGTCCGGCTGGGTGCGGAATAAAACCCTCCTAGGACCCCCGTTGGTTGGCTGGGATTAGACAAGAATGAGTCCCAGGAAATGTGAGAAAACAGGAAATTTTAAAAAAAGTTATAAAACGACCCACATTGATTTTTTTTTAGCCGTTTTAGTTTTCTTAAACATTAAGTTAATACTCGGGAAAGGATTGCATAGCAGCTAAAACAGATTCATTAGCTGGGACAATTTTAATTTTTGCACGAGAACATAATTAATCCCCCTCAGATTACTCATTTATTGTTTAAATAAATTACTTTAGAAAGTCTGTATAAAGATTGATGCATCAAAATGTGTTTTCAAGCTTTTGTAATTAACAGTCAGTCTTTTCTGGATTCATTTTTTTTCCACTAGAGATAAATTCAAATTGGAAAACCCAAACATGCCTGCACAGGGTAAAGGTGACTGTAAAAAAGGTTTAAATGGGTTGGTCTGAATAATTTTATCCCTGATACTACTGCAGTCATTTAAACTATTGTATATGCAGTAAAGAAATTTGTGTTGGCAAAAGGGGGGTAGGAGCTCGATAAGTTTTAAACTTCATCCTACTCCTTTTCGGACATTGTTGTTGGTTTTCTTTTCTTCCTGATTTGTATTTTATTTTCTTATTTGATTAAATAATGTTCGAAATAAAAAAAATAAAAATAATAATAATAATTAAAAAAAAAAATAAAGTATAGGTTTGTTGTTGGCCTACCTCTAGTGCCTCCACTTCTGTTTCTGCCTCAGCTCCGTGCTGAGAGGACTGAGGGTTGATGCTCGCAGCTGGGTATTGAGCAAAACATGATATCAGGATTTAAATACACTCAAATCTGAGCAAAGTCATTTATAGATTTTAGACTGTATGTCTTGGACAGGTAAAAATAAATCAAATTAAAAATCACTGCACATTTCATCCTGTGAATCTTCATAACTTACCAGGAGGCTCGGAGAGAGGAGGTGACTGCTGTCCATTTGTTGTAAGAGTCTCAGCTGCAGATGTCTGTGTAAAAAAAAGAAGAATTTATAATCTCCAACTCAAACAAATCAAATTTCTATGATCAAAGCAAAAAGTTGAAATACAAGAGAGCCGACACAAGACTATGAAGACAAACTAAGACTGGTGCTGATGATGGATCCATGGATGCAACTCAGTCTAAAGGCCAATTTGATACTGAAAAGTCTGCAGGTTATTTTGGCTGCCAATCCAATCATTTCTTTGCACAATGTCTGATCCTCGCAGATTTGATATTTTGAAATACTATCACCAACCTTAGAAGCTTTAATTTTGACAAAAAAACATAGAAGTTGTTGGTGCAAGAAGTGTGAAATGCTTCTCAACTGCTTAGTCTGTGCTGTAAGTGTCCTATATTCTATGCTGGCTCTGTTGAGAGAAACGCAAAGCCTCACTGACGTCACACCCGAGTTACCAGCGTTTCAGTTACCAAGTCGGAAAAAAGCAAAATCTGAGGCCCAAAACAAGATGGCTTCATCTACGAAAGTTATTTTAGCGCTTGCCTTATATTCGGACAACGCAAGCCCTAAAATTTTCGTAGACGTAGCCATCTTGTTTCTGCCTCCAATTTAGCTTTTTTCGGACTTGGTAACTAAAACGCTGGTAACTCCGGTGTGCTTCATCTTAACTTCACCTCTGTGGAGACGGGAGCTGCTTCCTCTCTTTCTTGCTCTCCATCGATAGCGGCGGCTGTGAGGGGTTGGTTGGGTGAGGCTGGGTCTGTATCAGGTCTGTGGGGGGTGTCGCTCTGGTTGGGTGGCTGCAAAGCGATGGCCGAGTGCAGAGGTTCTGGGGGTCCATGAGGACCAGAGGTGAGAACTGTGTCTGAGGTTGTAGGAGAAACAAGAAGTCATTGGAGATTAAAAAATATTTCAACTATTGAAAGAGGGCAGTGATTGGTGCTGCCGCCTCACAGAGATCACATAAAATTAAAAGGAAAAATCTTTGACAATTTCATGACAAAACATGTAAAAAATATAAATAATATTTTTGTGGTTTGCAGCGAATAAGCAAAACAGGTTGGATCACAAAAACCACTGGGTTGAAATCAGTGATGTGCTTACACTGGAAACAAACCGTGTATTTTGTTCAAACACAAAACAGAAAGAGTCGCAGGGAAGTTTGTGTGTTTTACCTTCTTGTTTGGCCGGGAATGTGCGCGCTGAAGCCCCCAGTCCAATGAGCTCACTAGTTGATCCTTTCTCCTCAGCACTCCAGGAATGGAGGGAATGTCTACTTGAACAGACAGAAGAACTAAATCAGACATAGTTTATTTGCCAGAGACACGGCATGCGTGAATGCTTCAAATAAATCAGTTAAAAATGGAGGTCAAAGAAGTCAAAGGATAACAAAGAGATAAAGTATTTATCCTGCAACAACAGTTTTGTTAAATTCATTATCATAAGACTTGGCTCCAATGGTAAGGTTCCTACTCAGTGACTTTTTTTACAGTCTTCCTTGAATAATGACTTTGTATTTCATCACAGCAGGAGCATTAACTGAACTAATCATTCACAGCTGCATGGATCCACCTGAGAGACAGGCATAACAGGACCATTTAAATAATGAAAATGTTTCAAAAGTACATATTACAGCTGCTTTTTAAGAGCCTCCATTATAAAACTTCTGACAGTTGTACAACTATAAATAAACAGCAGTGTTGGAAAAATCACCTTTTCATACAGATGAAACACAAAGTGATCACTCAAGAACATGTTGAGCCACAAAGATGTAGGTGTTTAATCTACATGTTTAAGTTCACAGAGGTATTAACCTAGCCTGTAGTTGTGTCAACAGGATGTCCAGCTCGGATATGCACTGAAGCTGAAAACACAGTCAGATCATGTGAGACAAACCTGTCTGGTTGCTGTTTGTTCTGATTGAGTTTTGGTTTGGAGAGTTTAAAATAAACAAAAAAAGCTGGTTTACTTTGTCTGAGGTGTTAATCCATTCTATCATGCACACCTTTTATCTTGTCTTATATTCTGCCTGGAACAAAGATATGATGCACAGGAAGAGACTGGTTTTACTTTCAGCAGCATGTGTCATATGTTAGGGGGAAAACAGCGAAACTGCAAGGGTGACTAAACCGTGGCCATTTAGGGATTTATTAGCAAAGATCTGGATCTAGAAAAGAGCTCTTACTCTTCACTGCAGGAAGGGGACGCTCTCTCTGGTTCAGCCTCTTTGTGCTCAGCGGCATCACCGCCTGTTGGTTCCTTTGTTTCATTAAGGACATCCTCATTAAGACTGTCGTTGAGTTCTTCTGTAAAAACAAAAATGGTGCAAATGACCTTTAAGGAAAGACAAAATACAAAGAAAGTCTCTGAAAAAAAAAACAGAACAAGCAACAAAGAGGAAGGAATACATCCAATCACGACATGTGATGACTGCAGAGGAATTAAAAAAGGGAACAAAGACTGAAGGTTAGCGAAGTTCTGATACACAATTATACACTGAAGCTCGGTTTGATGGTGTATTTGTACTTGTGGCGCAAAGGTAAACAAAACAAATAAAACAGAGAGCTCTTACAAACACTGAAAGCAGACAGCACATGTTGTCATAGTTAGATACTTAACACAACTCTGTCAGGACAACTCAAGTTTTGAATTACGGTGCAGCACATTTACGGTGTTTGTTAAACCTTTCATATTTTTTGAGCTTAGTCACAATTAACAACTACTAATAGATATTTAGCAAAGTCTGAATAGTGATTCTACAGACACAAAAGCAAGCTCAGTTCTGCCTTATGAATGGACTAACTGTTTCCCTTCAGTCCTGCAACCAGATGGAATTTAACTGGATTGGACACACTTCACGCCCAATTCATGCCGGAGTCTCACCTCAAGAGAGACTGAGAAACAGACACTTAAGGCTGTTATGAAGACGGGGTTCCTGTAAGTCTCCTGCAGAGCTTTTTAACGATGATGGATATCGTATCGTATCAGTCCTGAACTACCTTCTCAAAATGTGTGTTCATTAGAAACAAACAACCATACTGCCATCAGATACACATTTGTGTTAAAAGACTTTCTGAGGAACTAAAGCAGAAACTTTCCCTCAAAGTTTTACTTATTGAAGATCGAAATATCATCAGTGCATCCTCTCAGTTCTCATTTTCTGCTTACCACCGTTTTGGGACTCCTCGCTGATCTCCTCCTTGAGGTATTCCAAGAGACCGTCAAAGATTTCCAGGAGGTTCTTGACAGACTCTCTGTCCCCTCGGACAATATTTTCTCCTGCAAACAAAAACCCATTCTCAGCATCATACCAAGTTCTTATCAGTTTCCTTACTGAAGAAAAGGAGGCATTGAGTTGTCCTCCTGTTGCAGTACACTCCCTAAGGGAAATGAGATTTTTTTTTCCAGTCATGCCACCGAAAATAAACCAGAGTGTAAAAATGTTTCACCATCTCAAGTTTATGGAGGAGGATTAGGACGACTGGGGAAAAAGGGCCAAAATATATTTTTATTTTTATTCTAAAATTAAATCAGAATACTGAATTTTTTACGGAATAAAAATAATTTTAAAAGAATATTTGACCTATTTTTCCCAGCGCCCCTAGTCTTCTTCCGTACAAGTTTATCCAAGCTAAAATTACAAATGTACTGTGTGTAGAAAGATATCAAAGTTGCTGACTCTTGTGCTAAAAACACATTTGTTGTTGTTCAAAGCAAAATGATCTATTTACCTGTAATGTGCGAGAGACTTATCTGAAGGTAATCCAAGGAAAGTGAATCCACCACTGACTGAACATTATGGACATCATCTTCTTGAGTGCAAGGCGCTGCAATGTAATCTAAAAAGCACAAAATAATACAACAGAGTGACACTTTAGAAACGATTGAAAGTACAAAACTATACAAAGAATTTCAAAACATGCTTACACACTTCTTGAAACACATGTTAAGCTTTAGCCTAAGCTTGTGTAAGTCTTATAATAGCATGCTTGATGGTTTCAGGAAACATTCTTGATAGTTTAAGCACACTCACTCAGGAGATCATATTAAAAACTCTAATCTAAAGCTGATGAACAGGGTTTTTATCCTCTTGAGGAAAATTTAAATCGGCTTTTAACTTTTTTTGTGGCTGTTTAATGCCAACTGCATTCTTTAATAATATATACATAATTGGATTAGATTTAATTTATTGATCCTTTTGGGAAAGTTCTCCTTGAGGAAATTAAAACAGTAAAATGCTGTTTGTTTTACCGATCAGACTAACACTTAAGAGATTAAGGTGGAGATGAAGAAAGCAGCAAATAATCACAATTAATAGGAGGGTTTTTAGCAGAACCAGTGTTTATGAAATTAATTCTCTGTTCATTTCTGTTCTTTAATTGACGAATCAAACCACATTGCCTACATTTGGTGGCAGCATGCTCTTACCTGGAACTTTCTCCCCCAAGATGCTCTCATAGAGAGCAATGAAAACACTGGCATCACAGTCAGAGAGTTTCTTTATCCGCAGGTTTATGTGACACTTGCTGAGTAAATCCTTCGCCACATCAACCCAATCTGTGAAAAAGGGCAATGAGTCAGAGTATCAGACATTCAGGGTATCAAAAAGGACAATTACTCATAATACATAAACGTTTTTTTTGGTCATGAAAACATAAACCAAACAGATATAGGAGAGAGTGGGGTAAGATGAGCCATATTTCATATTTCGGATCACTACATCAAGGCAATCATAGTTTTGTCTCTAACTCGTGTATCTGAATATATTTCAAGATGTTGTGCATCCCTGCAAACCAACAGAATGACTGTAAACATAACTGTCTTGATAATATAGAACAGAGGTGTAAAACTCAACCACAGCAAGGGCCATAATCTGGATTTATGTCTAACCTGAGGGCCAAACAGGGTCAACATTTCACCAAAATGTCAACCCTACTTTTCAAAAAATATGTAAAAAAAATAGTAATGATTATAAATCATTTGGAAATTCAAAAAAGATAAGTTTAAAGGCAATCTGAGATAGAAACTTTTTTTATTCTATTTTCATTTATTAGTTCAAAAGATCAGATCATGATATTAAAAATATAAAAATAATGCATTTAAAGAGCAAATACATGAGAAGAACATTGAAATCAGGTCTAAAAGCTCAAAATATTACTAAAAACTTAAAATTGGAATCTAAAGTATAAAAATGAAACAAGTCTAAATACTAGGTTGAACAAAATCAAAGCATTAAATAAAAAATCCAGTCATGTTTGACTTGTAATCTTGAAATGCAAAATTGAAAACTTGAAATAAAACACCAAATATTTTTCCCCCACATTCTTGACTATTTATCAAATCTAATTTCCCAGATTTTTGTGTCTTATTAAGGAGATTTTAAATAATGGTGCTAAAGTTTACATTATTATACTGGAGGAAATCTGCAGACTTCATGGTGGGCCAATAATAATACAAATATGAGATGATCTTGTGGGCCAGAGCCGTATCCCTACTACCCCTTTTTGACCTCATGTTGTAGCTCATAGATACCACAATTGATGTATAAAACTAATCTAATATGATCTTTTTTGGTCTGAAAACAATTCTTATAAAACTTAGGACAGACTAAATTCACTTTCAAGAGTAAAAAATGTTTTATTTGTTTTGTAAATAAATGTCTAACCCCTTCACCCATGTGCTTCTAACCTTCACAGACTCCATGAACTGATGTCCATCTCCTAAATATTTGGTCACATGATCAATTTTTTTTTTACCATTTCCAAGCAACATGGGGTGGCTCAACTTACCCTTTGGCTCAACTTACCCCACTCTCCCCTACTCATGGGCAATCTGATACAACCTAAATGTTCAACTATTGTTCAAAGACAGACAGGTGATCAGTGTTCTTGCTCAGACGCAGTGGCTGTTAACGGTGTACGAAGTCACAAAGTTTGTTGTAATTAATAATCACCAACTACTCTTTGGAGTGACCAACTCCATCCACCAACTAATGAGTTTAATCACAACTTCACTCAGAAGTAGCTAGCTAACTATGCTAACTCGATCTGTTCGCTAATAGGAACAAAACGCGTTAAAACTCTGAGTCCTATCCCTGACTTTAATCCTGTCTACTCAGTTTGGTTCCCCTTCTAGGACTCGACTGATTCTGTGACAACAAGAGAGCAGTTTCAACCGGCAACTCCCCGCTACTATAAGCTGAAATGAGGGCTACGTGTTGTTAGCTTTCCCCCGGACAGAGAACCCCGAGGCTGGGCTGACTCTTACCTCTCTCTCCCTCCTGGGTTCCCATCAAACAGCTGTCGACAAGAGGCAGCCGGAGCCCTAAATCCACCGACAAGCTACGACAGAGCCTCGCAAACCCTGGGAAAGTGGGTTAAGTTTGGGGGTTGTTATGGGTTTCAGTCGTGTTAACGGGAAGCAGGATCGGTTCTCATTTCAAACTGGAGGCTCGTCTGATTGGACGAGACACCCGTTCTTTGTTTCCGGAAGTTACATTTGATGTGGTTATACGCCCTCTGTTGGTCGCTGTGTGTAACGCAGGTAAGGAGACCACGACGCTGTTGTCTGTTGGCGGGTAGAAGTAGGGGAGACCGGGGCTTGTTGTCACACTTTTTACACTCATATATTTCTTGGAATCAACATAAAGAGAAATTTAAAAATATATATATATTAAATATTTTTCATTTTTTTGCATGTATTAGTGATGCTTTCTGTATGATCAAATATATATTATTGTAAAAATAGAATAAAGTAAAAACATTTTAGTGCTGATGTAGGCCTATGATTCTTACTGCCGATATGTCAAAGCTCTGCTACCGTTATGTGCCTCCTGCTGTGCAATGTGCACTGAACATCCAAAGAGCAGGTAGTTGTGGGGCAAAACAATAAAAAAAAAGAAAATATCCTTCAGGAGCAGAGAAAAGAAAGAGGAAGAAAGAGGAAGAAAAGAAAAAACACCAAGATAAAGGTATGTTTGCATGTTTGCAACTTCCAAATTAACTGAAAGCGCAAAATTTGTTGTAGGATTTCTAAAAAATAATTCAGTATTAGGCAGAGAAGTTAACAAATTATACCCTTAAATATTTGAGTAGTTTGTCTACCAAAGAGTATCACTTTTCAGAAGCCCAAATGCAACACAAATCCCAAACTATACAGATAAAAGGACTTCTTTTAAGAGACATGGCTTTGACTATCTCAGTAGGGAAGTCTGCGGCAGTTCCTCCAAGATTGATCGACTGATTAATTGATTGATTTCATGCACTTTCTCAAGACTTTGAACACTTCATTTTTTCACACAGTACTCACTGAGAATATGAAATTTGTTCAAATTTACAAATTAGGAAGCTGAATGCCATCGCCTGTGCCTAGAGGTTACCCTGCCACAAAAGACTACCTTAAAACATCCACGGTTTTAGAAACGTTTGACGAAATTCATTTGGAAGATAACTTTGGAGCCAAAAATGTTAAAAACCCTTATCTTGATATTTTATTCTTTCAGTAAAGTCAAACTTGGTTTTACTGTGAGATGACATTACTGACCCTACCGATAAGATATGGGCAGAATTTTTGTCTGCAGGCAAAACAAGACTCTTTAAAAAGCAATTTGTTACTAAAAGTTCCTCATTGGACCTTTAACTTTACTGCTCCACAGCAGCATCAGAATTAACTGTTTGAGAAAATCTCCAGCTCACTGTAACAAACTGCAGATTTGAAGAGTAAAGCTGGTGAAAATTATCAGTTGATTGTCCTCTTAGTTTTCTAAAAGAGCACCAAAACAAAAAGAAGGTTACTCAGTGTGGATGTACACCGTAAGTGTCAGAAAATCATGAGGCCATTAGCTAAAAAAGAAAAAAAAAATTCTCTGTAGCAAGAGTGCATCTTGCTGAAAACATGATTTTTTTTTTCCTCAGAAGAAGACAGTATCAGCAAGAAGTGGTGACTTATAGGTTTCCTGTATAATCAGATGTGTGAATTGATAACTGAGCTAGTCTGTGACACCTCCTTTTTAGGGAAATAAAACTTACAGTGATTATTTCTACACTGATGACTTTGACTGCCTCAGGCACTTCCTGACCAAACTTAATCTGACTGCAAGCTGAGCATCATGGATGAATCCGGTATCTATATTAACATGGACAACCCATCAGGTTTTCCAGGCCAACGAAGGAATTTGCCGAGATGCTCCAATGCAGAGGACCACACACCTCAGACTGGACCAGTGCTTTCAGGTAAGACAGCCTGATTGTATGTGAACAAACTTAACACAACGGTTAAAGTGTTCACTGTCACTTTTTGGTACAAACCAACATATTTTTAACTGCTATAGTCTACCCCTGTTTTCCACATTCCACTGGTTTTGAACTTGGACATGTTTTCAATATGTCGACATTTATATAAATGTGAAAATGCACTGTTTACTTCGCTGTTCAGTGTCTTTTGTAGTGTAGGGGAAAATATAGACGATAGATTTGAGCAAAGAAAGTCTGCCCAATAGAGCAGACTTAGTGGCCTGTTTTTGCATTGGTGAAAAACAGGATGCAGGCCACGGCCTGAGAGGTCACGTTGATCTTGTCATACATGGCTCTGTCAAAATTCGACAGGAAATTTGGCAGAGGCGGCCAGCGAGCAAAACATGTTAACAGAAAAAGTCACGTTGTTGGCTATCAGACACCAATGTGAAGTACACTTACGGGAAGATTACAATTCCAATGACCACTTACGGGAAGATAACAACAACTGACGTCAATGGACTGTAAATTGTTTGGGATTTGTTTGGCTTCAGGGTGCCCTTCCACCTGATTTGTCGTGAGATGTGGTTGATGCAGCAATAAAATCCCGCGAGAGCGCTGCCAACTTGATTCTGTCTTTGGGTGGTTCATTTTTGCACCTTTGCATCTATGAAATCTTACATAGTAGTCGGTGGGGAAACTATGTCATAGGGTTTTACTTAATAAGCAATATGTGACAGTTCTACCTTAGCTTCTAAATACTGCGAGGAGAAAATGCAAAGAAGTGAATACAGCACATGTGAATACAAAGCCTGAAAACTTGACTTTTCATTTACACCAAAAGTTGACAATCAGGTGGAGAGGATGTGGGGTTTGGGTTTTAAGTTTTAAACAAAATTGTCTTTTATAATGGATTCTACCTTTAGGTGCTCCAAGAGGTGTCAAGAAACCCTCTTATAAAGTTCCTGCCATGTGTCTGGGACTGCTGTGTGTTCTTCTTCTGACTGCCGTCATGACTTGCGGTTTTCACTGTGAGTACTTTGGTTGCATGCTGGTAAAATCCAATTGAATGGTGGTTAACAGAGTCTGTTTTTAATTTCATTTATTTTACAAACAGATGTCACGCGCAATTCAAACATAGTCAACCTGACCAAAGAAAGAGACCAGTTACTGGCCAGATTGGAGAGCATGACAAATGATCTACGTAGAAAGCTGCAAGGTAAGTTTTCAATAAGTAAGTCTTGCGTTATTGAGTTTGGAATGTGTTTGATTTTGATATCCTGGACGGAGGTTTTGGAATCAGTGTTTGGGACTACGCATTGGTTCAGTCACTCTGCTTATCCCAAATTTTCTATTACAGGTCCCAGCCTCTGAGTTGAATATGGGGTCAGCAGTAAATGACTTCCAGCTAAGACAGTCCTTTGTTGTTGTTGTTGTTGTAATTAAAGCTGAAGGAAAAGGACAGTTTGAATGATATGCTCTTTGTGGCTGAAAATACAAAGAAACATTTTGACATTTTGTGCTGGTGTTGGTATGAGCTTTGAAAATTACAGCGTGACTCTTTAAGTTCATGTACAACTTCAACTCAGATATTTTAACTGAGCTCCATTTTTGAATAATTCCACTACTAAGTTGTTTTTCTTCCTTTATTTTAAAACAGATCAGAATGGATGGGTGTATTTCAGCGGCAGTTTGTATTACATTTCTTCTCTGATGAAGTCCTGGCAAGAAAGTAGAGCTGACTGTCAGAAAAGAGGTGCAGATCTGATGGTTGTCAACAGCAGAGAGGAGCAGGTGTGTATTTCATGCGTGTGTTTGCTCTCGTACATTAAAAAATAAAAAATACAGTATCATAGATGTAGAGGATATTCATAACCTGTTGATGTTGTTCATGCAGCGAATGACTTTTCTCTTTCTGCTTGGTAAGGACTTTGTAATAGGTTTAAAGAAGCACCTGTGGATTGGATTGACTGACACAGAGAAAGAGGGAGTGTGGAAGTGGGTGGATGGGATTCTGCTGACCACAAGGTTCACACTCAACTTCTCTATTGTCTTGGTGACGTGTAGCGTCACTTTTTGATAGTTTTTAATTACTTTATCCAGGTGCATTAAGTTTTGTGATCTAGCATTGTGAGGCTCAAAGATGGGGTAGGCAGGATCTGAGGAAGTTCCAGTTTTTGAGAGAAATCTTGAATGTAAACTCTACCCCTCCCAAACAGTTTTCTCCTCAGCTCCTCCTCTCCCCTCCCGTTTGACAAGAAACACTTCTGTTACAGACACTTGGTTTACTTTGTTAAAGCGGTTTACCTGTCCAGCAGAAAGGTTACAGGTCTGTAAGATCCCGAAGCATCCCCCCAACGTTTATGCTAGCTTCATTGATGTTGACCTGGCTTTTTGGCTCTTGTCCAGTCTACCTCCGTTTAAAGCGCCTGTTAGCAGCGTCTGCATCACAACCAATCAGGTTGGGGGAGGTCATGAATGGCTTTGTTTACAGCCAGAAAGAGCGAGAACCGCTCAAAAATTTTAAAATTTTGACTACACAGACGTAACAAAACACAATGTATCTTCATATTACCAAATGTCATCAATAACTAATAACTATTGACTGATATTAAAAGCTTTTTTGCATATACACTACATTTAAAGATGCTTCTTTAACGGACTCCTGCCTACCCCACCTTTAATCCACAGAAGGGACTCTTTGTGAATGTTCAGCTGTTTCAAAACTTGATAATATTTTGTGCACATTTGTGTCCCCTCCCCAATTTCTAAGACCACGACATTTCGGGGCTTCATTAAAATGAAAAATCATATCCCACTAGAAGAAATCCTGATGACATGAAATTTCATGATATAGTTTGACTGATTTTATGACAAACTCAGTACATTTTAATTATAGACAACCTGATCAAAACCAGTCCATCTCTAAATGGTCAAAAATTAAATCTTTTATTTTTCCATTTTTTGATTTCAGCTACTGGTACTCTTCAGAGCCCAACAGTTATCAAGGCAGCGAGGAAGACTGTGCAGTTGTAGGGAATTATGTTCTGGACCAGAGCTGGAATGACTTAGCATGCAACCAAACTAGTTTCTGGATCTGTGAAAAAAACATTTGATCTGTAGCCTGACATCCACCTGACCAGACAATGGCGTGAAACTCCTCACACTCCTCAGACAATGTTAACATCTTCCAGTTTTAATGTAACTTTTCACTTTCACTGTTCACTTTTTTAGAAACGTTTTCTATAGTCTCTCCTACATTAATAAACTTTTTGCTACCTTACATTAGCCAGGCAATAACAATGTTTGTACTCATAGATAGATGCATGCCAATAGCAGAATCATGATAATGATTATTAAATGTTTAACAAAAAACAAGAGCAAGCAAACTTTCCACAAAGCTAAAATCTTTTTGTAACAGACAGCAGCTCTGAATCAGATCTCCAGGCCTCGCCCTTCTTCAGCGTTTGCTGCTCCCTAATAAACTTGGTTGTGTCCAAAAACAAAGTCCAGTGTTTTAGATTTTTTGTCCTTGAATTAACTTGTGGGTAAACAGAAAAATGACTTTTATCCAGGTTGTGTTGCATTTGAGATAATTTGTATGACAGGGTTATGTGTAGATTATTTTATTGTAGCTTTTTCACACAGCCAGCGCAGGTTAACTCCACAGGGGACGCTAATCCAGCCACCTTGGGACATCGCCACACAGTTCCCTGGGTTGTTTGGCTTACCATTACCTGGCTTACCAGACCGCCAGAACCTGAATAAATGAGCAGTGATAGAGGCAGAGACACCTACATTAAAAAAATATCATAGGACATTTTTATACAAAATTATTTAGCCTCAGTTAAAAATAAATAATCTGAAATTGTTATACAAAGTTAAATCATAGTTTTGCTCACATAACGATGATAATAATGATGACAGTCCAGTGAATAACTCAGGACACAAATGTAGGCTTTTCACTTTATGTGGTCTAAGAAGTATAGTGAGTCATATTCTCATCTAAGGTCTGTAGTCTTAAGGGTCTCAAAATCGTATGTTCTTAAGCAAGACACTTTATCTCAATAGTGTGTAAACTGGTCAAAGTAGTCCCCAAAAGGTATTGCATGGCAGCAACCAGTTTGTGAGTTTGACATGATGTTTAAAAGAGTTTCATGAGGTGACAATACTAGTGCAGTTCTCTTTATGTTTATGCTTTTTATTTGTTTTGTTTGTTTAAATTGGAGTTTTAAAGAACCAACACCTTACCTAGGATGTATGCTTAGCTGGTAACAAATGATCTTAATTCATCTCAGACTGGGAAAACTAATTCTCAAAAATTTTCGGACCTTCTATCTTTTTAACATGTAAATACAATATGTACATTTGAAACATGTACATTTGTTTGTGCCAGTTGTCCTGGTGAAATAAGTCATTACAGACAAGTGTCAGGAAGAGCAACGTGCGGGGTTTTCCTCATTCTTACTTCCCCTGTTTGAGAGTACGACACTTAGACCATGTGTTGAGAAAGAATTGCACTAGTCAGACTGAAACTATATATATATATATATATATATAAGGCCTTACTCATAAGTCAGAGGAGATCCATCCACCCATCCGAAGGTTCTTCCTGAGTTATACAGACCAATCCAGAACCAGCTACTCGTATTCTGTACCAGCCGGGACAGAGCCCTCTGTTGATGAATATCAAAGACAATGTAAAGTTAACTTCATTAGTTCACTTGTAACATAAACAACAAACACATATCAGCTAACCCAGACCCATATTAATGTGCTTTAACCTGTTCCTCTACGTTGTTAATCACCACCAGGTCGGCTTCTTTACTTAGACAGAATTTCCCACTGTCCTCCCAGGTTTTAGTCACTGAGGAGTGGTAGTAACATTTGGAGTTGATCTCTTCCCATCCTACAGGGCATTTGGAGGCAGACAAAAGGCTACCCTCTGGAAGGTGAAATAAACGAACAATCCATCAATAAATAAGTTTGAGCAGAGACATACATGTGAAAGAAATGACACCGCAAATTCATTTCAGTCAAAGATATATGAGTAATGTCATACTGTATTAGCAGTATGAGTAACTAAAAATGGAGTTTCCACATAGGCATAAAATGTTCAGGCATTTGTCGCAGAGATAAAAGATAAGGAGTGGATAGATTACAGTAAGCACAGTGAAGGTTTTATTTTCCTCACCACATAGTCCTCTCAGTCTGTCTCGTTGCTTCTGCAGATCTTGTATTATGTTGTTGAGCTCATTGTTCTGGTTTTCAAGTTGGTTTTTGTCTCGAGTCAATGCGTTGAATCGTTCTTGTAATCTGTTGAACTCATCATTACTCCCTCGGTCACAATCCGCCTGCCTCTCTCCTTTCTCGTTCTCTCCATCATGAGTTGTGTTGCAGTTGGGTGACCTGCTGTTCGGGTACACTAACAATACAGTTTAAAATAATCACTTTTAAGTAAGACACAGATATTTCTCAGGTTGTATTTGATCAAAAAATTGTTAACAAAAAAAAGACAAAAAAGGTAAATGTCGTTTTACACCATAGGATGTGTGCGGTTGCAACACTGAGGTGTTGCCTGTGTGCAAGAGTGTTAACAAATCTGAAGTTTCATAATGTGAAGAATCCATACTCACTGGTGAGACGCAAAGAAACATTGAGAATGGCTTGAATAATACACAGCACGCCAAAGCTGAGGAAAAGCAGCATGAAGAGTCTCCTCTCTGTCAGACCAGCACACAGAGATGACATCTGTTAACAGTCATGTAGCCATGACAACCAGCAACACTCAACAGTAACATTATTTCACACCATGGCTTCATAAACTGCAGAAATCATGGATGTAGGCTTTGTAGGCTGACCAAACCTGACTTCTCATTAACTAAACCTTGAAACAAGGTGAGAAATGGAGCGAAGGTGGACCTTTAGCCCTGTGACGTTGTGTACCTGTTTGAGACTTTAGTCCTTGGTGCCAGGCAGAACCCCACAACTCAACCGATACAGCATTATCAGCATGAAGATATGAGTTTGTAAGGATGCTTAGCTCATGTTCACACTTTAAAAAATGGAAGGTCCACACGAATTATCATTTTGACGAGCTTTACTGGTTGCAGATCTGGGTTACAGCTTCACCATGCCATGAGTGTAACACAAGTGTCACCTAAGTGTAACACAGATTGGTCTGAGACTGTTCAAGTATTTATAGTCGTTCACATTTCCAAACATTCCACTTGCTTCTTGTTGACCGAAAGGAGAGTCAATGTAGGGTAATAACAAAGCACAACATATTTTGGGAGCCCGAGTGATGTTAAACATGGGTCCAAGGTCCAGAGACTCCAGAAATCTAGCACCAAAGTATGTGAGGTATTTGAGTGACACAGCTCCACCACCCTAAAGGCTGACATGACCGGCTAAAGAAAATCACCCCAACAGAGTTTGAACAAATATTACAGCTTAAAAAATAGATTCAGAAAAGGTTTAACTTTGAAGGGCTTCTTGGACAGGGATACTTAGAAAACCACCAACTGGGCTACACCCATCTGCAACCTAAAACCCAACCTGCATGGCCGGGACGATAACCATAGGGGTCACATGCAACCATCTAACCACTGTGTGCTCAAACGCTGTATATCCTGAACAGACAGATCTGGATTTTACTTTGTTTTTGTTATTGGGGGTCAATCTTTTATGTCTGTTAAAATTGAAGGACAGAGACACATGTCACATACAGTAGGTGCCTTCACATCATTCAGTAACTGTGCAGGCATGACTTCTCTTTTTATTCCTGCTTTTAAAATATTTATTTAATTATTTTGTCAAGACTAAATACCTTATTTTTGGGTATGATTACACTCACTATATGGTGCATTTTAATATATCTGAGCGTGCATTGGCTTACATACAGTCATATACTTCAATTTCTCTGTTGCCTGAGCTCATCTGTTGGAGGTCTCAACTTCACACCCTTAGGTACTTTTCCACTGAAGGAGAACCAGATATTTAGAAAAGTTTCCTCACAAATGTGGAACTTTCTGATGAAGGCTTAATACCAAAAAATGCAGACGTGTGTTGTTAAGATTGCCATAACCATGTTAAAAAAGGCTTCGTAATTGTTCATAAGAGAGTGACTTTGAATTTTTAATGGTTTACTACAACACTTTACAGTTATTTAGATAAGAGAGTACCATTTGAATATATTACACATTCAAATTAAATTTAAGGTTATTTGTACAATTGAAAAATGTTAGTTTCCATCATTATTTCTTCCTTAATTTGAAAGTTAAATATAAATTATGATATTAAAATCCTTTAACATAGTTCATGTGGTGAAGTCTCCATTATTATCTCCTGTCTGTTTATGTTTATCTCATCAAATTACGCTGTGAGAACACAACATGACAACCGTACATGATATGAAAAATTATCGTCTGAATCACAAATAACTTTCGGACATTACTGGATAGTTACCGTACATACTTTCTTCTGAAGTATTCAAAGAAAAGTTAAAAATCTGATACTAGGCTTGTAACATTCAGGGTTACACTCAAAACAGAGCTGTAGCCTCAAAAACTCACTTTATATTTAATGTTTAAGTGACATAGAATAGAGGGATTTTTAAGCTTTTAATGACCAGGTTCTCATTTTTGTAAACAAAGTGAAATTTTAATTACCTTTCCCATGATCCTCTCTGGGTTTTTGCTGGGGATTTGGCTGCTCGTTAACATAATCTGCCCTCTCTGTAAGCTCCATTTCCCCAGCTGTCTGCGAATGGGTGTGAGAGGTTCAGTTAAGGGTCGTACGGATGTGTTAACCGCTTTTTAGCAAAAACATAGATGTGTCAATGCTGTACAGAATTTATAAAAGGAGGAAAAAAGAGGAAGGAAGGAGTGCAGGTGTCAGAAACTTGACACATAAAGGAAATTAAGTAAATTTGTTTTTCTTTTGAAAAGTTCATATGCATGCTGTAAATCACAGCCAGCATACACAGTGTTTTAGCAGCAAGCACACATTGTTCCCTGGGGTCCAGAACTGGTAAATCCTGTAGTCCCTAGCTGTACAATACAAATTAAATTATTGTGTTTATCCCAGATGATGCAAACATTTGAACTGCTTCATAATTGCTCAGTTCATGCAGAGATGTGTTCAGATGTACAATCATGCAGTGCCAGAGAAGAGAGAGAGACATGAGCGTGAACAGGTGGTGTGCAGGGTGTGTTTGGTCTGAGGTGATTTTCAGTGCTCGCTGTGTGACTTGTCTTTGATACAGAGGGCTCTATTTTCGTGCCCGCCGGCATGAAAATAGAGCCCAGAATCTCTATAGATGGGAGGGTGTGGCCAGTAATTTTGGATGATCTTGTGATTATGCATTTAAGTTTTGTGCCTGAGTGACTGTCCAAGTTTACGTACCAGACTATTATTATTTATGATGTGAGGATACTCTCAATTATGGCTGTGTAGAACTGAAGGAGGATTTGTCTGACCGAACTTTTTGAGCTGTCACAAAAAAAACCCAACAGTCTTTTATTGGCTTTTTTGTAAAATTTATCAGCATGTTGCTCTCAATTGAATGTATTATTTATGTGTTTCCTGAGGAATTTGAAGGAGTCCATGATGGTGATGGCTTCGGAGTTAATGGAAAGGCTGTTTTTGGTCTTGGTGAGCATGAGAAGTCTATTATGAGTTCTTTGGACACCAAGTGACTGCTTGGGTGACCTGAGCGTGGTATCGGTCAGGGTGCTGCTGAATCAGCACAGAGATATTATCATATCACACTTCAGCGAAATTATTTCTACACTTCCTGAAGAATGAGGAAGTGACAAGTATTAAAGCAGTGGACAAGATACAGTATCAGTCTTGAAAAACACTTGATCATCATAGCTGGTGAACAGTTTGCTGGAAAGTTTAACAGAGTTAAAGAAAAGTGAGATCACTATGGATTATGTCCCAGCCAGGAGAAAGAGCTTCTCTGAACAGAGCAGTGGAGCAACTGCTGCTGTGAACGGTAAGAAATTATTCTCTGAGTGTGTTGAAAAGCAAAGATGTGATCAGTTTATGTCTGGTTTAATGACTATGTAAAAAGGAATGAAAATATAACTGATGTTCTTTGATAAGCTTTCACTTTATTCTATTATTTTACAGACCATTTACTAAACTTTTGAGTTTCAATGTATGATATCTGCTTTGCTAAATTTATGGGATGTATCTTTCATCTTTAAATTCATCTCTAATTTAAATTTAGTCCCAGAGTGAGACCAGTTGAGAACCACTGGTCTATGGGATAACCTCGCTTTTGGCCTGCAAAAAATGCTAATGTTTCCAGACAACTATGTTTGTTTTTTCTGTTTGATTCCTTCAATCAGGGATGAAACTCTTCAGAGTGGTTGCTGTGAGCTTTGGACTCCTCTGTATCCTACAAAGTGTTCTCAACATTTCACTGCGATTTGCTCACAGTAAGTCGCTTCACTCTTAAAAAATGTTTAAAAAACATTTTCCTGGGTTATTTTTGTGCAACCCAGCTGTTGAGTCACATTCGCAATCTCCTGCGTCAACCCAGCTGCTGGTCAGACATGCCCCCATATTCAAAAAACAACCCAGCTGCTGTGTTCGCTGGTTTTGACCATTAAGGACAAGTGAAGCCGGTGGTTATCTTCGTTAAGACTCCTACTTCTGTGGATGACAAATTGTTACCCTTGTTGAATTTTGCTAGGTTGTCAGCACAGTAATTGTATGCAGTACACTAAAGTTATTTTAACCCTCCTCCCGTGTCAGAGTCTGCACCGACCAGTTTTTGATTTTAAATACTTAAAAGAATCGCTTAAATTAGTTTTTGTGCATCAAGACTTTTTGGCTTTGTCAGGAAATTCTATTATCAATAATGAAAGTAAACCAAAAAGTTCTGCATACACTAGTTCATAGAGACGCACTTCTGTCACCACATCAAAGTGTCCTGATAGAAAATAGTGGACCCAATATCAATAAAAAAGATTTAAAGAATGAAATGGAAAAATTTTGATTTTGTTGTTGTTGTTGTTGTTGTAATTTTATGCTTGAAGAGATAATTTTTAATTTCTGCTGTTTCAGACATTTCTGACATTTCTGACATTTCTGACAACGTGGGACCAGATCCGGAGTGTAGCTGTCAAAACCTCACAGTGAGAGAGCAGAATAACTTTGGTAAGTATGAGGATGAAGCTCCTCTTTGCCCTGAGAAATGAAAAACAATAGAAATGAAAGAAAATAGACATTATAAAGACCAAAGGCTGATATAATTAAAAACTTTACCCTGTGATAAACTGTTTTTGTGCACTGACTGGCCTGGCTTCACTTACTTTCAATTAGGCAGGTCAGGGTTTAATCATGGACTTTAGCATGAGTTAAAGTGTTCAGTATAAACTAATATTAACCCACTACAGGCGGATAAGGACAATCTAGCAGAGGGGACATTTTCAAAGCTGTATAAATCATTTTGAAATCATGAAAAACTTTTTTTATTTTTTATTTTATCCCAAATTGTCTGTATGTTAGGCTGGTAGCTGGGTACGATCAGCGGGATAATGTACAGTTAGCAGGTGGTTATGTGGAATAGAATCCCAATCGGGTGAGACCAGAGCCTTTAGTCATGATTTCATTTAGACCATAAGTGGTTTTTATGGAGTAGACAGAAAAAAACTGTTTACTCTAAAATATTCAAAAAGATTTAATCATTATTGCACAAGAACACAAGAACTATAAGAATCTGTTTATTAGTTATTGATAGACTATAAACAAACTGTGTGAGCACTACGTCTAGGACTGTTAATGGATATCATAGTTTTTTTTCTGAATTGTCATCATTGTTATTTGATGGTAAACTCTAATGGTCTTTTTGCTCTTCTCCACCTCATACAAATATTTTCAAGAAGGATGGGTGCATTTCTACTCCAGTCTTTATTACATTTCTCCTATAAAGACATCCTGGCAGGAAAGTAGGAAGGACTGTCTTATTCGTGATGCAGACCTGGCAATCATCAACAGCAGAGAAGAGCAGGTGTGTGTGTTTGCCACTGTGTGAATAAGCAGGAATTAGAGTTTCAGAGAGACAATAAAAACAGAAAAGTTCATCATTCAATGATTTTAATGTTCGCTTAAGGTGCTTGATTGTTAAAATTTTTTTTTTTTAGAACTTTCTGAGAAAAATCAACAGAATGATGTGGATCGGACTGACTAGTGAAGGGAAACAAGACAAGTGGGTGTGGGTGGATGGAAGTCCTCTTAACCAAAGGTTTGAATGTTTTTCTATTGCTTTCATAAGATCAATTTTAAATCTGCAGCACTGACAACTTCATAACTAAATATTCGGCACTTTGTATCCTACAGGCAAGCTGCTCATCAACCATCTCAGGTTTTTCTTTTATATAAACAAGTTTCTAAATTAATTGTTTTATTTTTCAGTTATTGGAAACACGGGGAACCCAACAACTATCAAGGCATAGCGGAGGATTGTGTAGAAGTAAACCGCATAGACGCTGAAAACAGCTGGAACGACAGACCATGTAAGGATCTGAACTTCTGGATCTGTGAGAAGACTGTTGCTTTTTAACTCCACATTTTGAACCCCTGCATGGGAGCCACAGAGCACCAATCCTATGGTTCAAACACATATAGGCTACACACATTGTCTATAATGTAGAGATTTCTTCAGATTTTATGTAGTTTCTGAAGTCCACTCGCGTTCAGCCTTGAACAAATGTGGTCTTTACACCACATGCCAAGATATCCCAGCAGGTACTTTTTAAGGCATGGCACAACTTTTTCCAGTCTTCTTATGCTGTAGTTCACGTGTATAGTGCATGGTTTAATGTATAGAACATTTTTATTGCAGTTTATTGATTTTACTCAGCAGCTTTAATAATTAACTGTGAATATTTAGATTTTTTTTTGTATAAAATTCGAAGTCAGGGCGGTCAATACCCCACTGTGCTTGTGGGTTTACCTGACACTCCTGTGTTCACAACACAAGGCTTTTATATATGGACAATTCCCTTGAGTTTAGTGTGCAGAGATGCCTATTTTTAGTCTAGGGTTCAAAAGAGGCTAAAAAGTCCCTTACAGACAACAGTGGGACGGCCCCAGGTCCCCATAGACTCAGCGAGAAATCTCTATTGTAGATTTTTGATACCCTTGGTTCAGGCTACAAACTTGTTCATTGTTCATGTTTATTATGTTTACCCTCCAACAAAGAAAAGAGACAAGTGAAAAGTGCTTCATTTTACTACTGTAACTTCACTTGAGAATTTATGTCTATGTCTCGGAGAAGTATGCAGATATTCTACACAGTTGATTTGTTCAATATTTGTAAAATGTTGATGGAATATTGATATGTGAAATCAATAAAAAAGAATTTAAAAAAAAAGTGTGTGTAACGGTGTCACACATTGCAAAGAGAGGAGAAACAGCAGCAGAGAGTATGTTAACGGTCTGAATTACCATATCTCACCGAGGCAATCTCAGTAAGTGTGTGCTTATTACAGGAAAGAGGGCATGTCAGGCCTAATCAAATTGAACCCTTGAGGTATAAGAAGGACAGGGTGCTGCTGAATCTGCACAGAGATATTATCATGTCACACTTCAGTAAAATTATTTTTCCACTTCCTGAAGAATGAAGAAGTGACAAGTATTAAAGCAGTGGACAAGATACAGTATCAGTCTTGAAAAACACTTGATCATCATAGCCGGTGAACAGTTTGTTGGAAAGTTTAACAAAGTTAAACAAAAGTGAGATCACTATGGATTATGTCCCAGCCAGGAGAAAGAGCTGCTCTGAACAGAGCAGTGGAGCAACTGCTGCTGTGAACGGTAAGAAATTATTTTCTGAGTGTGTTGAAAAGTGAAGATGTGATCAGTTTATGTCTGGTTTAATGACTATGTAAAAAGGAATGAAAATATAACTGATGTTATTTGATAAGCTTTCACTTTATTCTATTATTTTACAGACCATTTACTAAACTTTTGAGTTTCAATGTATGATATCTGCTTTGCTAAATTTATGGGATGTATTTTCATAGACTGTATATACATATACTATATACAGTCTATGGCAGTGGTTCTCAACTGGTGGGTCCCGACCCAAAAGTGGGTCGTGGACACGTTCTGGATGGGTCGCGAACAGCTGGTCAAAAAAGTAAATATTTAATGTGCATCAGATGTTTGACATGTCTTTTATTTTGAAAAATAGCTTATTTTGAAAGGCACACATTATGTTGTGGTCCTCCTCGGTTTCTTATTAGTATGGCCTGAAGGCAGTAAAAATACAGAATTTTTTTAGGTCTTTATTTCGTGCAATTTGATATTTATTCACTTTTGTCCATGCTGTTGCACGGTCTTTCTCAGGTTCTTCTGAATATGCTCTGAATGCAGAGATGCAATTAAGTCAAATTCTTCATTTTGCTGGTCTCCATTTTGTGCAATTTTGATATTTTCTGTATATGCAACTTCACTAGTTGTCGCCCTCTGAAATGTACTGTACTCAATAAAATGGGTGTATTTATGTTAAAGATTTGATTCTTTAAAGGTTTTTTTTTATAAAAAATAAAATTGCTTGGTTTGAATTTTATAAAAGTGGGTCGCAACTTAAGGACTATGGGAAAATGTGGGTCCCAGAGTGAGACCAGTTGAGAACCACTGGTCTATGGGATAACCTCACTTTTGGCCTGCAAAAAATGCAAATGTTTCCAGACAACTATGTTTGTTTCATCTGTTTGATTCCTTCAATCAGGGATGAAACTCTTCAGAGTGGTTGCTGTGAGCTTTGGACTCCTCTGTATCCTACAAGTTGTGCTCAACATTTCACTGCGATTTGCTCACAGTAAGTCGCTTCACTCTTAAAAAATGTTAAAAAAAAAAAATGTCCACCCAGATGCTAGGTTGAGTCTGTTGGGTCATTTTTCTGGGTTATTTTTGTGCAACCCAGCTGTTGAGTCACATTCGCAATCTCCTGCGTCAACCTAGCTGCTGGTCAGACACGGCCCTATATTCAAAAAACAACCCAGCTGCTGAGTTCGCTGGTTTTGACCATTAAGGACAAGTGAAGCCGGTGGTTATCTTCGTTAAGACTCCTACTTCTGTGGATGACAAATTGTTACCCTTGTTGAATTTTGCTAGGTTGTCAGCATAGTAATTGTATGCAGTACACTAAAGTTATTTTAACCCTCCTCCTGTGTTAGAGTCTGCACCGACCCGTTTTTGATTTTAAATATTTAAAAGAATCGCTTAAATTAGTTTTTGTGCATCAAGACTTTTTGGCTTTGTCAGGAAATTCTATTTCAACAAAATAAAAATAAAAAAACTAAATTGACCAAATTATAAAATGCTCTTATTGAAATTATGGCACTAATAGAGGATAATAGAGAATTGTTTTGAGTGTAATTTACAGCTGATTCAAGACACGTGACAAAACCGACCCTTGACACGGTGGGTGCCGTAGTAAAAGCTAACACAGGAGGAAGGTTAAGAGCATAAAATTTTTCCAAATGTTATTACATATTTCTATGATTTCTATTGTCAAATCTTCCATTTTTTTAGTGTATGTGTTTCAAATGAGTGTTTCAAAAAAGTTGATATTGGGGTTATTACAGGTTTTTTAAAGACTTTAAAAAAACCCAAGTGGATAAGCGAGAGAAAATGGATGGATATCAAGTAATTTTACTGTTTATTTACCTCATAAAAGGTCTTAAATTGATGAGGTAAAATCAACTCATATATGTGGTAGAATAAATCCAGCATAGTGGTTCATATAACCCATCTTGCTGGGTTAAATTAACCCAGTGTTGGTTTCGTCCAGTAGTTACCCAGCCTTTTTTAGAGTGTTGAAATGTCAACTCTGTTGTGTTGGTTCTTTGAAACTTTCTCCTTTATCCATTTCTAAAATTAACCTGATAACGTCCACTGTGAGCTACTGTCACTGTGGTCACAAGAAATGACACTCACTTCCTTTAAAGGGCTGCTGAGTGTGTTTGTGTTATTTATTTTAATCAGAGGGAAGATAGCTTTGACGTTAGGTCTGTGTAAATATAACGAAGAGTATGGTCTAGACCAGCTCTTTCGAGTGTTTGTTGCTAATTGGTGCCATTTGAATCAACAGATATTGATTGATTGATGTGAATACCTTATTGAAAGTTTTCATCCAGTTCAGTAAGATTCAGTGAGAGCTGCTGTTGAGTTTTGGTTGGTTCTAATTTAGAAAAGATCACAAGGCCTCACCTCACTTTTAGAATTTCCCCCTGTGGGACTAAAACAGGTACATCTTATCTCTCTTCTTCATATCTGACTCATAGCTGTGAGATGAGGTGAGAAGAGGATGTGACCTTCTAGCTGGTTGACGCTTCATATTTTGTCCTTATCAATAATGAAATTAAACCAAAAAGTTCTGCATACACCAGTTCATAGAGACGCACTTCTGTCACCACATCAAAGTGTCCTGATAGAAAATAGTGGACCCAATATCAATAAAAAAAGATTTAAAGAAAGAAATGGAAAAATGTTGATTTTGTTGTTGTTGTTGTGCTTGAAAAGTTAATTTTTAGTTTCTGCTGTTTCAGACATTTCTGATGACGTGGGACCAGATCCGGAGTCTAGCTATCAAAACCTCACAGAGAGAGAGCAGAATAACTTTAGTAAGTATGAGGATGAAGCTCCTCTTTGCCCTGAGAAATGAAAAACAATAGAAATGAAAGAAAATAGACATTATAAAGACCAAAGGCTGTGTCAGAATAATGTGTATAAATGTATATAGAAGTTATCATCTTACTCAAATTCTTATGTAAGAGTTGCTACAAGTATGAACTGTTTTAACCTCTTGTTACACATCATATAAGAGTGTTTTCTAACTCTTATGTTTCTTAACTTCTCTGTGACCTTGTTTCTCCTATCAGCAGGTGTGTGTGTGTGTGTGTGTGTGTGTGTGTGTGTGTGTGTGTGTGTGTGTGTGTGTGTGTGTGATGTATCCTCCACTGTGAATCGTGGGAAGTAATGAGGAGGATCCGCTCCTATCAGAAGGAGCTCGTTTAATATCACCAATGTTGGCTTGACCCTCACATATTTTCTGTTGTTCATAATTATGCTTTATGAGAGTGCTTACGTTGCTGCACATATTTTTCCCCCACCCTTTAAAAACATTGTGTAACCAGGGACAACCCTAAATAAAAGAGACGGGACAGAAACCACCTTCAGAGTGGTTTTGAGATTGTACCTGATACTATCTCTGTCCATTCTCCTCGAGTATATACCATTGTCTTTCTCTTCTTTATATGTTATCAGGTATTTGGGCAGGTTTTGGACCCAACAGGCTGATATAATTACAAACTTTACCCTGTGATAAACTGTTTTTGTGTGCTGGCCTGTGTGTTCAGTATAAATTAATATTAACTCACTACAGGCAGATAAGGACAATCTACCAGAGGGGACATTGGAAAAATGTTGATTTTGTTGTTGTTGTAATTTTATGCTTGAAAAGTTAATTTTTAGTTTCCGCTTTTTCAGACATTTCTGACAACGTGGGACCAGATCTGGAGTCTAGCTATCAAAACCTCACAGAGAGAGAGCAGAATAACTTTGGTAAGTATGAGGATGAAGCTCCTCTTTGCCCTGAGAAATGAAAAACAATACAAACGAAAGAAAATAGACATTATAAAGACCAAAGGCTGATATAATTACAAACTTTACCCTGTGATAAACTGTTTTTGTGCACTGACTGGCCTGGCTATAAGAACTATAAGAATCTCTTTTATTAGTTATTGATAGACTATAAGCAAACTGTGTGAGCACTACGTCTAGGACTGTTAATGGATATCATAGTTTTTTTTCTGAATTATCATCATTGTTATTTGATGGTAAACTCTAATGGTCTTTTTGCTCTTCTCCACCTCAGACAAATATTTTCAAGAAGGATGGGTGCATTTCTATTCCAGTCTTTATTACATTTCTCCTATAAAGACATCCTGGCAGAAAAGTAGGAACGACTGTCTTAGTCGTGGTGCAGACCTGGCAATCATAAACAGCAGAGAAGAGCAGGTGTGTGTGTTTGCCACTGTGTGAATAAGCAGGAATTTGAGTTTCAGAGAGACAATAAAAACAGAAAAGTTCATCATTCAATGATTTTAATGTTCGCTAAAGGTGCTTGATTGTTAACAAATGGTTTTTTTTAGAACTTTCTGGGAAAAATCAACAGAATGATGTGGATCGGACTGACTAGAGAAAGGAAACAAGACACGTGGGTGTGGGTGGATGGAAGTCCTCTTAACCAAAGGTTTGAATGTTTTTCTATTGCTTTCATAAGATTAATTTTAAATCTGGAGCACTGACAACTTCATAACTAAATATTCGGCACTTTGTATCCTACAAGCAAGCTGCTCATCAACCATCTCAGGTTTTTCTTTTATATATACAAGTTTCTAATTTAATTGTTTTATTTTTCAGTTATTGGGATGTCGGGGAACCCAACAACTATCAAGGCAAAGTGGAGGATTGTGTAGAAGTAAACCACGAAGACGCTGAAAACAGCTGGAACGACAGACAATGTAAGGATCTGAACTTATGGATCTGTGAGAAGACTGTTGCTTTTTAACTCCACATTTTGAACCCCTGCATGGGAGCCACAGAGCACCAATCCTCTGGTTCAAACACATATAGGCTACACACATTGTCTATAATGTAGAGATTTCTTCAGATTTTATGTAGTTTCTGAAGTCCACTCGTGTTCAGCCTTGAACAAATGTGGTCTTTGCACCACATGCCAAGATATCCCAGCAGGTACTTTTTAAGGCATGGCACAACTTTTTCCAGTCTTCTTATGCTGTAGTTCACGTGTATAGTGCATGGTTTAATGTATAGAACATTTTTATTGCAGTTTATTGATTTTATTCAGCAGCTTTAATAATTTACCATGAATATTTAGATTTTTTTTGTATAAAATTCGAAGTCAGGGCGGTCAATACCCCACTGTGCTTGTGGGTTTACCTGACACTCCTGTGTTCACAACACAATGCTTTTATATATGGACAATTCCCTTGAGTTTAGTGTACAGAGATGCCTACTTTTAGTCTAGGGTTCAAAAGAGGCTCAAAAGTCCCTTACAGACAACAGTGGGACGGCCCCAGGTCCCCATAGACTCAGCGAGAAATCTCTATTGTAGATTTTTGATACCCTTGGTTCAGGCTACAAACTTGTTCATTGTTCATATGTTTACCCTCCAACAGAAGAAAAGAGACAAGTGAAAAGTGCTTCATTTTACTACTGTAACTTCACTTGAGAATTTATGTCTATGTCTCGGAGAAGTATGCAGATATTCTATACAGTTGATTTGTTCAATATTTGTAAAATGTTTATGGAATATTGATATGTGAAATCAATAAAAAAGAATTAAAAAGAAAGTGTGTGTAACGGTGTCACACTTCCCTTTTTAAGAAACAACTGCATACATACATACATACATATATGAAAACAATAAAAAATTTTCAGAGGACTCCCACTCTTTCTCTGTGGATGCCCCCCAGAAAATTGTGTCTTGCATGATGTCCCCGAGTTGACCTTGTTGCTTATCTCTAAATTGTGTTGTTTCCTGTACATGTTGTATTAACGAACAACTGCTCATTAAACAAGAGGAAAATGTACACAACCAGTGCCTGCACTTAAATGTTTGAAAATCATTCACACTTATCACAAAGATGTTTTTTAAAGAATTTATTCACGGTTTAATACAAATGTTCAAGTACACAGGAAACTGCAATCCGAAAAAAAAAAGTTTAAATACAAAAAATAGTAGCAGATCTGAAAGCTCCACGTTATTTCCTTCACATGGCATAGATATTTTATACATATACAGTTCATTTGAGAGAAATGAACATTAATGATTACAGATGTTTGCATAATGGAGCTGCTCATAGAGTTGATCTACAGTTAGCCTGAGTTCAGTGCTGCAGGCTGTCAGATAATGTGGACTCTGTTGTCTTTGGCCCACTTCCTCAGAATTCGGATAATGTATTCAACCTGAGAGTTTCCTGAATGTCGCAGCATAGGTACCACCTCTTTGAGTGTCTCCCTGGAACACAAACAGGACATGTGAGGAAATAAGATTAGATCAAGTACAAGTCATCATACATGTATCCCTCATGCTTTCCTTTAAAATCAAAATCATTCAAACAGACCACAATTGTTTAATATATTAAATCTTACTGCTTTATGATGGGTTTCTTAGTTATGTTCAATATCAACAACAGTCAGCTAACAAATGTTGTGTGATCTCTTGTGATAAAACCAAGGATCACATTACTGCATAAAAAATGGAAACAAACAAACTTGGGCTCCTTGTTGGCCAGGATGAGCTGGAAGACGCCGACACATGCTCCTTTCTTGCCCTCCCAGTAGTTGGAACCCGGGTCCAGTTTCTCCAGAGCATCAAACGCTTTGGCCGCGTAGTAAAATTGTCCCATCTGAAACAAAAGCCTGTGATCATGAGGACTAGTATGTAATGACCCACCAGGAAAAGACTGAACCACCTTGTCTTTGAGCTCCAATTAAAGAGTTTGCTCCATTATTGTTCATAATAAACAATATAAATAAATCATCAAATATAAATAAATGTCCACCACAGAGGAAGATATCACCTTGTAGCAGTCATTGGCAATGAGCTGCAGCAAACTGAAGGAATCAGAGGAGGTGCCCATCTTCAGATAGAGCTCCCAGGCAAGCTGACCCTTCTGGTTCATTATGTCTGACAAGAACAAGACAAGTGCTCAATAGTCCATCATTTGCAGGCAGCTTCAGACACCTTTAAAGATTCAGATTTGCAAAATATGAACTGCCTCTGGGCAAGATTTATTGATGTGGGTTAAGCCATGAAAGGAAGAGAAATCATTTAATGGAGTCATCCGTCTCTTGGAGCTGTTGAGCTTAACACTAGTGAAGAACAAGAGCAAAGCCAGAAGGCGAGAAATCCTCCTACAGTCATTTGTGTTCATTTAAGGACATATACTACTGTGCTAAATATACTTAATACATACAACACCGTGCCAGCCAGCTGAGGTAAACATAGTCATTCTTGATTTTCTCATTCTGAATCAGCAGAAAAATCTGAAAAAAGGAGAAATTAGAAAAAAGAGAGTCAGTAACATGTTAAACACAATCATTGTCAGTTAAAGAAGCCCCCACACTGTCCATTTTTAAAAGTCGTCTTAAAACCCATTTTTATTCATTGGCTTTTAACCCTCCATGAGACTTGGCTCCTGTTTTAGTGTTTTATGGTTTGTTTTTTAGTTATTTGTTTCTATGTTTTTAAATTAGTTTTTAAAAGCATTGAAACAAAACTTTTAATTCTGCTTTTATTTTATCCATTGTTTTAATTGTTTTTTGATTGTTTTTTATCTTGTTGTTTTGGCTAGTTATGTACAGCACTTTGTACAGCTGTGGTTGTTTTAAAGTGCTTAACAAATAAAGTTGAGTTGAGTTGAGTTGAGTAAAGGCGTTTGTGTTGATGTACACTGAGGCAAGTTACCTCTTCTGCTTGTTTGTAGTTACCGAGGGCAGCTTTGGCTTGAGCATAGTTGAAGTTGAATGTATCATCATTGGCAAAGTAACTCTGCAAAGACAAATGCCCAATCCTTTAGAAATAAAACCATTTAGAGTCCAACATTTGCATAAAAAAGTCTCCGCTTTGTGGTCACATAAATCATCAGAGAAATTGTGCACATTTGGCATCACTTAAAAGAACACAACTGACTCAGTCAGAGACCGTCTTTATTCAAACCTATCTTTACATAAACTGGAGTAATCTAATTGTTTATATCCACAGGACTATATCCTTTAATGTGTGCTGAGCAGCACTAACCTTGACTGAGTTCAGATATATGAGAACATCATCAAATTTTCTCAGGAGGAAGAAACAGGCGGCCATGCACTGTCTGCCAGGAATAGTATCTGGAAATGAAGAGGTTGTTAATACACACACTTTCAGACACACACACACACAGAGTCACTTTAAAGGATCACATCAATCATATTTCCATTCAGCATACCACACTCGCTGGCCGAGCCTCCGACTAACTGAAAGAACTGCTGAGCAACTTTCAGGTGATCCCTCTGAAAGATGAACAATATCAAACATTTGTCTCAAACTTGTGTTATTGCTTTTCTTTGTGCTAACAATTGTTTTAAAGGAATACTTACTGATCCAATGTCTTGTCCCAATGCTGCGTTTACTACTCCTTTTAAAATGTACTCCTGAAAAAAGAGACAAGTGAAAAAAGTAAAAAACTTTATCTGCTCTCTTCTCAGTCTCTCTGAGGTTACTGAGGAAGACAACCCTGATTCATTTATTACAAACACACAAAGAAACACAAGTGTATCTTATTCTACCTGAGGTGTAGTCGGCACCAGGTCTTGAATGAGGTTGTAGGCTTCCTGAACGTCATCTGAAATAAATAATGGAGCATTAGATAATGTGACTTTTCTCAAAATCTGACGCTCAATCCTAAAGCACAGAGAAAGATGCTGCATTCACATTAACTATTCGATGATAAATGTGACAGTAAAACGAGAACAGATAATGGGAAAGGTCATGGCTGTGATTTCATCCACTGTCTGTATTTTTGTGGACACATTTCTTTCGTCTCAGCAGCCAAACCACCTTGTCTGAGATAGTAGATGACCAGGTTGAGTCTGGCCTCAGGTATCACATCGATCAAGGGAGGCAGGACTTGCAATGCCCCCTCTCCTCCACGAAACACCACCTACAGAACAGCACAGAGGTGAGAATGAGTGTGCAGAATAACAGTGTGTAAGTCACTGGTGACTGCGCACATTCACAGGCACAAACCTGCACACACTCATATCAGGGCTTGTGTGGAGCTTACCAGGTTGTGTCGGATAAGCTCCTTAGCAAACTCAAAGGAACAGGAGGAGATGTCAATGAGGTTCTTCAGCTCCGCCTTAAAAGAGATTTCACACAAGTTAAAATCTACCAACACTTTTTCCCACAAACAAAAAGTGAAAAACAAACAGGTAATGACTCAACTTGATGTGTGAAAGGTCAAAATGTATATAGGGGAGAGTCGGGTAAGATGAGTCATTTTTCATATTTCGGATCACTACATCGAGGCAACCATAGTTTTGTCTCTAACTAGTGTATCTGCATATATTTCAAGATGTTGTTCATCCCTGCAAACCAACAGAATGGGTGTAAACACAACTGTCTTGATAATATAGCATGCCATTAAAACAGTGGTCTCCTATGGTCAACTTACCCCGTGTATGGGGTAAGTTTACCATAGGAGCGGGGTAAGTTGAGCCGTATCCCTACTCAAGTCAATATATTCGGTGTCATAAAAAATAAATAAATAAAAGTTGGTTTTGGATGTGTGTAGGTAGGCTATGGTCTCATGTCCCTTTACGACGCTGTCCTTCGTCTGAGACGTGACTTCACCCCATCCAGTCCGTAACGAAAAGGGGAACACAGGTGAAGAGATGGAGGACGGTTCAAAAGTTGTAGCGGCTGAAGTAGGCAAAGTTAATGTGGGAGGGAGTGATCAGCTTGTGGAGTAGTTATCATCCATTTGTTGTTATCGTGGTGAACTGCTCAATATATTATGATATTGATTTGAGGCCATATCACCCAGCCCTATACAGACATGTCAAAGACAGTCAAACCTGAGTACCTCAGCTGCTTTGCCGTTGTAGAGTCTGAAGTGGTTGCAGGCCTTCAGGTTGAGGGCAATTGTGGAGTCAGGAACTCTCTGCAGGTACACGGCCAACACCTCTTGGGACACATCATAGTAGTCCAGCTTATAGTAACAAAGAGCCACATAAACCTTCAGGGCCAGGAAATCTCTGAGAGACGGGATGCAGAGAGAACAGGACATCAGCTCTCAGACCTAACTCTGGTAGTATCTACTATCTTCTGCTGCTTGACACAGTTACATGACAAACAATAATAATGTTATCCTATGTGTTTGGGGGAATCTATATCAGTTCTATTTATTAGACAGATACAAACAAAATCACACCTGAATGCCAGAAACAAGTGTTTCAAACTGGAATCGATATTTGCAGTTTAAGAACATCACAGCTTTGGGAAAAGGTGCAGATGTGCATTAGATACAGAACATTACAGGATACATTTCTTTTTGCAGATTGGGTCGCAATCTTGTCTCAGTAAAATTTGCACATTTCTGCATGACCATAGTTTGATATCCAAAGAATCTTTTTCTTTTTGCTTTCATGAGAAGTAGTAGCAAAAAGCTCAACTACTTTTTAACAAAAAAAATGCTTAGACCTGCAGAAGAGGCTCCTGTCAACTGGTAAGCCACCTCAGATGTACTCTAACCCACAGTATCAAAAAGCCTTGAATAGATCTCTGAATGAGATAGCACAGTTAAATCAAGACTTACATCTTCTCACCCCAGTAACTCCAGAATCACAGGAAGCTACCTCAGCACATCTGCAGCACTGAAACTTAAATTATCTTTGAGGTGTGAGGAAAATTAAATTCAACACTCTGCCATTAACAACGCTTATCTGTCGAGGTGGTTGCAGGGTGTTGCACGTATTCAAGTACAGCAGGAACCTGAGATTCCATTAAATAGTATAAAAGGCAGGGGGAAGCACAGACCTCTCATGCAGTAGAAGGCGTTTATAGATATCTATAGCCTCCTGGTAGTGTGAGCGCATGTAGTGAATGGATGCCAAGCTCAGCTGGTCCTCGAATACATCCTCCAGATTTTGGTGGAAATTCATCAGCTTCTTCTCATCATTGAACTTTACACGATAAATAAAAACAGGTATGATCAGGTCCTTTTGAAACACAGCGAAAACACATTCACATGAACTTTTATCTGCTATGCAGGTTAATCAGCAGAAAAGGGTAACGAAAAAAATCCACACAAGAGGAATAATTAAACGCTTTCTAACCTTGTGAGCCAAATGGAAAAGAAGTCTGTTCTGAAGAGGGGACATCGGCGCTGCAGAGAGCAGGAGAGACCAGATCGCAAGTCACAACCACATGAGGAGGATAAGAGGCACAGTTCTTTCATGCCACAACTGTAATTTTACATGACCGATGGGAAAGTTTTGTATGTCCGATATGGATATTTTGGAGCCGATGCCGATATCGATTATTAGGGGTGGGGAAATCTGATTACCGATTAATCGGCCGATTTTTAAAATTTTTTATGAAGTTATAAAATATATATATATACTGTATACAGTATACTATATACTGTAGATATACTGTAGGGTACTGCTCTTCACGCCGACAGGAAGACCGACTGAGCAAACTCTGACCTGAAAAGCGTTTTCAACTAAAGTGAAACCGAATCTTATTCTCCGCATTTTATTTCTGAAAATATAGGCGAAAATCGGCGAGTTTTGGCTGATTACTGATTAGTCTCAAACGGGCTAAAATTGGCCGATTTAATCTGCTCACGGATAAATCAGTTGGGCCCTAAAAATGTACACAAAACCTCACCAATAAACTCATATTCAAAGTACACAGTGAGTGTTTCATGAACTTATTTTCAGTCGTTGCCAAATTATTCAAAACAAAAGTCAAAAATTGTATGATTGAAACATCTCAAGTATCGCACTGAAAAGTATTACCCTATTAGAAACCACATTTGTCTCTGTTAAAAGAAAAATAACTGTGTGGCTTTTCTAAACAAATTACCAAACGTTAATAAAGCAGGGTTGTCTTTATGATTGCTCAACACATGGAAACAACATTCAGCTGGAAATTAAAAACACACCCAGCTAGAAAACTTACCCTTAGATGCAGCCTCCTCAGCCTCTTTATAGAGCCCAAGAAAAAATAAAACACAGGCCAGATAGACCCACACCTCAGCTGGACAATCCGGGTTCATGGTCAGGGACTTGTACACCTGTGAGGACATGATGAAGTAGTACAAAAAAAGCCATCAAATATGATAACCTGTCAGACACATCTCAATTTTTTTACCCTACAGGTGTTTGGAGGTAGATATTTTTTCACTCTTTAAGGGGACTTGACATACATTCTACAACTGCAAACACTCATTCACTCATACAACAACACAAAGATACCTCCATGGCTTTCTTGTAGTCGCCCAGGTGGAAGGCGCAGTAGCCAATCCAGAGGTCAGCATGCTCCTCTACTTCCCCAATACTCCTCTGGAACTAGAGATGACACAGAAACAGATCAGCAGTGTTCAATAACACAGTGTTGCCTGCTGCACAGATGTTGGTGTGATTCTATCTTTGAAATTTTAATTCTAGTGCATGACACGAGATAATCTGCAGGAGGCAGTCAAGTGAAATAGTTGCTTAGTCTGTCTGAACGCAGCCGTTATTTATCAGTCAAATACCCACACAGTTCCACATCAATAAAATCAATGCTACATGCTACACACAGCCATCTCAACACTAGTGTCTAATCAGAACTGAAAACAGTCAGTCTGGTGTTGTGTCAGTCTTCTGACGCATCAGGCTTGATGTGTATAGTCAGGCCCGTCAAAATTCGCCTCCGAATATTTCGGAATTTCGCGTTCTATATTCCCATCAGCCCCGGTGTGTAAGGACCTTAATATTAAGGGAAATTAATTTTCAATATATATCATTATCGTTTTATCGCCCAGCCCTAGATACAAATTACAAAAGTATTATTATAGCCATGATGACAGCAGGCTTGTTTCATTAATATTACTTGCATTTAAAAAGATATATGAGATATTTCCTAGGGTAGTTTTATAGTTGAACTTTAAAAAAAAAAGTTGTTCAGGTTTTGGTCACTTGTGTCATCCACACTCAGAGCCACTGATGAAGACTATGATGAGCAGTGACCTCAAGTGAGCATGGACCCTTTCAACCAAATCTAAATGTTAAGTTTATTAATGACAAAGTTGTACAATTACCTCCAGTAGTGTCAAGGCCCCGAGGTAGTCTCTCTGTTGCAGATACTCTTCCAGGCGGGAGATCTTGGTCTGATTCTTCTTCTTTTTCTCACTGACGCTGCCCAGGGCTGGCTTTGAGCGAGAGAGGTTCTAACGAGCATCAACAAACACAACAATTCAATCAACACCAACAGGTTATCACATCGCTTTGTTAACGTTACAGCGAATATCTGCGACTAGTGCGATAATGTAGGTCATCTTTAGACTGTTTCGGTGTTAACACAGTCTTATGGGGGATGTAAATAAGTAAACTTACCATGTTTCTGTTGAAGGGACACCGACCGAGCTTTACACTCGTTTACCACTAACCAAGACGACGACTGCTTTTTTTTTCTGTGAAAAAAATCAGATTAGCCCATGTGTTTGCTTTTTTACGTGAGGTTTAGGGTTGAAAAGATGTATCTTGAGCTGTAGACGAGCAAATAACCTTTTTAAAATACCTAAATGTTGATAAGTAAAACAGTTTTTCTATGTTGTGTAGGACGTTGCTAATTACGATCCAAGTAACCGTTGGTCGACATATACTTCCGCTCTTATATTTTCAAAATAAAGTCACTTAGCGCTCTCGCTGAGATAATTAATGGGTATAAAGAACTTCTTGTGCTGAAACTTTAATGTAATATCTAGTGTGAAGCTCCATATTAATATACCTCAGTAAGACGAAAAGGCTCGTTTATTGTTATGGTTTTGATGGTGTGCTTGTTTGACACTTACTTTGTAGTTTAACGGGCTTTGGAGTTACACAGGAAACAGCTCAGTAGCATTACGTTAGACTTGATATGAGTCTTGTTGCCTAGCAACGGAGAAGAGCGTGATGGCCGAATGGACAGCGTTCCGAGAACAGCACCCTCTGTTGACGGTCTGCAGTAAAGGTCATAAATCCCGCCTCCGCCAGCAAAGCTAATGGAGCTGTGGACAAACTTTATAAATTTATTACACAGAATATTAAAACTGTGGCCTTAAAATGTGAATATAAAATGTGCCATTAACATGTTTGTGTCCCATCAGAGGCTGTTTAAAGGTTAATCTAAAAAAGTGAAAGGATAAATTCATGAATACTTGGTTTTGAGTAACTCTGGATTTGAGGTTATCTATGGTAAAATAAAACAAATATAGCTCATTTGTTGATACTTCATACACATGTTAAATGAAACAGAAGGAAAATCTGTCTATAGCAAACTATTTATGAAATATACATTTATGAAAAATGGGGACAATACTTCAAGTCAGTACCCCATCCGGACCAGCTCAGAGAAAGAAATTGGGATCATATATCACTGATAAAGATAACTGAGTATTTTCATTAAACGAGCTCAAAATTGGCAAACTGTCATGACAATTCAGTGAAAACTACATCTTTGAACTTAAAATCTGCTATTTGAAAATAAAGTCACCACAAACCACAGACAGGAAAATGGAAAGCTGCTAAATGTATTTCATTCAGCTGACATAAATGATGCACAAGTACTAACAACAATACAAGAAGTGTTCTTGCTTGGTCTATGAAATTTAATCTAAAACTTACACTAACCCTTTAGTGTCTGACACCACAAGTTATGGTCAAAAAATTCAATTTTTTTGGAACTATAATGTTTATTTCACTTCTGAAAACCAAAAAAAAAATCTAAATGTCCTTGAAATTCAACTAATATATTTATTTATCTCATTTGATGTTTTTGGAAACTGATAAACTACAAGAGGACATTTTTATTATTTATCGGACTGTATTCAGGTGTTTTTTTTAGTAATTTGTTGATCATATTGATTTGATAAAACTATATAAAAGTGTGTATCAAATATGATACAAAAGGCATTTAAGGGCTAATTATGATACACACAAACACACTGCTTCATAGTGAAAAGTCCTCTCTTTCTTAAGGCTAAACAACTCAGCCTGTCTCAAGTATCCACGAAAAGTCCTCGCAACTTGCGGTGGCTCCTGCCACACTAATCAGAGTGTGATTATTTGTTTAAGATGCAAACTTATTTGAATATGAGTTTTTCTGTGTTTATAGATATGCAAAAATGGACTAATCAGGCGTTCAAGTTTCCTGGAAAGAAAGAATGTAGGTTAAGTCAATTTACATTGCACCTTTCGAAAACAAAGCTACAGTGGCCTAAAAAAAGCAAACCTGTACTTTCTTAAATAATAACATAAACTAAAATAAATAGGAAGGTTGCCAAAGGCCTGTAGTCTCACACACAGTTTATAAAAGTGACAAAAGATATGCTGCTGTTCACATTTTTTTAACAAAAAGGCACAGCTGTTCACTCCTGTAAGGGACTTCTAGTTTGTGGACAAAGCCTTGATTGCTCATCTTATGTAGCTACTATGTGCTCACGTAGCGTCAAAAGTTTTAATTCTGCTGACTTTTTACGATATTTTCTTTGAAAATGTAAAAACAGGGCTATTTCTTTGGCTGCTTGGCTGATACCTACCTTCTGCCATCAGTTTTTAGAGATTAAAAATTACAGTTTAATAATCATCAGCCTAGTCACTGAAGGTCTTGTACACCTTAGGATGTCATAAACAGATATCAAAAAGCTGACTGGAGCTTTAGCACAAAACTGACTTAAGTATCTTTTGAATTTTGGGTTCTATAACACATGATGACTCTCACAACTACGCAGTCACATGAGTTCACAGGGAGCTCATTCAGAGTACAAACAAGACAGGCCATTAGTACTGTTCTGACTTATGAAAAAATTATTTTATTTACAGAAAACATGGCTCTTTAAGGTATAATGCTTGTAATGAGGTATGAGGATTGTTATAAAGCCTAAATTCAAGTACAGTGCATTACATATGTGCTTAGGATGCAAGTGTGACCCAACCCTTTTTTAATGCTCTGATTTGTTTCTTCCTCAAGAAAGACGCAGCACCTCTTAATCCCCACTTTGACAGGGTTTGGTTTGGAAGAACATTATTTGAATAGTTGAATAAAACATCCAAGGTGTGGTTTATATGTAAACAAATGGTTGTTATTTCATCTCAAGTTCAGTAAAAAAGCAAGAAGAACCAAACTCTGTCCTCAGTACTCATCGACACAGGCCAGAGCACCATGAACAGAATCGCCTTCAGCGTGCTCGTCTTCATCGGCGTGAGTTCTGCCAAACACGTTATGATCTCTACTGAAACATCCTGGCAGAACGCCCAGACCTACTGCAGGAAACACCACACTGACCTGTCTCCAATCACCAATGAGTTGGAGGACAAGGTGTTCAGAAGGTTTGGATGGAGCACTCCAGGATGGATTGGCCTGTATCGAGATCGCAACAGCACCAGTAGATGGAGTTGGTCAAAAGGATCCAACCCTTTTTGGACACACTCGACTTATAATTATGAATGTATCTACTATCCCTTTGTCTACTGGACCCCTGATTCATGGTATCTCACGAATATCCAAAGTCCCTTTCCCTTTTACTGCTTCAACCTGATAGTGGTTGAAGTTCGGATGACCTGGGAGGGGGCTCTGGAGTACTGCAGAGAGGTTCACACTGACCTCACCAGCCTGCACTCCGAGACCGAGCTGCTTCTGGCCCTGAGCGAGATCCACTATGACTACATCACCGAGCAGGTGTGGATTGGTACACGTTTCCTTGGAGACCAATGGCTGTGGGTGGATGGTGACCCTTTTGGGTTTACGGCCTGGCCAGAAGAAGAAGACCAAGACCACCAGTGTCCAAAACAGAACCGCTGTGGAACTTTGACCAAAAAAGGACTGTGGGGGAAGGAGGACTGTGAGGAAAAGCTCAACTTCATCTGCTACTGAGTCCCATTTTAATCCTGGTTGGTTCAGATTTTACATGTTCCAATTTTAGGTCTGAGCGCTGTTTATCACCTTAGAGCACCTTAATTTGTGCAAATAAATCAAACTCACTACGACAGTTTTTGTTTTGTGACATTAACAAGACAGATTTTTGCTTTCTTCTGTTTGTGTCTGATTATGTTCAAATAGATCAGTGAAAAGCCGAGGTAAAGAAGATTTAAAGCTATTAACGATATATCTCTGTGACATTCAAAGATAACTTAAATGTCTTTAATTTCAACTTCTGAAAGAGTTGAGGACCTTGTCTTGATTGCAATAACTACCAGAAACTGTTGAGATGTTTATTGAGCATATATTATGGTATGTATTAATATCACTTGTCACTATGGCAAACATTGTGGCAGCATGTATGCTCTGCTTTGCTATTGCTAAGTTTGTGGATTGTTGTGTTACGACTGCTGCCTTCAAATAAAAATTAATAAATAAATAAATAATTATTGACATTCTGATCTCTTCATTTCAAGTATGAACTCCAGATTATTTTAAAAAAGGAGTCATTTTATTGACATTACAAACAGGCAGGCACAGCATCTGTCTGAGCAGACACATGCACAGACCAAATACATGAACAATGACCTTATACAAGACAGTCTCAGAAACATCAGATCGACGACTACAGGAGATGAAGATACTCAAACTCCGTGTGTGGATGATGGCACATAAAGGGCACAGTGAGAGACAGTTTGTGATGTACAGCAAACACTGAGGCTGTCGGAAATATCATCATGTTGATCAGTTTCTCCTTTTACGTCTTTTCGCTGACCACACTTTGGCGAGCATACTACCATCCAACCGAGACACATTCACATCTTCCCAGTTTGTTTTACAGGGATTCAATTCAAGTGTCTTACTATCTCCCATCACTAGAGTAATAGTCTGCATGAACTCTTATTTTTAATTCCCATTTTCAATAGAACACCTCTGTTTTTACATCATCAACAATGAATAATATTTACATCAAAGGGCACATTAAAAAGCAAAATCAAAGTCTGGCCAGTAACTCTGTAATCAGTCAAATATGTACAAAGCCAGGAAGAAGCTGTCTACATGTGTACGCGTCCCTTTAGAGCTGATATGGATTCTGTCAAACATTTAAAAACGATGTGGAATAACTTCACTCTTCACTCGGAAGCTGAATTTTTTTCTCCTTAAATGTGCAGTCTACATAATCAGGAGGTAATTCACTCCAACCAAATCAAAATGATAAAAAAAGAAGGCTGCAATTTCACTCCCTGGTAAAATCTATTATCATTGTGTAGAAAACAAGTCAAATAATAAGGTGCTTACTTTAATAAAGGGTACGATGCATCAGCATTCCTGTTTTTGACCTCTTCAAATGTTTTTTTAGAAAATATAAAAACAGGAAAAAGAAGAGATTCAGTTATAACTTCAAATTTTTAACGCATTCAAAGTTGCACAAAAGTTTTATATTCACTGTAAATGGCATAGTTTTGAGCAGTATGGCAACAACAGCTTTGTTGTCATTTTCTTCCCAGAATGCAGTTCTGCGTGTACTTGTGATTGTCCAAGCATTAAAAAATAAAGTGTCTCTGCCCACATGTTAGTTGGCAATAAGGAAACATTGCTCAGTTTAATGAAAGTTTCCTAAACATGGCAGGAGTCAGAGCTCCCCTCTCCCTCTTTCTGTTTGTTTTTTCTCTTTTGGTTTCTTCGGCAGATGGACACCAGCTTGCTGAGTGTTCCAGTTATCTTCACAACAAAGAAAATAAACTTCAGGTTTTGACAGGAAATGATGCTGCCTGGCACAGACCAAGGCCGTCTGTCAATTCCTTTTTTTTTTTTTTTGTGCTAGTCACACATTAATAGTGTTTAAACGTCACAACAACAGGAGGAATAAGATCACTTCACAGAAGGGAGTGTCACTCCGGTCCAAGATTTGCATGTGTGTCAGGTGTGAACTTACACCCCTACAGATACAAAGAGGCACATTTCACAAACATTTAAATACCACAAACAAACACACACACTAACACACACCATTCTTACTCCTCATTTTCAGACCTTTCTCCTGCTGATTCCTCTTCCAAAAATCTTGGTATTGCTGGTTCAAGCTTCTGTACTTCCTCAATGTCTTTCATGAGACTTTTGCTGAAAAACTACAGTCAATTCATTCTTCAGTCCTTCCGATTTCGTCCTGCCATTTTGCTGCTCTTCAGGATTTGAGGCCCATTCGAGCCATCAGCTGTTCGTACACAGTCCAAGCCATAGCAGCCATGAGAGTACGACGCAGAGACCTGGGTACAGCCCCACGGAAAAATCCAGCCATGCCGTTCTCCTGTTGGAGAAGACAGAGCAGGTAAGTTCAGCATGTACAACAAGAATTAACACTTCTGTTCTCTGAAAAAAGGACAAGAATCTGTGATGAAATAAACACTTACAGCGTAAATGTAGCGAATGGCATCTGTTGTACTCCAGTGAGATGGGCTAATCTGAATATGAGTCTTCACTACATCCGCAGGCTGCGTGACAACTGACGCCATGACACCTGCAACCATCCCACAGCCAAAGTTCACCAGCGGGGCGTAGGCAGACGAGGTCACCTCTGAGAGACGAGAAACCAGGTCACAAGGGACAACAGAGGAGGACCCTCAGATCCAAAACAACCCTTTAAGAAACGGTCAAACAAATGCTCTTGAGAGCAAAGGTGCTGCATTTTTTCAGGACTTTAACTCTCACCCTGAGGCAGCGCCCTCTTGGCCTGGCTGTAGAACATGACGTAGATCCCAGAGAACGGAGCATCCCGAAGGAGCGTTGCAGTCAGCCCTGAGAACAAAGCCCTGATTCCCTCTGTCTCATATACACTCCTTAGTGCTCCAGCCACACTCACATAGTTGTAACAGCCACTCTGAAACGACATGTCAAAGTCATACGCTGAAAACTGCTTCTAATTTGCACCATCATCAATCACTAATCATTCTCTAGACCTGTAATCACACATTTAGAGGTGACGTCGTACATAAATCCTTCAGCAAATCAGAGGTGAGCTGGACTCTGAAGCCTCTCAGAGGGTAACGAAACAGCAGCTCACCTCAAAGCGGGTCTTGATGACCGTGAACGGCAGCATGCAGACACCAGCCACAGCTCTGGCACCTGCTCCGAGCAGAACAGCTTCTCCAGCATTGGGTGCCCGGTCTTGGAAGAAGTGTTGCTTCAGGGAATAGAATGTGCTGAAGTAGATGCCAACACCAGGGATGCAGCGCACAAAAGACTTAACAGAGAAGGACAGAGAAGTCAAAAGACGTTTCTCTTATTCGGTTTTTATTTTTGATGAGAGTGCCTAAGGTGTCTAACAGGACTGAAATATGAATGAGAACTTTGGCAGTGAAATCATTTCAACTCGTAGTGTACGGTAAATATGAAACGTTAGTACAAAAAAGGATTAGGGCCCAATGAAGAGAAGAAAAATTACTACAGGAAGGAGATTAAAGTCAAAATTTTGAGCTAATAAAAATCAAAATTATATCCATAAAGTCGAAATATAGAGATTAAGAATCCAGATTACGAGATTAAGGTTGAAATTTCGAGGTTTCACAATGTCCCAATGTCGTGAATAAAGTCAAAATTTCGAATTTTTTAAATTTTGACTTTAATCTCAAAATTTAAACTTTAATCTTGAAATGGAAATTTAATTATTTTTTTTCTTCTTGTGGCCCTAATCCTTTTTCATACATTCGTGTGTCATCCCTTTGTTTGGGTCTAGGTTTATATGTATACTTTAAACATATGAACAGACTAATGTTATTTTTTAAAACCATGTCCTCTGCTAGATTCACTTCCATGTCATGTCTCTTTACTAACAACCCTTATGTAGCTGAATGTCAGTCCAGCTCTAAATGAAAGTCATAGAGGTAACACTGATGTAAGCTGAAAGAGAGTGTTTGTGGATCAGTAAAGAAGAACTATTACTCTGATTGATTCTGCTCAAAGATGCAACAACAAGACTTTAAGCAAAGTTATTGTAAAAAATATAAAAAAATACATTTTTAAAAAGTTGATTACTCACTGGAGAAACTCCCCTCCATAAACTGAAGAAATTTTCTGTCCTGATAACATTGATGAAGACCTTGAACATCCCCACCTTTGGTGCGCTGCAGGAGGAAATGCAGGGAATGGTTACACTCTATCTATTTGTAAAGGCATTACACATTTTAGATTACTATTTTAGACAACTATTAAAAGGACAGTTTGTTTGTTTTCAAGTTAAGTTATATTAGATTCTGGTCAAAAAACATGTTTAACAATCAGGAAATCCTGGTCCACTGGCCACTTCGTTGAGAAACTGGCCACAGAATCAATCAAAAAGCTAGGCTAACATACGCTGCACACAAGGTCGAGTCATGGGTCTGAAGGCTTCAAAAGAGGTTAAGTATAAGCAAATTAAAATATAAATGATATTTATGTTGATGTTTTGATGTGTGGAGGTTAGCCACCAAGAGAGCCACTGTTGTCATGAGACTTGGTGTCAAAAGCATGTGAGGACCTTTCTGAATCGGTCCACATCACTCACCAACCAGACTCCCCTGCGAGCTTAAACCCCTTTCTACACACCATAGACCTGATCAGCTGATTAGTACTCTGAAGGCAGAGGAACTCATATGGGCTTTCTTACTGCAAAGTAGAACACTGAAAACTTTAGAAATAAAACATTCAAACTGAGAACGGTGTTTGTGTTTGACTGTCTTCAACATCGTAACATTACATGGTAGAGATGACCCTGTCTGCAGCACGCAATACCCTGAGTTATCTTTCCAAAAGCTGGATTCCTCTTAGAAATAAAATACACTTTTTTCCGTTTGTGTTTCTTATTCAAATCCTCGGCAGAAGTAATTAGAAGCTAACAGTTTGACAGTGAAATTACAGGCTGCTGGTGTGACTAATTGCTCTATATGGGTCATAACAGCAGATTCAGGCTGGCACTCACTGCCTGCAAATGTTGACCTGCCATGCTGTCTGTGTGTGTGCGTGTATCTGTGTTGCTCTGTGCCTGGAGAGTGTGTTTGTGTCAAAGTCAGAGAAAGACAGAGAAAGGACAACACCAGAGGCGTGCTGACGTGCATGCATTTGATGGCATGCAGGAGAAATGTCATCAGATGCACAAATCTGTTCATATATTAGATGTTTGTGTGTATGGGTGTACGCACATACCCTGGTTTAGCGTTATTCTGCAGAGTCTGAAGTCGTGTCTTGACCAGGTCTAGAGGCTGGAAAAGCAGCGTAGAGCAGGTGCCACTGAGAGAGCCACACATGAAGGCTTTAAGCGCTGGGTGAGCCTGAGGACAAGGAGAGAAGGAGGAGAAAAAGAGGAGAGGAGACGGAGGATGAAAATGGGAGAATGGAAAAGAGAGGACATAGGAGAGAAAAGAGATGACATGGAGACAGAGCGTGCAGATAAAGGATCAGAGAGAGGGAGACAGGGCGAGATGAAGCAGAATTTTGTACGGACAGGAAAGTGTAGGAGGATAAGAGGGAAAAAGAGGATGAGGCAAAGAGAAATATCAGGGGTAAGCCACAGAGTAAAATCCTGAAGGGAAAATCACAAAAATTCAACATCTTAATTACCACACAGCCAAGAAAATAAAAAACTAAAACATGTCTGCATTTATTCTTCCAACAAAATGAAAATGTACCCTAAAATAATAAACATCATCTCCACTGTGTGACATTTCCACAACAGAAAGCAAGCTTGTAGCACAGAGGAGAGGTCAGACTCTCACAAGTGAAGATGATGGAGATGTGTAGAGACAGTTCACATACACAAAGATACACACACACACAAACACACACACAGGAGCTGCTGGGTTGAATTAAACTGAGACTCAACATTATCTGTTGTTACATGCCTCATGGACAAACAGGCAGGGAGGCAGACCTCAACATAAAGACGCAGAAATTAGCTTTATTTTAACATTAACATCATGAAGGATAGTTATAGTGAGTCAATAACAATAACAACAACAACAACAACATGGACAGCAACAACATCAAACTAATCTGAATTTCTACCTTTCTGCTGTATTCACATCATTCAAAGCTGTCTCTTTGTAGCTCCTACATAAACATACTACATGTGCCACTTCCATGTGCACAATAATACACACAAAAACACACACTCCTACCTTCCCCAGGCTGCCAGGGGCTCGGCTCTGAGAATCCTGTTTCTGCTGCATTTTGCCCTCTTTCACCCTTACTGTGGTGCTCTTTGGAAATAGCATATTATGAAATAAACCTCCATCTCTCTTCTTCTCCTCTCTCTCTCCCTCTCGCCCACCGACCCACAATGAGCTCTCTCCTGCATCTCATCCTCCCTCCCCCTCCATTTCACAGCCAAAGCAGAAGCTTAATCCAGCCCGCACTTTTCTATGGGTTTCTATCTTTATCTTTCAGAGGCGCCCTCACACATCTGTATTTCAGTCTCTCCCCCCTCTGCGAAGCTCACTGCGAAATGACATTTTTGTCCAACACCATGAGTCATGAAGTCTCCTCGAGTATGTCTTTATGTTCAGGGCCAACAATTTGTTATAATGGTATAAACATGGGTTCCTAGTGGTCCATTTCCCATTTATGCCAATTTCCAAATAATCATTCAATCCTGAAAATAAAACATGACTGTCAGTATCTTATTTTTTCAGTTTTTTGACCAGTGGTAAGACTCTTCCACAAAATTACCGACAATAATATATATATATATACAGTATATATATATATATATATATATATATATATATATATATATGTATATATATATTATTGTCGGTAATATATATCTCGACATATTGTAAATATTTGAAAAGTGGTTATCATATTTATTCTTAGGACTGATGATAAAAATGATGTATAATCATGATGATATCATTTACTTTATTTTTTACTTATTATTGGCAAAAGATCAGTGAATTGAGCTGAAGGAAAAAACTGAATAAAAAAACATCCATTGCATGCTGCTTTAATCCGTTTCACACACAGCATGCACCCAATAGATATCTTTATCGTTACATTCCACACCTTTTCCCATTTTTGTCATTTATCAGAGCAAAGTGTGGTGGCCAAGAACCGCCCCTGCTGCAAAAAAAAAAAGGAATGAAAAAAAAAAAAAAGCCACAACAGAAGTTACTGATGCAAAAAAAAAAAAGAAACCGTAACCTGCTGCTGCTGCAAAAAAAGAAGAAACAGTGCAGATGAAAAAAAAAAGACACAATGGAAGTTAAAGATGCAAAAAATGTGGCAATGCAAAATAAAAAAAGAGTTTCTTACTGCGAAAATAAAGGGTGCAAAAAAAAAAAAAAAAAAGCCACAATGGAAGTGAGCTGCCAGGGACCAATAATTTTTTTATTTGCGGTGGGCTTTGGTTTCTTTTCTTTTCTTTATCGGTAACTTCTGTTGTGACTTTTTTTTTTTCCCCATTTGCAGCAGTGGCGGTTCTCGGCCACTGTACAAATGCATGGTCCCTCTGATTGCCGTGACTTTTTTAATCATTTATCGTCCCCTGGTTATCCTTGTCAAACAGTAAAACCACTTAAGATCAAAGTGTGTGGCTGCACAATATGCTTTGCAAGGTCACGTAACATGAACAGTTTTATAACTGGTTGATACAGCACAGTAGCATCTCAAATATGTTTCAATAATGTAAAATAATGTTGATTAATTATAGTGTTCAAGGCCAACACTCTCTTTAACAGACTGGCTGTGTGATCATGGTAACCCTCACAAACAGCAGCTGCAGACTGCAGGTGCACTCACCGCTGCTGAGTCCATGTTTGACCTGGATGTGGAGCCGGATGAGTCCAGTTTGTCTCTCTCTCCTGCCGTTTTGACGCGGTTAAAATTCAGCCAACTCCATGAAAGATAAAAAAAAAAAAGCCATAAACTACAACTCAAAGCAATAAAATTGTGTTCACAGTCACAGTTTAGTTTAGCAGGTTAAGCTAACTGTGACACTGAGCATGCTAGCTCTGGTCTTACCTGACTTCTAAGTCCTGTTAAGGTCTGATGGAGGACATGGACACCTTTGTCAGCTTCGGGGGCTTCATGTTATTCATCATTTAAGACCGTTTACCAGAGTGTTATTTAAGTCTAACTTTATCAAACACTCTGGTCGCCACGTTTTATCAAGAACTTTCTGGAAAGCCTTGCCAGCTAGTCTAATGATAGCTCGCCTCCTCGACCAAGTACTTTCTCAGAAGTCTTTATTTTTAATACTTAAATAAGTAACCTTTCACGACCCAAATTTGGACCGAGTAACCAGTAACTTAAGGAAAAAGTCCAAACCGGTGTGTAGCTGCTCATGTAACGTCAGGAGGCGTCGTGCTGTGGCTGTTAGCATCCCGGCTAACAGAGTTCACCTCCAGAGAAGCTTCAGCAGCAGCAGCAGCAGCAGCAGCAGACCTCCACCTCACAGTTTCAGAGGTAACAACACACACTGTGAATGTTTTTAAGATGTACAAATACACACAGTATACGAGGTTTATATTAAAAGGAACAAATTCACCTACAATATAAGAGTTGACCAGCTGCAGTTATCGTTTCTCCTAAAATAGCCGGTGTGTTTTTGTTGGGTGTAGATAAGCGGGTTTGGCCGCACGGTGTCGCTGTTGTTTTGTTTATTATATCAGGTGGAGTCCAGAAAAACCGACACTGACACTGCAAAAGAAATGAATAAAACAGTCCTCTGTAAAATGCATATAGAAAGTATTTGATAAACGTCGTCCTAACTGATAGACGGGGGAAATGAAAGCATAGGACCTCTGTTTGTAGCAGTTCTAGTGACGGCTAGGGGAGACCGGGGCTTGTTGTCACATGGGTAAGTTGTCACATTGCATTTATCTTTGCCACCAGAGGGCGCAACTAAAAAGTGGAATACTAGTTTTATTCCTTTACATGGTCAGGGGTCGTGTCCTGTCTGAGAAGAGAAGAGCACATTGTGAGCCGAGATGAGCGCCAATTAACCATTTTGCACAACCCAAAGTAAAAAAAATAATAACTTCATACATTTAAAAATAAGATTCTTCCAGCTAAAAATCCTAGCTGTGATACATGTGGACTTGTTAGAGGAGAGATTAAGACATCCTGTCATACCTCAGACATTTGGGGGTTAGTTGTCACATGTTTAAAAGGATTTAAAACTAACATAGAGAGTCTGCTTACCAGCAGTTGTCATAATGAAATTTCGATTTTATTTTACAGAAAAAAGAGTGGTTTAAAGGAGAGGAGAAAGTGAGAGGACATGGTCAGGAATTAGAAAAGAAAAACAGAACATGGCAGTGCAGTACCTGATGTGATGCTGAGGGCAGTTATGCAGGTGACCCGAGCTAATAAATCAACCTGGAGTACAAAAAATGACTTTAATGTCAACTACCATACCATGGCTCAGTACTGCAAAACATTCACCCCAGCCGAACTACAGAGTCAGACAGATCTCCAAACTCCAGAGCATGTTGCATCATATTTTATGTTAATGTTTGTTCAATGACTTTTTCTTGCTTAATGATAAATATTTTCTGTGTCTGACTTTGATGTTCACTTTCATGTAAAAAAAATGAGAACAACAATAAATTTGTCCTTGTTTTATTAGCTGCAAAATCCACTGTGACATCGAAACCCCATGTAGTGAGACAAGTTACCCGATGGTGGGGCAACATGCCACATGTTCACACTCTCTAATTTATTGCTTATAACTCTGCATTGACACAAGATATGAAAATGACATGACAACGAACAGCCCCAGTCTCCCCTATACTATCCTGTTGAGCCTATGTGCTTAAGTCTTCCAGAGTTAAATATTTATCTCAAAAAAGTTATTAAGGTCAAAAATGGACTTTATATACATATATTTATATACTTTATATATATATATATATATATATATATATATATATATATATATATATATATCAACCATCAAAAGTTATTTTCATGCATGCATGTAGGTTACTTTAGTTGACAAAATTACAGTTGGCCCGTGTAAGACATACAGCTTTAAACTAGGTTACTTTAACCACAAAATGATTGACAACAAGTGTAAAGAACAAAATGTAAGATGGGTGGGTTAAATAACTTATTACAGTCAGACGCATATGAGATGACTCAGATAAGTGAGAAATATAATCTAGACTTTGTCATCTGTGGGTGCCAAAATTTACAAACACTCAAAGTTCCTCTCTAGACCACGCAGATGACAAAGTGATAGCCCCACCCAATACATAGATAAAGGAGATGTGAAATTTTTGAATATTATTTTCAAATCGAGCAGTTACAACCACAATAAATGATAAAATCATAATCAGAAGGCTTACAGCCATTGTCAACTTCAATGCCCTTTTATTCATCAAAGTGTCAAATGTAAGGCTATTATGCTCTACATGGAATTAAAAAGAAAAAACAACTAAAATGGTTCATAAAATATCAAAATCAGTTTTTATTATGAGTTTAAATAGCATCCCAAAGTGTTGAGAAGGAGGTTGTTAAATACAAAAAAATCCTCCTCCTCCCTTCTCTTCATGAGTAATTTTGATTATTATCTATCATCATGAGGTGATTTTTCATTAAATGTGATTGATTTGTGGAACTCATCTCATCAGTGTTTCACAAACTCATGTTGGTAAGTGAAACTAACAAAGAAACATGTTGAACACTATGTTGTTCAGCTACATTTAGACTGTGAGATTTATCTGATGTGAGATTTGTCTCTGGAGTGCAGACAGGTGCTAGAGGAAGAGGGAAACCTCAGACCTGATCTGAGGAGGAAGCGTTTTTTTTCTTTTTTTGTTTTTTTTTGTTAGCATTCTCTCAGCAAATGTATAAAGAAATTAAAAGAGTATCTCCTGCCTTTTTTGTCATTATCTTGTAGGTTTGGGTGTTGGCTATTGTGCACGTGGTTTTTCACAGATCCAGTACAGTGGCTCTGTGCACGACGCATCATTCCAGCTGTTTTCCTGATCATACACCTTGATTTCTGCGCAGTCTTCATCATTGCCTGAATGACCATTTGGTTCCCCTGAGGCCCAGTAACTGAAATCACAAGTTAGAAAATGTAGCCCATATTAATGTCTTTGTTTAGTTGGCTTTAACTGAGGCCCCTAGAAAAGAATAAAAACATGTGTTGTGTTTACAAGGCTTCCCAAAGTCCCTAAAGTAAGACAAATCGAAAAAGCTCATGTTTTTGTCACAGCAGATTTTTGCACAGTATTTCTACCCCCAAAGAAAGACACCTGTGCAGACTTCAGCTTATACATGACCCCAATCCTCAAAAAGTCTTTCAACATTTGTCAAAGCATCCCAATTTTTGGGGATTTGGGTTTGAATATAAATATCTGCCCAGTCTTCGTCCCTTGGTCCAGCAATAAACACAAGGGTATGTGATTTTAAAACCCTACTTTCCCGCTCTCTATTCCTCCCATTTTCATTACAAAAAACAGCTGTTTGGGATGTAACATCAGTTTACATTAGACTGCATTAAATTGCATTGAAAAGGCTGTTTTCTTAGCAAGGACAGCTGCACTCTCCACAATACTGAAGATACTCAATGCAGAGCGAATGAATACAGTTGAAAAGATGCTGGTCACCATACAGCAAGGCAATAAAAAGTGTGAACCTTGTACTCAGTGGGGTCCCATCCACCCATTTCCACTTCTTCTCTGTGTCTCTGTCAGTCAGGCCGATCCACAGACGCTTTCGGAGACGTCTTGCAAATTCCTTGTCAACACAAAGTAACAGTCAGTCTATCTAAATCTTTAACAAACAGATTTGCAAATGAATTCATTGGTTCACACCTGTTCCTCTTTGCTGTTGATAATCATAAGGTCTGAACCTCTACCCTGACAGTCATCGCTACTCTCTTCCCAGGACTTCTGCAGAGTTGAGATGTAATAGAGACTTGTACCGTAACGAATCCATCCATGATCTGTTGTAAATTAGGGAAAAAAGTCTTAATTTCTCAGTTATCAAATATGAGGTCTGATTAACATCGAGGTTTAGGTTGAAACATTTAGTATCAATAACTTAATCTTTAAAAAATTATCACTGTATTTTTCCAAGTGTACAGTTGCAGCATTGCTCAACAGCAGAACCTGGTCTCCAAGGTGTTTTCACTTGTATTTCCCCTATTATTTGTTTTTATCGATTTATTTTTTCAACATTGTTTCTGTTTCTCCAACATGGATATAAATGTGATCGGGTTTTGACTCCTGTATTATGATAAGTGCAGATAGTTTGCTAAGGTTAGCTTCTAAATTTCTAAACCAACTTTGGCAGTCAGTACATTTACATGTTGTTAATAAAAAAAATCATTCATTGCCTGAGTTAAAAAACAAAACAAAAACAAAACGTGTAAATACACTAGTCCAACAGAGATCTCATTAAATCAAACGTCTAGTCAGTTCAATATATCTGGATTATGTTGTTGGGATAGATTTGAAACTGAAACCGGCCTAAGCATGTTCCCACATGCGGCTTTGAGCCAGAAGTTGAAAATCATGGAGGAGAGAAGGAGGTGGGCACACTTCTGTCAAAAACTCAAATTTTGTCAAGTACATGTAAACTGGGACAAGAACAGCAGCCCAGTTAAAACGCCCAATCGAGCTACGACCATTGGTTGACGTAGCTCTTTAATGCCTGACACCACAAATTATGGGCAAAAAATTCGACATTTTTTGAGCTGAAATGTTTATATCACTTACTACTGAAAACCAAAAAAATCAAAATGTCCTTAAAATTTCACAAATAAATTTATTTATCCCGTTTGACACGTTAGATGTTTTTGGAAACTGATAAATTACAAGAGGACATTTCTATCATTTACTGGACTGTATTCAGGTGTTTTTATTTGTAATTTGTTGATCATATTGATTTGATAGAAGTTTATAAAATTATGTATCAAATATGATACAAAAGGCAATAAAGGGTTAACTATGCATGTAAATATGTTGAATGTGTGAAGGGAGCATACAAGACCAGACCACAGAATGTAAAAGACAAACAAGAAAAGCAGAAAAGGTCTCAAACGTCAATAATGTATCATTTTGTTCACACATGGTCAGTTCAAAGAAGAATTTGGTCGGCATGAACCGATAAAAGTTACCTAGAAGCTTTTTCTGCAGCTCACTTCTCTCTCTGTTCAGTTCCTCCAACCTTCTTCGAAACTGGTCGCGTTCTTCAGCCAAATTGTTGTAACTGGTCTGTAACTGGTTGCGTTCTTCAGCCAAATTGTTGTACCTGGTCTGTAACTGGTTGCGTTGTTCAGCCAAATTGTTGTTACTGGTCTGTAACTGGTCCCTTTCATTGGTCAGGTTGTTGTTACTAACGCGTAACAACCTCATGTCTGTTTTCCACTCAGAGTCGTGTTTGTAATCTGCAAAACAAACATCAAACAGGTAATGTAAAATCCTTGTTTAGGGCTTTATCAGCATGCTGCTCCAGTACTCACATTGGAAAATCAGAACCATGAGTCCAACCAAAAGGAGAACGCAAAGCAGACCCAGTAACACGACAGTAATTCTGTATCTTCTCTTAACATCTCTGGCATCTGAGAAAGAAAGTCAACATTTCTCATGAGTTTGTTTTCTAGTGTGAAATCGATGTTTTTGAAATAAATTGCAATCACTTGGTCCCGTCTGAAATAACTCGAGAGTTTGTTGATGGATTGTCATGTAATCCTTCACATTTGAAACATTTTGCCATCAATACTCTCCAAACGGCACATATATGACTGTTGGATTCTGTAACTGTAAGTCCATTAATGATTGCATGAAAGATAAGTATGCAATTTTCGACATATTTCCATGCTCACCTGAGTTTGTGTCACACAGCCTGTTCACATATACCTGGTCCATTATGTTCCTTACCTGAATGTGCAGGTCCAGCTGGATGTGTCTCAAGGGTCTGACAGGTATCTTGGTTTGCATAAATATCCTCAGAGCATTTTTGATAACCTGATGGGGTCTCTATGTTAGCATAGATATCTGATTCTTCCATGATGTTTAATTTGGGATCTGGTTTAGTTTGGTCCTGAGATGCTTGAGGAAGTCAAAGTTTTCAGAGTGTGTTTCTGAAATTATAATGACTCTATCAACTTTTGTGTCCCAGATATAAGTTGTCACTCATACTGTATGAACCAATCATGATCATATTGACACATTTTGGTGGCTTTTACAGGAACCTGCGGGCTGGTGTGTGAGCTATTTTAAGTGGCGACTCAGTACAGCTGCATGATGGTGTACTTCATTTTCTTTGGGCCTATATAAGTCAATTTCCTCTTTATCACTTTGAACGACCTGATAAGGACGTATGCACCGACAAACTAAGAGCTCAAAATAAAAACTGCGAAAACATGTAAATATTCTGTTGAACAGTATGATCCTTTGAGAGTTTGAGCAAAGAAATGAGGACCTTAAACAAACGTGTTGAAAGATATTTCTTTCTACTTTCACAATAGAAAGTAGTTGGACATACTGTAAAGCAAAACTGGACAAATATTGTGTATACTGGAGGTTTTTATTAATAGATTAGATGAAGGATAGTTGTAGGCTTTCTGGGCTTTGCAGTATAACAAGTTACCCATTGATTTATTTATGTTTTCTCATGTTGTGTGAAAATATGGTTTTATGAATCATCACTTGATGTTTGATTTCCCACAATACAAAAGTAAAAGCTGACAAAGCCAGTTGAAGTAGACAGGAAGAGATGGAAGAAAACAATAACCTTATGAAAATATGTAACAAGTCAAAAGTCAAGTCAGGAGACAAAGAGATCATTCGTGCATAAAGTTTTGTTGAAGTGAAACCTTACTAATAATACTGTGTTTTGTTCCAGTAAAATAGTGTCTTTCTATGTCTATTAAAATGCACTAGTTTATAAATAACTCTGATTCAAGTTATCTGTTCACTTTCAAGTAAAAAATGAGAACAACAATAATTTTGTCCTTGTTTTATTAGCTGCAAAATCCACTGTGACAACTTACCCCATGGTGGGGCAACATGTCACATATTCACACTCTCTATTTGATTGTTTGACCTATTGCTTATAACTCTGCACTGATATGAAAATGACATGAAGACGAAATACATACCCGAGACTTTGGTCTTTCATCTGGTACACATTTTGTTTGATGTGTTGATTCCAAGAAATATGTAAGAGTGTAAAAAGTGTGACAACAAGCCCCGGTCTCCCCTACTATATATGTCATCTTTATCATCCTCCAATACTTTGATCTCGAAGCAGACAGCAGGAAGTACTGGATGTGCAGGTGAACCTATTCTTCCTCTGTCTGCCTTTTTCACTTAGTGCTCCAGCTAAGCTACACCTTTTACAAAAGATATAATTTTTTCCTCTTCCTTTTGAAGACATTGAGCCAACTAAGTATTCAGAGGTTACAGTAGTACAGATCACCGAGGTGCAGAAAAGTGAAAACATCTTGTTGCACTTAGTGTTTCCAACTTTGTCATCTGTGGGTGCCAAAATTCACAAACACCCAAAGTTCCTCTCTAGACCACGCAGATGACAAAGTGATAGCCCCACCCAATACATAGATAAAGAAGTGAAAAATATGAATATTATTTTCAAATCGAGCAGTTACAACCACAATAAATGATAAAATCATACTCAGAAGGCTTACAGCCATTGTCAACTTTAATCCCGTTTTATTTATCAAAGTGTCAAATGTAAGGCTATTATGCTCTACATGGAATTAAAAAGAAAAACAACTAAAATGGTTCATAAACTATCAAAATCAGTTTTTATTATGAGTTTAAATAGCATCCCAAAGTGTTGAGAAGGAGGTTGTTAAATACAAAAAATTCCTCCTCCTCCCTTCTCTTCATGAGTAATTTTGATTTTTATCTATCATAATGAGGTGATTTTTCATTAAATGCGATTGATTTGTGGAACTTTATCATCAGTGTTTCACAAACTCATGTTGATACAAGTGAAACTAACAAAGAAACGTGTTGAACAATCTGTGGTTTAGCTGCATTTAGAGATTTGTCTGATGTGAGATTTGTCTGTAGAGCACAGACAGGTGCAAGAGGAAGAGGGAAACCTCAGACCTGATCTTAGGAGGAAGCGTTTTTTTTTTTTTGTTAGCATTCTTTCTCAGCAAATTTATAAAGAAATTAAAAGAGTATCTCCTGCCTTTTTTGTCATTATCATGTAGGTTTGGGTGTTGGCTATGGTGCAAGTGGTTTTTCACAGATCCAGTACAGTGACACTCGGCACGACGCATCATTCCAGCTGTTTTCCTGATCATACATCTTGATTTCTGCGCAGTCTTCATCTCTGTCTGGTTGACCATTTGGTTCCCCTGAGGCCCAGTAACTGAAATCACAAGTTAGAAAATGCAGCCCATATTAATGTCTTTGTTTAGCTGGCTTTAGCTGAGGTCCCTAGAAAAGAATAAAAACATGTGTTGTGTTTACAAGGCTTCCCAAAGTCCCTAAAGTAAGACAAATCGAAAAAGCTCATGTTTTTGTCACAGCAGATTTTTGCACAGTATTTCTACCCCCAAAGAAAGACACCTGTGCAGACTTCAGCTCATACATGACCCCAATCCTCAAAAAGTCTTTCAACATTTGTCAAAGCATCCCAAATTTTGGGGATTTGGGTTTGAATATAAATATCTGCCCAGACTTCGTTCCTTGGTCCAGCAATAAACACAAGGGTATGTGATTTTAAAACCCTACTTTCCCGCTCTCTATTCCTCCCATTTTCATTACAAAAAACAGCTGTTTGGGGCGTAACATCATTTTGCATTAGACTGCATTAAATTGCATTGAAAAGGCTGTTTTCTTAGCAAGGACAGCTGCACTCTCCATAATACTGAAGATACTTAATGCAGAGCGAATGACTACAATTGAAAACATGCTGGTCACCATACAGCAAGGCAATAAAAAGTGTGAACCTTGTACTCAGTGGGGTCCCATCCACCCATTTCCACTTCTTCTCTGTGTCTCTGTCAGTCAGGCCAATCCACAGACGCTTTCGGAGACGTCTTGCAAATTCCTTGTCAACACAAAGTAACAGTCAGTCTTTCTAAATCTTTAACAAACAGATTTGCAAATGAATTCATTGGTTCACACCTGTTCCTCTCTGCTGTTGATAATCATAAGGTCTGAACCTCTACCCTGACAGTAAGCTCTACTCTCTTCCCAGGACTTCTGCTGAGTTGAGATGTAATAGAGACTTGTGCCGGAACGAATCCATCGATAATCTGTTGTAAATTAGGGAAAAAAGTCTTAATTTCTCAGTTATCAAAGATTAGGTCTGATTAAAATCGAGGTTTAGGTTGAAATATTGAGTATCAATAAATTTGATCTTTAAAAAATTATCACTGTATTTTCCAAGTGTACAGCTGCATCATTGCTCAACAGCAGAACCTGGTCTCCAAGGTGTTTTCACTTGTATTTCCCCTTTTATTTGTTTTTATCTATTTATTTTTTCAACATTGTTTCTGTTTCTCCAACATGGATATAAATGTGATCGGGTTTTGACTCCTGTATGATAAGTGCAGATAGTTTGCTGAGGTTAGCTTCTAAATTTCTAAACCAACTTTGGCAGTCAGTACATTTACATGTTGTTAATAAAAAAAATAATTCATTGCCTGAGTTAAAAAAAACAACAACGTGTAAATACACTAGTCCAACAGAAATCTCATTAAATCATTAGAAGGAGGTGGACACACTTCTGTCAATAACTCTAATTTTTGCCAAGTACATGTAAACTGGGACAAGAACAGCAGTCCAGTTAAACCGCCCAATCGAGCTACGACCATTGGTTGACGTAGCTCTTAAATGCCTGACACCACAAATTATGGGCAAAAAATTAAACATTTTTTGAGCTGAAATATTTATTTCACTTACTACTGAAAACCAAAAAAATCAAATGTCCTTAAAATTTCACAAATAAATTTATTTATCCCGTTTGACACGTTAGATGTTTTTGGATACTGATAAATTACAAGAGGACATTTTTATCATTTATTGGACTGTATTCAGGTGTTTTTTTAGTAATTTGTTGATCATATTGACTTGACAGAAGTTTATAAAATTATAAAGGTAATAAAAAGTTCACTATGCATGTAAATAAGTTGAATGTGTGAAGGGAGCCTACAAGACCAGACCACAGAATGTAAAAGACAAACAAGAAAAGCAGAAAAGGTCTCAAACTTGAATAATGTATCATTTTGTTCACACATGGTCAGTACAAAGAAGAATTTGGTCGGCATGAACCAAAAAAACTTACCTTGAAGCTTTTTCTGCAGCTCATTTCTCTCTCTGTTCTGTTCCTCCAACCTTCTTCTAAACTGGTCGCGTTCTTCAGCCAAATTGTTGTAACTGGTCTGTAACTGGTTGCGTTCTTCAGCCAAATTGTTGTACCTGGTCTGTAACTGGTTGCGTTCTTCAGCCAAACTGTTGTACCTGGTCTGTAACTGGTCCCTTTCATTGGTCAGGTTGTTGTCACCAATGTGCAGCAACCTCATGTCTGTTTTCCACTCAGAGTCGTGTTCGTAATCTGTAAAACAAACATCAAACAGGTAATGTAAAATCCTTGCTTAGGGCTTTATCAGCATGCTACTCCAGTACTCACATTGGAAAATCAGAACCATGAGTCCAACCAAAAGGAGAACGCATAGCAGACCCAGTAACACGACAGTAATTCTGTATCTTCTCTTAACATCTCTGGCATCTGAGAAAGAAAGTCAACATTTCTCATGAGTTTGTTTTCTCGTGTGAAATCGATGTTTTTGAAATAAATTGCTCTCACTTGGTTCCATCTGAAATAATTCGAGAGTTTGTTGATGGATTGTCATATAATCCTTCACATTTGAAACATTTTGCCATCAATACTCTCCAGACGGCAAATATATGACTGTTGGATTCTGTAACTGTAAGTCCATGAAAGATAAGTATGCAATTTTCGACATATTTCCATGCTCACCTGAGTTTGTGTCACACAGCCTGTTCATATACTTGGTCCATTATGTTCCTTACCTGAATGTGCAGGTCCAGCTACATGTGTCTCAAGGGTCTGACAGATGTCTTGATTTGCATTAATACTCTCTGAGCATTTTCGATAACCTGATGGGGTCTCTATGTTAGCATAGATATCTGATTCTTCCATGATGTTTAATTTGGGATCTGGTTTAGTTTGGTCCTGAGATGCTCAAGGAAGTCAAAGTTTTCAGAGTGTGTTTCTGAAATTATAATGACTTTATCAACATTTGTGTCCCTGATATAAGTTGTCACTGATACTGTTTGAACCAATCATGATCATATGACACATTTTGGTGGGTTTTACAGGAACCTGCGGGCTGGTGTGTGAGCTATTTTAAGTGGTGACTCGGTGCAGGTGCATGATGGTGTACTTCATTTTCTTTGGGCCTATATACTGTAAGTCAGTTTCCTCTTCACCACTCTGAACAACCTAATAAAGATGTATGCACGAACAAAGAGCTCAAAATAAAAATGTGAGAACATGTAAATATTCTGTTGAACAGTATGATCATTTGAGAGTTTGAGCAAAGAAATAAGAACCTTAAACAAACGTGTTGAAAGATATTTCTTTCTACTTTCACAATAGAAAGTAGTTGTACATACTGTAAAGCAAAACTGGACAAATATTGTTAATACTGGAGGTTTTTATTAATAGATTAGATGAAGGATTGTTGTAGGCTTTCTGGGCTTTGCAGCCTACCAAGTTACCCATTGATTTGGTTTTCTCATGTGTGAAAATATGGTTTTATAAATAGTCACTTGATGTTTGATTTCCCACAATACAAAAGTAAAAGCTGACAAAGCCAGTTGAAGTAGACAGGAAGAGATGGAAGAAAACACAACCTTATGAAAATATGTAACAAATCAAAAGTCAAGTCAGGAAACAAAGAGATCATTCGTGCATAAAGTTTTGTTGAAGTGAAACCTTACTAATCATACTGTGTTTTGTTCCAGTAAAATAGTGTCTTTCTATGTCTATTAAAATGCACTAGTTTATAAATAACTCTGATTCAAGTTATCTGATTCACTTTCAAGTAAAAAATGAGAACAACAATAATTTTGTCCTTGTTTTATTAGCTGCAAAATCGACTGTGACAACTTACCCCATGGTGGGGCAACATGTCACATGTTCACACTCTCTATTTGATTGCACACTCTCTATTGATTATTTGATTATTTGATTGATTGCTTATAACTCTGCACTGATATGAAAATGACATGAAGACGATATATACCTGAGACTTTGGTCTTTCATCTGGTACACATTTTGTTTATATATGATGTATTAATTCCAAGAAATATACAAGAGTGTAAAAAATTTCAACAGCAAGCCCCGGTCTCCCCTACTATATATGTCATCTTTATCATCCTCCATTACTGGAAGTACTGGTTGTGCAGGTGAACCTATTCTTCCTCTGTCTGCCTTTTTCACTTAGTGCTCCAGCTAAGCTACACCTTTTACAAAAGATATATTTTTTTCCTCTTCCTTTTGAAGACATTAAGCCAACTGAGTATTCAGAGGTTACTGTAGTACAGATCACCAAAGTGCAGAAAAGTGAAAACATCTTGTTGCACTCAGTGTTGCCAACTCTTCAGTGAGGAACGTTGTTAGTGGCTGTCCTAATTTGCATAATTTTCCTGTTTAACCCTTTGCAGAGGGGGGAGAGACTGAAATACAGATGTGTGAGCGCGCCTCTGAAAGATAAAGATAGAAACCCATAGAAAAGTGTGGGCTGGATTAAGCTTCTGCTTTGGCTGTGAAATGGAGGGGGAGGGAGGATGAGATGCAGGAGAGAGCTCATTGTGGGTCGGCAGGCGAGAGGGAGAGGGAGAGAGAGAGGAGAAGAAGAGAGATGGAGGTTTATTTCATAATATGCTATTTCCAAAGAGCATCACAGTCAGGGTGAAAGAGGGCAAAATGCAGCAGAAACAGGATTCTCAGAGCCGAGCCCCTGGCAGCCTGGGGAAGGTAGGAGTGTGTGTTTTTGTGTGTATTATTGTGCACATGAAAGTGGCACATGTAGTATGTTTATGTAGGAGCTACAAAGAGACAGCTTTGAATGATGTGAATACAGCAGAAATGTAGAAATTCAGATTAGTTTGATTTTGTTGCTGTCATTGTTGTTGTTGTTGTTATTGTTATTGACTCACTATAACTATCGTTCATGATGTTAATGTTAAAATAAAGCATATTTTTATGTCTTTATGTTGAGGTCTGCCTCCCTGCCTGTTTGTCCATGAGGCATGTAACAACAGATAATGTTGAGTCTCAGTTTAATTCAACCCAGCAGCTCCTGTGTGTGTTTGTGTGTGTCAGTGTGTGTGTATCTTTGTGTATGTGAACTGTCTCTACACATCTCCATCTAAATACAAGTAACAGCAATGAAACACGCCTGCTGTCATTATGGCTATAATAACACTTTTTAAATTTGTACCATTACACAGTTTTACTTTTAAAATTGGTTCTGTGGCCATAAGTATATTTTTCTGTTGTTTTTCATGCTGTTTTTGTTTGTCTTCCAGGACTGGGACAAACATAAATAAGTATTAACGTTTAGAAATGTTCATGATTATGTAGTTGCCAAGAACTTGGAGATAATGTCTGAATGCAGTTTATCAATGCAATAAGACTGTATAGATGGGTTTATACAGGCTATTCCACACTTATGTTTGTATTGGTGTAAGTCCAGATGAGGGGTTAATGAATAAATGCTTATCAGGCCCCAAGGAGATGTGTGAGATAGTTTAAAAACTGTTACAGTTGTTGTCCACCAGAGAGCAGTGTGGAGTGAGTGATTTCTCATGAACTTTTCTAACTAGTAAGGATCTTGGTTTTGTAAAAATCATAAGAAAAAAAGTTTTAAAAATCTGTGTTCGTTATTTTTTAAATCACCTATACTCTGTCAACCAGTATTAGACCTTTTAGAGTCTGAAATTTGGCATCATGCCTAATATCAGCTGTGCTAACTGATATATTTCCTATTGCTTACAAACTCACATTAACAGTAAATAGTACTGCTGTATAGACTCCATTTGCCAACAGAGTAAGTGTTTTTTTTATTATTCCTGACTTTGTTTAGTTATTTATTTGACCCCAATTCTCAAAGTCAGAAAAGAAGCCATAGTTTTCTTCACTTTAAAAATATCCTAATTTGATGGTTCAGTTTGATTGATGTGGAACTGTGTGGGTGTTTGACTGATAAATAACTGCTGCGTTCAGACAGACTAAGCAACTATTTCACTTGACTGCCTCCTGCAGATTATCTCGTGTCATGCACTAGAATTAAAATCTCAAAAATAGAATCACACCCACATCTGTGCAGCAGGCAACACTGTGTTATTGAACACTGCTGATCTGTTTCTGTGTCATCTCTAGTTCCAGAGGAGTATTGGGGAAGTAGAGGAGCATGCTGACCTCTGGATTGGCTACTGTGCCTTCCACCTGGGCGACTACAAGAAAGCCATGAAGTCCCCTTAAAGTGTGAAAAATATCTTCCTCCAAACACCTGTGGGATAAAAAAAATGATGAGATGTGTCTGTCAGGTTTTCATATTATTTGATGACTTTTTTTTTTGTTCTACTTCATCACGTCCTCACAGGTGTACAAGTCCCTGACCATGAACCCGGATTGTCCAGCTGAGGTGTGGGTCTATCTGGCCTGTGTTCTGTTTTTTCTTGGGCTCTATAAAGAGGCTGAGGAGGCTGCATCTAAGGGTAAGTTTTCTAGCTGAGTGTGTTTGTAAAATGTTAAATGATTCCCCCAATTATTTAATGTTACTATGAAATTTAAAATGAAAAATCAAACTGATATAGATTCCCCCAATCGCAAAGAATAACATTATTAGGCTTGTACACAGCAGAGAGGAGGATTATTGTTGGTATGATGCTGTTACTGAGATGAGCAACAAACATGAGTGCATGACGATACAGATCAGAATTAAGTCTACAGCATCGAATCTCTGACCCCCTACCTTATTGTTGAGAATGAATTGTGTCAGTTCTTAATAGTGTTGTTTCTCATGTAACTATATCAAGCAGCAGAAGATAGTATATGACTAGAATTAGGTCTGAGAGCTGATGTCCTATTCTCTCTGCATCCCGTCTCTCAGAGATTTCCTGGCCCTGAAGGTTTATGTGGCTCTTTGTTACTATAAACTGGACTACTATGATGTCTCCCAAGAGGTGTTAGCCGTGTACCTGCAGAGAGTTCCTGACTCCACAATTGCCCTCAACCTGAAGGCAAAGCAGCTGAGGTACTCAGGTTTGACCGTCTCTGACATGTCTCTAGATATAAATATGTGTATATACACATGCATTTATATAGTATACACATTTTGGCCTTTCACACATCAAATTGTGTGTTTGTTTTTTTCACTTTTTGTTTGTGGGAAAAAGTGTTGGTAGATTTTAACTTGTGTGAAATCTCTTCTAAGGCGGAGCTTGAGAACCTCATTGACATCTCCTCCTGTTCCTTTGAGTTTGCTAAGGAGCTTATCCGACACAACCTGGTAAGCTCCACACAAGCCCTGATATGAGTGTGTACAGATTTGTGCCTGTGAGTGTGCGCAGTCACTACAGTCACCAGTGACTTACACACTGTTATTCTGCACACTCATTCTCACCTCTGTGTACTGTAGGTGGTGTTTCGTGGAGGAGAGGGGGCATTGCAAGTCCTGCCTCCCTTGATCGATGTGATACCTGAGGCCAGACTCAACCTGGTCATCTACTATCTCAGACAAGGTGGTTTGGCTGCTGAGACGAAAGAAATGTGTCCACAAAAATACAGACAGTGGATGAAATCACAGCCACGACCTTTCCCATTATCCATTCTCATTTTACTGTCACATTTATCATCGAATAGTTCATGTGAATGCAGCATCTTTTTCTGTGCTTTAGGATTGACGTCAGATTTTGAGAAAAGTCACATTATCTAATGCTCCATTATCAATTTTAGATGACATAAGCGCTGATGCTTTATTTACTTTGAAATCAAAGCAAACACAGTTTAAGGGTTTGTATGTTCTCTTTTTTATTTGAAAGAAATCATGCTGGATTAAATAAAACCTCTTCTCAAACCTCTTGTCCTTCCTCCTCTTGAGAGTTCTTGAAGAGTCTTTTATTCATGGATCTGAAAGCATGTGAAGTATTTGGCTGCTGTTCCTTTGTTTGTTTATTTTTTGCTTATATAAGTAGATTTAATGAAAAAGGCTTGGCAAGTTCCTAAAAGATACACTCGTGTTTCTTTGTGTGTTTGTAATAAATGAATCAGGGTTGTCTTCCTCAGTAACCTCAGAGAGACTGAGAAGAGAGCAGATAAAGTTTTTTAACTTTTTTCACTTGTCTCTTTTTTCAGGAGTACATTTTAAAAGGAGTAGTAAACGCAGCATTGGGACAAGACATTGGATCAGTAAGTATTCCTTTGAAACAATTGTTAGCACAAAGAAAAGCAATAACACAAGTTTGAGACAAATGTTTGATATTGTTCATCTTTCAGAGGGATCACCTGAAAATTGCTCAGCAGTTCTTTCAGTTAGTTGGAGGCTCGGCCAGCGAGTGTGGTATGCTGAATGGAAATATGATTGATGTGATCCTTTAAAGTGACTCTGTGTGTGTGTGTGTCTGAAAGTGTGTGTATTAACAACCTCTTCATTTCCAGATACTATTCCTGGCAGACAGTGCATGGCCGCCTGTTTCTTCCTCCTGAGAAAATTTGATGATGTTCTCATATATCTGAACTCAGTCAAGGTTAGTGCTGCTCAGCACACATTAAAGGATATAGTCCTGTGGATATAAACAATTAGATTTTACCAGTTTATGTAAAAAAGGTTTGAATAAAGACTGTCTTTAACTGAAGGAGTTGTGTTCTTTTAAGTGATGCCAAATGTGCACAATTTCTGCGATGATTTATGTGACCACAAAGCAGAGACTCTAAATGGTTTTATTTCTAAAGGCTTGGGCATTTGTCTTTGCAGAGTTACTTTGCCAATGATGATACGTTCAACTTCAACTATGCTCAAGCCAAAGCTGCCCTCGGTAACTACAAACAAGCAGAAGAGGTAACTTACCTCAGTGCACATCAACACAAACGCCTTTAACTGACAATGATTGTGTTTAACGTGTTACTGACTCTTTTTTTTTCTAATTTCTCCTTTTCTTTCAGATTTTTCTGCTGATTCAGAATGAGAAAATCAAGAATGACTATGTTTACCTCAGCTGGCTGGCACGGTGTTGTATGTATTAAGTATATTTAGCACAGTAGTATATGTCCTTAAATGAACACAAATGACTGTAGGAGGATTTCTCGCCTTCTGGCTTTGCTCTTGTTCTTCACTAGTGTTAAGCTCAACAGCTCCAAGAGACGAATGACTCCATTAAATGATTTCTCTTCCTTTCATGGCTTAACCCACATCAATAAATCTTGCCCAGAGGCGGTTCATATTTTGCAAATCTGAATCTTTAAAGGTGTCTGAAGCTGCCTGCAAATGATGGACTATTGAGCACTTGTCTTGTTCTCGTCAGACATAATGAACCAGAAGGGTCAGCTTGCCTGGGAGCTCTATCTGAAGATGGGCACCTCCTCTGATTCCTTCAGTTTGCTGCAGCTCATTGCCAACGACTGCTACAAGGTGATATCTTCCTCTGTTGACTTCAGATTTGATCTTTGCAGACATTTCTTATAAAAAAATAATGTGAGCCAGTGCATAACTGCTCCATCAACAGAATATCACTCTGTAAAAAACATAGACGCTTAGTATCTGTTTGGATCATTTAGAAAGTTCAAGTCCTATATTCTTGTATGTTTCTCACTGAATAATTTGAATATGTTGACCATTCATTATATGAAGATATTTAAAACTTTTTTTCCTATTTTTATATTCACATTGTTTAAAAAAGAGTCATCCAATCATCTTTATCTCTAGCTCCCATGTGAATGTTTGTATTGTGAATATAATTTTACCAATATGAGCCAAGTCCACCTGGTTTTCTGAACTCAGATATGACAGTTGTGCTGTGCCATTAAGGTTAGGGTTTTATACCTGATCACATTGACATTGTCATAAACCTTGATTTGAAAAATCCACCTTAAACACAGAAACTGAATGTTTTTACCTGCTTGTCATGACACACAATATCCTCAGTTATGTCTGCACGTTCATGAAGCAAACTATTATTAGAACTTAAAGACAAGGTGGTTCAGTCTTTTCCTGGTGAGTCAATGCAACATTTCAAGTCAATTTCAACATTTCTCTCAATCGGACTGTATGAGTAATGTCTATGCCGCCTGAAGGAAATAAATTTTGAGCATTCATATCTGTTTCAGACTGCAGTTTCTGATGTACACTAATATTTTTATTAAACCGTGAATGCGTTTTTAACAATATGTAGGATTGATTTTATTGCTTTTAAGTGCAGGCACTGATTTTGCTGCATTTTCCTATTGTTTAATAAGTTTATTAATACACAGTTTAGATATTAGGCACATGGAAACAAGCAAAATGACATAAATAGAATAATTAAAGCCTTCATACAAAATTAGACTTAAATGCTAACAGCTCTAAAACATGAAGGTATGATGTTGAGACAGCTCTTTAAAGATTACAGCCAAGTATTGAGTAAGTATTGAGTAAGTCATTGAGTAAGTCTTAGTTAAAAATATTTAGTTGTTCTCATTGTGTGTCATATGGAACAAACACCTTTTCTTGGTGTAACACACACACACAAAATAACAAATACTCAGAAAATGCGATTCAAGTCTCAGAGGAGAGAAGGAAAAGCTTTTAAAAAGTAGGACCCTTTAATTCATTAAGTTTTTTTTTTTTTTGATACCTGGACCTCAAAATTTTTACACCCCCATAGGCTATGAAATGCAGATTTTACTTCCAAAAAAAGATAAAAAAGACAAATAAGACAACCATTGGGGTCAGTTCCAGTAGTTGTTGTGGTTGTTTGTTCACAAATACAGCAAAATACACTGCAGGGCTTATTTCTAATACAGACAAATCATGGCAGTGACATATTGAAATTTGGAAATGCATTTGGTCATCTTCAATGAAATCCAATCCAATCCACTTTATTTATATAACACATAAAAAACATTCAAGTTGACCAAAGTGCTGCACAATAAAATTAAAAGAACAGACAATACAGAAAACATCAAGATGAAATCAATAAAAGCAGATGTTTTCACGTCTGAATACTTTTATAATATTTGTGTCTGACCTATTATAGTAGTAGTAGTAGTAGTAGTAGTACTCTCATGTTGAGCTAAACTCTCAACTCTAAATTCTAAACTCACAACTCCCATGCTGAACTATAAGCCAAGGAATAAAAATGAGTTTTAAGATGTGATTTAAAAGTAGGAAGAGTGGGAGATTTTTTAATCTGATGAAATGATAATCTTGGTCAGCTGTCCAAATCTAACCAAAATTTGTCTTTTCTGTTCCTTAACAACCAAAATACATATAAAATAGTGAATTTTTATTTATTTTTTCAGTATTTGGGTCATTAGAGGTCCACACAATAAAGACAAAAAGAGCTTATCAGGCTGTCAGATGTTTTTACATCTAAATACTTTTATAATATTTGTGTCTGACCTGTTATGATACTTTAACTTTCACTCAGGTCTTGAACAAGTAGGCAGGACTCACTGAAGAGGGTGTTGAGTGTGGGGGATAATGGGGGTCCAATGGTATCATTTACCCGGGGGTGGGGTCAACAACAGGTCGAGCCAGCTATAGTTTCAATCAGACAAGTACAGACACCCAGGAATCAGCATTAAAGCTTAATATATTCAAATCATTCTCAGTAATTGTGTGAGAGCATCTTTATTTGATTTTTCTGAATCAACAGGTGGTCACCAGCACCTAAAACTAAATCTGCAGTGCTTTGGTGGCAGATGGGTGATCATCTGACTTGCTTTTTTTTCCGCTCAGGATTTAATGTTGGACTGTGAGCTGGTGCCATTGTTGAAAAATGCGCAATTCAGCGTTTTCCTAAATAGACGGAGAGGCAGGCATCAAATGAGCGCTGTCGATGTTAGAAAACAAAAGTGAATCAGGTAGTTGAAATCAGAGCATGTGTAAATATACTGGTTTGTGCGGCCGAACGCCTGTCCTTCACTCTCACACTTTATAAAGGTCATTATAGAGCTGATAGTGTTGTTATTATCGCCTGTTGTGACAGAGGCGGGTTTAAGATCGGGGCAAACGCTGATTGGACGTGATGACCCCCCCGAGAAACGATGCTTCCGTTTCTTGTGTACACGCATGCGCAGCGACCCCTCTCTTCTGATATTTTATTTACTCCCGAAGCCCAAGATGGCTCCTGTGAATGTCTCGGTCCCACAGCAAATTTAGGATGCAAGTAGCTGCCGAAAAAACAACTTTTCCCCGACCGACGCGTCCCCTGGAGTTCACTTCGAATGGTGCGGAGGAGGCCCTAACGGTCGTCTAGGCACAGAGCAGCCGTTGAAGCTCCGCGAAACCCCCTTCAAGCCTCCAATTTGGAGTAGTTTCGCGAAGTAGCTCCTCTCCTCGCTGTCGCTGTCTGTCCGGAGCGAGGTTCAGACAGGCAGGCAGCTCATCCAAATGGCCGAACCGAGAAAAGTGCAATTTGTCACCCTCTCGGCCTTCGCAGCTGGGGCAGCCGCGGAGTCCAGGAAACGCCGGCTGGAGGAGGAGGCCGAGTTCAACTTCGGGAGAGCCAGGGAGGTCGAGGCAGCGACCGGGGCAGGGGGAGGTGCTGCCACCGGTGATCGCCATAGGGACACGGCTGGAAGCGAGAAGAAGGCGACGGTGCGGCTCAACCTGTCCCTCTGCGAGCCTGACGACCGCTCCTCTGTCGAGTTTAATTACGGCGAACTCATCCAGCACCTCCAGGTAGGATCCCCCTTAGTTTTAACAACATAACACGGCCGACTGAGACTCGAGCTGGAGTTCATTTTATCGCTGTGGAAAGTGTCGGTGTGGACTTGTCATTGCTAAGTAATGGGGTGGGGGAGTGCACCTTGTCCTTCCATGGACTAGCGAGGCTGAAAGTGACCATTACTACGCACACAATAGACAGCAGCAGTCTTTTTTTGGCCACGCAGCGAGCCAGTCCACTCAGTCAGCTTCCAACTTCAGCTGCGCTCTCCTACACATTGAAAAAGAGAGACCTCTTTTTCTTTCTTCTTCTTCTTTTTTTTGGCACATATATTGATAAAGCTTATCTTGTGCTGCTACCTGTGCCCTTTTCAATGAGACTTGCCCAGCAACAGCTCAGTCACACAGCCATTACAGCAGTTGGAAATGCCACATGCAGTTTGGCCCTGTGGCTGCGGGTGATAGATAGATGAGAGAGCATTGCTGATGGAAGTACCAGGATGTAGCATGGGAGCAAGGCAAATGTCAGAGCTGAGGGATCAAAGACAGACTGCCTCATTTTGATCCTCAGCTTCTGATTTATTAGTTTTACTGTATTTGTGGATATGTGTGGGAAAAAAGTTTCTTGCAGGGAGTAACAATCTGAGCTGAATATAAAGAAAAGCATGACTGCAGCATGTTAGTAATAATAATAATAATTATTATAATACATTTTATTTGTGGGCGCCTTTCAGGGCACTCAAGGACACCTTACAGGGCAATTAAAAGACACATTAGTAGAAAAGGAAAATCTATAAAAACACACCAACACAACAAAGTATTAATTAAAAAGTTGTAAGTCCGGACTCTGCAGCAGAACATCTAATGTTATTCTTATGTTGGACATGTCCTTAGACTTTTTTCTTTAGACGGATTTGAAGCAAAAAAGCTCTCAGTATTATCGGGATTTTTCTTCATTTCCTGAAACCAGCGCTGCGCAGTAGCGTTGTGCGCATTCGGCGGGAGAGTCGCAGCGAGTCGCTGTGATGACGCTTGGCTCAAACAGCATATCCCCCGGGTGAGCTACGCAATCCCTGAACGCCAATAGGCTGTATCAGGTGTCAATCATAGAAAACATGAACGCCCTAATAACTTTTAAAAACGGAGCTTCACAGAAAAAAGAGGACTTGAGCACAAACCAGTTTTGCAGTAATTACATGCCAACATCGCAAGCAGGGGGGAGAAAAATTTATGTTCTGTGTAATAAATTTCTAAAATTTGTCGACAGCTCATAGGGATTGCTGGAGGAGGCGGGATTTATGACCTATACTGCAGCCTGTCAACAGAGGGTGCTGTTCTCGGGGTGGCATCCATTCTATATACAGTCTATGGTTTTGATGTAAAGTTAGCTGACAATTGTGACATCTTCTCCGATGACCTTTTCACGCAGAGGCTGACCTGTATGGACCGAGAAACCGTCTTTATTTGATTGTTTGTAACTCTAATCTCAGATCATCTCTGTGAATGTTTTTTAATTTAAAAACTTTTTTTGTTTGTTTTATTTTTCTAGGTAAAGAATAATCCTTCAGCTCCGACTTCAGCCCAGAACCCAAATGATCCCTTCAACGATGACGAACGAGAGAGGCTTCAAGTTGAGGCCCTGGCGAAAAAGTTTGAAAATAAATATGTAAGATATATTTCATAAATCTTTTTTTTATTTTGAGATAAATTTTTATGATATTAATGTTTAAAACCAAAACCTGTTTGACATTGTTGATTTTAGTATAACATTTTGTGACATTTCATTTTACACACCCTAGCTTAAAAGTGGAATTTTTATTAGCTTTATTGATAGAGCGACTGAAGAAAAGCATGGGATATGGGAGTAGAGAGTGTCTTGGCTGAGAGTTGAACCATTGTCTGCTGGGACAAGGACTGCAGCCTCTGTACTGTATCTGGGTTGTACACTTGAACCACTAGACCAGTCTGCACCCATTTAACAAACACTTTTCTCTAAAGTATTGTGAATCTGAGAGCAGGTACGACATAAGTCAGAAGGGAGTAAATAAGTTTTGTTGTGACAAAAATAATTATGTTAATTTAACACCAAAAATCTGAAATGTCCAACAAACAGAGAGAGAAAAAAACTTAGAGGAAAAAAACCTTAATGATAAAATGTGTTACTGTAAATATTTGTTTAATGCACGTCCAGATTTTTACTCAACCAAAAAAAAAAAAAAAAGCACCAATCTGCTGATTTTAAAAGCTTCTGTTCGCTCATGTGTTTGCTACAAAGACTCTTGTTGGTTGAATGTACTCAATGAAGTCAAACAAAGTACTTTGATACACCACAACAGAGAGCTTTATAACAATTGGTATTACCATGTTTCCCCAATTAGATAAACAGATTCAATAAATGGGTAAATAGGGAAATGTGTCAAACACTTGGAGTGACATGGAGTTACTTTTTGATAGTTTAAGTAGCTGGAATACTGGAGTATTTTAGTGTTATAGTTACTGTCATAGAAGAAGTTATTTAAATACAGTACAGGCCAAAAGTTTGGACACACCTTCTCATTCAATGTATTTTCTTTGTTTTCATTACTATTTAAATTGTAGATTCTCAAAACTATGAATGAACACATGTGGAATCATGTGCTTAAGAAAAAAGTGTGAAATAACTGAAAACATGTATTATATTTTAGATTTCTCAAAGTAGCCACCCTTTGCTTTTTTGATAGCGCTGCAAACTTAAGCTGTCTCTCAATGAGCTTCATGAGGTAGTCACCTGAAATGGTTTTTACTTCACAGGAGTGCCTGAAGTAACCCTGACAAGGTACTTCTGTCATCAAGAGCAAAGGGTGGCTATTTTAAAGAAACTAGAATATAAAACATGTTTTCGGTTATTTCACATTTTTTTATAAGTACAAAATTATACATGTGTTCATTCATAGTTTTGATGCCTTCAGTGATAATCTACAATGTAAATAGTCATATAAAAAAATAAAGAAAAGACATTGAATGAGAAGGTGTGTCCAAACTTTTGGCCTGTACTGTATATAAGTGTAAAAAGATGTCTGTGATGCATTCATGAATGAAAGGACACAACTATAATACAAGGGACCGCTTTCCTTTGTTTCTCTTGAAAGATCAATGACTAACATATAGTATGTGTGTTGGGACTAAAAGGACAATCATTTTTTTATGATTGTCAGAAGGCGTTTTTAAGGTGTGTGTTGAAGATAGAGCACATGCCGTTAAAACAGTTTCTGTATGGAGAAAGTTGACAAATCAGAGACAAAAGATTTCTTTGAGGGGGTGTCAGGATTTTCATGGGGATCAAAAACAAATCTCTCAACTTTATATGTTAATGTTTTATTTCTCAGGGTACCACAGGAAAGAAGAAGAGAAAGGACAGGATGCAGGACCTGATCGATATTGGCTTTGGCTACGACGAGACGGACCCTTTTATAGACAACTCCGAAGCTGTAAGTACCCCTCACTTCACAATATTGAGGTGTGTTCGCTTTTGTATATTTTCTTCCCCAGGAAGTGACTTTTATGTAGTCTGATATGCGTCTTCCTGCCCTCCTTACATGGAGGGCTGTGATCTTTCTTTTTGTCGTTTAGAGAGTGACATTATTCCTCTGTGGTTAAATATTTATTCCCTTACTTGAAGTTTTGATACAGTAGCATTTCTAAAGATAGATGTATGTCCCCTCTTATAAAAACTTAAGACTCGAGTACTAAGTCATCCTCATGACTCATGAATGTATACATGCTCCCTTTGTCCGCGCAGGGATATGTGCCTATTGTTGTTGTTGACAGTCTTTTTTGCTCGGTATTCAGAGGATTTCTCTCTCTGTCTGACTGTAATCGCTTGAAAATGCTTTCTGTATGGATTCTCTGCTATTATATGATAATTGCTCTGTTGTTTTGATGGCTGTCCTCTCCTCACTCACATATTTGCAGTGCCCGCTTGACCCTTTTTTTCTGTTTTGATATGCTCAGTAATGGAAAAATATTTCATCTGTGCCCTGAGGGGATTGTTATTCTTTTTAGTGATTTATTTATTTTGGCGCACAACAAGTCATCCATTCCCACCGGCCAACAGTAGAGCTCAAGCTGCCTTTTGAGGTGTTTACAAAAAACGTTATTAGTTACTCCATATCTCCTCAAATCCACAGACAACCAATGCTTTTGTTGCAAAGGAGGATTTTCTAGGTTCATGTAATATTATATCATGAACTGTCTTCCTTTGTTATTTCTCTCAGTATGATGAGCTGGTGCCTGCGTCTTTGACCACAAAGCTGGGAGGATTTTACATCAACACTGGCACGCTGCAGTTCAGAGCGGCCTCTGATTCCGAGGGAGAGGAGGACAAGGTGAGAATACCTCAGCGGGTTCATCTCTAAACATGAAGAAAATATTGATATACAGAGTTCAAACTTGCATAATCATTTATCAATGTCAAAAACAATGAAAAAGACATTCAGGTTACCCCTCCCTGCTACTTTAATCCCTCAAATTTCTCATTGTGATTACCTAATGTTAATAATACTTTAAATATCTGCACAGATTTTGCATGTTATCATAGTCACTGAGTGTATTAGCCCACAGCTGTGTATGAATGCAGTCCCAGAGGGTTGGAAACATGGCTTTAGACTCTTGTTTTGTCTTATTTTTTCTTCATGCACCAAGATCCAAATGAAAAAAAAAAAAACAAAAACGCTAAATATCCTTTGCCAAGTTCAGCGAGGCAGAACAACACTGGGACACTACAGACAGATGGTGGAAAAAGAAAAAAAAGTTGTAATAGTGATTGTGTAACAAAGGATCCAGTTTTTTTTATTTTCTGGACACTGAGAAGTCCGAGCCTCACAGCCGACCCTTACTTATTTAGAGGGGGATAAAGCGTGGTTACCCACTAGTGTTGTGGGGTAATTCATTTTGTGGGTAATTGCGGTACAGCGCGATCCTGACAGTCCTCATGCTGCATTTGATGTTTTCTTAATAGAAGCACGTTCTTCAATGGTTTGAAAGATTTGATGTGAAGGAAATATTAGTAATCACCAGATCAAAAGACATCTTCACTGGTATATACACACACACACGCAGATGAAGAGCTCTGCATGTGTGCCTCAAACTGAAATTGATCTTTTGCCTTCTCTCTGTCGTCACCTGTTTATTTGAGGCACTGAGTGTTTGCGCTCTTGTTTCAGAAGCTGAGTAACAACAAGGAGCAGGTGATTAAGAAAAGGAAGAGGAAGGAAGTAAACAATCTGGAAGAGAAGACCCTGAAGAGGAACAGTGGGCCTAAACAAGGGTGAGAATCTGATTTCTTGGGTTTGTATTTATTGACATAATGACTGATCGGCTGTTCGGCGGCTCAAACTGTAAATTGTCCCGGTATCCTTAAATAAATAGACCATTCAAATATTCTGTTTCATTCAATAATTCAGGAGATAAAGCAAAGCTGTTAATGTCACATTTAAATGTTACACACACGCGATTGTGATTCTTTTTGTTTCAGTGCCTAATGAAATTTCCCTTTTTGTCACCTGTGGATTTGTAGGACACTATGAATATGCAATGACACACTTAACTGTGCTGATAATCCACTACCCGGTGTGACACCACGGTCCTGTCCTTTAGTGTGTATCCTCATACATCCATTGTGAGGCGGGGGATGCTGACTGTGACTTGCTTTGAGTCGCTCTGACACATCAGCCACCTTCGAGGAAACACTGCATTATCCATGCTCAGATGGGCTGCATACTTCAGGCGCCATTCTGAGCAAAACTTCCAAAAATAGCCGCAGCGCTTGCCATTGGACCTTTGCGATCCAGATGATGTTCTATTTGTGCGTTTCTGTTTTTAAGATTTCCAAGTAGAACGCAGGTAAATCTCTCAGAGCGTCACTCCTGCTAACATTTCTGAGTTGCCTTCAGTGAAAACCTTAGTTAGCCTGTAAATATGCACCCCGTGTACAGAGGTTATGCCCCAAGAGGGTTCAAGTCTGACCTGTGGCCCCTTTCCCATTTGACAGCCCGTGCCATCTCTCCACATTTCCTGCCCAATCCTAAAGCCCGACAATAAAAAAAAGATACCAGCCAAGCATCGTGCATGTGACTGTGTTCTGTTTTTCCTGTTAAAAACAAGGTCATATTTTGTTTTCCTCCCACAGAATGACAGCCCTCCATCGTCCAGAGAAGAAGAAGAGGAAGAAGCTGATGAAGGACTCGCTGTATCTGGCTGCCATGCTCCGCCGCTTCACCCGAGAGAAGGAGGACATGAGGAAAAGAAACCCCAACATGGCTCGCCTCGCCCTGGTGGGAGGCGCAACCAACAAACCATCCTCCACCTCAACCAACCATCTGTTAGCTCCTGACTCTGCCCACCTGCAGGGCAGCACAGCCGGCAATGACCTGTCACTGGGGGACCTCACCTCAGACCCTGCTGTGATGTCACTGCTCGGCTCAGCCAATGAGAAAGAGCTGCAGGATCTTCTGGGCGATCTGGACTTCAGCCTGCTGGATACTGAACAGCAGCATGCTGTGGTAGCCGCGAGGGAAAATGGCATTCTGGGAGTCGGTGTTCCAGCTCATAAAGGAGCAGCAGGAGGAGGCGGAGGAGGCCTAGGGCGAGGTCTGGGGTCTTCCAGCGGCCTGTATTCCCCACCCCCACTGCCTGATGGACTACCTGCTCCTCTTACTAAACGCATCGAAGACCTGCGGGCAGTGAGTCAACTGAAACCTGTCTGTGGGCGGCTGCAATTACCTGTGAAGCCTCTTTACTGATGATAAACACAAACGCTAGTCAGCTCAGGAAGTGGCACAAAATGTTTATTATTGTTCAGTCCAACTGGAAAAGTCTCTCCAGAAGTAGAAACAGAGCTCCAGGCCGAATCCTGAGGGTTTTTATGTAACCACAAAAGCAGGGTTTGCATCACAGCCTCAGAAGTTCTTATTTTCTTGTTGCTCTTGTAACTCAGTGCCACAGAGTCTGTCTGAAGTGGAGAGATTTGTTTTAGGTGGTAAAGTTTTAGGAAAAGGGAAATGAAAAGGATGATGCAAGTGAAAGATATAGAGGTGAAGAAGAGAGGAGCAAGGAGAGGGGAGAGAGAGAGAGAGACGTAGAAAATTTGTTGTCAGCAGAATGTTTCCTCCGAAGATAACACGCGAGTGAAGGTTGAAATATTCAGTTTATGGTTGGAGTGTATCTTGAAAAAACCTGAGCTTCACTTTAGATGTTGGACCTCCAGTTTGGTTCATATGGGAAACAAAGCGCTCGTTGTTGCCTCTGAATTTGCATTTTCCCTTTCAAATCAGCATTATGTAAAGCAACAAGCGTTTGTGAACACAGTCTAACTTAAAACCTGACGGATGCACCAATTTATCAGCTGAACACTGATAGTAGTTGTATTTGACATCGGCCCATCAGCAGATAATATCACATATATCTTATCTTTGCCTTGATTGCACCAATTACTTGTGGCGATCCAGGAAAGAGGGATATGTTGCACAGTAGTCGTCTTTTGTTTGACAAACTCTGATTTTTTTTTCTCATTCTGATGTCTGAGAGTATCACACTATCGTAGTTGTAACACACGTACAAGGAGCACTTTGAGAGGGACCTAGCAAGACTCAATCTATATGGAATCTCAGCCAAAAAAAATCTATTGGCCCTGGTTGTTCTGAGCAGTGCATGTAGTAGGTGGTGCAGCTACTTTGTGCCTGTGACCTGATTTAAACGGAAGCCTTTTAAACTCTGCATTTTCACAACAGCGCTGGAACAGAGCTCCTCCATCACAGTGCTTTTGTACTGACATGCCGCACTTCAAAACAGTGTAGTGTTAATGTCCTAGTGTGTGTTTTAACATTGCATTACGATTTTGCAGAAGCGCAAGAGGCACCGCTTGTAAACACAGAGTGAGAGCTCTGCATACACACACACTCAGACGTGCACATACACACTGACACCGTCTTATCCCCCATTCCGCCTCTTGTCACCACCTATGAGGGAGTACCAGAGACGTAACAGGGCGTAAATATCCTGCTGTAAAATGGCCGTGTTTAAGAGCCTTCTAACTGAAGAAGTTCATATGTAACTATGAGCTGAATGTCAAGCTTGCAAATTGAATTTTAATGATAAAGGAGGCTGGAGCTGAACTTCCTACACTGCAAATAATGAGGATGGAGATGTGGAAACAGGAGGCATTTTAGATTTAAAGTTAAAGGGATATTCCGGTGTAATTTAAGTTGTAGTCAAACACACCGCAACACTGAGTTAGACACCCTCTTGAGAGATAAATGTTGCAGACTGCTTGCTTCTTTAGTTATACCAACTTCAGCAACAATTGCACAAATATCAAGCACAGTGGTCTACATCTTTACGTGCAAAACTCAACCAAAAAGCCACTCTATAGCCACAAATAATGCTCAGAACAGCACCTAACTTCATCAACATTACATATAGGGTCCCAGCCATAGTACTAGCTACCAAACATCTTTCTAGCTTTGCCTGGTTTCTTTGGCAAAGAGACTAAACACAACTCACCTACTCTCTTCCAGCAGCCGCTTGTTTGTGGGGGAGCCCTGACGAGTCGATCACCAAGTGCAGAGGATCATTTTCATGAAGTAATAATCATTTTGCACTGCAGATGTGGTAGTTTTTCTGCCATAGCATCTTGGTCTGATTGTATTTCTATGAAGTAATGATCATAAATGTTCTTCCTTGAGCTGCGAAACTCCGCTGCAGTCGGTGATCAACTCGTCAGGGCTCAGAGAGTGTCTAACTTGGTTTTACGGTGTGTTTGACCCTAACTTAATTTTACGCCAGAATATCCCTTTAAAGAAGGATGCTCACTGTGGACGACACAAGCACAACACTTCCTAGTTTTAGATTGGTGCACTCACTGGCTGTTGCGTTGTACCACCTTGGTGATCTCATAGCTCTGGAGATAATGGTTAAAGTGTCAGGTGAAGGTTAGGAATCAGATGGTAGGGCAGTAATGAAGAATTTTGTGTCTGTCATTAACCAAACTCCTCTGTGGCTCAGTATCACAGATATATGTACATGTATTTCTGCTGTATGGAAGAGCTCCGGTATGCTGACTCAACCTTTTCCCCCGCAGGCCTCGCGGCAGTTTGATCAAGAGGGCAGGAAGAAATTTTTCACCTTGGACATGAATAACATTCTCCTGGAGTGAGTAGGACAGCCTTTAAGTCACTGTCAGCCAAATCCCAGCTCCCTCTCTCCTCCTCCTCCTCTTTCAGCATTTCTCACTCATTTTCAGCAGATTTCCCTCGCCACCTCTCCTGCTGTCTCACGCTGTTTAGTCCTTTCTCCATCACTCGCGCCCCGTGTTAATGACATGCTCCTCATTTCAATTTCTTCCTTTTTTGCATTCACACTCCTTTAATTCTCCCCCCCCCCCGTCCTCTTTCTTCCCCTCAGTATCGAGCTGCAGGTCCAGGAGCAGCCTCCAGAGGTGCGTTCAGGCATCTACTCACACATGGAAGCATTTGTGCCGTGCAACAAAGAGGCACTCCTCAAACGCATGAAAAAGCTGAGTCTCAACATCCAGGTGAGCAAGTTGGCAAGAGTAATTTTTGGCACACTTTTAAAAAATATTCTTTTACTTACAAAAATGTCAGAGTGTAATTGTGTCAGAGTGACCTTGTTTAAACAGTTGTTACAGTTTGAAGATAAAAAGTGAAGGACGAAAGCGAAGAGGAGTTTCTTTTTCTAGTGACAGTTTCCTTTTTACTTTTTATCTGACTTTCCTTATTCTCACCTTGCTGTGTTAAATACTATATTCTTTATTCTTGACAAGAGTCATGAATCTCAAACAGTTAAGGCAATGATCTGGACAACCTAACAACACCTGCCACGCGAGTCAAATCGATCCATGGAGAGGAAGTACAGCACATTTAGTGTACTTTTCTTACTGTTATCTCTTCCTGTTGAAAGTCCCACAACCATGTTTCTTTCTCATAGCTTCAGTAGACAGCGTGGAGGATATTTTGGATACTACTCTTGATTTATTTGGAGTTAACACACAGACATAAAACAAAGAAAACATCATTTGACTTGACCGTAAATGAAAGCATTCAGTTTATGTTAATTGACTCAAAAGAAAGCTGATAGGAAAAGCATGAGGTAACATTTGGCTGATACTGGAGTAGGATGAATGAACAGGTGTACGCTTTAGTAGGAGCCATTACTGTTGTTCCCATATCGAATGATTTAAAGCGCTACACATCAGCGCATGACCTCCTCACTCTGCATCCTCAAAAAAGATCTGCTTTCCATTTATTTGCTTACATAACAAATAGATGCATTAACATGATAGTTGTGATGGTGCTCATGGGAAATGCAGTCTTCATTCTAGAAAAACACTTCCAGTTTTGTCGCCAGCACCAACACTTGAGAAGGTTTATCCTTGTCAAAGTCAATCCACTTTCTGCTCCCTTAAATTGAGTCAGTTTTTCATTTTCCATCAGTCTTTATTTACGTTTTCTACAGTTTCATCTGATTTGAGATCAGACAAGACTGTAGATTTGTTTTTCATTCATGTCAGAACTTCCTGTTTATGATCCTCTAATTTTCATTGCATCACAGCACAGATTTTTAACTCTCCCCTGTGGTTTGGATGACCACACACATGCTTCTCTCTTCATGGAGGATTCTCCCAACAAACAACAAATGAAATGAAATACTTTCCCAAGTGATACCCATAAACTTTCTATCTTCTGAACTGGATATGTGTTCGCATATTTCTGAGCAGCATTGTCAGCCTCTGATGTCTCACCTCAAAGCCGGCCCTGCAGTTCCTCCACATAATTTCTGCCTTTTCATGAAGCTTTTAATCCCCAGCCGTTTTCACTGCTTCAGATGTTCATGTGTGGGCTGGTTCCAGTGAAAACAGGCACTCAGGTGTCTTTTGTCACGGACTATTGAAGAAGTGTTGTCGGCTTCATACACGGGCATATTTTTGCACTTTCACATTCTCTCACCGTTTCTTTTACTTTCTCGGTTTCGTCTCTTATACCATCTTTCTCTTTTGTTCTTTCCTTGTGACTTCCTCCACCTCCATCAGCTCCTGACTTCGACACACAAACCCGACCTCTTCTCTCACAATCTCTTTCTCTTTTAGGATGACCGACTACGGACGCCTCTCTTGAAGCTAAAGTTAGCAGTGTGCAGCGTGATGCCGGAGCAGATAGCCAGATACAACATGGACTGCATGGCAAAGGTTGCTAAGTAAGTAAATCCTTTTATTGTTTCTGAAAACAAGCGAATAAGGAGAAAGTCGAGGATCTTCCCTGTTTGTCAGGTTTGATTTTTTTAGTGGCTGTTGATTTATTTACTGATTACTTTTTACCAACCAACCTAAACAAACATCTGTCTACAAATTCACTCTGGCACCTTGTTCAGTTCTCAATGATTGCAGCGTATTTGTCAATGTGAATGTGAATGTCAGCTTTATTTATATAGCACATTTAAAAACAGCCAGTGGCCTACCAAAGTGCTTTACAGTAAAATAGGCAGAGACAATAAAAACATATAAAAGCATAAAACAAAAATATAGATGAACATAGCAAATAAATAAAATACATAATAAAAGTAGCTATATTTCCCCTAAAGCTAGAGTGAACAGGTGCGTCTTCAGAAGTGTTTTAAAAGTGGAAAGGCTGTTAGCAGTATGCACTGTCAGGGGTAAAGCGTTCGTGAATGTGTACATAAGTAAAAAACTACCTGGTAGGACTGTAATCAACCGAAGAAAGTCTTGGTCAATGAAAACCCTGAAATTTGACCGAAAATTGACTAATGAGGGTGGTGGTGAGTGTTTCGACTCTGAAGGTAAACCCTTCTGCGGCGGGGGACAACGTGGCTCGGCGGTTTGAAAATATTCTAATATCAGCACAAGAAGGCAATTTAACACGATAAAAGTTGAAAGGCTCAAAATAAAAATAAATATTCAGCAAGCCACCGGACGTTGATTATGGGGTGCTCTATAAACACTCTCATTAGCACTTGGTACGTTCCTCCTGATGAAATTAACCACAGACTGTAAATTGACGCGGAAAAAATCGAGTCGACTAATCAGAATTTTGGTCGACTCAGCACATATCGACCATTAATGCGACTAGTCAACTCAGACTTTACAGCCCTAGTGTACATAACTGAATCCTACCAGGTGTCTACAGAATTTTTGTGCATCTTTGCATTTTAAAATTGTTTAATGAGACACTATGAAAGAGTCAAGCAGTTTGTTTGTAAATGTTTGCATGTACTGTGTGTGTCCCGTATAAGTGACGGTGTGTGTTTGCGTGTGTGTCCTGCAGGCAGCAGTCAGAAGAAGGGGATAAGAACGGATCAGAGGAGGAGGATGAGGAGAAGCCCGGGAAAAGGGTCATGGGCCCTCGCAAAAAGTTTGTCTGGGACGACAAGCTCAGGTTAGTTTTGGTCGGAGCGGCTGCTGTTGGTCTGATTCACTATCACACCCCTTTGTTTTCACGTTTCCTGTTACTTTTGAACCCAGTTAGCTGACAGAGCTGATACCAGCCTGACAACATAGGGAAAAAATAACACCCAGAATCCTTTTGAAAGAAACAAAAGGGGGAAGGATAGTGATGGAGTCATTAACTTTTCCCATGAGGTGGGTACCGTCTGGATATTTTTTGGGGGCAACTTTTGATTTTGTTTTTCATATTAAGTTATTAAAGCCTCCTAAGTACAAATAGATTTAGCATTACACTGTTTCAGAGCAGTTAAAAATCAGGGCAATAACAATCACTGAGATATTGTTTTTTTTTTGTTCGTCAACACAATCCCGATTATTAGAATATACCTCAAATTAAGATTCTTGTTTTTCTAAATAGCCTTTGGCAGATAGCCTCCAGCGGAGATGAAGAGACACCAAAGTTCTTTGTAACTCCACGACACCTGATCTTTATTTATTTACTTTTTCAGTCACAGAGTTTTGGGGCTCCGATCCAGTCAAAAACCAGACTCGGCTTAGTTTCCCTTTGAACAGCAAAGAGCTTTTTCCACCTTTATGAGCAAAACTCTCCACAATAGATCCTTCAATAAAGTTGTCCTTATCTTGTCTTATCGTACAAAACCCTAAGAAAAAAAAAGACAGTTTATTTCACTGAGGATGACTGAATGGAAATCCTGCATGGATGTGGAAATCCTGAGTAAAAAGAGACGGTGTGAACAAACAGAAACAAGACCTTGAAATGAAACCTTGAGACTTACTCTCAGCTGCTTTTCAATCATCGTTCATTTTTAAACAGCTTTCATGTTTAAAGGGATGTCTCTCTCTCTCTCTTTTCTTTCCAAGTCGTTACCAACTCATTCTCCATGAAGAATAACACTCTCTTCAGTTATTATGAGCTCAGCACCTGCAGCCCACTTTAGACTTGAATACTGAATGGTTTGTACTGAATTGATCATTTTTCCTTGTGTGTGTGTGTGTGTGTGTGTGTGTGTGTGTGTGTGTGTGTGTGTGTGTGTGTGTGTGTGTGTGTGCAGGAACCTGCTGTGCAGTTTGGTGCAAGTGAAGCTGAGCTGCTATGAGATGGAGAACCAGTGCTCTTTGTCTGTGGAGGACTACCTCAAGGCTTTCTTGGAGAATGAGGTTAAACCACTGTGGCCCAAAGGCTGGATGCAGGCCAGGTGTGTGTATGTGTGTGTGTTCATTTGTGTGTGTGTGTGTTTTCATTTGTGTGAGTAGTTAGTGTATATTTACCATGAAACAATCATTTGGTATGTTATTGTCTTTTCAGCACCTTTAGGTTTTATTTTTTTTTTATAATCCTGAAGTGCAGATGTTTGGTTTCCCTTTTCTTTAGTGAAGGTACTTTAGGCTCAAACATACAGGATCTGTATTGAGTGCGTTCTGTCAGCGTTGCATGTCACGTAGCAAATAGGTTGCCATTCTAATCAATGCAGCATCGCATGCAGGACACGTATCAGCTCTGTATCAGAGGCGTATCGAGCGTGGCTCTGCTGAAGATATGCACTGAGTCTATTTTTGCTGCTCTACGCTTCCCTTGTGCGTCAATCTACACAGACAAAAGGATTCTAGACAGGAAGTCAGGCACGAAAACTGTGTATGTCATCCAGAATTTCAAAATAAAACACCATATGAGGACTCCCGACTGTGTAGATGAGAAATACTTCCTGGTTGTGGATTTATCAGTAACACAGAACAATCCGATGGTCAATCCCTGATCTATGTGGACCCCAACAGGACTTTTAACTGCTTACTCTGTCTGAAGGGAACAGCACAGCATAAAGGAACAAAGTTAACTTTAGTAAACACGAGTAAACCTGCAAAAACCCGAACTTTAATATCACGTTGCTTTTTCACATACAGTGGAGGCTCAACAGTCACTGAATTACATCCCAATTAGCAGGAAATAGACCACAGAAAGGCAAAAACAACCTGTTGTGAGCATGTTTCATCTATACTGAACCCAGCTGACTGGGGCTGCACTACGCTGCTACTACGCTCCAAATACGAATCCTGTGTGCAATAGATAGCACTGCTGTACAGAGCAGGGACGCAACGCTGACAAAACGAGCTTAATACAGATCCTGTATGTTTTCAGCTTTAGACAAACATATACCAACTTTGGGTAATCAGGGTTTTTTCATGCTGTTAATCATTAATTTACTTTTTACCCTGAAGACTGTTCATTTGGTTTTTCTACCATCAACCTCATCATGAATCTGATAACTGTAGCCTCCTTTTCACAAACCAATCACAGCTGATCAGTGTAAAATACATCAGCACTCATGCACCAGGTTGTTTGTGTCAAACATCAAGAGTTTCAAAGTTCGGTATCATTGCTAGGTAAGTCTCTGTCTTGTAGTGTGTGCTACAGGAAGCTTTACAGGTCATAAAAGTAACTACGGTTAATAAATCATTTTCTTTTAAGAGTTATTCCTGCTGTAAATATTGTTTATGTTAGGATCTCACATGATTTTTCAGTCTTGAAAAAAAAGAAAAACCTGATAATTGTGGTAAAAAAACAAACACATTAATGCAGCTGTTCTTGTCCTCTGAGAGCCTCAGCACTGTGTGTTTATCTTTGCTCTGTGTTTCATATACTTTAGGATTCTGTTGAAGGAGAGCCTTTCTGTTCACTGTCACCTAACTGGAAATCTGTGAGTATGAACTTTGTTCCGTTTGATCATATCAATAGCTCAGGAGTTTGTCTGAGGCTGGGTGTAAATACAAACTGTAAAAAAGAAATGTTCAAATTTTCCGTTTCAGAGCCAAGAGGAGGATGGTTCCTGGGCCCAAGGCCAAAGCTAAAGTGAGTTTCTGCTCATGTCCAGAACTTGTAGTAACAAAACTATTGACCCAGGTTTTTGTACGATAATAGTTTAAAATCTACTTTAGTTATAACTAATAAAGTTATTACATATTTGGGGTATTTATTGAGGTTTCTCAGACTGTTTGTGGATACCGGTACTGGACCTCTCACTGACTATTTGTGGTCTTTTCTTTAGGAGGCTCTTTGGATCCACAAACCACCTCTCACCGTGACCTCCAACCCGTCTCTGCTTACCTCCACTTCTGCTCTGACCTCCAACCGCCAACTCGGCTCCTCGTCTTCGCCCCCTGAGCCCATATGTTTGTCAGACTCCCTGGATGATGATCTGACCGCTCCCTCTTTGGACTCGATCTCCCACGCTCTGGCCCTCCTCAGCAATGCATCCAAAGGCCTGGGCCCATCGGACAGCCCCTTGTCGCCTCCACCCCTGCAGATCCCCACTTCCTCTCCTCCCCCTGTGACCCCTCACTACCCGTCAGCCTCTCTGCTCTCCGCCTCGGTATCATCCGGGACACAGCAACATTCCCTGTCAAAGGTGGAGACGGCCCACCTGGCAGCTGTGTCAGCTGGAAACTATTCCGCAACAACAACGCTCCAAACCTCCTCTTCTACCTCCTCTTCCTCGCCTCCAACGGTCTCCTCTATGGCTCGTGTGCAGGCAGCAGGGCTGTCGCTGGCTTCTAGGACTGCAAATGGTCCCTATGGCCCAATCAAAGGGTCCGGCACTATTGGCCAAACACAGACCCAGAGACTTATTACCATGACTTCACCAAATCACAGGTCAAGCTCAGTGATAGCAGGAAGTGGCAAGTTGCATCCACTCCCCTCCCCGTCACCTCCTAAGCAGAGACCTCCTCCCACAGCTTCCCCTCTGCTGCCCCCTCATCAGAAGGGCTTTGTCAGCCCGGTGGGCATGCTAGGAACTATGGCAGCGCCTCAAGGAATCGCAAAGAGTGGCGCCAAAGGTGGCGGCATCATTCTAAACGGCAGCACGAACAGCAGCCTCACACCTTCTTCCTCCCCCTCTTCGGTGTCTCGCTCCAACTCCACCACTAACCTGCAGTCCTTCTGCCCCCCATCTCCCGTGTCGTCCTCACCATCCACCACTCCCCACACTTCGCACTCCTCTCAAGGTAAATCGCACACGCATCATCATCACCAGCCCAACTTCATCACACCCATGCAGGCCACCCTCACAAAGTCCTCCCACAGCAGCAACTCCTCTCCAATCATTAAGCTCACGCCTCGGCCTCCGGCGCCAACTCCGCCTCCCTCTTCCTCCCCCTCTCCGTCATCCTCACCCTCACATCCGCTCCCTCATCAAATGGTCCCTACCCAACAGCAACAACAGCAGTACTCCCCCAAAACCCCCAAGACTTTTCGGCCCCCCTACAGCGTGTCAAGCTTTGCTGGAGGCCAGAAAGTTCAGTCGACCACAAGCAACAGTAGCATCAACAACAACAGCAACTCCAACAGCAACAACAAGGGAGGAGTGTCTGCTGTTTGCAGCCTCCCGGACAAATCTCCTTTGCCTCCTGCACCTTCGCCCTCGGCTAATCACGGGCAGAGGCAGAGGATGGCGGGCGGGACTAATCAGAATTCAAAGGCAGGAAATGGTTGGGCAGCTTCAGGAACTTTGGCCACACCCACGACAACATCACACCTCTCACAGGTGAGCTTGATTCATCCAGGAAATATTCCTTTAAGGTCCTTTCACACAGGGACCGTTTTTGTCGTGCGATTATTTCGGACGCCAATATTTAATTTCGGACCCGTATCCTGTCAATACAAGCGTTCACATCAGCAACGTTTTCCTGTCCTGCAATATTTCGGCATTAATTTTTTTGGATCACAGTCGATTTTTCCAAAGTTTCGCATACTGTGTGTCCACTTCTGACCAATCAGATTTCGTGTTGTTGCGACATCAGATTCACTGCTATATCCAACATGGCCGACCGGCTGAGAACAGATTTCTTTCTGATAAAAAAACTCAAATATTACAAAGATAACGACCTGAAGGACAACATAGCGTCGGATTTCTCATATGACGATGTTTTGTGTGCTTTAACAGTTTGCTAACAGTCTTTGTTTTAACTTTCATCTGTGCTAACGTAAGCTAACAGTTGTCACCATAGTTTCATGTGCTTATCTTATCGCCTCTGATTGGCTATAAGTGCTGACCGTTTGGCTTGAGCGTGTGATGACATTTTCAGCCAATCAGAGGCGAAGGAGGCGGGACTTTCCCCGGGAAAAAGTCTTCCCCGGGATGCGTCTTTTCCCCTCCGGAGAGTCGCAAAATCGCATCGGGCTTGATGCGTATAATCATGCTTGTCAAAATTCTATTATTCTATTCTTCCCTATATATTCGCGTCGACCCCGGTGTGTGAGGACCTTTACTGTGTTAGATAATGAATCTGCTGCTCTTAACTTGAAATCTTCTTTTATTGCATCTTGTTTTTGCAGGTCTCAACAACAGGCACTTCCCTCCTGGGCAGCCCCTCTGCTTTGCCGCTGGGCTTTGGCATGTTGGGGGGCCTGGTGCCCGTCTCGCTGCCCTTCCAGTTCCCCCCGTTGCTCAACTTTAGCCCTCCAGGAGCGCCAGGAGCTGCTGGCATGGGCTCAGCCCCAAGCTCCAACTCAGGATACCCCTTAGCACAGAGTGACCTAATGGGTGAGTGGGCACACCTCTTCTTTAAGCGTATTTTTCATCATTCGTTATTTTTTCATTGATTGAACAGAAAGGTTTGATCAAGAGGGTTTAGCAGCAAAGTTACCCTGTTTGATACATTGAAACTGTTACCGTGGATACTCTTGTTCCTCATTGATTTCATTTTTGTATGGAGCCGATTACTCACAGAGTTACTCGTCATTGTATGAATGAAGTTGGATACTCACCAGTAAAAGACAGAGTGACAAATTGGAAGAATTGACATGTTGGTATTTCGATGTTTAAAAACCAGCTTCGGTAAATCTCAGTGCACTCATGTAGAAGGAAACCAGCTCTAAGTCCACTTCGTCGGCTCTGTTTCACATCTCACCGTGACACCCTGTCTCCTTTTTTATGAGCTATTGTCGTCCTCCTTTGTTTTCTCCGTCTTTTTTCTTTTTCCATCTTCTCCACTTTTTATACATTCGCCTCCTTTCCCATCCTCTCCTCAATAGCTGCGTTTACATGGGCACAAATGCCCGATTGAAATAAGTCGTCATGTAAACATGTTGATCGGACGATTCTGATCCAATTCGGCTCAATCAGAAAGAAATTGTACTCTGATCAAGAAGGGTGGTTTATGCCGATTGTTATTCCGAAATGCATCCATGTAAACACTTATTGCGATTGTGACTCTCTTCCCTGAATCGATCTTCACTCGTCAGCCTTTGGTTTATTTATTGAGGTCAGTACAGGAGGTTTCATTATTAACACTCTGGCATAAAACACAACCGCAGGTGTCGTGTCTGCTGGAATGCTTTTCTCCTGATTCGATTCTTCTACGATTTTTTGGATGCCGATTCAATTTAAATTGCGATTCTACGATATTGTCAATTTTCTCGATATTTAGTTTGCATTTTTAACTCCAGTGAAACAGTTGAATGATTATGATCGTCTACTGACTATTCTGTGAACCATATTTCCCCAAAAAATACACATCATATGTAAATCAGTTTTTTAATTCTTAAATTTGAAAAAAAAATCGATTTAAAAATTGTAAAACAAAAAGTCACGATACTTAAATTAATTGATTTTTTTCTCCCACCCCTAGTACATACAGCCTAATGATGCCACATCTGCACGCACAGTGCAACCTTTGACAGAACAATAAAATACGTGAGCAAGGGCGCCATCTAGTGACAACATTTAAAGGGGGAAAAATTCTGAACTGGATGGAGTGAGCCACTGCCGCGTTTGTTGACAGCACAGGCGTAAATACAACTCTTCTTCTGCGGTTGTTTTAGCGAGATTAGACAACTCTGCGCATGTCCAAATGCTTCTTATCTGAATAAAGCTTGTTTTATGTATACTCATGTCATGATCGGTTTATTATAAACAGTGGATTCAGATTTACAGATCACTCAAATTTTTAATCGAAACAAGAAATTTGGCCCATGTAAACATGGTTACTGTTACAGCTGGTCTCTGGTCTTCTCTGTTATCTATATTGCTGGTCTTATTGTGTCCTTCTCCCCTCTCACCCTCCCTCCATCTCTCCTCAGATCTGTATAAGAGTCTCCAGTCAGGGTCACAGGTTGCCCTACCTCCTCACTTGCAGCTTGCTTTTTCAGGTAATCTGCATTCCTCTTCCATCTGTGTGTCACGTTAAACTTTTCGCCCTGTGCCCGCCTGCTGTGTTTTTGTCCTCAGTGTGTTTGTCTTAACTCTGAAAGATGCATGCTGTTTTCACTGGTTTGAAGATTACACAGTGAGGAGATGGTTCTTTGACATTTTAATCTTAAATTTTAAAGTTTATTTATTTATCTTTCCCTTTGGATGAATTTGGTTGGTTTTATAACTTGAACTAAAGGCTCACTGACAGTCAGTCTCCTGGATTACTCAGCACTCGGGTCAAAGAGCCATCTCTCCAGATTTTCAGTCCCAGGAGGTGCCTGAACTTCTGCCCTCTTTTGACTCAGTTTTGTGTGTGATGAGCCTCTGAATGTACTTTATCAGATCTCAATAAATGGAATAGTTGTTAGAAAAAAATCTAAAAGATGAAAGTGGTCTGGAAAAAAAAGCTAAATTATCAGATCAAAGAACTGTAATAATTTAATTCTAGTCTCACTGTGAAAAGTCCGCATAATGCCTTCATCTTAGTCATTTTAAAGTCCCAGTTTAAGGAAATAAGACTATTCAGTATTTTAAAGCAGTCACATACACTTTTAATTTTCATCCCCGCGATCAGGGAAGCTATGGTGACACTTGGGTCAGAGGGCGAGTAGCGCCTGTGATGCATGATTTGAATGAATCCAGAATATAACAATAATTGGGCTTTTCACACTGAAACTTAAATGAGGGAAATAGATGCAGAACAATCATTTAACATGCTTCTGTAAAAAACATTTAGAAAAATGTGGGTATGAAGGGGTTAAATAACTCTTGGTAATGTTAGGACTCTCCTAACATCGTCCGATTTATTGTAGTGTTAATGAAAAACTTAATAAACGACATTGACACTATCGGGAGGAGCAACACACCTCCTCACAAAACTGCTCAACTTTTCTATTAGAATTGGGTCGTTCGCGAACGATTCATTCAAAAGAACCGAATCTTAAAAGTGAACGTACTGAACCGAATCACTTCCTTCAGTGATTCGTTCGTTCGAGAAACAGCATTGCCAGGCCAGCAGCCGGCGAACAAAGGACCACATGCACAGACACCTGGATCACTTGGCGAACGAATCTCTGGAATCATTTTTGTCAGACAAATCTACAATAGGAAACAGCATGTAACAAGTAATGCAACTGAATCCTGAACCGTTCAGCTGTGTATCAGTTCAGGAGTTCGGAGTCGCAGGCTTCTCCTGCTAAATAATTTGGTGATTTGGTGAAAGAATCTTTTGAACAAATCTTTTTAGTGAACTGATTCAAGTGATTCAGTACATCTAAAAGAACTGCCGTGCCCATCACTATTTACTATCCTCTGCACATAGATGCCAACCAAAGCCAGAGTGGAGACATGAAGAGGAAACCCCACTGACCAATAACAGCGCAGGACGTCGCAGCCCCGCGAACACACTCACCAATAGGAATCTTCAATGACTGATTGACAGCCATGCGGTATGAGGTGGCGGGGCTCTGCAGCCTCTTTTCAAACGGACCTAAAGGAAAATCAGTTTATCCTCGATTCAAGTGGCAATGATGAATTAATTTAAGTGTATTTTCTAATGAAACCGGGTATGAGAACAAGACAGAGTGAATGATGAGAGAACTTTATTTGTTCTGCTTCTTTTTATTTTCGTCAACATGTTTACATATGACCGACCTTGATCACTGTGGAATGAGTGTGAGCAAGGTGGCGACGGTACAGATGGGAGTAGAAGGATGCATTGTAATATGATTTGTATTAAAGCTTATATGGAAAAAACAGGACTTTTGCTCTTGCAGTACAAAGAGAAAAAAGAAAAATAGACTGAATTAAGATTTTTTTTTTTTTGGTCTCCAATGTGAGATTTTTTTTGTGTCCGTAGAAATGTTATTGTTGGTCACCTCTGCTCCCACAAATGACTGTTAAGAAGTAGCTTAAATTAATATTGATAAATTATTTGTTATTTACACAGGGACAAACACATGTTATGATGAGTACGTGTGCGTGTATGAGTGAGTTGTGAGGTTGATTTAAATGTGTGTATGTACATATAAATAATATACTGTTAATTTCTTTACAGATTATTATTCTGGATGAATGGGTTAGGATTCCCCTTCTCACAATAATGAAAGAGTGTGAGTTTGGCGCCCCTCTCTTGCTCGGTGTGTTTTTGGTGCTGTTTTAATCACACTGGACCTTTTCTGGAAAAAAGACTTGAATTGATAAAGTTTCGGGCTCCCCTTCTGGAGAGGGGAGCCGTCTGCGAGAGAGGGGAGACGTGTCAAGATTGTAGCCTACTTGAATTGTTTTATTTTTATTTTTTTGAACTAAGAATTTTTTTAATTTTCTTTCTCTGCTTAATGACTCAAACCAACTTAATATAACACAACGCCTTAGTTTATATTGAAAAAGTGTGAAAAAGATCTATGCAGGACTGTAAAACGCTCAATGCAAAAGTGCAAGTCGTCGCTTGGCTTCAACCTCTACTCAACTTGTCTGCATTTCTGGATTTGTGAATGTTTGTAGATGTTACGTCAGTTGAGACTCTTTATTTTTTTTCTCAGGTGTGTTTGGACAGATTGCAAATTTTTAGTAACAGTAAACAGAAAAGAAATTTAAAGCGGGCAAAGTTTGTAAAAAAGTGGGAAAAAGATGTTTGCAGTCTGGTTTTTGGTTTCTGCTGCAACTTCTTGTTAAAAAGGACCAAGTTTTGACCTGCTACTGAAAACACATCACCTCAGCTTAGTTCAATGACTTTTATACTTTGAGTTTGTATGACGGTATCCTCAGCTTTAAGCCAAAATCTGATCTTATCCTACTTTCACGTCATATCGTTTTTATTGCTACAAGCAGCAGGGTTTAAAACCTGGAGTTACTCACATTTCTGGCAGATTAGCTCTGACTTTGCAGGGAAAAAAACAGGCATGAAAAGCTATCGAGAAGGGCTACAGTTCTGACATTTGCATATAAATACCTGATTTAGCTCATTTGAAAGCAGCAATACATAATAAACCACATTTAAACCTCTAGTACAACAAAGAAGGCTTACTACGACTGTTTTATTAAGTGTGTACAAGTTATCTGCTGTATTAATGTATGAAAAATGTAGTTTAACGGCATTCATTCGTTGTTTCATCTCTGCTTACATTGATGGATGCAGCACAGTTGCTATAGAAACGACCCATACATCAGAAGCTGGATTAAAACTAGGCAAAACAAACTTAAACATTACAGTAAATCTGCCATCCGTCTGAACGCACCTGTAGAGACACCTTTTAATGGAATACCTCCTCGATGAACTGTTCTTCCTGAGTCTCTTGCTGTCCTCCCGTCATCGTCCTCTGAGAGCGTGTTGTTGACCGGCTGCACCATGAACGTCGCCAAAGACTGACTGTGTAGCTCTCAAATGTAAGATGGGGGTGTAGCCAGTTAAGAGTGTGTGTGTGCGCGCGCGTGTGTGTGTGTGAGATCATTCTGACATTTCCCCCCAAAATGTTAAACCCATGAGTGTCATCGTGAAGTCATGTGACTGGAGCAGTGGGTGACATCTTATAATCTGTGCTTTCTTGGGTGGGGGGGTGGGGGAGGATAAAACAGAAAATACATTTCGTGGGTATAACTGGTTGCTTAATCTGGTCTTTTGTAGATTATTTTTGTGTGTTAATTCTGAAATTAAACAAAACAGGTGGTTTTCATTTGTGTCGGTTTTAACTGTGTGTAATTATTCTTGAAAAACATGTGATAGTCAGAATGAGCACCATGTATTGCTACCATTACCACATTTACAGGCTGGACTGGATCAAGCTGCCAGAGGAGTAGACGACTAAGACAGGAGATGTCGTCTGGTTCCTCCTGATGTTTTTCATTTCACTTTTTCGTACGATCCACTCTGAAGAAAACTCAAAAGATACTCAAAATTATATCCCAAAGGCTGTGAATCAAAATGTTTTCAGACTCAGGGTAATCTTTAATCCGACTCCTGTGATAGTAAATTATTATCAACCAGTTTTCCCCTCAGCTCCTCCTCTCTGCTCCAGCAAGCCCCGCCCACAAACAGACACTTCTTCTCGCTCGTATTGTTTCAATCAAATCCAGATATAATGCAGATAAATACTTCAGATAATTACAAATGGGGCCCAGTCAACGTGAAAGTAAAACGCATTGGTGCTACTGTAGATGCCAACAGACTACCAGCAAACACAATGTTTGCAGGACTTCTACAACTAGGATAAAGTGACATAGTCCAGGACCCGAGGTCAACAGTTTAGTGGCGCTACAACACGCAGCACTTCTGTTACAGACACTTGGCTTACTTTGTTAAAGCGGTTTACCTGTCCAGCAGAAAGGTTACAGGGTTCGTAAGATCCCGAAGCGTTCACTGATGTTGACCCAGCTTTTTAGTTCTTGTCTGGGTGGTCTATCTCCTTTTTAAGCGCCCGTTATTCTGCCAAAGTCTCCTGTATTTTTCTTGTTTGTGTTGGCAGTCGTAGCTAAAGGAGAATTCAGACAATTTTCCGTACTTTCTGGTTGGTTTCTACAGTCCGATATTGTAGCACGCTAACTTTGATTGGGCTCGTGAACGTTATTCAAGGATGTGGAGTGTGCTTCACAACCAATCAGGTTGGAGAATGGGAAGAACAGCTTTGTTTACATTTAGGAAGCGCAGGCCCTCAAAAATTTTAAAATGTTGACTGAACAGACAGAACAGAACAAAGCAATATCCAGATTTTCCCAAATGTCATCAATAACTAACAGCTATTGACTTGTATTTAAAGCTTTTTTGTATATACACCACAAATTTACCTTTAATTTAAATTTCAGTCTATTTCTTAAAAATCTGAAAACTCCTTATACGAGCTTTAATGGCCTTTTTACTGGACATGATCTAGTCGTATTTACAGGTTTTACTGCTCATCCATCCCTCTCCAACACAAACCAAAAACAGCATCACAGGTAAAATGAATATGCTTTATTTTCCTTTTACAAAAACAAACAAACAAAAAATACCGTCTAGAAATACAGGTATACAGGCAGTAATATGATGGGAGTATTTGCAGTTGAATGCCTGGTTGTCAACAGCCAAACGAAGAATAATTATAAAATAAGAATGAGTTACCTACTTGTGGATGATAAAGCTTCCAACCAAATGAAATCCTGTGAGGTGAATCATTTCCCACCATCAAGACTAAAAACGTACAAACTGAATTTCGGGAAATTCTTCCAGTTATCCTGTCTGAGTCTAAATCAGTATTCCAGTTTGATTAATATGAGCACAGAGGTACACAGCGGATATGATATGAAGCACAGCAAAAAATACAAAAGAAAGATTTAGTGTTGAACGTCTCCTTGGTGCGCCTGTTTCATCTCATTAGGGTTGTGGTTTTTCACGTCTGTAATGAAATCCTTCCTCTGTTCTTATTTAGTGTCTAAGGCACTAAGAAAAACTGTTAACACTTGAGAAGAAGAAGGGCAAAGACGAACTTCCTCGCCCGCATATCCAGAATCAAAAATGAAAGTCTGACAGGTGGATACGAGTGCACTCGAAGGCAGCTTTCACACTCGAGTGTTTCCACCGTTGAGCTGTACTCCACTTGTTGAAAATACTATTAGAAAGACTTAAATCCAGACGAAAGAAACAACTTTAAAAAAAACATCCTGTCGCTGATAAATCACAAGTGCTTGATGGAGTCTGAAGTCAGTCTGTAACTCACCGAGTCATTACCCTTGTTTGTTCATTTAATATTCCAGTTTCTTTATTCAGAGTTATCTTCAAGCTCTAAACATCTGGATGAAAAACATTCAGGCTCTTTTGCGTTCACCTTTTTGAGCAGCTATGAGTGAGAATTCATGCCTCAAATGGACCAAAACTGACGCAACAGAAGAAGAGACAGTGTTCTTATGGTTACTTAAAGATGTGGTGTTACGCTTTTTTCACATTTTGAAAACAAACGTTAAGTTAAAACGTTGGACATCAGTGCTACACATAAGTAAAGTTTCAGATCGTAAATCGAACGTGTGTCGAAGTAATCCCTTCACGAGACTACAAAGTGCTCTGAATGGTTTGTTCAAAAAGTCTCATGAGAGTTCGGCGAGATCAACGTGAGATTCGCTCAAATGGTGACATCACCACACATCCGTAAAAAAGGAAAATTTTTCATTTGATAGAAAGAAGCCTGTAACCTCTAGTCTCAGGTAGAGATGAGGAAGAGGATGTAAAGGTTTAGTAAGCTTTCCATGTAAAAAAAAAAGTTAAAAGAATGACTCACAGCTTGAAAAACCTACAGAAGAGGATTAGGGCCACTGGAAAAAAAAAGTCCAATTGAATTTTTAAAAAATAATTATTCTGAGAAAAAGTCTGAATTCTACGACAGAGTATTAGGGCCACATTAAGAAAAAAAAATTGAGAATTCTTAAATGAGCACTGTGGAGCATTTAGATGAAGTGAACTTCAGTAGCTAGGTTTCACAAACAAGGAGATACTAAATCCTTTGGCGTTTCAGCATCACATTGTCATAAGTATCAGGACATGTGCAAGAAATGCATCTTTTCTGCAGAAAGAACCAGGTGGACTTGTAGGGAATCACTGTTTTTGAGGAGGGGAAATGGCTGGAAATGGCTGTGCAGAGTCTAAATCCCTCAATGCAGCCGTTTATAGCAATTGCATATGGTTTTAGTTTATCGTATGAATCTATATACCATAAGGTGTAGTTTGCTGCTGGTGTTGTGCCGGCATCAGAGACAGACACGAGCTCGTCGAAGCTCAACTCCCTCTGAATCACAAATGTGATTATTTCTTGAGAAACCACAAAAAGCCCACTGAATAACCCACTGATGCACCCACAGATAACTCTGCAGTTGACCAGTTCAGACATTTCCTCCTCCACAAAAGCAGCTTTAAGACTTCACTTACTTTACGACTTTATTCTCGTAAGAAATGATTTTATTACGACTTTATTCTCGTTAGTAATGACTTTACTCTCGAAGTCTTATTTTATTTTGTTTTCTTAATGTGGCCCTAATAGAATTCAGACTTTAATCTCAGAATTCAGATTTTTTTTTTCTCAGAATCATAATTTAAAAAAAAAAAATCCGATTTTTTTTTTTCAGTGGCCTTAATCTTCCTCCATAAATTACACAGGACAATCGTCGCCCCTATTTTGTAATAAGGTAACCAGAAATGACACATCTCTGTTTGTTTTTATGACGAGAAATATTCAACAGAAACGAGATTAAAATTTATATATCATGAAGCAGAAAGTTTGACTAAAAATTCATTCATTACTTTTTGTTTCATGATTCTTAGTTTTAAGTGATTAAAAATCCGTCTGCGTGGCTCAACAGGGTTAAAAGTGGTTAAAGATTGTGCATCAGATTGAATATTTGTTCAATCCAGATGTTCAGAAGAGCTGTCGAGGCTTTTGGTGGAGTCTTCAGAGCAGGAGTCAAAGTTTCTGAATAAACTTTTGGCATCATATTCACTTGAGAAAGCCTGATATCTGTCTCTGTACCTTATCAAACCACATGTCTTAGTGTCACATTAAAACTGTGGACTGATGCCACTCAATGAGGAGTTTTTATCTCTTTTGGTTTCCAGTTAAAACTCAAACAACTCCCAGTACAGTTTTAGCATTTTTCCAGCATCTTAGCATTATCCCCAACTCTCACCAGTCTACAGTAGGAGAGGACAGTGTTCCCAAATAGTGGTCTACGATAAAAACAGGGTACACTTGTGAGACTCCCAGTTAAAACCCAGCTTGACGTTTCTTCACTAATTCTTGAAATGCAGAAACAGAGACACTAAAGTACCTTTTGTTTGTTTTTTTCACAGTAATACTATCGATTCAGAGTCCGTTTTTGTTTGTATTGCATGTCCCGAGGTGTTAGTGGCTCCTGTCGTGCTGTAGTGATAAAGCGAAACAGTCTGAACGTCGGAGAGAGAGACTCATGCAACCCCTGTGAGCAGCCTGTGCAGTCACGCGAAGGTGACTGACCTCAGTTTTTTGGGCTTCTCCGTCCCGGTGAGATGACCATCAGTCTACACATGAGGAGGAGGGGGAACGTGTCAGGCGTATGAGATGGCTTTACACAACTAGTGAGCATGAACACTTACAACAACACCAGAGTGAAATACGTTTTCCTTGTAGTCCTGCATTAGCACGACGGAGTGCAGTCACATGGAATAGATTATAGATGGGTGCGCACCCCACAGGCTCCACCTACATCACACACACGCAGTCTGAGATGTGGAAAAGCACTTTGTACCTATCGCAGTAAGCAGATAACTTAACGCCTGATGGAAGGAGGAGTGTTGATGCTGAGATGACGTAGTTGAGAGATGAGCCAGGACGAGCAGCTCGTCAGAGGAGAGGAGAGAAGAAAGGCGGAGTTGTCTGTTCGCCTCTGTGACTCTCAGGACTGAGGTTTGACTTCAGAGGAGGGGAGTGGATTTTCCCTGCAGAGTTAGACGATACAAAAATGGTTTCGGCATGACGCCTGTCTCACTCAGCTCATCGCTCCGGGGTTTCTGTCCAGTCAGTGGTTTTGAAATTAAAAAGGATGACTGCAATGCTAAAAGGGGGGTACATCTTGGGGGTACTGAGCGCAGGTCAGAGGCGGATGAGGTGGGAGGTGTCGAGGGGAGAATAGTACGGGTAAGGTAGGAATGTGAAGGTCTCTGTTTTTACTCGGCGTTGGCGGTCTGCGTCTCGTTGAAGTCACCCGAGCGGCTGTCGGCGTCGTCGTCTGACATGTCCACGGAGGCACCATCCAAGTTGAGGTTGCGGCGGCCCGAACGGCTGGAGGAGAAGCTGCTGACTGGACCGCCACGCCTGTTCAGATGAAGGCGACAAAACAAAAATGAGGAGTTATTTAATAACTCATGTGAAAATGCTTCTCTGATCGACACCTTAAACATCTGTCAATGAGACTGATCGATGAATCTAGCTCAGCATAAAAACTGAAAGTTTAAACTCCATCATTTAAAGGGATATTCCGGCGTAAAGTTAATTGAGGGTCAAACACACCGTAACACCGAGTTAGACACCCCCTGAGAGATGAATGTTGCCGACCGCTTACTTCTCTAGTTATACCAACTTTGGTAACGACCGCATGATAGCAATACACAGCGGTCTGAGGAGCCATAAACAAACCTCAACCAAAACGCCACTCTATAGACACAAATAATGCTCAGAACAGCACCTAACTTCATCAACAGTACATATAGGGTCCCAGTCATAGTACTAGCCATCAAACATCTTTTTAGCTTTGCCTGATTTCTTTAGCAAAGAGACTAAACACAACTCACCTACTCTCTTCTAGCAGCTGCTCATTTGATCATCATCAGCTGATCATTTCTTTATCATTTCCCTGAAGTAATAATCACCATATTAGTCATTTTGCACTGCAGACGTGGTAGTTCTTCTGCCTTAGCGTCTTGGTCTGATTGCATTTCCATAAAGAAATGATCAGAAATGTTCTTCCTTGAGCTGCGAAACTCCGCTGCAGTCCGTAATGGACTGGCCTGAGGTCTTGCTACAAACAAGCAGCTGCTGGAGGAGAGTAGGTGAGTTGTGTTTGGTCTCTTTGCTAAAGAAATTAGGCAAAGTTAAAAAGATGTTTGATGGCTAGTATTATGACTAGGACCCTCATGTACTGATGATGAAGTTAGGTGCTGTTCTGAGCATATTTTGTGGCTATAGAGTGGCCTTTTGGTTGACGTTTGTTGATGGCTCCTCAGACAGCTGTGTATTGCTATCATGTGGTCATTTTACCAAGCGGTTGACAACATTCATCTCTTAAAGGGGTGTCTAACTCGGTGTTACGGTGTGTTTGACCCTAAATTAATTTTACGCCAGAATATCCCTTTATGACAAGTGGATCTTGTTTTCTAATCTGATTACACTGATTAACTAGAGGTCACTGGACTCCATCACATACCTGAGGCGGTTCTTCAGGGAGTTAACCTCCCGGCTGAGACCCTCGCTGGCCTCGGTGGCGTCATCCAACTCCCTCTGCAGCTTCCTGCGGGTGGCGTTAGCCCTGGTGGCGTCTTCCTCTGCCTCCTCCAGCTGGCGCTTCAGCTGCTTCATCCGAGCGTTGGCTTTCTCCATCTGACAGGAGGACAGACACATGGGGAAACAGATGGAGACGAGGAGAGGTCATGGGAGTTTGGCTAGAAATCACAAAAAAATGAATCTATCGCGATTTTTCATTCTGCTCTTAATCAGTCGAACCTGCTCCTTGAACTGGTCGGCATGACGATGCTCATCCTCCACCTGCATCATCACCTCCTTCAGCTTCTTCTCTGTGCGGCGGACGATTTTGTTGGCTGCTGCTCTCTCCCTGGAGGTTTGAAACATGGCTCATTACCATCCCTGTTTTTTTTTTTTTGTGATTAAAAAGGTGCTTCATCTCACAAAGTCCGGTTACTTACTTTGCTTCCTGCTCCAGCTGCTCTTCCAGCTGCAGGATCTTCGCCTCCAGAGCACTGATGGACGCCTTAAACTTGGACTTGACGGCTCCCTCCAGCTCTGCCAGCTTGGCTTTCAAATCCTGTGTTTATCATTTTCAGTGTTTAGGATCATTAGCATAAAAAAACAACACGCCATTAAGTCCCTTCGTACTAAAATGTGTTTCCACATGTTATGTGGGTAGCAGTCAAAGAAAAACCTCAGTTTACAAAGTAACCCACTTCCTCTTTATTTGTTTATCCAACTGCAGCGTGTTCATAAGTGCAAATTAATTTATGCTAATGTATTCAACAATGTACACAAGACCTTGTTCTGCCGCTCCATCTGCTGTCGAGCGTTCTCACTTTTCTGAGCTGTGCTGCGTTCTCCAGCCAACTCAGCGTTAAGGCCGTCAACCTAAGAGAGAGAGAGAGAGAGAGAGAGAGAGAGAGAGAGAGAGAGAGAGAGAGAGAGAGGATGGTGCAAAGAAAGAAAAAAAGAGATGAGTTTGAACATGTTGATGCTCTCAGTCATATTCATGTAAGAAGTTTTGAAGCATTTCTAAACACTGATGTTGGGGATGTTTGTTTTGTCATCTGTGGTCAGCTGACCTGCATGGTTGTCTTTCTGAAGCGGTCATTCAGCAGCTCCATGTTGCCCTGCTCCTCCTCCAGCTCCTCCTCCAGCTGAGTGATACGAGCCTCCAGCCTCCTCTTCTCCTCCAGCAGCGATGACCTGACAGACACAAACACACGACTCATGTCGTCTCTTTTTCAAACTTCAGGTGATTTTAACTCGGGGTGTTTCAACAAAGGCACCTCACAATTTGATTTGATTCGATTATTGGTTCCATGATTCTTCGATTATTGCCATTTTTAAAGCTTTTTACCATAAGAGATTGATTTTGTCTTCATCTGTGACTACAAAATCTTTCATTTTATGACTGTATGACTGTTGTGTAAACATTTGCACTTTGACCTACTAAACTTAAACTGAGAAGTTTGGAGACAGTCTCCAGGACGGTCCTCTGTGTGCCTTCTCTGTTTGGGGATGAAAGCGTAGAAGCTGCTGCCTCATGTTTGTGGTGTTGCTGAGGTATTTTATTTTTGCAAATCGCGTAGGTCTTGTTAGTCGTCTTGTTTGCTCTCTCATAAAATCCAAATTACTTCCACACGGTTGCAGTCAACCCCGGTGGCGAGAGAATCGGACGCGCTGACGCTGTTGCCATTTTGCAAAGAAACTAACGTGCTCTGTTTGTTGTCATCCCACTCACTAAACAGTCCAGGGCGGCGCGCATTAAGGTTCCAGTTACGCGTTTATTTGTACCAGCCTTGCTGCAAAGCATCAATGTTAATTTTTATTTCTTTTTAGCATCGACGTTAATTAATCGATGCTGAATCGTCACGTGAAGCACATCCATGAACTGCACCCACCTCTACTTTTAAAACTGATTCCCGCTTTTAAGGAATTCTTTGGAGGCCCTCAAGACACATAACTTTTCACACTAAGATCCAAAAAAACTTCTCAATATTCCCTGTGTGTTTCCAAAAGTGTAAGACTAATTATCAAAATTCACGCTGGTTACTGACTTTCCAGAGGCGACGTTGGAGATCTCATCTGCGAGCTCGTCCCTCTCCTGCTCAGCATGGCGACGGGCTCTCTCTGATGCTGCGTGGTCCTACAAAAACACACGCGCATTAACATTAAGCTCGGTTACAGCATAAGCTGGTGTGAACTTCATTCACATTTTAACCAGAAAAACAGGACTTAAAAGAATCTAATTTTCACTGATTTGCTTCTGTTTCAAAATGAACCTGCTCAGTTACAAATATTTCAAACAAAGTGAATCCTGGACCTCCTGTAGCTGGAGGATCTCTGCTTCCAGGCTCTTCAGTTTCTTCTCGCTCTCCTTTGACTGAGTGAAGATTTCATCCCTGGAGGCTCGGGCCTCCTCCAGCTCCCTCTGATAGTCCTTCATCTGAGCCTGCCAAACACAAACCAAACGGGTCGAGTCAAAAGCTGACACAGCGGTAAAGTGACAGCTCAGTCCAGAGGTTATCAGAATGTGAGGCGGGCCAGTGTAAAAATAACAAAGGTATTTAGGTTTGACGTGCGCTGACTCAAACATATGACTCATGGAGGCTTTTCAAAACGCTGTTGGAGTCAAAACTCAGTCGAATTGAAGCGCGACGACATCATGTGTGAATTAAAGATAAAGTTGAAGTTAGGACCGGGCGATTATCCTGATAAATTTCAGTTTTGTGGAGTTTGTGTTTACGTTTGTGGAGTTTGTACCTGTAGTTTTCGGAGCTGTTTGATCGCTTCATCTCTGCCTTTGTTGGCAGCTTCGATCTGTCCCTCCACCTCGTTCAGGTCCATCTCCAGCTTCTTCTTCGTAGCCACAGCCAGAGATCTCTGCTTCCTCTCATCCTCCAGCTCGGCCTCCATCTCCCGTACCTGCAGGTGTAGAACAACACAACATGGTTTCAACACTAAATGCACTCCTGAACAAACCATCTTTGATTAAAAATGTATGAAGTCGGTCATCTTCTGTTTGCCTGGTGTACCTGTTTGACAAGTGCCCTCTTCTTCTCCTCTCCCTGCTCATCTCTGGACTGCAGGTCCCGGTCAAACTGGGCCTTCATGGCCTGCATGTTGACCTCTAGACGCAGTTTGGCGTCCTCTGTGGCTTGCAGCTCATCCTCCAGCTCCTCAAGCTGTGTCCTCATCTCCTCCACCTGCTGCTCCAGTGTTCGCTTCGACTTCTCCAGTTCATGGACCTGTCGAAGTATTAAAGATGAAGAGACCCAAACATCAGCAGAGAAACCTTTTCAGACGTCCTCAAACAAAAACATACTGTATATCTGCTCTATGTCAGGTGTTCATAAAAGAGACTTTTATGTTTTTCAGGTCTGGATGACGTCGATCAGGTGGGTAAGGATGAAGTGTGCGCCCTGTAGAGAGGCTGAAGTCCTTGTCATAAAACTCACTGCTCCAACTCCTGGCCATGACACTATTTTACTCCGCTCTCTCTCTACCCCACATTTGTCTTTCTTCAGCGGTCAAATCCAACAACATAAAAAAAAATCAAGATCTCAGGTCACTCACGTTCTTCCCCACGTCATCCTTGGAGCTCATCAGGTCCTCCATTTCAGCGCGGAGCTGCTTGTTAAACCTCTCCAGTTCTTCCTTGGCCTCCAGCGCCTCCTCCAGGGCTCTGGCCATAGACAGAGCCTTGGTATCTTTCTCTCTTGCCTCAGCTTCAGCTCTGTCCCGCTCCTCAGCGTATCGAGCTGAGACGCTCTTTTCTTCAGCCAGAAGCTGATTGAACACAGAGAGAAAACAGTGTTTTTGTTACACAGCCGTACATCTACCACAACTACTGAACTTCAGGACAGTCCAGTGTACCTGATCAAACTTCTTCTGTTTTTTCTCCAGGTTGGAGACAATCTGCCTCTGGTGGTCCAGGTCCACCATCAGGTCATCCAGCTCCTGCTGCAGCCGGTTCTTGGTCTTTTCCATCTTATCCATGGCCATGGTCTTCTCCTCCAGACGCTGGTTGGTGAGCTCCACGTCCTTCTGGAGTTTTCTCTTCACCTCCTCCAGGCCCTCCATCGCTCCCACATCCTCTTCCAGCTTTTTCTTGGTCTCAAAAAGCTGCAGAAAGAAAAATCGTTAAGAAACAGTATTTTTCAAGTTGTCATTTTTCTTTTCTTGTGATTGTTTCGGCCTTTGCTGCTGCAACAGTGTATGCTGGTGACTTTAGCAGGAGAACTTTGTGTAAAACTGAAAAGGTAGAAAACACATCTATACAGGTTAAATAGAGAAAATATTAAAGAAATCTGTTAAAATTCAAATCCTAAGATGTTATAGAGATGATAGTGAAAGGATTTATTTTAGTGTTGCAGCATGAGAAACTCTACGACAGAGAATTAGGGCCACATTAAGGAAAATAAATTGAAACTTTGGGATTAAAAGCGTCAATTTACGAGAATCAAGTCATAACTAACCAGAATTAAGTCATTACTAGAGAAAAAGAAAAAAGAGAAAAAAGTTACTACTAATGAGAATAAAGTCTAATTAAAATCATTACAAACAAGAATAAAGTAATTACTAATAAAAATAGTCATTACTAATGAGAATAAAGTTGAAATAAAATCATAACTAACGAAAATAAAGTCATTACTAATGAGAATAAAATCATTATTTACGAGAATAAAATTATAACTAATGAGAATATAGTTGTTTTATAAATCCCTACTAATGAGAATAAAGTCCTTATATATTCTAACCTGTTGTTTAAGATGACAGTTGTTGAAATGAGAGCCATGGAGCATTTCGTGAAAATGAACTTCAATATTGGTTTCTCAAACAACGAGATACTTAATCCTTTGGCTCATTAGCACCACATTACCATAAGTATCAGAATGATTTTATCACAACTTTATTCTGGTAAATAATGACTTAATTCTCGTTAGTAATGGCTTCATTATAACTTTATTCTGTTAGTAATGACTTTTTTGTTGTAAATTAACGACTTTAATCTTAAGTCTTAATTTATTTTTCTTTCTTAGTGTTGCCCTAATACCCCGTCATAACAGCCTGATTAATTACAGTCTTAAATAATTTACTTCACACACGTGTATGACCCTCTGTTCGATTGTTTTTAACCACACACGAGTAAATCTAGTTTTCCTGCTGCTGCCGGTGTGGTTTGGTAAACAGCCGACCACATGCATCCTTGTGAATCAGAAACACTCATTCTGAGCTGCGGTCACATTTCCTCTTTGTGAGGTCTTTAATTTGCTGCCATACAGCTGTTGTCATGCTGCTCTGTGCAACACTGACAGGTGTTTACATCAGGTACACAGCGGGGAAACTTTTCCTGGCTCTTGACTTGGCAAACATCTGAGTATCAAACACTCATTTAGGAGTCTGGAAGCCTGTACCTGGGCTTGCACTGTCTGCAGCTGCTTTTCCAGGTTGCGGCGGGCCTCCTCATCCTCCTCCTGCTGCTCCAGCAGCGTTGTCTTGTCCACCTCCAGTTGGCGAATTTGGCCGCTTAGGTTGAGCTTCTGACGCGTCTCCTCCTGGCGTAACTCCTGCACACCAGACCACAGGCAGATTATTAAATAAAACATATCACAAACATTTGAGCTTCTGAAAAAACTTTGCTTATCTTAACGGCTGAGATTTGCTGAGGGTGCAACAGGAGACGTTTCTCAAATAAGTGTATTTTCAGCAGAGCTACAGTGAGATATAGTGTGACAGTTTTGCTCTGTGTACATGTGCACAATTTCATCAGATGTTTTGTCTTTAGTGTCAGTTAAACATACAAAGATTTAGTGCCTTTGTACCCTCTACAGAGATTGGATTATGTTTTCATCAGACTCTAGACTTGTTCAGCCTGTGTCGATGCCGTCTTTTGTACCTCTAAATCTTGCAGTTTGCTGCTCAGTTTTTCAACTTCCTTGGCAAGTTTGACGCCCTTCTTCTCGGACTCCTCCAGCACAGCAGTCACGTTATCCAGCTCCGTCTGTAAAAAGACAAACGTAGTTTTAAAGAAGGCAAAACAAAGGAGTCCAAAGCACATCATTTCTAACCATAGGATTATTCTAGAAACCATTCTTCTCCTTAAAACAGCGAGAACTTCATCTGCAAATCTTTGACGTGTTCACCTGGAGTTTATGTGAGCGATCAGCCAGCTCGCCCTTGGCCCGCTCGACTTCGGTGGCCCTGGCCATGAGTTCCTGCAGCTGTCCCTCCAGTTTCTTCCTCTTGTGCTCCGACTCTGTCCTCGCCTGCTGCAGACTCTTGACCTCACAGGCCATCTCTTTGTTGTCACTCTCCAAACACTGCTTGTTCTTCTCTAAATTAGCCTTGAACTGCACAAAAACACAAAATCAAAGTTTAATGGTGACATATTTGCATTTAAGAAAGTCTGTTAGCAAACTGACGGGTTCCTTACCCTCTTTGCCTGTTCCAGCTGCTCGGACAGTTCCTCCAGAGCTGTGGCATGTCTCTGTCTCATATCCTGTATCTGAGCCTCGTGGTTTTTGCTCTCCTCGTCGATGGCCTTCTTCAGTTCTGCCACTTCCTGCTCTCGCTTGGACCTTGAGTTCAGATAAGAGTGATGAAAATTAATGAAAAAAAGGAAACTTATGGTCGACATACTGACGGCCTTTTCTATTGAGCAGTGTTAAAGAGACTCTGATGAGCTACATTAAGAGCCTCCTCTCCATCACTCATAATGTCATTCGGACCACAGACCTGAGCTCCTGCTGGGCAGCGGTGGTATCCAGTGTGTCCTCCAACTCCGTCTTCAAAGCCTCCAGCTCCTCGCTCAAGTCCCTTTTTAGTTTTTCAGCTTTGCTTCGGCACATCTTTTCTGACTCCAGATCCTCCTGAAGCTCAGCCAGCTGTGCCTGCAGCTCCCGTACCTGCTTCAAGGCGTTGTTCTTCTGAACCGTCTCCTCGTCACTCCTGATCGGAGGCACAAAAGTCAGTTTGAATCCTCATCAATAAAACTCAAATTATGAATCAGCAGAGACCAGTTTTTTTCTTATGAATGGAAATAGATAAATTAATCCAGGCCTCATTATGTTTGTCATTAAGCTCTGATGGGCTCTTGTGCTTATTCAAGGTTCTTCTGGTTTCTTGGGATGTTTGTTGTTGGTTAATTATCTTTTGGGTTTCTTTGAGCTGGTTCTTGATGTTCCGACGTCCTCCAAGAGTTCGGGATGTTGTGATCACAACTATTAACGCAAATTCAACAAATCACTGCGAATTTCACCAATAAATTTCGTCCTCTTTTGCCCATGCCTCTACCTGACATGTACCGCATCATATTCACTTCCTTGTTTACATTCAGAGGATGAAGACATGTTCACGCTCACATTTACCAACAAATATCACCGCCAAAGCTCGTGCAAGTCAATTTCCAGATGTAATACATGAAAGCGGAGGTAAACTCTTCTGCACTGCCTGCGATATTGTGGTGCAACACACGCGAAAGTCGTCACTCGACAGACACTTTTTTCCTGTGTGGAAAATGTCACGCATTAATCTTATGGTTTAAGGCTAAAAACTCACAAAAGACTGCTGTAGCTAATTTGCAATCGCCCTTGTTCCTGTGATTTTAATAAAAGAAGCCTCAAATAATCACAATTTTTTAGAAAAGCTGCTGCAAAATCAGTCGTTTTTGGCCACAACAATCACAAAAAAAGCCTGCGAAATCCTGGAGGGACTGTTTATCTATCTGGATCTTTTCTTGTCTGAGCATTTCCTTCCTAACTAAAACTACAGAGGAGTATTTTCAGTTACAATTCAGCCTTTACTTCAACTGATATTTTATTTATTAAAATCCATTAATCATTTATTTTACCGGTGAGCAAATAAATCTTGATTTACTCTTCACAGTTTTAATATTTTTGAGGATACTCTGTTTAGGTCTGTTTGAGCTGAAATATGACCACTGGTGCACACAGGGTGGCAGTGTGGTGAACTGTTCACTACTGATGCTTGATGGATCGTGTGTGTGTGTGTGTGTGTGTGTGTGTGCGTGCGTGTGTGTATTTACAAGGTCTACACTGTATTGATGGCTGCTGGAAGTGAAGCCAAGTAAAATTTCTGTCTTTGTGGATGTAGCGCTCTCCTCTAAAAGCCACTGAAACAACACGCTGAGTGCTGAATGATTTAGTTATATTATGAACACAAAACCACGGCGTCGATTAAAGCACTTTCACTCCTTTTCTCTCTTTTGCTGTGCAGAGATATTACAACTGTACTCAGCAGAGCAGCTGGTTTCAAGAGGAGCCTCATCAAGTTTAATGAAAGCCTAATTATCTGAAGGCCGTGACTAAACTGATGATTTCTCTGTGTGAAATTGAGATGGACAGACTTGACTGGTGGTGTGGATAGAAGTAATAATACTGCTGTAGACCTGATAGAAGAATCAGGACTGACCTTCAGGAAAAGATCAACAGATATATTTACATCATTTGCATGCAGTGAAAATTAATAACTGGCTGTGACCTAGGGCTGGATGATATGGCCTCAAATCAATATTATGATATATTGATCAGTTCACCTTGATAACGATAAATGGACGATAACTACTCGACAAGCTGCTCAGCCCCTCCTACATTAGCTTCTTCTACTTCAGCCGCTACAACCTTCAAATTGTCCTCCATCTCCTCACCTGACTTTCCCTCTTTGTTACGGACTGGATGGGGTGGAGTCACGTATCTGACGTAGGACAGCGTCTTAAAGGGACATGACACCATAGCCTACCTACACACATCCAAAACCAACTTTTATTTTTCTATTTTTTTGACACCGAATATACCAATATGGGCAAAATGACGTCGGTTATTGTCATAAATTTCAGTATCAGTAAATTTTCGGTTTATCGCCCAGCCCTACTGTGACCCACAGTAATGAGGGGAAAGTGGAGGACATCCTTTTACTGCATGTTTTTCTTTAAATCTTCACCAAATAGACAAAAGCCCTCTGTCAGTAATAATGATGACTGTGAAGTGACAGCCTGAACCAGCACAGCTCTTCGGTGCTTAATGAGGAGGATACCACTGCAGCCTCTCCACTGAAAGCATCAATCATCACCAATTTGCCCACAATCAGACACGGCTGCCTACATGATGAAAGGAAGGTTTTAGCCAGTGTCACTGAAGGAAGATGCTCCAGCTGTGAGCGATGAGCAGAGAAGACCAGAGTGGAAAGTCAGTGAAAGTGAAGATAGAGGGAAGTGTTTATTTGTGTTTATGTGTGCGCTAAAACATGGACTGCAGAGCATCAGAACAAATCCAGTGTTTGTCTGTGGGTTGTAACATCTATTTTAGGTCCTCCTATTGACTTGGCTGTAGAGTGCAGTTGTCATGGAGATGGTATTTGCCACTCTAGTAAGAGCTTATGTGTGAAGAGTTGTTCAATACAGTCTGAGTTGAGAAACACACCTGACAGTGATATTTCAGCACACCAGTTTGGATTTCTGTTCTCAAACATAAACTTCAGAATTCAGTAAATTTTAACACAGCGTTTTCACTTACCAAATAAATAATAATAATGATACAACGCTCACTGAGCTGAGAAACTGTGAAAGCTTTTGAACACCTTCCTGTTACATGGAAACAGGAAAATCAAGAGAAAACACAGATTTTTATTAACTTTCTTTCTTTGTTTCCTGAATTAAACCTGGCAGCTTAAAGGGATATTCTGGCATAAAACTAATTTAGGGTCTACATCTCCATGCACAACATGGAGATGTAGACCACTGTGTATTGTTATTGTGTGGTCTTTACTAAAGTTAGTATAACCAGAGAAGCAAGCAGTAGGCAACATCCATCTCTCGAGAGGGTGTCTAACTCAGTGCTACAGTGTGTTTGACCATAACTTAAATTTACGCCAGAATATCCCTTCAAAATACTTCTCATAGTGTGCTTGGTACAAACTAATACTGATGAGGAATTTTCAATGAACATTTTTAGATCCACACAAGCTAAATAAAATGAGTTCTTTTATAAGTTAAAATTCTTTGTCTTGAGTTACATTTCATTGGGGAAAGAAGTCTACATGTTCACAGTTTCTGACCTGGAGAGAGAAGTCTGCAGCTCCTCTTCCTTTTTGGTGAGCTGGATCTTCAGCTCCTCGATCTGAGCCTGGAGCTCCACAATCTGGTCCTGCAGGTCAGTTGTCTCGGCGTCTAGTTTACGCTTGGCCTTCTCCAGTTCCTGTCGTGTTTTCTCCTCCTTTTTCAGGCGCTCTGCGGGCCAGTACAGTACAATCGTATGGATGACACATGAAATCAAACTTGTCTGCAGCTTCAAAAAACTTCATCCGAACAAGAACTTTGGGCCAAAGTTTATCTAGAGGTGTGTGGACTGAAACACACGTTACCATGGGGTCCGATATGGAAAGCACAAAACCAAAAACAGCTGATTGCCAACAGTCTGGCAAAGATAAGCTGCCAGATAAGCTGCTTTTGAGCTAATTAACCCCTAAACTTTCCAATGTATTTTCTTTTCTTTTTCAGTTCATCATTGCTGAAAATGAATAACAGCAAAACACACTTTATCAAATGGACAGATGATTAGTTTGAGGTATAGCACAAACTTCATCTCTGACTTGCCCAGAGTGGTCAAATCAACGAGTTACCAGGGTTATGAAAGGGCATCTAAGGGTTAACTCGTATGAAGTGACACAATCAGGGTTCATGAGCATATTCCACCCTAAAATCAAACCTTCATATTCCCTTTTGTTTGGAAAACAGTTCATTAACATCTGACTAATAATCTCTTCTGATGTGATGTGATACAGATTTTTGGCAGATCACTTTCAGTCTATCTTTATGCTGTTCTCAATTACTGGACACACAAATGTAGCCAGTGACAGAGTCCCTCACCCTCCAGGTCCACCATCATCATCTCCTGTTTGTTCTTGACTTTGCCGAGGTTCTTCGCTTTCTCTTCTTCTTCTGTCAGCAGGGAGGTCATCTCACCGATCCTGTCCTCCAGCATCTTCTTCTCCTGTTGGTTGAATAAGAAAAGATTAGGTTTTAAACTTGGAGATATATGAACATTATGTGGAGGTGAAGAAAAAAATAGAAACTATCTGATGTTTAATCCACAGCTTTGATCTCCGTGATCCATATCTAAAAGACTGCCTCTGCTTTCTCAGTTTGAAGTGACCAATCACATGCGTGTGAAACACTCTCACCTTGAGGAATTTGGAGTTTTGGTCCTCCAGCAGGAGAATATCCTCCTCCATTTTCTTGATCTTGGCCTCGGCTGTAACTTTATCCAGCTGCAGCTTCTGTCTCGCGGCCTCCTCCTCATCAAGCTGCTCCTCGAGGTCCTGAAGACAGAAATAAAGACAAAAACAAAGGTGAAGACCTAATCTATATATGATCATTTAGTCCGACAAACTGGGGATCAATAAGTTTTGAAGCTTAGAGTTTCTGTACATTTAAATTGCCCGACAGTAACCAAATGATATCTTTCATTATATCATGTTTTAAAATGGATTTATGTAGCATTTTAATTTGATGAAAATGAAAGTTGAAACACAAATAATAATAATAATAATAATAATCAAAACTCACACATTTACTCAAAAACAGATTTTGGACATTAAAAACTAGGGAAAATTCATTAAATTAATCAATAATAGGAGAAAGGTTCTTGCACGTAGAAGTTTAAACAGGTGAAGATCTAAACCTGTATGTGTGACTGCATCTTCTTCTTCTCATTCTGCATGCTTTGGTTCCTCTCCTCCTCTTCCTCCACTCTAGACTCCAAATCATGAAGGATCTCCTCCAGCTCCTGCTTCCTGGAAAGCAGGCGGACTCTCATCTCTTCGGCCTCTGCAAACAGCTCCGTCTCTGCATGGAGTTGCTCTGCCAGAATGTTCTTCTCCTCGAGGAGCTGGAGGGAGACAACAGAATGAAAAGATAAAGACGGGTTATCAGATCAACGCATAGAAAAGAGCTTCAACACAGGATTTATGATATTTCTGATATGATTACTGGAAAAGCCTTTATCCACTATTCTGAGTGTACATATAGAGGAAATATGTCTACCTGTTGGTGTTTCCTCTCCATCTCCACCAGCTCATTCTCCACCTTCAGCTGCCTCTCCTTCACCTTCAGCAACTCCTCGTCTTTGGCCTGCATTTCCTCCTCCTGCCTGGTGACCTGCAGCAGAGGCTTCACCTGAAACACGTGGAGAGAGAGAGAGAGAGCAGTTATGACCTGCAGGTTTCCCAAACCAAAATTACATTTTTCTGCCAGAACTTAAACAGCAGGATTTAAAATAATATCGGGCAACACATGAACTCTGACCTGGAGCCTGATGAGCAGAAGAAAATTAATAGATAAAAGCAAAATAAACCAATAAAAATGGCAATTTTTAGAGTTGCTGAAACTGATTATGAAGTTTTGTTATCGTGTTCTTTTCTTTAGGTTTACACTCCTTTGATGTCCAAATGTTTCATTCATTCTGAAGCTTCTGTTTCCAGCTTCATTTCCAACTCCTCTAAGTCTATAAGAGGTTACGGTTTTAGTGTGCCATTATTTCAGTCGTTCTCTAACTTCTGACATTTACTAACTTCTGCAAATGAGTTCATTCTAATGTGAAGCTTGGAATTGGCGCTCTTGACCAATTGCATGGCACGAATGAATTGCTGTGAATAGCGAGGGTAGCTGTTGGGTTTCTCACCTTGGTGAAGAGCCTCCACCACTGCCAGTGTCGCAGCTTCAGGTAAGCAGCGCAGTTCCTTTGGAGGACCTTCAGAGCGCTTAGCTGTTGCTGCTTCTTTGCAAAAGCCCTTTGGACAAAGAAGATAAAACAATAGAAGGTTGCAGCAGGACTATAGAGTTAATCATGTTTGAGCATCAAGGCTAGCTGATAGTGATGTCTTCCGCTGCTGGCTCCCAGAAAATGTCACTATTTACTCTCTTTAAGCTCAGTTATTTCCTTTACCAAGACCTGGTTCTTCTGCAGCTGATAGTTCAGTGAGAGGTTGTTGACTGTATCTAGTATTCGGTGCTGCTGATGGAGTTTACACTGGATTGTACCTTTAGTATCAAACTGTATATTCACTGTATGTTCATTTATTTCATAAAAGAAGACAGAGATCTGACTCACTTGCGTGCCAAGTATCCACGGCACACAGACTGGAAGTAGATGATGATGTCAGTGATCTTGAGGTCTCTCTCCTCCTCGAGATGAGCCAGGACTCCAGTTCTGAAGAAGATCTTACTCTGACCAATACGGAACAGGTTGGGGTCCAGCTCAAGGGCTTGGATCTAAAAAAGGCAAAGATTGAATTCAAAAGAAGATCGAAAAAAGGTCAGTAAGATGCTGGAATACGGTTTCTTCAGGTGTCAGAAAAATCTGGACTTTAAAAAGGAAGTTCCTTCCATAAAAGTTGATCAAAGCAGCTTCTTTACCCAGAAACTAAAGCAGCACTCCTCATTGAACATGTGCAGGATGCGAGGTACGTAAATATGAAATCTGTGTTGTTTCATGCTAGTGTTACAAAACAGGTCAGAAGTGGTTTGTCAAATTCTGAAGCTCAAGACAAGACTTGAGATAGAAGTTCTAGAGCTGAAATGAAATGAGAAACATGGCAGTACCATTCTTTCACAGGCCTGTTTGCCATCCATGAATCCCTTGGGGATAGCATTGGGTGTCAGGATCTCATATCTGTGAATTCAAAAGATTTTAATTATAAAGAGAAAATTAAACCAATGTTTCCTCTTTCTACGCTGACATGACTACGCTCAGAAATCTCCTCTGATATTATCACCTCTGTCTGAACTCCTGGAAGATGATGCGGTTGGGGAAGCCCTGTCTGCAGATACGAATCCCTTCAAGGACTCCGTTACACCTCAGCTGGTCCAGAACCAGGTGAGGTTCCAGTTTACCTGCCTGAAGAACAAAGACAAGAAAGAACAGAAGCAATCATTTACTCATGATTCATGCTTCATGACAATTTCACATATACAGTCTGAATTGAACACAATAATTTCTCTGAGGACTGTCAAGCTTACCCTTTTTTCATGGTTGGGAATGATACAGCGGACAAAGTTTGGGTTTGTGTTCCTCAGTGTGGCCATGAGCTTGGTGAGCGACTCCTTGTAGAGCTGTCCCACTGTGCGAAACATGCCCTTCTTTGTTTTGTATGTGGCACCGAACGCCGTCTCGTTCATCCCTGCCACCTGGTCCAGGCCTACAATCCGGTCAACTGAAGGCAGAGTTTGGGAAAAACAGGTTATAGTGAGAAAAATTCATTGAAAGAGAAACACTGTGGGAACAAAACAAGCAGTGTGACATAACGTAGCAATGTGACTGAATGCAGATGGATGAAAAAGACAATTCACACGCCTCTCAATCAACGGCAGGCGAACAAGGTGACTCTTAGCTCTATATCCCAGAGCCTCTCTACTCCTATACAACTCTTTGACTTGTGTCACCTTTCGAAGATGCCCAATAATCAATCAAATGTTTGTTGTTAGCATTAATCAAGTTTAATGCAACAATTTTCAGAATCTGTGCTGATCATAGGAGATGAGAGACAGTACTTGGTAGAAGACACACAACAGTGTAACATTAAAGACAAACAATTTGGCAACATACAAAGCCAACCCTGAATGATCAGTCTCTGATCGTGTCAAAGTGTAGAGGTTTTATAAAAATAGAATTTGTGGTTTAGCTGTTGTATTAGATTACTGTTGTGTCAATAATATTATAATTCTGAGCAGCAGCAAAATAGCTACTACCAGCCCTGTGTCACCGATTTGGTTGAATTGAAAAATTGAACGCCGCTGTGATAATTTGGTTCTGGTGACAAACCTCGACAGAGAAAAATAATGACGGGCAATTTTGGGTAGCCGTTTATTCTCTCTCCTGTAATGCTCTCTGAATATAAATGCAAATACAAACACACAGGAGAAGATACCTGACTGAAAGAAATAACACTGTCTTTGGTCTCTGAACTACTGAATCTGATCATCACCACCTAGAGAAACTGATTTTGTACATAGTCAGTTTTAATTTTGGAAGTATAATTAATTACCATATAACTCTCAATTAAAGGGATATTCCGGCGTAAATTTAAGTTAAGGTCTAACCAGTATAGTTATAGCCATCAAACATCTTTTTAGCTTTGCCTAATTTCTTTAGCAAAGAGACTAAACGCAACTCACCCGCTCTCCTCCAGCGGCTGCTTATTTGTGGGGGAGCCCCGACGAGTTGATCACCGAGTGCAGCAGAGTTTCGCAGCCCAAGGAAGAACATTTATGGTCTTTATTTCATGGAAGTGCAATTAGACCGAGACGCTAAGGCAGATGAACTACCGTGTCTGCGGTGTAAAATTATCATTACGATGATTATTTTTTCATGGAAATGATCCGCTGCACTCGGTGATCGACTCGTCAGGGCTCCCCCACAAACAAGCAGCTGCCAGAGGAGAGTGGGTGAGTTGTGTTTAGTCTCTTTGCTATAGAAATTATCAAAGCTAAAAAGATGTTTGGCTGGGACCCTATATGTACTGTTGATGAAGTTAGGTGCTGTTCTGAGCATTAATTGTGGCTTTTTGGTTGAGGTTAGTGTGTGGAGACGTAGACTGCTGTGAATTGCTATCGTGCGGTCGTTACTTAAGCTGGTATAACTAGAGAGGCAAGCAGTCGGCAAAATTCATCTCTCGAGAGGGTGTCTAACTCAGTGTTACGGTGTGTTTGACCATAACTTCAATTTACGCCAGAATATCCCTTTAAAGCCTGTACCCATTTAGAGGCTGGATTCCTTTTAGAAGCAGGGTGTGGCTGCACGCTTTGTCAAATAAAGACAGTTGTCAATGAGAAGAAGCCTGTAAAAATGCATGATTCAACTTTTCCCAATAATGTAAGATTTCATAATTTTGATGCCAGCATGGAGAAAACAGGAGGGGCCTAAATACTGTCAGGCTGTCTTGTTTGGCCAACAATGGCAGCTAAAAAGAGGGAAAAACAGCTGACTGTGGAGCAGTGAAAAGTGAAAATGTGGGGATATATTCATGAGTGAGGGAGTATCTTTGCTACTTGAGCTGGCTTTGAGGTTGGAGCGACAACACAGTCTTCTCTGGGCAAAAGTTTTGTTCAAAAATGACTATTAGCCTATCTCCTACCATTTATCAAAGCCTAAATAAAGCTCGGGCTGCGTAATTAAGTTTCACAGTGGTTAGTTTTTGTAGAGAATCACCAGAATTATCTATCACACAATGTCACGCAATGTCATAAACAGCCAGCGATGCCAGGTTACTTTTCATGATTTATGTATAGACCCAGTAATAGCTACGCTTTACCACTTATCAATGTCCACTTTTAAGTAGCATTTTCTGAGCTACAGACTTTTGGAGCTTCAGCACTCAGACTGCAGTGATCTATGGGCCCGTTCTCTTAGCCCTCTAAACGTTCTGACATCCGAGTTCAAAGCCAAAGAAAATAAAGACATCTGGTTTTACTCTCCTGCTACCGTGAAAAAAACATGGCGGGAAATTAACTTTATTACATTTTCCTCATTTAAGATCGAGAACCTTGATTTGTTTGTGAAAGTATCGCACCACAGACGAGAGACAAGAACAGACATGAGCTATGGAGACTCCAAACAGCTGTGTGAGATCAAATATTTGCTTCAGGGCTATTTGACCACACAAACACCACAAGACCAATGTCAGCCTCCAAAAATACCAAGACAAATCATAGCAAACTACTTCAACCAGAGGGAGCAGATGACTAAATTCTACTTTAACTTGTGTAGGAAATCAGGCACTACTGCTTTTGGCTGAGACAAGGGGAGCCATGCAGCCTGGAAGCAAATGGGAGCCACAGTAGCTATGACGGACACAGCATCGGCTGAAGCATGACACATACAGCCAGATCTGGGCAAAAATATGCCAGAAAAAAAGTTCAAGTGAAAGTTGTTATTCACTTTGCTTAAGAATATTTACAGCAATTAGCATTTATGCCCAGGTCTGCTACAGCACGACCCAGTCATTCACCTGCTGGCTCATCCAGACTAGTGACATTGTCATAGAATGAAGCCCTTTGAATGGTCTGAATGTCTACAACACAGAGAGAGAGACAGGGAGGGGAGGGGATGTTACAATCATTGATCACTGAGTCGGCCTAGCTCAACAAGGCAGACAGCTTTTGTTAGTTTGTTGTTAGTAGGCTTGATTTCAGGCAAATCCATGTGCAAGTTAACTACAAAAGCCGAATGACACTAGATAAAGATTCTTTGAAGACTGCGTCCTGTATCTCACGCTCCTGGGCAGCTTACCGTCTTTCCAAAGTTCAGCCACAAATTTGTCTGTAGACTGATGCAGGAGTGTGGCTACATTGTCGTTCAGGGGGTCCATGTTCTTCATCAGCCATTCATCGGCCTTATAGTCCACCTGCAACAACAAACAGTGCAATTTAGAGGTAGCAACAAATCCTACACAAAATATCTACACAACAGTCGATACGATGGCAGCATAACAACTATGAATTTCATAATGATTATATGTACAAAAGACACCAATATTTAATAAAGATCCCTTTCATTGACTTTTTTATAACAGGTCTAATTATTGTAAGTGATAGGGGATGAATTAAGTGAAGACTTATCCTCAGACAGAACAAACCCCAAATTGTGAATGTAAAACAAACACATTAATACATGTAATCTGGACATGTCTATAGATTCATGCTTGTGTTATCGTTTGACTTCCTCCAAAACATGAGGGACAACAATAAACCCTTCCCATTTCACTGAAAAAGGAGAACATCTGTGAGCTTGTCTTTTTTCCTCTCATCTCTTTTACATCTATCTTATTTCAGCTTAGTGTCTTTTTAGCTTTTGTTATACTTAAAATATTTTCTTAATTAAACTTTTAGGCATTTTATTTTTTCAATCTCTTGCTCATTTTGTTGTTCTACTTTATCAATACTATTTTTATCATTATTATTTTGTAATTATTCTAATAACATTATTAATGTGGTCTTTTATATTTACTTTCCTGTTTTCTGCTTTCAACCCCCCTTTCTATTGCATTTTTTTTTCTTACCTATTTTATGTTTTTATTCTGGTCCTCATGGTCTTATTTGATGTTGCATGGTTCTTGTATTGTCATGAAAACGGCCTTCAATTCCATTTTAACTGAGTTTTTGTCTTTTATTTGTGTTTATTTCCGTGTGCTTTATGACTATTTATCAAAGTAAACTTCTGTTTTTGAAAGTGCTATAAAAATAAAGTTATCATTATTATTATTATTTTTGCTCCTATGACCATGACTGTACAACCAAGTGCTCACAGAATAGGGGAAGGGTCAGGACTTTTTCTGACTATCCTATGTAGTTGTTTTTTTGTGGTGGTTTATTTAGAAAATAAAAAGATTTAAAAAAAAAAAAAAAAAAGCAGCATTTATTTTTTTTAAACGTGAGGAAAAAAATTTCAGAAAAATGGTGAGAGGTCATTTAGAAGGAAGTGTTAGCATTATGGTTTCAGTACTGTGTTATTCTTTTCTGTTTCACCAGCCAGTCCAGTGTTTCATAGGCTGAGCTGAGCTGCAGAAACTTTTCTATAAAAGAGGCTTTTCTGGATACATTGACACCTTACCATTTGCACTTACTGGAAAATAACACTGACACTGGTGCTGCGTGCAACAAAACACTCTATGCTGTTACAAGACAATTGTTAAATCCTGTTGCATAACAGCACTAACAGCGTCCAAATGCACTTCAGATCACACCAGGACTCAATATTTCCCTGAAATCCTGTAACAAATGAACTAAACACTGGTGTTCAATCTGAGTGCTGACCAGCTGTTTCAAGTGAGAATTGTAGAGAGAAAAAAAAGTATTTCTGAAAATGTTTGAGTAGAAGAAAAAAAGTGATCCTGCATGGACTCAAGGTAAAATATTACTCTGTTTTTGTCAGTCCCGTTTTAAAGATTTGTATGATACATATGTTCAACTCTTTATGCTTAGATATTTTCTCTGACTTTTTGTGAATTATAAATTATTGAATTACTCCTTTGCAGATCATGTGGCATTTCTAATGTAAGTGTTATGAGCAGCTGCTTTACGGAGGCACTTGTTGCTGAGTGTTTGTCAGTCTGTCTCTTTTTTGGAGCTGTATACTGCTCATATTGAGTAATGTGGTTGTGCTTTTAGCGTTGAAAAAGATTGATGGTAATTCCTTTGGCTGCTGAAACTGTTTTCCACAAAGTTTATCTGCTATTCAGTTACTTTGGCTTTTTTTTCTGTCATGTTCACAAGAGCCAAACATGTGTCTAGACATCGCACGCAGCATTTTATGGTTGCTCAGTTGAGTTGGCTCAGTGTTCGAGTTCTCCACTATGTTGCTTGAATGTCACAGGCAGGACAGGTTGGAGTTTTAAGAGGACAATACATGAAGTGAGGAAAATGTGAACAGAATTTCAGGAAGTAGAAACAGAATTTAACTGAAATAATCAACAGAGTAGGACTGGGCGATTACGTGATCCTGATGAATTTTGGTTCGATCACGGCGATGTTTATTTTGGGTCTTGCATACCAGCTAAAACACTCAGGACTGTAAACTAGTTCACTGTATTTATTTAGTATTTATCTACTTTTTATTGTACTTTTGAGTTGAAATGTTTTTTATATTTTTCTAAGTTTATCTTATTCAATTTGCTTTATTTACTTTGTACGTTAATAAAATGTTGAACTAATCTCTAGTTTCTTTAGTTTTTAGTACAGATGCTTTAAAACTGGTAATTGTGATAAATAAATCGTGATAATAATCGACATCTGAGGATATGACAAAATATATTGTGATCATTTTTTTTGCCAAATCGCCCACTCCTACAACAAAGGCATGACTTTGCCAATTAGAGGTTCTGGATGGTGGCTTTGATTATTTTTTGATTAATTGTCCTGCCCCGGTTTACCGCTGTGAATATATATTTTTGTCATCGTAGAGCAGCACACAACATTTGGTCTATGACGAGTTAGCCAGCCAGGGGGTGGATGTGTGTTGGGGAGTTCTTCGTCATACCTCAGATGTGTTCAAGAAACTAAAATGACTGAGAGCCTTAGAGCGTACAGTAACAAGAAAACAGACTGAATCGGTTACACCAGTCAGAACTAACAAAACGTTTCCCACTTTCCTGTGTCTGCACTGCTTTTCAGAAAAGAGCGTGACCTTTGCCCTAAAAAACAAGCTCAACATAAAGAATATTTTATCCTTTAATAAACTTCACTTTCCAAGTAAAGACCCAATTTATCTTTTCTACCCCAAACCAGCCAGGGGTGGGCTCCCAGCTACACACTTACAAAGTGTTTCGAGGAAAGCAGAGGCAGAGATCTGCTGAGTGTGATTTTCAAAGAGATTAAAAGAGACCAACCCTGCCAGCATAGTGGATGATGCAGAAGTCGGCCTTATCTTTGAGCTGGCGGGGCTTCTGAAACTTAGTGTGTGTGCCCTGCTCCTGGATCAGCTTATCTACAAAGGTCTTGTCCGTGGCCTTAGGGAACCAGCATTCTTCATCCAGTAGAGCCAGGACTCCTGGAGGGTTTGCCTGAAGAAATATGAAACCAGGACAGAACCGAGAGAGTTCAGAGAGATCAAATACTACACATGATCCGAACATGACCAACAAGGAAAAGTTAAAGTGTGTTTAGCATCATGGTCAGCATCTTAAACCTCGAAAGCAACAGAAACTCCAACATTTCTCTCATTGAAAACAGCAAAATACAAAATCAAGTCACGTGCAACCAAACGAGGTTTGAACATGTTACCCCACAGTAGATGGGTAATAAGAGTCTATGTCATTGTCATTGCACTGACCGGCCTCTCAATGAGGTCTATGCAGGGCTGCAGGTCGAGACCAAAGTCGATGAAGCTCCACTCGATGCCCTCCCTCTGGTACTCCTCCTGCTCCAGGATGAACATGGTGTGGTTGAAGAGCTGCTGCAGCTTCTCATTGGTGTAGTTGATGCACATTTGCTCAAACGAATTCAGCTGCAGTGGAGATCAAGAACACGACTTAGTGGATATGCGCTTAGATTACAAGAACAACAACAACAAACACAGTTACGAACTACAAACCTGGAAAATCTCAAATCCCGCAATATCAAGGATGCCGATGAAGGAGGCACCCTGACGTTTGGTTCTGTCCAGAGCTTTGTTAATGCGATGGACCAGCCAACGAAACAGACGCTCATACGTCGCTTTAGCCAGAGCTTCGACAGCAAAGTCAGCCTGAAGGAGGGAGGGAGAAACAATAGCTGATTGAGATGCTAATACTTTTAATGCTGATGTATGTCTCAGTTATAAAATTAACTTGCACAATATCCTATCCCAGCTACATCATTTTACACCACAGTCACGAATCATTTGCTCAGGACTCAAAGACGGTACACATAATTACAGATCAATCAAAATAAATCAGACCTGCTCTTTAGTCTGAGCTTTCTGGACATAATCTCGTCCCACTTTGATCCTCGGGGACAAGATGGCCCTGGTAAACTCCATTACATTCATGCCCAGCAGATGACACAGCTTCTGAGCGGCTGGGAAACAGAGATGGACACACAATTATTCATAGAATAACAAAACAGAGACAGAGAGGGTTTCATTATCATTATTATTAACTGTATGATGATTAGAGTCAGTCAATATCACTACAAACCACTCTGAAAGACATGAAGAATGAACTGAAAAGTATCTGCTTCTAAGATGTCTCCTTGTGAAATGAAGCAGGGGAAAAAGTCATATTTCATTTGCCTGGAGCTTGTGGAAAATACAAGGAAAAAAGTAACAGAATCCAGCCCAGATCAGCCAAGTCTCCCTGCTTAAAAAAACATCTGCTGCAGCCCTGACGACTTCTGCTGATCATATTTGTGAAGATCTGGCTGAGCTGCATCACTGGCATTAGGCTAATTCTCTCCCCCTGTCTCCCTCCTGAAATGCCAAATATGCAGTACCACATGTGGAGGAACTGGAGCGCTGTGCCCCATTTCCTTCAGGAGTAAATCCTCGTAACGATTTGGCTTCTTAATAGCAGGGTGACACAGCTTGGGGAGAGAAAAGACCTAAATCACAAGCTCCTCTATTGTGCGGATGAGGTCCGCAGCATGAGGAAGGCAGGTTAAGGGCCGGAGAGGAGGTGATGTATATACATGTGAAGAGGAAGAGAACGATGTCTTGACCTGTGAGCTCTGAGCTACGAGGTCGTAAAGCAGATGTAAAAGAACTGCAGTGTTTGCGTACGCATGTGTTACCTACCAGTGTTGTCAGGCATAGAAGCCTGGTCAGTGTTTCTCTCCTTTTTGAAGACAATGTTGCCGAACTGAAGGACCGAGGACACCACTTTCAACATGGCTAAAGAAATCAAGAAACCAGAGAATACATTCACGATAGTGCTGAAGCAGTAAAAATGCACAAACTGTTGATTTTGTTGAGACAGTAGAAAAGCAGACAAACTTAATATTTTGAATGTTTAACCTCTGGTAAACACATCAACCTCAGAGGAATGAAAAGGGGAAGAAAGACACGATGCATTTTCCAGGAGCATTTTTTTCAAAATCTTTCATCAATCATTTCAATCAACATGCAAAAAAAACCTTTTCAACAAAGCTGGAAAACTGTTTCCTATCAGATTTTGGTTTAGATGTGTCAAACTTAACTGCTGGGTAGAAAAAGATAGTATTTTTAAGTATTTCTGCATTCAAATCGCTGTGAATCTCTGACAGAACCAAATGGCAGGGTCAGATACAGTGAGATTTCCTATGTCACAAATCCAAGCTCCGCCCCCAGAGCCACACTCGGAAAAATAGAGAGGACGATCGCGGAACAAGCATGTGCGTTAGCAGATTGCAACGCTCGTAAGAAAGCTAATTATGATATTAACTTGTCACTCATGTCCTTAAAGACACAAGTGTCTGAGATCTGAATTGCTCCTATATTACCTGCTACTTCTACTACACCGGCAATGTTAGGCTACAAGCTAGTGTGAAGACATGTGTGCAGAGCAGCACTGTCTCCGCTCACAACTTAAGAGGCGAATTGCTAATGATCTGCTGGAGCTCTGCAGAAGACAAGCCCTTGAAAATTACACAAGTAGCGTGATTTTGGCTAAAAACGTCATAATAACTATTATAAGACCACTGATAACACTTAAAGTAGTAAAAATCAACGATCGGAGTGGGACTTAAGCTGCTCAGTTGAAAACCACTCCCCCCGCTCCAGTTTAAGGTATCAAAAATTACAAATCAAATATCATCAATCCTGTTGCTAAAGGTCCTCTATGTTTTTATTTGTTATAAAAGGGAATCATACAGGGGCTTTTATCTTAAATTTACTAAATAGAGAAACAAACAAGGAAAATCTACTTTGTTCATTCATTTCATGTTGTGGTGGAAAACATACCCAGAATCTCCTCATGGCCAAAGCTCATGATGTGCATGGCCTCCATGGTCTCCTGGAAGTTGTCTTTGTCCTGCTGGCCCGGGATGGGGATGTTACCGTTAGACAGAAAACGGTAGTTGTTGAATCCCTCCAAGAGCAGGTCCGCTGAAGGGATACAGAAATCATAAACATTCAGAAACACGGTAAGGAAATCACTCTTTTATCTCAAAAAGCAGGACTTTGTGGACTGACAAAATTTGAGATTTTAAGTGACCAAATTTTAGTTTACAGCTATGAAAGACAAAGACAACAAAAAGGGCTTTAATGAAAGTCTGCTCACATCTGAGGTGCTCCCCGGCTCCAGCCAGCAACTGGTAGAAAATGTGGAATGTGCGCTCATCTTTGGCTTGACGGATAGCTCTGGATTTCTCCAGTAGGTCTGACATCGAATAGTCAAGAACAAAACCTAAAATGTGGATCAGAGTAATGCAGATATTCTTGCACTTTGTGAACAACTTGACTACAACTATGTTCTAACGTTTTCTGAGCTCTGCTGCTGCTTTTAAACGAGGATACAGGTTTCTATATTTGCTCCAACAATGTAGCCTGTGACATCGAAGTTGATCCGGATGAATTTCCCCTGCAGAGATGAACACAAGAGAAAGTTTTATTCAGTTATAAAGTGCACAGACATGAGTAGTCCAAAGGAACTTTAATAGTGTCCCTCTTGTCCTACTTCAATATTAAATAACCAGGATTAACTCTAACTGAAATCAATTTGTTCTTTGAAGGTCTTTGAAGGTGTGTCCAGCTTCAGAGTTTTTGAAACTGCTTACAGGGAAAAGAACAAATTAAACTATTGAAATTAATTGTTGTCAAAGTGGAAAAATCACCCACATGGAAATTAGGGAAGCATATTGCATTCACCCCCCCCCCCCCAAAAAAAAAAAGGTAAACTGTTTTTCTGAGTAATGTTTTTTCTTTTTTCTGTTTTTCTGATTTTTTTTTCCTTCTGTTTTTTTAACTAATATTTTTCCCCCTCTTTCTGTTTTTTAGACACATTTTTATTCAGTTTCTCATACTATTTTTTTTTCCCGTATTTCTGTTTGTCAGATTTCAAACCCCTCTACACGACTTCAGTTTATCTGTACTTACAAAACGTGACGAGTTGTCATTTTTCACTGTCTTTGCATTTCCAAAAGATTCAAGGATGGGATTGGCCTGCAAAAGCTGACGCTCCAATTCACCCTGTGAAAACAAAAGAGGCATTAAAGAAGTCAAGGCCAGCTGAGAAAATAATTGAAAAAGTAATGGTAAACCACTAATTTCTCATTAAAAAGTACAGAAAACGAACACTAACATGCAGACAGAGACAGCAGACATCTCAAGACTTATCATGTGGTCTTACAGACAGACTGTTAAAATAATTACATTTGGGAAAATTTAAGAAAGATATAGAAAAGATGAAGAGAGTAAGTGTTATAGCCAGACATGCTTCTAAAATTATGTAACAAATAAATCCCACAAAAAGATTTAAGGACAATCCAGGAATCCGGAAAAGTCAAACAATCTCCCAGATAGTGTTGATGTGTTCATAGAGTATAAAGATCGTAACAACTCTGTGTTGCTGTCTGTTTTACGCACAATTGATTTACACCATTCTTATTATCTTATTAGGATTTGTTCTTGAGTCCTCCCTGGTTTTAGAGCATGTTTTTGGGGCCACACTGTTTTCAACCCTCAATCAGAGATGTAAGAAAGTCACATGAGACTCCCCAGAGGTCTCAGAAATGTGTTTTTGAAGTTTTCTACTTCAATGTTAGATTTTGGCATGGCCGTAGAAAACCTGTGTTACTGCTTTACTCAGGACAGGTTGTTTCTGAATCTGTAGATTTGAATACCATTGACCTGGAAGTTGAAATGAAAACCAAATGGAATTGAATCAGAACATAATCAGGACTGAGAGACTCCTGCAGAAGCTCGGACTCAACCGCCACAGCGAGATGTTTCTGAATGGCTTGAAATCAATTTGTCTGATTTGTTGGTACACAGCTGCTGAAAAGTTGCTTAATAGCTAACTAACTGTTATGTATCAGATATCTTTGCAATCAAGTAAATTCCACTTTGAAAAGTTTTATATTTTTGGAGGTTTAGCTACAAAAAAGATGGCTCTTGAGGCCCTGATGTGGATGACGCTCATGATTAATTATGGGAGTTTTTTCGTCGTGAGTAAAGCCAGACAGACAGTCTTGTCAGTGAGAATGTGTTCAGCACACACAACAGAGACACTTAAGCTTCTCTGTCAGACTGGACACTTTCAGAGGCTGAATAAATAAATAAGAGATTATGCAGATGTTTGGACAGGTGGCTCACTGTGCTCCCATCTGAGCCACATTGTGGGTTTTTGAATCCAAAACGGCTCACAGAAAAACAATTTCTCCTGCCATTTCACTTTCCTTCTTGTGGTTAAGTGAAATATTTTCCCTTTATATCAAAAAATGCTGCACACTGAAGGTTGAAAAAACCCATTTTCCACTAAAGGCAGTCCAGCAGGAATCAGCACTGCACTCAGGATGTGAGACATGCAACATGATCAGGATAGGCTACTTCTAATTGAGTTTTTGAGCAGTTGGGATGAAGCGGGGCTGAACCAGATCGACTTGACCCTGGTCCAGCTGTCAGAGGTTTGGTGAATTCAAACCCAAAGCCTTTGTTTCTAAATAAACACAGGCCTGCAGCATAAGCTGGTAGTTAAAATTCTTCATTGGCAACCTCTACCCATCTGTGTGGTCTGCTGTGCACCCATAAAAACAAAGAGCAGATTACAAACACCGACGGGGGGCCAATTCAGCAGCATTACAAGCTGACCCACATTCCTGCTACAAAGTGCACATATCGGACCTCTGACAGCCAAAAGCGACAGCTCCTCTACTGAGAGGGCCAATTGTTGTGATCCCATGTTAGCAGATGAGATATGACAATCAAATAAATGAGAGACACGATCAGTCTCAACAGAACGAAAATCAGTATCTTCTCATTTTTAGTTATGCAGCTGTAGTGCTGTATAAAACGTTTACTGGTAATCGCAACAAGTTCACTCTTATCGAACAACAGGCTTTTCTGCAGGCAAAACAGTGTTTGAGGACAGACTTGACTGAGTGGACTCAAACAGGATCAAAACTGTCCCACTACATATTGAGAGGCAAAGGCCAGAAGTTGTGGATGTGTGTTCACCGCTCAACATCTGCTCCAGAGGCTCACATCAAATCTTACAAGTCGCTCTTTTCACTAGCACTTTTTTGGAAATGGCTCAAGGTTTGAATCTGGATGGGAAGGTGCCAGCGCAGAGAGCTCATCTGAGCCAGCAGAGATTTTAAGGCTGACTCTGACTCAGTAAAAGAGGAGGTCACGGGAGGTTTCTGTTGAATGATTAAAATGAACTGGCCTGTGAGCTCGTGAACACACTTAAGAGTAAATGTATGCTGAATATCGCATCCTGATCTGACTTTCTATTGAGTTTATTCACCCCATGTGTTAAATAAAAATAACATCTAAAAAATGGTACAGCTAGGGCTGGGCGATAAACTGAAAATTTACTAATACCAAATTTTACGACAACATTCGATGTCAAAATAATGAATAAATAAAAATTGGTTTTGAATGTGTGTAGGTAGGCTATGGTCTATACTCCACCCCATCCAGTCAGTAACAAAGAGGGAAAAACAGGTGAGGAGATGGAGGACAGATCAAAAGTTGTAGCGGGTGGAGCGGCAGCTGAAGTAATTAATGTGGGAGGGGGTGAGCAGCTTGTGGAGTAGTTATCGTCCATTTATCGTTATCGAGGTGAACTGCTCAATATATCGTGACATTGATTAGAGGCCATATCGTCCAGCCCTACATACAGCTGTTTTAAGGTTTATATAAACAGATTTTTTTGTATACTGAAATAATAATTGAGGAGTGCTTGGCCTGCAGTAGTGCTGAAAAAGTATTTGTTATATTTTTTAGACATTTTAAATTTAAAGTATGGGTAGTTGTATCTTGTTCAAACATCTAAAGTAAATTAAAGTGATTTATTTACTTTTTTTTTCTGCATTTTGTTTTTTTCACCTGCTGTAGAGAAGTAGCTTGCCTGATGGTTGATTACAAACTTTAGTGTCAGCAGGTTTTAAAAGACAGAATCAAACATTAAACAGGAGGTGTGTTTTTAATAACTAGCTTCATTTTGCACTCACACAAAAACCATAGGATCTCTCAGCTTCTAGCAGCATGTAGCGCTATTAAATAAGGATTAGAGCAGCGATTTATTACTACAGAGGGAGATGCCCTTGTGTTGCAAGTAATGTTAATGCTCAGTGAGAAAAAACAGTAAGTAATAACTCAGTGAGGACAGGACCATGCTTAAGCACATTTGCAGCAGGTGGATTTAGATGGATAAAAAGCTTCTGCTGCACAAACTCCAAGCAAATCAGAGTTAGAAAGTCAAAAAGGTTGAAAGTGAGTTATTTTAGGAGTTAATAGTCAGTACTAACAGAGTGGGTACAGCACCCCTTTCATACTGTCAGTAAGGTGAGATAGTTGAAAAACTACATGCTACTCACATAAAACAGGGGTCCACTCTGTAGGATATGAGGAGATTCAATTTGTTATTATGCAAAAAGATAAAGTGCAGTAATGCCATGAGACAAATGAGCTGGTACTCTAAACTTAGCACTCTAAAATGATGCAAAAACAGAATCCACAACAACCTACATCTGCTGCATTACTACAATTCCTCTATGGGTTATAATCCTCATCCTCTTGATCCGGGTTACTGCAGGTATTCAAGGATAATGGCTAATTGATTTTTTTGTACCATGCACTGAGGTTTACACTGCAGTTCTAGACTGCCTTAATAACTCTTACTCCTAACTGACACTTCTGAGTACAGCAGGCAAACTTAGACAACATAACTTTGCTTTTATATAAAAAAAGCTGTGTATCCAGACAGGTATGATCACCCTCCAAACTCACAACAGTCTTAAACTAGAAAATACCTGTCCTGCTGTCACAAAACCATGTATGAAAAAAAAAGTTTTCCAAAGTACAAGATGGCAGTGCTCCAACAAATGAAAATAACAAAAATAACATGCATGTGACTTTGTTTTCACTGACAATGGATCACATTAACGGCAACCAAAGAGACAAATCTGGACAAAAAGCAAGACATAAACATGAAATTCAAGCATCATGCCAGTTTTTAAAATGTACTTACAATTGTATTTTGTGCCTGACAGAGAGAGACAACAACAAAGCTAGATAAGTTTCTCCCAGAGTGACGCCATGCATTTTTACCCAGTATAGTGTATTAAGTGTCAGCTGTAACTTAAAGTGTCTTTGAGCTTCAACTGTTTGTCCAATCATTCATCAATAAGTCAATTAGATTTGTTTAGGATGAGAATATACTGTAAGGAAAGCATGCATGTAAACACAGTATGTAAAAATCACAAAGACTTGCCTGTAGTTTCACTGGTTTGGGTGATTCTGGCTGTTTGTCACAGATAAACAAATGCAAATTGTTAGATTCTGCGCACACAAACCCGGTGCACTAAGCCACGTCCCAGCACAAATATCAACGTTTTCACTTTTTATACCAACACTTGAACTGTTTGTACTTTTCAGTGACAAATCACACTCCTATCTGCAGTAAAATATTTCCACAACATTTCAACTTTTAAAGGTGTTTTCAGTGGAATACAGCAAGGTGGGGTTTTTCTGTATTTATACAAAATCTTCATTTATATGCACATTTATACAAAAAGCATCAATATGGGAATTCTAAAAGCCTGCTTTAAGTGCCTTTGTAAAAATAAGAACAGGAGACGACAAAAGGCAATACTCACAGGAATGTTGTGGTCCTTTCTTCCTTTGTGGGAGGAGGCAACATGTGCCAGGTACTGAATGACCTTTTTTGTATTTTCTGTCTTTCCAGCTCCTGACTCACCTCTGCGACACAAAGGAAGACAACGCACATAAAAATAGACACCCTCAGAAGAGTCACTATAAAAATCTGCATTTATATTTAACCCTTTTTATCATTAAGTCATTTTCATCACTAATGCTTAATCACTCTATCCGGCCACTAAGTGTTCAGCTAATGAGTTTACCAGGTGCGTGTTGATAAAGACAAACTCCAGCCCCTGTCTCTTCTTCCCAAGGAAATACACATGTATAGTTTTCAAACTATGTAAACGGTACTGGCAGTGTCATCATGTATCTCCTGGTCTTATGGATGCGTGTCCTCCTGCTGTTTTCTGTCTCTGTCATTCAGTAACTGAGGCTTTAAAAAAAAAGGGAGAAAATCTTCTCGAGTCCTCTGAGCCGAGCATAAACTCAGACGGGAGCAGTTTAGATTTAGCACATTCTTGAGGTTTTATAACAAGTGCAAATTTTCATACACCAAGTATGCAAAAATATTGTTTTGCTTTCAGGTTGAGCAAGTGTGATGTGGCTGGAAGTAAAGACTGGGAGAGTGTTACTCAAGTGGCCTAAGTCTTGTTGGCTGCTGTGTTTGAAGGTGATCATGAAGGGAGTAGGCAGTGTCTGCTTTTATGGCCTCGGACAGCTGGGTGTTGGATTTCCCACATTTCAAACAAAAAGTCATAAAGACAGGAAGGACTGACCTTATCAAATCTACTCATTTTGTTTGTGCATCTACACTGACATTCTCAGGATCAGTTTGGAATCAGTTTCATGTTTTCTGTGCTGGAAATAAAAACTGTTTGCACAACATGCTTCCTGAGTGATAAGATCAAGAGTGGAGAGCCTTAACTATGATTGTGAAAACACCAATAATTCACTGAGATCCCATTTTTATTTTTCAGGTCATTTCTCATGTTTGTATGTACTGTACTTAGTGATGTACTTGTTTACATGAATATGTCTGTGTTTGTCCTATTCTGGGAAATCTCTTCTGTATTTACATTTCAGACCACTATAATTATGATACATGATCTTCATCTGCACATGCTTTGATTAAGATGATTGGGAGCTGACACCCACACAGTGATTAGAGTTAATAATAGTGCAGCATGGTTAGGACACAGATGTTCTATAACATGGTTCAGTGCGTTCAAGGGTTGGATCTTATTTTTCTAGTGTTCACTTGAGTTTGAACCGTCGACGCTTCATGACCAAAGTTTACCGTTACATCATCACAGATTGTGCTCATCTCCTGTGTGTGATGTCTGTCTGATCTTTTTTTAATTTGCATAAGACGAACAGAGATTTGTGTTTGTCTGCATAAAGCTGGAGAGCGTGACATCCAATCAAAAATAGTCAGTGAAGAGTGAGCGCTCCTTGTCAGTAGGGGTGGGCGATATGAAAAAATGTTGTGATCACGTTTTTTTTTGTTGTTTTTTTTTAAATCACGATTTTTCCTGGGAAGGGGGGATGAAAAATAGAAATAATAGATAACATTTATGACAGCATAACATTTATCTTAACTAGTCTGGCTACTTCCTGACTCATTTGCATACTAAACAGTGATTGGATGTTTTCTGAGGGGGAGGGGCGTGTGTGTGAGTGAGCCTGAAAAAATACACAGAGCAGAGCGGAAGGACAGAGAAAAGAGAGGAAGCGTACCTTGTCCTTTTTCGGCTGATTTTTGCGCTACCGCAGTCACTTTTATGAACGTATAACACATTAATTCTGTGGGTAAATTAAAATGTGCTTTCTTAACTTTTGATTTGACAGGGCAAGAAATGTATTCAGGCACATGTTAGGGATATAAACACATTACAGACGGTTCTACGATCTCTGTGCTTTGGCAGATTGTCGTCATATCGCACACCCCTACTTGTCAGTGCTGTTCTTTTGTGACTGGCTCACAAAAGGAGCGTGATGTTAGTGAGCTATTAACAGTTATTCACTTTATTAACAGTTTGTTTTCTGCATTTACCCAAATATTGCAACATCCTGGCGTTACTCAACAAAATGCTCTGAAACAAAACCATCTGAGAAGTAAGGACTGAAATAATTTTGGTTTAAATATCACAGATGAAATACTGAAAAGGCTTGGATAGGGCAGCTTTATTTGTGGTGGTATTGTGATCTAATGATTTCAAAGTAAGGTGTGTTCTGCAAGTTATTTTAAGCTCCTGTATGTTTATCTAGAAGGGATAAGTAACATGAACAGATCACTCATCACCAAGCCGTAAGACGGAGCTGCTGTTGCATGGTTTATGTTTCAATACCCTCTCTGGCATTTTCTTTGCCGGCATTCCTGTCATCTTCAGACACTTGTCAGGAGAAAGACGCCAGAGGGCTGCGTGGCAAAAATGTCAGACATTTCTCAGACGCACATTTCTCACTTTTCTCTGTGAGTACTGACAGCCTAGTCAGTGTCAGTGACATGGACTATTTCAAACGACTGTCAAAGCCCAAGGGCAGCTGGTTCACTTTCACTGCTACTGAATCATGTAATTACTGATAAATATCTTAATCAGTTCAATTCAATTCAATCACACACAATTTAGGGATATGATGTCAATAAAGAGGGAAAAAGACAAAATATTATCATTATAAAAGAGAAACATCCAGAACAATACTTTCAGAAAGCTTTAAACAGTAATAAATGTAGTCAAGTAACCCTCTGTACTCACGTGCAAAGGATTGATTGGTCCTCTCGATCTGTAAGAGGCAAACAGAGGAGGGGGGGGTCAAATTCAGTAGTCTGTCTTTAACTTACTCTCCACTGTGCCATCACACTTATGATTGACAAACACACCATCAAAACAGCAGATTGTACATTTGAATTCCAAAGACAAGTTCACTGTGTGTACGGCAGCTGGACATCAAATGTAAAAAAATATCATGTTTTCAAAGCAAAAAGGCTCAGAAAATAAAATAACTGTTTGAAGCTGGCCATGTTTGGTTGGACAGAGCTTAATAGCTTTTCACATCATATAATTACAGATTCGCAAAAACCCAAAATGCCAGTAAAGCGGCACTGTGAAGTCCACCTACTGCAATGAGGAGATAAGGCAATGGCACTCTGAGCTCTATATTGCTGGTATATTACTAGTATGTGTAGAATTCCATGAGGGGTGTAAATTTTTAATTTCTTAGCACTCTGTGATTCATTTCCTTTTTGGTCTGAAATGTAAATGTGTACTGTGCCATGGTCGGTTAGCACTGTGGTCATGTGGTGATAAAATGTGAGATCTAATGTTTCTTTATTGGCCTCTGGGGAAGTTGGGAGAGTAAAGCGTAGTAAGACTGAAATAAGGCAGACTGGACATCTAGTGGCCCCTTGGGGAGGGGGGTGATGTGACGGTGATGTCATGGGAAAAAAGTCTATTGCCTTCCCGTCAATGCCCCCCCACGGAGAGAGGGCCTCCTATCCAGTCACATGGTCGTCTACAGATTAGATAAAAGCTGACGAATCTCCTCTGAAACTCATTTCATTCAGCATTTTGATGTCTATGTACACTGTAAGCTCTACTCAACATAAAAAAATGTTATCTGTTCAAGTAGAGATTATTTTAGTCAAAAATAATCTATACATTCAAACATTTTAAACCAATTGTCTTCTTTCCCACATTATGTTTTAAAACGTCAATAATTATGAATTCTACACAACATTAAATACCAAATTCTATGGGTTAAATAAAGCACCATCAGACAGTCAGAGGTAGCATGAGGCAACCGACTGATTTCATCCTAGCTTACAAATCTTCCTGTACCTTTATTTGATGACTAAGTGCCTGTTCATCACGGGGTTCATCCCTGAGGTAATTGATAGAGGAACTAAAGTGCAGACTCCACATGTTTGTTAATTGAAGGATTCACTGGTGACTGGTGATTGGCACATTGGTGCATTAGCAGATCGAATTTGTCAGAGTTTAAGGGAAAACATAATTTAAAACAAACAAAAGGCTGCGTGCGAGTCAACAAGAGTTTGTTGCAGTAAGAAAACAAATCCTCCTTAACCAGCATATTATTTCTCTGTTCCTGAATTAGTGGATGCAGCCCTGAATGATGGGCCTTGTAAACCTGCTAAATGAGCAGCAAAAAAACAGAAATAAGGCAAAAATATAGGGCTGGGCGATAAACCAAAAATTTACCAATACTGAAATTTACGACAATAACAACATCATTTTGCCCATGTTAATATATTTGGTGTCAAAAATAAATAAATAAAAGTTGGTTTTGGATGTGTGTAGGTAGGCTATGGTCTCATGTCTCTTTGCGACGCTGTTCTACATCAGAGACATGACTTTCCATCCAGTCAGTAACAAAGAGGGAAAGACAGGTGAGGAGATGGAGGACGGTTCAAAAGTTGTAGCGGCTGGAGCGGCTGTTGAAGTAGACAAAGTCAATGTGGGAGGGGTTGAGCAGCTTGTGGAGTAGTTATCGTCAATATATCGTTATCAAGATGAACTGCTCAATACATCGTGATATTGAATTGAAGCCATATTGCCCAGCCCTGCGTAAATACCAAGGAAATTTAGTGAATAAGGAAAACACAAAATTCTACATGGAGCAGGTGGACTGCAGGAACAAACTAGATTGAAATCAAAGAAGTAGGGGTGGTCAAAGAGACGATCATGTACATGATTATCCTCATGGTGCAAATATTGATCTGACTCCAAAACTCTAGTATAGCAGGTTAATTTTACGAGACTGTTTTTTTAAGGTAAGGTAAAATATCTGGGTAGATTCATCATTCTGCAGGTGGACTCCACTCCCCCAACTAAAACAAAAGAGTGACCACATGTTATCAAGCTCCAGCTGTTGCTCTCATCTTGAAATTCTCTCTTTATATATGCAGACAATAATTTAAACTCAGTCTGTAAATGTTGAATCAAAAGACTGGAGTTGGAGTTGGTTTACCGGACTGAAGTGCTGACTGCTGGGTAAAATGATGGAGGGTTATCTGACTGAGGACACAGCTGGATGGCTCATCAGGAACAACCCAGGTTTCCTGACTTGACCAGAAACTTCCTGCAGTAAAGTGTCATTACAAGGGGAATTGGCCTTGTACTCATGCATGCAAGCACAAGCACACACTAAAGCTACTGCCAAGCTATCACGTCAACTAATTCTCTGTGCATGACAGCACACATGCAAACACTACCCCCCGTAAGCCCCCACCTCCTCCTCATCCCTCTTTACATTCACATCCCTATCTGAGTCAGACACAAACACAACGCCGTGCAGGAGGCTCGGCTCTCCTCTATCAGACTGACTGCAGACACAGTGAAAAGATATTATCAGGTCATTGTGAGACTGTTCACTGCTCCATTCAACAATTTGCCAGCTCTGCTGCAACTTTAACAACATCTCCAGACTGAAAAGCACGGATTAATGCTGAAGGACTGTGTGTGTCTGTGCAGAACCACCCAGACAGGCCTGTTATTTCTGTAACATTACTTGATAGTCATAAGAGCTGTTATGTGGGTTTCCCATGATTGGTGATGCTCTTGCCAGCTTCACATGACTCCATAATGTCTGCAGGGCAGTGAAGGTAACCCAACTTAACTCAATTCTTCAGTTAAAGGTTCGGAAATCTGAACAAAGTTTCCAATATAAGGATAATTGTAAGAGTTTTTTTTACACATTGCAAGATTTTTAAAATAATCTCAAAATTAGATTTAAGGAGATGCTTTTAAATCAAATCTGACAAATTAGGTTAAAATTCACCAGTTTTGAGCCAAAAGACAGGCAGATTTGATGTGAGTATTTGTCAGATGGTAAATGTTTGTGTCAGTCGTCTTAGACACTGCTGACAGTGAAAGATTTGAAGATGTCTTAAGGCTTTGACATAAACACAGCAGCTCTGCATGTGGTATTTCTCCCAGTAAGGAGAGAAGAAAAGGGGGTTGGGAAGAGGCAGAGGGGCTGATCTCAGCCTCACGACAGTGAGCTCATTGTAAGGCTGTGGCACGCTGGGCCTGGGCCAGTGTCTGCCACTGATGGCTAATGCCTGTATTTAGAAGTAGCAGTGAAGTGCAAACACTCACCTCAGAAATCAGCGCTGCACGCTAATCGAGCTGTTGATCAAGTGTCACAGCAAGGCAAAAACACACTGATGTCAAAACAAGAGTCTATCAGGTGACTGTTCGGGCTAATAGAGACACATGTACACCGTAAAGCACGCTAATTTTAAGAAGGAAACAGCTTTGTTGAGAAAATAGGAGCTAGAATGATTTTGTATTGTTGGGGCTTAGATGAGTGCAATCAGGTATGCCTGACATTGGACAGTGGATCTGCTGCTGTTCACTCTGTGCAATAAGAGTTTTTAATAAATGTTGAAAATGTTTTCACATTTCAGACTTGTTTGATGTCATTAATTTTCTCCATAACCTACCACTTAAACTTGTGGTTAAATGTCTTATTTGACAACTCCGACTGGTGTTCTCAAGACAAAATGAGTCAAAAATATAGTTTGGAATTATAACATTTTTTATGGGGACTTTTTTTGTTATTGCCAGAGTGGCAAATCTTCTGAGATATCTATTTGGCCCATATCGCCTATCCCTACTCTACACGGATACCTGTGGTGCTCTTCAATGATGCATTCTTTACACAAACATCACAACACCTGTGACACTTTATCTAAAAAAATGGTAAAGTCCTGCAAGTCTAGTATCCCACTCTGACATAACAGTTGTTAAAACCTGCAGTGACCATCATCAGAGACCTTTTATTCATGGACCACCACATATATTTGATTTTCCAGCTAAAATGAAATAGTAGTAGTAGTAGTCAAGGATCCCATGTGGCAATTTTTTTCCCCCATGTGGCAATTATAGGATCTGCTTCTAAGCACCATGGAGGAAAAATTTCAACATGTAACTGAACTAAAACAAAAACAGAGCGAAATCTCTTGAGTGTCTCTGTTTTGAAACATTTCTTGGTGTCAGTAGTGTCCTTTTTGGCACAGAGGAGCTGTCTTAATATTCAGAGGGGGCTGAAAATTGCTTATTAATTTAACATCCCAGAGCGGTTTAAACATCACACTTCTAACCCCATCAAAAAAAAGGCTAAAGGTATGTTTGAAGTATCAGAAATAAAGTCTTGTCTCTATTCTCTTGTCTCCTGCTGCTGAAAAGGGACTAGAGACTGTCACAGAAGTATCCGTCAAAAACATAAAAGTCACGGCAGTCAGTCATTTTAATCACCCATTTTAAGGCCTGTGGCACAGAGGACGCTGATGCTTCAGCCAAAGATCAAGTGATAGGAACAAATGTAGTGGAGACCCAGACTATCAGGTTTTATATGTGTAGATATTTTGAGATGGAAAGTCTCAAATGAAATCCAACAGGGAGATCAACTGTGTCAGACCAAAAGTGATTACTGGATTTAGATTTAAATTCTGGGTGTATTAATGCCAGCTGAGACGAAAAAAACGTATCTAAAAAATCCTAAGGAAAATCTATGATTATTCAAATACAGCGGTAACTAAATAAATCAGTGCTGACACGCACCGTGGAAGCCAATGGAAACTCATTTAGCACCAAAAGGAAAATAAGACATACCAAAGATGATATATTTAAGAGGGACGAGGGTAATAACAAAGGCAGAGGGAGAGTAAATCTTCTACTACTTCTGCTATTGTACAAAGACGTTATGGTCTGATACTCCATCTTACTCTTAGTTCATGATGAAAAGAAAAAAGTTATTTGGTGAAGTGTAAAAACACACCTGAGACTTTACCAGAGAGACTCCAGATAGTAACTGTATGCTGGGTAACAAAAGCCATAAGGTGTAAGATCTCCATCTAATCCATGGAAAATGGCATTGACAAGCAATATGAGCGACACGGGAAATCAACTAACAGAAGTTCAAGTTGACATTTAAAGTCTGACAATCCACCTTCCCTCCCCAAGGATCCTTTGATCCAAACACATCTACAGATCTACAGATGACTTCAGATCTACAAAGGTCACAAGAGCTAACTTTGTGAGATCAAAACAGTTTCAGTGATTGTAAATCTGTCCTCCATCTACAGCTCCTCATGGAATCTTCTAAAAGTGGTGCTTTGTCTTCTCAAAAGATTAGCCAATTTCCTGAGTACTTTATATGTGCCCAGGAGGAGGGTTAAGTCCGAGTTGAAAAGGACATCGAAGCCATTACTGTTTGCTATGGACGTCATCGGTGCCAGGTGGGCCAGAGTTTAGCAAGACTGTTTTCTGTGCCACTATAAACATTCCTCTGCTCACTTCGTGACATTTTCTTGACAGAGTGGATAACACCGCACAATAAAGAGAAAACTAAATACACCAAAGAAGTAATTCAATCTTTTCTCGATATTGTAAACTCTGCTGACATGTGAGAGGAGCTGATAAAATGGACCTGAACAGTGCTTTGGGGAAACTTCACCAACGCCTCGGTTGATAGAGCTTGACATGGCCTACCAGCCTGATTAAACACCAGGGAGAGACTCAAGAGGTGGGGGGGTTGTTGCACCATGTCCAACAGAACAAATACCTCTGTTTCATGACCTCAACCAGGGACACGTTTGACGCTGTTGATGTTCACCAAATGTTGGAACCTACCACAACTGCTGACATTAAGGGTCCTTCAACAAATCTAAGTAGGATCAGCATTTCCTCCAAACATGTTTCCAGATCTGATAAGGTTAGCATATTGTACGTCAGAGTTTAAAATGGCTATGCAGGGAGTGAAATTATGTGTAGTATCTGGGTAATCAATGACAGACGTGCAATAAGTTCTCGGGGTCTGTAACACACCCTGTCTTTGTTGGGTAACACCTCATTTAACCTCCCATCTGAGCAGTGACTGGTTTCACAGCAACGGTGAGGTAATTAACAGATCCCTGCCAGGTTCAAACACCCCTCAGCCGCAAATAAGATTCGTCCATGCGTTCAGCTCCACGGGTCATAAAACAGAAGCTACAAATTATCTGCCTGGAGTGTACTTTGTTGTTCATATGGCAACTAACACCTAAAAGTCTTAATGTAACGTGTGAAAAGTCTATTAGTAATGACTGACATTTCATGAAACCATGTGAGACAACTGGGACTAGGCAAGACCAGTAGATAGAAGAACCATGCGGTTTGAACTCTTGCCATTTTTAATTTTCTTTATTAGGACTACAGCTGCAACTCGTATTTTTAAATGTCAGCTCATAACTATTGCATGTAATCTTATTTAATGTTTATCTAAAAATATGTGTGGATAATAGGTGTTAAATATATCTGCTTTGCCCTGTCAAAATTACTAAGTGTCATCTATTGATTTAATTCTTGGGTTACTTTGTAAAAATTGTTTGTGTTTTGTACAAACGCTTTGATTTTTCTCTCTCCTTTCTGCCTTCTATATGCAGTCAGCAACATTCATCTTTGAAGGGGGTGTCTAACTCAGTGTTAAAGTTGTAAATCTACAACGTAATATCCCTTGAACACTGATTCCACTTTCATGGTCAAGTTACATGTTTTTATCTGTGCCCTAATAAAGTGCTCTACTATCCAGATGTAACCAAGCACAGGTGACAGGTGGCACCTTATATCCCTGTGTGGTGTTACTGGATTTTGATCCAGTAAATGGATATGAAGCGACATGTTCTAGTATGTCTGTAGCATGTATGTCAGCACAGGTATGTGGACATTGACCTCCAGGGAGAACTGGAGGCTGCTGGTGTTAGCTGTGTTAAAATCTGCCCCATTCAGAAAACCACAGACACATAGTTTCCTCATTGAGCTGAAACATTTTTAATTCACTCATCTATCAAAAGGTTACTGACTTCCAGAAAATGCAATAAAAAAACTCTGTTCATTACAACATCACAAGATAATATCCTGACAGACAAATCCATGGCAATCTCCGATTTCAAACGCTTAAGAAATATGCAGCCATTACGTCTTTCTTTCCAGTGACTTCATTGCCCACTTCAAAAGAAAGTGGAGAAAAGCTTTAGTGCTAATCTTAACGGCTGGAAATTCACTATTAACCAGGTTGCTGAAGTGCTCAGGGCCACAGCTGAACAGCAGCTGGCCTCCACTAATCTGCAACCTACAAACCTCCTTTTCAACCACAACACTCTTAATTCTGATACGACCATGACTGAAAATGGGTTGCAGTAGCCGTGCATTAAAAACACAGGCCAGACTTGTGATATTGTAAGACATGTAAAACACATGTGGGACTGTGAACAGCTCCAGGGCAGAGGTCACTGCTTTGACAAATGTAATAAACACAGAAATACGTTGAATCAATGCAGTTCTTATTGATGGGTTTCTCTGCCCTGCCCCCCATGCATTTATGTCCACTCATGTAGAAACACAGTGTGGAGTGAGCACAGGGTGTGTATAACAACAAAAACTAGCAGGACTAAATGACGGGCTGGCATAGCTCCAAAACTGCTGAGATAGAGCGAATACTAAAACCATGGTCCTGTGCTTGCACTTAACTTGAAGTGAGGAATTAGGACCATTCACCCAACATGAAAACAAGCATATTTGAACTACAACTTAGATTTAACCATTACCAAAAAAGGTAAGAGTAAAAAAAACACCAGCAGATGTGATCTATGACAGCAGTCTTTGTTCAAATAGGATGAAGGGATCATCAAGCTACTTGTTGACATGACTGAAACTTCCTTCTGCGTTCAAACATGTGGAGAGCAAAGCCTAAAGGGATTGATGGGACTGTCCGGTTTATCACCACCCCCACTGGTCAGCCCGCAATCACATAAAGAACCTATTGTCAGGCACAATAGGGTCACCCTCTCTGTTCTCGCTGGTCTGATCCCAGTAAGTCACAACTCATAGGACCTGGAGGCTTGCCATCCACCGGGCAAGGATGTTTGTAGACATCATTTGAGAAGATCACCTTCTCTTACAAGATTTTATGCTTCCAAATGAATTAAAAACAAATTAAACTCTAAAGACAAAACCTTAAATTGAAGAAGGGAAAATTAGCAGCAACATTTCCTCATGACATCAACCCACTCAAAGCCATGTCAGAGCAAAGAGGGAGATTATATCATCATGTCTTACTTGAGGTTGAAAATAGGAGAAGTCAATGTGTGCTTTTTTAGCGAAACAAGAAGACACGGTTTAAATCGGGGTATGAATCTTTCAATACCTCACAATTTGATTTTGATTCTTGAGGCCAGGGTTCGATGGCACATAAACACTCAATTCAAAGCAAATCATGATTCTCTCTCTTAGGACTGCTTATTTCAGCATTTACTTCAATCTGCTTTGTTAACATTTCTTAGTAGGGCTGGGCGATATGGCCTCAAATCAATATCATGATATATTGAGAAGTTCACCTCAATAACAATAAATGGACGATAACTCCACAAGCTGCTCACCCCCTACCACATTAACTTCAGCTGCTACAACTTTTGAACTGTCCTCCATCTCCTTACCTGTCTTTCCCTCTTTGTTACGGACTGGATGGGGTGGAGTCACACATGAGAGGGACATGAGACCATAGCCTACCTACACACATTTAAAACCAACTTTTATTGGTCATTTATTTTTAACACTGAATATACCGATATCGGCAAAATGAGGTTGGTAATTGTTCTAAATTTCATATAGTAAATTTTTGGTTTATTGCCCTGCCCTATTTCTTAGGACATTTAAAGACCTTCAGGTCCAAGTGATGCTCAACAACATGGAAGACTTGAGGCAGCTGCCTCTGCATTTACTGAGGACTTGATCAAAAAAGGGTTCAGAATTTTTCAGATTTGTAGGAATGCTTAACAGAACTTGGACTCATTCACACATTGTCGGCATTACTGCCTATCAGTCACATTTTTTAGTTACTTTTGCAGAAAAAGAAGCTGTGTGCTCTGCAGTCGGATTGTTCTGCTTAACTTTCACAGCTTCCTTAGCAATGGAGAATACACTCACTCTCAGGTCCATCAAAGTCAAAGAGGCAGCGGTTCTTAATATTGTTTTGCCCCTTCTAAATTGTCTTGAAGTTTTGTGAAGTGGTGCAGTATGTGCTGATCGGCTGTTGCTGACATTTTTTCTACTTCTTTAAACTCCAGGTGGTGTTGTGAGAGCTTTCACTTTGCACACTTGGTATATAGAATATGTCATGCCCTGCTCCTGTACATCCTAGAAGTATCCTAAAGTGAACCCAGATACAGGCCTTTGATGAAGACGGAAAAACCCCGATCTTTATTGCTGCACAGATGTAAATCAGTGACAGTGAGAGCAAGATTGAGAACAATAGGTCTGTTCATGCACAGTATAAAAAGGGAAAAAATCTATTTCAGGACCTGTCAGTGCAATTCAAAACCATAGAAACTAAGAAATGCAATTCTGACAATAATCAAATTTTCCAAAGAATTCCAAAATGGGTCAATTCAATGGGTCATATCAGGTGAGATTTTTTTAGTGCTCAGACTCACCTTGTAGCATACATCTATATGCGGACTCTGAGATGGCATAGATGTGAGGGGGCATTTCGTGCCTCTTTTTGCCCCTGTACATCTCGATGATATTGTCTGAGTAGATGGGCAGGTTTTTGTAGGGATTTATGACAACGCAGAAGAGTCCGGAGTATGTCTGTAAAAATGGAAACATAATGAACAGTTAATTCATCACACAGCAGCAACAACATCACTTATCTGTATTTGATGATAATAAACACAAAGGGAATAGCATGAACTTCAGTGGGCTGTTATTGGATGAAATATCATATGGGAAGGTTTAAAGAAACATGGCTGACTGTCAAGTTAAGTAGACACTGATTATGTCTCCTGTGGAGATCAAGTATGACTTCCTTCATTATTTTCTAAATTCGTGGACTTTGCGCAAGAAGATTTTTATACTTCTCACTTTGTTATGAAATAGCTTTTTACAAACAACAACGATCTCTAGTGAGATTTGATCATTAACATTATTGTCAGCCTCATAAAGGCTAATGATGATGGTAAGGCTGGCTGTTTGACTCCATTTCCAATAATCCACTCTTTTGAAGCCCCAATATATGCTTTTGCACACCTTCAACATGCTGGTATAACGAGACAGAAACATATTAAGCAGTTGAGTATTAAAAGAAATATCTACAAAATAAAGCATACCAAGAATGTCTTTTCAAAATAAAAGTGCTCCATGACTCCTATAAAAGGCAGTCAAATGGTCTTGACAGTAACTGAGATATCTGACAGGTCATGTTACAGTCAAGAGAAGGTAGAGCTACTCTGACAGATGCAGCACAAGGTGACACTTACCCTGTGGAAAATCTCAGACAATCTCTGCATGAGTCAAAGGACCGATCTTGACCACTCATTCATACAAAAGAGTCAACTTGTCAACTTCAATGAATGCCAAAATTTCTCCTTAATTCCCCACACAATCTGTGCCACTTATGAACATATCTGTTTGTACTAGTGTTTCTTGGAGAGGGGCAGATTATGAATACAGGGATCATGTCAGAAACTGTTCACAGCTGCAGACTGCTTGCATGCTTCTAAGTATCCATCAGTGTTTCAGATTCTTGCTTCCCTCACTTTTTTTCCCCCTTTCTCTCTTTTTTTTCTCCCAACCAAACCAGCAATTTTATCCAGACAGTTTTGGCTGACAAGAGAAATTCTTTAATCCACATAGTATATAGGTCCCCCAGCTGTATAATGCAGACAGACGTGCAGACAGACAGGCCGAGATAGGGTTAATCCCTGATATGTCTGCTGCTGGGAGAATCCATTAACTTCCTACAGTATGGGACACGCAGTGTACAGTCGACTCTTGTGGATTAAGGCTCAAATCTGAGTCGGATCAAAAGTCCTTATAAATCATGCAATTGCAAACTTTTCCGGGGATAAATTGCAGCCATCCATCCATCCAATTATAATTAGAGAAAAAATGAGATTTCTGCAACTTTTACTTGTCCTTAGTTTTGAAATCATGTCAAAGGTTTATTGCCTTTTCATTTCTCAACTTCATCATCCCCTATCTTTCCTGCATCTCTCCATGTTTTCAGCTTTCTATTAACTGTGTTCAGCAGGGCTGAAAATGCACATTGTTTTTCTTCAGTATGTTGTCTGTGATGGTAAAAAGGCCTGAAGCCTGCTGCTAACCCTGCTGTTGAACTGGAACAATGGTGGCATGACCGAAGTATGCTGTGGAAGCAGGGGGACCTCTGACCAGAGTTTATGTTAGCCAGTATTGACCAGCTTTTGGCCACATTTAAGTTCAGCTGTAGGGCTGGGCAATATGGCCTCAAATCAATATCACGATATATTGAGAAGTTCACCGCTATAACGATAAATGGACGATAACTACTCTACAAGCTGCTCACCCCCTCCCACATTAACTTCGTACACTTCAGCTGCTGCTCCAACTTTTGAACCGTCCTCCATCTCCTCACCTGTCTTTCCCTCTTTGTTACGGACTGGATAGGGTGGAGTCACATCTCTAATATAGGACAGCTTCTTAAAGGGACATGAGACCATACCCTTCCCACACATATCCAAAAACAACTTTTATTGATTTTATTTTCTTGACATCAAATATACTGACATGGGCAAAATGACATTGGTTATTGTTATAAATTTCGATATAGGTACATTTTTCGAATTATCGCTGTGCCCTAGCTGTACCATTATTTTTTCATAGATTTTTATTTAATGCATGGGGAGAATAAACTCAATAGAAAGTGAGTAAATTTCGGTATCTGTAAATTTTTGGTTTATCCACCAGCCCTATTTAACTGTGCGGTGGATAGAGATTTCATTAGCCAAAATGTTAGGGTTAGGCAAGCCTGATGTGGGCAAAAAAGGTTTTATAAAGGTTTAAGTAGCCAATTTAAATAGAAACAGAAGTGCAGAAAAACAGGTGAAATCCCACAGAGTTATTGGCACATGATGACTGGCTTTAACTGTGTGAGCAAACCAGAAACATACAGAACAGTGACACACTTGAAGGTTGACACTAAGAGTGGTATTAACTGCTGTGGTCCATGATTTTTGGAGTGTGTGTGTGTGTGTGTGTAGGTGCATGTTCTATCACCAGATGGCCATGAAACCCCCCCACCCCACCTCTACAGTGTGCACAGATGCTTTAGACACAGCTCTGTACAACAACCTAAGCCCACAGATTTGTTACTCTTGAATCGTCAGCAGCACTACTGCTCGAGATTCCTGTTGATTGAAATCAATCCACACACTGCTAATTCCATCTATGTGTGAAAAATGCTTAGATAAAGGTCAGGGTATTTTACAAGGCTGCTGCCATAATAACTCCCTTCCCCAGCCCCCCTGTGGTGGGCACAGTGCCAGACAGACAGATCAGCGCTCCTGACCCCGCTTGGGCTGCAGGCAGCAGGGGGAGAGATGACTCAGCTGGCTGCCCTTGATGATGGAGACCAGGGGGTATCTGGGGGATTAGGGGAGCTCTGAGGGCACTGGGTAGGACCCCTACACAACCAGGCAAAACAAGATACCATCCAGCCTGACTGTTGCATGGGGGTGTTGAGCTGTAAAAATCGTAGTCCCTTAGGTGAACAAGTTGTTATCATAATGTTAGTTAAAAGCAAATACAATTAAAACTTTACTCAGATCTACAACTCGTACTTTACACGCGTGTCTGTGAGACTGAACTTTCCATTTAAGAAAGATACTCTCATGAAAAACTGTGTGCACGTTAAAAAAAAAGTCTTTTGTGAAGGCTGAGTCAGTCTGTCCTGGTGTGAGCAAAGTTCAGGAATGTAACACAATCACAGTGAAGTGCATGATCACCTTGGTTTGTTGAGTTACAGGAGTCAGCTTAAAAGGCTCTGGATAAGTTCAGGGTTAAGTCAGGGTTTAGTGGGTGAGTAAAAGCCTGTGATTTTGGTTCACTGTAATAAGTAAGTAAAGCAGCTGTTTTATGTAACACTACAATAAAGTCAAGTGGTTAGACTTCACCTGATACTTAGTTACTCAGTTAATTAGCTGCAAAAACCAATCCCATCAATCATCAAAAAGAAAACAGCAACTGCCTATGGTTATGTATGTGCATTTGTAGATTTTGTAAAATCTACATTTAGGAGGAATGTGTGTCACTGATATCAGTATAACCCCCCACACCCACGTACAATAATTAGTGGTAAGCTCATGGCTTGAAAGAACAACAACCAATCGCCTAAGATCATTTAAGATGGTTTTGAGCAAATAAATGGGTTTGTGATGGTCCACACAGCTGTAAACCCACAAAACCAGAAAGGCTGTGGTCAAAAGAGAAGAACTCTGACACAGTTGAAAGAGATCCCAGACTCTCAGAAATGTCCACATAAATGTCTTGTAAACAAGCAGTGCTTAGCAACAGGACCTCTCTCAATGGGAAAAGGGGAAACAATTTCTGGAGTCTCTGCTGTTGTGGAAATCAGTGCCCCTAAATTCTGACACAGCTGAACTAAATGGGCTTTAAAACAAAAACAAAACATGTGAGTATCTTTTGTATGCCTTTACTGGCTTTCACAGGGAATAAGATGAGTATGTCTTTCACAACACACTTTAATTTATTCCAAAGTGTCCTGAAAGCCTATGATGGCTCTAAATCTTAAGGTGCTCTTAATCTCATACTTGATTAAAATATGAACCTGTCATCACTCTGTGCTTTTGGAGACTTAGCAGAGGAGGCTTACCTAAATTCAGACAGCTTGGATAGCTGTGGGGAGTGAATCTTTCCAAAGTGTAGCAAAGATGACAGCACTAAGAAAAACTATATAAAAAAAAAAAAACATTTTTGAAACAATCAGTGAGGAATTCCAGTTCTCTTGTCATCACTGTAACTACACTAGGGCTGGGCGATAAACTGAAAATTTACTGATACCGAAATTTACGACAATAACTAACATCAATTTGCCCATAACGGTGTATTCTGTGTCAAAAACATAAATAAATAAAAGTTGGTTTTAGGCTATGGTCTCATGTCCCTTTAAGATGCTGTTCTATGTCAGAGACGTGACTCCACCCTTTCCAGTCTGTAACAAAGAGGGAAAGACAGGTGAGGAGATGGAGGACGGTTCAAAAGTTGGAGCAGCTGGAGCCGTGGCTGAAGTAGACAAAGTTAATGTGGGAGGGGGTGAGCAGCTTGTGGAGTAGTTATCGTCCATTTATCGTTATCAAGGTGAACTGCTCAATATATTGTGATACTGATTTGAGGCCATATCGCCCAGCCCTACACTACACTCATCTGCAAAAAATCATAGTATGATGTTTTGTGAGTCACTGAGTAGGGACTTTCACTTGCAAATAGCTAAAATAAATCAAAGAGGGTGTCACAATCATGTGCTAGGAGTTATTACGACCTATATTTTTATTGCTGCACCTCGGCCAAAGCAGAAACGGGCATCTGTGAAGCAATTATGTAAAGTTTAGACCTAAAAAACAAACTGAACCCTATGATTTTTGCTTTTTCTCATTTAAACAATCAAGAAAAAAACTGATTTGATGGCGGGTTTTCATCAGTGAACATAGACACTGGTGCCCAGAAACAGCTGGCTAAGACTAAAAAAAAAAAAAAGAGAGAGACAGTCTACAGATAAGTACATGGATATCTAGGAAAAGCTGTAAGCCTGGAGCTGCCCACCATCCTCTTCAGGATGTACACTCAGCATTATCAGTACAACAAAGGATGAGCGTGTAGTGGCCTGCTTTCAATAATGAATTACAATGACATCATCATCCCTATACCAAGTCCTCCTTTCTCTCGAGTCCCTTGGTTGAAAGGTTGAACCATGACTGGTCAACCATGCTTATTGGCATGACTTTCGTATCCATCCGTGGTTCAATGACTGAAACATTAAAGCAACCCAAAATTGCCCATTGGTCCATTAAGTACTTAAAGAAAAAATATCATGATGTCTTGATGTCTACAAACCTGAAGCAGGATCTACAGAGCGCTCCACATATTAAAGTAATGAGGACATACCAGCGCTATGCTGGGCTTGTCTGACCTAAAAAGTCACACAGTCGGAAACAAACAACAACACTAAATAAGAAAACATGTCTACTCAGACATGCTGCAGTAATTAACCAATTAACACCCAATTCAGGCATTAAGTCTGTTGGCTGCATGACTGCTGCTGCATGTGATGGCTCCTGTCTGTGCCATCATGGCATTCGCACAGGCTACAAGCTGGTTCTCTGTCAGCCATGTCTCTCCCACAGGGTTCATCTCTAAAATATGGCCATAAACCAGCATTAAAATGTCATGCCTTCATATATGTCAAGATTGATTCTTTACAGGAAAGGAATAAGGACATGTGTGATCGACGGCAAATCATGATCCAAACATCTGAATAAAATCTCTTAATTACTCCTCACTTAACAGGCTGTTCGATATTTCTACGCAGGACTTCTTTCAGGGATTAAGATTTTCGAAACCATCTCTTTCATGTTAAGAACTGGTCCTTAATTTACATTCAAAGCAGCCATCTGTGCCACACACAGTGACAGAGAGATGGGGGTGTGTGATATGTATTTTTTGAACTTAATACATTGTTGTTTTAACTATGTGAGAAAGGACAATATTGAGTATGTTGCTCATTTTGTAAAATAACAATCAAAAGACGTCTTGAGAGCCTAGTGTTGCCCAGACACAAAGAACACCTAAGCAGCCCAACTAAGTTCATTTCTGGCCACCCCAGTATAGTCGCTGACTGGTTTTACATTTTGATTCCTCTATTCTTTTTTTAAACATATAAAATCATCATCCCTAATCAATGATTTATCACTCTCAGCCCTGATAACCTACACACAACAGGCCATGGTGAGAGAGTTGCTCCTAGTAAGCACTGACTTAGGAACTGCCTTTCACGTTTTGTTTTTTTTCTTTTACATAACCTGTCTTTATTGATATCATTAGTAACATTTAATGGAATGATTTCACAGCATGAAAGCTGTAGAAAAAGGAAATGTCTGGAATAATGAAGAACAGCGAGAACATTTAAAGGCTGAGAGGAATTATCTGATAATTACGCATCAGTCTTCTGACACCAAAACTGAAAGAGTTTCAATTATTTCAGCAGACAGCTGTGACTTATAAGGGAACACAAAGAACTCTGTTAAGACCATGTGGTTACAGTGTGACTCAGCACAGGCCACCCTGAGCATAAAAATGGGGCTGGGGTCACAGGAATACCCTCTGAAGATACTGACAAATACAGCAGTGTTCTTTTTAAAAAGAGAAGAGAGTTAATGGAAACAGTTCTGTTGCTTGTTAAGCTAAAGTTTTTTTTTGGTTGTTTTTGTTGCTGTAAATGCCAAAAAGAAGCGAGAAACCAATTATGTCCTTTTGTCCACAGATTTCCAAAGAGATCCATTTAAACTTGTGTTAAAATAGTTTCCTTTGAGAATTTGTCAGACTACAAAATCATGACCAGGGTTTGGACGTTTTCAATCCAATCCCAGAGACAAACAACTTCTGCTTTCAGCAGATATGAACAGAAAAAGCCTTGGCAGGAAGCCATCAGTAGACAGTGACCACATGGCAGAGCTCACACTGCTGCCTGGTCAGAACCCAAAACACACAGCATTAATTATGTATTGGTTATCTGTTATATTTAGCTTCAGTGCTGCAGAGGACCAGAATAAAACATGTAACAAATATATAATAAATATTATAAAAGGAAAGGCTATTCTAAGCGTGATACCCCCTCACGAAGCTTTTAGCCATTTACACAATTACAAGATCAATAAGCCAATCAACTAGTACTTGTCACCAAGTGTTCGTTCCTAAACTGTTTGGCCATTCTTGAAGTGAATTTCTGTTTTTTTAAGTATGAAAATTTTCCAGTTTTTAGTTTTCCACGATGGTTAGCTGGATAACTTTTCAGTTGTATTGGTTGCAACCCTGTTTCTATTTGCTATGCACCTAGAAAATAGTCAAACATTATCTTTGAAATATTACCTAATGACTAAATATAAAAGATGCAACAATCCAATCTGGGTATCCTATATCAGTCTGATACTGACACAAAAAGCAAGATCCATGACTAAAGTAAGGAAAGGCTGATCAATGAGGCCAATCTTTTCTACTCAGTTCTATGCTATTTTGTGTTTACGGCAACCATGTGTGCACACTACCTCATCACGCATTGGGAGGTCTGTGCATTTTGCTGGGCTAAGAGCTAGTGTAGCATGGAAGGAGCTAACCACAAAGGCTCAAAGGTCTGGATGTCTTTCACACCAATAACCGAGGTAGGGTTGGCAAGCTGGTGGTGGTGTAGTGACATTTGACACAACCAATTCAACCGTGTACTTCAAGAATCATTATCAAGAACGCCATGAGCTCAACTGAACAGAACAGAGGCAAAGCAAAACTACTCTGCAAAGAAGCAAGAAACTTCCAACCTATGATTTGAAAGCGAGAAAATAAACTAGAGACGTTTCCTGAATTCATCATTTTCCCAAGCATACAGAAAATGAAACTCTTGATAACGCCACGGTTGGACAGTTTGGATCCATAAAGAGAAAGAAAGTCCACGGATGGCTTTCTGTAGTTATCCCACTGTGGGTCATAATGGCATAGTAATGGAGGTTTGCCAGGTCCTTTACAGGATGATGGCAACTTTGTAGTCAAGTCTCATAAACACTTAGAGCGGATAAAGTCTTCATTAACCCGTGGCCCGTCATGACTTCATCTACAGTGCTCCCAAAGCACCATCTAAATGAGGCAGAAAACCACAAACATACTTAAGACTGCAGCTCATTTTTCTGTTCGAGAAGCCAGCAGCCTTTTCTCTAGCCCTAACATTTGAACTGGAAGCAAAGCAAGATAAAGAAAATAGATATATATGGTAATTTATGTGCAAAAAGTTAGTAACAGAGCGTCATGACTGAACAGGAAGCAACTTTAACTCCTTCTTACACTCTACCTACAGTCAAACCCAATTCAAGCAACGTCGCTCAGTCTTTTTGTGCCCCGGTCTTAAAGCAGGAACCCCGTGGCCCAAACCTCCTCCTCCAGTCTCAGGTGGCCCACAGGCTCCGGGCTATTCCAGGAATGCATGTTGCTAAGTGGGTCATAATCTCAGGGGAAATCAGCAGCTTATGTAGGACATGCTGACTTATTCATTGAAGGAAATATGTTTCAGTCTCTTGACTCCACAAGATATTTTGACGTTTGGTTAGAATAGCCATTTTTTTTATAATTTTACAAAGACTATCATCATGTCACCAGTTCTCACTGACAAACTAGAAGGTACTTGCTCTCTATTTTAAAACAAATATTTAAAAAATCGATGGCGATTTCAGCAGTGTGATAAAAAAAAACATGATGATACGTGTTCACTGCCTTGGCTCACAAGGGCATTACTGAGCTTTATAATTCATACAACAAATAAAAAAGTACTTTCTACCCGAATGCTTACTTAATTTTACATATTTTCTTAAAGCTAAAAAAAGATATCAACTCTTACGCTGACAAATCACGACAACCAAAGCTGCAGCGAAGAACTTTGTGTTCATTTTTGTGAAGCTCTTGATGAGAAAAATGGTATGCCTGTTTTTCGACAAGGCTGTTTCTGCGCACCTGTTTTCGTTGGTCAGATAATGTCGTTCTGTTGTAGAGGTGAGGTCACTTAAATTCTCCATAATGGTACATTTACATGAACATAAGCCAACAGCAACCTTTAGTAAGGCTAGATGTGCAAAAGCATTTTTTACCTCTTTGTTAAGTTCATAGAGAAGTCTTTCAATAAACCAACAAAAGAAAACTCTGCCCTTCAATTCCTTTAAGTGGCTAATGTACTACTCAAACTTTGTCTGGGAAAATGTAAACAGAGGCTGTTCAACTCTGCTCATCTTAATTGCTTCATTAGATTTCCAGCTGGTGAGAGTAGAAACATTCATTAAAAATAACAAGGGAGAAACAGTGGATCTCCTTCTGGTTAAGTCTGGTTTGCCACGTGGAGACATACATTTTAAAACCAAGGCTGTTTCATGACTAGTTAAAGATATGATGGTGATGTTTCGAATAATCAATTATCAATGAACATTTGGAAAGATGTTATTGAAACGTGTTAGTTGTACTCACATATATGAGGCCAGAGTAGTAGCGGTCTTTGAGGTTGTGAAGCACAGACGCTTCGTTGAGGCAGGTGAGATCAGCCATGTCTTCTACTTTGCTAAACTTTGGCGGGTTCATCTTCTGGATGTCGTCCTTGTTGACTACTGCTTTCTTCCCATTCTCCGCTAGCTCCACCACCACCTCATCACCTCGTTCCTCTCTAATACTGGCAGCCTCAAAGCCGTGCCGCTCCGATGGGATCCATACTAGCCTTTTAGCTGTCCAGTCTGCTTGAGCAGCCGGGTTGTAGATCACAGCGCGGTCCACAAAGAGGTACCGCTCCGGGTCCTCCTGCCCACTCCTTTGTGACATTGCTGCTGGAAACCAGAAGCAGTACACACTAGGCTACCTGTAGAATGACAGAAAAGGAATAGCATTGATTTAACTGACAAAAAACGTTACAATGAAAATTCCTCCAACCGACTGCATGCCGATGTTTGCTGTGTAGGCCACAGATGAGATTAAATGACATAAAACTGTTGCGGAAAAAAGGGTTATTTCAATAGCCAAGCTTTTAATAACCCTTGTCTGAGCAACAAAATATACTAAAATTCACTTTATTTATTCACATCTGAGGTGTGTAGCCCATAAATGAGTAACTGTTGGTCTTTTCCTGTGCTTAACATGATGGCTTCATGAGTACATGAAGTCATCATGTTGAGCTCACCCCAATCAAACACCTTAATCTAGGGCTGGGCGATATGGCCTCGAATCAATATCACGATATATTGAGCAGTTCACCTCGATAACGATAAGTGGACGATAACTACTCCACAAGCGGCTCACCCACTCCCACATTAACCTTGTCTACCACTCCATCCTTTTTGAACAACTTTTGAACCGTCCTCAATCTCCTAACATCTCTGCCGTAGGACAGCATCTTAAAAGGGACATGAGACCATAGCCTACCTATACACATCCAAAACCAACGTTAACTTATTTATTTTTGACACCGAATATACCAATATGGACAAAATGGAGTTGGTTATTGTCGTAAATTCCAGTATCAGTAAATTTTCGGTTTATCGCCCAGCCCTACCTTAATCCACAAAGGACAGCAAAACACAGAATCCTATCAAGCTAAATTGACATGAAATAAGAAAAACAAGATTAAAAAGACTGTATTTCATTTTTGGCTGTAGTTTATGGTATGAGAAGTTCTGCCAGGAACAAGTTACCTCACTGTCTTCTACACGCATAAAGATCAGCTGAGTGGAGACAGAGTTTCTGAGTTGATTCAGGCTGTGTCATGGCCTCAGAGTCACAGGGATAAAAAGATCCGTGTGACAACTGATGTACCACAAAGGAAGAGAGAGACTTTAGTAGAGTTCAATCAGTCCATGCCTAATGGTTAAAAATAATGCTTTCATAGCTCTGATACTGAACAAGAAGAAGAACAGTCTATTCTTACTCACAGCTTGAAAATGTCAGCGGTTTGTATTTTCCAATCTGGCAGTAGAAACTTATCACTGGAGCTTTTTAAGGACAGCTACAATGGTTTAACAGACAGAGCAAAACCCCTGACTGTTGATGAGTATTTATAACATTATAGTTCAAATATCGATTTAACATAGTTGGAGTTAATACATGTAATGGTTAACTGCTGAAAGGATGATGCAGCTTCTTAAATGGTAACTGCTTGCCTGTCAAATTAAGCAGGCACTGGTGATGACTAACCATATATCAATGTACACTTGGCATGAATTTTGCTCTGTTGAAAGCACTAGACCCACTCTGGGTGCATCTACAGTCTGTGCATGCATGTGCAGAAAAAGAAAGCATCTCGACAAAGTCAAAATTTTCCATACTGAGTAACTTTTCAAAACCAAAACTGTGCAATACCACAATTTCTTCACAGTATCAATAGTTCCAGAGTATCAAAAAGCACCACACCCTACAACAAATAAAAGATCCATGCTCATATTTTCAACTAGCGGCTGCCATAAGCACATGAAAGTGAGAGGAGCAGTTGTGGTTAATCAACGTAGAAACAGAGAAGAAAGAGAGTGCAAGTGATTAATGCTGCGATAAGTTCTCTGTTTGTTTCCCAGCTTTTAAACTCTTAAAAACTTAAACTAATTCATTCCTTGGAACAAATATACAGGTAGGCACCTGATTTGGTTTGCTAACTACTGAAATCATGGTTCTTCTTCCTGCCTGCTGTGTGTCTCAACACTCTTCTCAATAATAGGTCAGCAAATACTGATGTTTAAGACATCTTTAAGCATCTATCAGTTTTTAAGATACACATACTGCATTTATGCCCATCTCAGATAGAGAGCAGACGAGGAAGATGGCTGTGTCCCCTTGTCTTTGTATGTTTTCTAGTTCTGACCTGCAGACTATTGACAGGGAACTATACAACACTATAAAATGATCGACAATCATAAAATCACAGCATTTTGTAAGAAACTTTGACAAACAGACAGAGAGCACCCACTCTGCAGATACACACATCACTGCACACCACCTCTGGATGATGACTAATTCAGATTAAATATTTCATTTCATTCAAATACCTTATTTTAAACTTGTATCATATCAGATTAAAATGAACATTCTGCTAAAGTGATAACCCCATTCTCAACCATCAATAACAGCAGAGTTCTGAATCATCATTACTACAAACAGGGTACCTAAGGCACCACCACAGCATCTTTTGTGTTTCTTTTGGTTGACATGCTATCGTTTAACAAATTGGGGAACTTTGCAAAAATAATGTGTTGTGTATCATCTGCATTTTGCTTCTAACCAGAAGGACTGGGTTAGCCCACACAGAATGTTGTTCCAGCTTCGAGCCCTTTACACCTCCATCCCTGCGTATCACCAACCCACGTGCTCACTTACTTTTCCATTTAAAGCACTTCATTTGCACAGGGGAACCCTAGCTGTGTTATTAAGATAAAACAATGAAAGATCTAAGGTTTGCTGAAGATAGATTGAAAAGTTACCTTCTATCAAAGACTGGCCTTTAAACAAGAACAGGGAGGTTTAAGTAATTCATAACTCTGTTAACTGGCTAACAAACAACCCCTTTTCTTTGAGAATATGCTGGACATTTTCTGGTTTATGATGAATATGTAATGAAATTCAGAGGGTGGTGGTTGAACAACACGTAAGTTGACCATAGGAGACCACTTTTTCTGCCATGCTATATTATCAAGACAGTTATGTTTACATTCATTCTGTTGGTTTGCAGGGATGAACAACATCTTGAAATATATGCAGATACACTAGTTGGAGACAAAACGATGATTGCCTTATGTAGTGATTCAAAATATGAAAAATGTCTCATCTTACCCCACTCTCCCCTACTTGATTTTGCATTTCCCCCCTATTCTCTAAATAAATTGCCAATTGGTTATATTGGTAATTACTCTGTCTTGGTTCTGCATTAAGAACAATTTTAATTTTGGATATCTAATTCTTACTCTTTCATTTATAAAGATCTTGAATCACCCAAACACTGATAAAGCAGAGATGGCACCTGCTGCCCTAAACAGCTGATGCACATATGAGCCATGACAGAAATCCAAGACATGATCAGCTGATTAAACCTTAGAGATATTCAACAGACAACAAAGTCATGCTTAAATCAGAGGCTAGTTTAAGACAAATCTGGGTCAGGTCAAGAGATGGAGGATCAGTGTAGCCGCTGGGCTGCTGCACCGCACTGCATCCACACACACACTCACACACTCCGAGCTGGAAACCACCAACTTTCATCATTCACTCAGTGCTCTAACACAAGGATAAGTGGCACAATGTGATCATTTAACATAAGAAGGTGAAGAAATATCGGTTTGGTCGTGCGTTGATATGCCGTTACTTTGTCTGGGCCAAACAGCTGCAGCGGCTAGGTTAGCCTGCTAGTGTTAGCTCAAAGTTGTGGCGTGCTGAGCTCCATATCCCACCCGCCTGAGAAGATGCTTGAAAGGATCTACAGCTTTGATAAATCGACTCAATGCAGCATAAATGTGGTTATATACTAACACATCTGTTATTCCCAGGAAGTAGACGCTGAACAAAATTCTTAAACAAATCTTAATTCGATGTAAATGAGAGTTTTTTAGGGATGAACTGAGCAGCCTCCTCAGGCAAAATCCCATCATGGGTGTGGGTGGCTCAAAGACGTCTGGGTGGGGATAAAAGCAAAGGGGACAATGACCACACCGGTTCTGCTCAGCTCAAATGGACCAAATATCTAAAACATTACAATACATAAAATATTGAGTTAAAAGATACAAGGTTGATATGCGCAGCACGTTGGCTCTGAGGCGCCGGCTAACATTAGCTAAGCTGATGGTCCTCCATCATTGAAAAGTCAGGGCACAATAATCCGCTAGCTAACGGTAACCGTTACAGTTGCTAACCACTTACATCCTCACTAAAACGACCGGCCGAGGCTTTTCTGTGCAACTTACCGCCAACAGTTTATGAAGAAACCCTTCCCTGGCGTTTATTAATGCTCGGTAGGTGAATGTAATAATCCCCAAACGCGTTCCGTGACGGTCCCTTCTCTCGCCCGCTCCCTCATCAGTGGTACTGCCCCACCATCCAGCACCCTCTCAACCGAACTTTCTCGCCGGCCAGCCAGGGAGGATGCGCCGCCTCACCACCGCACTTTTCTCAGGTAACACCCACAAACACAAATCTGGAATATGATTGGCTTACGAAGTCTGATGCTTAAGTGTGATTGGTCAAAAATAATTTATATTCCAAAACTTTGACAATATCCATACCTGCATAACAGTCAGCAAAGGGTGCAAACCATAAACTGTATGAAAACATGGTTTTATAAGGCTTCAATTTCTCTCTAAATGAACGTTTGTGACTCCCTTTGCACACTTAAAGTTGTTCGAGTTTTTTAACAAAACCAATCGAATCAATATACCTCTGGTCATGATCTTTTTTTAAGTGTAAGCACTGTTTTCTGAAAAAAGAAAGAAAGAAAGAAAGAAAGAAAGAAAGAAAGAAAGAAAGAAAGAAAGAAAGAAAGAAAGAAAGAACATTATAAATTACATATACATTATACCACATGTCCCTTTATGGAGATTGAGCATTAGAGATGTTAAAAACTAACAGATATAACTTTTAAAAATACATTTTGGGAAAAAATAAGCCAGATTTTTTTATTAATGCTTACAACAATATCTAACATACCACAAAGCTATTTTTTTTCACTCACTAATGAGTGAATTTAATTTTGAATTGTGGTTTTGATATATGGTTTGGTTTTGGTTTTTATCCTGCATACACTTTACTACACATATATACAACTTGACATGATGACTACATAGTACACCATACTACTGTACTTTCACATGTACCCATGAGTGTATACCAACACAGGTAGATCACAATTCCTCGCACATTTGTACCACATGTTAACTATATGTTTACCACACTTTCCCTATATGCAGGTTTGTAAACCAGATCAACACATGACTACAATTCTACTCAACCAAACCACTTATTAAGAAGTATTTTGCTTGTACAGAGCTGCACTACAACACACACTACACACATGGTCACGGGTGCACCATTCATCAACATGACAGCGCAGACATTTTGGACACTCTGTATTCCAAAGTGGTATTTATCTGGGAATAAGTGCAACACAAGCCTGTATCTAGGTTTGATGGGCAAAGCAGTTTTTTAAATCCATGTCATCTTTTCCACAAATCTTCATCATCATCATTATCACCATCATCACCATCAATGCCATTGTTGTCAACACTAGCATCAATATCAAGAGGCAACTCACAAATGTGCTAGGTCTCAGACTTTCAAATTATCAAACAGGCTTTTATAAATCACATGTAGGTGGGTAAAGAGTCTAGAATAAGTGTGTAAGTGTTCCTGAAAGAGCTTGGATTTTAGCTTTGTCTCGAAGGTTGGAGGGGGCTGTAGATTTAATACGTTCAAACACCTTTTTTGCGCATCACAGGAACACCACATGAAACTAGGCCAAACATACATTTGTGTACTGCACATACACACCTAGTTTTTTCAAAGTACATGTACATCTTATATACATCATCATACACAGCACTACAACAACACACACAAATAAATTATATACATTTTACACATAGATACCACATGTATATGTATCCCACATGTACGCTACCACACATGCATGACATGTTAACACATGAATCACAAATATATCTACACATCGGAGTAACTTGCATTCAGCTCAAGGGAAGCCCTTTGTGTATCAACACCAATGCCTCATAAATAAACTGTTTTATTCAGATACTGTTGGAATGTTAGGGCTTAAAAAACATTGAACAACACATACATTTGGCAGCTTCCTGGACTTAACCAGACATCATTATTGAATTTTGCATCTGCCTAGAAATGTATGCACTGGTTGGTCAAACCTTTGGGGTTTTAGACTGGAAACATAGTTAACTATGTTGAAGTAGGGCCCTCTGCTGCATAAAGACAGGTACTACCACTTCAAACCATATGCTTCTACACAGTGTTCAACTCATAACAATCAAGTTAAAGTTTCATTAGATTTTACTATTAAAAAAAAACAACAACTATGCAAATGAAGAAGCCTACTTTCTGTATTGCAGTTTACTATCTTTTCGATATCACAGTAAAGATTAGGAAAACTGAAGTTTGTATTACCATCCCTTCTTGACCCATCTCCTTTGGGCTTTAGTATGTCTGTACATCAAAAGTGTCATACATCACGGTGTAAGTGCAGAAAAAAAGGATTACTTGATAATTCTTCTTCTAATAATATCAACATGTACAAGGCATATGCTCCTAATTTTGCTCTGCCCACAGATTGAATCTATCCAAGCTCCCTTTTCCTGTCTGTTGTTCCCTGACTCTACTGTTTCTCCAGTTGTGTCATCAGTGCTGGAGACAGACTTTATTGACTGAGGTTGCCAAAGTGGAGAGGTGACTTTTACAGCACTGGAAGACATTAGAGGGTTATCTGAGTTTTAGCAGAGTACAAGCAGTTGTCAAGTTGTGAAAAAAAATCAGGGGGGATGGTGGATTTTATTGTTTGGGACAGATATTTTGTTCTGATGACAGTGCACATGGTGGGAAACCAACTGTGTACCCATTTTACTGTTACTAAAGTACAAAGATTATTAAAGATTATTATTATATTATTATTATATTTAATTATTACATTACATAATCCCTCAGATTGAGCTGTCCATGTCGCTTGGCCATGATACTGAAATCGCAGCGTCACCAGCACTGCTCACTTATGCTATTTTTTTTAGAAAGGGAAAAAGTGTCTTTTCACATGTGCCGCCTCACCCAGAGTATTCTACTAAATATGCGCATGGGGTTCTCGCTCAAACAATCACAACATAGTGGAAAAACACAAGTGTAGTGGAAAACACGGTGATAAAGAGAGGATTTATTTACCTTCCAAGGTGCAGCGGCAAAAAAAGTCCGTTTGGCCACTATACCTTCCATACAACAAACTCCTCTCTCAAAGAAAGAAAGGCCCAGGAAGTATTTTTAAACCCCCCTAGCCCCTCCCAGTGGGCGTTATCAATTACACAAGTTTGGAAAAAAAACTAATTGATTCACATTTAAACTATTTTTACTAGTTTTAACCTTTTTTCTTTTGTCATTTTGAAAAGTTTTTACATAAATCAATGAAGCATTAGTTTTTCGGGATTCATGGCAAGCAAGAGGGGAATTATTTTTTCTTGCATCATGTGACCACTTTGACCCGCCGTACCCACCTATTTGACACCCGGAAATCGTGCGCTCTGTTTTCTCATTTGGAAACCTGAGCCGGCATGACGGCGTGAATGGACGCCCGGCAGGTAAGTGAAGGGATAAAAGTCTATGTGAATGTATGTTTTTGTTAACTTATTGAGCTTCAAGTTTGCACGCTTGGTTATTCTATCCAACAGAGAAGGGAGAAGGAAAGTAGCTGGGTAACTATCGACGCTGACGGGGTGAGAAATGTGTATGTGTGTGTGTGCTCTGTCAACCCCCCCCCCCAAACGTTAAAATGGCGGTAATATTTCCAATGTTAAAATAGTGACATCATCTTCCAGCCTGTGGCCTCTGGGTCTGCAGACACATGCTGCGTTGGACAGTTTTAAATAAAGGTAAGCCTACTAGTCACCACAATGGCAAGAGAAGCTGCATTGGTTGGAAGGATCCTTGACGGGTCTGGGTACAGGTAGGACTGTATCTGATCAGTGACTAAAGCATTATATGGCCAAATTACTTAAATTACTTCTGTATTCTTGTAAGGAAAAGCTTGGCTATAACATGGCACACAGCATATTTATACAAACCTCAGCTGAGAAGATATTAAATAAAGGCAGTTGAGGAATGTAATTGGGCATAAAGTAAAAGTGGTGAAGACCTGCAGTCAATCTTTATGTGTAAATTTATTGGAGTTTCCTCATATTGCAGCAGTAAAATCATCTCTCCCGTGTGTTTCCAAATGTTACTTCCAATCATTAATTTTTCTTTGTTTTCTTTAGATAGATTTTTTTAAAGCAGCCATCTCACCTTTACCTCATATGCCCTTTAAACTCAGAATAATTCACAAGTTTGTCCATGGTGAATGAGCTACAGCAGACAGCAGAGGGCAGCAGCAGTTAGGCCAAACTCTCCACACCTCTACCTGAATGGAGATCATATTGGACAGCTGTCTCCTGCTTTAAGTAATCCCCTATTCACATGAAGTTTGACAAACATTTGATAATTTACACAGTAAAACTGTATTTTGTTCAATTTCAAAAGAATTTTTGTAAGACCCATAAATAATCCAGTGAACATGCAGTGTAGCCTACATTTATCCTCTACACTCTTCATCATTGTTCCCTGGGTATACCCCCTCATCAATGATCTGGTTATGTATTGTCACTCAGAGTTTTTGGTCACGAAGACAAAGACTGGGAATACTTCTCTAAAAATTCAATGAGACATACCGAGCACTGGCAGAGTTTGAGTGACAGCTGCAAGATGTCTGAGTGAGTTATTTCATCCCATCTTGACGAGTGACAGAGTGACACCCTTTGGTGTGGATGCATTTGCAAAATGCTGTGACAGCTCCATTTCTCAATTGTTGGCTTCTCCAGTCGCCTCTGTGGCATAATAGACCTGTCATCAGCATCGTCCTCCACCACCCCTCTCTTGCTTTTGTCTAGACAGCAGTTTATCAAACATCGCCATCCCTTTTTTTCTTCCTTTTTTTTTGCGAAGCGTAGATAAGGAATGTCAAATGTGGCATTTGCAATGCCACAGTGCCAGATTAAAAGATAAATGTTCAACCTCCTTAGGCGCTGTCTTCAGTTTTCTGCACAAGCAAAGATAGAACTGCTTTTCCGTATCTTGCTCACTGCAAATAATATCATCTGTCTTAAGTCTTTATTTTGATTGTATTTCATTCTTCTCACAGGGGCTACACGATCTCCCTGTTTTTACAAAACCAGCTGATATCCTCTTGAATAAAAAGTCCATCATGTTTTTAACTTTTCATATATTTGCCTGTCTTTTTCTTGGTAAAACTTGGTAATCCCACAGCAAGCAAACTCCAGTAGGAAACATGAAACAAGGCCTTCCTGTGACGACTCCAAATTGATTCCTGCTGGACCGTGTCCTATTGAGATCATCAGAGGCAGTCCACGGAGGTCTTCAAGGTATTTCAGTAACTTTAACGCCTTGATGGAGATCAAATCTTGCAAATATCTCCTTTTTGTCTGTTTGTTCTTTGTGTGCATGTTCTTTACACAGCTCTAGGTGAATAAGTAAGAAACAACACAACAACAGGTAATCTAAGCATTAAGCCCCCAGTGCACAAGAAACAGAGTTAAACCCACTTTAGTGAAAAAGAATCACTTCCTTTATTTAGCCTTATTCACCCTTGGCAGTAAAAGCCTAAGACTGTGCCATACTGCTTGTCTTTAGTTAGCTGTGGAGGTGGCTTCTCTGGCAAAGGGTGTCTATAAATTTAGGAGCCTCTAAGGGAGCAGTGAGCTTTTATTTGATTGGCTGTTCAGTCCAACAAACAGAGCTGCTGCACCTTTAACAGAATTCAGGATTTTAGTATTCTTAAGTCCTCAGTACAGCCCATGACTGGAAATGACTGATAAAGCGTAAAAAATTCTCCAGACCCAATTTGGTTCCCAATAAAGTATTGCCAGTGGGGATTTAATTAAGCTTGCAGGATTAAAAATCATAAAATATTGTTATATCTTGGCAGCCAATGCACTGACGGTAATGACATTCTGATCTATTTCCTGTCCTACCCACATTTGTCCTCAGCTTTCTAACAAGGAACCTGTCTATCATAATGTCCGGGGTTTGTGGCGAAGCTGAACAGTTGTGTCTGGATCTATTTACACTTTATTACTATGGAGACACTCAACCCTGTAACTGAGTTTGTGTTCTCTGGCTTCCGGCTATTGGAACTTCAGCACAAGACTTTGTTTTCTTTTTCACTTAAGTTGAATGTGTAATTTTTTTCATATATATATATACATTGCCATAGAATGAAGTGAAATTAGTGGATAAGTTAAAGAAAGAAGGATAAGACAAAATAGAAAGCAATTATATTGAGAATAGTTGTCAAAAGTTAAGGTAAATGTGCTGCATAAGGTCTATAAGGAATCATAGTTGTCTGAATCCTTCAGTCAAGAGGATTTATCGTGAAAATATCAATCATGTGTATCATAATTGCATGGAAGTGTGCTCTTTACATGTTGGAAAACTTTCTGACAACTGATCATGTTGCCTTGTTGCAGAAGGTTGTGAGTTTTGCAGCACTTGACAAATTATGAATACAGTTTTTATCATAAGTTTGAAGCATGACGTAATATTCAAAAACTATTGAAGGTGAGCAGGAATATCATGATATCGCTGTGTTTTTGAGCGGTCCGCTCATTCTGACTGTAAACAAAGCCGTTCTCCAATCCCTGACCTGATTGGTTGTGAAGCGGACACTGTTCCCTTGTGTTGTGAGGCATGCTCCACGTCCTCGCATAACGTGCACAAGCCCAAACAAAGTTAGTGTGCTACAATATCAGACTGTAGAAACCAATCAGAAAGTACGGAAAATTGTCTGAATCCTCCTTTGGCCACGACCGCCAACACCAGCAAGAAAATACCGGAGACTCTGGTGGAATAACGGGCGCTTAAAAAGGAGTTAGACCGGACAAGAGCTAAAAAGCCGGGTCAACATCATTGAAGCTTGCATAAACGATTGGGGACGCTTTGCGATCTTGCGGACCCTGTAACCTTTCTGCTGGACAGGTAAACCGCTTTAACAAAGTAAGCCAAGTGTCTGTAACAGAAGTGTTTCTTGTCAAATGGGACCTGCTACGTGTTGTAGCGCCGCTAAACTGTTTACTGTTGTCACTTTATCCTTGTTTTTGAAGTCCTGCTTTCATGTTGACTGGGCCCCATTTGTAATCATCTGAAGTATTTATCTGCATTATATCTGAATTTAATTGAAACGATACGAGCGAGCATGAGCGTCTGTTTGTGGGCGGGGCTTGATGGAGCAGAGAGGGAGGGGAGAGGAAGGAGCTGAGGGGAAAACTGGTTGGGAGGGGAGGTGTTTACATTCAAGATTTCTCCCAAAAACTGGTACTTCCTCAGATCCTGCCTACCCCACCTTTAAGTCCAGAGTAGGTCAGAGGAAGCCAACATTATGTTATTGGACATAAAGAACAACAGATATGACCTTAATAAATAATATAGATAAAGAAAACTATCAATCTACAAAGTAGACAAACTGAAACCAAGAGCAGGCAGGTGTAAATCAAATATGTTCTTGAAGTTGCTGAGAGGTATGAGTGCTTTGATTTCTTTTTGGTAAAAATTCAATTTCAATCATCAAAAGCAATCTGTCTGCACAGCTCTGGTCCTGAGCTCCTGGTGCTTTGAACCGGAGCTGTGAAGATGAGAGATAGCAAACTGGTGAAGCAGCATCAACATTAACGGCTAATACTTTCCTTAGACGGGGGGAGTTAAACCAGCTGTGGCGTGTAGAAAGCAGCGGTGAGTACAGCAATAATCACAGGTGTTGAACCTGAGAGCAGACATGAAAATCCAGGAGCCTCAGCAGGGAGGCAGCAGCATGTCTTTGTATTTGAAACCGCTGTAAAAATCTCACTCAAGAGACGCTGATTTGTTTCAGTTCATCAAACCAGGTAACTAAAAACAAGGTTTTCTAAACGAGTTTCAAACTCCAACCAGATGGAGGGATATTTAATCTGTTCAACACTTTCTGTAACAGAGAAATGAGTCATCTTAATAGCCGGATAAGAAAAACCACATTTCATTTTGTAATTAAAGTCTAAAAGAAAATCTTTGGGTGCATTTAACCTGCCTTTTTTTGTCATTTTGTCACAAAATTCTGACAAAGCTAAGGCATATGTATAATTAATATTTGGAAACAATAGCACTTGAGGGTTTTTGGACATAGAAGCATTTGCTTTCAATGACAAAACAGCAGATAACTATTACCAGACTTTGCAATCCCCCTCACCTCCACCTCTTCTTGAAATCGGATTCCAACGGATCTCTGGCAATGTTGACAGGAGAAATGGTAATATGTAACAAATTTACAAATGAGAGTACCTTTAGGAGAGTATTAGTGTCAGCATGGTTAATCAAATAGAAAGCATGACATGACACACAAGTTTGTCTGCATAACATTTGTTTGATAGTTGACTGGAAGCACTAAAAGCTATTTTAATTTCAAATTAATGGTCTCTGCTTTTTCTTGAAAATTGGGAAAAAATGTAACGGACAAATCTACATTTGCTTGACATGACTATTCAGCCACATTTCTTAAACCAGATTCAAAAATTGAGAAAAAAAGTGAAGAATGAGGCTTTAAATATTTGCTTGAAATTGATCTTGTTATTGAGGCTAATGTACTTTCGAGATGACTACATTTTTGCACATGAGGGCAAAGTCATGGACACTTTAAAAATGGTCTGGGCAATCCAAGACATCAAAACTGCATTCAAGTTTGATGGTTTTGCTTAAGAGCTATTCGGTCAACATGGCAGTTGTGATGACAAATGGGAATAAGGGTAGCTTTAGAGGATTTTATAATGACTTATAGGACAGAATCAGTGCCATGAAGCACAGTGTTGTCACTGTTTAGACTAATCTCAGGGCACCAAAACTGTAATTTGACAAAACTGTTTACCTATTTTAAGGCCTTTTAGTCTTTGAGAAAGGCCTCCTGGAATAAGAGTGAAAATAATGTTACATATCAGAATATATTTAGCTACTTGTGTATTCTGCCCTATTTCATGAAGCTAGAGTATCAAGGAATACAGCTGACTGAGGTTGAGGACTGTAGGCATGACTCTTAAGAGTTGGCAGAAACTTGTTGCTTCAGTGGAAAACATTGATTGAGCATCCCTGAAAACACAAGTGAAAACCGTGTATTTTTGGAAACGTGTGAAAAGTAGAGACAAATCCATGAGGCGCTACTAAAAATGATGTTTTTTTATTTGATACACACACACACACACACACAAACACACACACACATTAATATATAAAAACCTATCCTAATTTGTCTCAAAAGCATGAATAGAGGCTCACTTGAATTTATTGTAAATAGGCTGTGTGTGGTTCTGTGGTATTGTTTCTTTTTTCAGAGTCCCTTGACGCTCTCTCTCCCTCTCTCTCTCTCTCTTTTTCTCTCTCTCGTTACCTCCAGAAATGCCCCCCTCCCCTCCCCCTCTCCTCTCTCTCTCTTTCTCTCTCTCTCTCTCTCGCTCCCTCTCTCTCTCTCTCTGTATTTCTCCCCACCCTGCTCTCTTTCCATCAGGTCCTCCAACAACACACACCACAGCCTCTGAACGCCTCGTCTTCTCCACTGGAGCGGGAGGATCAGAGAGAGGGGGAGCAGAAGTGACTGGGAGAAACCGCAGCATCAGTGACAGTGAAGCATCTCATTCACTTGGAGAGGGAGCAAGGAAAGGGGAAGTGGAGAAGAAGTGTGGAGAAAATAAGAGGAAGGAGAGAAAGAGCTAAACACTGAGAGAAATAAGTTTCCGGTTGGCTGGAGGACAAGTGAGGGAGTTTTTGGGTAAGAGAGTGTGGTGGGAGGCAGTGGGGGTTTGGGAGCTTCATTTTTTCTTTCCTTTCATCGCCCGCAAGAACTGCCTCCCTCCTCTCCTCTCCACTCCCCCTCCTCCTCCTCCTTCTCCTCTTTTTCCTCCTCTCTGCTCCTCTTCTCACCCCGACTCCTCTCTCCCAGCTCCCGCCGTGGGGTCTCAGCTCTCTGTCACCCTCCCCCCCTCCCTTGCTCCCTACCTCCCCCGAGCTCTGCTGGGAGCCTCCGGGCTGCTGCGCCGCGGGAGGATGTCTCGCAGGGAGTCGCCACCTCCACCTCCGCAGCTGCTGGGAGTGCGGAGAGGAGATGTGGAGTGCGATGATCGTCCGGAGCGTACCGAGCCTCTTACCGACCCTGAGAGGGAGATCATCCAGGACACGTGGGGGATCGTCTACAAGAACTGCGAGGACGTGGGGGTGTCTGTTCTCATAAGGTAGGTTTCCTTAAGAGGTGAAAGAAAGCCTTTCTGTTACTGTGTGAAAACTTCGGCTTCAGTTTGAGATATTTTGGGTTTAATTCGCTTTTAGGTTAGACCATTCAGTTTCTCTTCTGCGTAGGTATAACTTACTACTCTGTTTGGATCTGGATGCCTTATTCTTACTGTGATTCTTGAAACTTTTGATTATCTTTGAAAGAGTGCATCTTAAGTGAAAAGGTGGACGAATGGAATCTCTGGACTTTGTTTTCTATTGTGCTCTTTGGGCTCAAGTGTCACTTTCATTTGCATCACTAACATGAGAAAGACCCGTGAGCAAAGGAAGGCAAGGTCAAAGTAAAAAAAAAAATAAAACAATCAATAGAAATTTAATTGTTGAATATTAGTGTTTCTTGGAAGCTAAGAAAGCAATTCAATACATAGGCTTTATAGCAGACATTATGGGCGGGCCCACGGGGGGCAAGACCACCCATCCAGGAAGAAATCAACAATATTGTCATCATTATCACACAGTTTTTTGCATTAGATTGGAATTTATTACAAAACTTATTTTGGTAGTGGATATAGCTATAAGTATTTGAAATGTTCCTTTTGTATTTTATGGTCTTGCAAGTATTAGTCATGTGATATAGTCAGATACAATAATGCCCTCAAAGGCTGCCCTCGCTGTGCTCGTGGTTGTTTGACAAGTGGCGCTGTCCATGGTGCTGATGCAACTGTTGTTCTCATATTTATTTATTTATTTATCTTGACTCATATATTTTCAGCCTCCTTGATGGGATAACTATCTGTTTAAATGAAAATGTTGAAAAATGAAATAATTCCTTAGGAGAAATACATCTAAGTTGTCTTTTTAAAGTCATATTTTGTTGTTGCTGATGCTAGAAAAAAAACATCACATGCATCAAATGCAGCTTATAGTGGCCAAAAAAATTATAAATAAATAATATTCCAAGAATAAATGAACAATAGTATAGATTCATGAACAAATTAATAAGAAAATTAAGCAAATAAAAAAATTAAATTGTACGATGTTGAATTTGAGAAACCAGAAAAAAGGATGGGCAAATTTAGATACAACATCATATGTTTAGAAAAGGAGAGATAATCACTTAAAGAATCCCTGCTTGGATTAGATTGATTGCATAACATTGTTAAAGGTCATGATGGGTTAAAACTACTCACACCTAATTTTTCATCATAACCCTGTGTTGTTCATCATGTCTTCACTGTGTGACACCATGACATAGAAAACACTGCAGGTCCAGAGTTATGTGAGTATAACTGTGATGGGGCAGTCTGGATAACTTACGCAGAGATTCAGCTTTTAACATTGTTCTCATGTGTTTGTATCAAAGTGCCTGTTGAAAAGTGGCATGATATGCAGTCAATTATGACCTCCGTTGGACGAGCGACCCCAGTGATGATTAAAGGCGTGAAATCATTTTCCAAACAGCCACAATCAAAATATGACTCTTTTTTTCTGGTGTCACAAATACTCAGTCAGAGCATAGAAACTGGAAAGTAAATACATTAGTGTTGCCTATCTCTAAGTAATATGTAAATAAATTAAAATATTGCATGGTGGAACATGGTTTACTTCTGCTATTTTTACTTGGCACACATAATGTTAAAGCACTTATTACTTGCTGTACAAGATGCTTTAAATTCTTGACTGGTACATATCATGCTCCATAATCTTCACCTTTCTTAACCTTCTGTAGCCTGAACTTTAACAAGTCAAGTTCTTCTTTGAATAGATGTATGTTATTCAAAGCATTACACCCAAATGACCAAAATCATAGAAATCTGTTGGGAATATGAAAATTATTTCAGCCCTCCAGTTTACCACATAAGCATTTAGGAGTCTTGCCTTAACAGACCTCTAGTGGTTGAACAAATAATCATGCTGAAGGGAACAATACATTCCTCTCATTATGAAGCTGGAGAAACACTTCATCATCCACTTCTGTCTCTCAGTGTGGCATCCGATGTCTTTGAAGGGTCACGTATGTTGAGTACGTGCCAGCATTTTTGTTTTTACATTCCTTTTAGTTGAATTCATGCATCGACAAATAAACGCCTCATTAATTTTATCTCTTAAAATACAGTAATGGCTTTGTTTTTATGTCTCACTCAACCATTGCCTCTGTCTTCTTGAGTTGTCAGAATATATTCAGAACCATAAAATCAAACATTTGTTCCAAAAGCCTTATCTTCAACAGGCAGTCATTTCTACTGAAGCGTCACTACAGAAGCCATAGACGAACTCGATGTAATGTGGCCTGACTGTGTTTTTTCCAGCTTCTTTTCATCTGTTTTTTTTTATCATAGCAGAAAGAGCTGATTCGTTTGAATGCTGCCAGTTAAATTGACTTAGTGTTTCACATAGAAAACCCTCAAGGACTTGATAAAATGAAAGCCTGTTGTAGCCAAGGAGACTGATGCGATTGAGACAAACTGATTTTTGCTCTTTGGGTGACAATAATTCCCAAAGGGAGAATGGAAGGGGCAGAGAGCAGTGTGTGTTTGTGTGTGTTTTTGTCTGTGTGTGTGCTTGTCTTATGCTCTTATCTGTGGATGACAGCCACAAGCTTTGGCACTTAAATGTCTCCCTCTGTCAGTCCTTTCAGTTTTTTTTCTTGTTGCCAGTCTTTCTTGCTATAATTTGTAGTATTTTCTTGCCTCGTTGTAAAGATGACAGCTTTTAGTCCTTTCAAATCCCAGCTGACTGGGGCTATCATTAAAATCAATTGTATCAGAGCTGCAAATCCCATTACAGATATATATTGACAGCTATCTGTACTTTTTTCTCTTGCTCACTGTGTGTGTGTGTATGCGCCTCTTTTTCAGTCAAGCAATTTGATGATCTTTTGTTATCATTAAATTGCTGTATTTTATCAAATGCAAAACAAAAACATTACATCAACATTATACTTCAGCCAACCTACTCCCTGACAATCAACTCAAGGCCTGATAGAGTGTCGAATGTTTGGTTGCTTTTCCATCCTGCACATCCCTCCTTTATCCTCAAGAGTCAGTCCTGTAGTATTATCATTGTCAGAATCTGATTCTTATGATCCCCAGTACCTCCCAATCCTCCCACACCATCAACCGCCACCATGACACCAACAGTCTGGGGCCCTGTGTGGATAGAAGAGGAAAGCCTGCCCTTTACCAAACAAGCAGGATGATGTACAACAACTTTGATGACCTTGTCTGCATCATTTGAGGTTCCTGCTTCCTGAATACCTGCTCTGTGATGACACACAAGCCAGGTCCTATCGTAAAATCCCCACCAAGCACAGTTTCTGACTAAGCAAACACCACAGGCATTCCCAGGCAGGATGGGATATGTTGTCCTTTGAGCGGACTCTGGGCCTACTCCAGGGTTTCCTCCCATTTGGGGTCTCCTCCAAGTTGGACATGTCCGGAACACCTCTAAATGGAGGCATGCAGAGGGTATCTTTGACAAATGCCGGAACCATCTTAACTGACTCCTTTGGTTGCAGCTTTACTCTAAGCTCCCTCCAGCCATCTGAGCTCCTAACACTTACCCCTAATTTCCACCACATCAGGAATGGCTATGAAAAGGTCGTATCCACCGATCATACCTGATCGTAACCATTCAAGTTAATGTGTCAATTTCCACTGGCTCCTTTCCATTCTGCTGCGGATCGCTGGACACCGCAACTGATCGCAGGAGTTCTATTTTTTCCGGACGCGACAGCATGGTGGATAAATTCAGCACAGATTAACCCGTGCTGGAAAGGAAGTCAGGCACAGACACAAAATAAAACACACTGTGTTTCAGGCAGAACGCATTTCACGCCATGCAAACCGGTGGGGACGAATAAGTGAAGGTTTATAGACAGCATTTCACCCCGATGACACCATGGATGAGAGGATGCTGATTTTATAAGTCTAGAAGTAGATTTCCTTCTCTGGAAGGACACAATCTACTGCTTATATGGTTAGCCTATGTGGCAAGAGACTACTTGTTATCTTGAATCCGTGGGTTCTTGTGAGTTCTCGCGATTCCCACTGTCCATGATCCACCACAAAATTCGTCTCACAAACAGATCTGGTAGAACTTGGCGTACGGCGAAAATCGCTGCCGTTCTGGAATGGAGCCGCTCCGGATGCAGTGGAAATCCCAGGTAATCCTAGGGTTGGTCCCAGCCACGCTTCAGAGGAATGGTCAAATATATCTGTGATCTTAGCCACAACCATAGACTGTATATAGTACGAACAACGCAGCTCCGCCTTCCATCATTGTGCAAATTTGAAGCCAAGATACTCCTGGTATTTTTCCATTTCCTGAAACCGGCATTTACGCAGTATCGTTTGGCAGGAGAGTTGCTGTGATGACACTCTGCTTAACCAGCGTAACCCCCGCATGTCCTACACAACCTTCATACGTTCATAGACTTTATCAAGTGTCACTTATAGAATTATAGAAAACATGAATCCCTAATAACTTCTAGAAATGGCACTAAGGAAACCAATCTTAAAATACCTACATGTCAACACTGCAACCAGGGGGACAAAAATTTTTATTCCGTGCAATTATTTTTTTAAAGTTTGTCCACAGCTCCATTTATTTTGCTGAAGGAGAGGGGGGTTTATGACCTATACTGCAACCAGTCACCGGGGGGTGCTGTTCTCACAGAGGCTTCATCCAACTGGGATGAAGATGACGTCCATTCTATACACAGCCTATGGTCACAACCTAGAGATCATGATCATAGGTGAGGGTTGAAACGTAGACTGACTGGTGAACCTGAAGTTCATCTCTCTCCACTAAAATGGCAAAGAGCTCGTCAATTACCAAATCAATTTTACCCTAATTTGTAACCAAGATACTTGAACTCCCCCATTCGAGGCAACACTCTCTCTCTACCTAGATGGAACAGTCCACTGTTTTCCGGCAGAGTAACATGGCCTTGTATTTGGAGGTGCCGACTTTCATGCCACTTTGCACTCAGCTGCCCCGAGAAGGCTGTGTACTCTGAACTGCTTTTCCAAGAAGGCCGGGTACTCTGAACTGCTAATTGGTGCATCTGTACAAACAAACAGTCGGAGCTTACCTCCTCGCAACCTGAAGTCACACAGAGGCAATCATCTGATTCCCTTCAACACTGATGCTCTCAGCCAGGGTTTGTGAGTATCCCCACACCCACCCAGTGCATCTCTTCCAGGGCAACTTCAGAGTGGAAGGGGCTTCAGCATCTCTCCACAAGATTTTAACATTTCAGGCTTCATCAACTCCCACTCACCCCCCACTCACCCCTCTCTTGCTGACACCACAGATCCCACACTACCTTGACCAAATAAATGACTTTTACGTATCACAACAGTGAGCCATGGCACAGAATTTCAATAATCCTACAAAAATCCCAACAAAAGCTGACACCTTCAGATTTTTTCAGCCTTGTCATCAATTAAAAAACCAAAGGATAATCCTCTTTCATTCATGTAACTCATCATTGAGTGATTGAGTGTTTGGCATATCAATTCAATGAAGCAGTCTGTCAATATAGATGGCTGGTAATTAATCATCTTTTGACCTAGTCATCAAATGAACAGATTAGACCTTTTTATGATTCGGGAAAGCAGTTGGACTGATATTATCAACAGTCAGCAAGCACTTCCTCAGTTACCTAACATAACCCGGGGCTGACACTGGGTCACAGTCATGCACAAAATCCCACATGAGAACACTGATTTGCATTTTCATGTCAATTCATCTGCCTACATGCATAAAGAGAATAGACAGTGACAGTTGATCTCTACCAATGCGTACAAATGCAATTGCACCAAAGAGAGTTATCCGTAGGCTACAGCGCAACAGTGCATATGGCAGCTTTGAGAGAACAATCTACCCCTGACTTCAATAATACTATTTTAATGACACGGCTAATGGGAGGATACAAGCACATTTTCACCAAGCATAGGATGGTTAAGAGTGGCAAAGAGAGACAATGGCATCTGATTAGTTAGAGGTTCTTCATGTTGTTTTCGTCTCAGAAGATGCAGCCTGGATTGGTTTATTGTAAATTTCTTGTGGTATCTGTTGAAATAATCCAACGTTTTCACACATTAAGCACATGTTGATGTTGCGTGGTGCGAAGAAGAACACATGAATGTGCTGACACAAATGGTTCTGGTTTCATATCTGGTCCAACAGCCCACAGTTTAAACAACTGAAAAGAGGATCCTAAATGCGCTTAAAAGAATAACTGTGAAGAAATGATTATGCAGAAATGGTTTTGAAACTGAAACAACATATATACGAAAAATCCTACAAGCATCTACTGACTACATGCTGTTTGAAAGGATTGATATTTAAATGCAAGATCACAAAAGATACATATAAAGATATATAATCCAAAGTAACAACTAAAGCGTGAAATGAAAGAAAAGAACAAAACAAAACAAAAAAAAAACAAGGCCATCCACACCATAGCAGCTACTTTAATGATTCATTCAAATGTGCAGATTTTTGTTTGAATTCTATTTGCTCAAGGGAGTTGTTGCTGTCACAACACAACTTTGAATTTCAGTGGTTAATCATGCTGTATCATTATCTTTTATCATGCTGAACAGTGCTGCTTTGAGCCAGATTCTTACATTAAAACAATGACACTCGTCACATCAGAGAGTTTTTATATGGAGGATGCAAATATATTTACATCATATCAAAGACATAGATAGATTGTGGGCTCACCAAGCGACGCTTTCAGGATGAATTATTACCTGTCAGTAATTGGCCTCATGGTTTGGCCCTATAGAGTTTTTCTCATCAAAAAAGGTGTCCTTGAAGTTCAAGCAGTCAAGCTGAAGGTTGTTCATGGTACCCAACATTTATAAAAGCCCTCCTCAACTAATTAAAGTGAGATTAACAAGCTCCACTAATGGTGCTTCATGGGCTTTGATGACTTCATTTAAATGCATAGACAGGTACAAGAATGTGCTTCGAGCTCTCCAAAGTGCTAAACACCCATGCCTCTGTCACTCGGGGACTGAGTGTTTTCACTGTGTCTCCATGGATTTGTAGAGCTACAGTCCTGATACAAGTTACAGTTTATGCAGTCATGGTGGCTCCATCACCGGCACAAAGGATGAAATACACTCACCGGCCACTTTATTAGGTACACCATGCTAGTAACGGGTTGGACCCCCTTTTGCCTTCAGAACTGCCTCAATTCTTCGTGGCATAGATTCAACAAGGTGCTGGAAGCATTCCTCAGAGAGCTTGATCCATATTGACATGATGGCATCACACAGTTGCCGCAGATTTGTCGGCTGCACATCCATGATGCGAATCTCCCGTTCCACCACATCCCAAAGATGCTCTATTGGATTGAGATCTGGTGACTGTGGAGGCCATTTGAGTACAGTGAACTCATTGTCATGTTCAAGAAACCAGTCTGAGATGATTCCAGCTTTATGACATGGCGCATTATCCTGCTGAAAGTAGCCATCAGAAGTTGGGTACGTTGTGGTCATAAAGGGATGGACATGGTCAGCAACAATACTCAGGTAGGCTGTGGCGTTGCAACGATGCTCAATTGGTACCAAGGGGCCCAAAGAGTGCCAAGAAAATATTCCCCACACCATGACACCACCACCACCAGCCTGAACCGTTGATACAAGGCAGGATGGATCCATGCTTTCATGTTGTTGACGCCAAATTCTGACCCTACCATCCGAATGTCGCAGCAGAAATCGAGACTCATCAGACCAGGCAACGTTTTTCCAATCTTCTATTGTCCAATTTCGATGAGCTTGTGCAAATTGTAGCCTCAGTTTCCTGTTCTTAGCTGAAAGGAGTGGCACCCGGCGTGGTCTTCTGCTGCTGTAGCCCATCTGCCTCAAAGTTTGACGTACTGTGCGTTCAGAGATGCTCTTCTGCCTACCTTGGTTGTAACGGGTGGTTATTTGAGTCACTGTTGCCTTTCTATCAGCTCGAACCAGTCTGGCCATTCTCCTCTGACCTCTGGCATCAACAAGGCATTTCCGCCCACAGAACTGCCGCTCACTGGATATTTTTTCTTTTTCGGACCATTCTCTGTAAACCCTAGAGATGGTTGTGCGTGAAAATCCCAGTAGATAAGCAGTTTCTGAAATACTCAGACCAGCCCTTCTGGCACCAACAACCATGCCACGTTCAAAGTCACTCAAATCACCTTTCTTCCCCATACTGATGCTCGGTTTGAACTGCAGGAGATTGTCTTGACCATGTCTACATGCCTAAATGCACTAAGTTGCCGCCATGTGATTGGCTGATTAGAAATTAAGTGTTAACGAGCAGTTGGACAGGTATACCTAATAAAGTGGCCGGTGAGTGTACATCCACCTATGGACCTGTATAGGTTGAGCTGCAGGACAGTCTCGACATTTCAAAGTCTACAAAGACTTGTTTTAAGTTTGTTTAGCTTAGCTATTCAAAAGGGGGAAATAGTAGGAAAATTAATATCATAACAATTTCAATGTCAAGACTGCGGACATTTGCACTGTTAGTTGAAAAATAATAAAATGAATGGAATACTCTGGTGTTGAAGAATAAGTGACTAAGTAATGCCAATTAACCAACCAGGACAGAGTGAAAGACAGGGACTATATCCACACTGGGAAAAGAGCAACAGGTGAGGCAAACGAGGCACAGGTGAAACTCATAGGTGATTAACAAAGGAGGGAAAACTAGGGAAGGAAAATCAGACTAGAAACACAAGGAATAAACTACAAAATAAAACAGGAAACACTCAAAACTGATCTAAAGAATCAAATTCAGAGAACAGGAGGGAAACAAGGTCAAACACAATCTGAAAACTCACAAGACTGGACTACAGGGGAACAGGAACAATAAAGAACAGGGAAAACCACACAGAAAATATACTCTAACAACAAAACCAGCGAAAAACTACATCAACAGAACATATTACAGATTTCACTCTAGAATGTTCTTGTTACTCTTTTATTGTGACAGTTTAGTTGTTTTAGAAACAGACATAAAGAGACTAACAACATTTGAATCTACTGTTAATGTTAAAGTATTATTTTTCAAATGTAGACATTCGTTAATTAAACCCATGAATTTTAATTAGGTTGATTTACTTGTCAGTGATGCTCCTGGTATATCATCAGCCTGCAAAAGCCCTTGTCTATCATCACACTGAAACGCTTGTTATTCAAAGCGGTGATTTGTAATGTTGTTGTTGAGGACCTTCACCATATTTCTCAGCTCTGTTGAATGATCGAGATAGAGGCTGATGACGGGTTTTCAGTGTCACAAACATATTAGTTCTTTAGGATGATGGTTCTTGAGCTGCCCAATTTAACTAAGAGAGTTGTTTTGCACCTCCTTTGCAACCATTACAAAAAGCTGTTGTGCTCCACTCTTCAAAACACTTCCATACAGGAGACATGTTGAAGCTTGTGATCGGCATGCACAATCAGTCAGCTTGTCTGTAATTTATTGTGGCAGACAATTTCATATTCTTGTCTTTCTAAGCTTTTCTCTGTCGATGCCAATAATATGCTAATGATGTGCATCGCTACTCCTCAGGTTAAAGGGTCAAAATAATCCATGCTGTGAGACCTTAACATTTTAATCAACCTTCAGCCTTAAAGGGATATTCTGACGTAAAATTAAGTTAGGGTCAAACACACCGTAACACTAAGTTAGTCATCTCGTTGAGAGATGAATGTTGCAGACCGCTTGCTTCTCTAGTTATACTAACTTTAGTAGCAACTGCATGATAGCAATACACAGCGGTCTCAGGAACCACGCGCTCAACCAAAACGCCACTCTATAGCCACGAATAATGCTCAGAACAGCACCTAACTTCATCAACTGTACATATAGGGTCCTAGCCATAGTACTAGCCACCAAACATCTTTTTAGCTTTGCCTAATTTCTTTAGCAAAAAGACTAAACACAACTCGCCCACTCTCTTCCAGCAGCCGCTTGTTTGTATGGAGATCTTTGATGAGTCCGAAATGACTACAGCGGGGTGACGCAGCTCAAGGAAGAACATTTATGATCATTAAAAACTTCATTTTGAGCCAGAATATCCCATTAACTGGTTATACTCGCATGTAAAGGGAGTGAAGTTTGGCTTTGTTAATGTCTTTCATGTTTAATACAAATTTAGAGGAAGGTTCTTGATATTGTGCAGGTAATGTATGACCAGGAAACGGCACCAGGCTGTTAGAGAGTGACGTTACTTGATTTGGTTATGTTAAAGTCAAAGTAAGAATCAATTTATTGTCTAGACTTTTCCATTCTTGCTTTTTAAAGGCCAATCCAAATATCAATATCCTGCAAGTAAGAATTGTCACAAACCACAGAGACTTTACTGCTGGCGCATTGCCTGTAGCTTCCTCAGATTCGCCCAGCCCTGCCAAGGAGGCATGTCTGTCCTGCGTTTTTGTCACTGAGACAAGTTTAATCTCCAGACTACACCTCTCTCAACATGGGCTGGATATGTATCGCTGTAACAGGTGGTGACCTTCCGTATCCCACATTAATGTCTGGTATTTTGCATCCTTAACACCATCACTAAAACCTCCAAATGCTCACTTCCAACTGGCTGCATAAAAGGGCACCCAACATCCTGTGCTAGCACCGGGCATAAATCACGGGGTGCACAATCTTCTAATATGCACATAATTACCAGGGCTACTTGGCTGAATAACGTACGAGCCCTGGGGAAGCTGTCTGGAATATAAACACTGGGTCACAAAGGTTTGGTGACTCATTTTAGATGATATTAGTCTGTCGTCAGTGGGTCTGGAGGAATGGCCCAGGATCAAACCCCACATAAGCCAGTATAATCCTTCAAACTGGTTTATTCTAAGAAAACACTCCTCATAAGGAATCTGTAAAAAAGAAGTTAATCTTATGGCCCGAGGATGACAAAGATGTTACTAGAATAACTTCTCTTTCTGCTGATGTTGCTTGTTGCTTGTTTTTTCCACATTTTGTAAAACCATGGCTCGGCAAAAGGCATTTGTTTGAACATTTAGTTGTTTTAATGCAAGAAAACAGACACAAAAGGAGAAAACGGCAGCACTTTGTTTTCCTCAGGCTCTGCAGTTCAGTTTCATGTTTGTCTTTGCAGAACGAGAGCATTTGAAAGCGTTTCATTCTGCACACCAAAGAGAGGACAGTGTGTGTGTGTGGATCGTGACAGCCGGTTGCTAGGACAAGTTAGGAGCACTTCAGGCAAGCCGAGTCTTTGCAGACCTGGCATGACATAGGATCCAGGGCTGTGGATGTGGTGAAGCAGGGGTGCTGAGGGCCAAACTCACACTGGGAAATAAGTGTCGTGCAATTATAGCCAGCTGGAGCACTGACAAGAGCAAAAGTGGGTCAGAGCAAAACTGTGTTTGTGTGTGTGTGTGTGTTTTATACACAGCGTATGTATATTATGAAAGCTCTGTGTCAACAATACAACTCTGCACTGTTGTCTGTGAAAACTGACAATACAAAATCTGTCAATTTTTCACATCCCCCTCCACCAGAGCTCAGGGAAACTCTGTTCTCGCCACGGCATACACTCTTCCCTCTCTCTCACTGAGCTCACAGTTGGCTGAGATGAAAACTGTCAAACCCCTGAGTCAAAATAAATCTTGCTAACTACAATCCCACGAGACAATTTACATTGCCTTTGTTTATTTCTCCTCCTACATCTACTGCAGTGTTTTAAGAGTGGAATTTACTACATCTGGAGCTAAAATTACTCATGCCCTACACACTGAGAAGCTCTCAGTTAAAATCCACACACATCCAGGAGGGGTGTTAGTTTCTTTTGATCATTTATATGCTTAATGAGTTTTAAAAACTTTAAGGTGATGTTAGTGGAGATGTTAATTTCTCAGTCAAACAACAGCTGAGAGTTTGCTATGTTACATTTGTTTTTATGTACCTTCTTAGCCACAACAAAACAGTCACTTTTGCAGGAGTAAATGTTGATTACATGTCAAATGAGCAAAAATAGTAATTTTAACCACATTTTAATTAAATAATATTCCCTACTGTAGCTTTAATGACCCACTCTGATGAAAATCATGTTTTTCTTGTTGTCTACATGTTCATATGGCATTTTTCTGATGCTACAGGACATATCATGAGAAAATAAGTATGAAATTACATTTCTGACCATTTCTGCATTCAAATCGCTGTGAATCTCTCACAGACGCAAACGGTAGGTTTAGATTCAGTGAGATTTCCTACATAGCAAATCCAAGCTCCGCCCCCGCAGCCCCGCTATGCAGGCCACACTTGGAAAAGTAGAGGACGATCGCAGAACAAGCATGTGCGTTAGCGGTTTTCTATGCTCGTAAGAAAGCTAACAATGATATTAGTTTTCATCGTGTCCCTAAAGACATCAGTGTCCTAGAGCTGAATAGCTCCTATGTTGCCTGCTACTTCTACTACACCGGCAATGTTAGGCTACAAGCTAGCGTGGAGAGGAGTGTGCAGAGCAGCGCTGTCTCCGCCTACGACTAATGATCTACTGGAGCTCTGCAGAAGAAAAGTCATTGAAAATGACACAAGTAACACAATTTGGCCAAAATCTTCATAATCACAATTTAAAGACCACTGTTAACACTTTAAGTGGTAAAAAAAATGATCGGATTGGGACTTTAAGAGATTGTGGATGTTTCACATATTCCTCTGGTGCAAGGTAGTTTTGTTCACAGAGACTAAATGTCTGCTGTTTTGTTTGATTGAATTTAGGAAGGAAAGCAAAAATACTTTGGGGCAGATATGAATTTAAGTTACAGTATTTGTTCAGAAGTAAATCATTTTGGAAGAGAAAATTTAAAATATGATTCAAAATGTGTCTTTGGAGTGAGTCTCAATGTTTGATACACTTGCATGAACAGCACCAGTCATGCTTAAATATCTTCACTCTTCAGCACACCTGCATCCAATTACACTCAAAGAGCCAGATCAGTCGAGACGCTCAGGGTCTAATCAGCGCTACTGCTCTGTAAAGGAGTATGAGGATCACGTCCTGTCACCCAATGGCCCTGTATGAGTGTGTGAGTGAGTGTGTGTGCATCTGAAGAGAGAAATCAGCATTTGAGGCTGATTAGAATTCATGGCATCTCTGCATTTGAAGGCTTCAGATTTTTGATATGTAATTTGCAGTTATTTGAGACTAACTGACAAAGACTTGTACAGTCCTCTGCCATTTTCTCGAGTGAATTCTTACTTTTCCAAGATGTTCAACTCTTGCAGCTCAGGCATAGTTTACAGTATGATAGATTAACTTTATAACAGGCTTTTGATCAAATTGGTGGAGGTCAAGCCCGGTCAGTTTTTGCTTGCTCATTGAAAGACGCATTTTATGTCTTTTCTTCTGCCAGAAATTATCTTCAAAATTTCTCCAAATATGTAATGCACAACAAGAACATAATCCACATTTCAGCTGTCAAAGATTGCATGTAACGTCATATCATGTTGAGGTTTTTTTGGGGGGGTGTTCTTGCCTTTATTTTCACTTGGTCAGAGATCTGAATCCGCAGCAGCTTTATTTTTGTCCCTTCACTAAAAGGCCAGCGGTGGGTCACTTCGGTCACATGAGCCGACTTTGATTCAAATGTGAAAAATTAGCCAAATCCCTTTTATTTATGATATCTACGGACATGCCTGTGCATTTCATTTTAACACTGTAGAAGAATTTAAATGACAAAAATAGACATTTAAAGAGTACAAGGATACAAACACAGCTCAGATATGCTGCTAAACCAGGCGACAAAACAATAACACAGGTGACTGGTTGTAGCTTAATAATAAAACCGCCTAGTTCAGTATATTGTGAGGCTAACATTTCCGGAGTAGCCTTGGTCACTGACTTACAAAGCATAGCTGAGGTTGGAGAGGATATCAACATCTTTGAGGTCAGTTGTGCAAAATATTGTCAATCCCTTGAGGCGACTCAAGTATGTTCAAGATTCAAAAGTAGACTGTCAGTTTTTGTGACATGTTGGTCTGAACAACAAATGTCTACCCCATGGCAGTTCTACAGAAGAGACGGATGAATTCATGAGAATTTATCCCATATTCAGTGGCTGAACTCATGTGTCCAAGAAACCTGTGAGTACAGTCAGTATAAAAAAAAGATAAAAAAATAAATAGCAAGAAATAAGTTTCCCTATCTTGAACTGCTTTTGTTATCAAGGTGAACAAGTATGCTTTATCACACATGTGCCAGCCTATGCTATATCAGTGTCAACGTGTTGCAAATGAAAGGTCATCGTGAAAATAAAATATGTCAGTTTGTGTCGTCTGTAACCCCCCCGCCTCATATGTCAATTTGTTGCAGCAGAGAAGAGGCTGTTGAGAAGGAGCAGCTGGTAACAGCAGAAGTGAGGACAGCTGCTTAATGATGTTAGTGGATAAAGTATAGTACAGTAATGGCTTGTAATATATTAATTGTGAGCGTCATTTAACCAAGATGTTATTGTCAGTCAAAACGATGCAGTTTAATGTGTATGAATCTGTGTAGTCGCCAGTAAAGGTACAGAGAGTGAATCAAATGGACAAACTGTCAGAGTAAACGGAGAGCTCGTGATGACGATGATAATGATTATGATGATTGTGATATATTGGAGATGCCGGACACACAACCAATCAATTTTCTGATCCCCCAGAAATCAAGAGTTTATATGAAACTGTGGTGAATGAGGTCAACATGGTGACACTGTGAAGATTCATGGAGTGAACTTTTGTGGAAATCTGTTAAAACAGTCATTGCTGGAGAAGTTATAAGTGTTACATGTTATGACCCATCTCGGGGTGGCTAGGACACAACATGAAAGTGGACCCATTTCGCCCACCTCTCAAACAGCCACATAAAAAAAAATCAGGGTTTTAACAAAGAAGTTTATTTACAAGAAAAAACAGAATGATTAAGGAACAAAGAATGATCATCTCCTCAGGGTGCAACAACGATAAATAACACTAACTGAGGAAAAACTAGAAACTGACAAAAAGCTGATCTCTAAGGTGACAAGGACGTTTGGGATGAGGCTTTCATGGGTTCCCTCTGCGCGGGGGGTGATGTCACGCTTCCCACTCCAACCGTTTTCTTTTTCTTTTCTTTTTAAAGTGTTATCAGTGGTCTTTAAGTTGTGATTAGGATTTTTTTTGCCAAAATCACATTACCTGTGTCATTTTCTAGAAAAATTACATTAACCCAATGGCTCTGTATCAAAAGGCATCTGTAAAGTGTTCAGATGGCAGCTGCAGTTGCATAGTCCTCATTGTACTTGTCTGAGTGTAACTCAAAGTTATCCCACAAGTCAAGTTCACTGTCAGGGCCAGGAGAGACTCTGGGGGTTGACTAAAGACCAGAATCTAGGGCTATAAATACTCATTCATAATCTAATCCAGTTTATTTTTTCTATACTATTCCTCACCAGGTTCTTTGTCAACTTCCCATCAGCCAAACAATACTTCAGCCAGTTTCAGGACATGGAGGATCCAGAGGAGATGGAGCGAAGTAGCCAACTTCGGCAACATGCCCGCAGGGTGATGAACGCCATCAATACTGTGGTGGAGAACCTCCATGACCCAGAGAAAGTGTCATCAGTTCTGGCCCTGGTAGGAAAGGCCCATGCTATCAAACACAAGGTGGAGCCCATGTACTTCAAGGTAAGCCTCTCTGACAAATTCTGCTTTACTTTAATCAGAGATAGTCTTTTTTGCCTACTAACTCACCATTGAAGAAATACAGTTTTTTGTATCCTTCAAATTAGGGCTGGGTGATAAACTGAAAAATTTGCCGATACCGAAATTTACGACAATAACCAACATCATTTTGCCCATATCGGTTTATTCGGTGTCAAAAAAATAAATAAATAAAAGATAATGTTGGACATGTGTAGGTGTAGGTGATTTTCACCATACGCCAATTCCTACCGGATCCGTTTGTGAGACAAATTTCGTGGTGGATTACAGGCGGCGGTAAATGGGAGAACTCACAAGAACCTGCGGATTCATGTGCAATCACGCAATAACAAGTTCTCTCTTAGCCACAGAGGCTAACCATGAAAGCAGTAGATTGTGTCCTTCCAGAGGAGGAAATCCACCTCTAAACTTCTAAAATCATTAATTTATTTTGTGTCTGTGCCCGACTTCCTTCCCAGCACGGGTTAATCTGTGCTGAATTTATCCAGCATGCTCCGGCGTCCGGAAAGAATAGAACTCTTGCGATCAACTGCGGAGTCCGGCGATCTGCAGAGGAACGGAGTGAAGCCAGTGGAAATTGAAACATGGACTTGAATGGTTACGATCAGCTACGATCGGCAGATACGGCCTTTTTGAAGCCATTCTGGATGCGGTGGAAATTGGGGGTTAGACGCTGTCCTATGTCAGAGACATGAGGGGGGGCAGCTTGTGGAATAGTTATCGTCCATTTATCGTTATCGGTGTGAACTTCTCAATATATCTGGATATTGATTTGAGGCCATATCGCCTAGCCCTACTTCAAACAACAAAGTTGCTACAAATTTTAAATTAAGTGCACAACACTACACCTTTAAACATGAATTATGCAAACTATAAACACTTGGCACACATGGTTGACAAACAACTGTAATACCACGACTCCCAAGTAACACTAGAGGGTAAATAAAATGTTTGTTGTCGCAGCTGTCGAATTCTACCAAACCTCACAGTCACTCATGAATTGACAGAAATATGAATAACATCTGGATGTGCAAAAACACAAATTTTAGAGCAGGTGGAGTTTTTTTCAACATGCTGATAAATGAACAAACGACAAAGAGCATCATAGACATTTCAGTACAGTACAGTTCAGCTATGCAAACAGTGTCAGGGCACCCCAAAATTTCAGCAATGAACTGTGAAAATGAGCAGCAATGAAACATGACAAAAGCGTGACAGTCATTTCTATACCCTCCTGCAGAGCCAACAGCAATGATCACCTGTTTAAGCAGATGAGAACAGAACCAGAATAAACATGATCACAAGTGTTTCAGATTAACTGTTTTATTCAAACCGTACGGTTACATAATTTTCAGCGTGAGACTTCTTACTTCATCCGACTGAAAGGACATCTGTCAAGTCCTTTGAAATTTGACTGTAGGTTTTTTTTTTGTAAATACATCTTTGAAGAGAAGACATAATCGGCTTGTAAGCATCCCTCTGCTGGCTTCCAACTGCATCTAGAAGCATTCAAACAACCTGAATCAGTCGCCTTCCAAATGACTCATCACACTGATTATTTCTGCTGTGTATCCCTCTGAACTCTTACAGACCCCTTCTTAAAACTATCGCTGGAAAACCACATCTCTTTAATATAATTTCGATTTACTTTATTCCTACTTTGATACCACCATCTACGATATTCTCTCTCTGCTTTTTTGAATTTTGTTGCCTTTGTACAGCCTGTCCACCCACAGCTTTCATGTTTCACCGCTATCGTTTTCAATTCGCACCTACCTCGCTTCTCTGTGACAGTGAATTGGATTTTTTACATCAACCACCCTGCCCTTACTTTACCTTTAGGACATTATGTCTTTGCATTTCTTCCTCATCCTTCCATCTGCTGTTAACTTTAAAGCCACCTATTCAGAATCAGAATCAGAGTCAGAATACTTTATTTATCCCGGGGGGAAATTCGCCGTTCCCATTTTTTTTTCAATCCCTTTAAATATGATCTCCTACGCTGAATTTTTCTTGTGACATCAATTTCTTTTCACACTCCTTTTTCCTAGATCCTGGGTGGTGTGATGCTAGAGGTGCTGTCTGAAGATTTCCCAGAGTACTTCCCAGCAGAGGTGCAGATGGTGTGGACCAAACTGATGGGGGCAGTGTACTGGCATGTGACAGGAGCCTACACAGATGTGGGCTGGCTCCAGGTCTCCAGCTCTGCAGTGTGAACAGTCTGGAGGCAAAGGGGGTTGAAGAAGTTTCAGATGGTGGAGTTGTGTAAGAATGGTTGCTCAGACGTGGATGAGCGTAACGTGGTAATCCGCGCTTCACTGTTCTTTATCTTGGTGTTATTTTGGTGCTAAGCCTTCATTGCTATAGTGTTTTTACATCGCACTAATGTAGCTGGACGATGTTTTACTTTTCTGAAAGTTTCAGTCGATACAAGTGGTGCTGTGTGCGCCACAGAGGCTATCACTGCCAATGCTAGGTACTTATGTCGTTTATTTTAAACATTAAAAAGGCTGCCAAGTTTTCTCAGAGTAACTATGTTACATTAACTGTCACCAACATTTTTTCTTTTTAGACTCTGCAGCCTGGCCTGTCAAGCTTTCCAATCGCACACCAGATGCATTTTACAAAGTGACAAGGGTAGATGAGCTTTGCAAGAGATTTCTTTAAACTCAAATATATACTGATGAAAATTCACTTTGAGGAAACATAACAGGTAGTTCATGATTTTAACGCACTGGAAATCATTACTATTCTGCTAAAGAAACTGAGAAACAACCTAGTTTAAAATAATAACAACAGGCAAGATATTATATTTCAAGGGTGACCATAAGTCCTCTTTTACCTCTTTTTGGGGGGCTGTTCGGATTTGTCCAGGGAAGTTTATAAAATCCTTAAAATGTCCAGAGATTTGTATGGAAGTTTCAAGTTTGTGTCACTTGGACTTACTGAGTTAGAAGCGCGTAAAGACACTTGATCCGACCTGATAAACTCTCAAAAGTAACTACGCGTGACTCCGCCCCCGCATAGTCTTGTCCTGTTTTTGGGGATTCAGAATATGGTCACCCTAATATTTCTGTCATAAAGAAACAAAAGAGAAGATCATGCCTCACATAACTGACCCAATTCTGTTAATTTTTTTCAACAGTGATATCAGCTGATGCAGTTATTATCAAAGGGATACCAGCTGCGCTAGCGCTAGCTAGCTAGCTAAGCAAACGGTTTTCTTCCTGCCTCTCACTAAATCCTTTTCAGAAAAACTCTGTAAAAAAGTGAAAAAAAGTTCTTAGAGTACACAGTACAGCTAGTCCTAGATAATAATTCACTGACGGATTTTATGAAAGTGTAAAACAACCTAATAGAAACAACCGTTTCTATTAGCCTCTTAGCTGCTAATGTCATAGGCACATAAGCTTGGCAATTTGCAAAGACACTCAGTAAAGTTTAAAATGACACTTTCTTGGTTTTATGGAAATGTATGCCTCTTATTTTTTGCTTAGCACTGTTAAATTTAGTGTAACATAACTGCTGGCAGATCGTCAATCAACTATCACTAGCTAGTGTGGCAGTGCAAGCTAAGCAAGAAATGTGACAATGCTGCCACCAAACCACTTATTTTAACAAAAACTAGTTCCAAAGGTTTTTATTTTGTAATCGATATTTCTTCATAGCTAAAGTTATACTATTTCCCCTCTAAAGAGGGCAACAGCAAACAAATGAAATAACCATAGGCTGACTAATGAACAACTGATTATCTGGAAACTTATCAGATACCCTGTAATAAAGGAAAGGAAAAAGCTCACCTGTGTAACCTCACAGGCTAATGTCGTAAAAATGTTGTTATTGTCTCTATTGTCATGAAAATAACAACCAAATGTGTCGGGCGTATTAGTTAAACATGTCAGTATTTAAAGCTCAGCTGTGGTAATGTCTCTAACTTTTGAGCGTTGATTAAAAAGAAGAAGAAAAAAAACTCATTAACCTTCATACTCTCGAATTTCTACATCGTTATCTTCATGAAACTGCTCCAGTATGCAGAAAGCTTGACAGGCCCTGCCGTGTCTTCTTGTGACAGAAAGGTTTGGACATGTTTTCGGACAATTGCGGCACTCATTTGGGTTTTGTTGACAGGCATGCCGGGAATAGCAGAAACAGACAATTATGTGAAAATGCTGCGGATTATTACTTTACAAAGTTCATTTCTGTGGAAACTGTCAGTGAGAGAATCATAGTTAGGCTGAGTTGCACATGTTGATACACCTCATGAAGTTTTAAGGCACAGATTGAGAGAAATATTTAGAGAAACAGGATTTATAAGCTCTGAGAGGGGGGCTGTTAGCTGTTGAAGCCCCAGAAAAGGGACCATGGAGCTGCTGACTGTTAATAGATCCTCTTTGTGTCCTACTACAGTATATCCTCATGTTTAAGGGACCTGTGTCCTTTTCTCTCCCTCTCTATTGATACATTGTGTGCTCTTAATGTCTTGTTTATCTTACCTGAGGTGTTGTTTGTATAAGTGTACAGTGGGCCAGTGTGCATACTCTTCTGCCTTTTTTTACAACTCATTAACACGTCGATCTGTGGGCGTGTTGGAGAGGGCTGTTTTTCCTTTTGCTAAGGTATTGGAACGAACAACGATGCTTTAAGTTTTTCATTTGCCTGACACTTTCATCACACAAACCATTCAGAAGGTAAGATGGAAAATATCAGCAGGTGGTCACAATCCGAAACCGCACATGTACACATCCACACTCAGAGCTCCCCAATGCTAATATTTACAGGACTGTCAGTTGGTTTACATCTTAGAAACCCCATCAGAGAGACAAACCTCATTTAAGGGTCCATTAAGTGCTTCAAAAAAGTCTATCCAGAGGTCAAGAAAAACATGTCGGCTTAATAAGTGCTGTTGGATTGTTTCTTTGAACCCCCGCCCCATCTAACACGACATACTTATCACAATCACATCATTTTATCCAGCCCCACTCCCAAAGAAACATGCTCCCTACTGCCAAATTTACCTCTTTACCTCGATTTACCCTCCTTTTTTTTTACAGAATACTTCCATTGGAGTCTCTCTCACGTCAATTCCCAAACATACAGAGTAAATCTGTTTAGGGTTAACATCTGATTCAATCTTCAGTTTGCATCTGCTCTCGTGATGTCCTGTATCTCTCATCTGACCCCCTTTGGCATCTGGGTCTGGCATTAATGAGGAAGTAATGAGTCTCCTCTCCTCCTCATTGATGAGTCATCCACTGTAACTTCCCATTCCCCTGTCATAGGGGTCAGTCACTGACTACTAAAACAATTATGACTGAACAGCTGGTCTCCTACCTGCCTCACCAATAGCCATTCACAACGATGCCACATGAAATGGAATTCTTTCACTTGTAAAAGATAATTTAAAAAATAAATATCTCAAATTAACACATTTATCCACTTTGTCCATTTACGGTGATAGTGCCGATAATCTAGCTTAGAACCTGTCACTATTGCTTTCTAATGATCGTCCCACAGCACTTCTGCCTCTATCAGTGGTTAATTCTGTCTGTAAACTATATAAACAATTGAAAAAATTGTGTTATAATACTTTGATATTGGTAACTCTAGTCCTAGAAAAAAGTATGGGCATTTTCCCCTCCTTACAGACCCTGGCCATTGTTGTTTGCAAAGCTGTTATTAGTAGTCCCACCCCTTCTTGATTCTGACTGGTCGGTGATCAAGAAGTGACACTGATGAGCGTGGTAATAGAAGTTGAACTGTATTCAACTGAGTGTACCGACCATAGATATGAATAGTTGAAACGATATGTCACTTTGAGATGCGAGCCTTCATGGCAGCCATCTTGGCAAGGGCATCGTTTCCATTGAAGACAATGCATTTACAATGAAAATAAATCATAGCTTGGCATTGAAAATGAATTAAACTGCGTGAAAATTGGTTGCGAAATGAGCAAAGATATGATTTATTTTTTATGTACATCTAATGCCTTTAATGGGAACGTTGCCCTTACCAAGATGGCTGCCACATTGGCACACCGCTTAGCGGACTGCTGGTGTATTCAGTCTTCAATATGTATATAGTATATATGTATTACCGGCAGCACATTGACTTTAATCAGTTGATGCTAAGGGTGTTTTGGCACCAAGGCTCTGAAAACACTTGAGCAGATTTGGTTTGAATAGAAAATAGGGTGCCAGAACAAAAAACTGGGTTAGTAGTCGATGTCCTTTGGTGTGACTTCATGAGGTAGACAAGTTATCTTCAAAAGTCTAGAAGTGTTTTTACTTTGCACTTTACAAATTTGATTTAAATGTTAATAACATGAGAGAAAAAATAATATATTACAATAGACCATAGCCTACCTACACACATCCAAAATAAACTTTTATTTATTTATTTTTTTGACACTGAATATATTGATTTGGGCAAAATGTTGTTGGTTATTGTCATAAATTTCAGTATCGGTAAATTTTCAGTTTATCGTCCAGCCCTAATCTTTTGGCGACTTCGACGTTACCATCAATGCTCTTTGTATATATGGTTATTTAAGATAGACAAGCTACAAATGACCCTCATTTAGCTGTTTGTGTATGTGCACACATACTTAGTGCCACCCCTGCAAAAGCCAGTGCCTCAGTTTGGCCAGCCCTGAAGTTTGTCTGTGCCCGTGTCAAGACCACAGGCATTCTGTCTCAAGAGTCTGTAAAACCTCCATTTACATTCAGCTTTCACACAAGTCTATCAACAGGCCCCATTAAACAACCAGCACCACTTTCCAGGCTTGAAATAAAAATGCTCACAATTGTCAAACAAACGTCAAACTAAAGTATTTCTTTTTGGCTAAGGAGGCAGTAAAACCTGTATCACTCGTAAATTATTCCGCTCCAAATACACACCAAGTCCATCTTTGTACGGTTCCTGACGTCAGAGTCTCTCTGAAGTTTGCCGTCCAGCAGCTCACAGATATTTTATTAAGCCGACATCATGTTTATTAAACAGTGCTGCATCAAACCTGATCTGCAAACACTCCCATACACACACAATGGAGACATAATACTTCTCTGGCAACACTATAAACATTGATGGGAAATTATGTTCAGTCACATCCCAATAACACTCAGTCACTTTTTTCCTCTCTATCACACACACACTAACACACACAAACACACGGCCTTGCATAAAGCTGAGTGAGTGGGGCATGTCCCTGCATGCCAAGTGAATGACAGCAGCACTTCATCTAATTTATGTTTTCAACTATTTCAAACAGAAAAAAAAGACAAATTCTTTTCTCACCTGGTCATTCCACGTTTTTTTTTCTTCTTCAGAAAATAAGGGCATCACAACATCCGTGGAACTGTGTTTTTGTTGTGAACTGTTCCTGTCAGTCAGTTGAAAAGTTAGGACTTTATATTTTTCTAAATATAACTATGAGAAGGATTCTATGTATCTAAATACTGTATATGAAAACATCATACTGTATACTGCCGTGTGGAGAGGGAGAGCAGTGGCTTTGTAGTGTTTTGAGCATGTTTGCACAGTCTACCATGGACTTGTACCTTTGCAGACCTGGTGAACATGAAGATAAATAAAATATACTTGTAAACTACAGTCTGTCCCTTTGGCCTCCATCAAAACATTTGATTCATGCTTTTTATAAATGCTATGCTGTTTGTCTTTTAATTGCCTTTGTAAATGACTTGATGTGATTGTAAATAAGAGTTGCCCCTTCCTGATTTTCCCAAGGATGAACAAAGATTGATTCACTGATTGACATTAAATTTCATTGATAACTCAGAAAGGACGTCAAGCTTCTTATAAGTTTCTCACACCACGTAACCAAGTATTGTAGTTTTCATTCCGTCAGCATGAAGGCTAGACTATAACAGAAATATTGCAGTGAAATACTGAATACTCATCTTACATAACAATTTTTGTTCAAAGGCAATGTGCTGTTTGCTCTCACTATGGACCATTCTCACCAGAGGATGTTACATCCAGGTTACATCACCTGAAAGGAAGTCCTGTTATACATATGGCACATCGATCCACTCACAGAGGAAGAGGTAGGATTAAAGCTCCAGTGAGGAGTTTTTCACCGGTTATAAAACAGACTAAAATTCTCTTTTGTTCATATGACCTACTCAATGATAATAAGAAGTTATTTATCCCCGAAGGGAAATTCAATAATAACATACACAACATACTTTGTGATACTTTTATCTGTGAAAAAAGACATATTACTGTATTTTTCGGACTATAAGGTGCACTTAAAATCCTTAAATTTTCTCAAAAATTGACAGTGCGCCCTATAATCCAGCACACCTTATGTATGACTATTGTACTTACTGACTGATTTTATCTGGTACAATGCACTCAAAAGTCTGTTGAAATTGTCAAAGTACAAGTTTAATAAGCAACAAAGTCGCTCCGCTCAATGGATATTCGGAGCATTACGATATGCTGTTTTGCTGCCTGATTGGCCCCATAACAGGACCCCTGAGCAGTCTACAAGACTGCCTGACTGTAATGTCTAAACTAGAAGTGCATTCATGTAAGGCAGCCCAGACCCGGAGTACACACTTGCAACAATAAACCCATCAATGCTTAATGCCTCTTACAATCAGGTGCGCCTTATGTGTGAACATAGACACGTTAATTCACAGTGCACCGTGTGATCCGGTGCGCCTTATTATACGAAAAAGACGGTTGATGTTTTATTGGAAAACATAACTTATGTATGTAAGGTAAACTGTACAACTCTGAGCCAAATCAAAAAAAGAAAAACTTGGAACATCAAATTCCTGTTCGGTTGTACTTTTAGTTGATGACTTTGTTTGACTACCTGCTCAGTAATCAACAAAATGTTCCTATTCTTTATTCATTTTACACGGGGATCTTGTGGTTTACCAGTAACATGTCATTATCAGACCCACCCTGCATCTTTCAATACATGTCAAACAGCAACTGGTGTAGTACCCTCTACTTTCTCACATAAGAAACTGGAACATGTTTCAAATGCATCTTTTTTGGCTCTTTTTCCTCCTCAGTCGAGGTGAACTTGACCCAGATAGTCAGCTACAGAGCACATGCGTTTTGCCTGCAGGTAGTCCATGCAGATACTCCGCCTGGCAGTCTCGCTGTTTCAGGAACAAAAGATAATTAAATAGAATGAGATGTAAATGTATTTAATCAATGATTAATGGTTGCCTCTTCGCAGCTTGATGCTTCAGGCTGGACTCTATCTAAGGCTCCAGTGGGAGGTTCATGCAGAGAGGAAGGCGCTCATTTTTAAATCTATACACTACTTTATGCAAACCATTCATGTAATCATCAATCATCGTTATAAATTCGCTTTCTGAAGGCAGCAACATGCTTGAGGGTCTTTAGTATCTATGTCTTGCTTTAATCAAAGCTGTATCGCAGTAATGTCAGATGATTATAATTTCAATATTTCTCAGAATTTGAAGTTTAGTGTATTAAGGTTTGATTAAAGATGTAGTTGTTGCAACAGGATTGATATCCTCATCTACATCCAATCATGAAGCCTACAATGTAATATCCAAAAACCCATTTTACCTTCATGCTGTCTGGTTTGTATAATAAAAGTAGCAGGTAAACACAGTATAAATATCAGAAAATAGAGCAATCCTCCTGTGGACGTGCACAGCATCGTGGTCGATGGGACACTGACTTGTCACCATGGCGACACATATTCCCACTGCCAGATCTATTGTCATTTCTGGAGAGTGCTGGTAACATGAGTTCATCATCTCCCACAGGACTGAGACGCAAACACACCTAGAGTCTTTGCGCTGGAAGAACAGACACACGGGTTAATATCGGTTTAACTTTGAGGAAAACAACAAGAAACAGAAAACCTCGGAGGAAAATACCAGAGCGTTTCACTTTATGTCTGCTACTCAAGCTGTAATATGCATCGACATTTGACATTTAATCAAGTGCACCTGTGCACAAACACAATTATCAGGATTTAATTATTCAGATTTTTCTGGAAAGCCTCAAAATGGTTTCGCTGCAGAGGGCGATTCATCAAACTTCCTCGACAGATGACTGGCTTTGTTCACCTCCTTTGAGATAAAGTGCAGGAGTTCAGAGAAAGTTTATAAAACAAAATACTTGAAGTCAGACTCACATTCTCTGAGTCAAGAAGAGTAATGACCCTCAAGGTTGTTGCTTTTACATACAAATATATTGTTTACATTTCACAACAGAAAAAGGCTGTCTCTCTTTTCTGAGCTCTGGGAATGAGTGAATCCGCCAACTTTCCAAATTGGTCTTCAGCCATATATGTGCTGCTGTGGTCCAGTGTTGTGCAGTATTAGTATGATGGTGCTTGACCCAAACAACAGCTTACTGAGATGCTTAAAAACAGGCAGGCAGACATGCCAATGCCAAACAGCTCTATTTTACTTTGTATATATTTTAAAAAAAACTGAGTTAACTGAGTCAAAACTATTTCGGCTTTACATTATTCTCTCAATGTTGAACAGTTTAAATATATTAGCCATGTTTACATGGGCAAAATGTCTTAATCCAATTAAAAATTTGATGGATCTGTAAATCTGAATCCACTAATTATATTAGCGCAAAATCAAATAATCTGATCATTACGTGCGTATACATGCACCAAGCTTAATTCAGATTAGAAACATTTGGACATGCGCAGAGTTGTCTAATTTCGCTGGAACAACGGCAGAAGAAGAAAAGATGTCCCCCCCTGTTAAATGGTGTCACTAGATGGCGCCCTTGCTTACTTATTTTACTGTTCTGTTAAAGGTTGTACTGTGCGCGCAGATGTGACATCATTACGCTGTTTGTACGCCTTGTTACGTTACCGGAGCAGCAGACACGACACCTGCGGTTGTGTTTTATGCCAGAGTGTTAATAATGAATTCTCCTGAACTGGCCTCAATAAATAAACCAAAGCCTAAAGAGTGAAGACAGAGTCAGATTAGAGAGTCATGATCGGAATAAATGTTTACATGGACACGTTTCTGAATAATGATCGGCCTAAACAATCCCTCTCCATTGGAATACAATTTCTTTCCGATTGAGCCGAATTGGATCAGAATCTTGAGATTGACATGTTCAAATTACACATTTTTATTCCAACTATTTGTGCCCATGTAAACACAGCTAATGACTGAAATTTAAGAACTGAAGAGCAAACCACTCAAAAAGCTTGTAGATTTTTAAATACTTGTTATAAAACATGCCCGGAGCACAGCTAAAGCCAGCAATCACATGCAGGTCAACACAAACAACAGCCCTGTGACACGTGGAGCCCATGATTTTCAGACATGGCTGATCCCACCAGCTCTCCATCAACACATAACTCGAGAGGAGGCCTGAGGATTTTTCCAATTAGAGGGCATGAGCTGGTCTCAAAGGTGCAGATGAGATGCACAGCCACACCGCTGCAACTTGACATTCCTGACAGCCACTAGTGTGAACTTTCATCAGTCTGCTGTCCACGCACCAGAGGTTTCACGACAGAGCGGCGACAGCAGACTCACAGATGCCATCATGAGGAATGTCATTGCTGGCTTGAGAATATTTACGCCTCATCTGCAAGAAATATAACTTTAGCCTTCAAGATAAAGAGTGGGGAGATGTAGCTTCAAATTTGTGTGTGTGTGTCTGCATTTTTTCAAACATTTGACACGTTGTCTTTGCACCTTTTCAATAAGATATAAGGTTGGTTTGATTTTTGCTTTATCAAATTCTGTTTTAATTCACATTTTCAAAAGATCCAACTTTATAGTCTACAAAAAAATTGATTTGCGACTTTTTAAAGACCCACTCTGATGAAAATCATTTTTTTCTTGCTGTCTACATGTTCATTTTTGTGATGCTGCAGGACATATCATGAGAAAAATAATTGCGAAATTGCATTTCTGAGTATTTCTGCATTCAAATCGCTGTAAATCTCTGGCGTACCAAGACAGCAGGTTTAGAGACAGTGAGATTTCCTATGTCACAAATCCAAGCTCCGCCCCCTGAGCCCCGCTATGCAGGTCAGTCTCAGATAAACAGAGGAGGATCACAGAACAAGCGTGTGGGTGAGCGGATTGCAATGCTCGTAAGAAAACTATGATATTAACTTTCATCGTGTCCCTCAACACATTAGAGTCGAGAGCTGAATAGCTCCTATGTTACCTGCTTTTTCTACTACACCGGCAATGTTAAGCTGCAAACTAGCGTAAGGAAGAGCATGCAGAGCAGTACTATCTCTGCCCACGACTCAGAGGCGAATTGCTAATGAGCTACTGAAGCTCTGCAGAAGAAAAGCCCTTGAAAATGACACAAGTAACGTGATTTTGGATAAAAACTTCATAATCACAATTTAAAGACCACTGATAGCACTTTAAGTAGTAAAAAAAAAAAGATCAGTGTGGGACTTTAAAGAGCTCCCTCTAAATCAGGTGTTTTAATGCAACAACAATCACCTGCAAATTCCTGGAGTGGTGTGATAACAGCTGCAGGTTGCACCATATTCATAACGGTAGGTGGAGGATTATGGGAATTCAATGCAGGTGTGCAGGCAGCTGACTAAAGGAAACACCAGGAAAGCCTGTGAACAGCAGGAAGATATGATAGAGTGCAGGAAAAAAGACGATAAAATATGTGAGTTTGTGAAGAAGAAAAAAAGCCCTGAGGGTTGGTGCTATTCAACAGAGATTATGTAGTAAATGTCTGAATCATACATGATTAACGCATACACATCACAACATAGCACAAGTGTGCAGCTGTGCCACAATAATGCACTGTGCCATC